ACTGGCCTATATGGCCAGTACTATGGCCTAATTACTTATGGGACTAGAAGCGGAGCTTCCAGTTACGGCCCTAGAGCCTACTAAGCTTACTAGTGTTGCTATATTAACTTAAAACCTTAGGTAGTCAAAGTATTATAAGGGATTTCCACGTACCTAACCATAGGTTCAGACCTTATAGGTATTTAGTAATTCAAGCGTAAGGGATGGTGGTACCAAAGAGGTTAGGTGAATATCCTATACCATACGATAGTATAATATAATAAATATTAATAGAAGGCTAATAGTTCGTATAAAGACGAGTGGCTTTAATTTAGATATAAAAGTAAGCTTTTGAAGTTAACTACGAAGAATAGAAATATTTAAAGAACGTCTAAGACTTTATACCCATCTTTCTATCCTTTATGGTCCTGGTCTGCTCCCTCGCCAACGCCTCCTTGGCGGGAGCACCTTCCTGCTCCCTTGCTAAGGTCCTCTTAGTAGGAGCATAGTCACGTAACTACTTATGCTAATATAACTAGGGTAGTTACTTAGCGTCCTTTAGTGCGTTGGCCTCTAGATCCTTTACCGGGTTCTTCCCGTATATCACCTTTGTCTTCCTATAGTAATTCTATGTGATCGTAACAGATAAGTATAACGCTTATAAGATACCACTTAACCTAAACCACTTTCTATCTCGCTCCAATGAGCCTATTAATGAGGAACGTTAACGCCGTCATTAATCAATCATTGGATTAATTAATTTCCTCACTATAGTCTCTCACCTAGACTTATTATATATGGTTAGCATGCTGGGGTTATATAATGTAAACCCGTCTAATTAATACGTAATACTTACTACCTAGGTATTACATTACTTACGAGGCAGCATTAACTTTAGGATTATAATTAATTAGGATGCGCAATCTAAAGTTGCTATATACATAGACGCCTCATTTAGCTTAAATCCTAATAATGTGAAATTATTCTCTAGCTCTCTTATGAAGCTTAACGACTCCACCATTACTTAGTCGTCGAAACGTCAAAGCTGTGTGGCAAAGTCGACCATAGAGGCTAAGTATATGGCTGCGTCCTACGCCACCACTTATCTTGCTTGGGTACGATAGGCCCTGATTAAATTACTTGACAACGTTGATTACTGGCAATTTAAGCTCCTAGTTAACAATTAAGCCGCCATATCACTTATCCAAGACTCTAAGATTAGCGCTCATTTAAAGCATATTGCCGTCCACTACCATTTTATACGGGAATGGTATCATAATAATGAGTTTATAATCGAATACGTCGCCTCTAAGGACAATCTTACTAACCTTTACACTAAGGCTTTGCCCTTACCGCTGCTTACGGATCTGAAGTCCCGAATCGCCAATGGCGATTGATCACAGCGAGTGACTCGCTTGCTTAATTACCTATTTAATTACTCCGCCTGGACACTGTCTAAACCACGTGGTTTGCTCGATTACCCTGAAAGGACTTTTCTACGGCAACCCGCCGATTAGTGGTCATACTAAGGATATTTCTACATGCACGAGAAGGACTAAGGACCATGATAACCCGTTATAATGGGTGAGTATTGGTATGCTATGCTTATAGCTCATCTATGCTAGTCACTGTAGGCACCTCCAGGTGGGAGGACTGTTGACGGAAGGAGACTCCGCAGGCACCTGGCAGGTGCAACCGACTAGCCTAACTCTATATAGGCAGGTTTTCCCGCCTGAGCAATACAATACACTTACACTCAACTTCATACTTTTATCACTCCTTACCTATCCTCTTGTATTACACCTGAGCATGTACGTAGTAGCTTATTAATTGAGCTTCGTCTGAGTTCCAATTCTACGAGTCGTAGCCTCTCGTGACATTGCGTAACTATCGGATTACTATTAGACCCCTAATTAGCCCCAAACCATCTGGCATGATAATTATTTGACCTAGGCCTCCTTCGGCCGGATGTCAAGCGGCTGGTTGGGCTATAAGACTCAGACGATTTGGAATAGCTCCCTGGGCAACCAAGGAACACTTACGGAGGGGTGCCGGTAGACAATACCCTAGCCAACTGTATCGACAAAGAGTACATAGACCAAGCTAGATACTATGTAGCTTTGTAGTTTTCTACTATCCTTTCGTACCAGGCCTATAGGTAGAAATTTATTCGGGTACCCATATGAGCCATTACGCACTCCCATATGCCTCTGAGTGCTGCCGGATCCCGAACGAATACCTTGCTTAACCTGAGCCGATACAAATACGTGATTTAAAGGCAAATCGTGGAAAGGAGGGGGATGATGTTAGGATCTAGATCCAACATAAGGAAGAGGAGATACTTTGTATTCAGCTACGGGCGCGTACACGTGAAGATGCCCTTGTCAGCGCTGACTATGCGTCGGGGCGCTTAGCAAGGTCACGTGACTGATCTGTGGCCGAGCGATTTGCAACAGATCGGCCCCAGGGCTAGTATATAGGAATACGAGTAGGAAATCTCATACTCGTGTTCAACCTGTTTATCAATCTATCGTTTGAATTACACTTAGGCCCTATTGTTGACTCGTTACACTTCGCAGGGAACTACCGTATCAACAAGACCCCTTCCCTTCCCCTCAGTTGTCTTGCCCGAGATCCAACCTTAACCCTCTAGGACTAGCTACCCTTCTGGATTTAACATTTGCCACGCACTCCTATATCACCAAAGACTCCCGGACCCAATCCGAATGCCCTGCTTCAGTTACGCCGAGACAACATTCGGCTTACTTACACCTTAGATCAAGAAAACGTCGTCTGTCGCCTTTAAGACTGCTCCCCTTGGCAAATGTGGACATCCGCGGGTTTCGAAAGATAATGATATCGCACTAGACTACTAACACCGCGGCTGCATAAGGGCGAATTTGGCTGAATCAGTACCCAATCCACGACAAATCGAAAAAATCGTCTTGCACCATGCTCCCAAAGTACTTGAACTGATGCCCGATTTCCAAGCCTCCGATTATTTCCGCATCTCTCCCACCTTGTTTAAGATAGTCTCTTTAGTGACAATCATGACACCCTTCAACATTGAAGCTGCAGGATATTTGCCGTCAAAACGTATTTGTAGACATCTAACTGAGTCAAGGCGTACTGGTCCTTGTTCCTTGGGTTGATCAGATACGTGACGATAGCTGGCACTAGTAGTGGTATGATGAAAAGTGCGGCCAACAACGGAGTCTCCTAGTGACCGTCGATCTAAGCATAAAGGACCGCGATTATGCCATTCGAAGCGAGCTCTTGCTCTTTTGGCTGCGTTGTGAGCTTTGTCCAAGCAATTCGTGCTGCAGATTGGCGTAGTTCTAAGTAATGCTCTACATACCGTATGATAGATGTCGCACCGCTATAGTCCAGGCCGCTCAAACTCTCTTCAAATTCTTTCTTACGCGCTGGAGACAAGGGCCGTTTCATAGTCAACATACCGCGAAGTATGTTGGTGATGTTGAGAGTCTTCTGCTAAAGTGTCTCTAATTCCACTGCCTCAAGCGCGACGAGTACAGCAACTCCCCATGCAGTACAAGATCCGCAAGTGGACAGCTGGAATGCTTGGTGGCATCAACGTCACTGCCCGTTGATAACAAGCGCAGAGGTCGATCCCTACCAGAAGCCTGCCGGGCATCACACGACATACAGCAAAGCCTAATGTTCTGCCACAAGGTCTCCTCTTGACTCCGTGGACGAGCTTTCGCAAGAGCATGCAGACCAAATGACTGTGCAATGCTGAAGGATATGCCCGTCCAGTACCAGGATTGTTTTACATCTGCAGAATTTGAGTACCAATAGCTCATTAACAAAGCGGATTGTACTAGGACGATCTTGTTGTTCTCTTGGCTCAGGTCAAAAAGTAGCTTTGCGCGAGCTGAGTACAATTCCTTGCATTCCCTCCACCCTGGGACAAAGAATTCACGTAACTTGCGCGCTGACGGAGAATATGCTCCAGAGGAGTAGTAGCAGGTTGATGCCTTTAAAGCCATGTACAGCATACTGCTCGAGGAAAGGAGTTTGCATAAATGACAGGGAAGCTAGGGTGCATAAACTGGAAGTATGCCTGGATAAGCTGTTTGCGTTCCTCGAGAAGGGGGAAGGAGCGCTTTCTCTGGCCCCGCGAAGAAATGTGCGAGTTTTGAGCTTGTCTCCGGTACAGCGGGCGCAATGACCCGAGAGAGATCATTGTCTGCTAACGCAGTGGCGAGATCGTTGATTCATCGCTAGGCATTGAGTGCATATCTCCATTCCCCAGGATCTCATCTTGAAGTCTCTTTCAAATTCTACAGGAGTCAGTCACTTGGCTCTCCCAGCCAGTCAAGACTCTATATGCCGCCACCCAACAATACTTGAGAGACCCACGGACAAGCCTTCCTTGTTCTGACAACACACTCTTCCCTAACCTCGACAGCAGCATAAGCGGAACGCGCGGAAGTGTCCAAGGATTGTCGTCGTCGCCTTGTTGCGAAACCAGACATTTTGCAAGGTCCCGTCGAAGCGGAGACACAGTTTAATATGACCAAATGTGAGCATAAGAATTTTCTTAGATGGTTCCAGGGGAAGGCGAGTTGCCCTTGCTATGTTCCTGGTTGGAAGCAGATGACGCTAGTTGCACCTCCGAAGAGGCACGACGCGTACGGCACGCGCTGAACACCTCAACACGTTTTCAGTACTCAGGGCTGATCATCCATCTATGCTCCATGTGCGACATGCGTTTTGAACGAAGCCGCCATTGTTTGTATCCAGATTGAAATCTACATGAATTGTACACCGCCTACCCGGTCGGGGAATATAGTACATACACTAACATGGTCTTTACACACGACGCTTTAAGCTTCAGCGCGCTTGAACGGATTCTTCACCTCTGGAACGTATTTCCACACTCCTGTCTTGTCCGTTTCCGATGCTGCTACAGGCTCCTCATACAACCCTTGTGCCTCCAAAGCCTGCTTCTCTAGGCTCTTGAGCATTGCCTGAACATCATCCGTGACGGTAACCTTGTACTGTTCCGGGTTCAAGAATTCGACGTCTTGCCTTGAACTCCGTAAGACAAGAGTGTCGTGAACGACCGGAGCAGGCCACTTGCCCAGGGCGCACTCGGCATCGCGCAGATCGGCCCACTTGATCTCTACGTCCATGGTGAAGGGCTGCGGATGTTGTTTCTTGAAACTGGTGGGTAGGATGGAGCGAGTTATAGGATGGTCTCGTGCGTCGGCTTGCAAAGTGGCGATGAGAGCGTCCTCCAACTGGGTAATCTCGGCCTCCTTTGCACCCATTGTTTCCGCAGCGTCCTCTTGTGATCGATGCAAAACCTTTGTCAAGTCCCGTTCGAGCGCGAGCTCCCTTCGCAATGTCTTCAGCTTCGCCTCGACGTCGACGCCGGTGGCCGGTGCAGCTTTTGAAGCGTATTCCTCCTGCATCTTCCTAAATTCTGCGGTGTCCTCGACTTCTTTCAGCTTTGCCATGTACTTCCGTGCCCGCAGAACCCGTCGCAAGCGGACCTCGTGGCCCTCCTTGGCAGCCTGAAGCCGCTTCGTGTCTGCCTCGTCGCGGTTGCGTTTAGTCCCAAACTGCCAGTCGATGTTCCTGATCTGCTGCTCCAGCCATTTGGGATTGCTGGCGTCCCTGTCGTCCTTGGCAAGGGCCTCAGCCTCGGCCCACATCGTCTTCATCAGGCGGAGTGACTTCTTTTCGTGCTCTACAGCCTTCTTCCGCATCTCGACTGACTGTTGCTGCTGGCTGCTCAGGACCTCTGCAAGATCTGCACTGGTGTTTGCGACTTGGTCCATGATCTTTCGCATTCTTTGGTGGGGTGTCAACCTGATCCATTCTGGGTTCGTCTTGTCCCAGGATGTCTCATGCAGGTGGCGGAACTCACGAAGCTTGCGGAAAGCCTGGAGACCTTGCTCGGCGACGGGGAAGGTGATGACGCAATGAGGTTTCCATTCGTCGGGTCGGATGGTGGCTGGCTTTGAGTGTTTTCCGATGAAGGGCAGCTGGTCGAGATGGTATTGCTGTGGACGGTTAACACACACACATGTGGTGGATGAGCGGGGTGTCGTACATCGAGCAGCTCGTTCAGCGAGTAGATGACCTGGTTCGTCTTGATGTTTGCGAAGACGTAGATGATCTGACCGTGCTTCGCCGCAGCCTCCGGGTCGACCAGGTCTCTGACGGTGTGCGGCTTGTACGACATGCGAAACGGCTTCTTGCCGGGCTGCTGCTTCCACTTCGGATTGACGACGACGTGCAGGCTCAGGGGCGTCTGGGGCTTGGAGAGGTCCGCGGCATGCGCGCGGAGCCTCTGGTGCAGGGTGGTGTGGTCTTCGGGCTGGATGCGGGCGATGTTGAGCGGCCGCAGCGGCTTGGGCGCCCTGAAGCGCAGCCTGGCCAGGTTGCGCGGCATCGTGGCGGGCGGGCTGGCGATGGCAATGGGGCGCTTCGAGGTCGCTGGGGCGTGTCGGCGTCGCAAAACTTCCAAGTTCACAGGGAGCACGGGCCAATGGCGCGCTTCGGCGCAGGTGCATCGCTCCGAGCCAGCACCATGGCCATGTCGCGCCTGCTCATGCTACGCTCGGTGCACTGAACAGCAGACCATGCAGGCTGCAGCAAGCCTGGCGCATCCCCTTCCCTTGTGGTATGCTTCCCGCGGGCGTTGCCGAGTAGCGCGCTCGCTCTGCCGCTGCCGCGTCCCTCGACCCGTCCGCCCCCCAGGCCCAGGACCAGCACCGGCTGCACAGCACCATGGCTGGCAGCGAACGCGAACAGGCCCTGGCCCATGAGCCCGCCTCCCCCTCGGACGCGCGCGAACGGCCTTGGCTGCTTCCATACGTACGCAAGCCTGCATCGCATCGTGCACCGGCGCTGACCACACCCAGAACCGGAAGCTCAGGCACCTCCAGGGCATCACTGTCCGCAACCTCACCCTTGTCCCCGCACCGTCGCGGCCCCGCGGCAAGACCATTGATGACGATGCGATACCGAGCACGCTCAAGTCGCCCACCAAGACATTGGCCTTGCGCGAGAGCAGGGGCCTGACCCATTCGCGGTCATCAAGCCATCTCAAAGGCCACGCCAGCAACAAGGAGGCCGCGCCGCCGTCACCGCCCGAGAAGCCGAAGCGGCCCGGCACGACGGGCGGGCTCCGTAGGAGGAGCACCTTGGAGTGGATGGGCGCGAACCCCTTGACCAGGCAAAAGAAGCTGGAAGACATTACCGACAGCCGCATGGCCGACACCTTCTTCACGATACACGTGGACGGCCAGGAGGACCCCGTGTACATCTCCGAGGTCGCCGAGAGGGCAATGAACCCCAACTTCCGATTCTTCGACCTCTCGTCGTCCGGACCCAGTGTCACGCGACTTGACAAGCTCACCGTGAACGTGTGGGCCAAGCACGGCCCGGACGACTGGCACCATCTGATGCAGTTCACGGCTCACCTGGGTTCACTCCAGTTCATTGGAAAGACTCTGGGCAACTATGGGCATCCTCTGCCGCAGAACTGCATCCTCTTTCACATGACGGACGGCATCTACACCAGCTTCGCCGACATGCCACTCGCAGACCAGCTTCGCGCTAACAACCTTGCTCCGCCAAAGGAAACTTCGGAGGGAATATTTCAGAGCTCCTCGTACGACGCCATCATGCGACTGAACACGCTAGACGATTGCATCCAGGACGCTTTGGCGACACGAGATCGTTTGGCGGAAGACATAGAAATTATACTGCATGAGAACCGAACAGCAATCGACACCGTGGAGCAGGTCCCGGAAGCCGAAGAGCGGGTCAAGATGGTCGAGGCCGCTGTGATCGCTGAGAAACGCCGGGTCGAGGCGGCGCGGCGGAGGGTCGAGGAAAAAAAAGCCAACACTCGCCGCCGAAGAGAGCTCATGCACTCGGGGCGAGCATCGCAGTCTGAGAAGAGTGAAGAAATGAGAAAAGAGAGGCAATGGCATGCAGAGCTAAATGGCTCCAACGCGCATGTACGAGACGAGATTGCTGGACAGCGAAGAAGATTATGCGAGGACCTTCAGATTGTATATCCCATTGAGCCCGTCAAGGGAAAGGCGTTGTTATTCACGATCCGTGGGCTTCCGCTACCAAATTCCCAATTCGAGGACGCTAAAGAAGACGTGACGTCCGCAGCACTGGGTTATGTTGCAGAAATGGTTTCACTTCTTTCACTATACTTTGATATGCTACTACCATACCCCATCAAGGTCAGTGGATCGACCTCGACCATTGACGACCCTCTCGCTACGAGCACCGCCAATCACCCTGGACCTCGCACCTACCCGCTCTTCACGAAAGCCGTCGTCCGCTATCGTTTCGAGTACGGTGTCTTCCTCCTGAACAAGGACATTGAGATTTTGTCAAACAATATAGGCATTAAACCTCTAGACATCCGACAGACCCTGCCAAACCTGAAGTACCTACTTTTTGTGGCAACAGCGGGTAAAGGCGAGCTGCCTCTGCGAAAAGCGGGCGGGATCAAGGGCTTGTTGAGGCAGCAGGGTATATTGTCACGTACAGCAAGCATGGACAGCACCGGAACTGCTAGCAGTGCCGGCACTGCTGTAGCTGAGCCAAAGCCCAGGATCGAGATACGTGCTAATGGGCGAGACCAGGTGAAAGTGTCCGGATCCGATGAGAACCATGTTAATTCCGTCGGTGGGTTGCATAAAAAGGGCAACGATGTGCTACCGGGGAGTCCGCTCAAGGAGGTGGGCTAAATTCTGACGTGGTCGCGAAGTCTCCTTCTCGTTCTTGTGGATACTTCACTTTTGGACTAGCGCAGCAAGCAGATTCGACTTTCGTCGATGCCGGCTTCAATTTCCACACACTTACTTCACCTCACCTCTATCCGTGTATTGCTCTACGCCTCTGAAATCACTCCCGTGCGGTGTTGCATGGCTTGCCCGTAAGTACACAAAGCCCAACATGACTGCTGCAGCTGTGCTGTACTTCGGCACGGTTATCCCACTTATCTGTCATTCATTGCTCGAGGATCAAATACCTCTTGAATCAATCACGATGGCCTCTGACAGGTGCGATTAGCTATCAAAGGAGCCATGGCTACATTACTACTCTCCAACGCAGACACGCCGCCACGCGCTCCTGACCGCACCTTCCATGACGCTATCCTTGACGCACTTGCCACCAAGAACGGAAATCAGAGGATAGACGACTGACCAGCACTGTGTTGTCGTAAGAGGGGGCTAGCGAGAGTACCGAGGAGCCGCAATTGCTCGTTCACGTTGTCGAGCATGTCTACGACCTCGACAAATTCAAGATCAAATCGCTCAAAAAACAATCAGATCACACAGATATCATGGCCCCCAAGATTGAGACGGCACTCAACAGTACATCGCAGATGCAAGGAGACGTATTCAACCCATTGCATCGGTAGGGTTGTCCGGGCTACTGAATGGCTGTGACGAAAGCTATGTGACCGTATCCAGATACACTGCTATGGCTCTGGTTCTCTTACCGCCTTATGGCATTCTACCATTCTCCGTTCGGCGCTGTTTCCTGGTTCAGCCGCTTGAGCTGGATTATGGTGAACGGTACAGGCCCACATGTGATTCGGAGGCGCTGGATCGACTTCTAGATGATCGCATCAAGAATGTACGGAAGGATATTCCAGATAATTCCGCGATCCAAACGCTCCACAGAATTTGCGACCTAGTGCTTGAGTATCACTGCGAATGTCTGGAGGAACTTGAAATCGGCTGGAATGATGGAAGTAGACTCCCAGCTGCTCCAAAAGAGGTGCTTGATACTGTATGTCGAGTTAAAATGGGCAAGTAGCTTCTCGATCACCGGCGAGACTCTTGCCAAAGCCCAGAGCGTCGGCGATAACACTTGCAAGATTATCGGCCGTTTATTGTGCGAGACAGCTGACTAGGCTGTGCTCGAGATGGCTTCCCAATTTGTCTCCACACGTTCTTCACACAAAGCAAAGCTCGAGACCTGTAGTCCAATGAAGATCTCGTACGGCGAAGCTGAGAATGCTTCTAATGCTGCAATGAACTCTCCTACGCCTCTGATGTGGCCCAATGGAGCCTGTCACATATTCGAGGGGTTGAGTGAGGTGACACCAGGCAAAATCCGCATGGACATAGACGTCGAAGACATCATCAAGTACGGTCACACCGTAATGACAATGGCTTCTTTCAAGCTACGTTGAAGTCCGTCGCCTTTTTGGAATGTTTTCAGAGGCTTGAAGGTTGTTGCCCAGCTTCCGTTCACAAGATGAGCTTGTGGGCTACTTCGACACTTTCCTAGAGGCAGCCGTGCCCGTCCTGGGAGTGCCGCATGTGCAAAACATCGAGACAATCAAGGATATATTAGATCTCCGCGAGAGGTTACCCGGCAATGCAATCACTGCTTATTGCATCAAGGCTCTGGAGCTGTATGACAAGGGTAAGCACATCGAGCTGAGGAAGGTACTGGCGGAACTGTAGAAGAATAGGAAGGTGGTCCAAGACGTGGATGAGATGAATGTGCCGGAGAAGGCTGCTAAGCACGATGGGATTCCCGTGAGGGCCTGATTAAGGTGATAGCACCTTTGTGTTCTATTGCATTATACTATGCGCAGCTGGTACTACAACGTGGTGGCAGATATTCATGAGTCATGTTACCGTACACAAGATCCTCACACTATCAGCCATGAAGAGCATATTTTAGTTACCTGCATTGTACTTCTACTACACTGATCTACACAATTGATCATTTTTGCCTTCCAGATTACGAGATGCTAGTCGGCTCCCACCTCTTACACAGCCTACTATTCTGACTCGGCAAATGCCCCAACAGCACCTCACTCTCCTCCCAAGCCTCACTTCCCACTGCCCTATGACTCCAAAACAGCCCCTCCCGATCCCATTTCTCCTTCACTCTTAACAGTCTCCCATACTTATCTCCATGGAAGCTCTCCTGCCATCCAGGCTCGAGGTAATCCGCCTCGCTCAGATAAGTGCCGCTGCCCGGCGTCAACGCCCGCCACATCGGATTCCACACCTCGGTCAAATTCCTGCTGAGCGCTTCGACTTGCGGCGCTGGGGTGGTTTCTTTCCAGGTGACGACCATGATGGCGAAGAGGAGGACGTCGCGCCAGGCGGGGAGGACGGCGTTGTCAATTGCCGCGGCACCTGGTGGATTGCGCATATTGAACATGATAAAAAATGCGCCGGCGTCGAAGACAGCGCGGATGGCGGCAAGGCTGGCGGCACGGGAGGTGGCATTTGCCACGACGGAGCGCGGGAAGAAGCGGCTGGCTTGTCGACCGTTCCAAGTCCACGGTTCCTGAGGGAAACCGGCCGCCCAGGCGGAGGCGAAGTCGTCGTATTCCGTTATGGTGAAGGTCTCTATGGGCATACCAAGGGCTTGCCATTCAGATAGAAGTGGTGCGATGCTCATGCGGAACTCGGAAATTGACGTGTTTGGCGCGACCCATGAGGCCATTTCGTGTCCGATTTCACCATCTGAAGAGTGCGTTATGCGGAAGTAGGAGTAGTACCCCTTATCTGCGAACTCCTCGAAGCGGTCAAGATACGCGGCCATTGCTTTCCAGAAGTTCTCTTGGGAGAAAGTGGGAGATGTCTTAATACTGTAGCGCATGGTTGTCACTTTGATCTGCGGGTGGGCTTTGAGGACCATGGAGGTTACGACGGCGAAAGTGCCGCCACCCCCGCCGCGGAGCGCCCAGAAGAGATCGGCGTGGGAGGTGCGGTTGGCGGTAAGGAAGCGGCCAGAGGCGGTGACGAGGGAGATGGAGAGGACTTGGTCGGCAGAGAGGCCGTAGAGGGAGGAGAGGGGTGAGTGCCCACCGCCCTGGGTGTAGCCGCCTACGATGCCGACAGTCTGGGTGCGTATCAGCATCTGAGGCTTCCGTGTGATCGTTGGTAGGAAATAATGAAAGGAACTCGAAGAGAACATGATTCATAACTCACCTTCCCTTCACCTCCTATAACGGTGACATTGTGCCTTTGCGCCAACTCATATGCTTCGAAGACATGCACACCAGCACCCAATCTTAGGGCAGGCCCAATCTCTTCCCCATCATATCGTTCGAAGTTGAACGTCTTCTCCTTTAGGCGGTGCGTCCACACGCTCAACGCGCCCATTCCCGTACTTTTCCCCAGGAAGTCATGTCCCGTGTTCTTGATCACGAATCTGATATTGTGCGCTTTCGCGAACCGCACAGCAAGCTGAATCTGTGCGACACTCGTGACGTTGACCGTGTAGGATGGGTACCCGCCTAGCGTACATGATCCATTACTCGTAGGTAAGAATGAGGGAGCGAATGACGGTGGGAGACACGTTTGGCCTTGGTACAAGGTAGCGCGAATCGATGTTGGGTCTTCGACGCGGAACGACGAATTATCCCAAGAGGATGTCAGAAACTGGCATTCTGGACTTATGGCGCTGACGTTGGAGCCGTAGCAAGGTGCGGCCTCAGGAATCGTTGCAATGAGTGCGCCAGATAGTGAAGTGTTGAACGTTTTCCACGTGAGATCACTGGGCCAATCTGGATCGCCAGGGTAGGTCTTGCATCTTGGAGCTCGTCTTGCACATGTAAGACAGGAACCGGCTGTGCTAACGAATGAATCGAGGGCCTCGTCACTGATGTGGTTTTTCTCAAAGTCGAACAGATCGAAGACGGAAGTCGCGCGGGCAGTCGGGCCTGATAACAAGGACACAATGGATAGAATGTGGTAGCTTCTCATTATCAATCGAAATGCTGCGCCAGCTGCGGACGATTGCCTGTGGTCGGCCCTTGAGGCAACGTGACTGGCCGCCTACATATGCTCATGAGGCTTCTCGTATTCCTTTGCTTCGGACCATCTTCACCGTGCGGAGGACTCCGCTTCGACTTGGCGTATAGTAAGACGAGGAGCTCGAAAACGCTGAGTGCGGGGTAAAGCTAACAGCAAGGCGAGGCGATTGGTTATACCTGAAAACTGTCAAAGCACACCGGTCGATGGGAATCTGCCATTGGCCGGGCCTTGTCTTGATGCTGCTCCGGGCCTCTCCCTCCCTATGCTATTACTCAGCCTTGCAGGTAGTTCCGACCCACGTCCGTGGACAAGGTATCCGGGAAAGTGCAATGTCAGTCGATCGGTAGAGGAATTATCGTGCCAAGAACCAACAGGTCTACACTTTATCCAATTAATGGTAGATTTAGGTCTTATAAAGTAATTAATAATAATACTGGCGGGTTAAGAATTGGCAATAGAGCATCCATGTCGGTTGTCATTTGGTTGTCATCCAATTGGCTCAAGTCAAATATGTTCCTGTAAGTAAGCATCCTCTGAAAAACAGACATGTGCTTATAGCATGGCCAATATGAATCGATAGTATGGACCATGCAAGGCTGCTTACGGAGAAGGTCATATTATTGATGGTCAGCGTCTTGGTCGATTCAATCATGGTGATCGGATACGCGGTCTTTTCGTTCGTTGTTCTCTGACATAACGTCTACGGATACTGATTCTGCACCTATAGTGGCCAGCTAAAGGTTGAGATGCGGGTTGTGCAGTGCGAAGTTCGGTAACTGCCTTTGTGAGCTGGGAAGTGTGCAGGCAGATTTTGCCACGCACAACAACTGCTTTGTCATGTTTCCGCCAGCTAATTGACTCTATTTCCGTAGTTATTGTATATGATCCAGGAGAGTTCGCAATATACACCTCAGAATCCCCCTGGAACAAGCGGCTGTGTTCTCATAAAGGCAAGACGGCCAAGGCATGGTCCAATCAAGATTTGGTCCTTGAACCGTGTGGCATTTGATGTGACTATTGCGGTTCCTAGTACCAGAGTGCCAGGGTAGCGAGATAGAGGTCAGCGAGACTGATTAGACTTTGTTAATCGGGCACCAATTCAAGCTGAAGTGTGTGCGTGCTTTTCCTTCAGCTGCTCCAACGGCCATTTCAGGCCCGCGTAACCCTGTTCGCTCACAATGGTCTCAATACTCTTCATGGCTTGTTCGCACCAGCCTTGAAGAAACCATTCGTCGCCAAAATTTGCGAATAGGACGATGAAATGCGCGAGCAAGATTAGCGCCATAGTATTTCGTTGTTTGAGTAACGCCATGTATTCTGCCGGCACCAAAGACATCCATCTCAGCGCAACTCCGATCTCGAGCTTCGCACGTGGCAGATGAGGGTGTAAGAAGTAACAATGCTTGTAGACGAGCTCGAGGCCAGCCAAGGCGTCGAGACACGTCTGCAGCGCCGCAGGGTCAGTTGAACCGAGGGAAGGGATGAGTCTCTCGCGTAAAGCTAAGAATTGTTGGTCGATTTGTGGTGACAAAGTATAAGTATCAGGGTCTTCCAGCTTATCTGTACTGAGGATTCTGAGAGGACCCGATAGGATGGTGACCCAGTGATCAGCCAGTACCCCTCCAATGCCTCGAGTGAGCATGAAGTGATGTACAATATCGTCAATAAAGCCCGTACCACTCCTTTCTCTTTCCGCGTCGGTACGACGCGCGATGTAAATCATCGATATCAGTGTCAGGAGCGCGCACAGGGCGAACGCAGCACTACAATTCTCGGACGTGATGTTGGTGAGCACAGAGCGTAACTGCGATGTTGCCAATGCTTGATGATAGCTTGATTGCATCTCGTACTTGGTTCTCTCATTCTGTCGCAAATAGGATAGATGCATGGCGGAAACCGCGAGCAGGCCGTGCATCAAAAAGGGTTGCGGGATCGCCATCTCAGGAATCACGACACGCCACATGTGCTGGTCAGCTTCGCGATGTGAGAGCGTGTAGGAGGTGGCCGACGTGAAGTGGCTCATCAGGAACAAGTCCTCGGTCCATGTCAATGGCCTTGGAGGTGATTGCTCGGCCAATATCGGCACGAGCAGTGAGAGGAACGCAAAGTCATCCGGTAAACGAAGTTGACGAGAGCCATCGTGCGCGACTGGCGATGGCGAGAACGATGCTTGTTGTTCTGCGGAGATGAGGCGTGATGTTCGTGCCGAAGTCAGACTGCAGTCCTCCTGCCTCCTTCGACAGTTCGTGCAAGGGGCTTGCAGGTCGCACTTTCGTCCCAGTCATCATCAGCTTGGCAATGTGGTTGATAACCGTCTTACTTTTACACGTCTTAGCTTACAGCGTGAACAGCTGTGTCTCGACTTGCTGTGGTGCACTTTTGACGGCATTCCGTTTATGGATATCGAAGTACTCGGAACCCAAGAACCCGGCGACCAGAAGTCGCTCGAACCGAGGCTCGCTAAGGAAACTGCGACTTGGCTTCTCGTACACTATTCCTCAAAGAGTATAAAGTGCGAGCTGCGCGGGCAGTAGCACCTTGCCCCCCAAGCTAACGTCGCGTCGAGTCTTACATTCGATTACCGCCAGGAATATAGAAGAACTTGTGGTAAGCGACATGGCTGGTTCATCAATCCCCTGCGCGTCCGACACGGCCATGCTGAGTGCTGGACAATTTCTTTTTCTCCTGCGTTGATCTTCTCCCATCTTTTCTAGCCATCATCTGGAGCATCTATACGACAACATATCAATATGATAAAACGAGCGCCCATCGGTGCGCGTCTCGCTCTCACGCTCTTATGCCTCGCAAGCCCCGCCTTCGCAGCCCGCGACAATACTCGTCCCAGCTATCGTACCTGCCACGAGGTATCACCTGAGTGCCCAGTTGCGGCGACGACATATGGCTACTATCCTGAGCTCGCTCCTAATGCCTTCTTCCTGGCGCTGTTCGCGACCCTCTTCGTTGCCTCCTTGGCCATCGGTGTATGGAGCAAAACCTGGACATACACACTCGCCCTAGGAGGTGGCACGCTCCTCGAAGCCCTGGGTTACCTCGGCCGCGTTATGCAACATAGCAATCCATGGAAGAAGGCGGCGTTCGAGATGCAGATCTGCTGCCTGGTGCTTGCGCCCTCGTTCGTGGCGGCTGCCATTTACTTGACCCTAAAGCATTTTGTGTTATACTGCGGCCCGAAGCACAGCCTCCTCAAGGCTAGGCTATATCCCTGGGTATTTGTCGGCTGCGATTTCGCCTCTATCGTCCTCCAGGCCATTGGTGGAGGTGTAGCAGCTGGTGGTGGGTCCTCAGACAGCCTCACCATTGTCAACGTGGGAAACAACCTTATCGTCACGGGCATTGCGTTCCAGGTCGCTACCATGACCGCTTGCGGGCTCCTCGTTGTCGTCTACCTATGGAGATACAGGCAAGCGCGCGCAGAGCGCCATGCATCAAACGAGAAGAGCGACTTCGAATTGAGCAGGGCAAATGGCCCTGTGAGCAGGAAGTTGTACATCTTTGGAGCCATGTTGGTATTGGCCTATGTGACGGTTTTGATCCGTTGCATCTACCGTATCCCCGAGATGGCGGGCGGCTGGGGAAACCCGCTAATGAGGAAAGAGAAGGAGTTTCTCCTGCTGGACGGCATGTAAGTCTACATCATCATATATCGTTTACTCGGCCATACTGACTGGTCATCTTAGGATGGTCGCTATCGCATGCTTGGCCCTGACCATCTTCCATCCGGCCTTCTTCTTTGCCCCCTTTACCGCTTTCCGCCATGGTCAGCACAAGTCGTCCCAGCACGACGCGACGCCTCAGATGTCTGAGTAGACTTGTGAATGAGCAGAACTAGATCATTTCGCTTTCATTGTTAACATATGTATTCTTACGCGACATTCGTGCAGTCCTTTCAGCGTTGCATTTAGACAGATAGAAATCTCACGAACTTTGACCTTGACCTCACTTAAGACTTCACTTGCACTATCTAGCATGTCCTCCGCCGTATGAAAATTGGACGACCGCTTGAAAAGTCTTTTAGGTTGCGTTATCAGTAGAGATGCCGTGAGACTGAAGTCACACCATTGCTCGTTGATCTACTCAACCCTGAAGACTGCGAAGTCAACATTCCAGTACGGCCAGCACTAGAAGAGTAAGACCTAACAGATCAAAGTCATCTTCTGAAAGAGCTCCTGAGAAAGCAGTCGTTCATGTTCTTGAAGAGCCTTCTGCCCACTTCTTAACTACCGAGACCTACCCACACACAAGGACGCAACATATAGCTACCATCAGAACACACCCGGTAACTCGGCCATCTCTTTTGAACCCACTCACTTTAGTATTTCCAACGGATCAATCGCACCTATCTGACTAGAAGGTCCTTTTCGCTTCCTTGACATGAAGCACCTGCTCTGTGTCTGGATGATGCAGCTAAACTAAGGGCAGCTAGATCTGTCTTTATTGATACCAAAGACGCAGGTGATCCCGGTGCAGCATTACAATGCCGCTGATCAACTAAGGTTGTGACATTCAACTTTCCATTACACATAAACTTTTGCACTATGTCCTCATTAAACGTCTACTTACAATCCAAGATTATCCCTAAGGAAGCGAAGTCCGTGCCGCACAGAAAAGCCCCAGATATCCATCTATACACATTGCATCCCCTCGAAGCGAGTGAGTGACCCACGCCCGCACCGCAGAAAATTCCGTGCCCAAAATACTGAAGGCAGTCGGCCAGAAAGAAGAAAAGCAACGAACGGGCTAAGCTTACAGCATCTATGACAGACAAATAGATGGTACCAAACACCGGATCCCCATATGCAACATCAACATGGCCTCATCGCTGCATCGTCTCGTGTCTGCTCCAGCGGACTAGCTCTGCACCTTCTTCCGCTCGCGCACTCGCGACTCGATGCTCCCGGCGTCGCTCGCGCTCGTAGGCTTATCCGACGTAGCAAGCTCCTCGCCGTTCAAGAACACCTTCGGCGTGCCGTTGGCGGCATTGCCATTGGCCTTCCCGTTAGGAGTCTTTTTCGCGCCCTTCCTCTCGCCGGCTTCTTCGGTATCACTCTCCTCGTACTCGCTCCTGTCGTCGTCCGCGGTGCTGTATCGGATGAAGCGGTAGGCGATGCGGCAGATGAGGAACCACCAGAAGAGGTTGACGGCCTGGAGACTGGCGAGGAGGGCGAACGTGATGATCTGCGAAATCCAGCACTTGTATTGCTGTGTTTCCCAGTTAAGCTCGTAGGGACCGACGGTCTTGAACTCGGTCAAGATGGAGTAGAGGACGCGGAGGTTGACATAGTGGCGGAGGTAGCCCCATACGCACATAAAGACAAAGAAATAGGGGCCGGTGATGGGCGCGTCGAGGTAGTTGAGCACTTTTGACGTCTGTTTTCTGTCAGTCAAAATATTGGTCGCGGGGTCGGGTGGGGCCTACAGCAAGGAAGAAGTCGGATATATCCATGGTAATGTAGATGGCCAAACCCATGTATGTGAAGTGAAAGCGGTAACTGCACCAAATCAAGGTCAAGGTGATGATATGATGCGCAACGAATTCCTTGAAATCCTTGCGGGGCTTCTCCAGTCCTAGCAGGAGCACAATCATCTGCTGCGCCCAGTAGCTCGCCTGGAGCAGGTAGTATGCCTTGAAGATGGCCTCGTGCGTCTTATGCGGAAAACCCTCGTACATGGCGGTCGTATTGAAATACCACACGGGCGTCCGGCTCATGACATACAGGCCGAAAGGACCATAGACGGCAAAATACATGGCTGTGTAGAACTGCTCCATGAACCTGGCCTGCTTGGCGCGAGACTTGATGCCGAAACGGATCGCAAGTGGTCGGATGAATCGCTGCATGAGGAACTCGCGCGTGAACGAGAAAACGATGGTGTAGAATGCAACAAAGGCAAAGTCGCGTGCGCCTTTGCCATAGTGGATGGGTGCGGTGGGGTCTGCGCCCGGTTCTCGCGGAAGCGGGTAGGAGAGGAAGAGAGCGGCGGCGATGGGGTTCTTGGGCGACGGGTTGACGAGGTAGAGCGAGACTATGGCCAGGGCCAACGTGAGGGGACCGACCCAGGTGTGCCGCATGCAAGTACGCTTGTACTTGGAGAGCGCGCGGCGGACCGAGCGACGCTTCGAACGGCGACCGGATTTCTCGCGCTGCGCATGGTCAGCACCTCAATTGCACCCTCACGGCAGCTGCACATACAGTCGGCTCTGTCGGGGTCGCGGGCGGACTCCCTAGCGTCGCAAACGCAGGCACACTCGTGTCGCCCGGCAGCTCAGCTCCTAGTCCGCTGCTTTTGCGCCGCCGGACGCTCCCGCTCTTGCTTGAGCGGCTCTCCTTCTTCGACTGCTCCGTCTGCAGCGGTGGGAAAGGCTCGACGTCGCGGGAAACCATCTTGATGCGCGCAAATTCGGGTGGGAGAGGAGAATGTGAAGCCCTGCGGGCAGCCGGGGCGGAGGTAAGCATTTTGGGCTAGGAAAGGAGCGAGCGCGCCAAGCACGTGAAAGTGGTCGGTGATTGGCTGCGGGGCTCGCGGGGGTCGACGTCGAGTCTGGTGCGAAATTGCATGCAACGAGGCATCGTTGTGTTCATTGCCGTGTGGTACATATATCTGCAATCGTGTATCCTCCGATATCTCCGGCAGCACTCCTGGCCTTGTGCCCATTCTCGTCCGCACCGGAGAGCGCGGGCGCCGCTTTCACACTGGTTTGCCTGTCGGCTTCGTGTAGGACTGTACTGCAGCTACACAGACCCCCTGAAGGAGTGCTCGGAAACCCTGCACTATCACTGGTCAACTAGGCGACCATTTGAGCAGGGGTCGGGCACCGCGGACACCAGTCAGCAACTCCAACACAATAGCACGAAAAGCGTTCAGTATAGCTGTTGTGAATGCATAATTATACCGAGTCGTTGCCGTTAGTCGTGCATGCAGTATCAAGAAAGCCGTTGAACACCACCCAATGCAGATGCAATGCCACATAGAAATAGCCATAGCCCAACCCACCGTGTGCAAGTGTGGCCAAGCTACAATGACCTCCAAAGGAATCACTCCATCGCTCCATAGCTTCCACCAAAGCTTCGCGGACTAGCATGCCTCTCGGTTCCCAATAACGCCCTCGCCTCATCCAATGCCCCCCTCTCCCCTCGAATCGGAATGCTCTGCGAGCTGCTGGAACTCGACCTGGGGCTTTCATTCCTCGATGTCTCGGCAGGTGTGCCAGCGCGACTAGCACTCGGAGTGCCTGCAACACTGACAGCAGGTACCCATCCTCTCATCCACCCGCTCACCCTGCGCCAACGGAAGCGCCTTTGCTTCAGCAGCCCATGATCGTTGATGTCGAGGATGATCTCGTCGTCCCTTAGCTTTCCACGCCCCCGTGGCTCATTGTCGCCATAGTACCAGAACTGCACCCCCACAGCGGCATCCATGACCAGCACGCCCGCAGCGCCGAGGAAGAAGGGCGTTGCTCGGAGAACCCAGTCAACGCGCACGCTACCTTGCGTGTCTACCCAGCCTGAGCCTTCTCCTGGTGCGTAGTTGAACCAGGCGCAGGGATTTGTTAGTAGAGATGATGAGTAGAAGAGGTTGCCGAAAAAGGCTGCTGCGAAGAGGGTTGGGCTGAGACCGGCGGTGGATTTTCGGACATGGTTCTGGTAGAGTTGAGGCAGGCGCGAGCCGAGGTACAAAAATGTGGACATCCAGGAGAGGATTTTGCCGGCTATTTCTGAGGCTGAGGCGTGCTCTGAGGCTCGCGTGTGCAATGACAGATGCTGTGTTGGGTGTGCAGCCGGGGCGAACGGGCTGACATTTTTGGCAGTCGCAGTATTGGAAAGTACTGCTAGGATGAGAGAAATGTAGAGGATGGTCTTGGGCGACGGTGCAAGCATAGGCGAGCTTGACGCGGCCACTCGTCTGACATCCCGGTTCGAGGGCGTGCCAGTGGGTGGTGTTCCTATATACGATTCCTTGAACGAACTTGGCGAGCGTGCATAGTTCGGGATTCGAAATGCGTCCATGGGATTTGATCGGCCTGGTATGCTGCGGCCAGGGCTTGTTGGCAATTGGTCTTTTCTATCCGAGTCCAGCCCATCTTTCGCGACAGGAACGACAGTCTTGTCACCGGCACCCTTTGCTTGGCGCGGAGCATCACGTACTTGATCCATGCCTGACGGCCCGTTGTCATAATCTGAGCTTTTCGGTCGGTTCCAGATGGGCCGAAGTGGTCGTCCGTGCTTCAAAAGCCCGTACCATATCCATTGCCCGCAGAGTGCGCAATCCACAAAGACATAGTAGCTCGCGATTATGACTTGCCATGTGGCTTGATGTGTGAACAGCGAGCCAAGCAGATTGGACACATCGCCGAGCAGCCACTCGGTCAGGAAGAAGATGCTAAGCCCCGATGTCGACTTTAACCTGTAGTTCTTGTATATTTGCGGAAGCTGTGCGAAGAGCCACGACACGATACTGCATGTTCCGAGGACTGTAGATATCAGAGCGAGGTTCGTAGGTATGCACGACCCGAGGGTGACGGAGAGGCTGTAGAGGAGGTCGCTCGCGGGTTCGCAGCGGTCAGGTAGCGAAGGTTTGCCTATGTGTAGGGGTGATAGGTAGGGAGGCATGGTGTCATAGGCGCAGCGATGGCGAGCGAAGGGCGGACTCGAAGGTAATGCAGCGCGCTGCAGATAAAAGCTCCACGGCCGCCAGCAATCTGTGAAGCTTGATATATCTTATGAACAGTTACTTTCGCGCTCTTGTGTATCTCCTCGCTATTCTCAGGCCGCAGTATCGCGGGCCAAGTGGCTCCGTGTCAGGCGTCACACGCAGGTGGGTCGCAGCCACACAGGCGCAGTCGCAGTTTCCCAGCAGCTGATCGTTGCAGGATGTCAAGAGCGCCGCACCAATATCGATACTGCGATGCCTCGGGGTACCCTCGAAGCTCTTACCGAAGATGTCCGCGTTCGCGACCTCGTGTCTGACGTCGTTGGCGGGCGGTCACTCGGCGGAGGTAGCTAAGCCGAAGCGGGCAGCTCACAGGAACACGCACCCACGACGCGGGCGAGGAGGGCCAGAAAGCAAGAGAAGCAGCAATTGAATGTTCTCGGTAAAGAGAACCCTCGTTCACAGGGTGGGAAGAAGAGGACGAGCGGACGAGACCGTTGGAGTCGCGGTCCAAGGCCATGTCAACAGCTGACACCAGCCAAGCACAATCCGCAGTCGGTACGGGTGACCACAACGAGGCCCCGACGGCGACTATCATGGGCGCCGGAGCAGCCATGACTGGACGGGTTGCTTGATAGCGGAGGGCGTCTTATCTGGAGGGTGTCGCGTGCGGCAGAGATAAAGCCAGACCCGCCTTTAGCGCTCCCCGGCTTCGCTTGCCGCCCCGTGACCACTTTCCTGAAACTGAGACTCGGCCCATTCGGCGACTTTCGTTTGCAAAGCAGCCTCGATCACTCTCAGTTGCCTTGCGCCATCATCTTGCGACGGATGAACAACTACTGAACCATGTGATGTAGATTGGTCCTTTCACCAGATTGAGAGCGATACATCCGAGATGGGAACACACAATCCCCCCGCCATCGGAGCGCCATCGGCATTGCTTACACTAATGACACATCCAGCTGCATTCTGACCGAGGACAAGATCAGTTCAGGGCAGCGCGTGAAGGGCTTCGTTTACTACTTCTCCACCTTCTCCTACCTTGAAAGTCGCATATGTCAACACTTCCGTGCGAAAAGAAAAGATTCAGATCGTCCAGATCACAAAGGCACGAACGACAAGCGCAGGCTTCCCCGGTGCAACAACGTATTCGTCCTTCATATCGTCAATAAGTGCTCCGCCGTCTTTTCCAGGCGGGAACGTCACAATATACTACGACACGAGGGTAGCGACGATGAGCCGGATCTCGCGAAGAGCAAGGTTTTTGCCTGGACACGCATACCGACCTTTCACCAAAGCAAGTTAGTTATGAAGCGTGGTTTGAGGAATCGGGCGACTCACCTTGCCCAAACGCATGAGACACATTGTGAATCCTGACCATCTGAGGTTGATCAAACCATCGCTCTGGGAGGAATTCGCTTGCTCGCTCGTAGCATGATTCCACTGCGAATATCACCATATATCTATCTATGATTGAAGCCGTCACCCTTGCGATGTCCGGAGCTGTACATCAGCATCGCGATTGTAACACCCTAGTGATCTAAGCCACCTCCTAGATTTTGCCTCTGACTTTGCTCACTGTAGGGAGGTAGACCCGAACAGGAACAAGCTGGATATCTTGATAGTCGAAAGCACGTCTCGATAACGAGCGAATCCCATGGCGCTTGCATGAGATAGGAAGTAAAAGGTGCTCGTGTATGAACGAAAGCGGATCGGGAGTGCGAGAAATTTAACCTATGCATCTAGAAATTGCTGACCTGCAGGCCTTCCACGAACCTGCCCAAAATGCGAAACTTCTCCATCATGAGCACAAGCCCGATTTAAGAGGGAAAAAAAGGCGATGAAGAATACTCTTCACGAACAATGATGACCACGCTGCCACCTCACTGCGATCATCACTCAACCCATTCGAGTGACTCGAAACGCCAGTTGACTGGTCATGAAGGATCTCTTGACATTGAGAACATCTATTTCGAATCATCCCCACTTCAGAAGGATCTGCAATGTTTTCATTTACCAAATCTACACTATTTGGCTTTGTACCTTATCCGACCTCAAGACCATAACAATCCCCGCTAGTATATATGGCTTGATAGGTGCATTTTCTGGAGCACCTCTCTTGTCTGACTCACTTCCACCACGCTTTGCCATTTCTCGTGTGCCGCATGTACTTTTCTGGACATGGTCAACTCTTGCAATCAACAATCAAAGCAGCGAATCCGCTGTCCTCAAGGACGCACTCAAAAAGCCATGGAGACCGATGCCATCACGTCGAACATCGGTCATGGCTGCCAATACGCTGATGATGGCCATGTACGGTTCAAACATGTTCATGTCTTTCATATTGGGCACTCATCGGCACGCGCTATCAATGTTGCTTTTGGGCATCTGTTACAATCGCCTGGGAGAAGCTGACTTCAGCTGCGTGGAAAAGAATTTCATCAATGCCGTAGGATATATATCCTTTATCACTGGAGCTCTTGTCAGCGGGAGGCAATCATAGACAAAGGCAAAATCTGGCGAAATGAGGAGTACTACAAGTCAATTCTGGAGCTGTGCCATCAACCCGTCGGAAGTTCGGTTCCATTACGAGAGGCTACGATAGTGTCAGAAACTCAGGTGCTCAGCATCGAAAGCGACCTCACTACGTGTTATAGCATTCAAATTCCAGTGAATATGCTACATCACATTGCAAGAGTGACGTTTCCCACGCCGATAAGTTAAGCAAATGCGGAATGGGCAGTTTCATGGACAAGCTTTACACTTGCACGTGGGATACTCAAGGACTCGCGGCTTACTCCCCATGAGCCAGTCCAGGACCTTGAGACTGGGACTTCCAGGAAAGCGGTCTAGAAAGCACGGAAGCTGAGAGATCGTACGAAATACGTCGTTGGAACAATGCATCACGGTCGTCGCTGTCTGTCGTGCAGAAAGAAAAAGTGGGCCTCACAAATCGAAAGAGCACACGGGACATGCAACACATGCAGTGTATTTGGAAAGGCTCTCCGACCAATAGCGATATTCGCAAGTGATGCCATGGTACATAAGTACATGTCTTCAACTCAGCCGCTTCCCGAAGTCCAAACCCCAGAGTTTGAGCATCACGTATTTTCAAGCAACTAGTCCTGTAACAATTTGCCGTGATAGGGCAAGCGGGAGATGTCTACAAGAACCCTCAAAAAACGTCATGTGTAGAGATGCTGTATGTCGAGCAGGTCAAGCCTCTACGATTCGACAGACTTGTGTGCATTCGTGAGAAACAGGAGATCTCTCGCAAAAGCCCTTACAAGGGTCTCGGTCCCGTTTCTGGTAGCTACTTCAGACCATAGAAGCACCTAGCTGCTTCATTCCACACGACATCAAGCGTGATTCTGTGGGAAACGTCAGGGAACCCACTCCAAGGCCGGTTATATGTCTGTAAGCACGAACGTCACCACCGGCTGACCAGATGGATCTGGAAAAGCTTTCTAGAGCCGGGACCACTGTTTTTCAATGTGGGAAACACGGGAGTACATTATAACTATATTGTTATTGCTTCTATGTTCTCAGATGCGCATGGGCACCTGACGTAGTGGGTATCTGGAAGAGCTACCCTCAAGGGAGCAAACCTCCACGGTCATTCGACTTTTCGTCATAGACACCTGCATTGAGTAACTTCCGTCAATAGTTCCTCCACTGGCCCAATACGGGCAAGGTGATGGCATGGAGTCAGATCTATACAGAAGGCAACGATAGGAGCAGCTGTTGGAGGCCAACATGCACATGGCACAATCCTGACATAGGTCATGCCGGAATTGAATCACGGTGTAGTACAAAAACAATGCGATCAGTAGATCAGATTACACTAGACATTATAATGCTCAACTTGTGATATTTGATTCAAAGCTTCAAGAGCCAGACGGCTGGTGAATTAAGACACAAACCCAGCTGCGTAGTTTCCGCGCGAATCTGCAGCCTTCACGTAAGTAAGTTGCGATTACCACGAATCACTCTCGGCTAGAAGACTGGAGTTCCACCATAGTATAACAATGCGTCCGAAGCGATGCAATGCCTCGTCATCATTGTGCACGAACAACCTGCTGGACGTATACATAACGAAGTCTGTGCTTCCCCAAGAACACTCTACAAACAATCACGAACCCGAGATGGCGAACTTGATTCCTTCCAGTTTCCTGTCCGATGTTGCCTTCGCAACGCACAATAAGTACGTAGGTATTTCACTAGCTGGCAAAGGCTTCACGGCGGAGGTTTGGTACGCGATTCCGCGATCCGCATTCGGCAGCATTAATCATCCTGCAGATGTGGGTCTATTGCGTTCCCATATCTGTGCCGTAAAGCTGTACAAGCTGTACTCACCCCAGATCTATTTGAAGAACGAGTTACCTGCCATGAAGCGTCTACAGACCATTCCTGATGAGCTTCGCGCACGCTTCACCGAGCCCCTTGACTTTTCAGAGGCGGAAAGTGATAACGAACGATGCTGGGTCGCGATGAAAGCCATCCCAGGCTTCACGCTGACGCAGCTACGCGGGGCAGCCTTGCTCTCCAAGAAGGTCGTCCCGCAAGAGTTCGTTTTCCACATGTATATCCAACTCCACAAGGCGCTGAAATTTCTGCATACGTCTGACCCGCCTATGACCAAGGGCGACCTAGTTGCAGTGAACGTAATGATTGATCCATCCACTCAGGACGTTCCAGGTTTTCCGAACATCAAGTTGATCGACTTTGGCGGCGCCCAAGTCGGGAAGATTGGGGTACCACTGTCAAAGCATGCGATGGATTCCGAGTGGAATTGGATGTACAGGATGATGTATGATTTGGCGTTGTTGAACCACACATGTGAGTACACCAATGAGTCGGTCTTCACAACTGGGGGCGGGAATGAGCGCAATTGTACCCACGAAATCGACTTCTCTGATTTCATAGACACGCTGGGATATGCCCTTGCGGCTGGCAGGCGCTTGGATGAGTCTAACTTGGAGCAAGAGATGAATCTTCAGGAACGGCTTCCCCGAGTTCTGAAGATTAGGAGAGATTTTGCTTGCCCTGAAGCTCTGCAGGCGATTGAGCGGCTGCTCGAAGGGACAGGGAAGAGCATCAACAACAAGTTTCCGACTGATCAGCAGATTTTAGACGTGTTGAGCGAGCGCACGTCGACTTCGTCCAGCCGGCTTTGATCGGTCGGAGGGTAAATATGGTACATATTTAAGTTGGGGAAAGAATCTTCTGTATTTTCCATTAGCGTTCTCTGCGTCCTCTCGCGTAGCTTGAGAGGCATTTTTCTGCTGGCAGCTTAGCAATTCAAATTTGTCCATTATAAACTTCAGAGTAACTACTATAACGTTTAGCATGCTTTCAATGTGTCTATGCATCAATCCTAAAACAGCTCGTATTCATCCTCTCTCCACTTCGTCTATCGCTAGTTATTCGTGTGTCACTTCTTGCTATTCTATACATTCTTCTTACTGCTGGTGTTGTTCTCCCAAATCTTTAGAAATAGCTTCCACAAGATAGAGAACATGACACCTTGCAATCCGTTTGCCAGAATGCGTGTCTTCAATCCGCGTCCAAACAGGCCCAGCCTACCATCTTGGCGGATAACTCGCCTCGCCGCCTCCGCTGCAGATATGTCAGTCACTATCGCTCCGTCACAAATAGATACAGTGGACGTACAGTAAGACACTTTCGTGTCGTTGACCTGACGATAGGTTTTGATGACACGAAGAGAGTTCGAAATGGAATCTGACACAACCGAAGCGCAGAATCCAATGAAGGCTGCACGCAGGAGCCACAAGAAGAGTTGGTGGCTCCTATCTGGCTCGTTAAGCACTTCTGAGAGCCAATTGTACTGAAAGCAGATGTTAGGACATGCCTGTCGACTTCAAAAAGTAGGATATACCGTCGCAAACCAGGGATAATGTCCCACAAACGTCGCGGCCGCCGTGGCGAATGCTCCCCACCATAGACTCCCAATCCCATCAGTCTTCACACGTTGTCGAAGCAATGCAGTACCACCCGCACCCTGTGCCTGTAGCGTCGTTTTGAGAGTATCGATTGGTGTTAACGTCATTCTGAAAGCAGCAGCGCAGGCAGATGCGAAGATAGTCTTGATGGGCGAAGGTAATTGCGCCAAATATCCATTCGAGCTCAACAGCGCAAGAATACCAGCATTAGCAGCTGTATCGCCAAATCTTGCTATCGGACCTTGGAACAGCGCTGCACCGATACCCTGGTAGTAGCGCCGTATGCCACCATCCTGGTACAACGTACGCGTTGCCACGCTGAGAGAAGAACCATGTCGATACTGGTAATTCATGATCGTTCTTATCGGCATCAAAAGGAGGACTTGGAGGACCATGGCTGCAGCGCCACTTAGGCCGCCGCCTAAGGCGCGTTTCAACGCGGCACCGAGGTCGAAGTCTACATCGTCCGACTCTATCCAGCCTTGAATGAAAAGGGCGAGAAGGGCTTCAACAAGCACAATTCCCAACGCCCACCAAAGGAGACGGTATCTGCTTGGAGGCTCTTCGGGTTGTGGTTTCAAGGAAGCAGTGTCTGATGAGTCGTCTGGCGATGCATCCTGCTGTTCGGGAAGTGGATCCACGGAGAGAAGAGGCGAACGTTCGTTAGGCTCGCGGCCGGCCTCAAGGCTATGAGGTGAAGCCATTCCTTAGGATTCGATAAAATATATAATAGAGCCGATGATGAAGATGAACACGTTCCAATGACTAAAGGTGGTTGGGATAGCTATCGATTGGTAATCCTAAAGTTAGCACATCGGCTACGCGAATGACGCGATGTGGGAATATGAGTGGGTCCGGAGATAATCGAAGCGCGAAACAACAACACCACAAGAACGGCATCGTCCTCACAGCTCGCCTGCTTGTCGCTCATGAGTGACAGCAATAATATAGGATTCTTTCGGCGATCAGAAATCTATCAGGGACATGACGTCCGATACCGCGGCGTGAGAGCCACATGAGAAAGCAGCGATGAAAACCACCTTCGGATATTCTTTTATCGACTCACAGTTTGGAAAGTACAGTTGATTACTATCCAACTGCATAAGGAAAGATTACGTTTCTGGTGTACATATTCTTTGTTTAGTTTTCTATGTGCGAGTCCCGAACAGTGGCATCATTCTTCGGTCGTCCTGTTGTATCTTACAATGCACTCTCGTAGTTTTCGCCCCACATTCCCAGCTCATATTCATCAAGCGTCGTGATCAAATGGGGAGCTACCTTATTCGAGAGCTCGCCGAATCCAAGGCTTAGCAATTAAAACCCCCGGGGCCTGTTCCTCGTCATTCCTCGTTCATCCTCCTTCGTTCTTCCCCAATCAAGATCAAGCACTTACCCTCCATAGTCAACTTGCGACTCAATCTCATCTCCACGTCATCCTCAAGAAAATCTCCCCGGAAACTCCACCATCCATCCCTTCTCGGACTTCTCAAAGCCCACGAACCTAACCACCATCTGCTTTCCATTCACTTCACCTTGCCAGAGCAGCAGACCCGCCATCGGCTTCTTGTCCACCTTCCACCGCTCCGTTGCACTTATTCGATCGAGGAGCATAGAGCTCCATTGCGTCGATGTCTTTGTTTGGTGTCTCCAAACGTGGTAGATGGAGAGTGGACCGTCGGTTGGGTCGTTGATGAGCGCAGCTATATGGAGTTGGAGAAGTTCGACCCGGGACAAGCGACAAGATAGAGAAACAGTTGGCTTTGGGGACAACTTACGATCGAACTTGAAGATGATGCTGTCGCCGCGTTTGTCGACGTAGCGGTAGACCTCGCGTGCGGTCATCGTGGGCGGGTTGTGCGTGGAATACGCGCCGTGTGATATGCTCTGAACGCGGGATGCGGGAAAGAGGCTGCTGTTGGGGACTCCGACACTGAAAAATATTTCAGCGAAAATGTAATTGCTGAGATTTGCGAGGGGACTGAGTGTTTGTATAAACGCGGGTGTGCGTGCTGCATCTCTACGGTAACCCGCATACGGGAAACGGAAAGACCACTCACCGCTCGCACCAGACAACCGACAACAGTGAGCTGTTAAGACGCTCTCCGGTCTATTACAGGCGATATGTCTTCCCATTCTGCGCATCATCGTACCTGGAGAGCGATCCCAGAATCGGTACACCCGGATACACGCACAGCATCCGCGTAACATTATCTTGCCCGCCGCATCCAGACTCGCTTCTTTCACTTTTTGCAGTTAAAAGCAACAAACAATACTAGAAATTTTCATCAGACTCGAATATTCAAATTACACGTTTGGCACAGTGGCATACGAAATCATCTGGTCCTCATTTCAGCGCCCATGGAGCCGCATCTCAACGACCCATCCTCGTCGAATTAGATCGTCCTCCACAAAGTGCTGCTTTATTTAAAATTCCAAGCAGCTTCAGGCAGTATCTTTACTGAAGTTGGTACTCGGGAATACTCTGACCACAGGTGATGGACCAGTATGGGTTAAAAGTGTCGGCAGGCCCACGGTAAAGTTATTCTAATATCGCTAACAAAATTCTATAAACCTTTACAGCTCTACGCATGCCATTTAAACACTAGATTGACTCAAAGAGACCTCCTCCTGACCTCGACACAAACGCCCGGATCTGTCATGACCTCAAAGCCATATCGAATGGTCTTCGGAACATATCCCGGCTTCAGTCTTACATCGTATGCCAGCAAAATAACCGCAAGCGCCGTCTTTACCTCTGCAATGGCGAAAAAGCGACCGGGGCAGATGAACTTGCCCATGCCAAACACAAAGTGGTCGACACTCGTGGATACGGCAGAGGAGGCAGTGCTCCACTTTCCGCCTTTCTGGCGGAGCTTGACGTAGCGGTAGCCGTCAAACAGCTCGGGACGCTCGTAGACGTCCGGGTTGAGGAGCTGAGATGTAGACACGGAGATGGAGGCTCCTCGTGGCACGATTTGTCCGCTCGGTAGCGTGACATCACGCACCGCCTTTCGCTCGAGGTTGACTTCATGCAGTGTAAGCGAAGCACGTAGCCGAGTTACAGATGATTAGAGCATACCTTCAGCCAGCGGATTGAGTCGCTGTGTTTCCTTGATAACACTATCCAGCAGCTGCACATTGAAGAGCCCTGCCGTTGTCCAGCCATGTGCCCGCACCGACGCCTCTATCTCATCCCGCAAGGGCGCGACGAGCTCTGGATGAGCACATATATTAGTTAGAGCCTGTTTGAGCAACTCGGAAGTCGTAACAATGGCAGCCATGGACATTCCAAGCTGCATCCCAACGGCGTCGTAAGAGCGCCCAGCAGTAGCTTCTTCCACCCAGGTAATAGAGTCTTCTGGTTTTACGGACGCTTGATCTTGGCAAGAAGCAGCTTCTCTTTTCTCGATTGCTCGCTTGTCTAGTTCCTGCTGAAGCAGTTGGCGCGCGCACTTCACCTAAGGTACGAATACAAAGTCAGTTTAAGTCAAGAAAGGATGGGACATGTCTTAGCTAAGCGAGAAGTCTTTTCTTTACAAGAAGACCCATCCACTTTGTACCTAGAGGTTTATTCACCTCAGCGCGACAGTTACGGCATGCTGGAAGGAACCAGTGGACGAATGGTCGCGTCCATGAAGGACAGGAACGGAGAGCGCGCGTGGCCATGAACATGGTCATGGCATAGCTAGTCGTAATTCTCTGCCATGTCGCGTTCTGCGCTAATTCATCGCCCACGAAGACCGAAGCAGACATGAGACCGATGAGTCTGACTCCTGTATCGGCCCATCGGGCGTCGTGCCAGGCTGTTCAATGTGTTAACGGGACCTAAGTTGTAGTGAGCTACCCACCCTCTTCTTCCCCCCAGAATTCGGCCACGCCTGCTGACGCATGTGTATGGAACTTTTGAACCTCTGTTTCTCAATTTAGCTTCTTGTTGGAATCTGTAAACTAGGCTCGCCGACGTACGGGAACTCTGTGCCAGTTTGTTCTTCACGACGCCGATAAGCACTGCATGTGGGTCTGACACCGCAATGGTTCCTTCAAATCCAGGATACCGTGCAAAGAATTCCTGGCCCCGTCAATAACTCGTTCTTGAAAATAATGGATCTGCTAATCTACCTCGGACACAAAAGCCTGGTGATCCAAAGCCGGACTCTTCTTCACCCATTCCGCATATTCGACCGGTAGGATGATTCTCGATCCCAAAGTCGTTATGATGCGAAAAGGTCCGTTGAACTGAGGCAAGTGAGTAAGACTAACCTTTACGATGTATCTATTACATTCAAACAGACCTTCCGGAATCCCTCCTGAATCAAACCCTTCGCATCGGCGATGAAAGCCCCGTGGGCTCGTTTGAGTGCCCAGTCTCTTGGATAAGAATTGACCGTTGGGAAATTATTCTTTCTTTGCTGTATCGAGTAGGCGAAAAAGAAAATGGCAAGGAGTACTACGAACAATGATGCGAAATAGCTCGAACGAGTGTGGGAATAGACATGACTGTACAGCTCTGTCGCTGACCCCATCTTCATTTATTTGGACAATGTGAAAGGCAAGGAGGTTTCGGATGCTATACGCAAAGTCAAGTGATTTCAAGTCCATCTTAAAAGAAAAGAAATCCAATCGATGATGGTGCGTAATGACTCATAATGCATCATATAGGTAGCGTCTTGGAGGGTCGGACAAATCTTCTACATCGTCATTGGATACTCTTCCATGATACGCTGGATAATGTCCCACAACTCCTTATATGTCCAGCGTTGCCTTATCGCTTCCCAAAAACGCTCCAACCTGCTGCATGTACCTCTTCCTCTCCTCGAAATGGCCCATGTGACTGGAATTTTCAAGATGCAGCCACTTTACTTTCTTGATAGCATGGAACCAAGGTGCCACAGCCAAATCCTGCACCTCGTCATAACGCCCGTTGATCAGCAATACTTCGGAATCGATGAGGTGCGCAGTAGAATAGCCCTCCCAGTCTTTCAGCGAGCCAATACATAGGATCTCGGAAGGGCCCAACCTGGCACGCATATTATTCGGTCGCGTACTACAAATTTGCGCGAGACTCGGGATGGGTGGCTTACATTGTTCTATACACAGTCGAGTCGTCCTCCAGCTTCGCGAGTGCCTTTTCCACGTCCTGCGGAAAAGGCCATACTCTGCAAAGATGCTTCTTATAAAACACCAAACAGGCGTCCTTGTACTTGTCGCTCTCGAAGTCCCCATCACGGGTGCAATCCTCGAGATCTCTTTGCACATGTTTAGGCAAGTGCTCAATAAGCTGCTGCACGCCTTTCATCATGAGCGGGACACTCGCCGGCGAATCCGCAAGGACGACTTTGCGCAGTCCGACTGGGTTCCGCGCCGCGTATACACCGCCTAGCATTCCTCCCCAGCTTTGACCGAGGATGTCGTACCCGTGCTCGCGCAGGTTCAGGTGGTCCACAAGGTTGTCTAGCTCCTTGATGAAGAGATCTACGGTCCAGAAGGCTTCGTCTCCATTCTTCTCGCGGAGGTGCGTGGAGTTTCCACTGCCGACTTGGTCATAGAAGATTACCGGGATTCCGTATTTAATGTGCAGATCGATGAATGGGAGGAGATACACGTGTGTGGCGCCTGGGCCGCCGTGGAGGGTGACGAGGGGGGTCACGCCGCGTGAGAGGTCGCCGACGATTTGGTACCAGGTTTCACACCGCTTGCCGGCATCGGGGATGTAGAAGGCAACCTTTCCTTCGGTGAGCTTTGTTGTAGTCATTATTATTTTTATTCAACACTGTTGTCAAAAGTAAAGGTGGACCGAGTTTCAGCCAGGCTTGGGTGGGGTTGCAGGATAAATCAAGCATGTCGCCCGTCATATATGCAGTGGCACCAAATGTAGCTCGTTGATTGCTCGAAGCGCTTATTTAGGAAGGTACTAAATTGGGTTTACGTAGCTAGCATCCTCCCATTCGAGGCAGCTTCGCGATTGTAGTCAACTACCATGACTAAAAAATGCGGAAGTCGAGGGTAGGGGACGAAAAGGCCATGGCGGATAAGTTTGTCCCTGATCTATTACGACGTGAAGTTTGACGCCGCATCGTTAGTCGGTGCAGTCGCTGTCCTTTTCCCTTCTCGACTATGAGAATGGCTAGCGAAAACAGTGTCGCCGAACCTGAGAGTACCCAGGCGTATTTCCTTCTTCGTCTTCTTCTTCTGCTTCTGCTCTGCCCTCTCGTTTTCTCTGGGTTTGCACCACTGTTCGTTCTGGCGCAGTTTGCCAACCAAGTTCCATTACTCCAAGATGCTCGAAAAACCATGTACGAAAGTTATCTCCACCTCAGGTCTCATGTCCAGACCTTGCGGTCTTTGCCCTTGTTTTCATTCATCTTTGTTACGCGCTTTTTGATGTCGGACGCGGTCTGTTGCATCGGATTGAGCTTCACATCCCGACTCATCCTGCCATAGTCGTCTCCGTACTTGGCCACTAAGCGCTCTAGCCACTCCACCTCACGCTGGCTCTGGCTCCTGGGTGCCTTCCGCGCGCCGTTCCGGGCTGCGTCTTCGAGCTGCCTGATGACAGGGTTGTCACTCCGCTCTGTTGGCACCATGGCAAAGCCGTTCCACTCCATCTCGTCGTCGTCTCCCAGTACTTCGGCCAATGGATCATTGAGCGGGTTCTCCTTGGCCTTGGTCTCGCCTACGATGCGCAAGATAGCGCCGGTTTCGGGGTCGCGCTCCACCTCGATTTCTTCGACTTCTTCGATCTGAGGTTTCGAGCTGACGATGTTGAGATTGTCTGCGGTGCTGCCGGCTGCGGCGTCGGCGCGGGAAGATTTGCCATCGTTGAGGCCAAGGGTCTTGATCGTCTTTTCGACACCACCTGTCGCATGGTTGAGGCGTGCGGTAAGGCCAAGGCGAGCGTAGTTCTGGGACAGCGTTTCCTTCTGGTTCCTGGCGCAGGCGAGTCAGTACAGACTGTGGGAGAAGTATGCGGAGTGGAAAGTACCAGTTGGCTGCGATGATGGGGTTCTGCAGAATCTTCTTCTTGGACGGCTGCTTATGGCGCAGCTTGGGGATGGAGGACTTGTTCTTCTTCTTCTGGAGTTCGCGACCCATTCTGGCGTGTGGTCAGGGGGGGGTGGTGCTGCGTGGTGCAAAGGTGGGCGTCGCGGCGCGTGAACTGAGTTTACCGTCTGGGCTGTACGCCAAAATTTCCAGTCGCTCCCCGCTAGCGCTATCTTATCGCCCGTGACGAGCGATCTAATCTTATCAGGTCGGGGGTTCCATCTTATCAGATCATCGCTCCCACCACCTGGCATCATCCATCAGCCCTGCGGTTCGGCCCTATGCGTGGGGACCCCTGAGACGTCACTGCACGCGTCAGACACAGGGCAGCAACCTTCCCCATTACGCCCAAAAACCGCGCGTCCATCATGGTGTCGCGTCGCAACAAAACGCTCGCATCCCTGTCACTCTGCCTGGCAGTATGGGCCTGGAGTGCATCGGCAGCAGCTGTAAAGGGCGAGACGGCCGCTGTCGACGTGGGCTCGCTGACTTCCCCGCAAATTGAGGAGCAGTTGCAGGTAATTAATCGAGGTCGCGTGCCCTTCCAGCATGGGCGTAAACTCACCGGTATCAGAACTGCTCCCTCGTCCAGGCTCTCAATGCCCATAAAGTCGCTTCAAGTCCCTCCGGGTCAAGCCTGACGTCCAAGATCTTCGCTTTCTTGTTCCCTGGCAGCCCCGCTGTCAACGCACTCCTCGCGACGCTGTATATCTCTGGGCCGCCCAATTTCTTGCTCGCATTATGCCCGCCCAACATCGATCCCTCGTCGCTGTCCGTCATGGTAGCCTTTGCCGTCGGCGGGTTGCTGGGCGACACTCTCTTCCATTTGCTGCCTGAGATCTTCCTCGGCGAGGATCCGCACGATACAGTCAAGTTTGTTATGGTGGAACCAAACAAGAACCTGCTCTTGGGGGTCGCAATCATGGCGGGGTTCATCACGTTCGTGGCCATGGACAAGGGGTTGAGGATCGCGACAGGCGGAGAGGGCGGCCACGACCATTCTCACGGCCATGCTCACGACAAGATTGAACCGAGCGCCATTGCCACAGGAGCTGAGCTGAAAGGTACATCAACACCAGTCACCTATACGCATCCAATCTCTAACACCAGACAGACTCAAACGACGGTGTCCGCGCCCGCAAGCCTGCTGCTGACCTCGCTGCTCCCGCAGACACTGCCGCTGAGCAGAAGAAAGAAATCAACCCGAGTGTGAAGCTCGGTGGCTACCTCAACCTGATCGCTGACTTCACCCACAACATCACCGATGGCTTAGCAATGAGCTCTTCCTTCTACGCGTCCCCCACCATCGGCGCGACCACAACCGTCGCCGTCTTCTTCCACGAGATACCCCACGAGGTCGGTGACTTCGCGCTGCTCATCCAGTCTGGCTTCAGCAAGCGAGCTGCCATGGGAGCACAGTTCGTCACAGCTCTGGGCGCGCTGCTCGGAACTTGCATCGGTATCGCCGTGCAGGAGCTTGGTGGGAATTCTTCTTCTAGCTCAGAAGGACCAGGACTGTTTGGCACAAGCTTGAGGTGGGGAGACATGCTGCTGCCGTTTACTGCTGGCACATTTCTTTACGTTGGGACAGTGGCCGTCATTCCGGAGCTTCTGGAGACTGGCCCTAACAAGGGCCAAGAGCTCAGAAAGACACTCACGCAGTTTGCGGCCATGTTTACTGGTGCGGGCATTATGCTTGCGTAAGTTTTTTTTTTTTGCCTTTGCCACATAGAAATGCAATGCTAACGATCACAGCATCTCCTGGTCTTGAGTCATGACCCTCAATTTGAGACGTAATGCGATCTAGACATTACGGATGGACCAACACTTCATTCGTCCAGTCTTCAAACGACTAAGACCTATTTGAATACACAGAATTCCATTGCCGGCGTAGCATTAGCATTGGGCGATCGTCATAGAAGATAGACCTTCACACTTCGAGTTGTACATAGATCCAACTCACTCTTGGCTGCTACAAATATCACGTTGGGATTGAAAGACAGTTTATGGGACGCACAGCCTGGACGCGTCTCGTCTGTCTCCTGACTCGTTCAGCAACAACAAGCTTCAATGCGCAGTATTATTTTTCGAAAAGGGCGTGATCTCATAGGAATTTCTGGATGGCATCGTCCACGATATTACGCCGTTGTCGCGAACTATTGCATATGGACGTAGCAAGTCACAGGGCGCTAAATCCTTCCCCCGTCTACTTAAGTGCGGAGGAAGCTAGAGGATCCTTCGACGCCTCTCTCGTCATTCGCACAGTACTGCCCGTCGTCGATCAACGGCTTTCCGGTGGCATAGTCAGGAGGTTTCTTATATTTGACCGAGTGTGTACGAGATGTAAGCAGACATTTAGGCCCTACGGAAGAAAAGGGAAAGGCGCGAGCAACATGAAGCGCCGGTGTTTTAGTGAGCAGATATGCTTACTTGCCGTTTTCGGTGCATATTAGCGGCAAGTTCGTCAGCAATTTTGTTGACGTTCAAGAAGCATCCACTTCGGCGGTCGCTGTGGCGATGCATCCAGATGTCCATTCTCTTTGAAAGATCGTAAAACTAGCAACTGCAACGCTATACCTCTAGACTTGCGGCCGTACGCCTTACACAAGCGAATGTACAAGCCGGGTGCATCGGCGCTCGAAATACCGAGATGATGGCAGATCGTCAAAGTATCAGTGCACGGCGCACTATTCGTCGCGGGACACGCTTGAAACGTGCAAAAATAGTCCGCGTCACCAATGCTGGCCCCCAATCCTCTTCACTAAAGCACCTCCTTATCCAATGGAACTATGTACCGAGTGCTTGGCATTTCCCTAGACCAACCGTATTCTGTTAGGCCTGCGTGTCACAGGGCGATTCCCGCTGACAGACGATCGCTGCGCAACGGTGCCCTGTCTGTACGAAGGCTGGAGGATGGCACAGTGCTGGGGTGGAGTAGCGCGGAGGAGTGTATACGAGGAGATGAGAGGCGCAGGATGTGTATAAGCTAGCGGTCGGTACTTGCCTCAGCTCGTTCACCGTCCTCTCCAGCAAAAGTGCGACCGAAAGCGATTCAGAACTAAGCAGATATTGGGTTTCGTGATTTGAGGTGGATCTGGTGGAAGAACAGCCTAGCATCCCCGCAAATACACCCGTACGGATCCGACACGACCTGTCAGCCCAGCCGAGCCACCGCACGGCTGACACCATCACCACCTCATTGTTCTTCGAGCGGCTGAAATCCTCATCGTCTCAACCCTCAACTTCTCCGCACCAATTCAAGGGTTAGCTTTGGCTTCCTTCGCACTAGGAATGAAAACCTCTACGTCTACGACATCTATCTCGAACATGCTCCGCTCTCCACGCACGCATATCACCGCCTTCCTCGTCGCTCTCGGTCTACTCGCTTTATGCTACAACATCCTCGCAACCTTCCCATCATTGACCTCAGGCCTGCGAAGTACACTCCAACACGCTTTGCCCAAGGACAACTACTGTAACAAAAACATCGGAGAGGGTGTATGCTGCGATCTCTTCATGGCCGCGGAGCCGTGCGTGGAAGCATGCAGAGAAGAGCACGTCGACCGGGAGACCTTCGTGCTGACTGATGATTTTGAAGTGTGCCAGGAGCAGTGTCTGGTAGCGTACACAGAGCAATGTACTGACGATGTCGGAAGAGAGGGCGCTGCGGGCGAAAAGACAAAACCTTGAAACATCATCTGCTGCCATGGTCATTACGATTACTACTACACATACGACAGCTATCGCCACATACTTCGACTTCGCGCATGATGGGCGTGTTATCTGGGACTGTGGCGGTGCCGGTATCCGGGGATAGGGGACTTGGCTCGGGAGCGCGGCGCGGGTATCGGCAAGGAGGCTTGGTGTACTTCGACACGGAGATTTGAACATCAGTCATCGTCTTTTTGAACCGAGGGCGAATAAAGGAAAAAACCGCCGAGTACCGAGAGAATGCTCGCGAGGCAACAGCACCACCGTTCGGGCGCGTAGAGCTAGGTTGGACCTCCATTGCGCAATGACCACTGGGGTTTTAGCCTTCGCCGCCCACAAGATGCAGGGACGACACAACTGGTATACTCGCAACGACTTTCCTCTGCGATGACCAAAGTTAGATCCCGCATCGAGCGACCGATCTATGCACGAAGCTGAAGATGCAAGGACGCGAAATGTGACGAAGAGCGCAATTGTACACTATCATTGATACCCACCTCTTTTTATGCAAACAGATACCTCACACAAAACGAACACTGCGCTTGAACCAATCCTCGGCATACCTCTGTGCTCTGTCTCAATAGTTTTTGCCCCTATCAAGTACCACATTCCTCGGAACACGTCTCCGGCCAATATCCAACATTATCCAATATTACGTGCATCCCGTCAGTGTTGATGTGTTTTTCGATGCTGAGTTATATCACAAGGTCACAAAGTTTGAACTTCGAGGAGACTCGAGTCTACGCACAACATGTACGGTCTAAACTCAGAACACTGCCCCAGCCAGGATACAACGGCATCTAGCAGTACTTTGGGGACCCCGGTTGTAATTTTTCTATGGTTACTGAGTTCTATTGGGAGTTACTCTTTCAGTGCTTTTTGGCAAGTAGCGATTGACGCAGACGATGCCATAACGAGCTAGCTAACTCTGGACCAACAGTCATCCCGACTTGCCTATCTCAACGTCATTGTCGTGGTCATTTCTGCCCTCATGTCCGTTGTCTTCGCAAGGCTGCTTCTTCTCAACATGGCGGTTCAAATGGCGATACCGGCTTCCATCTCATCATCGCTATCGTCGCTGTATCCCATGTCCTTGGCATGCTGCTTCGCTTCTGCAATCGTCTTGTCGAGGCCCACTTCCAGATTCGCCTCCGCCCTGTCCAGCACAGTACCCAAATCATCCAGAGCGTCCTTGAGATCTGAATCGTCGAGACTCTCAGACTTGATCGCAACTTGCAGCTCTTTCTCTTCTGGCTTGGCCTTGAGAGGCTTGATCTTGATGTGCGGGACTACGCGTTTGCATCCGTCGTCCTCGTGAGCGAACCTATATCCGCGCGCCTTGTGCTTGCAGGTACCGGCTTCGTGAGTTTGTCACATTACGCCCTCGCAGCTGTCGCCGCGCTTTGAGCATTCGGATCAGTCGTCGCTGTCGCTGTCGCATTTGCGCTTGTGCATGTAGCACTGCGTGCAAGGAATGCTTTGCTCGAGCTTCGGCTTCTTGGGATGAGGTTTTGGGAGACTGCCCGTCCATTCAACGCAGGAGCCACTATCAACAGCATGCAAAATGTTTATGCCTTGAGTGAGATCTGCGCTTGCCTAGACTCGTCCTCGGCGGGCTGAGCGATATTGAGCTTTGCTTGCCCAATCGTGCGATCTCAGCGTTCGCGGCTGTGAGATCCGCGTCCAACTTGTCGTTCCTGTTGATCAAGCTACGGCAGTATGCCTCGGGTTTCTCCACTTGCTCCATCGGATCGACACAGGGCACGGCGATCGGGCTCTTTACCTCGGAAAACCGCTTCTCGTTGTCGTCCATAGTGGCGATCTCGGCACAGACTGGTATCTCCGCTGGGTATTGATTCAAAGTAGAAGGTATGGAAGTGAGCGTTCGGATTATCTGTGTTTGCAGGGCGCGTGGAGACGGCACGTGCTCGGCTGTTCACTTGATGTAAGCACGCCACAGCGCGCATGTCGATGGGCTCGTGCAGGCTTCATGAATGCCGCAGCTCAATCTCCATCTATCGTGCTTTCAAACCCTACCATGAGATAAATAACGGCGCTATGTACGTCTACTCTTTCGTCGCCTCCGGCAGCGTCAACTGAGGGAGCGGCGACTTCATAGACTACCCTCCAGGTACAGAGTTGGAAGGCCGACATGTCCGGAGTGTTATCAATATGAAGTATGTGCCAATGTTGAGGTAGTGTTGTTTACATGGGCACAGTAGTACATGCGGAGCTAGTGCAGATAAGAATCGTGTAAACAGTATTCTTTACGACCCTTCAGATGTTCTTCCTCAAGCCCCACCGTGCAGGAAGGAACCTCGGTGAAAAAGAAAAGGACAAGTCGGCCTGGCTTGGTAGAAGAAGTAAAATGGATGATGAGGTGAGTGTAATGACAGATAGTAGTGTATGGAGGTGGTAGAGATGGACTAATTAAGGTATCAGAGTTCAAAGAAGTGGGGAGAAGTATCCGCAAACAGCCCACATCCATAGATCGGGCGTATCCCATTACGTGTGACTGAATAGAGGTGTGTACAGCACGTCACAGAAATGCATCCTGATTTCTCAGAATCGGGGATCACTGATACGGCGGATGCGGCTCATTGAAACGCGTCCGAGGATTGGGAGTCAATGATGCGGCTACCAGTCTGCGTCATGAGCCTTGGACTTGGACGCGTCGCAGGAATCGGGCTCGTCGCTCAAATCGGGCGCGGCTGAGATTGGTACTGAATCGGTGCGAAGAGACAAGTTGGTGAAGCGCGCAATTCGCGGGTATCATAGTAGCTGACCATGTGGTTCGTGCGGCTAGCGCCGCGCTGATGTTGTCTCGCGCACTTCCAGGGTTGCGCATGCCATCAGTGAAAGCAAACAGAAAGAGCTGTCACTTGCGCAACTGAACCATTGACTACCTGTGATAGAGGCAGCGCAACCCAGCGTGATAGCGACTCAACTCCGAGTTCCAAATTCCCTCTTCACCCAACAGGGATGATTGACAGGCGCATACGCACCGCCTCCGGAATCTCCGTCATGAACACCACGGGCAACAACAGAGCTTTCAAGCGTTGTCCGTACAGTGAGAGAGTAGCAGTTGACCAAAATGAGAAGCATGCGCCTACACCATGGATGCGCTCTACAATGAATGGCCTTGCGTTCTACCGGCATACTTTCTCACGTTACCAACTGAGGATAAGCAGGGCTGCGCCCCAAACTTCACAAGGCGTTCTCCGCTGAGCCACCTTTGAGCGTTCATACCAAACTGCGCTGCCTCAAAAGCGTAACTTCTATATGCACTGACAACAAAGTGCACAGCTCGGCTCATCTTCTTATCCGTCTGTCGTTCAAGCGTTTGGAGATGCGCTTACCGGTAATCGCAGCTAAATCCATCAAGCGATCTCATCAAACAGGCTCCTCTCGCCATGGGCCTCTTCACCTCAAACAGGAAGTCTTCGCCGTCACTCCCTATATTCGCTTTGCACCTCTCAAACTCACAAGACAAAGTGTTCAAACCAAATGATACCATCCAAGGCCATGTCACCCTTTCCACGCCGACACCCTTATTACCTCAGGCCATCGAAGTATCACTCTGGGGTCACTCCTCTGCCTGGCTGCGTACATCATCCGGCACAGGAAGTGAGACCACCTATCGCCACTATCGCGACAACGTGCCACTGTTTGATGTCACATTCAATATCTTCACCCAACCGCAGCAACTGGAGCCAGGCCAGAGCTATTCTTTTCCATTCCAATTCCGGGTACCAGAAGGCACGGGCTCGCACCGTATAGGGGGCTACAAAGACGACATGGATGCAAGATGGACCGTGCAACCGCATCATTTACCGCCGACTTTCGCCTGGGGTTCGCGACCAGATTGGCCGGACAACGCATCTGTCAGCTATGGTATCACCACACGCTTGATGTGCCCTGGCATTGGTGTAGGGAAGTACCAGGAAGAGCCTCTCTCCGCTACTTCGCCGGTCCTGTTTCAGCCTCTGAATCCCAATCTCAATGCACCTTACAGCGTCATCAGATACCCAAAACCGTGCACTCTTACCAGCTCAAGCTTGGCTGGGCGCGACCCGTCCGGTATCGGCTTCCGACAGAAGCTCCATGACAGATTCTCCTCCGGAACGCCGCAGCTGGACTTTGAGCTCGGCGTTGAGCTACCCGATCTTCTTGTTTCGGGCTCAGAGTTCGAATTTAGAACCACGTTCAACGTGCTTAAAAAGCCGCAGAACGTAGTCCAGATACCAGCAATCACTTTTAGAGTGCTTAAACTAGATTTATTGGATTTCACATTCATACGTGCAGCTCACGATAGGGCTGCCAATCATCTAATGCAAGGACACCACTTTGACGGAACGCCGTTAGATGCGCCAACGGGCCTGTTCTCAGGTTGGGAGCACACCATCTACCGCGAGAAGAAGACCACGCTGAACTCTCTTCCGGAGTCGCAGGTGGTTCAGCTCGAAGAGGTCCCGCTTCCAGTAGAGAAGAAAGGCACGGAGCAGGCCAATAGCGCGGAGGCCTGGTTCTCTGCAAGGGTACCTGGCTTCACGCCTCCGAGCTTTCAATGCTTTGCAATCTCGCGGGCATATAGAATCAAGGCGAAGATCGGGATGCATATTGGGGAGAAGAAGTTTGAACATGAGGTAGAGAGCTACGTGAGAAGTTTGGGGAGTGCAATATGAAGGATCTCGGTATACGGTCTTTTGCTGTGATTCAATGCGTGTTGAAATTGAATAGGTGCAACCCAACAACGTAAAATCCAAAGCGTGCATTCATGTTTCTCACAACATTCGCGCCCCCGCCAAGCACAAGAGTCTCACTGCCTGTGCTAATCGACTATACGCCAAGGTGCGCGCTGCTCTCCCGAACAATCACCCTCAGGCAATCGTCGACAAGGCACGTGAGCTGCGAAGGGACCTGGGCGCATTCAAAAAAACGCGATAAAGACTTTGCCGACGAGGGAGAGGGCTCCGCTAAAGAGCAGGGCAAATACGAGGACGATAAGTTTCGCTGTCTCCTTCGGTACTCTCGGCGTCAGCGGATAGGGACTGGAGGGACCGAGTGAGGATGCCGAGATCGATTCTGCTTAGATAGACAAGATCTGGATGGGTAAAGCCGTCGTAGACAAAGAGCTCATTGCAGTGGCAATATACACGAGCAGGGTTTTGAATAGCGCAAGGTAGTTGGACATCTGCGGTGTACCTATGGAATTAGTAACGCAGTCCTGGAACGATACCATCGCGAAATACTTCTCTGCGAAACAAGTAGTCATTGGGTATGCCCGGAGATTCGTACTCAACGTATACATTACCATTGTGAAATACTGACTGCCCATCTTTTTTGCTTGCAATTTCTGCTTACCTATATTGAGCAGCCAGTCACCGAAGTAGGCTGGACGGCGTGGCCTACAGAAGCGTCCACTATCCATGATCGGGATTTCTATTTAGACCGTCTCCAAGCAGTCAACTTTGTGCAGAAGACGCTGGAAGATCTCGCGCGTGTTACGAAGGTCGACCAGGTAGCGCGCGAGCTGATGGACGAGTTAGAGGAGGCCGAGGAGGAGAAGCGTAGACGGAAGGAAGCGCTTCTCGAGAGAACGGTGTATGCGATTGTAGTAGTATGTTTGAAACAATGCGCGTTAGGCACTGCATTGTCATAGCCATGACCAATGTACTTTAGTAAGGATGCAAGTGTGAGTCTATCATGAGAAGAGTGGGGTGCAGGTTTACTCATTAGCAGCATACTTGTGCTTGCTGCAAGCTACCATGTCGGGCTTGTTACTGCAAGTCCATTCTGAATGTCTTCATGGACGCCATTGGCGGTAGGTTGGTAGTATTAGTATAATCTATGAATGGATTGCTATGGATGCATTTCATGGCGTATCACGCAACCTCTGTGATCCCTGACATAAACATGGCCCAATTCAGACATTGGCCACCTCAGCAACACCTACAGTATCCACGCCATCTTGGCACTCTACTTACCACGGCTGACTACCGCACTGCTACCATCCGGCTCCTGCGTGCCACCCTTCCATTTCTCAAAAGAACTGAGTGGAATCAATTACTGTGTAATGGCCGTTTGAGTTGACACATCCGGTACTCGTAGAAGACTTGGAGCGAGGCCAGCTATTGAAGGTGTAATCGCTGTAATCATCATTGTACAAAGCGGAGCCGGAAGTGCCACAGCCCTGGAGAACGTACTGCCGATTTGAAATCGAATGGGCATCAACGAACATTCAATTATCAAGATAGGTAAAACTTTCGAACTCACCCGTTTGACTGGTAGAAAGTTTTATTTCAGGGGTTGTCGCCGGCATTCGAGATATAAGTCCACGCGCAAATATCTTTGCCGTCGATCCAGGCACATTGTAGGACTACCCTCTAAGGTTTACGTCTGTAGGTGGAAGTGCCGGTGTTGATGGTAGCGAAGGCCAGCTTGCCCATGGCGACCGCGGCGATGGTGAAAGCTGGGGTTTTGAAATGCATTGTCATGATGATTTGTGATCCTTGTGGGTTACAAGTTCTGGGGATATCTGATTTTGAGAAACCTAATCGATGGAGGAAAGAAGCGGATCGAGAGATGGCTATTTATGCTGGGCAGCTGGAGCCACTAGTGAGCGTCAACTTTGTTCTTATGATAGCTGCAGTAAGATGGAGCCAGGGAGTGATGATCAACAGCAAGAATAATTCCGTTACCTAGCTAGATGATATCGAGACTGATGGCCGACGTGATCCAAGCTACCAGAGCTGAACTTGGGATATAACTTCGTGGTGACTGCTCGGCGAAATGCTCCAATCACCATAAAGTGAGGTCAGTGAAGCGAACGCAATCTAATCGCAACCGCTGACCACCTTTGGCTCCATCATAACTGGCCCTCCCATTCCTTGACCGATAGATGCTCTGATTCTTCAATAGGGAACTCGACCATCAGCCACGTGGGTCCTCAGTGCAAATCCTAGTGCTGAGACATATCACACTAGCCACAGTACACCTGGGCGGTAAATCACACTCTTCGGGGGACTTGCAATTTCCTCGCTCCCGCCTGGCATGGCACGACTTGTCGCGGTCGCCCTCGATGGCCAACTTTCTCGGAAACAGCTGTCATCATGGATGTATGGCACCGTGGTCGATCAAGCTTTCGATCAAGCTTTCGCGTGGCCGATTAAGCTCTTTACCAAGCTCTCGCAGATCCTCGTCAAAGCTTAGTGAGAATACCCCCGAGCTCGTCCTATTCGGCTTGCTGATTGCTGAGCTAAGGAGAATCAGCATATGCCCATTGTATCGGCACAACGCTTGTCAGAGTGATGTTCTCCCAAAGCCTGCTTACGATACCTAGGTACCATGCATGGTAACATCGAAAGTCAAAATATTTCGAGCCTTCGATCGGTAAGCAAGGCTGATGATTATCGTGTGACTTCGGAGATGGTCAATCTAGTCAAAGGGCGTCGATACAAACTGCTCCTAACGATCAGCAATGATAGGACCGTGAAACAAAGGTACATGTAAGCGACGGATTTTTGTGGCTTACATCGTACAACGTCGTGCCCGAACTTTGGGCGAACAGAGTGCATGGTGGTGAGTGCTTTCAGCACATGATCGCCTCGTAAGGCATTCGATTGGGCTCTATCCATGCTGTGGGTTGGTATGATTAAGATTAGTTCGAGCAGAAATGCTGTACATAGGCTTTGAACCGCATAAACGTTGCGATAGAATGCTAGTAGACGTTTTACAGCTTGTGACCTTGACAGGGACAGCCGACGCAGGAAGGACAGTGGAGAAAAGCTTGAGCTGAGTGATGAGCGAGTGCTTCTCTGACGGTCCGTAAGCCTGCAAGGGAAGGCAGAAGCGGAGAGTGGAGGAACGCAAGGCAGACAATGTAAGCTGCCAAAAAAAAGGACGCTTGACATTGATGCGATTGGGCAAGGTACGATGATACATGCACAATGGTGTAACGTAGTCTCGGAAGAAGAGATCAACGCAATTTACGTAAGCTCACAAAGCGGTCCCTCGAGCAATGCAACGGATCACAGCGCTATTGAGCGCAGTGTCGGAAGACGTTTCTTACTAAGTCATCCCGTCACATATTACTCTTCCACAGGCTACTCGACGACCACGATAGTGCAGCTTCGTGCGCAAGTTGAGCGACAGAACGAAAGGATACAGATGATAGAAGAGAACGTGACCTTGGTAGCCACATTCGACTGGCAAATCCAGAATACCATTTTCCCACATGCACTTACACTTTCCCCCTCCATCTCGCCTTAATCCTCACGCTGAAATCTACGGGCTTAACGAACCACAAATTCATCGTCTTCCACCTCCCCCCCGGCGTCTCAAGCTCGAAATCGAACGCATCCACAATCAGCGGCAGAAGTTTAGACATTTCGAGATGCCCAATATGCCGCCCGATACAAGTCCTCGAGCCTAAGCCAAACTACCATCTCGTCAGCACACATACACACGCATACATCCTCGAACTTCGAATACTCACAGGGATATAGTGCGCCTCCATGACCTTCAGCTGCTCAGCATCCGCTTCAAGCCATCTCTCAGGCCGAAACACCTCCACATTGCTCCCCCAAATATCCGCATCATAGTGAGCAACCCATGTGTTGATCCCGACCTCCGCGCCTTCAGGGAAGTACCGTCCAGAGATCGTCGCTCCACCCTCATTAACCACCCTCCACAGCGGCAGTCCCGTCCCAGGATGCAGCCTCAGTCCCTCCTTAATACAAGCCTGCAAATATGGCATCTCCTGGCTCGCCTTGAACGTCACCCGCTCAGGGCTACACTTCCCCTCGCGTACATGCTCTTCAATCTCCTCTCTCAGCTTCCCCAGCACCCCAGGCGTCCGAATAAGATGGTACAGCACACTACTCAGACTTAGCGCTGTAGTATCCGATCCCGCAACAATGTTACTCATCGTCAGCGCGAAAACATGATAATCCGTGACCACCTCCTTGACCTCCTGCATATCCAGCATCTTATCGACAAAATCCTCGGGCTCACCCTGCGCCTTCTCTGGCCTCTTCCCCTGCGCCCGTTCCCCCCTCCGCTGCGCAAGCGCCGCACTCGCAAACCGCATCAGATATGCCCTCCCGGCCGCCCCGCTCGACGGGATGCGCTCAAGAATGGGGTACAGGTAAGGATGCAGCCACGCATACACCCCCACCAGCGTCGAGTACAGCATGCTCCTATCCAACGCGCCCATCGTATCGCCTAGGTCCCGGCCCTCATCCAGAAACCCAAAGCGCTTCCCGTAGGTGATAGCGCCGATGACATCGAAGGCGTAGCACTGGAGCCAGTGTCCCATATCCACCGCCTGCCCGCCCGCCATCTCTTTCAATCTCCGCGCAAACACGTCCGCGCAGTCGTCGACATACGCTTCGTACGACAGCAGCGCGCTCATCGCGTACAGCCCCGCATACACCCGGCGCGACTCGGCATGTCTTTTGATATTCCGGTCGGTGAATACGGTCCAGCGGTCCGGCGACGGGTGTTTCCATCCCTCATACCACGCGTTCTTGGGCATCTTGCTGCCGATGCCGTAGACGGCTTTGTCGGGGGATTTGATGCTGTACATGTCTGGTGCGAGGCGCACGATGGGCGCAAAGTGCTCGCCGGGCCGGGCGTGCTTGCGGTGGAGCGCGATGGCATGGCGTTCGTGCGAGCCGGTGTAGATGTTGGAGAGGTACCAGAGCTTTGTGAAGCGCGCGGGGAAGGGGCCAGGGATGTCTCGCAGTGGGTCGGTCAAGATGGAGTAGATGCCGTAGAGGAGGCGGAGTACTACGGCTGCGAGGGCTAAGTAGATAATCCACATTTTTATAGCTGTTGCGCGAATCTGTAGAATCGAGCTTGGACTGGCACCTCCTGGAGGTTTTATAGAGCTACATATTGTGCTAAGCAACTGCCGCTCTGCTAACCTCGGTGTAGAATAAATCCGTCCAAGATGACGAAAGATAAGCCCCGCCTCGGCCGACTTGTAACCACAGCGAAGACTGGAGAAGGTAAGGTGCGACATTTAGTGTACGATCGTGCATATTTCCTCAATCCGAGAGTTGCTGCCGTGAAGAGCTAGGCAAGCTAACCCCACGTCCCGGTATGCAAGAAGGCATTAGCTGCAGTCTGCAGAAGTGGAGGTTCAACACCGGACCGATTCGTCGGAAGGAGCTACACATGACGGTTGACCATGATATGGAATATTAGAGCAGAACACACGTGATTGCGAGGTAGAGGCGGTCGTGGAACTGATAAATGATGTGTATGGATGTTGTATCGATATGTTCTATTCATCCACTGCCCGGCCGCAGGACTAATGCCAGTTAGAGTGGAACTCTGTCTCCGAACGCCGCAGTATGCCCTTCTGTCCCAAATCCAAGAACTCCGCCAACCTGCTCAAGCTTCCCAAGCCTCGAACGCCTACTTTTGGTCTAAACGCTAAACAAAATCTCGTTCCACAGTGTAGACTATCACCGTCCGCTTTCTGCTCCCGCATCATTAAGCCTGCCTTTTCGTAACCTTTAGGTGCTTCTCTATACTTCCCTTCTTCGCTTTGCTCTCGACGTGCTCCGCTGTACTGAGACTGCTGTAGAAAGCTCGCACCTTCTCGTGCGCCATGACCTTGCTCGCATCGAAGCGCATGACCTGCAGACCAGCCATGTTCGTTGCACGCGAAAGGGCCACGTATGCTTGTCCCTTCTCAAAGACTCTGCCCAAATCAACGCGTACACGTTCAAGTGTTTGACCTTGCGCTTTGTGAATGGACAGGGCCCACGCAAGGATGAGCGGAATCTGGTCGCGGGATGCCTGGACCTCACCGTTGGGTAGTTCGATCTTCCAGGACTCGCGCTTGCAGAGAAGGTCGCGAGTCGTGCCGTCGGAGATGGCAAAGCGGACGACAGGGTACAATTGTGCTGTGTTGACGCCGAGAGTCTTTTCCTTGAGCTTTTTGAGCGCGTCAAGCTCAGTCGTGTTGTGTGCGCCTTCCAGGAAAGCATCTTCGTTCTCCTTGTAGAACGCAAACATCTGTTCCGTCATGAAACCTGTAACCTTGCCCAAAGAACCGTTTACGAGGGTATCATCCATGTTCTTGACCAGCATAACTTGGGCGCCTTTCTTTAGATAGATATTCGCAGGCACCATACAGCTTTGAAGAAGCTTGTCGCGCTTCTCCTTGTCTGTCACAGTGCCGCCATCGCGGGACTCGAACTCGTATATTTGGCCTTGAAGCTGGTTCATACGGGCTTGGTTCGCACGCTCGACTTCCTGCCGCGTCGGGAACAGCTCAGTGGCTTCGATGTTATCTTCGGATGCCGGAAGCGGGCGGTCGAGTTGTCGGAATTTTGCGATCGAAGCGGGAGTTAGGCGACCTTCGCGCATCTCGTTGAGCATTCCAGCAAAGACAGGATCCTTTTGACGGAAGACGTGAGTGAGGCCGATCGTGTGCTCAATCGAGGTGGTCCATGTTCCAGCGTCGAAGGCAAAACGAGCCGCCTTTCCGTATTCGGGGACTGGTGGAAGCTGGAAAAAATCGCCGGTGATGATGAGTTGAATGCCGCCGAAGGGTCGGCCGTTGTTGCGGATAGTTCTCGCGATCTGTTCTAGCTTGTCGAAGAGATCTCCGTCAACCATGGATACTTCGTCAATAACAAGAACCTTGGTACGCATCCACCGCTGCTTTGCTTTTGCATTTCGTCTGATCTTTTTGACAAGATCTTCCACAGGTTCCTTCCCGAGACCGATACCAGAGAAGCTGTGCAAAGTCACACCTCCGATGTTACACGCGGCTAAGCCTGTCGATGCTGTGACAGCCACCCGATCGGACTCACGGACGTATTTTCGCCGCAGGCCTGCGATGATTTCCCGTAGCAGAACGGATTTACCAGTACCTTTTAATTTGTAAGCGGCAGTGAATGCAACCAGGATTTGGAACTTACCTGCAGAGCCTGTAAAGAACACACTCTTCTTATTTTCGACGACCATGTTGAGCACATGCTGTTGCTCCTCACTTAGAAATATGCGGTGCAGGGTAGTCTTCTTCTTCCTTTTAATGGCGGCCTTGACATCGTCGTCAGTGCTGTCGTTGACTTTGGCAGCCACAGCCTTCTTATGTGCTTCCCTTAGCGTCTTCTGTTGTTGCTTGATCGCACTCTGGGTTGTGTTCCAAGGGTAGTCCGGTTTGGACGCCTTTGGTGCGGGGGTTGCCGCCAAGGTAGATTCCGTTGACCTCCGCTTCTTCGGTCTCGCTATTTCTCGTTCTTCCTCTATTTCTTCCTTAATAGCTTCCGTCTTGGCTTGACTGGCGGTTTGCAGCCAAGGTAGCGTGCGGCGTTTCGTAGGTGCTGGGATCTGTTGCGGTTTCGGCGGGGTCTTGAAGTGTTCTGGCGGGGAGGACGACCAGGGTATCGGTTGACTACTCTTCGGTTCTTGTTTTGTGACAGGTGTCGTCCGCGCCGAGGCCGAGTGGTAAGCCGAGTCGACGGTGCTGGTGTGCGGAAGGGATGGATATTGTACCGTAGTCTTCGTCGCGGGGTCCTCTACATCGAGATCGATGTCGCTGTCGAAGTCGTTCTCATCGAAGAGCACGGCCGAGAGCGGGACCGACTGGCCAGTCTTGTTGTTGTGAAACGAGGAAGGGATGTCGTTTTCGAAATCGGATATGCTGAGCGAGGGGTAGCCGAAGGCATCTTCCTGTGAGTCCAACGCTTTCGCAAGCCCGCTCGACGTCCTCTTTATGCCGTGCGCTTGCCCCGAATTCCGCCTTTCTGAGTTGTGTTTCGGCACGTTGCCCGACAATGTCGATAGTGGACGCGTCCCATTCGGTCTCTGTGCACCTTGTGAGCCCTTGAACGCTCCCGCAATGCTCTGCTGTTTCTGCTGGGTGGCAAGCGTAGGCGTCTGCGCCGGCGCCGCTGCGCTGTGGTTCTTGACGGCGGCTTTTAACATTGCTTCGGCAGTGGAGAGCGTGCGTGAAGCAAGGCAGCCGATGCGTGCGGATTGAGGCTGTCGAAGTGCGCGCCGGTACGGCAGGTGCGGAGGCCGCGACGTTTTTACGGAGGTGAATCGCAATGACGCGCCCAAACGGAAAAGAGCGACGAGCATACAGCAAGCTATGGCCGCGACAATAAAGGAAAGAAGTAGAGAAAGTGCATCCAGGAGCGGCGCGCGCGTGCACTAGCGGAGTACCGATCCTGGTGTAACAACGCGTTAGTTAAGACGCGAGGTGTGGTGCGCGCGTCCGAGCGTTGGTGGGACTGGTAATCACGTGCATCTGCCAGCCCGCCGCTTAGGTAGCTCCACATCCTCACGCTGTCTCAGTCACTGTACGATAAATACGCGGACATGTTGACTCGTGAGCAGGAGGCAGCAGGATCGGGAAATACCTGGTCTCTAATGCTGCTATCGTACAACTTGCCACCACGACAATCAGCGAAAAGAACCAGATTGCACTAAGTGCACTACCATGATAGGTACAATGTGATCCCTTCCAAGGCTGGCAACAGACTACGATTCTTTCTTACGTACAACAAACACCTTTTGGGGCCGACCGCCAGCACAGCCGAGGCAAACTAAACATTTCGATTGATGGAAGAGAGGAGATGCATGCTTCGTGATGTATGGGTATGGGTATGCCGCGAATGACGCCAAAGCAACAACACGACCACGGGTAGACAACTGAGGAAACGCAACTCTTTTCATCGTTCGTCGTCATCAAAACAAGCAGATAGGTAAGAGGGTAGATAAGAAAGGACATTGCAGATGCAAAGCGCAAGGAGATTCATTAAAGAAATTGAAATCCAAATCCGACAACACGCTCACCCACACGTGGGGAGGTCCCGCCAATGCGGACATGGGAACACGTACATATGGGCAACTTGTACGCCCGACCAACATGACCCAAACCAGACAGAAGCCTTTTCAAAGACGGCATGACACCCAAAATTCTCGCGCAAACTGACAGAGCTGTTTTTGATGGAACCGAGAACAGAATGATCGCATGACATGAGCCCGTGGAGACATGATGGGAATGATAGGATAAACGTCCAAATAGGTGGAAATAAAGGTGCTATCCAACAAAGTAGGAAGCGCCAATTTAGACTGCCAGGCATGTCGTGAAGATAAAACAGCGCACACGAGAGAGGAATGTATGGGTACCCACGAGCAAGCGGCTAGGGTGCCTAGCCCTGGTAGCCGCCGAAGCCGTTCTGGTTGAAGTTGCCCTGTGGCTGCTGGCCCCATTGTTGCTGGGGTGGCTGTCCGCCGCGGCCGGCGTTGTAGCCGCCCGCGCTACCGGGCATCTGCTGGTAAGGCTGTGCCATGCCAGGTCCGCCGAAACCAGCCTGGTTCTGGGCGAAGGGCTGTCCGCCGGGGCTTGGACCTGCCCGAGCATTAGATTGTGCCTTGCGATATCTGAGCTTCCTTTGGTGGCGCTCACCTTGGGGTGACATAGGACCCCCTGGTCCCGCACCATACTGCGGGAAGTACTGGCTTGGAGTCTGCGGGTAAGCCGAGTTGGGGCCCGCCTGGGGCGAGTAGCCATCGAACTGGCCAGTCGGCGGGCGGTCTTTGCCCCACTAGAATCCACATGTGAGCCGACTGAGGAGGGGGAAAGTGGAAAGAAGAAACCTACGCTGCACTTGAGAGGTCGGCCGTTGACGTTGTAGCCATTGAGTTGGCAGATGGCCATGGCGGCGTTCTCATGTGTGTCCATCTTGATGAAGGCAAAGCCGCGGTCGGACTGGAAACGGGTCTCGGTCACGTAACCGAAGTTCTGGAACAGAGGCACGAGGTCGGACTGGGAGGTGTAAGGAGTGAGATTGCCAACGTAGCAAGTAGTCTGCCACTGCGGGGTTTGCTGCACGACCATGTCGTAGCTCTGCACGCCGTGGGTAGGGAAATGATGGTGTCCGAAAGGAGTGGTCGGCGTCATGCCCATGGATGCCATGGCCTGCTGCTGGGAGATGGAAGGCTGGCCCTTCTGGTTCGCCCAGTTGCAGCGAATGGCGCGGGAACCGAGCCACTCGCCGTCCATGGAGCTAAGCGCTCGCTCGGCATCAGCGCGGTCGCGGAAAGCGACGAAACCGTAGCCGCGCGACCTGCCCGTCTTCATATCCCACATGACGCGCGCCTCGGAGACAGGGCCAAAGGTGGAGAAAGCTTGGAGAAGGACCTCGTCGTTGACCTCGTTGGACAGATCGCCGACGAAGATGTGGAAGTGGTTCGAGGTGTCTTCCTTGGCCGTGTTGTTGGACTGGTAGGCCCAGTTGACGCGGATTTCCTGCCCCTGTCAGCATGGCGCGGGGCAATCGCGGGGGCTGCAAACTGTACGTACGTTGTTGTGGACACGGCGGCCGTTGAGGGTCTGCATTGCGCGTTCTGCGGCGGCGGGGTCGTCAAATTCCACAAAGCCGTAGTTGAAGCCTTTTTGACTGAACTGTACGCCAATATTAGTCTCGACAGCCTATGGGGTCTTGTTAGTCGATTCGGCGCTACCGGCGCGTGGCCGGGGCAACCGCTGGTAAAGGTAGAATTACACTAACGTTCTTGTCTGGGATGATTTTCACGCTCTGGACGTGGCCCGTGGTTTCGAAGATCTGGCGCAGGACATCCTCGGTCACACGAGGGTCCAAACCGCCCACGTACAAGGCTCTTTTGTTGGGCTCGGGGGCCGCGCGACGGGGCACGTAGCCCGCGCCGCCACTGGTGGGTGACATGGGGTTTCCGCTCATGGGCGAGCTGATGGCCGTGGGGATCGGGTTCGTGTTCTGCGGGATGATGACGGGCGCCAGCGGCGGGGGAGGCATGTGCTGCTGGGGCTGGCCTTGACCCGGGGCACCGCCATCGTAGCCAGGGGCGCCGGCAGAGGCAGACGGCGGTTGCATCTGGGATTGCGCGGCTTGGGCGTCGGCCATGGTAATTATTCTAGGAGCGACACGGAGAGGCGCGGCAAGGCTGAGGCAGCGGGGGGTCGAAGGTCGTCAGGCGCAAGCGAGATACAGGGCGACGCTGGGTCTACGGTGTGCGAGGCACGCGACGGCGGACGTGGGCACGCGCGGGGGAAGAGGGCCTGGGACGGCACAAGGCAGGCGGCAAGGAAAGTAGGCGCAAGAGGGAGGCGCGACCGACAAGAGACTCGAATGCGGAAGGAAAGAGAAAGAGAAATAGGAAAGGGCGCAGGAAGACAAGAAAGCGACACCGACACCAAAGGACGATGATTCTTGGGCAGCCTTGGTCCACTGTGGGGTGAGGGAGGAGAGGAGGGAGGTCGAAGTCTGCGAATCTTTAGGGTGACAGCCAGCGCTAAACCCCTACGGCCCGCTGCAGCCTTGGGCCGTGCAAAATACAGGCGTGCAGGGTGCGCCGATCGAGGACATGGATGCCGGCATCCACTGCTTGCTGTGCCGGCACGCCCCGCCCACGGCTCGCCGACGGGTGCTGGTGCAAGCGCCGGCGAGGGATGGCGCGCCTGCGGACCGCTCTGCAGGCCTCGACGAGGTGCGGAGCGGTGCAGCCAGCGCGAGGTGCCAGCCCTACGTGACGCGGGCGCGGTTTTGCGGCCTCGAAGGGGGTGCTGATGCACGGGAGCGCTTAGTTAGCGGCCTGCGCAGCTTTAGCCTGGTCCCTCGTTCTGTCGCTTGCTGCGCCCGAAGCCGTCAAGCCGCCGCCGCCTGTCGCAGTCCAGTTCCGCGCGCCTTGAGCCCTGCGCTGCCCTGCCTCGCCTTGCCTTGCAGCGCGTCTGTCCTGTCCTGGGCACCCCGCTCCCGCTCCCGCGACAGCAGCGACAACGACACCGGTGGCAGCGCCGTCGAGCATGGCTACCAATGCGCCCGCACAGGGCCACGCCCCGCCAGAGCCGCAGAAGCAGGCCGGCCCGCCGCATCCTCTCGAGAACATGCAGGCCATGATGAACCTCGTCGTACGTCCCGTGCCCGCATGCCGCTCCCCAGAGTCCGCCCTGACGCGTCTGCAGCTCATCACCAGCGGCCGCTACATGAAGACGGCGAAGCATGCGCCCGCCGAGTCGCCCAAGATGCAGTTCCAGCTCAAGCGCGCCGTCTTCGCCGGCAGCGAGCGCTTCCACGACTCGCTCGACGAGCTCGAAAATGAGATCCGCCACGCGCAGGCCGTCTTGCGCCGCGACCTCGCCCAGATGCGCGCCCAGAGGAAGGAGAAGGAAGCTGCCGCCAAGCAAAAGGAAGCAGAGCAGGCGCGGTTGGCGACCGAGTCCAAGAGCATTCCACCGCCCCCGAGCGAGGAAGTCGCACCGCCAGCGTCGCCTACGCCCGTCAAAGCCGAGCCCGCAGAGCCCATCAAAGTCGAGCCTGAGCCAGACAAGGAGCCCACGCCCAAGGCTCCGACTCCTCCTGCAGACCCAGACGTGTCCATGGAGAACACGGACAGCCTTGGCGGCATGCAAGAGAGCGAATTTGACTTCGACGCTGTGTTCGGGGACAGCGCCATGGACACTTCAGGCGACGCCGGGAACGAGCACGGCGACCTGAACTTGGACGCGGGTGCCGACCTCGATTTCACGCTAGATGAGCAGCCATCCGACGGGCTCCTGCGGGGCCTCGAAGACTTTGCCAAAGGCGGGACCGACGACATCGTGGCCCAGAACAATGCCTCAGCCCTCGATCTTGACGACTTCAACATGACGGACATGCCCGACTTGAATGAAAGTGCACCACCCCAGGAGCCCATCACAGCCTCAGCCACGACCGAGACTACGAAGCAGGACACCGCGGGTCAGGAAACCACTACCAATAGCGAGCTAAACCTCGACACCATGACTGTTGACAATCTCGATGATCTGTTCAACTTGGACGACTACGAGAACCCAGAAGCCACTCAGTTCGACGACGCTTTCATTGGCTTTGACGACTAGACTAAAGGTTTTGGCCCATTGGCGCCTTCCAAAACCCCACACGACCAACGCCCCAAGACCTCGCGGTGGGCATCCTGCCATTTCTAACCATCCGTCTTACTTGATTTGCATTTTCTGTACAGCCGTCTACACCAGCTATTTACATCCAACAAGAGGCGTTTTGGGATCTTTGCGGGCCATGATACCCCCAGCGAGCCGGGCATGCTCCGCACCATCTATATAAACACATATGATGAGCTCAATATAAGTACTATCAGGTGATGTGATCCTGTCCTGCCGGCCTGTGTCCCACCCGCATATTTTCTATGCCAAAAAATAAAATGAAAAAAAATCATCGCCTAGTAATATAAGTGATGCGTCCATTGTACGCCACGTCGCTGACACCACCCGCGCAGCCACACTCAGGATATTGTCGTCCTACCTATTCCCCTAGTCTTCTCACCCGAGACGCGCTTCTTCCACGTAGAGACCTCCGTCCATCCATTCGAACGTAATTTTCCTTCTCACCCGACCATTTAGAAACTCAAAAACCCCCCAAAAGGAAATGGCAGCGAAAGAGACTGGTTTCCCCGAACTCCCCTGAACAAATCATGGGTGCTTTGCGTCTGTACCAGAAACGAAGCGCTGCGTCCACTTGGCCAATGTCTGGCATGTCTCGCGCTATCACAGTGGTCTTTTGCCAAATGAGCTTGGAGATTGCAGATCCTTTCACGTCAAGTCTCAACGTAACGATAATGTTTGAAGCGCTAGCGACGCATTCATTCATAACTATCTATCTGAGTCGCCGGGTCCTTCCCTTCGCTGCGGCTCATCTCGCCATGTATAATACATTCATGCTTCGTTGCCTCATGCAGTGCCATGCCACGCATTATAGTTCATGCCACGCTCTTCAATGCCGTAAAACGAAACGCTTGGTCGGCTCAAAATGCGGAACATCGACCCATTACTACTCAAACACAAACCACTAGAAGAGCGGTTCAAAACAAAAAGGGGTATATGTGGAGAATCGTGATTACACCGTGTTCAAGTCGTCAGGAGTAGGAGCTGAAGCTGCCGCCGGCGTCTGTTGTGCTGCACGAGCATTCTCCATGTTGGCATCCATGGCTTTAGGGGTGATCGCTTCTTGCTTGACGTCGGATCCAGAGACTTCTACCATGTCGTCGTTGGTTATCGGTGGTGACTGCGCCGCGGCCGTCATAGCCTCATCCCCGGAAGGAGTTCGTTCAGCAGATTCCCCGATTGCTTCGTTTGGCTTCGGGCCAACCGGTCCTGTAACGGCCTCAAGTGCAGGATCTACAGGTATGCTGGATTGCCTGACTGGCTGTGCCGTCATGTCCTCGACCACGGAAGGGTTTCGCCCAGTGACTTCCTTGACTACTTCATGTGCCTTTGGTCCAACCGGTACCCTAACGGCCTCAAGTGCAGGATCCACGGGTATGCTGGGTTGCCTGGCTGGTTGCATCGGTTGCTGTCGCGGCTGCCAGGGTGCATTGACGCTAAATGCAGGCGTCTTCGGTTGCTCATCCTCGACAGGAGTGCACTCTTCCTCAAGACCAGCTCCCACGCATCGTCCGCAAGGGTGTCCCCGATCGCAACCCTTCTTCTTTTCTTTGCATCGTCGGCAAGGACGCTTTGGCCTTGCATCATATTCACCGGTCGCAGTAAATGGTGCACGGGTGAATGGTGGAGGAACGAGGTCTGGACGGGTTTCCAAGGGTTTGGCTGGTACTGGTATAGCCGCAGGTGCAGCCGCTGGAACGAGATCTATTCGACTTTCCAAAGGCTCAATTGGTGCGGGTATAGCCGTTTGGGCGGGCTTTGCAACAGTTTCTGGCTGTGGCTCAACAGATGCAGCTTGCTCCTGTACAGTTGCTCTCGATGTCTGCTCTTCAGGATTCACATTCCCTACCACCTCTTCGATCATCGAAGTGAAATCGAGGCTGATACCATTGATCGTGAGTATTTTCGGGGTAGCGTTGCCGTTCTGCGCATCGCTCTGCTGCTCATCAGCAGGCGCATCGGACATTGCTACGTCGTTCACGTCGAAGATGCTTGCACCACTCCATAAGCCAACTGTGCTTGTGTTCGGATCTTCGAAGACGGAGAAGTCAAAGCTCTTTGGTGGAGAGCTGCTGGGTACCGGTAAATCGCTAGACAGCGAGTCGTTCTGCAGGAAATCGCCAAAGTGCAGGACACCACCACGGCCTGGTGTAAAACTCGCGAAAGCGGACATATCAAAGTTTTGTGATGGGGATCCAGAAATCATACTATCAGAGAGCAAGTCATTCAGTTGCCGGGTGAAGGGAGTTTCTGGTGCTATCGTTGCATTTTTTCCGGTGCCTCTAGGGGTTCGAGAGGACCTCGAAGGTGTTGTCAAACTTAGATCGACGTAGCGCATTGGTGTGAGCGGGACACGCTGGCGTGAACCAGGTGTGGGTGTCTTCAGAAGATCTTCCAAAGATGAGCACTTGGAAGGAGTTATCTTGGGCGACTCAAACAGGTGTGCCAAATCATCATCTTCGGTGCCAGCTGTTGGTGGACAATTCTCCTTATCCCCGTCCTCAACGGCTACGTTCTGGTCATGCATGGGAGCTTTTGTTGTTTTCAATGAATTTGATCGTGGGGACACTGAGCTTGCCGAGGTGTTGTCTGCGAGCGACTTCACCTCGCCAGGTCCACGAGGTGATGGAAAGAGTAGCCGGCGCGTAGGTCTGGGTGTTAGATCGCCATCCACACTGATAGGAGTATCCTTGCTCCCACTGCGTACGCCAAGTGGGCTAGACTGGAACGCTCGCTCAAGAGCAGCACGTGCCGTAGGTTCGTCAAGCCTCTCAGAGCGCGTTTGCAAAACGGGCTGCATCTGGATGTCATTGGTGCCGTCCAGTGCAGGAAGAGATTCTGCCTCAATTTGTGAGTCGAACATGCCGAGGTCGGACTCCGGCACGACTGCATCGGAAGTGAAAAGGTCGGTATCAACCTTGGTTTTCTTGATCCTTCTGCGCTTCTTCGTCTGGGCTGCACACAGTTGTGCCCGATTCTTTCCCCACACTTCCTGTGGCCGCATTTCATTCTTCTTCGATAACCATAATCCGCAAGGGTTGCAGAGGGTGAGAGTGGTAAAGAGGTCCGCCTCTGTCCCGTCAGGGTTCAAGCCATTCTTGAATATGCGGTAGTGAGGTGCTCCTTCGTGGTCAGCTGGATTTAGGACTTCGTATGCTACGATAGCGTGGCCTTCCGATGACAGTTTGATATTGCGAGGGGTTCCTTTCACAACCCGTGTGTGAGCTCGCCTCCAAGCGGGGGTCTCGATCTGGCCACAGTTGTTGCAGAAAGTGGGCAATTGGCCTTTGGTGATAGCTTGCTCCAACTTTTCCTCAATCCTTTCTGTTTGTCGTTTCGTCTGTCGTGTTGCACCAGAGCCGCTTCGTGGTAGATTTGGCCTCGCCTCATCAGGACCAGCAGGGTCGGACGTAGGCTCACCAGCCCATGTTTGCGACCTTGCCAATCCTCGAGCTGACTTGGGTAGAGGCTTAGGAAGGCTCGGGGTCCCGATACGAAGATCCGGTTGTCGAATTGAGGACAATGTTGTGGTTGTATCTGCTGGCGGTGATGGACCAATCTGGGAATCGCCAGAAGGCCCAATCTCGCCTGGAGGCATGTCCAGGTTGGCTTGGGGAACTTCGATACTCTGTGATACACCATCGCTCGTTCCCAAATGATTCAAGAAATGGTTCAGTAATTCGGGGTCTATCGGCAACAATTCCGGTTCATTCTTCTTCTTGCCGGGTCCTAGTCGACCAGGACGTAATTCAGAGGTCGGAAGCAGATTGCTAGGCCCTGGGTGGATCTCGGACCAAGCACGTTTCGAAGAGTCTCTTTTCTTTCGCGTCCGCACCTCCGGGACCGCCGCAGGCGTACTGTTGTCATATTCTTTTCTCCCTTCTTCGTTGTGAACACTTGTCATATCACTTGCGAAACCAGAATCATGGGGAGGAGGCAGCATGGGCAATTCCGGACTGGAGGGAGCGGATGAAGCGGTGTGCTCAGGAAGCATGGGTGGCGAAGAGGGCATGTTTGGAGGAGTGTCTGAAGGACTATCACCTTTGCCATCGTCAGGTGACTCTATCGCGTTGTCCGAGAAGATGCCGCTGTCATAAGGCGACACGTAGGGACGCGTCTCTTCCATTGACGCATTCCGTAACAGGCTAGGAGCTGGAACGCGGGATCCGATCGAAAGGGAACCAGCATGGCGTGGACGTGGTGTGGGCGCACGGGGTACTTGTTCGGCGGACACGGCAGTGCTCGCATTCAAGGGTACTGGACGGTGGAGGCGCACAGATGCTGCAGTGCTAGCAGTAACCCGCAGCGACTCGATATTGGGACCTAAAGCTGTCTTCTTTGGTCTCTTCGCTTTCGTCACTCGAGCCCTCTTCTTAGGTGGACCCTCTTCTGTTTGTTCTGGAACATGCTCGGGAGCGGACGGCCAGTACGGCGAATGTGCGGCAGACTCGCTATGGAAAGATGCTTGAGAAGCGGGCCGATATTCTGGGTGGGGTTGGTATGGGTACGCAGAAACCGTGCTCATGGCGGGACTGGACGCTCGTGTGTCGTGCGCGCCGAAAGACAGGCGATGATGCCCTTGAAATGAGTTGTTCCTTATCAACTCGTTGAAAGATTCGATCGCATTGGTGGTCATGCTGTCTGTCATTGATTGGGCATTCGGTTGTACAGGCTGGGCCAGTTGACTGATGGCTGGGTTCGCTTTGAGAAACTCGGCCCACTCCTTGTAGTTCATTCCTTCGGGCATGATCTTGCTCAGGCTGTGATAACGTTCCATGTTTTCCACGTACTCGCTTTGCATGCAGGTCGGAACAGGGACGAGCTTAAGCTTGACCTCCAGCGTCTCCTTGACACCGTTTGAAAAGAGGCCCAGGATGTTCTTGCAAACGCGACCGGTCACCATGGTCTTTGATTCCTCGGCTGGGGCATTGGGGGTTGTCGAGGCAGAGGCAAGGATCCATGATAGCATGCCTTGCCCAACAAGGGGCGTTTCGTATTCGGAAAAGTCGTACGCGTAAACGGTGAAATCATGGCCGAGCCTGGCAACGAGTTCCGGACTGAAGGCGAAGTGTGAGCCTCTGTTTCGGCTGTACATGTTCGAATTGCACGACCTACCTGGCTGACACGATGGCCTGGATGCATGTCTTGAGCTCGATGACGCCGATTTGAGTCGTCTCGTCTAAGGACACAGTCGGGATGCTCAGCGCGTTGGGCAAGCGGGCGAGGCAATTTGATTTGTTCTGGTCGTCGAATGTGTATAGTACCTTGACTGCAGGCGGGTCAGTTAAACGCTACCTCACGGTTGCCTGGTCGGTGGTGCTTGCCTCGCATCAGCCGTTGCGGGATGTCGGTCGTGCCTTCCATGTCGATGTCGGCGGCAGCGTGTGGAGCGGCAGCACCCTCAGCACCTGGAGACGGTGTCGACATGGCTGCCGACGCGAGGAACGACGGTCCTGAGCAGGTGCGGTGAGCGAAGGGGAGTCGGAGATGTGGAGACGTCGAGATGTCGCGGCAGGTGGTCAGTGTTGGCGTGTATCGCGATCGGCTCGGCGTGGCTGGCAAGCACTGCCATGGGTCGCGAAGACGCGTTGTTGAACGCACGCGAGCTAGAAAAAGACGGCCACGACCGTCGGATAGGGACCGAATTCAAGATCAGTGCCTCCGTGCAGCTGGTTCCAGGTCCCAACGACCCAGTTGTGCGAGGAGGGGAGGAAAAGCGCGTCATACAAGCGCCTGAGCGCGCGATGTGAGGTGCAATGGTGGTGAGCTTGGACGCTTTCAAGATGGGCAGCTCGTCCTCGAGTTCTGAACGCGTTGATTGGCTCGGTGGCTGCTTGCGCCAAGCCGCCCGCCCAAATGTTCCCACTCGCGCAAACCTCCGTCCATCGCTGATACACTTGCCCTCCTCTATTGCCGTTGCCGTGGTGTCACCCGCTCAGATCTCTCACCGAGTCAATTCTCTCTGGCCCGTGCCGCGCCTTTACTCGGACATCTTCCCTCCCGGGCACCGTTTACGCACGCAATTGTCCTAGGCAGCACTGCGACACGTGCAGCAGGATCAAAAACGTCGACGCCGCAGCTTCACTTCGGCCCCTCATCCCAAGTACATCCACACACGCAAAATGGTGGACGCAAAGCTTCAGTATGTCATCTAGTGTGCCTCCGAATACGATTAAGCTAACAATGTACAGGGAGCTCATCTCCAAGCCGCGCGCCGAGTTGACGTACGTGTTGCATCCACCTCCATGCTCGCTCAGTTTGCGCTAACCTTGCTTGCAGCGAGTACGAAGTCGCCCAAGTCGAGGAACACGAACTCACCACCGGCCCTCTCTCCATCCTGCAGACCGCGGTCCGCACGCGCACCCAAGTACTCATCTCCTGCCGCAACAACCGCAAGCTGCTCGCCCGCGTAAAGGCTTTCGATCGTCACTGCAACATGGTACTGGAGAACGCAAAAGAGATGTGGACAGAGACACCCCGGCTGGCAAATGGACAGCTCGGTCGCAAGGTCAACAAAGACCGGTTCATTAGCAAGATGTTCTTGCGCGGCGACTCAGTCATTCTCGTTTTGCTCAGTTAAGATACCAGTGGAGATCGCTTGGGGTCACGATAGGAGGGACTGGATTCCATTACGACAAAAAGGAGTTTTGGCCCTAAAAATACAAGACGGCCGCGCCGTCGGCAATGCATCTTACGGTTCTTCACTTATTCAATCCCTCATTGAGGCCCAGTAACAGCTCCGCAAGACCGTGCGCACCGGGATCTGGCACGTTCTCCCAGCCCTCCCCGCCGACGTATACCGTTCGTCCAAGACTGGCTTTCATCCCTTTTGTACCTTGCGCTCCCTGGTCCGCCGCTTTGGCAGCTGAATCTACGTTTCCTGTTTTCGAGAGTGTGTCCACAAACGGATAAAGCGCATCTATCAGTGTTCGGTCTCCTGGTTTGGCAGGCGTGTATTTTCCCAAAGCCTGCAAGGAGGATTCGAGCGCTTTTGCCCATATCTGAGGCGTGATTGGTGCTGGCGATGAGGGCGAATTTTGTCGCAGGCCATGGGCAAGCGCGTTCAAGAAGATGGCGTAAATGGCACCGGAAGTTCCGTCCATGGCCAATTCGACGACCTGAATAACGTTTTGCAAGAAAATTAGAGGATCCTCAGTCTGCTTCGTCCGATCCAACATTTGCAAAATGGCTGCTTCCAGTTAGTGACACAACATGAAGGAGCGCGAATCGACGTACCTTCAGCGCCTCTTTTCAATCCTATTCCGCAGTCTCCATCTCCGACAATAGTGTCGTAATTTGTGACGTCGGGCTCTGCGGCTATGAGTCTCTGCAAGGCAGTGACCAACGCCGACTTCGTGAAGTCATAGTCCACTGACAATGTTAGTTCGTCTTCGATTGCTTGTGAAAATGTGCTCACATCGCAGATTACTTGGCTCCACTTCCTCCTCGTCGGAGCCTCGCCTTGCCTTTGCCAGGTCAGCACCTTTCGCCCATGCGTCGCCGGTTACCGCAGCAGCCCAGCCAGTAGCCTCCGCGGGTGCATCTAGCAACTTGACCATCGACTTTTCATCGCCCAACCCAGTGTCCGTGACCTTGAGTAGACTGATGCTGAAGCCTAGGCCATTTAGGCTGGTCATGTACGTGCCTGACAGGATCCGGACAGGCTTGATTTTCCAGTCATCAGCCAGCTGCTCCACAACTTCGTTGGTAATACCTCCTAATTCTAGCACGCTCACCCCACCCAGATTGTTGACTAGCAGGACAAATTCATCCTCGTCAGAGATGTCCAAGAAGTTTCGGTCCTTGTCCGACTTGTCCAAACAGTACGACAGCATGGTCTTCACGAGTTCTGGCAGATCAGTCGTCCTCCGCTCAGACCCTGGCTCGTTGTGAATGCCCATCCCGATCTCGATCTCCGACTCTTTCAGCTCATCTTCCCCGCCATCCGTCTTGCGCCCCGGGACGTGGACGTGCGACAAAGACGAACCAATCGAGACGATGTTATCGGCCGTCAACTGCGCTATCCGCGACACGTCTTTCAAACTGGCACTGCAATAGACATTAGTAAACAAAGTTAGCTCTCCGTACATGTGCGCACTCACCCCTTCGCGGCCAACGCTCCAGCAATCTTCTGAACAAGACACGTGCCCGCAATCCCTCTTCTGCCCACCTTCCCACCTCTCTTGCGCCCAACGCCCACATCGTCCCCTACAACCACCATGTCGACCTCCACACCCCTACTCCGCGCCTTCTCTACCGCCATCCCGAAATTCAGCACATCCCCCGTATAATTCATCACCACCACCAACACGCCCTTACTCTTATCCACGCGGTGCAAAATGCATCTCCGGACCTGTTCCGCGCTTGGCGACGCGAAGATGGTGCCGGCGACCGCGCCGGAGAGAAGTCCGGCGCCGACGAACGAGGAGAAGGACGGCTCGTGGCCGGAGCCGCCACCGCTGACGATGGAGACCTGGGGCGTGGGGGGCGCATGGTAGGCAATTTTGTTAGCCAGGTCTACAGTCACGGAGGGATTGGTGTGGGTCAGGGCGAGGAGGGCGGTGTTGACGAGGTGCGTCGGGTCGTTGATGAAGTGTTTCGCTGTGCGTCGGTCAGTCGAGTCAGTCGATTAATCAATCGGCATTCTGTCAACGAGGAGAATGCATCGTGTGGGCTGTGGGCAGGTACACTCACCTGACATCTTTGCTGACTGCGCTTGCTTCTAGCTACACTTCCGCTTAATCCGCCCGTACCCAAATGATAGTCGCAAAAACCGTAAGTGTTGCGCACGACTGCAAGCAAAAGAAGGGAAGAAGAGGACACTCGACCTGCGCACAGGCGCGGTTAATAGGTTGTGCAACGCCATCGAATCACGCTGCGGCCGGACGGATGCCCGTCACGTCGCCAGTGGGCCAGGCTGGCAGCGGGAACGACGTGTTTGGGGACGAGTGGGGTCGTGCTGAGGGGTTACGGACGCGTGTGGTGGGGTCGCGGTTTCTTCGGAACAGCGCGTAGGCTTCCCGATGGGGAAGTCGTAGCCTCAGGCTGCCGGTTCGGATGGGATTTCACATTGGAGTTTTTGGGAGGGTGTGGAATGTTACAATGAGGATGAGTCTGGTAGGGGGAGATGGGTCTGGACCTGTGTGGAGGTTCGATGTCGGCGCTCAATTACTCATGTGTCAGAGAGGCGTCACTATAGGCATCGCTTTTCGAAATCTGTCATAGTGTCATTGTGATGCTCGAGTTTTTTTTTTTTGAGATCCGTCATTGATATCTATTAAATCATGCGAAAAGCGTGCCTTCGCTTGTGTGCCACTGGTGGGAGGTACCTTAGGCAACGTGAAGTTGACACAATCCTGTACGACTGATTCTTTCCCAGAAGGGAGTGCAGCACCAATGCGCATCGAGTTCTAGGAACAAACAGAGGTTGCGGTAAGGAGGAGATGCCAGAATACGCAAGCCACGGTGTTCGTTTCTTGTATCTAACTCGACTAAGATTTCGAATTCTCACTTGGATCCTGGATTTGCAGAGCTGTTTAGCGTTTGAACATGGTTTTTTCCACAATCGAAAAGGTAGTTCGAGATGAGAAGCACTCGTCTCAGCTTTCTCGTGTCATGCCAACGCCCAATCTCGTCCAACGAGCAACTCTCCTAATAGCTTGGACATATGAGTTTCACGGTTGGATTTTGATATACTTTCACTGCACCTAAATTCACAGGATTGGACAGCATATGATTTGCACTCTTTGATCTTGGATGCAACTTTGCGATGTCAAAACATTTCACTTTCAATTTTTCACCTTTTGCATACACTGTACATACGCTATCTCCACCAATGCTGGATAGTTATCAAGATGCACCCTCACCAAAGATCACCCACCACAGCTGCAGCACCCACAGAAAACGTTCAACTCTAGCTTCTACAAACAAAAATCCTAAAATCCTCTCTCTTTCAGAACACCCAATAATCAAAGTAGCCCAACATTGGCATGAGCGAAATCCGGGGCCCCTACGTTCCCATCAATCAGCAGCCGGCTAGCGAGAAATCCTACGAGGGTTGCCGCGAACACCTGATCGGCATCGGCAGCGGCAAGAACTGGGGCACGAAGTTCTCCCCATCCTGGCCTGTCGATTTCGATGGCGTCTTTTCCGCAGCAGTCATAGAGTCTCCGACTACTGTCTCTCGACACGGCCAGCTTCGCATGGACTACAACAACGAAGACGACGTCGTAGTCAAGCATTGCGGCTTCTGGAATGCGAACCTGGAGGAGTTCGTCTGTAGAATCGAGGACAAGGTGAAGCAGCGCAAGTTGATCATGCTCCTCCAATCGAAAACCAGCCCAGGCCCGACTGCCACGGATTTCGACCTTATGATTTTGCACAAGTAGGCTAGAATGCTTGACGAGTTCAATCCAAAGGAAACTTGGATGCCTCGACTCAACCATCCGACAACCTGCTCAATTTCCTGACGAGTCTACGACACTCTAGGATGTGGATTGAATCGGGAACCTGATAGGGTGACAGGAGAAGTAACACTTCAAGCTCTTCTGTACTGAAGTGTTACTGGCTTATATTAGGCGAATAGTCACGGACATTACATGCAGTGTTGACATATACGGAGGTTAAGCTTCATGTTAGTTTAGATCAACGATGTTCAGTAGCCGTAATTGTCAATTGAAGAACATCACGCTAATTCATCTTCCGGCAATTCCTCGAGCGAAAATTGTTAGCACGTTATTACCCCGGTCGTATAAGTGTCAGAAATAGTGCACTTTGTCTAGATGTTGGTTGTGTTACAAACAGTAAAGACCGAATATAGTTGATATAAAACAATTTCCCCCTCAGACCTTGTTACGCGATAATGAGCGTAGATAGTTGGTTTCAAGCAATAGCGCAACATTCCTCTCGTCACCATTCTCCGCTTCCTTCTCTCGTCGCAAATTGACACCTTTCTCCCTCCAATGATCACTATCAAGTCTGCCAAGTGCAGTAGTAAACACTACTGCATCCTACCCCATTCTTCGTGTACAGGTGGCGATAGTCCTGCTCCTTTCTGCACGAATACTCGTGGTACTTGTTCTTGCCCCATCCAACGATTGAGTGGGCGGGCTTGCTAGCTGCATTTGCGTCAATGTGCGACGTGAAAGGCGTGCCGGCAAAGTTGCAGGTGCGAGACACCCCCTCCCACCAAGTTGTACCTGGCTGCTATCAGATGACGATCTCGGGGGTTTTACTGGATGCATCTCACCACTTCCGGACATTTTGCATTGCTCATCTGGCCAGGAGTCATCGAAGCTGCTGTGGCCTTCAGCGTAGTAATCCATGTCGGAGTACGAAGTTCCACAGTTGACTAGATAGACTGTCTCCGGGTACTGCGGTGCTGCAAGGGCAGTGGAGAAGAGGAGGCCGGCGAGGGCTAGGACGGGCTTGGAGAAAAGCATTCTGGTAGTCTACAGAAGATTGTATGGAAGAATTTCGTTTTCTGCTCTGGTAATCCATAGGAGGAGCAAGTGCAGTACATTTATACTTGCTGGAGAGCGCTCTGGTAAAGACAGAGACAGCTGCAATCTATCGTTTTCCTGTCCTTATTCCTGAATCGGGTGCATGTTAAAGACACCGTTCAGCCCATACCTGAAGACCAGCTGGTATACGCTTGAGCCAAAGTGGTTGTTGTGATGGGAGGTATTGTCCTACCGTCGCCCAATCAGGCTTCTGCCCTGCACGCCAAGCTGATCTCGTATGCTGACAAAGTTAAGAGCGTACCAGCCTGGTCTACATCGGATTGGTCCCTAGGCTAAGCTTAGTACTTATGTGCATGTATAATGCGGAAATGAGTGTCACACAGTAGATTTACGTCGCTTTACTTCCTCAAGGAGCGATCTGCGCTAAAACATCATGTATGGCGCGGTATATTCGAGCCTTGCTCGTATATGGTGTGAAATCTGACAAAGCTAGTATGACAATGTTCGAATGAGGCGAAATTGACAATTCGGGAAAGCAGTGTGCTTCGTGTGGCCGGAAGCTGTCGTAAGCGCGGCTGAACAACCACCAAGCAACAACACCCTGCAAATTAGCTTGATGCTTGCCTTTGTAGGGACGAGCCGGATTGCGCTGAGACTTTGTTATACCCGTCCATTGTGATTGTAGTTATTTTAACTATAAAAGTAGATACACCATGCCACCAAGCTGTCCCTTCCACAACTGACCAGCAGAATTACAAAGTTGTGTACACTATGTTACAAGTGGTTTGGGCATATATTTGCTGTTTACCGAGTAGCTTACCGCCATCTCCAAGTTGATTTTCTTGATATATGGTAGTCTCCGCTCTGTATCGACTTCCATATTCCCCAGAAACCCCCAAGCGGCCATATTGACCTAATTCGCATACCCCAGTCTTGTTTGGCTAAAGTCTCCAGCTTTTCTATGTCGACGTGAACCTTATCGTGAACGCCAGGTAGGGTAGTTGCGTTGTACTTCTTGCGTAGTTCTTCGTGCCACTCACGGTCGAACTGCTTCCAGAAGTCCGCCTCACTGTAGTAGGTATGGGCATATAGCCATTTCATGCCTCCGAGCTCGCCCAGGCGCTTCTCCAAGTCGCGATTCTTTTCCAGGAACTGCTTGCGGTCTCTTGGTCCGAATCCCCAGAGTCCGATGTTCAGCATCTGATCATCCTTCAAGGCGCCTTTAGAGTGAGGATGCATGGTAGGTTGTGGCGACTGCTTCAACGGGCACAGCCAAAGCGGCCAGATCCCAAATTTATCGTCGGTATAGTTGATGAATTCCTCGGCGTTCGGGTAGGGTAGTGCCATGTCTTGAACCACGTAGCTATTGGACTCCCCACTAGCATGTAGCGCGCGATAAAGCATCCGAGTGTGAAGGAAATCGTCGAGGAACCATCTTGTGACCTTGTTGAAGGGAAAGCTCATGTAGTTGAACGCGGAGCGACCTACCCAGAAACCGCCTCTGTCGTACCGGAACATGTACTCTGCCAACGGGATGTACTCTATGACAGGAGATGAGGCATTTCTCGTGCGTTCTTCAACATGCAGGTAGAACCAGGGATCCCAAGGGTCAGAAAAGGTTTGGGGTTTGTGATCTGCCGGAATCTCGTCTGTCATTTCACCTGTGATGATCGCACCATGGTCTTTTGAGAAGAGAATACCATCGACGTAATCATTGTCCGGCACTTCAGTCTGCTTTCGAATATCGCGGACCGCCTCCGCAATGCTCCTGGTGGGGTGATACGTCGTCTTTACAAATCGCTTTGCTTGGATTAACTGCAGCTCGATGAGGGTTGCGACGCCTAGCGTCCCCACTGCACCTGCTGCTCCGCGAAACAGGTCCGCATTCTCCTGCTCCGACGCCTTGACGACATTGCCGTCCGCTAGTACCATCTCAACAGAGTTGACTGTGCGGTCAAAAAAACCATGTCGGAACGAGCTACTTTCGCCTGCTGTTCCTGCATAGCCGCCTCCCGTAGTAATTCCGGGAAACTCCATAACAACAGGGGGCACAAGGCCGTGGGGGAGAGTGGCCTCTACGAGACGATCCATAGGCACGTTCGGCTCCACAAGAGCTGTCCGTGATGCGGTGTCGACCTTAACCACATTCCGTAATTCGCTGATGTCCACTACGCGTTTCTTAAGAGAAGGACGTGTGCTGTTGGTTGATCCATGATTTATTCTGAACGACTCTTTGCGTATAAAGTACTCCCTGACTTTGGAAGCCACCTGTGTAACGATGCGCTGATGCCGGTCCATACTGTAAAGGGATTGAACGAGTGAGATAAAACAATGGAAATTCTATGAATGATGCATGGTGCTGTACAAGGTGATAGAGAGCGTGCAATTGATGGAGCGAGTGATGTTTCGCGCTCTAAGATTTTCCCCAGACAGACCGCGCTATCCGGAACCAGCTTAGCTCAATGGATCGACGTCACCCACGCAACACCTATGCAACTCCCAAGCTCCTTCGATCTACTTCCCATTGTTTGATCCTTTCCAAAGGCCACTGCGAGAAGACCCTCGAAGCTTTTATTGAACGATCTATACTGGTTTCATCTCTGCATCCATGTTAGGCCTGATCCGTGGCAATCTTCTGTGCGATACATTACAGACTTCTTTCACCCTCCCACATTGGACAGCTCGACAGCAGATGATTCCCTGGTAAGGCGACGCCCCAACCTGTTTGGCCTAGCGAGTGGGTTGTACATTTCTGCCCCACAGAGTATGGCGTTCGATACCCGACTTGACGTGGAGCTACCCCGCAAAAACAGTGCGACAGCCTCACATTGGGAATTGTTCTTTTGTGAATCCATGATGACCGACATCAGCCATTCCCAAATTCTCTTCGTATCTCCCCAAGAACTCTGTAGTCAATCTCCTCTCTCCACCTCAAGCTTGCATGCCTTCGTTACTTTGCGTTGCCGCTGATTGATAAAACTGGTCTCCGCCCGCTTGTTAGTCCAAGCCCCACATGTTGCGCATTGCTTCGTAGGTGTAACAAAACCAGTGGAAGCTACGTAGATTCCGAAAGCACACTATCCTTCTACCTTATCTCTGAAGACCACCTTGGACATCCAGAGTATTCCGTTATTAGCCATGGCACCCTTGAGTCTACCAGTAACTCCAACACTTAGAGACGCACACAGCGGTATACCAGAACGTCTACTCCACAAAGCGACTCACGCAAAATTGCTCATTTACGATGGAAAAACCGTCTCCGATACTATCCCACTTCAACGCGGTCTTCCTATTCCTCAAGGCATCTCCAAGAAGGCATTCCTCTCCGCAATCGACGAAATCCGCGATTTGCTTGGCGCAGAGCATGTCCAGCTCAACGACAAAGAGATTAAGAACGGCTGGTACATGGAGTCTCCAAATACTCATGATATGATGCCTCTTTTCGACTTCGAGGAATTCATCGCATCTGCCGTTGTATATCCCGGATCAGTAGAAGACGTCAAGCTCATCGTGAAGTGGGCGAACAAGCATCTCGTACCCCTCTTCCCGCTCAGCATCGGACGCAATCTTGGCTACGGTGGCTCGGCTCCTCGTGTACGCGGCTCTGTCACCATCGATCTAGGGCGTCGCATGAACCGCATCCTAGATATCAACGCGGACGACTTTACGTGTCTCGTTGAACCGGGCGTGACTTTCTATGCGCTGCACGAGGAGCTTGTGAAGCGCGGTCTGGATGATAAAATGTGGATCGATACACCGGATCTTGGGGGCGGCAGTGTGATTGGGAACACACTGGATCGTGGCGTCGGGTACACGCCGTATGGAGACCATTGGGCATGTCACTCCGGGCTGGAAGTTGTATTGCCGGGTTTTGGCGAAGATGGTGATGTCAGGGTGATAAGAACAGGCATGGGTGCGCTAGGTGTCGGTGGTGAGAAGACATGGCAGTGCTTTCCGTATGGATTTGGACCGTACAACGAGTATACGCCCCCATTCTCTGAGCGACTAGCCCGTACTGACCTAGACAGCGGTATCTTCTCCCAGAGTAACCTGGGCATAGTCACGAAGATGGGAATGACGTTAATGCCCAACCCCGGCGGGTTTGAGTCGTTTGTAAGTAAACTTGCATTTTCGATGTTCTCTCTCATGCTGCTAGATGTACACATTCCCCAATGAATCTGACCTCGCCCCTCTTATCGAAATCATTCGCCCTCTCCGTATATCCAATATCCTCGAGAATGTTGCCCAGCTGCGTCACGGGCTGCAGACGCTCTCCGTAAAAGGACACCCGCGCACCAAGTACTTCGATGGCACCGGGCCTATGCCCGAGGACATTGTTCGCAACCACCTTCGCCAGACCGCAACCGGTGAGTGCGCTTGGGTATACTATGGTATGTCCTACGGCCCGGCGCATATCCGTCGCTACAAGCTTGAGATCATCGACAAGGAGTTCCATCGCATACCAGGCTGCAAACGCGTAGACCCATCTACGCTACCTGCGGATGAGTATTTCTGGTCCAGAGATAGGATTGCCAGTGGGACGCCGGATCTGGAGGAGCTGAAGTGGGTGAATTGGATGCCGAATGGTTCTCACATCGCTTTTAGTCCCGTCTCGCCCATCAGAGGTAAAGATGCGGAGAACCTGTTTGAACTAGCGAGGAAGAGACATTCCGAGGCAGGCATTGATCTGATGCCAGCGTTCTGCGTCGGGCTGCGGGAAATGCATCTGATTGTTGAGATTGTTTTCGACGCCGAGGATGCAGGTATGAAGAGAAGGGCAGAGAAATGTTTGAGGTACTTGTTTCCTATAAGCGGCAGTACGTGGAGCGAGACGCTAACATGCACAGGGATATGATTGACGATGCTGCAAAGCTTGGCTACGGCGAGTACCGTACGCATCTCGCGCTTATGGACCAGGTCGCTGGGACATACAATTGGAATGATAACGCGCTCATGAAGTTTAACAACACCTTGAAGGATGCCTTGGACCCTAACGGTATTTTGGCACCTGGTCGGTGTGGTATCTGGCCAAGGAGGTATAGGAATCGTGGATGGGAATTGAAAGGTGGCGAGACGAACACAGAAGGAGACGGCGTGGCGCCAGTCAGCGGGAATCTCAAGATGTAAGCCGTGTGCCTCATTATCGCCCTTGGGATTGAAATTAGTAGGATTTAAGCGGTACAAATTTGTGACTATGGCGTCAAAAGGTATTTTGAAAGCTTCTTGGGTTCCCATTATCCTCTACAGTTCACCTATGGTATATCCCGCTAATACATTTACTAATCCCACGTTTCTCTCACTAGCGCCTCGATCTTTCCAAGCTTATGCAGGTGCCCTGACCACCTTTCTCCCTGTAACCTCGTACTTGTCGAGCTCCTGTATGATATTCGGAGACTCCTCGAAATCATAGACCTCGATCTTCGGGGTTATCTTGCCCTCTTTTGCGAGTTGTAGGAGTTCGTCCATTTGCTCTGATGTGCCCGTTGAGGATCCTCGAATGACAAGTCCGCGATTTGCAATGTGTATCGGCGACATCGGGAACATGAAGTCATCCGGAGGTAGACCAACACAAACAAATACACCGTTGCTGCGAATCAGCTCAGGAGCTTGCTGATATGCCCTCTCGCTGCCTGCGACGCAAATCAAGCCATGGGCACCCTCACCGTCCGTCAAATCTTTGACTGCCTGCACCACGTTCTCCTTCGCATAATCGATAAATGCTACCGCACCCATCTCTTTAGCAAGCTGCTCCTTGTCGGAACCGCTGTCAATGGCAATGACTTTGAATCCTTTGATGGTCGCGATCTGCACGCCTATGTGCCCCAAGCCGCCACCTGCACCGACGATGACGACGAATTCGCCTGGTTCAACTTCGGGCGCGAGCTTAGATACAGCACCGGCAAGACTAAGCCCAGCACATAGGAGCGGTGCGGCTACTTCGCTCTTCACACCATCCGGGATCAACGAAATAAAGTCTGCATGTGCCACAACGTACTGCTGCAAAGTTCCAAGTGTCGTCCTTCCCGTGTTCGACTGTTTGGCGCAGTTGTTGATATTTCCTTTCTTGCAAGCGGAGCACTCCTTGCACGAACTGTAAAGCCACTTGATGCCTACCCTCTTTCCTTTCAAAGACTCTTTCGCGCCCGGGCCCAGCTTGACCACCTCACCAACTCCTTCATGGCCTGGGATTTCGGTGTACTTGCCCATCCCGAAAATGTTCCTGCAGTCAGAGTGGCATATTCCTGAGCATTCGAGCTTGACTAGGACCTCATCTTGAGAGGGTTCCTGGATGGAAGCGCCAGAGCGGATGGTGAGTTTGCCGGATGGACCTGGATCTTCGATCCAAGCGACGGTCTGTGTGGAGGGTATAGACATCGTGGATGATATTCGAATGTTAGGTTGCGGGTGATTAAGGGTTGAGGGGATCGAGGGGTAGTTGGGGAAGGAGTTCGGCGCCCCGCTCTTGCCCCGCCGACGTCGTTCCGCGGCGCAGCTGCCGTTATCTTTCCCGGCCTGCGGACACGATCACTTCTCGCACATGTCTCGGGACATTTCTTCTTATCGATCGACGAGTCAAGTATTTACGCAGCGGGATCGCGTAAGCGAAAAGGAGTCACATCTGCTTTCAGCGGCATTCGACTTTTTTTCCTGATCTTACTAGCTGGGGTCCACCCAATGTAGGCGATCATGAGGTCTTTACACTCTCTTGACAGTTGGCGCCATTGTGTCGAAGAATGCTTCGACGATCACCTCATTGCCTACACTGCAAGACCCAGTAATCGATACTCCCGCCTGGCTGCTCACACACCTTGCAATGTTTTTTTAACTGGCAGTCATGCTTCCTAGGATCCTGAAGTAACACAATGCGGGGATCCCGAAGTCGTTGAAGAACAAGCGGGTGGAGACGCAGAGGTAACGCATCACAATCAGACATATAATCTTTGATCATTCACGAAGTCGACGGAGACAAAGAGGTATTTCCAAGTCAAGGGCAACCCGTTGGAACTGACAGGCTATGGCGACTCTGCATAATGCAGCCCCGTTACACTAATGTCAGAAACACGCATCCACAGTCTGACCTGGACAGTCCATATAATTCTCTTCGCTCTCTTGATTTGAACTCATTGTCCACCACAGACAGAGTGTAGATATTCCTTCCAATGAAGTATCTGTTCTCGAAGTCCGCCCACTATGCAATGCCCCCCACCAACCTTTACTGTACAGTTGTCTCTTGATCCAAACCCCAGTCGCATGGCTCGACTTGTGTTTATACGTCTCCAAGAACCTGGTTGTCACATAGTCGCCTGTGTTCCAAGTTGCAATCGTTCTTGTAACACTTCTGGCCTGCCCATCTGCGCGGGCAAAACCCCTCTGAGTCCTGGTCTGAGCGTCCAACCTTTTTCGTGGCGTCTTCAACCACTTTTGCCTTTTTGCGCGGCAGATCGTCGTCTATGTGCGTTTTGTTCAGTTGAGCGGTCAAGTCATTCAAATCATCCGCCTCCACCTTGAGCTATGCGCGCAACGAGAGTTTCTCATGCTTCTCTGCAGCAAGCTGCGCGCGGAGCGCCTCGACCTCTCTCCGGCCTTTCGCCGAAAACTGAAGCTGGAGCTGCTCGACCTTCGCATGCTCCTTTCCAAACAGATTTGACATGTTCTCTTCCAGAGTCTCACAATCAGTCTGTAGTTGCTCCTTCTCAGCCTCGAGACGCTTAATTTATAACCGAAGAGGGTCGTGAATCGAATCTTCGTAATCGATGCGGTCGTATAGATTTCCCGTATCGGAGGTAAGATGTGCGATTTCTTGGTCCTTCCCTTTCATCCTGTCATAGGCCGTATCGTGGTAGTAAGGTCTAGTACCACATCTTTGGAATGGTGCGCGCCAGTATGAAAGCAGGAATGCAATTCCAGCCTTGTAGCCCCCAAGTCACTCACGTTGCATGCATTATGAAGTCCTGCGTTACTCATCCTTCCTCCATTATTTATCCCTCTCAACTAGAGACAAGCCACCGGGCTTCACCTTCAACATCGTGTAATCAATGACGGGACGAAAGCCATTATGCTCATGCGCAAATTTACAGTCCGCATTGTTACCTGGAATAGTAGGCAGGTCAGGACAAGCTCTAACAGGAGGGTATTATGTACTTAAATTCATTGTCCTCCCAGTTCTTGCAGAGAACGCGTCTACACACTATAGATTTGCCCTCAGCTGGCAGTTGCGACACGATCCTCCATCTCGATTATCATAGCACCAGCCTTTGGTGAAGCTCTATGTACATAGGACGATGTTCTCACAGCGTGAGCTTAATCTTCTTGGCAGCAATCGATGCTTTGGCCGTATCATCAAGACCTGTGGTAGAAGGTTGAAATCTAAACGCTTTTATAATGAATATTATAGAACTAAAAATAAACCTTACTTGCCTTTGATGCTGTCATTGATGCTGTCATTGCTGCCGTCATGGACTCCTTTGCGCGAGGCGTGTTACATCCCTCGTATAGTGACATCAAGGCGATTCTAAAGGACTGCAGTATGGCCTCGGGCAACCTTTACCCGCCTCTCTACCTATTGCTTTTCATGAGTGGACTAGTAAATAGAGAGTGCCAGTTCCTCGATCTCTTTATCGCGGTGGCCCAGTTGGTTCTTCAGGTCGTGAATCTCTCCGTCTTTGCGGACATCCATCAATAACATCTGGGCAGTCTTGTTATCTAGCTCGCACTCATAATCGTGTTTGGCCTTAAAAAGCTGTCCGGAAACACCTTAGTGAGCCAACCTCCAAGTGCTTTCAGCCGCTTTCGCCTTCGCCTCTGCAGCTTCCGCGCGTTGCAACCGATTCTGCAATTGGAGATGCGCCGCTTCTTCTTTATCCGCTCGTTTGATGGCGCTCTCAAGCTCCTTCTTCAAGCTTGCCAGCTGCTCGATGGCAACGACCGTCGGTGCTGCAGTCGTTGCGCTTGCCGCAAGAAGCTGTATTCCGCCTATTTCGAGGAGTCAGTCAACGTTGGAACGAAGTGCGATTTCCGCGGTATCTGTTCGCTTTTCAATCATCAACGTCCTTGAGGAGCTGCGAGATGCGCAGGCTTGACTCTGCGGGGCTCATCTTGGGCTTGCGAATCTTTAGCTTGGCTGGCATGGTGGAAAACTTTGCGAGGTATTACAGCCATAGTGCTGCTAGACCAAGACTTGATGTGTGGCCAAGACGTGTAGATCAGCCAGAAAGCCCTGAAACACAGATTGGCACGTGATCAGAAGCGTCTAGGTCTTCCAGGCAAGGCACCTATTGCGGCAGGCGCATGTACTAGAAAATATCTACCAATGGTCTTCAAACTTACCCTTTGGGGTTACTGATTCTATGAAATTGCACATACGGCTTCCACGTTGTTCTACTAGCATGCACGGTCGCTACCTGCAAACCTTCCCGTGGACCTTCACTCAGTCATCCACGTTGCGACAGTCAGCTGCAGGCTCCGAACGTTCTTTCGCACCTCTGCCCCGGATTCCGTAGCTTGTAGTTGCTTCACCATTCACTGTTTGCCACTCGCCTGGAAACCTTTCCTATTCACCACGCCTGCCCAACGCTGCTCCCTCGCGTGCTGCGCTCAGACAACATGCGGACCCACAAAAGTCTGTTCAAGACCGCTATCCCGCCAGATTCCTCTCTCTCTCTCTTTCTCTCTCTCTTCATCTTCTTCTTCTTTGTTTCCGTAACGTTTCGTATCGTCTTCCCATCGTTGGTATCAATGGCTTCTTACCCCGAACACAAGCCGTGTTGCAATTGCTCAACCAAGCTTGTCGACGAGAACTTATATGGTGTTGCTCCACTGGGCGCTCGAGCGACAGTGAGGTACCCACGTAAGGCGTTGGCTAATTTATGACGTGTCACTTGTATGTTGGACCACTGGGCGCCCCTAGTCCTGGCTCCAGACGCCGTATAAGCCGCAAGTCCTTCCTAGTCAGGCACGTCTTTCACTGTACGGCGAAAAACACTGTGGGCCGAGAACAGCCAATCAGATGATGAGAACTGCCGACTTATCTATCAATCTTACCTTCTCATTGGTCGTTCTCGGCCCACAGTGTTTTTCGCCGTACAGTGATAGACGTCTCTTAATGATAGGCTATATAATACAACTGTAGGCCAGCTAAAACTGCGAAAAAGCTAGTCTTGATAAAAGTAAAAGCTATGCGAGTGGACAAGGACATGGTTTTGCATTTACGTTAATGATGTGATATTCCTTAGCAACAACCCCAGTAAGTTGGCTGCATCGAGTGTCTACCTGAGCTACTATAGGAGCTATCCATCAGCGGCCGGGTACGGAGACCTCACGGCACGTATTCATCCCCAGAGTTTTGCACCAAATGCAACGCTCATCTTCCCTCGTGATTGCACATGCGCACCGAACCTTGCGTGAGCCAGTGAGGGTATATGAGAAAAAGAGCAGGAAAAGAAAATTCAGAGACAAAGCCACTCGTCGCACCTCAAAATGCTTGAAAGCAAAACGACAAAGGAGGGGCTCGTAGCGTGGGTATCGTGAAACGAAGGTCATAGAAAGAAAACAAGACAAGCAAAGGCACTGACCATCGCCGTCATCTCCAGACCGCCGAGCTGAAGATGCGATGAGGACGAGGTCGAGAAGGTGACATCGAATGGTGAACCACCAGCCGAGTCTGGATTTGACTTCTGGCCGATTGCCGTCTGGCTCGGTGCTGGGGGCGGAGTGGCGGTATCGATTGTGATGCCTTGTTGCGTGCTCGAAGGAGGCTGTATCGACCGGCTTGGCGAGCTGGCGACTGAGCTTGCCGCTGTGCTTGAGGGGGTGCTTTGTGCGCTATCAGTCGCTTGGGTGCTCGACGATTGCGCCTGCTGTGTGGTAGACGCTGCGGTCGATGTGCTGGATGTGGTTGATGTGGCCAATGTGCTCTGTGCGTAGGTCTGTTGTCCCGAAGTTACGACTACTATATTGCCGCAGAGCTTGGGTAGAAGATCGCCCGAGAGGGCAACGCCAATGATGGAATCTGCGGGCACACGGACTGTTGAGCACTGCTGGTTGACGAGCTGTACGATTTGGATAAGCCCTTGAACGCAGTCGTTGCTGCAGTTGTTGATGGCCTCATTTCTTTCTTTGGGAAAGTCGGCGCGGGTACAACCCTGTATTGATGTGTTGTACGCTACTTGACATGATTGTGGCAAGTTTTCGATGCGTGGTACGAATTTGGAGAGAGAGACAGCTTCAATGTCGGTGGTAACGCCGGTCGGAACAAGGGCCATAGCCATGATGGCGCGGAAAAGGTGACGCATCGTGAGGTGTTGGTAGGTATTTCAGAGCGAGCACGCACGCGGCAGGTGGGTCGAAAGAGGGGAACGAGTGCTCGAAATTGATGAACGCTTTAATGCAGAGCTTGGCTGTGAGTCGCAAATGACGCTCACTCGATGGCTGGCCTCCGGTGCACGGCAGAGATGTGGCGTGGTGCGACGGGTGAGGTTTGGAGTGGCGGATGGTTACTTGTGAGACGCGGGGTGTCTGGTGGTCTCGTTCGCGGAAGCCCACCTTCCGGGGAAAGGTCTGGATATGAATACGCAATGTCGCACTCAATGCATCCAGCTCTTAATCGCCGTACCTTCCCGTTGCAGCTTCTCGCGCCGCGAACTTTATCTTCTTGAGACCTCTCGTGCGGGGTCAGAGTCAAGTCTCGAGGCCAGCACCTGAGGCGATCCTGAGAGAGACTTTGGGTATGCGACCTGGCCAATCGTTCTGCTATATATGATGCGCGACTCGCTTTCTAGTGCACGTTCTGCAAGGCAAAGAGTGAGATGAGACAGAAGGAGAGACTGGTAAGGAAGTGAGTGAGTCTGCGCTGGACCTGCAAGGAGAGACTGCGTCGGGTAGAAAGGCGCTCAGCGCAAGCAGAAGAAGGGAAGCTGGGAAGAAAGGGAGGTGGTGATGTTCGCGATGGGCGGTTGCTCATGCCATTGTGAGCATGTGCTTGTGGAGCATCAAGATGCCGGCGGAAGCGGAGGAGCTGATCTTAACACAGACATCACAGGGTATCCAAGGGGGTTTAAGAGCGCAACGAACGGCGGTTGGATGCGTGTTTGGTGATGGTCAGGGCGGTGCCTCGAAGCATGAGGTGCAGGTAGGACCGACCTGAAACGCGTTGGTGGCTGTCCGTGCGGCAGCCCCGCGTTGGAGCCTCGTCATTGGCGCCCTGGCTGCGATGAGCGCCAGTCCCTGTTACAGACCGTCAAGCACGCGCCCAGAGAGGGAAGTGCCAGCTAAACTCAGCATGCGCGTCAATGGCGGGCGTCTACAGGCAATCAGCGCATCGCCGGTCCCACTGTCCACTGCAGCTCTGCCGATGCGAGCACGACGGGTGCAGTGCTGAACGACCACCCTGAGGTCCCGGTGGTCAAGTATCGCAACATCCTGCTTCCGAGCGGCATTGAAACGACCCCCAACATACCGGCGCGACGCCGGACTCATAGCCACCACTCCGGAACCTCCCAAACCTTCGGTGGAGGGTGCTGCTCTGCATCTGTGTCTCCCAGCTCAATGGTGGCACGCGACACCGCGACGGCGTTGGATAGACTGTCAACACTATACACTGGCCATGTGATTCGCACCAGAGTTTCCCCCGCTGCCGTCCCACGTGAAGCGTCCTCTGGAAATCCCGAGTACCAGGCATGCATTGGTGTCGTGCATGAATTTGCATGTTTTGACGTTTCATGGATACAGACAGCTGAGTGGCTCTGTCGCAAGGCACCCTCAGTAGCAACAAGGACAGCCCGGCAGCATTGAGGAACATACGGTGGCGTCGTTTGAAGACCAAGGATTATGACACTTCTGGACAACATGCACCGGCGGGATTGGGCCCGGTCTGCCTACGTAGAATGTCTTGTCGACGCTCTGCGGGCTTTACAGCCATGATAACGGCAGTGTGACAACGCAATGAACCACATACCGGAGGATACCAAGAATAGTCCAATCCTTAATCTACAACGTCTCGCTGTTACAATTTGTTTCGGCGACAATACCAATCCTCCTTCATTCCGTATCTCGCTCACTCTATCACAGGGACACTCCTGAACCTGACAGCATTGCTCGTCAAAGCCTTGATCGCTTTCTCGACCATCTCCAGCAGAAATTTCTCTTCCATACACTTCACGCCCTGCCGTTTTGCGAAGTCAATTGCCTCCTCGCTATCCAGCGCATGCCCGGCAGGCCAAACATGCACTGAGCCTCCGATTTCAAGCTACTTCCCTGTGTCGAATGAGACGTCGCCCACTGCTACCACAAGTCAGCGACCGATCACCTTGAGCCCACGAGATAAGAAGGACCAAGATAGAGCAGAATTGCGCGCAAGTATCAACAGCTTGCCCAACCTCCCCAGTGCACCCACCAACCCGCTAATAATATACGCGTTCGGCGCCGTAACAACGATGAGACTCGCGCCACCCATATCCTGCAGCTCATTCGCTGCATCCCGCTTACTTGTGTCAACGTAGTTGGTGGCACCGAGCTGCATTGCAAAGCCTCTCTTTGAGTCGGATGTTGACGGCGCGACTGAATGCTCAGATGACCCAGGCCGCCAATCCCTTGAATAGCTGACGATTGTTGGAAAGCAAGAGTGACGGCAAGTAGCATACTCACCAATAGTAGCCCTAGGCCCGACCGCCATCCTCCTCATCCCATTGAATACCGCTGTCCCCGCACATCACAACGGCGCGTATGCGACCAGATCCGCGTCCTCGGGAATCCTAATTACCGCTTCACATCTCAGCACACAGTCCTCTGCATCTGCACTCATTAGCCTCCGCTTCCCCTATTGTTTCGTCACCGCGCCCAAAACGAACGACAAAAAGCGAAGACACGCCCGCCATCCCTCGTCACCCCATTAACACCCTTTTCCTCACATATCTAGAACGGTCCCACCTGACACCCCGCACACGTCCCATCGTAACCGCAATGCCACCCACCGCCCACCTTCCCCCCCAGACTCCACCTCTTCTCGCCTTCGCCCACAGAGACTACGACCCGATGACTTCGTGCTCGGGGATCCGAGGAAGGTGCCAAATCCACCTTGCTGGCCGAAGTAATCGGAAAAGGCAAACGCCACAGCCGAGAACTTTGATGAGAATCTCACCGGGGGCAGGAGAAGGGACGGCAATGGTGGGCAGGATGAAGGGGGCACCAGGTTGCTCGATCACGACGGCTTTCATGGTTCTAGGGATAGTGGAAGCCTGGCAATGTGAGGGCTCAATGTGTTTGTCTGCTCAATGCAACGAGAACGGGCGTGATTTCGAGGAACTAGAATAAGGTCTTCGAGACCGCACTCCAGCCTTTTATGTCTGTCCATCTCGACTCCTTCGGTGCCGTCCTCCCGTGGAGGTGTGCATGAGAGTCCTACAGCATGGCTATTCAAGACCGATAAGAGCCCTCCCTCGTGCAGTACCGCTCGCGTTGCGTGCAACTGCCTGCCAAGGTCAACTCCGGTTCTCCTTTGGGTTGATGTGCCTTCCACACACTGCGAGTTGTAGACGCAACGATCATACCACTGTGTGCCCGGACCGGAGTTGACGTCTTCTCCAGCAAACAAGGAGTGCGTCGCATCGTGTTATAGACCGGATTTGTAGTCTCTTGTCATGTCGGTATGGTGAAGGGTGACCGCGGAGCTTCTGGGATGATGATTGGTCAAAGCATCTTCACAGGTACCACTGAGTCCACGATTCCTGAACAGCAGCACCCTGCTGCTGTAATTGGGTATCACATATATTCTACAAAGAATCAAAGCGCTTCTGACGAGCCTACCAAGCATCGAAATTCCCAAACCCGCCAGTCCGCGCCTTCTTTTTGGGCGGCGGTGGTTCCTCGTCTTGGACAAATCCTACAATCTCGTCCTCGTCCTTGGTCTCCTGCCTCGCAGCCTTGAGATACTTCCCGATACCCGCTCCCTCGCCGCTCGCCTCGTCCACTTTGCCGTCAGCCCGTATCCGCTTGCCCGTCCACGTCGTCTTGTCGTCCGCGGTGCCGCCCTGCTTGCGTATCTCCTCGTCATCGATGTCCTTCTGTTCCTTCTCCTTGCGCTCCTTGGCCCACTCCTCGAACGGATCTACGAAGACCACGACATCCATAATCTCGATGTCTTCTTCCGGCCGATCCTTTTCGCCTGTGGGCGCGAGCTCCATCGCCTTGAGCGTGGTGTCGAGCCCGCCGACAACGCGCGCAAAGACCGTGTGCTTGCGGTCGAGATGCGGGACCGCGCGGTACGTGATGAAGAACTGGCTGGTGTTCGTGTTCTTCCCCTTATTCGCCATGCTCAGCACACCCCTCACGTTATGCCGTTCCGGCCCATCAAACTCGTCTTCAAACGGCTTGCCCCAGACGCTCTGCCCACCGCGCCCTGTGCCGGTGGGGTCGCCGCCCTGGATCATGAAGCCCTTGATGTTGCGGTGGAAGATGGTGTTGCGGTAGTAGCCTTTCTTGGCGAGCTGGACGAAATTCCAGACAGCGCGGGGCGCGAATTCCGGGAGCAGCTCGAGGTTTAGGTCGCCGAGGGAGGTGGACATGCGCGCGTAGCCTTTGTGCTTGACGCGCTTGGGGCGCAGCATGTAGTCTTCGTCAGAGAGGAGGGCGCGCTCGGCAGAAGTATGTGGGGTCACGCCCGTGGAGGTGAAGGATGCGGCGGCCTTGCCGGAGGTGTAGACGGCGGCATTGTAGGCGGGTTTCTTCTGTGTCGTGGAGGACTGCGCGGCGGTGCCGTTCTTCGAGGTGGGTGCGAGGGCGCCGGTTGTGGTCTTGCCCTGCGCTTTCGCCTGCCGCTCTGCTCGCGCCTTTGCGACTGCTTCCTTCGCCTTGAGTATCTTGGCCGCGTTGCCCAGCGCGCCGGTGTTGACGCTGCTTTCGGACCCAGGCACCACCGTCTCGCCGTCGATGACGCTCTTGTACTTTCCAAAGTCGCGACTCTCGATGTTCTGCGGATCCTGCAGTGTGATGATGTCTTTCCGCGTGAACTCGTCATCGCTGACCAGGTCCCTCCAATTCTTCGCCTTGATGTTCAGCCGCTCCACGGTATCCCACGCGAACACATTCGCCTCCTGCCCGTGCCGCAATGCGACGATGTGCGTGTTGTCGGTGAAGACCTTGTACGTGACGGGATCGACATATTCGTTGTCTTCGTTCTTGGTGAAGTGCAGCGTGACCAGGTCAGCGCGCTTGAGCGGGCTGCCGTCGGTGGGCGACGTGTCGGGGTGCTTGGTGAGCCACGTGAGGATATGCGTGAGGTCGAAGATGGTGCCCGAGGGCGTGCACACGGGGTCGGTGAAGGGCTGGAGCGAGACGGCGCAGTAGTTGTAGGGAAGCCGGCGGAAGGTCGACGAGAGGCCCGACGAAGACGCAGCGTTGGGGTTTGCGCCGCGCGAGTTTGCAAACGAGTCGCTCGAGGACCACTCCGAGTGCGTGATGTAGAGCTTGTCCGTGCCTTTGCCCATGGTGAGCGTGTCTGGTCGAATGGGCCCTGTCGCGTCGAAAAGTTGCGAGTGGGCGATGATGGCATGCGCGGCTTTTTCTCGGGCGCAAGTTAGCCGCGCGGGAGGCTCTTTCGACGTCACTCACCCAGCCGCCACTCCGGCATGTTGCTGACGACTGCCATCAACGGAGACGATAGTCACTGCCATGGCTTTGATCTGGCTACGTTCATCTATTTCCAACTCCACGAGCAAGCGAGCAACAAACATAGAGCGCTAACGAGGTTATCCTGCATCAGGATCCCAAATGCAATGTCCTTCGAAACGCGTGCGCATCTCTATATCGCCCAGATCAATGTTTTACAAACTTGTCCACCACCAGAAGTCGCCATGATAACCTCCACGCACTAGCTAATCGCACAGCCATAGAGCCCGCTTCCGATCCCTCAGTTGGCCCACCATCCAACATCCCGAGATCAATGACCTGTTCGAACCAGTTATTTGAATACAGTGGGACTTGAATCGCAGTCTCTTCAGAGGCATCGGATACCCTGGGCTGCCAGGGTTCAATGCTGTCGATTATGTCCGATTATCATGCTCGGCTGACTCACACTACGATATGATGTATCAGTCGTTTCAAGCGTTCCACCTCCAGCGTTCACATGCAAATGATGCAATGCTGGCGGGAAGCGCTATGCCTTCACACAGCACGATGCAACTGCGGCAGTCTTTACAGTATCTCCTGCAACGGGACACTGCATCCTGGATGAACTCGTGCTACAATACGATGGATGATTGGCTCAGGCAGCCCGCCTCTAGCTTTTACATACAAATGACACAGTAGTCGCGGGAAATATTGTGTGTCTCTAAAGTTTGATACACGTCTTTCGAAGCACCGTCACTACAGTTCAGTCGCTACAGTATCCCTTCCAACGGGATAGACCGGGGTTGGATGAACTTACACCACACTACGATGTGTGGTTCCATTATCCACAGTACTTCCCGCGATCACATATACACGTTATGATGGTTGGAAGCACCATGCGCTCAAACAGGGAGATGCAGCCTGGCAAGACTTAGATTACAAGAAGACTTATGATGTCCTGTGCATCGTATATTCATCGTTCATACAGACAGTAGACAGTGCTGGACGAGCACCATGTTCCAGACGGCACGATGTAATCTGAACAAACTCAACTCATAATACTCCTATGAGCCCCCTCTGCGTCGCAGTTGTATCATTCACATTCCAAGAGTTAATTTTGGTGTAAATGACCCTGAACTTGCGCATCGTATGGGGTAGCCTGGATGAACTCAGGGTATGCCAGAGCTCTCGACCTTTCCTGCAGCACGATTTCTCATTCGCCATGGCAAGTTACACCACAGAGAGGTATGTCTTGAGCATCCAATTTCTCTTCCTCATATCTGATAAGCTACAAAGCTTTCTAGGTGACGAGAGAATCATGATACGAGTAGAGTAGCAAAGTGAAGGTGGATCGTAAGTTTACCCGTATAAATGTCTATGTCCTTCCCAAATCTTGACGTCTCCTTTGTCCATCGATTCCGTTTCGCTACTACGTTGTCCTTAAGGACTTACTGACTAAAACAAGAACCAGCGGGGATGGATCCCCAAGCACCTGATTTTGTGCCGGATGCAGTGCGGCCAGAGTCCTCTGTGGGCGGGACCTCTGACCGCACCGTCACCCAAGAGAGCTATGACCGCTCTCGACAAACGGAAAGCGTCGCGAGGGTAACCAGCCCTCACTCACCTGCGCCGGCGCCCGCGGCGAAGGTGACTTTCGTCAAGTTTACCAGCGCCTCGACCACGACCACCACCACCGACACTGCCACCACCAACATGTCGGACAACAGCAAGACGCCGCGCAACAAGCGATTGAGCAACGGACCGGGAGCCTCATCCGCTGACAAGTACCCCGAGGACTCACCAACGCGTCTGCGCCATCCTCCGCCGCGTTTCCCTGCTGCAATGCAGAACCAGCGCCGCCATCGCGCTCAACCGCAGCAGCAAAAAGAACTCCGCGTCGACGACATGAACGCTTGGCCCTCACTCGGCGAGGTCAACACGCAAACGAGGAACCAGCGAAGAAGGGCCACCCGCACAGCTCGTAGCGCATCAACGTCGACCTCAGGTTCCGACACCCAAGAACTTACGGTCTCCCAGCATCCCAACGCCGCTGCGCTCTCACCAGAGCAACAAGACCTCGTTGAGTCACAAGTCCAAGCGTATCGCCAGAGTCTACTGCAAAAACACACCCCCATCCGCACGATGTCTGTCCCGGAACGCAAGCTCTTCCAACTGCGACCTGCACCGTACTCCGCCGACCAACAGGGCTCCGCTCAGCATGGCTCGAGCCAGCAGTACACTCAACAGCAGCCGGAGAAGCAAGTGCGTGAATCACGATCAGAGATGGCCTCAGTCGGACCGCCGTTTGCCTCGGAATCGCTTGCTGGGCTTCTGGCAGCGCAACAGCAACAGCAGCTAACGACGCAAGAGCAACAGCAAGCCTCGCCATTCCGGACCTTTGTCCCTGGCCAGAACTCAGCTTACAACTTTGACAGACTTGCCGCATCCCAGCAAGCTCAGCGCGAAGCTACCGCTGCCCAGCTGCGCTCTGCCTTCCACGAGATGCAAGCTCACCGTGCGGCTCCCGTTTCCCAGTGCACGACTACCATTGCCCAATTGCACTCTACATTCATCGAACCGACGTATGGGCAGCCCATCCTCACTGGAACTGGGTACCAAGGACACCAAAGCTACGGTCTTCAGCCAGGAGCTTACGCTGACTACTCCAGCTTATACGGACACAATGCGCCAACTGATACTCCCGCTGCTGTCTCCCGTTTGTCTCAGCCTATGACCGGCAGTCTGAATCCCAGTGCACAAGGCTTTCACCCTCAGCCAGAAGCTTCCATAAGCGCCAACGCTCTTCGTGGACAAATCGACCCGACTTTTCTCCCCGTCTTTGGCACCGAGACAGGACGCAGCTCTCAGAATGACCCTCCCATCGCCGCTCCCGCCCCTCGTGGACAGACCAGTCGGGATTATCTACCAGTCTTGGACACCGCCGCAAGAACCAGCGCCCACACTGAAGCTTCCGCGATCCACGGCCGAATCAACCCGGCGTACCTCCCCGTCTTCGACACCGGCGTAGAAGCAAGCAGCACCCATACCGATGCTCAAGCTCCCGCCACCGAGCCTGCATGGTCAGCCGCCGACTATGATGTCTCGCCTCCCCCGTCGCTCAGTCAGGCTTTGCCGGATCTCTTGAACCCAAGCGCAAGCGGTGCTCTCCGACCCGACAACCGCTCGCTCTCCCTGAGCCAGCAGACTGGAGCACGCTACGGCATCGAGATCGGAGGATTAGGTTCGTCGCTCCTCGGAACAAGCGATCGCACCAACTGGCTTCCCTCGCCGTGGAACCAGCTTGGCCAACAGCGCAACACCCGTGTTCAGCCGCTCGGCTGGGAGTGGTTGGAGCAGCGTGGCCAGTGGACGCGCGAAGACCGGAAGTGAGTGATCTAAAGGAGCAAGAAGAAGGCGATACGACTAGATTGACTAAAATGGTGTGGAACATCGCATATTGGTATCCGTTGCCTTGCACAGCGATCTGGCACCGTCTGGATACCGTAACGACTTCACGAATCCCCTTGTTTTTCTTGCACAGCCCATCCATAGTTCACTTGGAGGGTGATTGGTGACGGTTATTATTCTGAGAATATCGGACAGTTTTTGATTTTCTTTGCTTTGCGCCTGGCCTTGCATAGCCCATCTGGAGTTCACTTGAGGAGGATTGGGATGATTATTGCTCTGGAATTTGGGCTTCGGCTTTATGCGCTTCTCATTTTCATGACTAGTATCACAATGGAAATTTCGCAAATACTTCTAGCTATTAGTGACATAATACTGCGCTGTTCCCAGGCTACAGTTTGTTTGGCGCAGGTGGGTAAGAGCATCCCGGGTAAGCTCTTCCGCAGCGGCAAACGTCAGGCCTCCCTCAGTTTACCACAAGTGCGACACTGTTTGACTGACGTGAGTTTTGAGGTGTAGTGACCACACCCGCGAATCAGTTCCGGGGTGTAGTGACCATCCCCGCGAACTAGTGCGTGCGGGAAGACGCGGGGAAGGGGTGTAGTGACCGCTAACCAGCCAGAAGCGGCAATGAACGTCAGACGGTGCTTGCGCTAATGCAAGGGGAGACATGGGATGTGAACGTCTTCCGAGCAAATTGTCAATTAGAGAGGATCGTTTTGAAGAGCAAGGGCGGATGAGATGATGAAGTCGGATCAACGGCGCGAACAGTAGCAATAGATAAAAGCATGGCTGATAGATTGATTATGGTGCATACCGAGCTCAATTTAACCAGAGTCTCATGGTCCATCCTCCAATACTGCATCTCATGCCCAGACCCAGCTCCACCATGGACGATTTCTATTTGTTCGCAAACTGCAACTTCGTCCCGGATCAGTACGCCGCTGTAAGCCCTCTCACACCCACAACCTAAAAATCCAAGATCGAGAGCCTAACGCCAGATCAAGTGGCAAGCAGCCTACGACGACCTCGCAACCTACGTCTACGCCAATGAGCACACGACCAAGACATACTACTTCGGCATCCCCATTGACTACGCCCATGATTTCAACGCCACCACCAGCATGCTGGCTTTCGAAGTCTACGGCCGCAGAGAGGTATATTGTACTTTGCATATCCATGTTCTCGTAACAGTGAGCTCACGGATCACTGACCACGTCACCTCAGGACCTCTACACAACCCACCTCAGCTCCCCCGCCATGGCGACCTTCCTCAAGCGCATCGAACCAACGACGACAACGAACCTCGACCTCGCACACTACCGTCTCATCGCTGGCTTTCTCGACAACAACGGCGACGCACCTCCTGCGGGCATCCTCCAAGATACTCGGCTTACCTGCGTGTCGCCATCTGCTCGATGCTCTGTCCTTGCCTCCCTGACTGACCTCTTGAACAACGTACACGAAGAGGAGAAACACAATGGAGGGAAGAACGGGGTGCTCACGTACATGGCTTTTGAGTGCCTTGATGACGATGTTGGTGTGAGGATTTTAGGGCGCTGGAGAGATAGGAAGGATATGGAGATATTCGTTCGAAGGGGGGATGTGGATAGATTTTGGCAGGGGCAGAAGCCACAGATTTCGAGGATGGAGCAGAGGTGCTATGTGCCGAATGGGAAGGGGTGGTTGCATCGGGGTTGAGACACGGGGAGGGTGAGTGCGAAGATGTAATGCCTGTGGTACTTCGGGTGAATGAATTTTCGTTAATGTATGGTACGTTCTAGCGTTGTTAGGGTATCTGAGTGTGGTCGTTGTTCATAAAGGGCCGAGTCCTCTGCCCGGGACCAATTAGTCCTCCCTGTCATCCTCACCAACTCTCGCATATCCTCCTGCAGCCCCACTCCCGTGTTCTCCTGCCAGTCTACTCGCGTCTTCCCTGCCTTTCTCAGCATCCAGCCACCAAAGCAGCGGGCCGGGTAGCATCACCAGCACAGCGAGGAATATGAAAGCCGGTCTGATTGTCCCAGCCCGATTGACGATCCACCCCACGAGCGCCGGCCCCACCGCACTGCTGCCCTTATCCGTGACCGCATATAGCGCGAAGAACGCCGCTTCGCTGCCCTCGGGGATAAGCGGTGCATAGACGCTGCGAGCATATGAGGAGATACCGCCCATGACGAGCCCGTGTATGATGCCAACAAGATAAATTTCGAACGGCTTTTGTATCCCGCCTACGCCGAGGCGCTTGAGGATGGGAATGTAGCCCAGGAGACCGTACAGTGGGATGATCTCCATGCCTACGATACACGCTATCAACACGATTTTCGGAGAGAGTGAGTATCGCGCGGCGACGCGAGGCCACGAGAATGCGCCAACCATGCTGAAACCGATGGAGGTCAGGGAGAGGAACACGAGCGGAATGGTGCCCATGTGGAGCTCGGTGCGCGCAAAAAGGATTGCGGTACCGGAGATGGTGGCGACGGCGTCAGAGAGGAGAAACCATGCTGCGAGGAATATTAGAGTCTGGCGGAGGCGGGAGGCGCGCTTCAGAGTGTCCCAGAACGAGCGGATGGAAAAGGCGAGGTAGAATAGGACGGAGCTGTTTCTGCGCGCAGACGGATTGCCGTTCTGAGACTGCGTAGGGAGCGGTGGACCGAACCGTGGTCGTAGCCAGAGGAGTGTAGGGATGGTAAAAAGCGCCCACCATATACCAACTAGGAGCAGAATTACGCGCATGGGAAGCGTAGGATTGCCTTTCGAAAGGCCGAGTTTGTCGAAAGCGATTATAACGCCGACGCTAAAAAGTTGGAAGCCTACGGCAGAGGCGTAGCCGAGACCGACACCTTTGGAGGAGATTTTGGATGATCGGTCGAGGTCCTCGCTGAGCTTATCTGGATGGAAACGGTATGTTGAGTTTGAAGGGTCCCGCCGATTGAGTCCTTCGAGCTCATATGCTGGAGGGTCGTCGGAGGGACCCGGTTTGGCGTGCGATGGATGATTGGATACAAGAAGGGGTAGGAAGGCGTTGAGAAGACTGAAACTGCTTCCCAGACAAGTGACGCCAATGACGACTAGAAACGGTGCCAAAAAGTAGACGCTCGATGTGATGAAGACAAACAACGAGCAAACGGTTGCACCAGTGTATGCAAAAGTCACAAGCAGCTTTTTGCGATACGGACCTTCACAATATCAGTTTCGAAGTACAGTTATAAGACAAGACAAGACCAGGGCAAAATACCATAATCGGCGAATGAGCTGAAACAAATCAGTGTAATCGCTTGGAAAAGCACAGCTGCAGATGTCGTATACATAGCAAATGAAGTAGTCGTAACATCGCTGCCTAGAAATCTCACGATGCATTGGTCTTCTCTATCGGCGTCACCTGCTCTGGCTCGAAACTTGCCGGCATCTCCGGATCCGGGTGGGCCCACGCATGGCTTCGATCTGTCCGAGAACAGAACACCTCTTTCTCGTGGAAGCTGTTCAAGGAGAACGGGAAGGAAGAGGCCTATCGAAAGGTAAAAATCCAATCAATCAAACACTGCCAAAGCTAGATAATGGGGGAGAAAGGAAGGATGTAAGCGAACGTACCAACTCCGACTACAGCAAACACCTCAGCCGCGATCGCATAGGAATACCAGCCCTTCAGCTCACGTGGGGTCGTCGGGCTCGTATCTTCGTCATTATAGCGAGAGGGATGGGATGGTCTCACCGCATCCTCGAAGGACATGTTCGTGTTGGAGAGTTGAAGTCAGTTGGGATGTTTGTGATGTGTAATCCAGCCTGCCGCATTAGGCCGGTTGGCGCTAAACCAGATCCAGCATGGCGATAGCCTCACGTCATGCACAACCATCGCGGCCCACGAGGCAGGTAACCCACTACTTCCCAAATGCAACCCGCCCTTCTTCCACTTCCGCCCTCATCACAACAAGTTAGAAACTTGCTGCGGCCGAGAATTTGCAGTGCAGAGACAGTGCAGGAGCACGGCCACGACATGATGGAGAGATGGACTGTAGCTCTCAATATCCTCTTTAGGAAATCCGAGCTAGCCAATGAAACCTTGACGTGAGTTCGACGAAACGGCCATTTCAAATTTTTACAAGTCAGCCCAGCCTCATCACAAGGGAACAGCAGCCACAGGTTCGCCAAGGACCGCCTTTGTACTTAGTAGCAGCACTGCCTCCAGGCTTTACCGCCCCTGGCAGGTTTGGTACTGCGGCCACTTCCGACGCACTGCAACGGTGACTACTTTAGAAGCTGGTCGTTGATTTGATAAGATGAGACATCCTAGGCCACATTGAGATATGTATGCTGCAATTGTTGAGATGATCTTTTTCTACCGTAGTAAAGCTGGGGCTGAGGGTCTTCGTGTACAAAGATTTGTATTCTGCAAAGGACCAATCACTAGTCGGCTCAACTGATCTATACGGATATGATGACTTACGTTGCTATCCCACTTACCTATTAGCCTCGCGCGGCGTGCTCCCCAGAGTTGACAGTGTTGCAGAATCTTACCCGAGAGTGCGAGTAAAGCTGTGGCTATGTCAAATGACTACAAGATCCCCTATGTGGTTATGCGAGGTACAACTTTAGGAGAATTACAGATATAAGGATAGGTGGCAGATGCTTTCAACCATCATTATCATCGCAAACAATTTCTCAACAGCCTCAATACATTCATTGGACACTCCCACCACAGCTTGAGTTCTTCTCGGTCTCAGTCGAACATTTTACACCATGGTATCGAGTACATTCATCGTGGCCCTTGTTTTAGGAGTTACACATGCCTTTCCAACACCCATGGGCAACAGCCCGGACGACAATACCGACCTCATTGCTCAACTCATTACCACGCCTACGCAGATCAAACGTTACCGGAAGCTACTCACCGACGAGTCGGGCAACAAACTTCTCGACGGCGATCGTCTGACTAATGCGACAATCTGGGATTTCGAGCAAAACGGCTTTGTCGTCCCTGGAGGGCAAGGCGGCCTCGCGAGCGCCGCCAACCTCGAAACATTCCCGTATCTCATCAACAGCGGTGTGACCCTGACAATGGGTACTCTCGGCCCCTGCGGGATCTTTCTTCCACACGTGCACCCGCGCGCCAACGAGTTCTTCGTCGTCACCGAAGGCGAAGTCGACTTCGGCACACTGCTCGAGCTAGGCCTCTACGAGAACCTGGCACCCAATCCGGAGATCGGTGGAAAGTTGACGAAGAATAAAGGGACTCTGTTCCCCAAAGGAAGTGTGCATTACCAACTGAACAATGGTCCCGACTGTAAGCCTGCAACGATCTATGCGACGCTTACGAGCGAGGATGCAGGGAGCACGCCTATCCTGATGGATCCGCTTCGAGCAAATGTGACGGTGGGAATGAGGAAAAGGGTCGATGCAGGTGATTTTGAGAGTGTAAGGGCGGTCACTCCGCTTCATATCGCCGAGGTCGTGGATAAGTGTCTTGCGCGCTGCCATGTTTCTTAGGTAAATCAGACTGTAAAATAAGATTATGATCAAGGGAAACGAAATTAGGTTTATCTTTACCTAGTTGGCTGTACAGGAAACGTAAAATAGACGCACAAGAAAATATAATTCCGCGTTGAGCTACAGTACTTATCATCCTCATAACATTCACAGTAAACAAGTATACAAGTTCCGAAGAAGGTAAAAGCTGTAGGAGTGACTAAGGTGAAGGCGCTACCGATGGGTGGAATGTGAGTTGTCTTGAATGTACGCTTCAGAAGAAGCTGAAACACACGCCGGAACATTCATTCACGAAGCGGTCAGAGGTGATGCTCAAGCAAACACTGAGAGAAAAAGACTTGAGATATAAGTACGTTTTCCAACATAAAATGGTACCTAAAGAGTCCAGTCTTACTAACTGATGTCTCTCCGTGGAAGAACAGTAGGAAAGCACGACACCGGTGCGGAAGGTACCCTTGTGTCACCATAAGCCCTTATCCTGACACGAGCAACCTCCACATCGACTTTCGACTCCAATTTCACCGGAATATGCTTCAGCAGCACCGTCGTCACTATTGAGAAGCATGCAATCAACATACACCGCCAGCGGTAGGTACTACTTCAATGTATGGACATTGCTTACTAATTTAGTGGTGTTATACGTGATCTAGAGGCTCGCCAAATTGATGGATGCGACTTGACCATTAGTGACGATGGGAAATACTCATGGGCCGTGCCAACGAATAAAGCCTCCTGCTTCTCCGCTATGTTTACGCAGAGTCTGGTGCGAGGAATACTGTTTGCAGCGCCATTCAAACGTCATCTATCAAAGTTCATCTAACGCTGTGATAGGAGAATGTCAAAAAGCGCCCGTATAAACCCTCGATCTACAAGAACATGGGGCCATCGGTCATGGACACTATAGTTCACCATTGGTTTCACAGTGGCTACGACATCGACGTTATATCAGTCGACGATGGCCAGATGACGATAAAGCTGAATCATACTACCAACTCTGCCACATGTGTGTGTCCAAAGCTAGTGTGTCATGCCTTTCCCACTTAGCTGAAATATGTACCACACTGTCTTAAGTCACACTAATCAACAAGCCTTGTAACACCAACGCATGCTGAATTACACTTTCCATGTTTCACTTGAGCAAAAGAAACACATGTGATCATGGCATCTACTTGTTGGCTCAAAACAGCAGCGAACATGCGCCGTCACTTGCTTATTTCTTAGATTATTTTACAATTTGATTTTCATCTGCCATTTAATGCTACCCGGGCACCGAACTTAACGTAAGGGAGGAAAAAGGGCAGGCATCATAGCTATGTTTATATTTCTAAGCGAGTGGTGTGCCAAGTACGCTTCTACAGTGATGACAAAAAAAGATCACCATGGTGGTCAGTGACACCAGCAAGAAAGGTGGCCTTGATGGAGACATGCACGAAAGTTTTGAGCAGACAGCGCATGTGGGTGATGTCCGTGTGCTTCCAATTCCACAAGGCCAGGAGATCATGACAATACATGACCTTATAATCACAGACAGGGGCCGAGTAGGAGTTCTCGACTTAACAGGTTCGCAGAAAGACCATCATGAAAGTCGATGTCGGGCTGTAATGGTGAGCTTCATCACCACAGAGCGATGGAGTAGCCGCGAGGAGGAAATTCCCCACCAGGCACGTTCGTTGTGCTTTCGTTGTACGATCATTGTTCATGAACATGGCACATCGATCCTGTTTGAAGTTTTGAGAGGCCCCGATCAGAGGGAAAAGAATATAGATTGCATCTTCATCCTTTTAGTCCCCCATGTCCACGTACTTCGCCCCGTTTTAGAGAGTAGAGTGCAGAGAAGTGCGCATTGAAAGCAAGGGCGAGACAGTGGTATCTATGCCTCCAGAGTTTCCAAGGTACGATAAGATGAAGTTTAAACGATTTACTATTTACAGGTAATGTGGGGTGCTACTTGAGTGGTCGCCACGTATATACAATCCGCCCGCACCCTGAATATTTGTACAACACATCAACACAGAAGTGCTGGTCCTAGTGCAGCCGTGCGTCCCTGTTCTATAACCGCACGTCATCCTAGCCACCCTTTGACCGTATTTTCCAACGCCTTAATCGCATTGTACTGCGCATCCATCTTCCTGACTTTCGTCTCCGTCGACTTCTCCGCCGACTTTTCGACCCTTTTCTTCTTCCTAGCATACATACTGATCGATACATATTTTCCCTCCCTTATATTCATCAACCTGCTCAAACGATTCTCCATCTCCTTGGCACGAAGCAACTTATGTATAACACCCGTCATATGATCACTGCCAAAGAACAGGTTCTTGTCGAACGAGCAAAGCTGCGCGTATCTGTGCGTGATATTCGCAAGCTTGCGCAGCGCTCGGCCCTGTCTCTGTCCATGGGATTTCCGCCCGCGGCGCGACATGATCATGCTGGTGAACTGCCACCGGAGACGCATGTGCAGCCCGTACACAACGACGGCGGAGTTGTTGGCGGTGAGGGCCATGTCTGCGCGGAAGCTTCTCACAGTGAGTGTTTTATTCATGGATGTCGCCAGCGACGTGGTGACCCCAAAGATCTTGTTCGCAAGGTCCGCGACTACGAGCCTATGAAGTGTGAGGCCGATCTGGTCTTGCAGGCTGTCGATGATGGCCTGCATCTGGCGAGTGGTCTCAGACAGCTCAGCAAGGAGGCGTTTGGGCGTGAGGCGGACGTTTGTAAACCGGAGAATGCCGGTCTCGTAGCTGTTGTCGCCGACGCCACGAAGCGCGCCCGTGGGTACAAGGGTGGTGTTTTCGAGTCCGTCCCTGTAGATTTTATTCATCCTAATCGTGGCCATCACGTTCTCAAAGTCCTTCTCATACACGCCAACCCAATGTGCGCTTTCATTCGTTGCGCTTTTGAGCCATGACACAAAACTTCTAGGGATATCGGTTGCAACCTTCCTTATAAGCTCGGGTCCATCATCCCTATACCTTCGAATAGCGGCCATGGCTTTATGGTACTGGTACGTGAGGTCTTCGACTTCTTTGAAAGAATTCGAGAGCATTTTGCGCATGGATGGGGGAAATGTCGGAGGCAGAGGCTTCATCTTAGGCTTGGGCTGGCGCACAGCGAGATCCATACGTAGACCGTTCTGTCGCCGGATCTGGTTCATGAGCTCTCGATATGTTCGTACGTAGCGGGCGACTTTTCGGTCCACGCGGCGGAGGCTGTCGGTGCAGTATACCAGCTCGTCTCTTGGTGGAGTGTCGAGTTTGTAGGAGCGGATCAGCGGCTGCTCAGGTACAGGAACTTTTGCTGTCTTCTTTAGTCGGCTAATGCTATAGGGAGGTTTTCGAATCGCAGTAGCAACTTCGAGGTTTTGATGTGGATTAGATGAAGAATGTGCTGCGAGGATCTGCGGTTGCTCTCCTGTAACCATCGATTTTGTTGGAGATTTTTTTCGTGCGGCTAAAAGCCTTCTTGCAACATCGTCTTCTCGCGACGAGTGTGATTTGGTCCCGCTTGCCCCTGAGAGACTTTTAAAAATCGAATCACCCAGGCCCAAGAATCGTGGCATGGAATCTCCATACAAGATTTTGGCCAAGTCAAGATGATAGTGGGAGGGCTTAGATTCATGGCAATCACGAAAGGACTACTCTTACATTAGATACAGTACATACGATTACTTGTCCTGACCACCTACATCCACGTCATCTTCTGAGCTACTCTCGGTCCTCCAGTTCAGCACGGAGAAGCGTGAAAAAGGCACATCAACTGTGCTTGTGCCAACGGTCGAGAAGCCGTCTTCCTGTCCGAGTTTGAAACGGCGACTGATGACCATACCTCCCTCCGCCAATCCACCGAAAGTGGACTTGTAAACGGAGATTTCTTTCCTTCCTGCGGTGCCAGTTTCCCCAAGAGCAACCGGCATGGCGTCAGTCGTACTCGGGATAGTTCCGAGCTCCAGGCCCCACACTTGCTCGCCACCGTGGCTGCCGGTAATGAAATCATCCTTTGCGGGAACCGAAGGAGAGATGAAGAACTGCACCCAGTCCCCAGGCCGAGCAACTTGTTGGAGAGCCGAGTCAAGATCAGGGCCTTCTTCGCCAAAGTTTTCCTCAAAGTTTCCCTCCAAGATTTCCTCCGGGTCACTTAGTTCATCTGCGAAGTTGATGCCCCTAGTGGGAATAGGATCCAGCGAGAGAAGGCCGGCTTTCTTGCCCCAGCCACCTCCGCCGCTTAACACACGATGCAAACGAGCACCATTCTTTAGGGCAACCGGCACCAACGGAGACCAACAGGGAGGATCTTGCTTCCACAGATTTTCCCATTGCTTTTCTTCGCTCTGATCTTGGAGAGATAAAGATGTCTCTTCACTGCTGTCCACATTGCGATGGGGACCCATAACGAGAGCCCAGACAGTGGTCGCCTGAGACGGTTCACCACGGGTGCTGAAGTATCTCGGCACTTGTTGCTCCAGCTCCTGAGAAGCGGTGATACTTGCGCCATGCGGGCCTGTGATTCTCCGAAGGATATTGCCCATACTTGCCTCCACCTCACGCGGCTTGGACAAAGGAACAAGAGGCACACTCAATACGGTGGACTGTATGTCGCTCTCGACCTTCATTCGAATTCCATGATGGGAAATGTTCCGCTTCTCTTTCAACGTAAATTCATGTGAGCCTTTTGCTTTCTCCCACGTCGAGTATGTCATCATCGTGGGCGAGCCAGTCTGGAACACAGTGTTGGCTAGCGGTAACCGGACAGTATCACTAAAGTGGCCGCCGTCATCATCCGATCTTTCAAAAGTTACGAAACTGATGGCTGCTTTGTCCGTGCCAACGCCGGAGGAAGTCGGCAGAGAGTCAGATGGGCTAAGGGCAGCATATGCGATTCCTTCCTGCCCGATTTCCTGCACGTTTGGGTCCTGTATCCGCTGCCGGACTTCCTCTTCTATGTTATCGACATTCCCGACTGGTCGCGATATAGGCAGCTTGTCGACGACGGCGCAAAGTGCGTGCACCTGAGCGTATGGAGTTTCAGTGCGATCCAGGAGGTGTGCGTAGGTGCGTTTGAGGGCTTTGTGGAGAAAGACTTGGTCATCCAAGAGCCATGTCGCGAATGAGGGCGTTACAAAGAAGACGATGAATCGATCTTTGAAAACGCGTTGCCGTAGTACAGGCTTGATGTGAACGATTAGATCCTCTGGGCGCTGTTACCATTAGCATTGCTCTTGATGCGTCATGTATAGTCCTTACTGTATTCGTGACTGACGACGGAACGATGATAGCACTGTTGACATTTCTAAACAGTTTCTTTGCACCTGGCTGCGCAGAGCTTTGGGTGTGAAAGTGCAGGTTTACAGGGCCGCGAAAGCGCTGGCGGCGGCAGAGGTCACCGAAGACGGATCGCGAACAGCCCCAGGCATGCCATTGTCGCGCAACCCAAGGATGCATAGGTGGGTTCAGTTGATCATGACTTTCGTCTCAGGCGCAAAGTCGCTCAAAGTCTTGAGATCATGATCCAGTTTCGCGCTAGCAGCTGGAGCTGACTAAGTTACTCGCTGTCACGTGTCGTCAATTCAGCTGCAGGCATTTGGGCGACTTGGAAACCATGTGCAGGCGGTAGCGGAACTGGCGTAGAGACACATTGGCATCGTTCTGGTCGACGGCCGTGGTCAATTGAGACGTCTGGTCTGAGAGAAAGATGATACACTAGTAGTGATGGAGGTTGACGATCTGCGAAGCCTGAGAGGCGCTGGAGGAGATAACGGTGGTCGCAGAGGGCGATCTCATCTAGCTGCGTCGGACTACTGGTGCGCACGGACGTGGTCTTTTGAGGCTCCGCTGGAAATGCAGGCAAGGGCGAATCGCAGATTGGCAGACGACAGCTGGCATCCCTCATCCCCTGCTCTGGAGAACGACGTCGTCTCGGCCGCTTCTGCGCACTCTCGCCAGTAAATATCCATCCTTCGCCCGCGCCCCCAGCCCTCGGAGCGGCTCACTCCTAGAAATCTCAAGGTGTCCCGTTCGCGCCTGCCCGCGCACCCACGCCGCACCTGCCCTCTTCGAATCTGATGCGACGTCCATAGAATTCTCTCGTCACCGGCAGCGCACCGCCGCTTCTCTCCTTATCGCAAAGATGCCCTCTCCACGCTCGTTACGCCGCCAGAACCCCATCACGTTTGTCCTTGCGGGCATCCTGTGCATTGGCTTCTTCCTATTCTTCTTCTCCAGCAATGACGGCACCGCGGTATCGTCAGGCTCGGGGTCCGGCCGCACATCTTCAAGCGTCTTATCCCCGCCATCGCTGCCCTTCCGCAAGTCCAAGGCGAACGAGCCGCACTCGGCGCCGCCTGTCGAGCATTACTTCATGAACAACGTCACCCAGTCGCGCAACCCCGCCGAGAACAAGGAGAAGGTGCTCATCTTGACGCCGCTTGCGCGCTTCTACCAGGCATACTGGGACAACCTCAACAAGATCGCCTACCCGCACGATCTCATTTCGCTTGGCTTCATCATCCCTAAGACCAAGGAGGGCAACCAGGCATACGCCGACTTGCAGAAGCAGGTCACCAAGACGCAGAGCGGGCCCAAAGCCAAGCGCTTTGCGAGCATCACCATTCTCCGACAGGATACGGAGAATCCTCTCATGTCCCAAAACGAGGCGGAAAGGCACAAGATGGAGAACCAGAAGGCACGTCGTGCAGCCATGGCAAAAGCACGGAACTCGCTTCTTTTCACCACGCTGGGGCCCACCACTTCCTGGGTTCTTTGGCTGGACGCCGATATCGTCGAATTCCCTCCGACGCTGATCCAGGATTTGGCCGACTATGATGCACCCATTGTTGCGCCCAACTGCTTCCAGCGCTATTACAACAATGATAAGAAGGCTATGGACGTAAGGCCTTATGATTACAACAATTGGATCGATAGCTCGACAGCAAAAGAAATGGCCGCCAAGATGGGCAAGGACGACATCCTGCTGGAGGGATATGCCGAGATGCCCACCTACCGCACCTTGATGGCTATGATGCACGACCCTTCAGCCGACCCTGGCACCAAAATCAAGCTCGATGGTGTAGGTGGTGCTGCTCTCCTTGTTAAGGCGGATGTCCACCGTGATGGAGCCATGTTCCCACCTTTCCCATTTTACCACCTGATCGAAACCGAGGGCTTTGCAAAGATGGCGAAGCGACTGAACTGGGACAGCTACGGTTTGCCCAATTATCTTGTAAGCCTCACCTCAACCCATAACTGATTCCAATTCTAAGATCTTTAGGTATACCACTATAACGAGTGAATGCTCGCCGAGGAACTACATTTTGTCTGGACTGTTTTGGCGAGCATTGGGCGGCGTTTTCGGCTTGTGGAGGCTCCCGACGTACTTTCAAAGAGTTCGGATTTTGTCGAATGTATCAATTATGTGTTTTCATTTTCTTTGATCTTGTCTAGACCCAGCTACAGGAGTACCGCGTTGGCGGCGGAATGTCCAAATGTTGCACCATCGCCCCCACCATCTACTACCAATCTGTGGGATACTGTGTTCAACGTGGCCAATGCTCCATTACTATATACGCGCACCCTCACGAATTGTTATCGAACCTTTCAGCGGTCTTTCCTACGGGCACCATTTCTGCGACTGATGTTGGAACTACCTACAACAGGAGCTTCGCCGACGACCCGACAGCGGGACGTCCCGCATCCATTCATGGAAGCAACGCACGTGCGCGAACAGCATACCCTCAGTTTCGGAGATTCTACCCCACGATCGATGCATATCGCGCCCTCTACTGTTTGAACGCCTGAAAATCCACGGAGCCGGCTTCCTGAGCCCCAGCACCAAGCCAACACTAAATCCTTCCTATCATAGGTCAGTGCTCTCCGGCGACCGCCCGCAATGGCGTCAACTCTTCCTGCAAGCACGCACCCGCACTACACCATTCCCAGTTCCACTCCTCTGCCTTCCCGCCCGCCACGCTCGAAATCTGCGCAAGTCGAATCCGCTTTGTTGACGTTGATAATGCAGGCGCAAAAAACGCCCAACGCCGCTGTCCCGCCACAATGGGCGGCCAAGATCCGGCCCGTGTGAGCGATCGCGAATCCTCCTCCCTAGACCATCCAGAGGCTCCCCGACCTTCGCTAGACCATAAGAGCATTTCCTTTGCAGACGCGGATGCCAACACAGACTCTTCATCTACGAGCCGGAAACGCAATCTCCGCCCGAGGGCAGACGACGAGGATAGACACCACGACGAGGACGGCGCGGCACGAGAGATGTCGACCTTGAACTCAGACGAGTCGGCGCCGATAATGCGGGGCGCACGCAATGGTATAGATTATAACGCTATATCGCCACGGTTATCTGCAAGATCTACTGGTGCGGACTCGGGGACCCGGCAGGAAGGCACACAAGGGAGTATACAGCGAGGACACGAGCAGCAGCTTGCAGAGCGAGAGGCAGCGGATGTAGAGCGGAAAGAGGGGACATTTTGGGCAGGGTTCTGGGAAAAGTATGGCAGCGTAGAGTTGGAGAACAAAGGGTCCGTTGCGAGGGATCATCTGGCACTGGGTATGTCGACCCTAGTAGGCCTGTTTATATCATGCCAAATTGTTACCGCCGAATGATCAGTTGGACCATGCTGACAGCGCACCACAGAACGAACCTTCCTCGCCTGGCTCCGCACCTCCCTCTCCTTTGCTTCCATTGGTATCGCCGTAACACAGCTCTTCCGCCTCAACTCCTCCATAACCGATTCCCCTTCTTCTCCCAACGGCGAGTCTCCTGCTGCGCACCTCCGCCACGTTGGCAAGCCCCTCGGCGCCACCTTTGTCGCCATCTCCATCGTCATCCTCGGCATCGGATTCCACCGCTACTTCGAGGCTCAGCACTATGTCATTCGCGGCAAGTTCCCCGCGAGCAGGGGCAGCGTGATTGCAGTCAGTCTGATCGCTGGCGCGTTGATATTGTGTAGTTTAATTGTTATCTTGGCGGTTGCGCCAAGATCGTTTGAGAAGTAGCGAGCATGGGGAAGTGCAGTGTGATGGAGAGACTGAGAGAAGATAGTTTGCATGACTCGAGCCTGGAGTTACGCATATACCGAGTACGGTAGAACAAAGCTAGACAAGTAAGTCAGACGAGTAAGAGTGATTTAAAGTGGGTATCTCAATTAAGTACCGTAAATTGCTCGGATCTATGTACTGAGCTGAAAAACATCGCCTTCTGCGCGATGTTGTTAGATGGCGATCGTTTTGACCAAGCCTTATCTGTCCCGTGCTTATTTCGTCCACCGTCATGATCCGTAAATTCTCGCCCTCGACACAGACCTTGGAGTCTCCTTCGTGGCATCTCACCCGCTTCCTCCTATTCTTCCACCTAATTCGTCATCTCCATCGTGCTCTTGCCCGCACGCGAGTTCTTGATAACCTTGGTGATCGTCTCCTCGACCGTGTCCCAGTCGTCCAAGGGCAGCGGCAGCACCTCCGTTTTGTAGTAGTCGGCAATGGCGTGGAGTTGCTCCCAGGTTTGCCTATCGTGGATGAGCGTCAAAGCGACTCCGACACGTCCGAAGCGACCGGTTCGACCAATGCGGTGGAGATAGGTTTCGGGGTCCGGATCGCGGCCGTTAGCCATCGTGGGGACGTCGAAGTTAATGACCATAGTAACGGATTGAACATCGATGCCACGCGCAAGGACATTGGTGGTGATGAGTACCTTGGCATCGCCATTCCTGAAGGCGTCGATGACCCGGTCTCGCGCATCTCCTTCCAGGTTGCCGCTAAGTTGGGCAACCTTGTGTCCGTCTGCAGTCATGCGCGCCTCGAGCTCTTCAGCGGTCTGCTTCTTTCGGACAAAGATGATTGATGAAGCCTGAGACATAAGACCGTAGAACTTGAGAAGCACATCGTATTTTCCGCTCTCCGATGGGCAGTCGATGCACAGCTGCTTGATGCCCTCGATGGTAAGTTCCTCGTGAGCAAGCGTGATGACGTTGGCGTTTGGTGCAAACCTCTGTGCGAAGTTGATGACATGGTCAGGGAATGTCGCGGAGAACAGCACTGTCTGGAAACTACCCGGGATGAGTGCCTTGACACGCGTGCACTGCTCACCAAGACCACCTTGATCCAACATGTTGTCAGCTTCGTCAAGGACCAGGATCTTGATGCTCCTGGGGTCGAGGAGGCGCCGCCGAATCATGTCCATTGCGGTACCCGGAGTACCAACAAGGACGTGAGCCTCGTATTTCATCCCGCGGCGTGAGGGGTCTGGGACGGCTGCCATCGTCTTCAAACCCTCGATAAATTGTCCCATGTGAGAGATGACGCCTAGAATTTGACGAGCGAGCTCTCGACTCGGCGCGAGAACGAGGGCTTGTGGCGCGACGTTGTTGATATCGATCCGCGAGAGAATGTTCAGCGAGAAAGCGGCCGTCTTGCCCGTTCCGGATTGCGACTGGGCAATCATGTTCTGAGGCGGGTTGATCAGGAGCAGCGGAAGGGCCTTCTCTTGGATCTTTGAGGGCTTGCGGAAGTTCATTTGGTGAATGCCTTTCAGCAGCTCATCGGACCTGCCAGTGAGTTAGCGGGGCTGGTTGTGACTACATGCATTGCTGGTGGGGGAGCACACAATTGAAGTTCCTCGAAGGTCTTAGCAGAGAACAGCGGATTGTTGGGGTCAGCTTGGAGGTCCGCAAGCTTGACCTCGACCTTGAGCTCCGTGTCAGCAAGCGGGTTGCCATTGCCTGGCGATCCTGCGCCGTCAACCTGGTCGGCGGCGGGCTTCTCGACAGGCTTCTCAGCAGCGGGCTGATCGGCAGTGGGAGCCTGAGTGGACTCAGCGGTGGTCTCGGTGGACTCGACGGGCTTCGAGGCCTCGGCGGCGGGTGGCGAGGAGCTCTCTGCGGCGGCCATGTTTGTCGGGCGGTGTGGTGCGGGGAAGTCGGAGAGTGAACGCGCAGGCCGTTTCTGGATTTATCAATGGGCGTCAGTGGCAGAGAACAAAGAGCGCGCGACTGCGGCGGAGTGAACAAGGGACTACGTCGAGCGGCTCGTGTGCGAGCTTCGAGGTTGGGGTCGAGGGCAGTGGTTCGGAATTTGGTCAAATGTAAACGGGAAGCGCGATCCTGGCGGCATGGCGGGGCAGGTACCGTCAGGCAGCCACTAGGCCGCTTTAGGCACCCGCGTGCGTGAATGCTGCCCGCCGTCAACCCGTGGTGCCGTCGGCCCAGCCAACGGCCCAGCCTTCGACTAGACCCCACGCCTGTTCCTCCTCCATGGGCTGTGCCGCTCTGCTGTCCCCCAGACGCTCCTCTGCACCGCTCGCCGCAGTATGGAAGTTGACATTGCGCCTCAATTTGGCGCCGAGCTGAAGGTACCGCCCATCCCGTCCACAACGCACAATGTAGACTAAGTCAAGACCCGCAGGATGGCTTCAAGAATGTCAACGCATGGGTACGTATGCTCGAGGCCCACCATGTGCTTGCACATCCTGAGCACTCCGGCCCTTTTCCCCGGCCTTGTCTGCGGAGCTGATGGAACAATCTCAGGTCTCGGGCGGCATAGCTTGGCTGGACGACATCCAACAATTCTACCGGGAGAGAAGTGTCATAGAGCGCGAATATGCTGCGAAGCTGAGCGCACTGGCAAAGAAGTACTACGAGAAGAAGGCGAGGAAGTCAAGCGCCTTGAGCGTGGGCGAGACTCCGACCGTGACCCCGGGCTCGCTGGAAAGCGCATCCATGACCACCTGGGGAGTCCAGCTATCGACGCTCGAGTCGCGTGCCTCCGAACACGACCAGTTCGCAACCGCGCTCGTTTCCAACCTCGCCGACCCTCTCAAGTTCTACGCTACACGATACGAAGAGCTGCGCAAGTTGCACGCTGATCATGCTGCCAAACTGGAAAAGGAGCGCGACTCCACATATGCAGACTTGAGGAAGATGAAGGGAAAATACGACAGCGTCTGTCAGGAGGTGGAGAACCGCCGGAAGAAGACTGAGGGTGCATTCGATCATGGGAAACAGAAGGCGCGCAACGCATTTGAGCAACAACAGGGCGAAATGCGCAACGTCAAGAACACCTATGTTATCACTATCAATGTCACGAATAAGCAGAAGGAGATGTACTACCACGAATACGTCCCCGAGGTACTTGACAGTCTCCAAGATCTGTCCGAGACGAGAGTCACAAAACTGAATTCCATATGGGCGCTCGCCGCGCAAATCGAGACGCAAACCCTCACGCGAAGTACCGACTTCCTGAAACATCTTTCTTCCGAGATCCCTCGAAATAATCCTGCGCTTGACTCCATGATGTTCGTTAGACACAACGCGGGTTCGTGGCAAGAGCCCGCCGACTTTCAGTTCGAACCAAGCCCAGTATGGCTGGACGATGGATCCATTGCAACCGATGAAGCAGCGGCCGTTTTCCTTCGCAACGTCCTCACCAAGTCAAAGGCAGCGTTACAAGAGCATCGGCGCGAGCTGGATAAGAAAAGAAAAGAAGTGGAAGGTGCAAGAAAAGTGCGTCAAAATATCAGGGATGGCAAAGACAAGAGAGATGAAGTGGAAGTCGTGCGCGCTATTTTCGCTCTCCAGGAGAGTGTACACGAGGTCGAGCGCCAGAAGGTCAATGCCGAAGTAGAGGTGTCGACAATCACCTCCGTTGTGGGTGACTTGAGCTTGGGCGCTAGGAGCCATAACTTCAAGTCTCAAACTTTCAAGATACCCACAAATTGTGACCTGTGCGGAGATCGAATATGGGGGCTGTCCGCAAAAGGTTTCGATTGCAAAGACTGTGGTTATACGTGCCACAGCAAGTGTGAGCTCAAAGTTCCTGCCGACTGCCCGGGTGAACAGACCAAGGAAGAGAAAAAGAAGCTTAAGGACGAGCGACAGAAATCCGCTGGCGCTGCACCACCGCCGTCGAACGGCAATGCAGCAACAACCAACATGCCCGCTCTAAGTCGCAGCGACACAGTAAACTCAATGAACACTTTGAGCTCTGGCTACTCGGCAACGGCCAATCGATCTATCTCAGGTGGTCTGACGCCCACAAACGAAGAAACTCCTGCGCCGGAGAAGAAACCAACCGTAGCAGCTCCTAGAAGGAACCGTATCGTCGCACCGCCACCTGCCCAGTACATCAAAAGCGATGACCCAGATATCCCACTACCCAGTCCGTCGAAATCTATGGACCAGAAAGGACGCATGCTCTACCCATACCAACAAGGCAGTGAGGGCGAGTTGACGGTGGCCGACGGCAGAGATGTCACAATCCTAGAACCCGATGGTAAGAACACGGCACGTTGCATACGCTTCTGGACTAACGATGTGCTGCACAGACGGCACCGGTTGGATGAAAGTCCGCGCCGGCTCGAAAGAGGGGCTCGTGCCCGCATCCTACGTCGAAATTCTTCCCCTTACGCCTCCCTCCTCCAATCGCCCCGATTCCACCTACTCAGCTTCCTCCGCGTCACTAGCAGGTAGCGTCGCCGGTGGTGGCACTATTAAGAAGAAGGGTCCAGCAGTTGCACCCAAACGTGGTGCGAAGAAGCTGAAGTACGTAGAAGCAATGTACGACTATACGGCGCAGAGCGATGCCGAGCATAGCATGTCCGAAGGTGAACGACTTGTCCTCATCAACATGGACGCTGGCGATGGATGGGCGGACGTCGAGAAGGATGGCGTGACGAGGAGCGTGCCAGCGAATTACATTCAGCAAGTTTAGTTGTGTTCGGACCGCAAAAGCATGGCATCTTGGTAAATGAGAACCAGTTTTTGCATGCTAGCGTGCGAGCGTGCGAGCGAGGCGTTCTACCGCCGACGATAGAAAGCATGTGTACTCTTACGAACAATGCATTGTTGTGTATGATGTCCCATCCGCTGGCCACGCTCGGAAGGGCCTCGTGGGCCTCAAACTTTGTTCGCATTTCACGTGGAGAAACGTTTGTACCACCTCTATACGACGACCTGCATGAGACATTTTCGCTTTGTCGATGTCCTGCAGGTACACGGTGTGACGCGGTTGGCGATCACAATAGATTGGACCTGCACGCAACTGCATTGCACCCCAGCTGCTCTTGACCCACTGCGCCACCACTGATGTTAGACTTGCAAGGTTGTCGACCCGCCGAACTCGCAATGACAGAATGACATGCACTGCACCGTTCTCGTGAATTACTATGGGGCGTGCCAATCCTGCGCGCGATGCTGGACCCGCCTCGCAAGCGCCGCACCCTGCATCGTCGGCGCTTGGAGCTTTGGGTACGACATCACTCCTCAGCGTCACCCTCACCTATCATGCCATTGCACGGTATCGGATTTGGACACGGCGTTCTGCCGGCGACACGCTCGCTTAAGCTCGTCGAATTTGCTGCAAGGTGACCGAACTTCTTCTAGTACCGGCGTACAGAGTACACAGAGTGGATGCGTGACGCTATACGCTGGGTGAAACACTACCTCATGTTGGTCAATACCACTACTATGAACGAGATGCACTGATGTGGGCTCACAGGATGATATTCCTCTGGCATCCAGAAGCTGCCTGCTTGCTTCGCCTCAAGGGTTCGCATTCCACCTCCGGGCGGCGAGTTGTGGCACGCAGGGATAAACAACGTGCCTGGATTGAGGCATAGTACCAGTGTACGACGTTTTTCGTAGTACAGACAGGTCGACAAGACCAATTGTCCTGCGCACACATGCGAAGATGAATGCGCTGGCCTGCCCGGAGAGCTGGCTGTCCGCGCGACTGTGCCGCAGAGACACAGCGCTTGCCGCCCGCTATACTTGGCCATGCAATCTGCTCAGGAGAAGGCTGTGGCACAGCTCATGGCCATCCGCCGCGCTGAACGTTATATTCAATGAGCGACTGCGCTCGATGCAACCGTACCACAAGTCTACTGCTGGCGTTGCTGTCCATCTCCTACCCAATTGACCCCAGTCTTTCGTTTCCCGCCGAATCCTCTCATCTCTAATAGCTTGTCAAGCCTAACAATCTCGAACACGTCTAGACTCGTCCGTCGCTCCCTCGTTTCGACTCGGTGAGGTACGGTGGCAATCGCTTTGTCAAGTCTTCACCGTCACCCTCACACTCGCTTTGTGCACAGACGATCCAGCCGACGCTCATTACCGCTGTGAAGAAAGAAGGACCCGGCCCAGATTCGAGAGTCTCGTTCCTGAGCCCATTCCCACGACCGCAATTCGTAAAAAGGGCAGGCGCGATCGCAGTCTTGGCACCCTCATAGCAAACAACAAGACCTGGCGCACCCCGCCACTCACAAACACTCCCCCTTTCAGTTCTACTGCGACCTTCAATCTCTTCCTCCAGTTGCGGCACTCTCCTCTTCTTATTGTTTCGTCACCCTACCCGGAGTCCTGTCTCCATTTCACTCCTTAGGCTCCCCAGTATCTTTCTTCGGCCGCGCCCACCTTCATTCCTCAGACCATAAGCCACAAAGTTTCCGCTCACTGTACACCGCCGGACCTTTCAGTTGCGTGCGTGGACCGGTCTTTTGCCATTGTACGTTCTTCTGCTGCAGGCGCGCTGGTTTCCAGTAGACCACCGCGCTCGCCAACAGTGGCTAATTGGACAGTAGCACTATCAACCCCAGTTACCTTGGCGTGTTGGTAAGCACCCAAGGCAGGAACCATGAAATACCTCTCTGTGGCCCTCGCCACGGCCGCTGCGACGGCCCTGGCGAAGCCCCATGGACATGCGCATGCGCACCGCCATGCAGCCGTTGCTAAGCGCGCGGCTACGGCAGTCTACATTCCTGGCCCCGTCGAAACGGTCGTTGTTTACGAGCTCAACGGTCACTCAATCAGCGAAGAGGATGTGCGCAACGGAATCGCGAATGGTACCCTCACCTGGGGTGAGGACGGCACTCTCTCATCGTCTGCCGCTGTCACACCAACATCAGCCCCACCGGCGAAATCCCAGCCTGTGGACATCAGCAATGTTGCGCAGGACCCTGAGCCCGTCGAACAGTCGGAACCGGAACTTCCTGCCTCAACCTCAGAACCTACGGAGCAGCCAGCTGAATACAACGAGGCGCCCGACCCGTCGTCATACCGTCCAGTTGGCGAGGATGGCAGCTGTTCCGACTGCGACAAGCCGTTCCCCAACCGCAAATTCAAATGCAGCGAGTTTCCTGCTGGTTACGGCGCGTTCCATCTCGGCAACGAAGGCCTTGGTGGCTGGTCTGGTATCCAAGCTCCTGCGAAGCGCGATGTGGCTGGCTACCACGATATCATGACTGTCCCAACAGGTTCCTGCCCCGATGGCGGATGTTGCTCGCCCGGTCGATTCTGCTCTTACGCTTGTCCGAACCCTTATCTCAAGATGTCGTTCCCGAAGATGCAGGGCGCAAAGAAAGAGTCGGTCGGTGGGCTCTTCTGCAACAGCGATGGCATGCTAGAGATGGCTGATGGCTCCCTCTCCAAGACTCTTTGCGGCAGGGGCTCTAGTCGTGTCAGAGTCATGATTCAGAGCAAGCTTTCCAAGCCAGTCTCCCTTTGTCGGACTGATTACCCTGGTACGTGCAATATCACTGTGGAGAAATTCTACTAACTGGCCATAGGAACTGAGAGTGAGACTCTCCCTCTTATCGTCAATCCTGGAGAGACCAAAGAGCTTGCCAATCCGGATCAGAAGTCGTACTATTTCTGGGACAACAAGCCTACGTCTGCCCAGTATTATGTCAACAACCAGGGTGTATCAGAGGCTCAAGCTTGCACGTGGGGCAATGGCCAAGGTGACACAGGCAATTGGGCTCCTGTGAACATCGGGACTTCTTTCGACGACATTCTTTCGAATATGGGCTACACTGGCCTTATGCAAAATAAGCCAACCAACCCTGGCGCGAAGCTCAACTTTGTGATTCGATTCACGGGTGACGGTGTCAGCAACCCTTGTTCCTACAAGAACGGGCAGTACTACAATTCGTACGGCGGGGGCAATCCCGATGGCTGCACAGTATGTTTTCACGTCAACAAGCCCGAGCTGTTCTAACTCTCTACAGGCAAGCGTTGCGGACGGTAAAACACTCACGATCGTGTTCAGCAATAACTAGCCGCGGCTCGAATCGTAGCGTTTCTGGGCGATTTCCTTTCTACAGTGTTTCTTTCTAGGCTTTAACAGCAATGTTGGTCAATACTTGACTATGTGGAAAGACTTTCTTCTCAACATCGAACCCCATCTCGACGGACTTTTTGGAGGCGTTTCGGATCTGCGCAAACTTCAACATGGATACCTGACGGCATGCGGTACCAATTATTCTCCGCGAGGAGCTTTTTTTCGACTTGTAAGTTCTTTGCTGCTTTCTGTACATTATATGCGGATCTGCCATGTGCGATACCGCTACCTAGTGTTGCTTTCTCTTTTTCAAGGCGTCTTCTTATCGGGCTCTGGGGAAGAAATGCGTTCGATGGATGCTGGGAAGAGGCGGAGTGTACTGGTGGTGGTATTGGCTGGTAAAGGTGCGGTTGGACGTTGGTGGCACAAGCATGCATGTGGTTGGGTGGTGTCATCATGGATTGGGTTCAAGTTTCGGATTGCTGTCATGGGGCGTTCGGGGAAATTCTGCTGGAGATGCGGTGGTTTGCAGATGGATCTGGGCGGCCTGAGATGGTTCGTGTCCAGTGTGCTATTCCATGGCCCACTCCTTTGAGCGATCCATTCGATGAAACTGTCATAACGAAAGCTCATACTTCTTTTGCGGTTGCATGTGTGAGTGAGCTGGACTACGTCCGCTGCTTGAGATGGCGCTATGAGGTGAATGATGCTCGGCGCAAGCTACTGTACACCACAAGTCATAAAGCAGAGGGGCTATACGTAATTTAGTGTGCCCCCTAGTGCACTACGGCAGACTATCTCCGAGGAACACGATCCTATGGTATGTGGCAATAAGAGTTACTAACAGCCCCCACCCCAAGCACCCACCTGGACATCACTCCCATTTCCAAGCACAGACGACGCGGGCGACCGGCAGAACGCCACAAACGAGCCTCGCACCTCTCCTCGTCACTCACGCCCACCACGCCGACTGCTAGCCCGCAGACGACCGTCACTGGAGAATGCATGTGACTGGAGTGTCTTACTGCGGGCTTCGCTCCATCGCCCTTCGGTTCCGGCCGAATGAGCCCACAGTACTGGAATAAACAAGCTGGATCTACATCCAAGGTTCACGTGGGAGAAAGCCCGGGGTCAATGGCTCCAAGCAGGGCGGGTTACCGCTTCGTGCCTAGGGAGACGCACGTGCGGACGCCCGCAACCTTGGAAAGCCGCCACCATGCATGCAGTGTGCGACCGAGGGTCTTGCGCTCCTGATGCGGACGCCTGCAGCCGCAGACACGGATTGGGGTGCTTTAATTCCGCGGCAGGAGCGGGGAAAGGAGCGGAGTTGACAGAGAGGGGTGGGTGAAGAGTGCAGAGGGGAGAGAACGAGACGGAGCACGGCGACGAGGTTTAGGAACACAGCGAGAGTCTAGTTGCAGGACGGCGGCTACGCTGTCGTAAAGTGGGGTATATTCAAGCATGCCAGTATGCTATACTACGCCATATGGGCGTTTTCGCTGGATCCTGATATCAGTGCCTAAGGAGCGAAATATGCCGAAACAACCATGCCCGTGGATATCGAATTGGAACAATGTATGAAGAGCAAGGGCTCAATCCGTCAAAGGTGAAAAAATATACAAAGAAGCATGTCGTGGATTCGTGGAGCTCGTTTAAGCATGCTGTGGGTGAGAGCGTGCGCCTGTCGAACATGTAAGAGCGTCTTGTGCTGGCAAATTTGAAGCAGATCACTAGAAGCTCCAACATGCCGGACCAGTTTAAGACCTGGTAATCTATGGGTACATCAGATGCAGGTATTGCTGCGACTACCAAGCTGCGAAGGTTGGGGGCGCCATCGCTCAGCAAGAATCTGGATGTGATCGACCAATTGCTTGGGTCTCAGGTCGGTGCAGTCGAGAACTCCGCAAATTGATTTGAGGAATTGGTGTCTCCTGGTGCAGCAAACCCTGGAAACGTATCCTGTTCATTGCCTTCCATCATCTCCAAAGCCACACCATTGTGTCCGCCGTGCGTCAGACAGCCAACGCACTCACAACCGTCGCCGCACTGGCAGGTGCCTGTCGCGTCATTGCAACCAGGCAGCACCATCTCCTGCCAGAGGAACGCCGAGGGTGATAAAGTGACAGTGTCCTCCTCTTTGCCTTCGCTTGGGCTGTCGGTAAAGGTGGGGCTTTGCACCTGTTCTTCGACCTTTAGGGGTGCAGAGGACTCCCTGCTATGGGCTGGTGCCGGGTTGCTGGAAGTGTTGGCATTTTCGAAATAAGCAGTCGCTGTTGTGTGAGGATTGTGCATGGAGCCCGGGTTGGCAGTATGTGGCCATGGGCCTGGTAGGTTCATTGGTGGATGCTGCATGGTCATGGTGTTGATGCTTGGCTGGAAGTTCATCTGGTTGGCAGGGAGGTAGGTGGTCTGCATAGGGTTCAAAGCGACGTTGGCTTCGGCACCAAATCCTGGTTGGTGAGGATAAGATGGTATATCGTAGGTTGGCGGAGGCATTGCACCAAACTGGCCTGTGCTCATGAATTGATGCATGGAACGGACATATTCAATCATGGTCGCGTTGTTCGGGTGTGCGGCGCAACCGAAACAGCTGCAAGAATCACCGCAGTGACAGTTGTGTTCTGGGTTGTGATGTGCGGCATGTCCGTTCATTGGTGTCATGGGCATAGATACCGGCGGCTGATAGCCAGATGCCATGTGGTTGTATATCGGCGTGTTGAAGTTGAACGGCGGCTGTGTATGCATAAAATTGTTTCCAGGGTGAGACATGCCAAACGGCGGCGTCGGAAATTGTGTCGGGTACTGAGTGAAGTTGGAGAGATGTTGTGGATAGTTCTGCGGCATATGAGGTTGTGGCATTAATGGTTGCGTTGGCTGAGCGGGAGTGGAACCTCCGCAACAAGACTTCTTCGCGGGCGCAGACTGAGGCGGTGGAGCTGCCTTGCTGCTGCAACAGCTGCCACTCTGCGCTTGTACGGGCTTAGGTTTGCAGCAGCTGGATACACCTTGGGAGGTTGCAGGTCGAGAAGTTGGAGCGGAGGATTGAGCGATAACTGGATCGACATCCTTCTGCAGTGGAGCTAGTCGTGGCGTCGAGCTCGCACTAGAAGGGTTCGACGCATTGTTGCTTTCGCTCGTTGGGGTTCCTGTGAGAAGAGATGAGGAATCGGTCTCGCCGTCCTGGGCGGCCTTGATTGCCTTTTCGAGTACGGCAGTATTGAAGGTCGTCGCGGTAGATTTGCGACCACGGGGTTTCTGAACGCGCCCGGTGCCATTGTTCACGAGCACTGGCGACGCAGCGTCGGATGGGCAGGCGCATTCTGAGGACTTGGGGATGGTGTAGTTGATGACGACTCGCTCGCAGCTACACGACCCAGTGGGGTGCGGACAGCTGCTGAGAGGTCGACCGGGCTTGCGGACCTCGACCAGCACCCGATCGCGATGGTCGCATTTTGAGGAGCGGTGACCTCGAATGCATGGGCCGCTACATTGGCATTAGTACGCAGGGACAAAGGCCGTTCGGCAAGCTTTCAGCCGAAGTTACAATGTGATGATGTTGGTGGATCACTATCCGGGTGGATACAGTAGCACGATGCAGAGCTCAAAGGGAACAAAAGAGGGGGGAAAGGGAGGTGTCACATACCAAGCGACCTTCTTTTTCTCGCCGTTGACCTCTGCCCACATGGTGAGGGCCCAGGAAAAGGACGATTATAATATGCTCATGAACCGCACAGACTAGACTCGCGCTTGGTGCCCGCAGGGTGAGGAATGGACGCGCAAGTAGGTGATCTTGATCTCAGCGGAAGGCACGTGGAAGCACGGGGGAGTACAGTGCCGCGGAGGACGGTGCTGGGTCAGGCTGGTTGACGGGGCCACTCAGATGTTCTGCGTTCCGCTATGGGCACACAGATGGGGCCGGGGACGTGCTATGGCGGTGCGACCCGAGTCCTCGTGGCTGTGGCTGCGGTCGGAAGAGGCCTGGCGTCCAGTCGGTAAGGCTGGCCAGCCGGCTGGATGATGGGAATGAAGCGGGTTGATTGATGCGAGCTGCGCAGGAACGAGCAGATTAATCTGCGCCTGGGGCAGGGAAAGGGAAAAGGCGAGAGGGAGGACGGAAGCGCGCCGAGAGCAGGTGCCGGGAAGAGCAGGTCGCAGGGAAGGTGCGGGAGCGCGTTTGCAGCTGCAGGTGCCCGTCGGCGGAGGGCTGGAATTGCGCACGGGGCTTCCTTGAAGGGATCGTGTTGAAGAGGCACTTGGTCACGTCGAGCGAGCCCGCCGCGGTGGCCGAGTGGTCTTGCGGGTCGTGGTCACAACTGGCGGGTTTGCGATGCAGAAGAGTGAGCAAGTTTCTACCAATCAGCGGCAGGCGCCGCCTGACGAGCGCGCGCTAGGTTCGAGACCGCCGGCGTGCACCCTGATCGGCCGGTGTTTGGGGCGTGAGACGGCTAGCGAGGGGCGACGCTGAGGTTGACGATCACGGGTGTCGCGGGCGGTGCGGACGAGTGCCTTCAATATAAAAATCGCGGTCCAGAAGGAACAAAGAGCGCCCAGTCCCTGCGTCTGCTCCCGTCGGTTGCACCACACGCGCCCGCGCCGGTTCAGACGACTAGCAAAACTCCGGAAACGCGCGTGGACGCTTGCGGGTTCAGGCCGCGGGCATCCCAACACGCAGCCATCATGGTCTGCCCCTCTCCGCCTGGCGCTTCTCATCGCCCGTGCTGAAACATTTCGAGGCCAAGCGAACGCCGCCTCCCAGCCCATGGCGCTGCACGTGACTGTGGGGTAGCCGAAAATTGACCTTCACGCCAAGCCTGTTGCCAATCGTGTTCGACTACGACATTTCCACCAGCCAGACGTCATCATGGCCGACGACGCCGAAGACGTGGGCATCGACCTCTTCCAGGAGCCCGAGGGCTTCTACCAACCAGAGAAGGAGCCCACCTTTGCGTCACACACCCTCCTGTCTGGGAAGGAGCTCAACATCAGATTAGTCGGCCATAATCCACTGTGGGTAAGATTCCCTTGCCGCCAAATAAGCATTCTTCTATCAAGCTTCGCCGTGTTCTCTGGAATACGTCAAAATCTGAAACATCCTCGAGATGCGCCATCGAGCTAAAACACCAAACTACCCGCCCGCCCGGTGCCAAGACATATGATACTGACGTTCCAAGGGCCACTTTCTTTGGAATGCCGGTCGAACACTTTCAGATTATCTAGAGGAGCGCGCAGAGTACCTCATAAAGGGTAAAAGCGTGCTCGAGCTCGGTGCAGGCGCTGGGCTGCCTAGCATTGTGTGCGCTCTCAGCGGAGCCAACGAGGTCGTCGTGACCGACTACCCAGACGCCGAGCTTGTTGAAAACCTACGGTACAATGTTGACCACTGTAATGCACTGCCCGAGCAAGTCAAATTCGCAGCTGAGGTATGCCACATTGTTAACCGTACAGTATCGTGACTGATGAGTGTAGGGGTATCTGTGGGGCGCACCGACGGATGAGCTGACCAAGAACCTTTCCGACAGCAGCGGGTTCGATGTGCTTATCCTCGCTGATCTCCTGTTCAACCACTCAGAGCACGCCAAACTTGTCAAGACCGTACAGCTTATGCTCAAGAAATCGCCAGACTCTCGTGCCTTCGTTTTCTTCACACCGTACCGCCCATGGCTGCTTGAGAAGGACTTAGCCTTCTTCGACTTAGCTCGGAAGTCGGGCTTTGTTGTCAATAAGACTTTCGAAAAGGTCATGGACAAGGTTATGTTCGAGAAGGATCCAGGCGTGAGCTTGCCCTTATCACGTGATAAAGATTTTCGCTGATTTCTCCAGGACGAGTTATTACGCCGGACAGTCTATGGATACGAGCTGACTTGGCCATCATGACATGGGCTTGTATTGCGAGCCTAAAAGACTGCCTCATCCATCAAGACATGCCCATGCTCCGATTCACATCCTGCATTTATCTAAGACATGGTCTTCAATATAGTCAGTCTACGCTATGGTACGAAACCAACAAGCCTTTTGGAACGGCCCCCAACCGAAGCCAGGTATCCCGCACAGCTTTGTTCTCTAACCATAGAAATTGAAATCACGACTTATACGCTGACAATGTAGTCAACACAACCTTCACCCAACGATTCGTGATGCACAATCATTGTTCTGTGTGTCCACTCTCCAAGCCTCGTGAACTTGCAACATCGATAGACACACGACCTACATTATCCTATACACACTCCTCTGATACGATTCCTTTCCTCGGCAGAATATAGGCACGCAAATCGCGTTATTTCCATTCTCTCTTTAGCAATCGCGGAGTCGGACGTACTTTCCTTTACCGTGTCCCATTCATTTAGCAAGACACGCCCTCAACCAAAAAAAAAAAAGGCCCTTACCAAGTATAGCTATTTTTCATCAAATTCAACTTGACTCTGCCTCCTTCGCCCGAAATGTCTGATTCCGATTCAAACCTAAGTTCGGAAGACGGTGTCGACGAGTGGAGTCTTGATTGCTCGACCACTTCTTCTGCGCCTGTCTCATATGCAAATTCGCAGACGTCACTTCAGTCTTCAAGCCTTGCTGTGCAGGAGCCGAAGCCACTCTCCGTCCTCGGCCAGCTTCTGAAAGCGTACAACGATGCTAGTAGTGGATTCAAGAAGTCTGCGCGTCAGAGTGCGATTGACTATTGTCCATTTCAGTGCTGCCACCGTTGCTGACGTACAACTTCTAATCCTGAATTACCACCGTGACCTCGGGTTCATGAACAAGCTCCTCAGTGCCCTCGATTATCATTTTGCGGCAGACCGTATTTCGGATGCAGACAAAGAGGCCATTTTCGCCCATATCCTGTACATTGGGCAAGGGTTCAAACAATTGAGAAGCGCATTCAAGACCTCCCCACATCTTCTTCTCTTTTCTGCATCATATATGGACGCACTTTGAAAGTTTACACAGGATGCGTTCTCTCAATTCCGCAAACATTACCAATTTTACACCACATACAATGCACTGGCACTCTCTACGTTCTTGTAGACGTTTATTCATCTCCAAGTCTACGTGCACCCTACAGAACGTATCTGAAATCCTTATTCTCAAACTCCGTCTTATCCCTCATCCCCTCCTCCTCACTCTTCTCCCTATCCTGCGCCCCATACTTTCGATCCCTCCTCTTATTCACCAGCCACATATACAGCAGCAATCCAAGATGACACCCGGTCTTGATACTATACCCCACCAGCAACCCAATCGTCGCGCCTTCGTACCGCGGCGCCTGCTTCGGGTCCACGACAAACGGGCCTGCAAAGTTGCCCCAGCAGTACGCCGTGAAGACGAGCGCGGAGGCGAGTGAGCGGTGCGTGTAGCCTGCCATGTTGGAGGAGATGGTGGTCAGGGAGACGGTGAAGCCGACGGATTGGGCGTTGACGAGCCAGAAGGAGACCAGCCGGCCCCAGGTGTTCGAGCGCGGGAGGTAGGCCATGCAGGCTGCGGCGACGGTGCAGATGATGTTGGCGGCGGTGGAGGTGAGGAGGCGCGCTGGAAGAGTCAGTCGAGTGGAGGGGGGCAAAGCAGCGGGGACTTACAGTTCGGTACGTTCAAGATGATGGTGCCGCCGATGAAGAGGGCGACGATCTGCACAGCGTCTCCTACGGATTTGAGCTCTGTCGTGCGTGTCGTGCTGAAGCCCATGTCTCGGATGATGATAGTAGAGAACGAGTTCACTACACCATTTGGAATCGCAGCGGCGAATACACTGATGAATAAGAGTATCGTCTTCGGGTCCAAGAAACCAGCGTATACCTGCTTCTTGTCGAAGCGTGTGTTCTTGATGCCAACCTGGTTGCCGGCTACCCGCTTCACGGCGAGCAGGCGCTCGCGGTGGTTGAGAAAACGAGCGTTCGAGGGAGCATCGGCCATGAAGAACCAGATGATGACTGCCCAGAGGCAAGTCACACCCCCGAGGATGTAAAAGATCAGTTCCCATCTCTCGGGCGAGAAGTCCTCTGGGAGCGTGGAGATTCCCATAGAAATGTATGATCCGATAATGCCGCCCCAGCCAAGGGACGAGTACCAGATGCACTGCCGAAGCGGGATCTCCCGCCTCGTGTACCAGAATCCCGTCATCAGCGTCAGGCCCGGTGTGACAGCAGCTTCGAACATCCCCATGAAGAACCGCACAGCCAAAGCGCTACCGTACGTCCTAGCTTGTGTCATGATGAGGACCGTGAAGCCCCATAGCAGGATACTGATAGCCAATACCTTCTGCGCTGGGAATCTTCCGATCAGCCATCCGCAGGGATATTGCCCGAAGAAGTAACCGGCGTACACCATCGCGGAGAGGTAGTTGAACTGGGTTCCTTTGAGCCCGAGCGCTTTCTGGTAGCCGAATAGATTCGCGTAATTGAGAGAGGTCTTGTCCATGAACTGGAGTGCCTGCGTGATGAGGAACATGGGTAAGATGATGAGGTCGATTTTCCAGCGTAACCGGGTCATCTCTTTGTCGGACCCAGATATGTCTTGCGCCTCAAGATACTCTTGGTACCCGACAGCGTGTGAGACTGACATCGCCTCTTGCGCTTCGGCGGCTTTGATGGTGGGCATGTTGTCCTGGAGCTCGACCTCCGGTTTGGCGATGTCGTTCACCATATTCTCGTGCTGTCAGAGTTGAAGCGGGACTTGAAGGCCAGAGAATAACGAAGTAGGTTATCAGAGCGGCAATCCCAACGATGGAGGCCGTAGGATCTTTTCAGGACGATGCCACGAAGATCAGCAAAGGCCTGCCCACTTTATGTCCCAGAAACCATGCGCGCGGCGCCATCACAGACCATCTCCATTTTGATAGCCACCCCAGACGGGTACACGAAGCCGAAGACACAAGATTGGCTGGACTGTTCCCACGGCAAGTTTCCGCGGCGAGTTGCCGAGCGAAGGTTGGGGCCCCGCTTCTGCTCGACGCGGAGATAATCGATCATTGGAAGGAGATTAGCGCAAAGATTCCAAAGAGGCCATTGGATGCAACTCTTGTCCATCCCATCAGTAGCTCGGGAAACGATTTAATTCATCATCTGCTCATCGTTTCAAAGTGTTATGCTTTGCTCAGTTCTTGATCAATTCCCAATTTCAGACGTCCACCGCGCGAGCAACAATGAGCCCATCTGCAATTCTACAGCCGGAAGGAACAGTCACTGCGAAAGATATTTCGGGCGAATACCTGGCGAAGCCAAGCGGAGCCTGTTGTCTCAAAGGTACAATTCACAGAGGGGATCCACGCGGGACGTGGGAGACCATCGCAGACGTCGAGACCTATATCTCTGTCCCACCAAAGTCAAAAGCCAATGGTAATGTTCTTCTGTACTTTCCAGATGTCTGGGGGATGTTTCCGAATGGACTGCTGGTGATGGATGCCTTCGCGGATGCGGGTTATATTGTGTTGGGCTTGGACTATTTCCGTGGGGTACATCTTCCTCCGCAATCGCCACTGCCCAGCTTTGACAGTGCATCTACTGACTCCAGAGTAGGATCCAGTCTGGAAACACCGTAAAAACCGGAATGACCACAGCGATCCGAACTTTGATTACGAGGCCTGGAAGAGGAAGCACATGGCTTTCGCAGATGTTGCTGTCCCCAACTGGGTCTCGGCGGTGGCTTCGCGGTATCGCAAAGACAATCCGAAGACAGGTTTTGCCTGTGTGGGTTACTGTTTTGGTGCTCCTTACGTATGCGATGAGTTGGCAAAAGACACAGTGGCTGCGGGCGCCTTTGCGCATCCAGCTTTCCTGAAAGAGCACCATTTCCGGCAGCTTGAGAGTAAGTCCTCCCGATTCACAATTTCCACGCCTCGATAGCTCAACCGTCGCAGAGCCTCTGTTCTTGTCTTGTGCGGAGAAGGATCATACTTTCGATGTCCCGTCCAGAAGACGAGCGATTGACATCCTTCAAGAAGAGAAGAAGATTTATCATTACCAAGAGTTTGCAGGTGTTGAACATGGGTTCGCTTTGCGCGGAAACCCAGACGATCCGTACCACCGTAAGTCATCCTTCGGATGTATGTGATCGAGAACTGATCATCGGTGAATGCGTAGGGTGGGTAAAAGAACAGAGCCTTTCAGGAATCGTGGGATGGCTTGATTACTGGTTGTCCCAAAAATGAAAGATATTTACATAGAAAGTGTAGCCGTCGTCACTCAGAGTGAGGCCACCGATACAGTCATCATTGAAATAAAATCTTGGAAAAGCTGAAAATGGCATTCAAGGTACCTGCATACATTCAAATCATATGTGATATACACTTCTTTCCATGTGTTTCCGAGGTTCGTTCTGGGGTGCCGTGCAACGAGGTCGCACTCTAAAATGGGCGAGCATGAGCTCGGCAAGAGGTGCTACAAACGGAGCATAGCGGCAACACCACAAAAGCAAAGATGCGCAAACAAGAGAGATGTTCTGTGGGGTAGGGTGGGGTGGCGCCGGGCAATTTCCGTGGACCACGCCCGGCATGGCGATACCTGTGCGACGCAGTAGACGCTCAGTACAGCGAAATATCGAAGCTTCGGTGAGGGAGTATTTATTAACTCAGTCTACTTTGAATCGCCTCATCAGCAATCAACTCCAAGAAAATACTTTCAATTCGAGTCATCACCGGAATCAACCTTTACTCTGAATTAACGAGCCATGGCACCACCAAGAGCATTGGATTTTACTGGCGATGTTGCAATAGTCACAGGTACGTCCAAGGAAATTTGATCAATAGAATCTCGCCGATGATTTATCCATTAGGTGCCGGGTCACGAATGGACGGCGAAATTGGCAACGGTCGGGCGGCTGCGATCTTGTTGGCACGTCACGGGGCCAAGGTGGCTTTGCTCGACTTCAATATTGAGTGGGCGAAAGAAACGAAAAGGATGATTGACGAAGAAGGTGGCGTTTCAGAGGTCATTCAGACAGATGTGACTCAGGAGGAGTCGTGCAAAGCCGCCGTCTGGAAGACTGTCGAGCTTTTCGGTGCAGTGCACATCTTGGTCAACATTGGTGAGTCCTGATCCATTGATGTTAAGTTCTAATTCCAAAAAGGTCAGCTGACAATGCTATCTCAACAGTTGGTGTTGGTGGCGCGATGGGAGACGCAACAGTCGTGAACCTAGACGCATGGGAACGCGACTTTCGCATCAACGTTACTAGCATGATGCTAATGAGCCGCTTCGCCATACCTGAGATGCGCAAGCAAGGACGTGGCTCGATAGTCAACATGTCATCGGTTAGCGGCTGTAAGCGTTATACGAATTCTCTCGAAAAGAGAATCAGAGGATAGATTCTGACGAAATGATGAATCTAGTGCTGGGTGGCAATCCAAGTCTGCTGTACCCGACCACAAAGGGAGCGATTATACAAATGACGCGAGCAATGGCTGCACAGCATGGACAAGAGAACATCCGTGTAAACTGTGTTTGTCCCGGCATGGTATATACGCCCATGACTCGCGGACGCGGGATGACAGACGAGATGAGACAGGCTCGTATCAATCAGAACCTGATGAAAAAAGAGGGCACGGGATGGGATGTAGGTCATGGTATGTTCCCATTCGCTCAATTCAAGTTTACACGGCGATTGATTTAAATGTTCTATAGCAATTCTGTTCCTGTCAAGCAAAGAGGCTGGCTGGATAACTGGCCTCATAATGCCCGTCGATGGTGGTGTAAGTCTTGAACATTCAGAGACTACGACTCGAGAGATCAGCTGACCGTACGTATTTTATAGACAACGGCCGGAAAGGCGGATAGACCGGCGTTGAAGCCTGACACGTTAGCCGAGGCCACGACAGGTATCCAGAATTAGGAAGCATATGTTCGAACAACAGAGGAAAAATTATAGAGACCCTTTGTGGAAAAGTGAAGTCGATGCTCTCTTAAGAGAGACAGGACATTGTTATGGTTCTACAGATTTGTACAGCATAAAAACTAAAAAGGTGGGACGTATCTGAGCCTTCAAATAGATAGACCAATATCTTCATTATCCATCTGAATCTCCGGAAAGCAGTCCAATAGTGCCATGGGGTTGATGTTATGGTCGTTGAAATATGGGTCCATACCGAAGTCGAATTGCGGCTCTAAGCCTAGATACGGAAATGCGGGTATGTAAGGATTGACTGGTGCTCCTCCTGTAGCTACAGATAGCCTTGTGTTGCTGTAAGAATTGTTCACATCTCTCGATGGCAAGTTGTCTTGCTGAGGTGGCACGCGACTGAGACCCTTGATGATGATTTTCAGGCTTCGTTCGAGCAAGGGACAACGACGTGTTCCGGACTGAAGAGCGCGAATGAAGGTCCGGAGGACTGGATGGGCTGCTCCCTGGCCACTACTCTTGGCATCTTCAAGTATAGCTGACGCGCCCGTATAGATGCAGTATCCCATGAGGTAGGTGATGTTCTCCAGGCCAAATGTCGACTCAAGGAGAAGGACCAACTTTTCGATTCCTTCGGCTGCCAAAATACATACTTGGTAATGTGTAGAGACTGACCAAAACGGGCGATAAGCCAGTATCATCGTTGTGTAGTAAAGCATGCTGCGGATTATTTAGCCATAGTGCCTCGTAAAATTCAAATAATGTGAAGGTCTTGTAGAAAGCTTACTTTTGTGAAATGATGTGCGGCGGGGGACACACTGACGGAAGATTGTCCGGATCGTATCGTAGATGGGCCGGAGACTCTACTCGCCAGAGATCAAGGCGCATCTTGATGTTTCGTAGTGCAGCTTCAGTGATTGTGCGGCTCTTGCGAGAGTAGAGTTGAAGTATGATGTCGTTTATTATGATCGAGAGTTTGCAGGAGTTTGCAAAACATGAAACAGCATGACTCTTGCGGTCTGGATACTGGTTCTGTGCTAATCTTGTGAGGTCGAGCGAATCGCCATGATAGGGCGACCACTCTTCAAGTTCCATTGCATCATCAATTACTAGGGAATTGTAGGATTAGTTGATTAGTTCTGAAGAGTAATAAGAGAGTGACATGCCAATGTCCTGGGTGCTATGGTGCGGCAGCTCCGTGATAGCAGGTAGTCTTCCGGCATATAAGCTTGTCGCTCTAGAAGAATATAATTAGTCTTGAACTTGCTATTATCTTCATCATAGAGACTTACTTGTCCCAGAAATAGCAACTCCAAAACAATCTTTTCCTGATCTCGAGATCAACGGGTCCCAGTCCTCTTACATTGGGCCCTATGTATTCCAGGCCGAGATCGCTCGCCATGCGGAAAGCGATGCCGCTATAGTTCCATGCTTGCGACATGGAGCCGTGCGCGAGCTCTCTCGCGCTAAGCTGTAAAAGCGCTTGCACTGTAGGTATAGAGCTAGGCTGCTGTATGGCTGTTCCTAATAGATGACGCACGCGTGATAGCAAGATATTGGCGTAGTTTCCCTCCTCATATCTTGCGGCATGCGCACACATAACTGTGAGAAGAAACTCCGAGTAGTAACGACCGCTTGTAGCCATGTCACGGATGAATGCAGGGCGATATACGTACATAAACATAGGCGATACCCATATCCAGTTCATGTGTAAAAGCTTAGCAACAATGGGGCGCGGAATCCCGGTTTGCAATGATGCATTCCCCAGGGCATAGTCTTCCCATATTTTTGATTCTTGGGCGTGTTCCACCAGAGCGGACAAGACTTCTGATCTTGAAGAAGTTCCAGGCGACGCAGTTGAAACTTCGCCAAGCGGAACTTCCCGTTGTAGCTGAGGCGGATCGTGCACCGCTGACGTAGGTCCGTAGTAACGAATCTCGCCATTCTTATCAACACTCAAGTCGGGCAGAACGTCTTCGGTTGAGACTTCTGATTCGGGCACTGGTGTTTCTGCATGATGGTTCCTTGTCTGAGACATGGATGACACCCTGACTGGAATTGGTGGCCCCGCACCCGAAGGCTCGTGGTCTTGAGGAGAGGATTCCGGACGAACAAGGTTTTCTTCGCGTGGCGAACGAGTGCTATGAGAACGAAGTTCCGCGATAGTTCGTTCGGCTTCCTGCAGTCGCTCCATCATGGCCATCACTTGCGACATAGGCGGAGCTTTATCGTAGCGACAGTTGTCATCGTATATTTCGCACGTCTTGCAGCGTGGTAAACCACCACCGCATCGCACCTGAAGAAATCGTGAACAGGCCTTTCAATAGCATCAAATGCGGTTCAAGGAGAGACGCTACCTTGCGAATCCTGCAATTTGCGCATGTCAGGCCTCTATACTGACGCTTGTCTCGTCGGGATTTGGAAGTCCTAGGTCCAGTTCCATTGAGCTGAGCCTCTGTTGGGACATGATCTTGTATGGAGCTCATGCTGCCTGCCTCGATGATTCTTGTAGAATCTCGTGAACGAGACCCCAGGACACCATCCATTTCAGGGAGTCCAATGCGTCGCGCTAAATGATCCCCACGCCCGTGTGTCACTGCGAGTAAGGTTAAGATGCATGATGCGGGGAAATGACTCATAACTCATTCCCTCTCGGCCATTATCCGCGGTGAGAATCCGGTGAGGGGTAACCAAGCTAAAAAACTTGCCGAAATAATGGTTCTATGAACATTGACTGGTTTGCCCCGACGAGCTTTTCAGCTGATGTTGACTCAGTCGCTCTTTGCAACATTGAATGGAAACCCAACAACCGCGTCCGAAACTGCGGCAATTTGAATACCTTCTGCTTCCAATCGGACCATACCCAGGTCACCAGTCTCGCCGATACGATACACAAACTTCACAGCGCTTGCCTTTCCTTCATACAACTTTCTCAGTCCTGTCAACACGCCATGTAGACCTCCAGGCACAACCTCAAAAGGATGACCGACCAGTCGCTGCTCTTGCAACAACCATGACGTATATCTTGACCACACATATCCAAACTCCTTATGCACATTGAATAGCTTTGGTGCAGCTGTATTTATCGCAGTAACGGCTTTTGGGTACCGATATGCCTCTTTGTCTTTCGCGAATAGTTTAGGTGGGAGAAGCGTAGAGACCACGCCAATATCTGGATCAATGATACGCAGTGTCGCTTCTAGCGACCCATTTTCTGAAATGGCATCGAAGACTTTTGGCAGCTTGGCTGGTAGACCTTCTTTCTTAAGGATTTCCTCAATGGAGGCAACCAGCCTATCTTCGCCATTGCGGTAATCTACCACATAATCTACTAAGGTTTTCGCGAACTCTTCAGCCCGACCGGCGACGCCAATGATGGGCCCGACACCAGACAGACGTGCAAGCTTCGCAGCGAAAGCTCCACAGGCCGATGTAACCCCATAGATTAGGAGAGGTTCTCTTCTCATCAAGCTTTCCACTGGCAGAGTCTCTTGAATGAACGGCAGTGGCAATTTCAGGTCAACGAAGAGCGCGAGCGCTGCGGTTTGCGATGCGAGGGGTATTGTCGCAGCCTCCTCAAATGACAGAGACTCAGGTATGTGGAACGCCATATGTTCTGGTGCGACTGCGTACTCTGCGAAGCTTCCGTGAGGGTGACCTGAACGGTGGTAGGCAGCTACTCGGTCACCGATTCTGAAAGCCTTCACGAGAGCTCCAATAGCGTGAACGAAACCAGCCATATCGTCGCCGCTGTTGTGAGGGTGATTATTCCTGCATTTGTCAACACAATATTTCGAGAGATGACTGGAAATGTTATTTAGACGAGTCTCACCAATTCGGCATTTTCCAATCTTTGGGATTGGTGCCGGCCACTATCACTTTTATAACGACCTCACCATCTGCAGGAATTGGGATTGGTGATTCGATGACCTCAACGGCCTCGATGGATGGCTGAACAATGGCTTCCTTCATTCTCGTAAAGATTTGAATCCACAATACTTGGTACGATCTTAGAGTCATACAGGGACTTATAACGCCATGGGTAGGAAGACACGGGACGCTGGTTCAAATCCATCGTAAGCGCGCAAGGTGGGTAGATCCACGGAGCTCCGGTTCGACGCTGGATCGTATTCTGAGTTTGCTTTGCAATTGATTGGCGTCAGCTTTGATTGTATGCTTATTTCGTGTAGAGTTGTTTCAATGCATGAAGGTCACTCGAGCTGACAAATGCAAGAGAAGTGTTGGATGCCTTTTGGGGGCAGGTACGCTAGCCTCTTGAGAAGGAACATCCGCGGACGTCCGCTTTCCTCCCCCGAAAGCCGATCAATCTTGTCTCTACCAATACAACATGCGCTTGCTCCCACCTCCTCGAAATGCCTAAAAGTAGGGTACGGGCGGATCCTGTGTCGTGCGAATCTTGCCGCACAAAAAAATTGAAATGCAGCCGCGTCCAGCCATGCTCGAACTGTTCTGCTCGAGGCATCGCCTGCAGGTTCCTCGTGCCTCCATCTAGAAAAACATCAGCAGCTCAGGGTGACGTTTTGCTTGGATCACGCATTGAGCGACTCGAGTTAGTTGTCTCCAGCTTGCAGCAGCAACTACGCAAGGACAATGAACCTACAAATACTTCGTTAGCGACGGGCAGCCTTGCTCACACAGGCTATCCTAGCCGTGCTACCATTGATCAAGGTATTGAAGATGTTGTGTATCTGGAGAATATCGGAACCAGGGATGACACACTTGTGAGTATATCAAAGCCACACATTCTATAGTATCGTCGTATGGACGCTAAGTCTAATAAGCTCTGCGACATGTCTGATTCACTGGCGTACGAAGTCAGAAGTACATCAGATATTCTTGCATTATCAGGACAAGAGCAACAGTTCTCTCGCAATGTGATAAGGCTTCCGCCTTTCAGCACGGCCAGTGTCTTGTTGCATACGTACGAGACCAAGATATCATCCATATGCCCCATAGTGCATATTCCGACGGTTCGTTCACTTCTTAGGACATCTTATTTCCGACTGAACAACTCTGCTATCATTTCACCCAGCAGTATTGCAGTACTGTTAGCTGTCTTTGCTCTCGGAGCGTTCTTTGGCGATACTTCGTCTACCTCCGAAGTTGCCGCGACTGAGGCGGACGGAATCGCACTTTCGAAAGCTTTCAGCAGGCATGCTTTAGATCTACTAGATCAGTCGCGCCGCACGAGTTCTGGCACGCTGGAAGACGTACAAGCGCACATTCTGATGTCGCTGGCGCTCTCGCATATTGATGGCTTCTCGGCTAGAAGCAGGATGTTATTTTCGTCAGCCTTGTCCTTGGCCCGAGATTTGCGCTTGCACAGATTGGATGAAAGCGAGGCGCCCAAAGCCGCCCCTCGCAATGCACGGGATCTAATCGATGAGGAGTTCAAACGAAGAGTCTTCTGGTATCTGGCTTCAGAGGACTGGTAAGCAGATCGCTCTAGGCTTGAGACAAGATGCCTCTGACAACTATAAGGCTGCAATCAACCATATCTGGACCACAAGAGGGCATGTATTGGATCCAGCAAGGCCACATCAAAGTGAAACTACCTCGAGACTGTACAGACGATGAACTCTCGCTAGGCGATACAAGCGGTAGCACGTTTGAAGAAGCCCCTTCCCATGTAATGGTATTTCTCGAAAGGATTCGTCTGGCGCGCATCTGCTGCGAGATCGCAGATAATTTGCCATTGGAAACCGTCGCGCTTCTGCAGATGCCATACGAACGCATTATTGCCCTAGACCAAAAGCTTGAGCAGTTTCTTGCGACCCTGCCGCCTGTCCTGCAATACAACTGTACGAACGATCACATTCTCGAGTCCATGTACCCACAGCTACCTTCCTGGCGCTATTGCATCGCCAAGGCTGCCCTTTCCAGACGATGGAAGTTGAATCAGCCATTTCTCTTGCGACAAAACCTGGACCCACGGTACGCGTACTCTCGACGAGCATGTGTGGAGTCTGCGCATGCAGTTATAGCTGGCTATACGAGCCTCTTCACTTGCAATGTGACATCAACACTGCTCACGAGGATGGGAATCGCGATCCATTTCACCCATCTCGCGTTGAGCATCTTGATCATGGACCTGTGCTTCAATCAACCGCAAAGAGACGTTACTCGTATCAAAGGGGGCATCGAAGCTGCGTTCAAGATCTTCGGCAACGCAAGAACTGTGTCTCCTCTCTTGGCAAAGTCCCTTGCATCGCTGAAAGCGGTGCTACAGCGGTATAATATCGACCTTGCCGATGCATCCCCTCCCAATGTCGGTGTCCAAATTAGTAACGGTGATGATGCAGAGCACAGTACTTCCGACGCTACCATTCAAGAGCTATCAAACACTCATGACCAAAGCCGCTACCAGGATGTACGTACGGATACAACATTTGATGCTTTCTGGGATATCGCAATGCAAAATGACGGTGGTATAGATCTCAATGAGTGGGACCATCTATTCTCCACTCTCGACACCCGTCCTATCTAAAGTCCCTCAACTGTGAATTCGCCAAAATCTCGGCTTGACTATGCTATCAAGTTACTCCTCTAGGGCTGCCACAGCAGCAGATCAAATGCATGCCACAATCGATTGGGATCACCATCGTAACAATACAGCGCCAGAAATAGAATAAAGCGTTGAATGTGACGTCACGCGGTTCATCGCCCAATACGCCACATCCGTGCGGCTCCCAGACCCTGCATTCGATCAGGTCCGCAAAATGTGGAGTATCGCGCATATCATGGCACCGTAGCTTCGCGGTGTTTCGAGCGAAGCGCACCAAAGTCCACCGAGGTACTATTTATTGACAGCAAGTTACCCCCAATTACCTCATTACCTTGCCACGATTGTGGCTCGGGGACCTGCGTACAGAGCACAACGTTCTGATCGACACTCTTCGGCCCGGCTCAAGTATCGATTTCATGCGTCGCTATCGCGGATTCGACCGCATTCCCGGGCACGGCGGTCCCGTGCGAATATCTCGGAAACATGCTTCACCGCTGTGCGAAGTCGCACCTTCCCTTTACTCTATATCGATTCTTGGTCTTTTAGGACGTGTCGCTAGTGCGAATCTTCTATATACACGGCCATTATCTATTGAAACGCACCAGAACCGGCGCGAAAGGGACTGCCCGCGGAATAATTGTTCCTTGAACCAGGTCTGACCGCGGTAGACCCTTGCCGTTGCTGTAGAGAAGCTTGTGTTTTGAAACGTGGCGATGGTCTTAGCCTCACCGTTCGATTCGCCAATGCGACTTTAGACTATTGACAGCTTGGCGGGTTTGTGGGGACAGGGAGGTCGCGGAAGGAAGTATTTGCCCGATAGGTGACGTCGATGCATAGGGTGAGGCGCAACATGGGTATTGTTGGCTTTAATAAAGGAGCATCTCAAGTATATATACAGGGAGCGGATGCACACTGAAGTCCATCATCATTCAAGCAATCAGTCACATCATCTCCTCTGCTCTTCCCACTCAACCTATACTCGAACTCCATACCACACGAAAGCGTTTCCAAGGCCAAAATGCAGTTCCTCACCGCCGCAACCCTCTTCGCCGCCGCGCTCGCCGCGCCCGCACCCCAGACCTCAGACTGCCCCAACCCAGCACACTGCGGCGGCTCTGCCCCGGACCCATCCACCTACGACAACGTCGACATCACCGACTTCTATCTGCGCAAGAACCCAGGCATCCAGAATGCCGGCTTCACGCTCTCCGGCAACAACGGCACCGTCCAGTGCGAGATTGGCGCCGTCGAGAGTCTGCCGTCCGCCGTTGAGGTTTGCGGCGACAGCAAGTACCGCTTCGGCTTGATCGAGGCGACCAGCACCGGCGCTGAGGTCGGCCTCCGGCTGTACCGCGAGACAGGACCTGCTGTCGGATTGACGGGCGAAGGCGACGTGCCTACGTACTGCCACGCTGGTGGTGCAGGAGCGGAGGACTTTGTGTGCCAGCAGGTCTCCGCTCTTACGATTGTCATCTCGTAGTGGTGAAAGAGAAGGATGCAAAGAGGAAATGGCTCACCCGCTTGTATAGTCACTGCCACAAATAATGAATAATGTCTCCAGTCATGCTAGATCTTGCTGCTATTTCACGTGAAGCAACCAGTACGGCCGTCGATAATAGTTTTCGCCGTGTTTCTGATCTGAGATGCGTATCCGCCCTTCGCGTCGCTCCGCTCGGCTTTCAGCCACCCTGTATGGCTCAATCCAGCTCGCACGGGTGGCGCAGATAGCACCTCGTGGATAACTGGCATCCCCTGCAGCGCCTGGCTACACTAGCCCAGTAAAACTTCTGATATCTTTTGAATGATATTGAGCTCAAAGATGCAACAGCCAACGGGCGTCGTGAGTCAGCCCTGACCAGGCTATTGCTTGGTTCGAAAAGCGGCATGCTGGGCGATTTTTGACTAGAGATATATTTCCCTGAGATTCATCGGGATAAACTCTGCTCAATCTCGGTCGTCCACCCTGGGCCGCTTACTTTCACGATTGGTGTCCTCGCCAAATCGCTTTCTCTCGCCCAGTGGTCGTGCGTTCGCACCCGTTGCGCCTTCATCGCGGTCGCGGCCGCTGTAGCCATCCGAGCGGAAGCGCTCATCTAGGTCGTAGTCGCCCTTGTCTCTCGGCCTCCTTGTGTCGCCAAAGTCACCCCATTTGCCCGTGTCCTCCGTCTTCATGTCCCTGTACCGCGTCCTGCCCTTCTTGCCCAGCTTTGTCATATCACGGATCTGCATGTACTCAGGCAGCACCTGGCGATCTGTCTGATCCTCGAACCGCGCGCCCATGAGATTGCGCTTGTCAAGTCCCAGCTCTGCGAGATCCTCTTGGAAGAATGCGCCCTTGTGAAAGTACTTTTGCATGAACTGCATCTGCCCACGGTCCCCGCGCTCTTCCTTCTGCTTTTCGAGGTATTCGCGATCTTCCGCGTCTCTCTCCGCCTCGGTTAGGTTCCGCCGCCGTTCGATCTCTGCGCGCTCTGCTTCGGCTTCTTCGATGGCGAGTCGCTCGCGCTTGATGCGTTTGAATTCGCGGAGTCTCCACGCAGCGTATTCGGCCTCCGGGTCGAGGTTGTCAGTGTCGTCGACGGCGTTAATGTCGGCTTCCTCCACATCGTCGTCCCAGTCCTTCTTGCCTGCTGCCTTTGCCGCTGCGCGCTGCTCGATCTGTTCCTGGACGAGCGCCCGCGTCTGTTCTTGCCGCCGCTGCTCCTCTTCGGCTGCTATTTCCTCTGCTGTCTTAACGTGCGTAGCTACCTTGTCGCGCTGGCCTTTCTTCAGGAAGACAGGCCGCATCAGCTTTTTCGGTGCTTCTTCCTCACTGCTTGACTCCTCTTCCGAGCTTTCCTCGTCGCTGCTGCTACCACTACCGCTACCGCTGCCACTTCCACTTCCACTTCCACTGCCATCGCCTGCCTCCTCTCCCTCGCTCTCCGTCTCGAATTCATCCTCGAGATGCTTGAGGTCTTCTTTGGGCTTCTTCCGCGCTGCGAGCTGTGATTTGAGCGCCGCCTTGGGGAATGACGAGGCGAGAGGAGCTGGTTTCGGCTTTACGAACGGCTTCGGTTTCTGCTCTTCTTGCTCCGATTCGGATTCGTCGCTGCTGCCGCGTTCTGCAACCTCGGCGGCGGCGGGTTTTCCGGCGAAGTGGCGTGTGCGCACTGGCTGCGCCGTGAGTTTCTTTGCTTTCTGCGGCGGCATGGCAACTGCTGGAAGGTCAGGGTCGGCGGGTTGGGAGCCAAGAGCAGCTGCAGCAATGATGCCAAAAGTTCGCGAACGCGATGCCGCGGTCCAACTAGCGCCTTGGCACAGCGGCCGCTGTCACCACAACTCCAGTAGGCAGCTTGGTATCTTCCCTCGGCCCCCACTTCCATCATTTCCCAACTCGCACAACTCCAAGGCAAAATTCTCTGTAGTCTACATTACTAATACTGATCCCGGAAACCACGTGTTCTTCCATTCATAGCGTCATTCGCAAAGCTGATATCTATAACAGTAAACCGACCATTCCGATGAACTCCTGCCGAAGATCCCAGCCCCTCTGGGCCAGTATAGACAAATACTGTAATTATTTACTACTTTCCTTCGAGACGCACTAATGCGCCGAGCTGAGCCCTACAGCAAGGATTGTAGGGAAATGAGCTTGGCGAATCTTTGATCGGAAATCTTAACAGAATCGAAAGTAGTGCAGATAGAGAAACTGCGGCGGCTAGGCCAGCTCGATAAGTACTTTCGTGCTGAACTTATGTTTTGTACAAAGTCATGACAATGTTCACGTGGGTCTCATTGTTTGCTACTAGAGTGACGTGAAAAACTGCCAGCTACTGTGGCGAGCACCTTCTTAGGTTTTACACTCGCGTGATATTGAGTGACATTCTGGAGATAGATCCATCTTTCTTGTCTAAGCACTCGACTGATTCATTTGAGATTCTTGTGTGGCCAGCCTGTAATATTATTCGTTTCATGCACAGGTCGTGACTCTTATGCAAGCAAGTATCACAATATCTGCTCAAGAATACCAGCTCTTGGAAGAGGGACATCGCAAGTGGATGCTGCTGAGGGGGCCAAGGCGAGTACCCAGATACTGCCCACATCACAAGTATAGACTTTGAGATCGGTGATATCTCCGTGAATTGGTACATGATAAGAGTCACATGAACCGTCGACCAACTAATGGTCAATAGGGAACGCTTGCTGTCGCATTCGTCACGATCAAATGACAGCCATTATCCATGTTCCCACATAATTATGCCCTCATCCTCGCTGTAATTCCTGTGAGATAGAAACAGAGTGGTGCTGCTCTAGCGTGGCAATCGTGGATTGGTGATAGCGAAGAACCTTGTGTTGGATCATTAGGGTGGTCTGGCATAACGGTAGAGCAAATCTACTTACTAGCAGTCGGAGAAGGCGTTCTTACGCAAGCAGCAGGCGCGGTAAACCTTGGGGATGGGGCTCTTGCAATCCTTGCTGCGCCACGTTCCTGCAGCCTCCCCGAAGCAGCAGGAGTAAGACTCGTCCCAGGCGATCTCCTGGCTCGGAGGAGAGCCACTGTGGAACCAGCACTTGCCTGTGAGGTAACCCAGTTAAGAAGAGCAAAGAGCGGAGATGAGAAGCAAAGGATGCATGTCCAAGTGAGACATGGAAGATTCGTGCTGGGATATCATCTTACAGGACATAGCCGTAGCGGCGAGGAGGAAGACAAGAGTGTTGGTGAATTGCATTGTCGCTGTTTGACTGTGAATTGTTCTGGTAGATGTGTAGGGCCCGTATGCGTTTTGAAGAAGTCGTTCGGTCGAGTGTATGAGCGAGAGAGAGAGTCGTTCCGAAAGTTTTATACGTGCGTAGAACTGAGGGAATCTACTAGCGACTCAGCCCAATGGTATGAGCGTTTGTAAGGTGAACGAAGTAATACGCACGTGTCTGTTAGCTCGACAGCGGGAAATGAAGCTTACAGCGTTTAACCAGGCTAGATGGTCACCCCAAGAGCACTTTTGGAGTGAAGGAAAAGACCCGAGAAGCATCTATGCGTATCAGTCCCTCAGCGGGGCAACAACAGCAGTTGGGCATATCAAAAAAAAGCTAGCAAAGTCAATCAATCGAACCGTGTTATCAGTACGAGCAGGATGCCTCACCTAAGCTGTCATCGGCACTTGACCACAGGTGATACGGAATAGTCAAGGCACACAATGACCTAAATTCTTGACTCCAACTTATGACCCCCCTCACTCTGGCTGATGGTAATACGGCACAGCTCTAAATTTGCAACAGCAGACACTTGACGTTCTTGATTTCAGCATGGCAGGACAAGGTTGCGAGCCATGTTGGGCATGAAAAGGTGAAGGGCATGGTCATACTGCTCTTTGTCTGCAGCTCCGCTAGGAAATGTCACAGCGATGTTTAAAAGGCAAATACCGTCTTCGCTGAGGCTAATGCCACCGGAAATCCGTTTGAAGATCTACCCTACTTGCGTCCAAGAGAAGAGGTAAGGAAATTATTGTGTGACCCACGTAAGCCTGCAAGCTTTCTCATGCTGGTCTACATGTATTCACGGACGAGCGTTTCAAGGCGAGGACGTCAGTGTTACGATTGGCTTAGCATGGACGTTAGGTCAGCACGCGAGATTTGTGCTTTGATTGGATGAGGGCACCCGAGGCTCCACCCCGACTGCCAGGGAATCGCGATATCTGTACAACCTCACTGCAGCCTGGCACACTACTTCTTTTCGAGCACATGTACCTAGGGTATGGACGCACAATCGAAACCTTGTTCTGTTCAATTGAACTTACATCGTGCGCTGGCAATAATACCGAGGATGTTAAACAGACCAGGGTGTCCAAACACGCTAACCTGCCACGTCAATGGCGGTGTAGAACCCGTGGCGGTCATATACAAGTCGCGTTCTTTGATCGTCGCGGGACTGCTTTCAAACCTTTAGACACACCATGAGCCATCGAAGACCGTCCGTTTTCGGGTCCCTTTTCGGCTCCAAGTCGTTCAAAGAAGTTACCAATGCCGCCAAACAAGTCTCCCCACTCGTCAAAACCGTGCAGGCGGTGGAAGGCATCTTCCAGGCTGGGGAGCTGATGTACAACGCCAACGAAACCGCTGGCAACCTGAACGAATTTATACCCAAGGCGTCAAAGATTGTAGACCGCCTCGAGGCATTTGTTCCCTCTATTCAGATTATGGGTCGCTCATTTTGTGATACGGTCAAAATCTTCAGTACCTTCAATACCATCGCCACCACGGTGGGCATTGGCGCAAACGTGGTTCTGACCTACCAGGGTGTCCAAGCTCTGCATCTCATCGCGGCACAATTGAAGGAAGTTTCTACAGCGCTAGCTGCGCAGACAGCACTACTGGCACAAAAGGACTTCCCGCAATATGTGTACGATTTGATCCGTGAGAGGCTGGGACAAACCTCCGATGATCTGAATTACGAACATTGGTTCTTCGTTTACCATCCAGATAACGACTGGTATGTACATCTAAGGCACAGATCGATCACATGGTTTCTGGTGTTTGCAATTTCAGACCCTCTCCATGGGTCTAGATTCACCTGACTTCAACAGCAACCGAAACTACCTATTCGTGCCCGATTTCTATCATCCATGCACACTGCGCTGACCTTGTTCTTTTGCATTATAGGTATCCCAAATTCTACCACCTACTCGAGGCAAAGCCTTTAGGACCTGCCTTCTGCGGCTACACGAATCAGATCGACACCGCGTTCAGCTTCATGATAGCAGCGCGACAATACGCCAACACAGAGAGGGATCGACGAGCGAAGAAACAGGGACGGAGAGTGCGTCCTGTGATGCTCCATCTTCTTGTCCCGGCTTATCAGCCCATTGTCATCGCCGAAGCGCTCAAGATCCCGGAAGAGATCGGCGATTTTACCATAGAAGGAAGGGTGAACAGCAATAAACCCTTTGTGTGGATGAACTTGCCCGAGGATCAAAGGAATTATGTTGTGGACGTTGGCCAGTGGATTCCTCCCACGCCAGGCTGGTGGGAGTTCGCGATGTCGAAACTGGGGCTGGCGGAGCAGCCTCTTCAGCTGAAGGAAGCGAGGATACTGGGACAAAGTCAGCATCCGGTTGAACAGCTATTAGAGGACACCTCTACAGAGCAGATCGAAGCAGAGAACCAGGGAAGTCTTGAAACGAAAGACGCCCTAGAAGCTCCAGATCATGGCAAAGATGGTGCTCAGCGCCGGAGGAATGCCACTCCTCTACATCAGCGGCGCCGAAAACACACTAAGAAGTAGAGATGATGGCATTACTCGAAGAAATGGCAACGCCGGTATCAGTCAGGGAAGTAATTCACGGGAAATCGTCGCCCCATCGCCGGGACCACCACTCACAAGCGATAAACTCGGGTACCCACAAACTGGTACTTATTGTCGAAAGCCTTGATCGATTAGGAGCAATGTTGAGGCAGAGTCTATGGCGGTCGCTTGAACCAGGACAAGACACGGATAATCCCAATCGGATCCCACGTTACGCAGGCTCAACCAACCCAGCAGTCTCCTTCTACCTTCGAACGACTATTTGATATCACTTTTTACATGAGAGAGCACAGTTAAGAATGGCGAAGCCATGACTCGATTCTTTCGCAGATTTGACATGCGCTACTTTCTATACTTAAAGAAAGAGGTCCGTCCCCATCCAATACCTTAGGGTTTCGTCCACAAACTCCCTGGACAGCCCTTCGGTGGTAGCAGGTCTTGGCCTCTTCTACCCATGATCTTCCAAGCTAGCCCCGAGGGTCGTGCACCCTTCAACTCCCGAGCCTGTGTTGCGTATCACTGTACCGGATATGTAGGCGAAGTCTAAGTGCTACGCGCACTATGCGCCTTCCACGAAAGCCCTGAAGTCTATGCACATGGCCAAGATACATCGCCCGCGAGCTTGTATATTACCGAAGGTAGCCGCTCCTCTCTGGCCGGCAGTGTTGAGCTTGATTGTTGGGGTGGGCAAGGGACGAGATCCGATAACCCCAACCCCAAGGTGCAATACCCGCCAAAGCGCAATACCCGCAAGCGTTAGCCGTGTGGCCCACATGACAACTTCACCGATCGAACTACAGGAACATTACCGCGGCCTTATCGAGTGAACGCCTGCTTCTGGAAGCCGCCTTCCGGCAAAGCCTTCCACGGCTTGATCCGCTCAAGGTGTGGAGCAGCTAGTACCGTTGCTAGTTCCAAGCTGATAGCATTTGAGGACGTCAATTTGTACGAGTGACTACGAATTTTCTACACAGGAACGCTCAGACTAGAGAACAGAACTCCACTTGCAGTCTTATACACCTCTTTTGCCTTGCGCCCTACGGTTGTCTTATAATTGTTGTACTACGCTCAATATTCACCTTCGAGGCACGCATTTACCTTACACCCTTAGCCTCCCTTGGAGCTCTACCATACGCTACATCTCGAACTTCCATCAACCGCACGCTCGCCTTTCGCGTCCTTTGACTATTATTACCCTGGCCTATTCTAAAAGTACCGAAGCAATATGCCAGGAACGATCATCGAAGGCGGTTGGAGGCGCTTGAGCGTGGCTGTCATCGGCGGCGGAATTGGAGGCCTATCCGTAGCCATTGCGCTACGTCGCGCAGGTCACGATGTCACCATCTATGAGCGCAACGACTTCGCTGGAGAGGCTGGAGCATCAGTTTCATGTGCCGCAAATGGTACTCGATGGTTACACGAGTGGGGCGTCGATGTCCAGAAGGGCGATCCAGTCGTACTGAAGAAGCTTATCAACCGCGACTGGAAAACTGGCGATCCCGTCAGTGTTTACGATCTCGACGATTACGAAGAGCGATGGGGCTACGTTTACAACATGTTCCATAGGCAATACATGCACAAGATGCTTATGGACTGTGCGCTACAAGAAGAGGGCGCTGGAGCTCCTGTGCAATTGCTCGTGAACCACCCAGTAAGTTCCCGTCGGATCAAGCATATATACTCTAGGACTGCTCATATATTGACCAACCGGCCAGTGCCAGAATATCGACCTCGAGTCTGGTGAGATCACTTTCACCAACGGCATAAAGGCCAAACATGACTTGATCGTTGGAGCCGATGGTATCGGATCAGTAACGCGCAAGATCATCGGCCTGAACCCGGACAAGAAGCCTGCGGACTCTAGCTGCCTACATGCCAACGTCTTGTCCAAGGATGCACGGAAGCTCGGCCTTGTTGACTACTCTCTCAACAGCGCTCTAGAATATTGGGGCGGCCAGGAAGGCAAGTGGGATAAGATTGTCCTTTCACCGTGCAATGGCGGCGAGCTTCTTTCGTACTACTGCTTCTTCCCTCGATCAGTGGGCGACTACTCCAACCACACATGGGGTGGTGCAGACCTTCCTGTGGAGGAGCTTACTGAAAAGTACCCAGAGCTTGATGCTCAGGTCAAAGCCCACCTTGCCATTGGTATCGAAGTCCAGCCGTGGCGCCTATGGGTCCATCAGCCATATCCTTATCTAGTCAAGAGTAATGTTTGCTTGCTCGGTGATGCTGGCCACCCGGTAAGCAACACTTTCCTCATGGAGGAATATCTAAGCTAACTTGCATTCCAGATGATGCCTCATCAGAGTCAAGGTGCTTGCATGGCCATTGAAGATGCCGCTGCGCTTGGAATTCTGTTCAACAAGGACTACTTCAAGGGAGATGTGAAAGAGTCTCTCGCTGTCTACGAGCAGATCCGTCTGCCTCGTGTTACCAAAGTCCAAGCGTCCGCTGCAAAGGCGGCCTACAACATCAATGAACGCATCGGCAAGTGTACTCACCAACTTTATACGAAATGAGCTATACCTAACAGGTCTTCAGGTTTCTCAAGTAACACCAGCATTAAAGGCTACAAGGTGGAGGACGAGTCGAACAAGCTTACCATCGAGGAGATGAACGGATACGACATGTACAAGGACATCGACCAGGCTTTCGCCGAGCGACGAGGGGTGCCGTACACTGATAGGTACACCAAGGGCCTGCCTTTTGGTCTCAAACTCTCGAATGGTGTCACAGTGGGCGAGTAGGCAGCTCGGCTGTAGGGTCATAAAACATCATCGTTTGTGTTTTCATTTGGTTTGGGGAAGGCCAGTGAGCTGTCATCGCGGCGTCTATCTTGTTGGGGCTATTGTCCGATCGCGGTTGCATGAAACCGAGCTTTGTAATCTAGCGTTAGAGAACGTGAAGCTTATTCCTGTTAACTCTTCAAAGAAACGCACGCTGCCTGTGCGACCAACGTGAAAATACAGGAACGACTTGGCTCATCGATAATAGCGTTGTCTTAGTCTGTTTCTGTGGGAGCTGCAACAAGGGTTCGTACTGTACCCACTTTGCACATAAGGGCCAAGACGGGTTTTGCGGAGGTTGAACGGTGGCAAGACGAAGTGCATTTGGTAAGTACTACAAGACAGCCCTCCAACTGCATATATCTCTCATCTGGGCTGAGGAGTGCCACTGGGACTTGACCAGACAGGCGTACAAAGTCATTGCAAACGTTGACGTCAGCACCTTGAGCAGCACGTACTTCGATGGTAGTCAATTTTATTTCATCTATCATGCTATCTTGGCTAGCTTGATATCCAATGTGAGCTCCAAAGACGCCTTCTCATTTCCCTGGACTGGCACAAAGTCGACAACGAGATCATCTTTCACCGCGAATACTGAATCGTCTTCGAGGTATTTGCTTGACTTGTCGAAGATCTGTGTTGTCAAAGGAGTATACTTGTCGCTCCCCGCCTGATTTCAGTTAGCGACCATTTTCACGTTGCATCCGGGTTTTGGAGCAACTTACAATGATGTGAATGTGAGCTGGTCGATAAGGATGGCGGTCAAGAAGCTGCAACAGCTCGCCAGCTGGACCGTCATATGGTACAGGATATGGAACAGGTCGCAAGCAGTACAGTCCATAATACCCATTCTCATCTGTGGTGAGCTTTCCGCGCAGATTGAATTCTGCTTGATCAGGGTCTTGCTGCTCGTAGAGACCATTTGTACTGCATTGCCAAATATCGATTGTGATACCATTGAGTGGCTCGTTGGTGGCAGCATCACGGACGATTCCGTGCATGTACGTTACTTCGCCATCTTGTGGCATGGTCTTGATGATGCTGGCATCATTCTTGGTGGGCGGCGTATCATGTCGGAAAAAGGGACCCAGGATTGCTGTCTTCGTGGCTTCATAATCAGCTCCTACAAGCTGCTTGTTTGTGATCTCATCGACCAGCCTGGGACATATTTTAACACTGAACACAGAGGTTCACCGTCTGTACTTACGACTCTAAACCGATTACGTCGCACAACAACTGGCCCTCGTTTCGCCTCTCGTTGCTCATCTGACCTGCGCGGTTGATCATGTTGACGCCCATCATCCATTCATCGACTGTTAGGTCAACTTCGCGCGCAAAGTCGTGCAGGTGCTGTATCAAGCTTCCAACAACCTGTGCCACACGGGGGTTGGCTTTGGGCCCTGTAGCTTTGATGACATTCGATGTGAAATCTGGATCATATTGAGGCTTGGGCAGTGTGGCGCCGTTGACGCTGTTAGTGCCGTTGGTTTGCGACATATTTGTGTCTGTGTGTCTCAGCAGGAGAAAGATCCAGATGGGCTGAGTACAGACGAACTGTGAGTGATTTGTACGAGCTCGAATAACTTCAGAAACAATATACGAAGGTGTTGCACCGGCCCTTTCCTACCCCGCAATAGCTTGCAGCTGGCGTGATATGCTGAAGAACACCAAAGTAGAAGGTACACCTTGTACCAATAAGAAACTCAATGTTGCTAATTGGACTACCGGTTCAGCAGGACGGGAAATGCGCGCGCATATCCCCAACACAACAGCGCGTATTGCTGGCCCAGGGTCTATGCGGGTGCGTGTTCGTTAGCCGACGCCAGGTGCCGCATCCGATGCCCCATCGGAACGCCTCCAAGCGGGACCACACCCCCACACTTTTGAAATGGTCGATCTCTAAGTCCTTCAGGATAGGTCTAGTTGGGATCCTCAGGCATCGCATTGCATGTCATGCGCATTTTCGCACATTAAGATATCGGGAGGCGGCATTGCTGTCAAAGTTTCGCGTGCGCAATTGCTTTTGAAGCTGTAAAGCACAATGGTATTCTACAAATCGACCGAAGAGTCGAAAAACATCCTGCAGATTTTACTGAAATTGTTCAGCGAAAATGATAATGAGCTTCCCCAATCAGTTCGCCACCGGACTGAAAATGTTACGTTCGACGCGAAACGAAATTTACCCTACTTCCCGATCCCCTTCAAGGAGACAGAGACCACTGCGGCATTGAAAGCAATCGAGGCATCGGTGGCTGCCGAATTGGGTGATCTAAAAGCCGGAGAAGATTCGCAAAGAGCCATCAAGATTGATCTAGAGAAAACAACTGCTTTCCTATTCCAAGCGTATCTGGCTACTGTCGGAGGCAAAAGCAAGTTGGATCCAGATGTCAAGAGACTTCTCAAAGGTATAACTTATGTGTTTGCCTTCAAAGCTCGGGGTAACTGACCACTCTTGAAGACACGGACCTTCTGAAGGCGCAATCTGATCCGTACCGTCGCATGTCTGCAAATCTGTACGAGACGAAAAATCAGGGAGAGTACTACCATATCCATGGCTCACTTGAAGCATCGACAACCTTGGGTATGATCGGTTTAGAGCCTTTTCGGCCTGATCTTGAAACCCATGAGGAGATCGTCAGTACGATAGAAGATGCCGTTCGAAAACTCACGATAGACGAGCTCGAAGAAATGAATGCCGCCAATAAGCAGGCCGGAGTACCCGTGATGAAACATGAGGACTTTTTGAAGACACCACATGTAAGCATCCAGTTTCGCTATCTGTATTCCAAGTAATTGACGCTGATGACAAATATAGGGAAGGGTAGCAACGAAAGCTTTGCCATGGAGCGTACACTCACTGGAAGAACAGACACCGCCTTTTCCTCTCCCATCCAGCGATGATAAAAGACCACTCTCCGGTATCAAAGTTCTTGAACTATGCCGAATCATTGCAGGGCCCACAATTACCCGCATCCTGGGCGAGTATGGTGCCACTGTCTTGAAGATCACGAGCCCTCACCTAAGCGATGTTCCATTCTTTCAGGTTGATGGGAACATGGGTAAACATGCAGCGGATCTGGATTTGAAGACCCCGGAGGGAAAAGCAAAATTCGAAGAGCTGCTTGCTGATGTGGACATCGTTGTCGATGGCTATCGACCTGGAGCCTTTGATCGACTCGGCTACGGCCCCAAGCAGCTATGTGAGATGGCTAAGCGCCGAGGAAAAGGTATTGTTTACGTCAACGAGAACTGCTTTGGCTATGAAGGAGAGTGGGCTCATAGGCCTGGGTGGCAGCAGATTGCCGACTGTGTATGTTCAATAAGGTCCAAGAGCTGGCGCTATGTCTGCGACGCTAACAATTACTCTGCAGGTTTCTGGTGTTGCGTGGGAACAAGGCAAGTTCATGGGCCTCTCAGAGCCTGTAGTGCCACCGTTCCCTATATCAGATTACGGTACAGGCTGCATGGGTGCCATTACTGCTCTACTTGGACTGTTACACCGAACGAAACGAGGTGGATCATGGCATGGTAAAGCCTCCCTGTTACAATACGATCTGCTCCTCTTCAAGGCAGGTCTGCATACGGAGCAAGTCCAGGAGCAGCTGCGTCAGTTGATGGGACCTGAGTTCCTGGCGCTGCGTCACGACAATAGCGTGGATCAAATCAGCGGTACTGCATTACGACAGATGCGCCGACAGTTTCCTGCCTTCTTCACGCGCCCAAAGCTACTTGATCACTGGTATGCAGACAAGTACAATGCAAACATTGAAGTAGTCAACCCGGTCGCAGAGATCCAGGGTCTTGAGATTGAGTTCCAGAGGGCTAGCCGCCCAAACGGCTCGGATTTACCCACGTGGGACTTTGGATCTGAGGCAGATGTTCGAAAAGGGTCATGATTGTGAACTAAGTTACTACATAGGTATGCATAAGCGTCAATGAAGAAGCTGTTGAGACTCGCACCGTACTTCGTAGATGAAGCGTTACGTAAGCTGTCTAAATATGTATTGTTCTTAGGAGTAGAGGATATTATGCGTATTAAAATGCAAGAAGATGCGCCGTAGAGACAATTATCATTGGCGTCCACGGTCTTCGCCCATCTTAATCATTGAAGGCACTGTACGACTGAAGGTTGCTTTTCCACGCGCCTAGGTATCGTTAATATGCAAATGCCAACCGGTAAATGGACTTTCACGCCGGTCAGATATGGTATCGTTTTCTATGAGGATATAGTGAGATTTGACATGCCCATCTGGAGTAATGCGTCCAGGGCCAAGACGTATGCGTCTGACACGCTCCATACACGCATGCGATTTTCAATCAAGTTTCAATTTTGGACTGGGCCGGCATACAACGCACCAGAACTTGGCGGGTACGTTTGCCGCTTCGGGTATTGCAACAGAACGCTTCCGCGATCCCCCACCACACTTTGGTCATTCGCCAGTGAACGCGTCCGCCCCTCTCTAAGCATATCCGGGGATGTAGCTTATGTGCCGGGCGAAAGCGTTGGTGCGGAGCTCTAAGGCTCCCGGGTCCCGCCTTGAGATCCGAGTGTCAGCCTCCGCAGTTGCTTAAAGCCCCAATCCATCTGGGCACGTTACCTGCACCAACATCATCGCTTTCTCAGCTCAACTTTCGAACAGTATCAATCAATACCACCAAAATGCTTGGAAAGGTTATTCTGGAAGAAGCATTTGCGCTGCCTCGATTGGAGAAAAAGACAAAATGGTGGGCAGGCATGTTCAGCACAGACGCTGAGAAGCATACGCAAGAGATCCAGGATGTCACCGATATTCGATTGAAGTACGCGGACAAGTATGGTGTTGGCTATACTATTGTATCGTACACAGCGCCTGGTGTTCAAGATATCTTTGACCCCAAAGAAGCTCAGTCTTTGGCTGTGGAGATCAACGATTATATCGCCGAGCAGATCAAGCCATTCCCCGATCGGCTCGGAGCCTTCGCGTAAGCTCGCCAGGCGCCCTGATACTCCCATTGCCACTTGCTAATTCAAGATACAGGACTCTGTCCATGCATAACCCGAATGAAGCTGCCAGTGAACTGAGGAGAACGGTCACTCAGTACGGATTCAAGGGAGCCCTGGTGAACGATACCCAGCGAGCCGGCACCGATGGCGAAGACTACGTGTTCTATGACCAGCCAGAATGGGATGTTTTCTGGCAAACTCTGGTCGAGCTCGACGTGCCTTTGTACCTGCACCCTAGAAATCCCACGGGTATCGTCTTTGAAAAACTGTGGAAGGACCGACAATGGCTCATCGGCCCTCCTCTATCTTTCGCTGTTGGAGTTAGTCTGCATGCTCTCGGAATGGTCACGAACGGTGTATTCGACAGAAACCCAAAGGCCCAGGTAATCCTTGGACACTTGGGCGAACACATTCCTTTCGACATGTGGCGCATCAATCACTGGTTCGAGGTAAGTCGGACTACACTTTTTACTTGAAACTTACATTTTGACATAATCCAGGATCGCAAGAAGAAGCTTGGCCTTGATTGCAAGAAGACTATCCGCGAGTACTTCAATGAGAACTTTTGGGTGACCACCAGCGGTCACTTCTCCACGACAACTCTTAACTTCGTCAAAGATCAGGTCAGCTCTGATCGCATTCTATTCTCGGTTGACTATCCTTTTGAGACATTCGAAGACGGATGTGTATGGTTCGACAATGCGGAGATGAACACCGGAGACCGTCTTAAGATCGGGAGGGAAAACGCAAAGGGCCTCTTCAAGCTCAATGAGTACAAAGACTCGAATGAAAAAGTGATATAGGCATTGGCGAATTCAAAAACGATCAGTTTTCGAGCAAAACTGTGCTACCAAGGGTCCTGTACCACATGTTGACGCAATCACGTGACGAGCACTGGGAGTGAACAAGAATTGTGAAAGCAATGCTAACTCTTTGCGTAGATGTTCTGGCGATGCGACTATTTGATGTTCCCACAATTATCCGAGGGGGCCAAAGACAAGCACGAAGTTTGGTTAGTTGTGAAGAAATTAATATTCAAGGATTCGGTTCGGTAACAATGCTTCCCGGCCCTGATAAACTTTTTTGTTCTGCACTGCCATCAGGCCTCCAGCATCGTCTTGTTTCTACGCGCTAGTCGAAAAGCAAAGTTCACAGGAATGTAGTACAGTCCTACACTCCTTGAAATCGCGATCTGCGCACTCCCGCCACATACGTAATCCGCTGCCGATCATGCCGCTCCTGCTAGACTCAGCTCTGCCACTTTGCAGGCACTGCCATCAGGAACAAACACAGTCCAACTGTATGCAACGACCAGCAATGGAGAATGACGTCAATGAAATGTTGGAGATGTCACCGCATACATCTTGTTGGTGACTAAATTTAGATAGTGAATAGTACAAGTCAGGACTACTTGCTTTGTTGCCCAATGCCAATCTCAGCCAGAGTATATACTATAGTACATATGGATTTAACATCAATTGCTTCTATACGAGACCAAGAACGAACACAATAACCACACTTCAGCGCTTCTCTGTGCAACTACTCGACATGACTACTCAATACTTAGTAAGATTCCTTGAAAAACTCTTAAAACACATTTTAACTTCCTGACAAGACAAATTCCTATCTCGGCCCAGCCTATAGCCTCCAGCCCAACCACTCTTCCTCCATACCCTCAGGCGTACATTGCGCTCCCTCGCGTAACGGCGGCCTTCTGTGGACCCTCGTCCCTACGCCCGAAGACCCCACCAAGTTTAACATCTGTACAACGGACCCGCAAAGCAGGCAACCCAAATGCCTCGACATTTACAACGACAACTCTTCCGACCGGACACGGGTTCGGCTTGCAGACCCGGGACACTACGCTGGCCAGATGTGGACTTTAATCTCCCAGCGAGAGCCAGGGTATTTCAAGCTATCGAATGACTGGACCGGAGAAGGGTGGTATTTGGACACGTACAGCGATAGTTATGAGGCATTCATGAGCCAGGGTGATGCTACGGGGCAATATTGGGCGATCCAGGGGGTTGGATCGGGGAGCGGGGCGCATACGGTTCCTGTTCAGACTTATGATGATAATCACCATCACTGTTATGATCAGGCGGGGAAGATTGCGGGAGGTGCGGCAGCGGGTTATTTGGGCAAGAAGCTGTGGAAAAAGCTTACGTAGATCGTCTTATGACTTATACGGATTGGTACATCCTTTCTTAGTCGGTGCCACTCTCAGTTTTTCCCCGTCTATTCTTTATTCGCAAAGGGAGAATCAAGCTGTTGCGAACATGCCACCCCCGACCTGGGATGATTACGATTTTAGGCGTTGTACGGTATGTACAGTAGAAACTAGCGTGCTGTCAATAGCGGCGCTCGAGGTAGATGAAGAAGCACTCACGTCCGATGATAGTCTACATTGAAGAAGCATCAGCGGACGCTCTTTATTCGGCTCTGTGGCTCGATGCTGCTGAGACTAAGAATGACGATCTTACCGGCTGATGACTTAGACCTGAGGTGGGTAAGGACGAGTGTGGAAAGCGGTACGTAGCGGATGAAGCTGGTTCAATTGTGGATGATGTGGCTCTTGGTTTCAGTCGCAATTGGGGGGAAGAGTTTAACAGCAGATAAATCAATGGCATTGATCAGCTTAAGTATGAGGGCGCCTGCTGGACACGTGTGATTGAAGGTCGCCACATCATATTCGTCACGATGGACAAGATTGCACTACGAGCCTCGCCTTGTGCCCTGGTTGATCTGTATCTACATATGTAGGTAGTGTACAGAGTCATTGTCGAGATGCTTTCGCTCGAAACTAACCGAGTAGCTATTCGTATAAGCGAGTTCACTGTGGCCTTTCAGTGCCTTGATGCTGGCTAGATGGAGCGGAGCGCGACTTCGACAACCTGGAGATGCGCGCTTCACGTGACGTCAGCACGGGCTAGTGTACGCAATGGAGCCCATTTTGTCGAAAATGCCCTCTCTATCGGGCTCCAGCGACGACAACATGGGCGTGCCTATCGCTAGGTCGACTGGGTGGTTAAGTTTCGCGGCGGCCGAGGCAGGGACGATGAGATCGTCTGCCTAGCGGACCATCGCCAATCTTCGGATAGTGCACCTGGTCAGTCTAGAGCACGTGCGCGTCCCGCCCACCGCTTTTAGATTGCCGCTAGTCGTATCATATTCTCCGGGGTTAGCAATTGGAAAGTTGAGCGGCAATTGGGCAGATATGCATCGCAGCTAGGTTCTAACATTATGGCGGCTACTACTCCCTGCCCCCAACACCTTCCGCATTCTTCTTTCTCAACGCAGCACCCGACATCCGCATACCCCGGATTTTCGTCGAGTGGGCCAGCCTGGAGGACCTTCGACACTCTGTCACGTGATGTTTTGATCACACTCAGATTGCAAGTTCACGATGCCCCGTCGGCCAGTGAAGCCCGAGGATAGGCAGCGAGTCGCTCGGGCATGCGATCAATGCAAAGCATCGAAGAAGCGTTGTAATGGGAATCAGCCCTGCGATGCTTGTGGAAAGAAAGGAAGCTCTGAGGCTTGTCACTACACTCGCGGCAGGCGGCGCCACCCATTACCACGACGAAGCTCAACCACCTCACAGAATGTTGGTGTAACTGAACCCAATTCTAGTGAGAACAGGACTTCAGTAGGCGAGTCTATGGTCTCGCCAATGTCCTCTTGGAACGTCCACGGTCAAAGTGTCAGATCATCCGGTAGCGTTCTTTCGGATGGAATCGATGATGAAGGCCATGATGGACCCGAAGACGGCTTCGACGATGAGACGCAAACTTCCTCTAGCGAAGGGATGGATCAACCGCCACTTATGCTATCAAGTGTGAATGGAGAAAAAGGTAAGTTTACCTGAATATTGATGAACGTAGAACACATGCACAGATGGTCTTGCATTGCATGCAGGATTCGAAGCAGTAGAGTCTCTCCGAAATATATGCTGATCCTTGTTCATGCCAGTTTTTGTCGGTAACACGGCAGCAATCTCTTTCCTGCGATTTTTGCAGAAGACGCTAGAGCGCCATGTCGGACCTTCTGGCTTCACTGTCGCAGATGATAGCCACAAGCTCTTCGAGGCAGATACTGCAGACGTAGATCCAAATTCTGTTTACGACAGTTTGAGTATTGACGACAAAAGAGCCTTCGTACAAGTCTTTCTGGATGCCGTAAGTAGTCCTAACGTTTCGCTTTTGCCTTCATGAATTCATTTGCTAATCCGTACGTAGTCAAGCGGCCTTCTAGATCTTTTCTCTTGGGAGGATGTTTTCCGACTCTTAGGGAGCCATGAACCTATAAGCCCCAGTGCGATACAGCCTACCTCCCAACGGCTGAGTAGTCTCGAGACCGCATCTCTGTACCTCATGATCGCGATCGGAGCACAGTGTCGCCAAAGCGTTGACGACGCCACGTGGGCATCGAAGCTGTTCTCCTACGCTCGAAAGCTGGCACTCGAGGGAATGCTGGCAAATCCGAGCCTGGACCTAGTTCGAGTTTTTCTCTTAATGGCTTTCTACATGTTCGGGGCATGTCGTCGCAACTCAGCTTTCATGTACCTCGGTGTAGCATCGAAGGCTGCTGATATTCTGGGTCTGCACTCGTCTACGCAGTACAAGCACCTACCACAGGAGGCTAAGGACGCGAGGTAAGTCGAGCCATGTTACTTGGTGAATATATATTAAGCTAATTTGATGGTCATAGACTCCGAACAGCCAAAAGTCTGCGCGTATTCGACGTCATTTGCAACTCCATACTTGGCCGCCCAAGTAGCACTCCGTCTGTGCGAACAGGCCGCACGAGCTACGTGACGAAGAGTTCTGATATGAACCCTGAAGTCACGTATAAGGCCTTGGCCTTGGGAGCATCATATGAAATCTCCGCCATCCTCAACGAAGCTGTTGCTAAGTCCGCTGAAGTCGGCTTGGACATGGAAACAACCGAGGCCTTCGTACTAGCTCTGCGGCAACGCAGTCGCACGTTTCCACCAATCCTGCGACATCATGGCAGCGATAACGACTTTGATACACGACACATCACTATTGGTAATGTCCATGTGGCCGGTTCATATTATTTCAGTGTCATTTTGGTCACTCGGCATTGCTTGATCCGCCATGTCGTACCTTTGCTTTCAGGGCAGGCACGCAACTCGCTTGAACAAGCCCAGGGCGCGAAATCCGCCACAACCGAGGATACAAAAGTTGCGCATCTGGCAGACGCCTGCATCGACGCAGCGTCACTCATGGCGCAAATGTGTCACCAAGTCATGAAATCTGGCATGTTGGTCGGAAACATGTGTATTCTCAAGTGAGTTAATCCCGTCGCTCACCGCTTCGTGTCATCCAAAACTCCAACACACCTTCGTGCTAATCTCGATCAGGGCTTGGATCTTCGCGACCGGGCTTGTCCTGGGCTTCTCTTTACTTGTAGAAGATGGTCCTAACTTTGCACAGAAACGCGCAGCGTTCTTAAAGTCTCTCCATGTTCTGGGAGAGCTGAAGCGGATGAGTCCCCAAGCTGAGCAGTACTACAACATCCTCATGAGCTTCCATCAATCTATCAAGTCATACCGAGAACAGCTCGACCGGGAAAAACAAGAATCTCGCCCAACGCTGGTTGACTGCGTTTTCTTGACAGACTTTACAGCCGACTTGAACGATGCGGAACATATTGCCACCCAGCTTCCGAGCCCAGATACGACTCTCCTAGAACCCTCTTTGGCGGAGTGGCCTCTTGAGCTCGACCAGATGGGGGCTGTTGCGAACGATGTGGGACCCATAGACCCCGCATTGATGGGCGACAACGACATCATCATGCGTATGCTTTGGGACGTTGATAGGTATGCCGGTGAATATCTCGATCCTCTGCTACCCGAAGTGGATGTGGGTTTGGGTTGCTCGGCGCACATTGAAGGGCCATTAGCATAAATTAATGATATCATGATGCATGGATTCGAGTGGAATTCAATTTACTACCTTGAATAGAGCCCCCATTTTCCGGCTCACGATTTGAACCATGTTTCTCTAAATCCTCAACTTTGGTAGTCCCAAGTTTTTACTGTAGCACAGTATAAGCATCTTACATCGTGCGGTATTCCAAGCCCCTTCAAATTTCTACCATGTTAAGCTATGCTAAGCTATCACTCCTTATCAAATTCAACGATTGGGAAAATAATATTCGAATATGACACTAATGTCAGAAGTACATGTAGTATTTGTCTTTCTACAACCTCGAGACACTAACTCATAGAAGCATTGAATTCGCGCTGATAATCCAATCCGTGTTAATATAATCACGCAGCGATAATAACATCATCGCCGGGAAGCGCGAGCAATCACACCGACGCCCCTTTTCTCGTTCATTTCCCCACGATCCCATTCTTTGTCCTATACTCATCCAACACCCCATTGTAGTCTTTAGGACAGTATGGCGACAAAAGTTCCTTGATGAAAGAGCCTTTTCGCTTGTTCCGAACCCCTATGTCCCGAAGGAGCATATCGACGTAAGGAATGCCTTCAAAGACAAAGTCCGGAAGACTGGCACCGTATCCACAGGGGTACCGCCACTTACCCCACTGTGTGTGCATCATGATCTCGCGGGTTACCTCGTCTTGGGTCTTTGCCTCGCGTTCCAGACGGCCATCAAAATAAGCTGTGATCCATAGGCCTTGGGTGCTAGCGCATATTGCAGTGCTGACCGTGGAGATCATGCCTGCGAAGGCAAAGTTCCGCTTCGCAAGCATGCCTGACGGAATCATAAAGCGGTAGTATCGAAGAGGCTCCGAAGCCTTCTTGGGTTTAGATCGTAGAGTGGGCTGCTTCTCCAGAATTGGAAAGTCCTTCAGCACTTTAGTGTCGTACTCAAGGCTAAGGTTCGCCTGCTCCTTCTCATCTATGGGCAGGCCCAAGCCTGTCTTGTCCAGACCGACAAACGTAATAGTCGACTCTTTTTTCCAGCCCGTGGAGCAGATCATAGCATCTGCTATGAGTTCGTCCCCATTCTCAAGCACAACCTTTCCAAGTGCGAGATGGTCAATGTTCTCGATGTGGACACGAACCTTCCCATCGCGGATCATGTCGAAGAAGCTGGTATTGTAGTTGAGAATGCTCAACCCGCTGCCGATCCAGAACACGGAATGCCAAGGCTTCAACTTCTGAAGCTCTGGGTGATTGTCGTATTGATTCCGCTGCAAGACATCGTTACCCATCACTTTCCAGAAGCCCCGGACGAGCATTCGTCCGAGGGAAGTCTTCTCTAGGAATTTTCGCACCCTGCCAAAGCCGTCCTCGTGACCCCATGGACAAGGACTGAACCAAGATAAGGCTCGAACGTTGAGGATGGTGTCGATACGGTGCTCAAGTGGCGTCACCTTCCGAGGTGCAATCCAAACAGGACCATTGCTATCAGGCTTGATGACCAGATCGACAGTAGCACCACTTTCAACCATAGCGTATGCTACATCGTAGGCAGACTTTGCACCACCGACTACAACGACGTTCTTTGCCCCTTTGAGCTCATCTGCTCTCCGACAAAAGTCTTTCGCGTGGAACAATGGCTTTCCAAAACTCTCGGCACCCTTGTATGACGGAAGATTAGGTGTTGATGTGAGACCCGTTGCAAGGATGAGCTTTTCTGTCTGGACTTTCCTTTCACCGCTCGGAGAAGTCACCGTCAATGTCCATCCAGATTCCGTAGATTCGACAAGGCCGACAGTCGAGTTGAATTGCAGCCTCTCATAAATGCCGTAGTGTTTGGAGAAGTCGGTCAGGTATCGGTTCAACACTGCGCCAGGGATATGGCCGAGTTCTTGCACACCGTAGACCTCTTTTTTCATAGGGAAGTCAGGGAACTCGTAGCTACCAAGCATGTTGTTGCTCTTGAGTCCTGGGTACAAGCGCTTTTCGGACCATGTGCCTCCGACCGAGTCGTTGGATTCTATAACAGCTATCTTGTGATCGGGATGGGACTGGATGTATGCTCGTGCGGCTCCAAGGCCAAACCACCCTATTTTAACCCTTTAGTATGATCTTTTCAGTTTAACCGACAAGTACAAGCGAGCATACCGGAACCGACCACGACGAGATCGTAGGCCTCAGGTAATGTTGCAATCATGGTGGGGCGCGGAAACACAAGAACAATTGGCAAGATTGAGATAAAGGTGAAGAGGAGACGCGCCTGGCGAAGGTGATTGGCGTCGCTAAAAGATTGTGAGTTCTTCGTAAAGCTTGACCGATTTGTATGATATGATGCGAGTAGATTGGTGAAGATTGGTGAAGATTGGTGAAGATTGGTGAGGATAGCTGAGATCTTGCTCACGAAGTCGTCGAAGTTTACGGATATACAAATCAGTGGCCCAATGCAACGCTATCGGCTTCATTTGATCTGGGGTAAGCGTCTGATCCCATTGTGGGGTAAGTGTTCTCAACCTTAGCGTTATCTGGCGTCGGATAGTGTCCCACAGCTCTCAGGGAAACTAATTTCGGCTAGATATGTTACCAATGATAGCAGTACACACAGTCCGGACCGACTTAGTAGTGCGCATCCCGCTAGATGTGGCGGATAACGTACCTAGATCTTCAAATCATCGCCTATCATCGCAGAGGGAGTTTCCCCGACCGCGGCAGTAGTTCGTCCTTCGGCGCCTTCCCCTAACGACCCACAACCGCGCGTGCATGTGATACGCAAAAATGCACAGTAAGAGACGGTTGTGAACACTGCGTCTGTTCCTGAAGCAGGGGCGGTATAATGGAGTTGTAATAATGGTGTTTACTGGAATGAAGTTCTCACAACGAGAGGTATATTTTACACAGCGTGTTGAAACATAGCGAGAATCCAGGAACACGTTTGATATGAAATTTCTATCTGCCCGGAATCTGATGCAATTTAGACAGGAATTCATGATGGTGGGCTGATGACTCCGTCAATGGTCCCAGCATGAAGACCCCCAGTGATTTGGATATCCGCCGCGGTTGTGTGTCTTGAAGCGTCACTAAGAAGATAGATAATAGCGCCAGTCAAGTCGTTCTGGGTGCTCAGTCGCTGCAATGGGGGAGCGAGCCACATCTGATCTCCTTCTCTCTTGCTTTTGGACGCACGCACGTTGCGTGTCATCTCTGAATCAACAAACCCCGGGGAGATGGTGTTGACTCGGATATTGTGCTTCGCTAGCTCCACTGCAAGCGCTTTGGATAGCATGAGGATGCCGCCCTTGGATGCATTATATGCTGCCATTCGGTATCCTGGCAGACCAATGTGTGATGATTGCGAAGCAATAAGCACAATACTGCCAGCGGTCCCTTGCTTGATGATTTGCTTCGTCACCCGTTGGACGATGAAGAATGTGCCCCGGACCTGAGACATGTCAGCGACAGGTCTAGTTGTGAGTGCTCGAACGAGATCCTACATTGATATCCTGGATGCGCGTAAACTCATCCCAGGTCTGGTCGACGAAGGGTTTGTCAATAGCGATGCCCGCTGCAGGCACACAGCCGTCAATTGATCCAAGTGCCTCAAGTGCTTTGTCGAATCCCGCATTTAGACTCTCTTGTTGTGTGAGATCTGTCTTGAAGTAGAAAGTCTTGACATTGTATTTCGAAGCAAGGCTGTTGAACTCTTCGACCGGTTTATCCTGGATATCCAAAACAGCCACATTGCCTCCCAACTCGGCAATAGCTCGTGTCCCAGCAAACCCGATACCCTGTGCACCACCGGTAACCAAGTAGTTTCGGCCTCGCAGCTCGAACATAGGCCGCACATCGTCAAGCTTGTCTGCCATTGCGATAAATTCGAGACCGTGAAGGATAGTGGGTTATGGTGAGCGTGGTTTCGGGTGAGTTCTTTGCGTCTTGTAAATGTCACCTTTCCCGATGGTAGAACATGTCAAATTGTACAGATAGATTCGCACGCGGATACCTGCCAGATTCCGCTAAAAGCTATTTGTCCGAAAATCCAACCGCACGCGGCCGGTCCTCCGTCACGCTGGGTACGCACGTGCAACTGCGAATCGTCCGTTAGAGAACTTTTGATGTGGGCTAAAGATTATGGTCGGCAAGGTTCCTTCGATACATAGCAGTATCCGACAAGACACCCGGGGGGACGCGTGTTCTAGCCGATCCCTGGAAGGTATCTGAGGGGCGATAAGCCGGTGATCGCACGCTAGATTGCCTAGTCCTTTCCGTACCGCGGCACAGCGAGAACGTGCCCAACCACCAAAAGCGCATTACTTACATCACGGCTATTGATCTATAGTACTTGCATTGTCGTAAATTTGTCCGGAAGGGGTCATCAGTCAACAATAAATCAGTATTGTTTTTGTCCACATCGTTCAAGCGACTTTCTACTTTCTCACACCCTCAAAATGTTCAACGACATCACGCAGCCTCCGCCACCACTACCAACCGCGGCCCTCCGAACCCTGAGCAAAGGCGTGTCCATACTATCCCCACTGACTCGCAGAGGGCACGGCCCAGGTGTTATCTTGCTTGTCCCAGACTCCGACGCATCCACCAAGATCATAGAAGGAGTTCCATCACATCTCGTCAAATGGGCCGAGGAAGGCTATGCTGTTGTTGAGATCCAGCAGCAAGCGCTACAAAATAATACCAAGGATGCACTGAGCCAAGCAATCGATGCGCTAAAGCGACTTGAAACGTGTACACCCAAAGAGAAGATTGGAGTTGTTGGTATGTTGTGAGCTGAAAGAACCCCTCTCTGCTAAAGCTAACGGTATCCTGCACGTAGCATATGATCCCACATGCTGGAGCCTTGCCGCAGAGACAGTGAACAGTGTCTCTGAAGTTGCGGCCACAGTCGTGTACGCGGATATTGCTCAGCACAACTCCATTGCTGTGTCCAGAAGTCCATCCATCTACCATTTAGCAGGCAAAGGGAGTGACAGACCATTGAGGTCGGAGAATTTGACCGTGTACTACTATCCAGAAGTACAGTCCTACACTTTTGCCATTCCCTTCCAGAAAACCTTCCATTATGGTCAGGAGGCGTTATCACATACCAGAAGCCTCACACATCTCAAAAAACGGATGGATGGCCCTTGGTTCGATCTCGAGCTCATCTGGGAAGAGCACACCTACTACGAATTCGCTGATCGCTCTGTTGAGCACACCATGAGCACGATGGTTCAAGAGCCATACGTCAACCATGTTCCGACTGTATGAAAAAAAAAAACACCAGGGTCCTCGTCATATCAATATGCTGACTGATGGATCTAGCTCACGGGTGGTGTAGGCCGAGCCTCTTTGACTAACTTCTACGCCCACAACTTTATATTCAACAACTCCGCGGACACAAGTCTTGAGCTTACTAGTCGATCAATTGCTATTGATCGCGTAATCGACGAATTCATCTTCACTTTCACTCACGATCGCGAGCTCGACTGGCTGTACGTAACACTCCTCGTGTGTTGTGTGACTATACTAACCACAGGTGCCTAGCCTCCCTGGAGTTCCACCAACCAACCTTAAAGTTGAGGTCCCATTTAATGCTGTGGTGAACATTCGGGGTGATCGCCTGTACCATGAACATATAAGCTGGGACCAGGGCACGGTCTTGCGGCAACTGGGTCTGCTGCCAGAGTATCTACCCTTCCCGTACGCACTGCCAGACGGGATGACTCCTGCGCCTGGCAAGCGAATTGAATATCGTGTACCAGTGGCTGGTACGGATGCAGCAGACAAGTTGAGGGATAGGAACTCGGTGCCGTCTAATCAGATGTTTGATTTTAAGATCAGGGAAGTTTAGATTGACCTAGGAAGAATTTCTACATTTGAAACGCTCTAACAGCGTGACAATCGTTTGATGCCGGGAATTTGCTTTTGAATCTAGGAAGGTGGCGCATGCCTTGCATAGAGTCGGCTGGGGTGCGCCCTACCCTTCTACTTCCATGCGGCTCTTCACCATTTCTGACGCTCGCAGCGATTCGCGAAGAAGGCAAGAAACTTTGGTGGACCCTCACGAGAATAAGTTGAAGTGTTTTTGCACTTGGATACCCCGGTCTTGCGAGATGCTCGGCTTCTTACACGCGCAACTACCCAATGTTGGCACGTCGCATGCCACGCCGCTGCGAGTTTTAGGCAGCAACCAATCAACTCCATCCATCGCTTGTTCATTGACCAACCACCTTCATTCTCCAAGGCGGCGCCAATTGTTCAAATACAGCCCCTTCTAATCGATGGTGTAGCTAAATAATTCTACCATCTACCAAGCTATCGAGACTAAAGCAACCGAATTTTCGGATCGCCAATATGAATACGTCTGACAACTGGTCTGCCCGGAACTGGCAGGACCCACGGATTGACACCAAGAATCAACGTATCGCCGCACTCCTCGTTCCACCAGGGCCACTAGGACCATTCCACCCGGCCCATCGCTACGTCCCGCATCCCGCAGAAACGCCCCTTCAGTCCACCACGCCACTCCTACGCTTCCCAACAGAACTCCACCTCGAAATCTTCGGCCACATCCGCGCAGACGGAGACACGTTTGAAGATACCAGGCTGATGTCTGAATCACGCGCGAAACAGGTGTTTGGAGATCCGCACGCCTGGCTCTGGACTGTGCTCGCACTCCGCGGCACATCTCGCTTGTTCAGATACATGCTTCCACCTCTAACCCACGACGAGCTTCTCGACTTGGAACTCACATTGCGGGCTACGAGTAGAGGTCTACAGGCATGCAGATATTGCCTTTGCCTCCGCCACACCAGCCACTTCTCTCACGCACAGACCCGGCAACGCGGCGTGCCTATTGATGCTGTACTTGGATGGGCAGGGTACAGCGTCAAGTCGAGAGAGAAGCGGGCAAAGAGGTTCTGCGTGGACTGTGGATTTGCGAAGGCTATCAACCCAGAGCTGGATATTGGAAAGGTGAGGTATGGGAAAGGTAGTGATGTCGTGGTGGGCGAGAGCGAGGGCGAGAGGTGGGTTTGGTGCTGGTGGTGCGAAAAGTTGAAGAGAGGAAAAGAGGCTGGGATGCTAGGGAAGGAAGCTTGTACTGGTAGCTGCGTTTCGTGTTGCGAAAAGCGTGCATGCAAGGGTGCATGTGTGCGCGAAGAGCAGGACAGAAGGAGGACAGCAGCAGAGGAGTGGATTATTGAGAGGCGCGAATTGGAGCTGGACTGATGATTAGGTGTGCTATGTCAGATGATCAGTCTGAGATCATCTATCCAAAGGGCTGGGAATAGAACATGTAAGTCTGTCCTAAGTGAGAAGAATTTGACATCCCGCCGTAAGACCAGTACATCCTAGAATTTAATACAACAATATTATTTTAGAACTAAGTCTCCGAAGAAAAGACGAAAGCCAGATGATGAGAAAGTGCTCAAGTTCAAGAAACACAATTACGAGAGCTCCTACCTCGCACTCCATGCCTTGTCGCGGTAGTTTGGGAACTGGAAACGCATCACTTTGGGTTTGCATCATTTTTTATTAACGGTGAAGTTACAAGCCAAACTAAAGAGCGATCCTTCCTCCATGGTAGCATAGGATATGTGAAAGCACTGTCTTACGATCTGAACGTCGACCTGCTGCTGTTTATGTTACTATTCGCACAATGCTCGTCGTCTGAATTGCATCGATGCTACAGACCTGGATCTCGAACGATTCTCCCGCCGAATTGATGAACGTCACAATTTCCACCCTCCTGAATCGCTTGTATGTGCGAGGGAGGGTCTCAAGCAGCAAAGCATAAAGGGAATGCTTTCTACTAGCAAGATTATTGCATAGCCTTGCCAACCTTCACCAGGTCCCCCAGATCTGTATCCTTGTCGGTGGCTAATAGGGAGCAGGCATATCCTTCGATCATCTTCTCGAACAGGCAACCCCGCGTTTTCTACCGTCCTTACGCGCACTGTGCTTCGTTGCGAAACCACGCGATTCATTTGCGTGCAAGTAGAAGTCCTCGGGGGTCACATTCTCCAGCAACATACCGCGGACATCCAACACAATACTTGAGCCCTGCGGCAAAGCTAATCGTTTATCTCCAAGTGAAAGGACTTCAAACAACAGTGGCAGAAAAATGTGCACGTTGATGTAAGTGTGAGCTGCGGGAGGCATGCGGGCACACGCTGCGTGTCTTGCATCAATTAGGATTGGCCCGGGACACACGCCTCAGTGCCTGCGCTGTTTTTTCATCACTTATGTAGTGAAGACACGTCGCTATTGCCTTTGCGCAGTCATTCAGGTATTCTGAACCACACAGAAACAATCCAATGGACTTCAAGTAGCCCCATTCGCCTCAATCCGCCTCTCCTTCCTCCAAGATTGGCCTCGTCAGCCTAACATTACACCCTCCCATATCCCAGTCAACCCGACAACTCGCATAGGGCAGAACGACTTCATATTCTCTCGGCGTTCTCACCCTCTTCACCGCGTCCACCAAAATCTCCTCTACCCCTAACCAATGCCCCTCCCAAATTCCTTCTGGGCTGGGATCTATGATGGAAACTCTCAGGTCCCTGAGCGACTTCATGCGTGCCAGAATATCCCAGCCCTTCTCCCAATTCGCTGTATCCTCCGGATATGCGGGCCGCTTTGAGGAGGGATTCCGGCGGAAATACGGCATGCCGCGGATAGTCCATTTGAGGCGCAAAGTACGGATGGTATTGAGCCGCTGCTGGGGGACGTGTGAGGGGAGGAAGAGCAGGTGTGTAATGTGCAAGAGCGAGAAGACGTGCGGGGAGTAGAGGTGCGATGCTGCTTCCGTATACCTGTGCAGGTCAGTACAACACACCCGGTTTCTCATCGACTACTTGGAGAACAAGAATCACTCACATCCTCCTGCAAACAACCAACATCCTCACGCACGCTCCGCTCAGCCTCCCACACTGGGAACCGCCCACCAGTACCTTACACCCGCACTCCCCGTCGCCTCCGTCGCCCCTGCAGATGAAATGCCCGAACCGCTTCTTCGCAAACAACAAATGCACCGTTTCTTCCCCAACAACATACTCGTAAACCATCTTCCTAATCTCAATAGGTAGCATCGCGAAGAACGCGCTCTGGCCTTGCATGTGCGTGCGCGCTTCCAGCTCTTCGTCCACCTCAGACGTAAGACTAATCACGCTTTTACGCCTCTTCAACGTGCCATGGTTCGGCTCGGCAGGCTTCCTGCTCAGTATCGAGCGCTTCGGGCGGTCTTTCTCTTTCTTCGAGCTCGAGGGCGGCTCGATGTCGTGTGGGATCCAGCGCATGGTGGGGAGGAGAGCGGAGAGTTTCCTCATCACGGTCACGGCGACGAAGACACACAATGGCAGGATGTCACTGGGCTTGCATTGGGCTGTACATAAGTGTGGGTGTCATGGAATGCGGGAGCTGAGCTGTCTTTGTGGGGTGACACGCGAGGGGTGGCGGGGAAGGTTGCGATCGGCGCTGCCCTGTGCATCGGGGCTGAGCTTGTTTCGGACAAGCTTTGGGCGGGAAGAGGCAAGCACCGAGCCTTTCCTTGTGCTCGCAAACTGGGCCGGCAAATTGTCGAGAGGCAAAAATAGCATCTGATTGAATAAAAGATAGGTGAAGGAGGCTGCGATAGCGTATGAGACTGATCAGAGCCTCCTTCGTGCCGGCCTCTCAACCTAGCGACACCAATCATGCAACATGATATCTCTCCAAGTACCAAGGCTTTCCTCTCGCGATGATCTCCTTTCTCAACAGATCTTCGTCGACCTTGTGTTCAGTAATATAACCCTTCTCCTCGCTCAAGATGTCAAGCTGCAACCACTTCAGAAAAGCACCAATGCCTTTCATGGTTTGCTCAAGTCCGTTCTCTCGTAGGTAGTCCCATCCCTGTTCCAGACGCTGTTCTGAGCACCACGCTTGCGCAAGCTCCTGCGCAGCCTCTCGCTTCTCTGCCTGGTCCACGGGCGGCTTTTTCGGCGCAGGCGTAAATGTTGGCTTGAAGCGCCCGCCTTTGGTCTTGAACCAGAGGTCCGAGTCAGATATGTAGGGAACAAGCTTCCAGACTAGCCCTTCGCCTTCGCCCGTGACACCAAACGTTGCTGCGAAAGGGCACCGAGCGGCAATCGTATCGGCAAGCGGCTCAAGTGCGTCAATCGTTCTTTGTGGTTCTTCCGGATAAAGTACAGAGCGGTAGGTACCCGCGCGCGAGATGTTGTAGATGTCGTCTTCGACAGCTTCGATATCTGCGTAATCGACGTCTGCAACCCAGCTGCCATTGATCTTGGCAGAGATAATGACGAGCCGCCGAGAGAGCTTGGAGATGGCGACGCCTTTTTGAATCTTCTCGCCGACCCACTCCCCAGCTATCGTGACGGGTAACGCAGTGTCCAGCGTCTCTTCCGGGTTCAGTTTCTTCCATCGAACTAGAAATTCGTCGCGCAATCTGAGAATGGCAGGTCGTTTGGTGGACATAGACTTTGCGAAACCTAAGTTATCCGCCGTTTCTAGCAAGACTGAATTGTTGCGGGACTGGAGGGTTATGGTGTTGTCGCTCGAAACCAGGATGTCTGCGTGTGTCCCATGGAGTTTGACGGTACCAACAATAGATATAGGGCCGGTAACTGGTTCTTCCTCGGGCTTATCTGGATCGCGAAGCTTGTACTTTAGCGTTTTGATGACCTGCTCATTACAACTAGGTCAGCTCGAGTATAGAGGGCAATGCAAAAATCGTGTGACTCACCTCTTTGATATGGGTGGTGATCTTGGGATAGAGCGTCGACTTTGACTCAGAAGCCATGGTCGCGGCAATAAGGTCAGATTTATCCTCCCCTAGAATGTTCCTCGTGTCGTACAACTGTATCAAGTATCGCGTCTATCATATGGAAGTGAGGAAGGATAGACAAGTACTGTGAGAATGCTGTATAAGTTCGAGTAAACCTATTCTCATGCAAATGACCAAAGCTCGGGAATGTGAGGCGATTCCAACGCAAATGCTGGGTATACAATCCAGTTGTGTTGAGACGAAAGGTGGTATCTAGTCGTTACTCGAACATCTAAACGCGGAACGAGAATCGCGCGTGCTGTCCGAAACCATGGGTACTGTGGCGCAGCGCCTTAGGCCACCAGACTGGAAGCATTAAAGCTCACTTATATAGGGAAACACTGTGATGGACGCGAGGTACATTCGCGCGTTTGTTGATAACAAGTGCAGATGATAGCAGGAGCGGGAGGTTCGTCGCTGCATCAGCTCCGGGCTCTGAGCGCTGATTGGCTGCCTAGCGAGACCGTTCAATGCAGGAGAGAGCCGCAAGTTGTTTCTTGAGACCACACACCAAGACGAAGTGCTACTGCTCTGCAAATCTCGTCGCATTCCAGACGGTACCATATCTCTTCGTCCAAGATGCTTGCCCGACGGCAACTGATGCCCCGCCGTTTGGTCGGCCACACATCAGGCCTTCTGCACCTGCGTGACGGAACGTGGAAACCTCTACGAAGTGCTCGAAACGACCGGACACCGACCGGATTCGGTGTCCTGAAAACATGAGATAGTGTAACTTCAGCGTTGGACTTAGGCAAACGTGTTTCAAGAGTGGTGTTATGGCCTAGTGGGTTACTTCACATGGCGTTTTACTCTGCATTTTTGAACGATGAGACGCCTTCCCCACGGGGGTAAAGAGCTATTGCCCATCGTAAAAATCATCAGTGGAGCGAACTCACGTATAAAAGGCCCTTATCGGGAATGGACAGCAGAGCACAATCGAATCGCCCCTCTTTGTCCCCAGTCTTGGCGGCGACGATGTGTGGAACGCCCACCCTTTGGGTGGGGTGCTTGACGACGGGTCTGGGTAAGGCCGGGCATTGGAGGTTTGCTTCGGGCCAAATTGAACAGAATCTTCAGCAGACAAGTCGAGTGATCTTGCTATTACGTATCTGTTATCAGGCCGGAATGAGGCCGGAAACCATTCCGGCCACGAGATATAAGCGCGAGTTTGGGAGCCTCAAATGCTCGGCCATCGAGTACAAGAGTCGAAATTCGACACTAACGACCTAGATACTTTGTCACCTGATTTTTTAATCCTACCCAAGATCCTACCCAAGATCCTTCACCATGTCGGTCGACATGTTCGAATTTCCCGTCTTGGAGGATACCCGTCCCAAGGACCGATCCCTTCCTGCCTTCATGGTCTCGACTACCAGAGGCTTCCTCCCACGTCAGGAACCACTGGAGAGACTCCCAGTGGAGTTCGAGGCTGTAGAATCCTTGCTCCAACGCATGCCTATCAAGACGCTATCAGGGGAACCTGGTTTGCTTGCGAAGTTCACCTTCGGCGACACTCTCGACAAGGAGCTACCAGACCTCAGCGACGAGGTAGAGAAGTATCGCGATGATCTAGTCGTCATGAACGCTTTGTACCGCGATTACTCGTTCTTGGCTTCAGCATACTTGTTTGAGCCTTGCCATGAAAGGTTCCTCAAAGACGAACCATACGGGCTGGGGAGGCAGAAGCTGCCTCGTAGTATCGCGTTGCCGATTGTCAAGGTTGCTGAGATGTGAGTTGACCCCATCATTCAAACTCTCCACCTGACCTTCATCAGCGCTGGTTTCAAGCCGTTCATGGAGTATGCAGGCTCATATGCTCTCTTCAACTACCGCCTCCAGGATCCCGATAAAGGCCTAGAGTACGACAACCTACGCTTGATCCGTGCCTTCGAGCATGGGCTTGACCCTTCGTCCTCGGAGGCTGGGTTTGTGCTGGTGCACATCGCCATGGTGAAGGAGTCTGGCCCGCTCGTCAAAGGCACGGTCGAGATGCTCGAGAGCTGCATCGCGAAGGATCGCGAGAGGTTTGACGATGGACTGAGGACAGTGGTAGATGGATTGAAAAACGTCAATGCAGTCATGAACAGTGAGTGACTTGTCTTGTGCAGCTGTGCATATCTGACGACTTGCAGCGATGTGGAATCGCAGCAAACCGCAGAGCTACACGCACTTCCGCACTTTCATCTTTGGCATCACATCGCAGTCCATGTTCCCCAATGGCGTCATCTACGAAGGTGTGAGCGAGGAGCCCATGTCGTTCCGAGGAGAGTCGGGGGCAAACGACAGCATGGTAACGGCACCAAATCTTCTACTCGGTTCCGTTTCTAACGCGGCACAGATCCCTCTCTGCGACAACCTGCTTCAGATCAAGATGCCGTCGACACCGCTTACAGAGATCCTCCAAGACTTCCGGCAATACCGGCCGGGCAACCACCGCGAGTTCCTCGAAGCGGTACGCGGATGCGCTGAAGCATCAGGCGTCAGGGACTTTGCTCTGTCCAGCCCCATCTCAGCCGCTTTGTATCTTCAGGCGTTGAACGAGGTCCGGGATTTCCGGTGGCGTCACTGGTGCTTCACGCGGGAGTACATCCTCAAGCGCACGATGCACCCAACTGCGACGGGTGGAAGCCCCATTGTCACGGTATGTTGAGCTTGCTATATGGTGTGGTCGCGAGGCTAAGCTGACGATGACACAGTGGCTGCCCAACCAGCTGCAGGCCGTGCTGGAGCAGATGGTCGACACGGCTGCATACTGCAAGGGAGTGCATGGGGTCGACGACATCATGGAGACGGCGTGCAGCCAGCGGGAGACGCTGAAGAAGGAAGTAGCGAAGTACTGCGGCGAACGCGGGGTCTCGACGCCCTAGGGCCATACAAACAGCAAACATAATTAGACTTGCTTGATGCATCAATAGATTCGCCGTGGGCTCGTCTCGCGGCCCCTGCTTGAGCCCTTCTCGTACTGCGCCCTTGCGCGGCGGGTGGACCCACTTGTGAACACGACCCGCGAGCCTTTCGTGTGCAATGGAATCACGCAGGCGGCAAATCAGGCAGTGGCAATTGCACTGTCTCGAACGGGGCTCGTGACGGGCGGTTGACTCGGTCCCTGCGGTGGTGACATGTTCAGCAGTCACGCCGTCATGCGGCTACAGTATGACTGTTGCGCTATCGATAGCTGCGGGCGACTAAATACCCCAGAGCCCCACGCCGTCGCCCGCAGCACGACGCCATCGCATCGCTCTCCATTCGCACGCCCCAATGCTAGCTGCAACACGTCTCATGGAATACCCGCGTCCAATACGAATAGCAGCATACCGGCGAATACGACACACGACCACCTGAAGGCTCGCGGCACACCGCAGCTGCCGCGGCAGACGACCACAGCATGGCCTCACGCCACGCGCCCAAGCAGAGCCCCATCGACCGGCGCAAGGGCGAGAGTGTGCGTTTCCGGACATGCTTCTGCCTGGCGCTGTACGACACTGACACGTGCAGGCCCTCAGCGACTTCGCCGACTACGTGCAGAAGCAGCAAGCTCTGCGCCGCCCGCCAGGCCAGACGCCCGCCGACCTGGAAGAGCACGACGAGCTGAGCATCCTCGACGAGCTCGGTCTCTCCGACGATGCGACCCCCGCACTCCCGCTGAAGACGCTGCTCCTCGACCCCGCAGACGGCAATGTCGACAAGCTGGCCGAGTACATCGAGGGCCGCCTGGCCGAAGGCCACGGCGAGGCTCTCTTCGATCTCGGCCTGGAGGACAGCGGCGACTCGATGGCCTTCTCCGTGACGGACTGGGAGTCGGCGCTGGCAAGAGTGGGCGCCGCGTGCGACCAGACCAAGGCCGACTACAAGCTCCTCATGACGAGGAATGTGGGGGCTGATCCCGAGCTCGAGGTCGGCCCCAGGGACGCCAAGGACACGGGGGCGAGCGGGAAGCTGATTCTGCGCAGACGGCCGGAGAGCGTCGACGATGTTATCGAGACGCGGATTGCCGTCGTGGGTAATGTGGATGCGGGCAAGAGCACCATGCTTGGCGTGTTGGTCAAGGGCGGCCTGGACGATGGGCGTGGCAAGGCGCGCGTCAATCTGTTCCGGCACAAGCACGAGATTGAGAGCGGGAGGACCAGCTCGGTGGGCATGGAAATCATGGTGAGTTTGCTGCATCATCGAGAGCGGTAGAGCCGTGTTCACACTGCATAGGGCTTCGACAGCAAAGGCGACGTGGTTGTATCCAACGTTGCCGGGCGCAAACTGACCTGGGAGGAGATTGGCCGGAGATCCGCAAAAGTCATTGGTTTCACCGACTTGGCGGGTCACGAGAAATACCGCAAGTTCGATGCACGACGACCCATGCTGCAAGCTAACTCTGTGCTCAGTCCGCACCACTGTCTTCGGCCTCCTTTCCAGCGAGCCGAATTATTGCCTTCTCATGGTTGCAGCGAACAACGGCCTCGTCGGCATGTCCAAAGAGCATCTCGGCATCGCCCTCGCTCTCAACGTCCCTGTCATGGTCGTCATCACAAAAATCGACATCTGCCCGCCCCAGATTCTGGAGCAGACGATAACACAGTTGACCAAAATCTTGAAGTCTCCGGGCGCGCGCAAAATACCCATCTTCATCAAGAACAGAGAGGAGTGCATCAACACCGCCACTCAATTCGTGTCAAGAAGAATATGCCCCATATTCCAGGTCTCTAACGTCACAGGCTACAATCTCGATCTCGTCCGGACGTTTCTGAATATCCTGCCCCACCACGGCAACTACAATAGCTCTGCGCCTCTAGAATTTCACGTCAACGATACCTTCTCCGTCCCCTTCGTCGGCACTGTAGTCTCAGGCGTTGTGAAATCCGGCGTCATACACACCGGCGACACCATTCTCATCGGGCCAGACTCTCTCGGTCAGTTCACCACCACAAAGGTTCGCTCGATCGAGAGAAAACGGATACAAGTCCCCGGCTGCTCTGCTGGCCAATCCGCCTCTCTTGCGCTGCGCAACGTCCGCCGCAAAGACGTCCGCAAAGGCATGGTCGTACTCCACAAGAACGACCCCGCCACCGGCGCCGAGCTGACCCCCAAGGTCTTTCGCGAGTTCGTCGCCGAGGTCCTTATCCTCTCCCACGCTACAACCATCAAGACAAAGTACCAGGCAATGCTGCACGTGGGCCCTGTCTCGCAGACGTGCGCCATCATCGACATCGATAGGAATTACATCCGCACCGGCGACAGAGCGCAGGTCGCGTTCAGGTTTGTGCAGCGGCCGGAGTATCTTACGGTGGGCGATCGGATTCTGTTCAGAGAGGGCAGGACAAAAGGGCTGGGCATCGTGAAGAGGGTCGGGTATGATCCGAAGCAGCCGCTCAATCCGGAGGCGCTGAAGGAGGAGAAGAAAAGCGAGGGTGGGTGAATCTGCGGAGCTGCTGAGGTGGAAGATTACGATAGACACGCGCATTCATGGCGGTACGCTGTTGTATGTTATAATTGCATCTTTCAGGGCGGTCAAGGGTGAAGTTACCTGCCGAGCTCGTGCCACAATGTCACTACACACGTGCACCTGCATGTCACCGCTGACGTTGCATGCTCCCTCTAAGCAGGTAGTCTTCCGTATACAGTATACTTGGTGCTTTCTCATACCTTCCGCTTGTTCTACTAAGCATTCTATTTAAAGATCGCTTGGGTGTAGATGGGGCCCGTGCCAAGGACTATACGAGGTACTCGAGCCCTTGGTATGAGTCTTGGGTGACTCTACACATCGTTTAAAGCCGGGATTCAGCCTTGTTTAGGAAGTTCACGCACACGATGAGAGATATGGACGTTGCAGACGCGAGAAGTTTACTTGTGGTGGAAGAACAGGCGAACGTGGAGGAGTTTGAGGAGAACGAGATGTAAGTTGCGATCCTCTACATTTCCAAGCCCTGGTATCGAGACCCATAGCCTACTTAGTACCCGCAAGGGATCACTGTTCTCGGTCCTTTGTCCTGATACTGGGTCACACTTCAAGAACGCACTCTGATGCTCGCAGAACGCGCCGCAACCAGCAAGACTCGCCTCTCCTGCGCCTGCCCACCGAAGTACGCGAGCGCATTTGGGCATTCGCTTTTGGCTGCCGAACCATTCATGTAGAAGTAGCTGGTGAATTTGTCTACGAAAGAGGAACGCGTCGCCGCGTGTTTGGCGCACCACGCATCGCTTTCTACCCTTGCCACGAGTACCTCTCTGAGCACGCCATGTACGAGCTCAGTCTCCGCGGCGCCAGCCTCGACAATCCTGGGCTCTACGCCGCAGAAGAGCTCTACAACCGCGCCTGGAAAGAAAAAGGCGTCTGGCAAACCTTTGGCCGTGCAGGGATGCATGATGCCTGCATCGCATGGTGCCAGCCTCGCCCTGTCCCCGAACCCTTCGGCCCACCGCCCATATGCAAGCAAATCCGCACCGAAGCCACGCGCCCCGCCTGGCGCACCACAAGCTTCGCGTTCACTGATGAAGACTCGTTCGGCTGGTTCGCGAGACTCGTGCCCGAAGCGAATCGCCGCCTCGTAACCCAGCTCACCATCCGCGACAAAGGCTTCCGCTATGCGGACCAGTGGAGGCGCTGGCACGCCTCCTTCACGCCCGCGACCCTCGCTGCCCTGCCCTCCCTGCAGGGCATCCACCTCATCCTCAACGAGTCGGTGTGGTACCGCAGCCGCGGCCTGCCGCCGTCCCTCCGCCCAGACCCTTCCTCCCTAGATATCATGCACACCTTCCCCGATGCACATGCTCACATCGTGGGACTCGCACGCCTCCTCCGAAAGCGCAATCTCCGTCCTGAGCGCACCACCGTGTTTCTACCGCAGTCATTTTTGTACCGCCCGCGCGAGGTGGACAGGGAGGAGGCGAGTACCTTTATCCCCGGAACGAAGAATTATGTGCCTCGGGATGATCCGCACGCGAGGTGGCTGTGTAAGCCGTGGCGGTGGCACTTGGACGCGGGAGAGATGGTGCAGATTGCGCGGGGGGTCAGGGAGGTGTTGTTGGGGGGTGGGGAGGCCGGGGACGAGATGGTAGAGGAGGAGTGGGGTGTGAGGGTGAGGATGCCAGTGTTCACGGGGGATAACATGGCTATGTTTGGGAGGTATTGAGTGGGATGTTAAGGTAGCGGACGGAGAGGGTGGAGGCGGCTAGCAGGGAGATGGCGAGGTAGTTGGTTGTATTGTAGCAAGTGATGGCTTTATCGGGCTGTTACCGTCCTACTTCCAGACGAGGAATACTCTTTCGAGGTGCTAGATGTTACGATTGTTGCAAAGGATACGATGTGGTCGGTTGCGTGACGCAGTTAGCCACGATGCCATGTGCAAATTATACCCTTTCAATAGTGAAGTCTCCTATCATGGTGGCGGTCCGTGTCGTCAAGTTTGCAACACTGCGTGTTCAAGTTAGATAGATCGATTCGCATCCCTAATTTACCCATCACTCCACTGCTTGCACACACCTGCACCGCGCCTCAAACCCACGCAGCAAACAGGAATCCATACTGCACATGTATTCCGCCATCGAGCTCATTCTTCGGTGCCGTGTATTACCCATTAGGCTGTACCCTTGCAAAGTAGATCCTGCGCGTTACCGTTAAGAGCGACACGAGCATGGCCCTTTGTGGCGCAGCGCGGCGACTCGTCAGGGACTTTACCTGCTATGAGGAAATTGAGCACCACAAGAATCTGGAGCGAGACGTTGATAGGGCTAGGATATGACGATCTTCGCTGCATGTAGGGCGGCGTGACCAAGGGCGGTTGGCATGGAACCGTGGGGTAGGTCGGTAGGACAAATACTTGTGTGGCTCCGCCCTCCCGATCCTCATATAGATGTGGACTTTTCTGCCTTTATTGGACCCCTTTGAGCCCTCGATTGCAGTGTCCTTCTCCATCCGTCCAGCGTCTTGGTAGCAGGGAAATAGTGCAAAAAGCAGGGTTGAGCCGGCTGGTTGCAAACTTATTGCTCTCCTACTTTGAGCACTGTTCTGAATGCTTTCATCTTCTTCAATCTCTTCCTACTCTTCTTGGTATTGCTACCAAAAACTCTCCACCGAGGATCTTATTGCTGTTACCAACGTCCGGTTCCTGCGTCGAGTGCAGAGGGTTGCAACTTGTCACGATGCCACTGGAATGAGTGTTTCCGCGACTGAGACCGGGTCAATTGAGATATATCGGGCGGCCACGTACAAGGACTCAAATGCTATGAGCAGAGCATTTGGCATGGAAATATACCGATGCGATCTCTAGTGTGTTCCATGGCTACTTCCACGATCTACACGGAGCAGTATCCAGGCGTACTTCGACTGATGGATGACCACCAAATCTAGCGCTAGTTTCGTGCGTCGAATCCAGCCTGACGATGTGGCTCATGTCGAAGCCGGTGAGATGGTTCCGAACACTCTACAGATGCCGTTTCTCATCTCAGTAGGTCCGTATATTGTAGGCGTTGAGGTGCGGAACTTCAGCACCACAATAGCCAAGTATTGATGCGCGGACGGTTGCTGACGGTCAAACAGAGATGAGGTCTCCCAGATGTGAAGCCCGGGAGTCGACGACTGCGGGTGGTGACACGCGACAACGATGCAACTCCCCGTGGAGAGATGGTGGAGCCGGTCTGGCGCTGTGGAGACGATCTCGCCACGCGTCAGTCGACCTCGACCCAGGCGCGTCTTCTTGTCCGCATCCACAGTATCCCCCCGCGCCTTGCGCCTTGTAGCCTGGCCAACACCAGTAACACACCCGCCGTGAAGGTCGGACCCGACTCCGTTTCATCGCTTCCGCATTGATGGAACGAAGTCAAAGGCAACCGCGTCGCTGGCTCCGTCGCGGGGCTCACGAACTGGACTCTCTAGCGTCCATTGAAGGACCTATCCTGAAGGAGACATGCGCCCGACATTCCCAATGCCCGCGGCTTCGAATTCAACAGATCTGTACATGACTACAAGTCTACAGCAACGGGCTATGTTTCTAGCGAGCCGCACGAGACCAGAACGCCGTCCTGCAGCTACTGAGCGCCACCTAGCGCGTGGCCGAGAATTAAGCATTCGAAGCATGCGGCGACGGCGCCACTGCGAGGGGATGCGCCATGGCTTCCTGGAGCCGGTTCGCTTATCAATACGTCTACACATGAGCCGATTTACCCACCGGCACATCCTTCCAACAGTCATGGCACCACATACTCGTCGGTGCCGGTAATTCAAGCTCTCATGGTACGAGGTGCCTCGCAGACTGTCGAGACCAACACGGTGACATATGATTCTGGAGCAACCCGGGGCTCCACAACGCCCCGACGCCCGGATCTACGCCTCCGATTGCGCGACGCCGCATGCCTAGGCAACATGTGGAACCGTATCCGACAACCAAGGACGACGGATCGTTTCGGAATGCAAGGCACGAGTCAAGACAGCCCATGAGCCGCACAGTTTATTCCAACGCCCGCGGATGGGGTAACGAGCCGCAAATTAGGTACTTCGTATGGGACATGCTGCTGCAAACATGCACAACGGTGGGCATGATTCGCGATGTCCCCACTTTGCGACATACCGCTTGTCCACAAACGCGCTGAGGACAATGCTCGCCGCCGCCACATGCAAGCTGCAAGTATCGCTGTCCAACCTCGCTTCGTTCCAGGGAGTCGATGACCCTGCAGTGTTTTTGTCAATCATGTGGAAGTTCTGATGCTTTGATGGTCTCTAGCGTGCCGCTATGCGACCACCGCCCCAGGACTCCAGTCCTTAAGCGCTTACGTGAAAAGGCGATTGGACCGAGTTGAGTTCCGCACGTGGGCGATTATTGGATCTGAGATCCTGGCGCTGTATCGTACGTACAGGTACAGACATTCGAAAGGTTCAGGGATCTGGCCGCGTCAATGTTCGCAAAGCCCTCGCTAAGATCAAATCTAGCCATCCTAGTTGGCTGTAGCTGAATAGACTTCCCGGGGAAGGTTGCTCGCGGACGCAGTGGACGCATCTAGATAACACTGTCCTTTTCATACGGAAATTGAACACAGCGTCGCGGCTTGTATCAAGAGGCAATGGAAGGACTTGCATCGGCCCGCGGACCAACGTGCGTTGGATTGATCCGTCTGTACGGCTCACCCGCATACTGGTAAAGCGAGCCATCTAGGGTGTGTATCTTCAGCATCGTATCCACTACTACCTTGTCGTCAATGGCGCCACTACTGTACTGTTGCCCATTTCGCCGCAGGATCGTGTTCTTCAGTCCTCCTGTCCCCAAGACGCGCGAGAGGATAATCCAGAGCCAAAGGCCCAAGGTGCTTCATGGATCGGACATCGATAGCCTGGTCTTCGGAGCAGGTGAGATTGCAAGAAGCGCTTCTACAAGCATTTCACCCTGCTTGGCTTGTCTATCTTGCTCGTCTTGGGAAGGATGCGGGGATGCTCGCTGCAACAGGGATGGCTTCCGATGGTGCTCAGGGCCCACGGGGTAAATAGCCTCGGCCCTCTTTACCCCGGACTAATATTCTCCACCAACAACGAGACGCGCGCAATGAACGGCGGCGCCACAAACGACTTAGCATGCGGGGAGTCTGGCGCGCTCGTACCGCGGGCCCGGGGCATAGCTCTGCGCTGGGGTTAGCGGCAGATGCTGTCGTGCCCTACTTTACCTGCCCTTGCCCCCTCCACTCACGCAGGTCATCTGCATACCACTCCCAATTGCTGGGCACATCGAAAAATGGCAGCTACCGCAGACCAGGACGTCGAGTCCAAGATCCAGCACAATGTGCACCAGGATGTCTACGACGAGAAGGCCGGCATCAACACCTTCAAGGCGGATGCCATCGAGGCTGAAAATGCCGAGTACAACATGACGGTCTTGGAGGCTGTCCGGGCATACCCCATGGCTTCATTCTGGGCGTTTGTCATGTCTTGCACCATTGTAAGTTTTTATTCGAACTCTCGATCATCATCGCTAACCGCTCAGATCATGGAATCTTACGATGTCTTCCTCATGGGCAATTTCTTGGCCTTGCCTAAATTCATTGAAGATTTTGGCGTCGTGTCCCCTCTCACGGGCCAGAAGGTTGTTGAGGCCAAGTGGCAATCGGCTTTGCAGGTTTCTGGCCAGCTTGGTGCTCTCATTGGTGTGTTTCTCGCAGGTCCATTGACCAGCAGGATCGGATATCGGTGGGCCACGTTGACCGGGCTCATGCTCCTGAATGTTTTCATCTTTGCGATGTATTTTGCCAAGAGCTTGCCCGTTATGTTCGTCTCTCAGCTACTCGAGGGCATTCCGTGGGGTATCTTCATTGCCAACGCACCTGCGTACTGCTCGGAGATTGTGCCACTCAGGCTGCGTGCCCCTGCCACACAGATGCTGCAGATGTTCTGGGCCATTGGAAGTATCATCGTCGGTGCTGTGACCTACCACTACAACGACATCAACGCAGAAGTCGCATACAGGTGAGTCGCTTGGTCCGGGCTATTGAGAAATCGACTGACCCAATTTCAGGATTCCAATCGCGCTGCAGTGGATGTTTCCCACACCCCTCGCTATCCTCATCTTCCTGGCACCAGAGTCTCCGTGGTGGCTGGTTCGTAAGGGTCGCACTGAAGAAGCTGCCAAGTCGGTCGAGCGCCTCGGAAAGAAGTCCACAGTCCATTCCAGTGAGACGGTCGCTATGATGAGGCGTGTTATTGAGCTCGAGAAGAGCGAGAAGAAACCCAACCACGTCGAACTTTTCAAGGGCACCGATCTCCGACGCACCCTCATCGTTTGCGGTGTTTACGCCGCGCAGAATTTGACTGGTAACCTTATCGCCAACCAGGCCGTCTACTTCTTCAAGCAGGCCGGCATGAATACCGAAACCGCTTTTGCCCTGGGTCTCATTACATCAGCTCTGCAGATGATTTTTGTCATGCTCTCGTGGTTCTTGACCACTTACTATGGTCGCCGATCCATTTATCTGTGGGGTTCAGCCGGCAACTGTGTCCTGCTGATCGCGCTCGGTATCGCGGCTTCCGTTGGCGGCGGCAAGGCGGCAAGCAATGCGCAAGCATCCCTCGGTCTTATCGTTTCGGTGTTGTTCACTCTCGGTCCAGCGCCCGCTTCGTGGGTCATCATCGGAGAGACATCTGCCATCCGTCTCAGGCCCCTTACCACCGGTATGGGTCGTGCCACCTACTACATTGTGGAAATTCCTTGCATTTTCCGTAAGTTCACCATCCAGTTGCCTCGACGGCAATCAAAGCTAACGTATTATGAACAGTCGCTTCCTATATGCTCAACGTCGATGCGGCTAACCTCGGCGGCAAGTGCGGTTACGTCTGGGGTGGTACCGCTTTCTTCTGTCTCGTTGTTGCCTGGTGGGGTCTGCCTGAGATGAAGGGTCGCTCGTACCGTGAGATCGACATCATGTTCAAGCGTCGCATCCCTGCACGCAAGTGGAAGAAGACTGACATCAATATCAACGACGACGAGTAGTGAATGGTGTGCGCGACATCTATTTACATGATAGAGCAGGAAGAGGAAGTGGAGGCGCGACACCAGCGCAACGTTTGAGCAGTAGAAGATCGAGGGTCATGTACCTGCTATATCGCATCTCACCATATTCCATCATGCCGAATGATGTATAACGTGCATATTCAGATTTCTTCGTGAAGCCCTTTGTAATGTTGTGCTGGGTTGCAAAAGCCCGCGCAACCGGCAGCAGCTTCTGCCGCACTGCCCACAATGATGGATCGATGTTGCGGGCTGAATGTGACAATGGGAAAGGAGCATTTGTGCCAACTTCTATCAATATAAGAAGCTTCATGTTCACCACGCTGGTAACAATCCTAACCGTTCACAGACACTGTGAAGGGTAACAAGGATGGCTACATGACTTGTTTCAGCCAGCAAGTCAATATCAGAACCACTGCAAATGCTGGGTCAGTAGACGTTGACAGACAATAAAATAACTACTGCTGTTCGGTGGTGCGTGTGGATACAACTCTCCGGCCGTGTCGTAATGCATTCAGAGTCATACCCATGCCGTTGCCATGTTGTATGCTAGTACTGAGACTTTTCTTCAAGCTCTTTACCTGCAAAAGACAGATCACTTGCACCGACGTTGGGGAACAAGAGGAGCTTGAGGATCTTGCACGTCGTTTCGGGGACAACAGCTAGTGATTCCCTTATCCGACGACCTGAACATAGACCGGTTTTTGGAGCAGTTTGAACAAGGTGGGACTTCAAAACCACCAAAGCAAAACACGGACACTTCGACTGCGCCCACTGGATCATGTTGCAAAAACGCGAATACCAAGTGGCGTGCACCGCCGCAGCTGATGTAGTGTTTGTTGCAACAAATTCAATAATAAGACGGAAACCTATTTGGGTTTCAACATCTGTTATCGCTGGGAAGGCGCAAGCCAAGATTTCCACGGCCTCTCATATTGAGCGATACAGTCTGTTGCACTAGAGTGTACGTAGGCTCCTACGCTTTGGGCAGCCGCGCACTAGGCCGATGCGGGCGCCCGCTACTACCCGAGACGACCTCGACCACTCTTACACCGCATTATGGTTCTTGCGTTGCTTTATTCCTGTATGCGAAGCCACTGTTACTGATGCGCGCCACTTTCTAGTTCGTTCGCATATCCGTTCCTTGCCGGAGAATTCGTGGTCCTGTTATTGCAACACCATACAAGTGGGGCATTGCGTGCTCCAGGTTTGGCAATGTCGTCAGCCTGAAAATTCCCCGTTGTTTCAGCGTTTCGCAAGGCACTCAATGAGTCTCCATACCTATACTTATGGCGTTCGTGTTTGTGGTTCAATGGGAGAGCTCTTGGCGAAAAGATGCCTGGTGTATAGAGTGCTGGTTGCCATCGAACGGTACTGAGACAGGGACGTTTATCGACAACAATCCTGGGCTTGCATTCTCGGCACATCTCTACGGCTTTTAACCAGAGCTTAATTGCAGCCACCCGCCTCTAGTGCGGCTCCTGATGATCACTAGGAACGTAACCCTGCCCGGCGTTGTGGAGACACAAAGTTGATTGAACTCGAGAAGCGAATGATCGTCCTACGTTTCATGTGCTAGGTTGGAGTCCTAAAAATTCTGCCATATCGCATTCGCCATGGGTCTTGACGTGCTTCGGTGGAAGACGAAATCGGGCCCTATCTGTTGTATAAAATTTCGGAAACGGTGCTGAATCGGAGGGACCGCGTTCCTTTCTATGCCCAGTATCAGTCCTTTGAACCCAATAACCTAGCACTGAAATGGTACTACAAAGGTTGAAGACCATCTATCGGTCGGTTCTGTTTCAAATCGTCATCGTTGGACTCGTAGCCTTTTGCGAACCCGGTATCTGGACAGCATTGAACAACCTGGGAGCTGGTGGAAACGCCAAACCATTCCTCAACAATGCCGCTAACGCGTTGACTTACGGGCTCATGTCCATCGGCTGCTTCATCTCTGGAGGAATCTCGAACAAGATCACAGCGAAATGGACTTTGGTCATTGGTGCTGCATTCTATACACCGGTACGCAGTCCTGGGACTCCGAATGGTGTTTCTTCTGTCACTACTGTCGGAAAGCATCAAGTCACCCAGTTCCTCCAAGTTTTGACTTTTTTACTAACATTTGCCTGATACTTGTAGTACGCTGCTGGCCTATACTGCAACAACCGGTATGGCAACGAATGGTTTATGCTCCTTGGTGCTGCGCTTTGTGGAATCGGTGCATCCATGCTCTGGGCTAGCGAAGCAGCAATTGCGGTCGGTTATCCGGAAGACAAGAAAAGAGGCCGATACGTCGGCATCTGGATGGGCATTCGTCAGATGGGCCCGTTGGTAGGTGGAGCTATCTCTCTGGCACTCAACGTCAAGACCAAGGAGAAGGGCAAAGTCACGTACACCACCTACCTCGGCCTCGTTGCAATCTCATCACTGGGCGCTCCTTTCGCCTTATTGCTTTCGCAACCACAGAAGGTAAACCGAAGTGATGGCACGAAGATTCCTTACATGAAGAAGACAACCTTCAAGACGGAGGCACGCGCTATCTTCAGACAGCTGAAGAACCCGTACATGCTCTTGCTGATCCCCGTTTTCCTGGCTGGGCAGTTCGGCGTGACCTATCAAGGCAACTATCTTACCAGTAAGTTGTTGAAGCTCTGAGGCCAACAAAGCTGATCCATTAAAGCATACTTCACCGTCCGATCTCGTGCCCTAGCCTCCTTTCTTACCGCCGTCGTCGGCGCCCTCGCCAATCTCCTCACTGGAATCGTCCTCGACCTGCCCCAATTCTCAAGACCCGCAAAGTCTAAAGCCGTCTACATCTTCGTCCTCGTCACAGTAACTGCCTCGTGGATCTGGAATGCCGTCGTCCAGACAAGACTCACCCGTATGGCCGACGCACCTTCCTTCGACCTCGGCGACGGCCCCTTTTTCAACTCTGCCTTCACAGTGTACATGTCCTTCCGCTTCTTCTACGAGATCCTACAAACATACATCTACTGGCTCATGGCGGAGATCAAGGGTGCGCAAGGCGACGGCGACGTTTCGCGTACGACAGGCATACTGAGGAGTTGGGAGAGCATTGGTAGTACTATTGCTTATGCCATTGGAGCGGTACATATCCCGAACCAGACGCAGATGATCGTCGGGTTTGCGCTGTGGGCGTGGACTGTGCCGTTCACGCTGATGGCGGTATTTGGGGATTGGAATAAGGGTGTGCCGAAGAACGGGCTTGGGAGCGATAGCGAGAGCGAGAGCGATTTGGAGGTGCAGAGGGTCGTGACTGCTGATCAAAAGATTTGAGCGGCAACTATGGTACTCAGAAGACTTGCCGATGGGTTTGGAATAATCCTTCGCGCAAACGGGCTCTCGAATGCGAGAGAGGTCCTGAACTCCATCCGTTCATTATACAACAATTAGAATAATTAATTTTCTAGATTCCCAGAAGGGGAACGACGTTTGCTTCGATTTTCCATCAAGCAGCTGAGACACCGTGGATACACTTCTCGCACGTATGAAGCTTTCCTCCGACATCGATCGTCCATAAATGTATCGAAGTGAACGACGAGTGAATACGAACTATCGATTTGGTTTACCCCATCCACTCGAATAGTGGTTAAAATGCCATCTCATCAAGCTTTTTCCATGCCGCTATCCTGCCAAGGGATGAACCGAGGCGCATCCCGGTCGCAACAAGTATCGATTCGGCTATTGTCTAATTTATCTGCGACCAGGCCAAGAGAACAGAATAAACGAATCCATACACACTTGCTTGGGTAGGAGCCGCTTCTGGCAGGTCGAAGCTTTCCAATTGCAGTGGGCATAGGCTTGTCCGATGCCGTATTCCACGGGGTGTATTGTTCCGACAACACTATACCATGATGTTTTGTTATGAGACCTTGAACATAAGAGGCTCTCGTAATTTCTTCTTTTGAGCCATTATATCGAGTCTAACTCGCAATGATGCTCACCGTCGCTATCGCTCTCGCCGCACTGAGCGGCACTTCGCTCGCTCACGGCGGTGTAACGTCATATCTGATTGACAACAAGAACTACACAGGGTAAGTCCACGTACCGGGTATCCTCCAAAGTCGCTAACCTTGAGGCAAGCTACGTGTGGTACGACCCGTATGAAAGCCAGCATGACTTGATCCAGCGCTCCTGGCACATGAACCCGCTCAGTGACCCCGCATCGACCAACCTGACTTGCAACAACAAAGGGCTCGCTGTACCCGGAACTTTCCATGCCTCTGTCACAGCCGGCAGCACCATCAGGGCAACATGGCTCACACCCGACGGCTACGGCTGGCCGCATACGCTCGGCCCTATGGTAGCGTACATGGCGTCTTGCGGCGAGGATTGTACGACCATCACCGACACTTCTTCGCTCAAGTGGTTCAAGATCGCGGAAGAGGGTCTACGCGCTGGGTACGCCGTTGGCGAGGAGGACGGCTGGTACCAAAACGATCTTTGGGAGAACAGGCGCACCGAGTATTGGAATGTGACTGTGCCAGCGGGCTTAAAGCCCGGACGCTACATGATCAGGCATGAGATTATCATGCTTGAGTTGAACCCGGTGCAGTTTTATCCAAATTGCGCACATTTGGAAGTTGGCGGGGAGGGTGACAGCGTGCCCAGTGATGAGTTCTTAGTCACGTTTCCCGGGGCGTATTCATTGAAAGGTAAGTGCTGTTATTGTCAGGAGAATGGGGACGATTGCTTGATACTGATTGTTGTAGACCCTGGGATCGCGATTTCTGGAAAGGTTCGCGGTGACAAGACAACAAAGGTGCGTGCATGCGCCGTAACTTTCTTATGTGGAGTTATGACTAACTTCGTAACCAGAACTACACTGTACCTGGACCGAAGGTCTGGAAAGGGGAATGAGAAAAATGTGGAGAGCAAGAGATGTTCATGGCGATATTGGTTACGACGTCCTAATTCTATGCTCAATGAATCTACTAGATCAGATTGGTGACGATGGTAAAGATTCATTTTGGAGGAGAGCTCCAGTGCTGCAGTACATGATTGGAAATAATGCTTACCTGCCAATCTACGTATTATGCTGTACTAGCTGATACTACAGGGCTACAAAACAATTCACTAACCAAAAATCGCGTAAAGGAAAGGCAACAGTCATGGATATGACAAGGATGTCATCAAAAAGTTCATTGATCCAAGTTCATCATTAGCATATGCACGGTATTTGGAGTATTGCCTATCATGGATACCAGCGTAAAGAGATACAAACACCGTGACAGTGTACACTAGATAGACTGAACGAGAATTTGAGTTAGTAGGCATTGCTATCGACATACGAAATATCGAGCCTGCATGGCCGATCAGGGTACACAGTCGAGAAATGTTCCTCTGCTGATATTGGCCTCCATAATCGCGCTGTGAAGACCTAGGCCGCAGAGGCATCAGAAAAGTGGCTCATGAGCATGACTGAATGCGAGGAGTGCCAAGAATCAACAACTTCCAACGGGATATTACCAACCCGGCAGTGCCAAATCAAGTGCAGGGCCGGATAGAGTTCGCGATAACATAGCAACTTTGCTCACGAGTCTACAAAAGAGAAAACGCAACAGAATTCAGTCTGAGCGACCTTCTCAGTATGAGACTTGGTATCGCGAGAATCTGGGGTAAAGGCGCAGGGTCACGTGGGCTGCCGGAAGTTCGTCACCCATAAGTAGAACAAACAAAATAGCCTTACGGGAGTTGCAAAAGCACCTCGCAAACCTAGAATAAGACAGGACTAGATCCAAAGGTCGTGATGACGATAGGACGATAAGACCGCAGAGCTGAGGACTATGGGCACGTGAACCCAACCAACCCATTCATTAAGGAGGTAGATGGCCAGGCCGACACATGAATAATAGTCACCCTTCGAAATGTCGTGTTTTTAAACGCTTTCCTAAAGCAGATACGTGTAAATTTTCCTACATCAGATGCAATGGTTCCCGCAATATGCATGGCACACAGGCCTGAGGGCACGGGAAGGCGGGCCCAGCGCTGTGGTATTTATCGCCGAGCAGTTTGTAGATCAGGGGCCCACGGGAACGACATGATCGCGTGCTTGCGACCATGCTGTTGGGTCAGGGACGCGGCAGTACAACGCGCTTGCATGCAAATGACGTGCTCGCTTGGCGGATTTGACGACGACATCGCTCCCGGGAAGCCTCTAGCCACGTTAAAGATTGCTATTACCATCGTTTCCTGAGCTGACACTGGGGTGGAATGAGCTGTGGATGCCCACGAACGTAAGAAAGTAGGTTGGGCAGGCATGGAGCACCAAATGTCAAAATGCGCATGTCGAGGATCATTGTAAAAGGAATATTGAGTCTCATGGATCATCAATCTTCATTCATTATGATGGTCATATACTCTGACTATCGATGTCTCTATATATCAGGAATGGCTGCAATAGCCTCAACCTCGATCAAGAAGTCACCAGGTAGCTTTCCAACCTCGACAGCTGTCCGCGCTGGCTTTGGCGTAGGAAGCATCGCCCCATAGACCTCATTCATGGCTGCGTAGTCACTCATGTTGGCGAGGAAGACAGTGGTCTTCATCACGTAATCCCACGAAGTGCCGGCCTCCTCAAGAGTGGCGGCAATGTTCTTGATCACCTGGGCCTAGAATTTGTTAGTACATGTTTCACAAAACTCATAGCATGAGATGCAGTAAGTTAATGAAGGCCTCCGTACAGTTTGTGCTTCAATCCCGCCCGCCACGATGGTCCCATTGACAGAAGGTACTGTGCCCGACGTGTACACGATGCCTTTGCTTGTCCAAGCTCCGCCGGCTTTCCCTCTCATCAGTAAATGTCTTTGACTACAGAAGTGTTCGACAGACAGAGTATAGGACCCTGAGTGCCTAGGTAGGTCACTACGGGCTGTTCTGCGAGCTTCGGAGTCGGCTTCGCCAAAGCAACGCCTGCTGCCACTAGAAGCGTGGTGAGAACTGAAACGAATTGAACCATGTTGATGCAAGCTAGGATCAGGAACTGATAGGTCTGAAGAAGTGATTGTGCACTCCGACCACAGGACCCTCTCGGTCTTATAGCTGCATTTCCGTAATTCCTCACTCAGCCCCAAGGCTACTCTGGTCACCAAGCGTCCCACCCAAGCCTTCCTCCCCTTACGCCCTTCCAGTGTATCCGAGTTCGCTCGACATATCCAAGACCCCATTCTACAGTTGTTGACAACGCGAACGTCTGGGCACTCTTGGCTATCCCGACGGCCAGGGAAATAGCGAGCGGAACGTTCTTTCGGCGGTTATTGTTATCTTGGTTTCCCATGATTGAACCGACTTCGTGGGGTCGCGCCGATAGACCGAGTCAGTGTGCCATCCTACGCGCGGAAAACGCGCGCATCTTCTCGACTCTCATTCGCGACGGCCGCGTGGCAGGCGTATACATGCGGGGTCTATCTGTGCGCGAAGATGCGTGGTGGGCTTCGGATGTCCGATAACGTGCAACACGTAACGGCGGGAGGGCGTTCTGACGTAAATTAAGATAAAGAATTCGTGGTATACGAATAAAGATAAGGCGTCGACGCCGTGAGATCTGGCGAGTTTAGCGCGGTCAATTGGCGTCAGGCTAGCCGCTTCTGGTGTAAGACGGCTCGCTACGATTACCACGCAATGCCGTTAGGTGTATGGTTTGACGTGCCTACCCCAGCCCACGACAGTGGTTCCACCCATCCTCGCTGGGGATTTCTGAAGTGGACCCAAACTGCACCTCGCCACCCGAGCGGATAGCTACTAAGACCCGGCCGAGATTTAGTTCCCAGAAGGGCCGTTTGTGTGGGGTCTTTACGCGGAGTCTAGCCTGCAAGTGAACCATTCGAATGTTCTACGAACTACCACTCGGAATACCGCGCACACACAGGACGTGTACTGTATACCTAGTGCGCACAACGTACAGCCTCAGAACAGATATCGTAGTACTTATGCCGTGCACATGCTCCTTCCTTTGACATATCGTTAGCTCCTTATATTGATATCTAGTCGGTTTCCTTGATCTCAAATACACCATTTTGCTGAGCCCGCTTTGGCAGGCGTAGTATCGGAGTAGAGAGATAACAAAGTCACATCGGAGTGCCGATCTCCACACGCGCCGAAAAGGCCTCACCATGCACCTCCGCGCTACTGCCCACTGAGCAGCCATCGCTTAAGCAAGACGAGGATATTGACCACGGCCAGTCACCTGAAAGCGGGAAGTTGATGACTCGATACCCCATTCTTGGAATTGCAGAGTCTTTGGAGGCTCCTTGGCAGGATTCTACAGTCTTATCGCGAAAAGATCAAGTCAGCACAGGCCTGAATATGTGGTAATAGAGCGACAGTGTCTATCAAAGGGCGTGCAATTGCCGCATAACTCCGACATTATGGGACATCGGCGTCGTGAACATCGAGCCGACATTCTTGCGAAGCCGCGCGTAGGCGACTTTGCAGACATACAAATGGGTGCGACGATCCTTTCAATTTGAGATCACACCGACTTCTTCCTTCATACCCCAGTCGTCCTTACTGCAGCCAAGATGAAGGGTATCCTCAAAACTTCGTCCGCTGTGCTCTCTGTTGCAGGTAGCGTGGCTGCTAGTCCCGTCAATGGTCGTTCGGACATCATCACCTTCAAAGGCCCTTTCCAAGTCTCATCGGACTCTGTTCACAATGTGCATATTGGATACGGCGATGAGTCCTTCGAAGGAGATGTCCAAGTCGTCTACGGAGCATGTGACATGTCCGGTAGCCATGAACGACACCACGAGCTTGGATCAACCTTTTTCAGACGCGACGCCCGTCCAGAACGCTTAGTCTGGCTCGTCCCAGATGAAGCTATCCATGGAGGCTGCCTTCACGCATATTCTGGATCTTCCCTTATCGGCCGCTCAGCACCTATTGCTATCACAAGGAACTTCCGGAAACGAGAAGACATGTCCAAGATCTCAGACTGGAGCGGTCCATGGTTCGATGGCGTCGCATACATGCAGAACAAAGCCAACAACAACTCGTTCGTCGCGGTTGAAAAGAGCAAGAAGATCGCAATTGTTGGCGGAGGCATGTCCGGCTTGTTGACAAGCCACCTACTCACATCCGTCGGAATCAACGACTGGCACATTACCGAGAGCTCCCAGCGTATCGGAGGTCGTATCAGGACCAAGTACCTTGCCAACACCACGCCTGATCAATATCAATACCAGGAGATGGGCCCAATGCGATTCCCCGTCAGCACTAAATACACTGACACCAACGAAACGCTCGACATCAACGACCACAAGATGGTGTTTCAACTCGCGGATACACTCAACAAGTTGAACGGCAACGGTTCGTCACTTACAGTCAACTTTATTCCTTGGATCCAGTCGAGCCCGAACGTCCCCGCCAACTCAAACGGATATCGGCTGCCGAATGGTCGGATACCTAGCGCAGCTCAGATCAAGGCCAATTCCAGCTTGGTCTTACCTGCAGCCAAGCCTGATGACTATGATGAGGAAGTCGTCACGAAAGCTGAAGACGCACTCTCGGCGTTCTACGACGAGACTCCGGAGCGCTTGAGGAATGCGTCTCTCAACATCTACAAGGCTCACAAGGAGGCCATCGAGAGGGGCCTTTTCCACTGGTCCGAGGCTGCTTACCTCCGGTACCACCTCAACATGAGCCAGGACATGGTTGATTACGTTGCTGGTTCGGGTAGCGACCCGATGTGGGATTTATACGACTCTGTGTACTTCGGAGCCACCACCTGGCGAACAATCGACAAGGGCTTGGAGTCGCTTCCTCGCGCCTTCTACCCTCATGTCCAAGACAAGCTCACTCTTGGTCGCAAGATCGATGGCATTGTGTACAGCAACGACACTGGAAAGGTCACTCTTACTTGGCGTCAGAACCAGTTCGCAATGGAACCTGAGACAGAGGAATACGACTATGCAGTCGTTGCAGTGCCTTTCTCAAAGGTCAGGACTTGGTCACTCCCGAAGTACTCTTCTCTCTTGACCCGAGCCATCCAAACCATGAATTACGCGCAGTCCTGCAAGGTTTCACTCCGATACAAGACCCGCTTCTGGGAGCATTTGGACGAGCCTATCATCGGCGGCTGCGGCTCAGTCGATATCTACGGCATTGGCTCCGTCTGTTACCCTTCCTACCAGATCAACTCCACTGGGCCCGGTGTTATCCTTGCTTCGTACAGCAGTGGAACTCCGGCGCGCTCGCTCGCTGCGCTCAGCACCGAGGACCACGTCGCCCGTGTACAGAGAGCCATGGTCGAAGTCCATGGTGATATTGCTGCCGAGCAGTTCACCGGAGCGTTTGAACGGCAATGCTGGGAGGTTGATGAGCACCAGGCTGGTGCTTGGGCTGATCCTCTTCTCGGCCAGCAGGATCTTTACCTGCCGGCCTATTACAAGACTGAGGCCAACACCATCTTCATTGGTGAGCACACCAGCTACACGCACGCCTGGATTTACTCGGCCCTTGACTCGGCGGTCCGCGGAACGACGCAGCTTCTGCTTGACATGGGTCTTGTCGATGAGGCCAAGCAGATTGTGGAGGAATGGATGGGTCGGTGGATCAGCTTGTAGAACATTCGCCCACCTAGTATAGATAGAGAAGAGTAAATACTCAATGAATATTAACGTAATATCTGCACACATCAAATGAGCTTTCGGACTGGTCTGCGTACCCTGACATACGTGGAAGTGATGCTTCAGGGTTTTATTGGGAATTAGGCGATATCTTCCGATAAGCCTGGAAAATTGGAGAGAACTTTTTGGCCGCGTTTGAAGAACAGGTTTGGAAGTATTTTGCCGTAATTGGATGAAAGTAGTAGGTAGGTACGGCTACGGGTCGAGGCTGTCGAAATGGATGACGTCACCGTTCATTCCCTTCTATTCAGACTAAGCAATACGAGAAGCGCGCGTCCTGTGACACTTTAACAAGATTCACACAGGTTTCTAAATTATCCAAAGGCCAAAGATGGATGACGAATGGCAAACCACCGCTTTGGGCTCCCGCCACATGCACAACCGTGTCCAGAACAAATCTTCTCGCAAATATCGACCTTTTGATGTGCACAAGACGTTCGGCAGCTATTCATGCAAGTGGGCAGCAGGGAAACGCAGAGACGACAATCATGATGATGAAAACGATATTACATTGGAGCTGTACCGCTTGAGCCCGCATGGAGAGGGTGTTCTTGGCGAAATTCGTTTCCCGCGTGCGCTCGACGCGGCAGTCGTTCTATCCGGAAGCAGAGCAAGTCTAGATAAGACGGTGCGAGGAATTGAAGTCGATTCGGACGAGGAGGACGATGAAGAAACGCAGAGCGAAGAGAAAAATGAATCTGGCAGCGATGAACGCGATGCTGAGGATCCCGTGGATGATCGCGAGTTCGAAGAAGAGCCGGCGCGGTTCAGGAAGTTTGAAAAGAACAGTTTCCGAGAGCCCAAGTTTTGGATCCGCTGGAATGGCATGACTGAGGGAGCTGAGGTCGTGACGAGCGACTTGGGCTACGTGGTTTTCTCGGGAAACGAGTGTCGAAACTTCAAAGGAACCATTACATGCGAAGCGCTAGGTTGGAAAGATGCTGCCATCAGTGGGCGCAAGGTCTCGGGCAGAGCGCCTTCCGATGTACCAATTAATTGGAATGGAAAGACTTTGTGAGTTCCGATCTTAGTCTATATACTGAATAGGTTTTGGTGCTCAGGATTCTTTTCTACTCAACCTCCAGCACCATGGTATTTTCACGAGCCCCAGTCCAACAATACTAGCAGTCCTTATGCACTATATAACGGCAACGTTGTGAATGCGCTTTCGTAGGGCCTCGTTCATGGACGTCGTATATGCAGATTACTATACACAGATATTGAGGCAGTTGGCAATGTGCGAGAACGACGTTAAGTCTATAGTGTATCAGCACAGTGAGAAGTCCGGCAAGTCAACGGAGCATACATGTGTCTTAAACCAATGCCGAAATCTCAGTCAAGTGCAAGTTTGCACATGTACCCGACGTATGTGGCAAGGGAGTCGAGTTGGGCACCCCGACCCTGAGACTTGCATACCAAAGAAATTGTGATTTCGTATTAAGACTAGATATCCTTTACCGGCGTGGCTTTAAAGACAGAGGCAAGAGCATAAAAGAGTAGAACGGACGACATGTACCTTCTTCCACCTCCACGATGTTTACCATTATAATCTCCACCAAAGAGACCTTGAACAATCGCGCACATATCATTTCAACTGTTCCAGATTAGATAACAGAATCAAGCCTTCGACGCATACCCCCGGGTCGTCCGCGATGTCGAGGTCGGCGCGACTCATGTCGCACTCCCATCCTTCTGGACACGAGAAATAGCCCCGCGTGCCGCAGATCTGGCGGGTGCATCTGCCTGGGCTATCAGCGATTCGTGGGTCCACGCCCGTCATGTCACAAATCCATCCCTGACTATCACAAACACATGCTGTTAGCTGGTTCTGGATCCTTTGGAGGTGCCGATGGAAGATTGACAGAATATGAGTGGTATTACGTACGGACACTTCACCTTGCCGCGCGTATTACACAGATCTTGAATGCAGCGCCCTTCGATAGCGGCGCGACCGCTACCGCTGTAATCGCAGGTCGAGTACAGTGGGCAGACGCCATTGGTGCAAAACCTTGGAATGCAGATTCCGTTCCCGGACGCCTTGCCGTTCGCAGCACAATACGAGCCGATAGGACATCTCCCCAGCTTGGGCCCGCACACCTTGGGACTGATTTCGATGGTTCTCTGAGCATCCGTGCTGAAGATTGTGAGCAAAATGACAAGTGCTACACTCGTGAGCGGCATGATGCAAGCCACAGCGTGATCTTCGTTTGACGAAGGAAAGCTAGTGATCCCTGCTTTGTAAAGAAAAGGTAAGTACGTCCCGTGGGATCCATGTCTTGTGGCCTGGACTGAGTATTTATACTACCTCCAGGTTCTATTTGGCTGGCATGCTGCGACTGCTTCCGTCAACAATGACGCAATGGGATGCTTGAAAGGCATCACAGTCAAGACTGCATCTGAGCCACATGTTGCAACAGGAGTCCGCATGGAACCACTACTATAATGAAGGTTCTACCCTGAAAGTACATTCCGTACGGCTTTATCAAACAAACACCCCCAAGACCCTAAAATTAGCAAGATAAGGTAGCATCGAATAAGCCCATTGTCGCGGTAGGTATTTCCCTACATTTGTTTATCGGAATTGCAAGTTAGTTCATGAGTATACTGCTCGACTTAACTTAACACAGAGGTGTAAAACAGGAAGGGCTATGACGAAGGCCTGGAAAACATTACATTTCCAGAGTAGCACACGGCTGAAATATATTGCACTATGTATATCCACCCGCGGAGAAGCTTATATACACATGTTTGGTATATTAACGGATAGAAGCCGTCGAGTATAACCCTCCGAACCCGTCACTTGGCCTGACAGAGTGAAGAAATTCCGCGTGGAGTGAGTGTGGCAGCGAGATGCGCCTTGGTTGGTGTGCAGAAGGAATAGAAACTTGTCTTTGAGTTTTCGAATACGCAGAACCGCCATTTGAGCTAACGATCCGACCTTGACGATCTACGTCTCAATACCTTGAACGTCGATAAATACATGCAGTTTTTGTAGCAAATTTGGTGTGTGATGAGATGAAGACGTGTCTTTCTTCAAATCCCAGTAACAGGTAGCGTTTGGGTGCTAGATCGCTATCTCTCCCATCTACAACGGTATTGATCTTGCAATTTGTGAGCTAGTAGCTTCTTGGTAGACCCAGTACCTTCTCGCCCACGTAATTCAATATCATCTCTCTACTGACAGGCGCAATCCTCGGCACAAGACACTCCCTGAACCACCTCTCGACATCATACTCAACAGCATAACCCATTCCTCCATGAGCAAGAACCGCCTTTTCGCAGGCATTGAATGCCGCCTCGGCAGCAACATACTTTGCGCTATTGGCGGCAATACCAACCGCATCTTGTCGGATGCTCGCATCATTCTTCGATGCGTCGTATAGGCGCGCCGCATGGTACGTCGCCAACTTAGCAGCCTCGAGGCGCATATACGCATCCGCTAGTGGATGCGCAACACCCTGATTACTGCCGATGGGGCGATTGAATACAGTACGCTCGCGCGCGTACGCCGCTGCCTTTGCGAGCGCCACGTAGCCCAACCCCAGTGCTTCGCCTGCCAGCAGACACCGCTCTGCGTTCATGCCATGCAGGATTATTTGGAAACCCTGGCCTTCTTTACCGATGAGCGAAGACGCCGGCACGCGGTAATCGTCGAAAAACACTTCGTTCGCGTCGACCGCACGGCCACCCATCTTCGCAATCTTGCGCATGTCGAGTCCTGGTGCAGATCGATCAAGGGGAATGCAAAAGATTGAAAGTGCCTGTGATGGTTTTGCAGCTTCCTCGCGAGGTGTGGTGCGCGCGAGGAGGATCATGCGATGGGCAACCTGTGCGCACGTGATCCAAATCTTCTGGCCGGTAATGCTGTACGTATCGTCATCCATCTTCTTTGCGGTAGTGCTCAGTCGTAATGTATCAAGCCCTGCATTGGGTTCCGTGACGCCAAAACAGGTGCGCCACTCCCCTGACACGATCTTGGGAATCGTCTCCTCGAGCATCGCCTGGGATCCAAATTTGGCGAGCGGCTGCGTTGCGTATACGTTGGCATGGATGCTTTGCGCGCCAGCCATGCCTGCACCAGACTCTGCGATCGTCTGCATCATCATGGTAGCTTCGGAGATCCCAAGGCCTGAGCCACCGAAGGCTTCTGGAAGCGCAATACCCAGCCATCCGTCTTTTGCGAGAGCTGCGTGGAAGTCCTTTGGGTCTTGCCCGCTCTGGTCGCGCTCTTGCCAGTACGTGTTGGGAAACTGCGAACAGATCGCACCTACAGCTTCTCGGACCTCAAGTTGTGTCTCTGTGAACCCGGTGGTTTCCATGATGCGCGTACTCCTTGTTGTGGAGAAAGGTCGCCATCGTCCAAACAAACCAACAGTTTGGGGGTTTGTGTAGCACCGCGAAAAGAGCGCTGCTCGGTGCACCGCATTGCAAAATGAAATCGACATCCTTCCTCGCTTCACAGCTCTTTTCAACAAGGACGTATGATCAGCACTATGTAGGAGTGTCTGTACAACCGATATCTCACGCTATGAAGGTATGACATAACCGAATGGGGATGTACAACCGAGCTTCGGCTTCTCGCTCCACTAGCCGATCCCAAGCTTGCTACCCATCGGCCAAATGCGCGCTACACCGAAGCACTTGGCAAACGCCTTCAACAACTTGCAATCAAGCATTGCAAAGCTGAACGTCGGCTCCAGGGAACGACGATGATCTTATGTTGTCGTTTGAACGATCTTTTATCTTGCCATTGAATTAGATGAAATAATTAATTGTCTATGCCCAACATTGGTGCACTGGAAGCTTTGTACCTCCCAGTGGTAATACGGCGCTTCTCCCTTGTTTTCTATCCAACTTAACTTCTCTCTATTGACTCTTGTAAGTAGGATTAAGCTATTTTCTATTCTGAGATCTCAGAGCCGTCACTCTAATAAATACATACCTTAGGTATGTAGTTGAGTTGTCAAAGATGTACATGATTAGAGAAGAGTCTTCTTCATCAGCGTACGGTCTGTATGTGATGAATAAGTTCTTCTGCCGTCCCACTCTATCTTTCGAACATAAATTCTACCTGCCTACCAACTGATTGCAACATATTTTGAGCACGCGCAATTCCCTCATGATCGTTGCATCGCCTGATTTAGGCTGTCCAGCCTCCGCATACAAGGATCACGCACCAATCGACAACGTCGCGCAATTGCCACTCTTGTCAAATAATATCTACAACTCTCTGATAGGATATGCTATCCTTGGCCATTCTCGTATTGCTGAAGGGAATTGTGGGGTACCCCACAAAATGCCGGCAATTAGACAACCGGCATAAGTTTGCTCTTGCATAAAGATGTGCGACAGCTGACCAAAGTCTGGCCTTTCCTTGCACTAAATGCCCGATATTGGCCATTTTTCTTCAGAATGTGTCAAGCTTCTGCATTCATCTTTTTATTGATACTCCAGAGTTGGCAAGGAGCGGCTGCAGCATCTCACGCCATCCAGTCTCCGCGACCACGTGCAAATTGGTTCAATTCTTTCTGGACCGATACCGCGGCAAGTGTAAAGTACAAAAATCTTCCAGAAGGCGCGTACTCTGTTACCTGGAATGGCACCGGAAATTTCGTAGGAGGAAAGGGTTGGAACCCTGGTTCGACTTCCAAGTAGGCTGGGCCCACTTATCTATCAACTCCCCTCTGGTTTAGAGCATTACAAGTCCGTAACTAAGTTAGTACAGGGTCGTGAACTGGACAGGTTCCTTCGAACCGAACGGCTACGCCTACCTGACTGTGTATGGATGGACAACCAACCCACTGGTCGAATACTACATCGTCGAGAACTATCACCCGGACCACGAGCCCGCTGCGCCCCCTGAGGGTGAAGTCGTCACCAACTTGACCTCAGATGGTAGTCTGTACTCTGTGCGGACCAAGATGCGAGTCGACAAACCATCAATCATAGGAACTGCGACGTTCAGACAGATATTCAGCGTGAGACAGGATAAGAGGAGTGAAGGTGTTGTGACGGTCGGCAATCATTTCGCCGCTTGGAAGGAAGCGGGATTGAAGACGGGGACGCAAAACTACATGGTAATGGCCACGGAAGGAAACAATAGTAGTGGAAAGGCAAGCATTGAGGTCCACTAAGGTGCTGAGACCGCTTGTCTTGTGAAACTTGAGATATCGATGCTCACGGTTGTCATTGACTTCTATCTATAGTTGAGTTTTCAAATTTCTTTTCATTTGCTTTTTCAAATCTGAAGATCTGAGCGTGGTCATTGGAGGACACCGGCTACTCCCGCATTGTCGCAGCCAAATTGCTACTACGACTCATCTTTGGAGATGTTGGCCAGATGGTTGTACTCAAACGTATGTCATCCTCAAAGTCTAGGCTCCACATCGCCTACATGTTGCCCCAATACTCCGAATCTATGAGTGCAAATCCCAGCACTGAAAGCTGGTAACCACGGTAAAGGGCCAGTCCATGCGCTTCCTCATCTATTCGGATTCTCTTCGTAAACCCTCACTCCCAAGACCTTCCTTATCGCCCAGCTATGCCAATTCACGATGATAGGTCCGCCCCTCCACAGCGGCAACACGTCATCTCTTTCACGTCTCCTCTCCGCAATCTTATCTGCCCAGCCACCGCGCTGAAACCGCTCAACGTCGTCACGGCTTACCGTATGCGTCTTGGTGCTCGCTGGCATCGCCCAAAAACTGACAATGTGACCTTGGTCGATCTTGTGCTTTAGAAAGCCCCTTGTTTGGATACCATGGAAGAATTCTGAGCAAATCATAGCATGTATATTCTTGTTGGTCAAGTCTCGCATCGCTAAGTTCGGCGCGGTGTTTCGATCGTGGTATCCGTTCAACGTTGATGGGCGAGAAGACGTTCGGAAATGGCGCGTACATTATGCGTAGTGAGACACCAAGGAGGACGCAAACAGGAAAGTCGAGACCTAGAGATGCGGCAGCTCGCATTCCAGAAAGAATCGTCACCCGCGGTGGGTTCGTGGGTGTCGAGAAGAACAGGAGATGTCGTTGGAAGGCGGTGTAGGTATTTCGCGACATTCTGAAAGGACTGGAATATCAGAGCTGTTATCGAGGAGTTACAACCAAAATGGAGCCCCGGTTCGCAATATCGAAGCTCTTGCTACGGAAATCTAGAGGTCTTTCCTCCGTCGCGCTGTATGACGTCATGACTTGGGCGCATTCTGTGGTAACCACATGAAGAGGAAATATTTTAGAGAATTGACGGTGAACAGCTGCAATGCAATGACAAGAAACATTAAATGTCAATGAAGCCTGTAGGAGATTTGGGTACCGCAGAAATGCACGTGGACTGCGTGCTAGTAAATGGGGCCACGGCGACTTCTCTCCCGCGAGGCGACTGGGCACTCGCCCAAACAAGGACATCCGAGGCCCTCTAGACTAACTTTGACAAATACATCTTGTTGAAGAAGAAATGCCACAATCTGCACGTCTATTCCCCCTTGCAAATTCTTCGTCGGCTCCATAACTAAGCAATACCTATGGTAGGTACCTCTCACGGGAGATGCCTTGCTTGATACTGGGATGCCATACCTGTGCTAGGTATCTTGCAGACTAAGGCATCTTCTGCGAGTGCTTCAAGCTAGAAATCCCAACAATCCAACTTCAATCATACTGCATATGTGCCCTGCTACAATGGGTTTTGCTAGCCTCTGCAGTAACTATTCATTCATCCTGCATCGTGAGCACTCATTGTTCAGAGTTTAATTGAACAGTTGCACATTCTTCTCAGGCAATGAACACAATGTGAGCAGAATTGACATTGTGATCCTGCTGAGAATCGGAGCCTTAAAAGCGCCAAAAGCGCTTTCTGGAGAACCGTTCTATACACCTTCCACGATTTGTAGCCGGCTACAGAAAAATTCGAAATGGCGACACTAGCCGTCCGCGTTGTCGAGCAAATTGCCTCGATTCACCAATCGATCTTCCGAGCCTACGAGGAGAATGTATCCTCTTACCCAATTGTTTCCGTTGAGCTTGTTGCGCAGCCGGAACCAGACCATCAAGTTGAGCACGTGGCGAATCCTCCGTTCGTAGTCTTCAAACCAACTTGGGATTACGACGGCGAGCCTGTGGCGGGCAAGCACGCATGTCAGGCTGACGTGCCAGAGTCTGTGAAGTCCGGGCTGATAGTTTGGAACGAGTGCGATTTTGCGGTCCAGACCTTCTTGCCTTCGCTTCGAAAGCAACTCTCCTCAAGTCTCCCGGGGACGCGCGTGCAATGGTTCCATGCAGTAATCGCTCCCGTCTTCGTGTTCCGCCAAGCTGATGCTGGCGCTGACGTCCCAGATCCCGCACACTCGGCGTTCCATATCACGCTGCCTGGAAACGGTGGGGAATATATCGTAGATTTCACCATTGGGCAGTATGGATATGGAATGGAACGATGGTTCCTGTCGTTTGAGGAATATAAAGCCATGATAAGGGACAGGTTATGGTATATATGTGACGATGAGGGTCGAGGGGAGAGTCTTCAAGGTGCTTTCGACGACAAGCACCTCAGTGTGCAAAGAATTATACGTGAGTTGTGTGATGAGTTTGACTGGGACACTCTCAAACAGATGGCTGAGAGTGATCGTATAGCCCTCATCAATGAAATGACATCTCGAGCACTATGTGAGGAGCACTGCCCAATGGAGCATGCTTACGCATAAGCATTTGGACCCGTGTGGGCTCTTGCTGACGATTGTAGGTACAAAGAAATCAAAAACTTGGTCAGCTAATTAGGGCTGTGACTTGGCCTCTGGGAATAGCTAAAACTTCTACAATATCATCTATGGACAAGAATTGGTTTCAGACTAGGCATGACTCGTTCGGAAGAAAAGTCGAACGTTTGGTTGCTAGAACACAACAAAAATGACCATTCTCATCACTGACCAATCTATAGCAAATAATTGTGGAATGACGTGCGATTGTGTGCATGTTCCAGAGTTCCATGGTATGTGCAACCCTTTGGTAAAGGCGTGCCTTAAATATGTGATTGTTTAATCCGTCTGTCCACAACGAGTTTCAGATGTCTTATCAGGCAATCATGCAAATCGTAGTGGACCAAATTTCCCAAGATGCTAAATAGGTGGAACTTTTCTCACGAGCTTAAAGATACTTCCCATGGTAACAATTTAACTCTGCGAGAGGCACAACTTAATCGGATCGCCACCTCTCGAAACCCTAGATCCAGTAATTGTATTTGACTACGAGACTCCACCATGGATTCTCCAAAGAAAGAAGGGGGCATTTCAATTGAGTTATCGATGACTTAAGTGAACTCCATCAAGAATACAAGCACCATAACAGATACTTGCGATTCACCGGTCCTCACACTCAACGTTGGTGGGCGCGTCTTTCGCGTGCACACATTTACATTGGCATATGCCCACTACTTCAAACCTTATTTCGATCAGGGGTGGCTAAAAGAGGAAGATGAGTCTGTCTTCGTAGACATAGACCCGAACATCTTTGAACATGTCCTACGCTACCTGCGTCGACCGTCAATATACCCCCTCTTCTGGATGGAAGCAAACGCATTTGGCTATGACCTTTACAACAGATTGGAGGATGCGTCAAGACTCTTCAAGATTGGGAAGCTGGAGATGGATAGTGGAGAAGAAGTACCTACAGGCTGTCACCCAAGAATCCGTTGTGTGTGTCCAACGCTTGGATGAATACCCGAACAGCTATCCGTCTCAGCACATTATCACATTGCCTGCAGCTATCAATATCGAGCGACAGGCCATTCCAAGGACAAAGAGAGTGTTCGTGTGTCCACGAAGGATTCAGGTATACAGAGGCAAACCGGATACTTGCGGTCAAGCTTGTCAGAAGGCGAGAGATGATGCACCTTCCGAGTACGAAGATGCAACATACACGGAAGTTGTCACCATTCATAAGAGATACAATGTAGACACGGCGGTGTGCACGGAAGAGCTGTGATGGAATTTGCCAAGCTTGCTCTTCCCTTTTAGTGGGGCGCTGCTGGCTTGCTTCAGTGGCGGGCCTGGTATGGCTGGCATCGTTAAGCAATCCTGCTCTATTGTATAAGATGTCATACATATGTAAATAATTCTTTGCGCTTATTCATGATAGAGACTTACGCACAAGCGCGGTGAGGTTAATCGAATTCTTCTATTTGTCAGTTGTCCAAAGGGGATCAATCCTGAACTTTCTTTGTCTTATATTGGATTATGGGAAGGCGAGACACGAGTATTTGTGGATGTTATCTAGTTACGAAGGGGAATAGCGTTCGCAGAGCCTGTTGGACGGTATACCACGTGGCTCACTGGCGCCTTGGCAGGTTGTTGCAAACTCCGTATTTTCGCCAGTTCTTCAACACACCCTTTTCATGGTCTGTGCTCCTTGCTCCAGCTTTTAAGGCCTCGGGATATTTGGCATTGAGAGCACATATGTGGAAAGAGAGCAAGACGAATGTGGCATTGTAAAGTACAGCACAACCTTGAGCGGATGTAGATAACCCATCAACTAGGCCTTTTAGTCTGCACAATGCACAACATGATTTTCCGAGGCTTATATGGATGTGGACCTGTTTTCGGTGGGTCACTAGCACCAGCGAACGAGTTTTCGTTGACGGTATGCGACAACAGAGTATACTTGATAGCATCGCGATTAACATGGCACCGCATAACTCGCCTTTCGCATCGGATATCAGCGCTCTTGATGTGAATTTTGCATCACGGAAGCATGACCACGAGAAGTTGTCAGGGACGTGCAGAGCTTGACGTTTACAGAGCAATACTCCATCGTACCACCGCACCCTGAATACGGCAAGTGATCTCCTCCGTACATTTTCCCTACCCTTTTGAGTTCGAACTACTTCTCTTCAGGGCAAAATAGCTGGGCTAAACAAGATTGAGATTACCATTCTCTAATAAAGCGTACACCGTGAGTACTACCATATGTGTGTGCTAAGGCGGACTTCATCAGGACGATCATAGAGTCAGATGTTTCCCCTTGGCAGGACACGTCTCCTTTTTGAGTTTGGGGGACCCCCAGTCATGCAGGCGCACAGACTTATCACCGGAGCACGCCTCCGGTTCGTATCGATAAACGTCGATCGTCTGTCAGTCTTCAAGGGTTAATCCATGTGAAACCCAGGAACCGATACTCGGAAAAGAACGCAAAAGCCCATGCCTTGCAAGAGTTTTCCATCACGATTCACTTGTAAAGAAGACTCAAGCGGCAAAACCCTTCCGAGCGCAAGCTTCTGCTCCACTACTTTTGAAACAGGCAGAGACTAGGGGTTATCAGCATCGGCGAGCGCCGATGGTTCAGTCTCGACATCTCAAATATGTTATGCCTCCTGTGTACGCGTCGCTAGCTGTCGAGCATTTGCCTCCTCACTATGGCGTCTTTGAAACTAGATAAATCATCCAGAAGCTCGTTACACTTTACGTACGATTAAACTACAGGGCCACGCTATCTGACAGCACACTAGTAGGCGAGCTCGCCAAAACTGCTTTTGAGTAATGGGCATCTAAATGAAAGCGAATGGAGTGGCTGAACGCCACTCGGTATGAAATTGCAGAGCCCTGGCAACCGAGATACTTTCGACGGCTCGTATTCGTTCAGTGCCTTGCGATGACAGGTGCCATGCCGACATGCCGGGAGCGGGGCAGCGCGGCTTCGAACAGAAATCGTGACGTTAAAACCGCGTGGTGGGGAAGCCCCTGCGTTGGTGTTGTGTGGCGGCAAATGTGGAGAGCGCCGTTGAGGGCGAGAGGTGATCAGCATCTCATCACCTGCAAGGGTAGTACGTGATATGTCCATCGCAGCAATCGTGTTTACGAAGAGCATTGTGATCTGCGAGGTCTAAATGCGTGCGTGGTATGCGGTCCCCGCATATACTTTTGAAGTCTCGTCAGTTAGCGTTCGCATACCTGGAGGCGGGTCGGTTTCGCCGTAGCTCGGCCAGCACTCGGCGACTCTTTCTCGGTCACGCAACTCTGTCTGGAAAAGCGCACAGGCCGCGGGCGGGAGTTAATTGGCGATCTTTCATGCAGCTCTTCAAGAAAAGGTTCGCGCTCCGCAGAAGAGTGTCTAGTGAGCCTGGTGTAACAGATGATAGACACAGGCATTGTATCAAGCTGAAGCAACACGCAACAGCGGGAGCAGGTTCCCACATCTGATGCAGCCATCATGCTTACCAGCCCCTTCTGTAGTTCCATCTGCATAAGGTTTGGTAAGTTGGCCTCGGTTGGAAAGTGAGTGATGTCCTAGCCAAACGCCGTCACATTCTAGACTTTATGCTCGTAGAAACTGGTCGACTAGCGTTTGCGCAGGACAATCTGTCACAGACCTGCACGTGGCACAGTGGAGAGATGCGGAGACTAAACGTTGAGGCACCAGGGCTAGCTAGTCTCCCATTTCCCTTGAGTCAAGAAACTTCAGCTTAGAGTGCCACAGAGAGTCCGGCACTTGCATTAGGGAAGAAAAGCCGTGATTGGTTCGTATCGATGATTGTCTTTCAAATATCAGACGCACAGGGTGCAGCCCCTACTAGATAACCAGACCACTCCTTGTTTCCTTCGCTTGCCTTACTTTTTAATATCAGGACAGCAGTGTGTTCGGACGACAACAATGGCCACAACCAAATCCGACACGCAGCTCGCCGCGCTGGCTGCTGGCTTCACCATCGGCTTCGGGTTTTTGACTGTATGGGAGGCCATCAAGCAGACCATTCGCAACAAGAATCCCTTGCGTAGCGCGTACATTTACATGCTTTGGGGCGAGATCATTGCCAACGTGGTCATCGCGATCATAGGATGGGTGTTCTTAGATGGGTACATTGGGCCAACGTGAGTGTTAACCTTAAAAATGATCAAGCAGGGGCTGATAACACACAGGGTTCCAACACTGTTCTTCATCTTACTATGTTGGGTGTTCGAGATCCAACTGCTCATGCAGATCATCATCAATCGAATCGCGCTCATTGCGGAGCATCGACGCACGATCTGGAGGATCAAATGGGGCACCGTTTTTATCATCACTACCATCAACATTTTGGTGATGGTTATATGGATCCCGGCACATTTGAATCCTCCTCCGTCACAAGCCTTCGTCACTATCAACGAGGTTTGGGATAAGATTTCCAAGGTTCTTATATTGATCGTGGACGCTGGACTCAACTGGTACTTCCTGAAGATCGTTAAGGAACGTCTCATCCAGCAACACGGCCTTGTCAAATATGCACCACTGATCAAATTCAACGCGCGGCTCATGGTTCTTTCAATTGCGATGGACGTAAGTTTGCGAAATACAAGTCGTTCAGGAGGTTTAATTGACACTACACAGGGCATGTTGATCGGTCTCATGTTCTTAAAGAACCAGATCGTATACATACAGTTCCACCCTGTGACCTACATGGTCAAACTCAACATTGAGATGACTATGGCTTCCCTCGTCGTGCGCCTCGCGAGAGGCCAATCCGAGAACGACATGGTCCTCCACGACTTCGGCCAGTCCTCTTCTGCGCCAGACAAGTCGCAGTCCAATGTGAATCCGCGATTTTCCACGAACCCGCAGCGATCGTTCCACTTGGCGTCGGCGACGGGCGTTACATCCGGCCACCAGAAGGCCGGCTCGGATGAGGACTTTGGCGGCATACATTTCCGGACCGACTTCCACGTCATTAGCGAAGAGGTTCCTGTCAAGGACTCCAGCTCCAAGCGTAGCTCCAAGAGCTCGGGTGAGCTCCCGCGGAGCACTTTTGGTGACGAGACGCCGCTGCATAAAAATCGATTCGAAATCGTGACGGACCAGGTGTAGTGGCAGTGTTTATTCCGCATTCTAATCTATTGTCTTGTATATTATCGATACCCACATAATTACAGTAGCTTAATTTCACGCCCTAAGAAGCGGGCGCAGCGCTACCATAAGGGACCGCTTCTACGCTGTTGATGTCCACGTAACCGTACTTCCTGTTGTCCTTGTCTTCCGCAAAACCCTGCAGCCAGGTACCCACATCTTTCTGGAACGCCTCCAGGTTCTTCTCGTCGCTCAGATCGATCGGTTGCTGATCCTTTCCGAGCTGGCGAATTTGGGTTCCGGCAGCAACGTTCGTCGCGCCGAAGTCGTTGTCGTCTGTGAGCTGGTTGATGGCTGCGTGGACCTTGCCGCTGATGATGTCCTTCGGCAGCTCGGGCTCAAGGCAGACTGGGCGTGCAAGGCCAACACCATCCACAGTGTTCAAGGCGTCGATCATAGCAGCTGCGCTCTTGAACCCACCTGTGACGTAGGTCTTTGTCTTCGTCAATGAGGGTGTTATTTTCTCAGCGAACTCGAGGAAGAAAGATTCCCGCTTCTTCGTCGACTCCCTCTTGTGCACGAATGCAAGAGACTCGTAAGTGCCACCTGAAAGCTCAACGAAGTCGAACTGATTGTCTTCGAGGAGCTTGCACAGGGTGCCCGCCTCTTCCGTGTCGAAACCCTTATCTTGGAACTCAACAGAGTTAAGCTTGATGCCGAGCACGAACTTGGACGACGTCCGTTTGCGCACTTCCTGCCCAATCTCATTGATAATCCGCGCGCGATTCTCTAGCGATCCACCGTACTTGTCAGTGCGACGATTGGTGGTAGGCGACAGGAACTGGGCGAGGAGGTAGCCGTGAGCGCCGTGCAGTTGGATACCATCATATCCGGCCTTTTCCAAATACTCCGCAGCGTGCGCGAAGCCCTCAATCACGTTCTTGATGTCCTCATCAGTCGCTGCCCGCGGCTTTGCGAACGTCATGCCCATCACGTTGCCCTCGAGCTGGACGTCGGAAGCAGAGATGGGGCTCTTCTGGATGTTGTCCGCCACTTGACGGCCGGGGTGAGAGACTTGTCCTATGATCAGCGAGCCATGCTTCTTCGACTCGGCAGCAAGCTCCTTGAAACCCTCAAACCGCTCACCCTCGTAAGGTGCGCCGCGAGGGATGATCGGGTTTCCTGCCGCCTCCAGGTGGTCGTACTCAATCATGATGTTTCCGGTGAGGATAACGCCAAACTCGCCCTCTCCCCATCTTCGGTATACGTTGATGAGGTTCTTGGACGGTACACCGCGGGCTTCTAGGTTCTTCGGGTCCCATGATGAGAGACGCTCGGTCATAGCGCCCTTGAGGAATCGATTTTGTGCGGTGACATTGGAAAACTCGAAGTGCAGCGGCTTTGCCAAAGGCGCCGGGTCCTTCTTCTCTGCTTCATATCTGCGGGGAGCCATGATGTCGTAGGGTATCTTTAATATAAAGCTTAAAATATATCGCGAGTCGTGTCAATTGCTACCGTAAATGTCGAAATTATAATATGTTGCAACAATGGAACATCCGGACGTTATATACTTAATCCTTACAAATGTTTTTGCGCATGTGCAGTGGGTCCACAGTGTATGACGAAATATACTAATGACGACGCTACCTATCATTGCGACCAAACCCCAGAGAGTAAAATCGGCCGAAGTCGCCCACGAGGGCCAATGTGTGGGGAGCTTAGAAATACACAACACATCGCCATGCATGGTGTGCAAATGACGGGCAAATTGTGGAGGCTCAACTGCTCTTGCCACAATTTGGACGTCAGATATTCATACCTTGATCAGCCACCTTGCCCGAACTATCGCATTATTGAAGATCCTATAACACATGTACTGTGTGACGGTACTCGTCGGGGGGAAGAGATCCACTTCAGTTGGGAGGTCGGGCCGAATGATGCCTGGTACGGACCGAGGCATTGAATGAGTCTCCGATCTTGTAGAGACAATTGAAGACAGGCAAATCGGCGCATGAACTGACCATCAAAAGCCTCTAAAGAATAAGCATCTACAACGCCGCAGGCCAATTTGGACTCATGCTATTCTTCCGACGAGAATCGTCGCAATTCTTAATGTTATCGTTACAGAGCTTCCAATGTTCGTATGCCCACAAGACGGTGTCCCTGCCAAGACCGCCTTTGTCAGCGAGACCATATCGGGATCTAGCGCCCTTACACCACCTGAGATATTTTCCGTCCTTCCCAACACCACAGAGTCCACCATTCTTACACGACCCAAAAATCGTCTGACTACGGCTCATGATTACTAGTGCATATGTTGTGAAGCTGTCTTGGCTCAGCGAAAGGCGGAGAGTTTGAAGGCCTACCTCAGTCACACTGGCTCGATACTATATGCTTAACGGGACGCGCAGAAGTGATCATGACGGGTATGGTACATCGTGGTAGGGACGCGCTATAAATATACACCAGTAGGCGGTGAGCGACGCGAGATTCGCCTATTGACGCCCCTTCCGGGCCCTCTCAACTCTCCAGTCCTGCGCCGGGTTTACGTTGCTAGTATCGACGTTCGAAGCGGTTTCATACATTTAGGGAGATCCTATAATAACGCATGCGGTACCCAAATTGAAGAAGGACCGGCGCCTGCCATCATGGGCATTACTGCCAATCTCGCCGAAGCATTAAGTAACTTATGCTTCCTAGATGAAGAAAGAGTCTTATGGATCGGCGGAGTCTGTATCAACCAACAAGATATCGGCGAGCGTACGCAACAAGAGAGAGTTTTACCGAAAATTACGAAGATGCTCGACGAATGCTTGTATGGCTTGGCCCACTAGATGACTATGTCTTGTACACTTTGGCTCTGTTCAATACGGCTTCAAGAACCGTTGTAGTTGACTGTATTGCTGGGAAGTAGGAGTATCCGTTGCCGGACGATGTTGCATGCCCCAAGCTGGACTTCTTATACTCTCGCTTCATGGCATATGAATCATACACGCGGTCTCTACGCGCTCTGGAGACGCCCCAGGTTAAGTCGATCGTGGCTTCACCAGGAAGCCTTGCTGGCATCCGACCGCGTCGTCATTTACTGCGACAACAGAGTTATTACGTGGCGTGCTTTCGCCGATGCACACTACTTCATATTCTTAATGGATCTTCAGGTCACAGTAACAGAGTTTACGGATTCTGCCAGAGTCCTTGCCGCTCGCGATCTAGGCGAAATTGAGCATTTGTGCCCCATTGTTAGAGATCTGAGCATACCTGAACCACCCAACTGCGGCTCGTAATGTGTAAGATCAGCAGATGCGGCTGCCTCGACCTTTGAGATAAGATATACGGCAGCTACGGAGTACTTCCGTCGATGTTGTGGCGAATCACCACGGAAGGCACGCCTGTGGATTATGGTAAGCTAGGGGTAGATGTCTTTCGCGATGCTGCCCTATACATGGTAGAAAAGAGCGGGCGACTGGACTTCTTACGAGACTGTGTAGATGCAGATCAAGTCGCGGGGCACCCATCGTAGTCACCACACTGGGATAAATCAATCGAGAAAGAGCGTCTCCAGACCAAGTTCTCCACGTATAGTCGCAGAGACGCCGTTTGAACAGGCCCACGTACCATTCGCTTGAGGCTCTCAGCTGCTCTTGGGCCGCAACTACTGGAGGAATACAATTCCACACTCGATATGTGGCGTGCGGACCACCGCCTCCCTACGCTTGCGGCGATGTTCCGACGGATCTCAAGGAAGACTCATCGAGGTTGGCGATGAAGAACCTTTCGACACCCTTACCAACGCCTTCACCCATGGGAACAGCTCAAGTCACGTAGATGGCGCCCGCTACTCCTCTTACAGATACTAGTATGCAAAGACGAGTTGTTAACTTGGGCCAAACGTCTGGGGAAATAGAAACAGACTCTGACTGGCAATGCTTCATCATCGCCGCCGGTCGTTCACGCAAGGAACATCGCATCATCATGACCGAGAACGGACTCACCGGTCTCGCACCACGATCCTCACTCGACGACGATGTAATCGCCGTCATGCCTGGCCGCGAAGTCCCCATTGTCGTAACGTAATTGAAGGACGGGGTATTCGCCGTCAACGGAGAGTGATATGTCCACGGGCTCAGCTACGGATAGGATCTTGTGGGACCTCTGGATCCCAGTGTCAGAATCCATTTAAAACAAGTGAATGGCGCTAACGGGAAGAAATTAGAGTTCGCCGCGTATAGAAGCGTAGAGAATGGGTTCGCCATGGTTCCCGACCTGCGGCTCGACTGAGAGGGACTAGAGGTTGACGATGAAGACCCGAGCTACAATTCACGATCTACGACGCGGATAAGAACCCAAGCAAGGTCTACGCACATCGTCCTAGTGTGGAGTTCTTCCGCACAGCTGGCGTTCCACTCCAGGTCATCGAGTTAGCATAGCACACGGCACTTTGACAGCGGCGAAATGTAATGGCGGTGCCGTGATAAAGCGGCAAGTATATTCATAAATATATATCTACAGCAGAACGTAATCCCTCTATCTTCACAACTCAGTGGTCCTCAAAATCTATTCGTGACGCGCTTAGAAAAAGGCGCGGGCGTGGCGGCGGGCCTTCTGGGAGGCAGTGCCGGTCTCGGTCTTCAACCAGGCGATGAACTGCTGCACCGTGAACTCCTCGGGGAGGGTGGAGCCGGAGCCAGCAGAGCCGGTGGCGGAAGGAGACGGAACTTCAGCGGCGGCAGAGGTAGCACTGGGAGTCACGTTCTCGACCTTTGAAGGGGTAGCGCTGGCGGCGGCAGAGGTAGCAGCCGGGGTAGAGCTGGACGGAGCAGTGGCAGTGGCAGCCGGGGCAGAGCTGGCTGGGGCGCTGGGAGAGTCGGAGCCGGAGCCGGAGCCACCGACGGTGAAGTCAATGCAGGACTCGTAGGTCTGATCGATGGAGCGGGCGTCCCACCAGAACTGAAGGACACAGTCACCGGCGGTAGCGCACTTGCTGCCGAGGTCGGAAGGGATGGTGATGTCGAAGTTCTTCTCCTCGGCAGTGACGCCAGTTGCGGTGGACGCGTAGTCGTCAAAGGTGATGAGCGGCGAGCCGATGATGGAGTTGGTCTTGGTGTCGATGACCGACATGTTGGCAACACCAGTGTGGGGGGCAGCGACGTTGAAAGTGATTGGGACCTTCTCGCCAGCAGTGTATGACTGGACGTTGGCCTTGTTGTCCTCAAATTTCATACCCTTGCACAACCAGATGTTGCAAGCAGCCTCGTTGTAGTCGTTCTGGTTGCTGGCGGTCTGGAGGGCAGTCTGGACGTTGCCGTTGATGTCGGAGCTCCACATGTTGAAGACCTGGCTACCGCAGGCCTTTGCAAGCGCATCGCCGGGCATACGAGGCTTGGGGCTGGTGAGGTAGCCGTGGGCGGCAACCTGGGTGGCAAAGGCAGCAAGGCCGATAGCAGCAGTGTAGGACTTCATCTTGACTGGAAGGTTTGAAAGTGACTGAGTTTGGTGGTTGAGAGAATGCGGAAGCCTAGCTTCTGTGTGAAAGAGCGACTGAAAGAATGAGTGACTAAAGAATGAATGTGAGGTCTCAGACCAGGGAAAGAAGCTGCTGCGACAAAGTAGACCGGAGTGCGGATGAGAAGCAGCAACGAGGGAGGGGAACATGAGTATCTATACCAGCTCTGCACCAGCGGCACTATTCCCATCGTGTTCATCCTGGGTGGGTCGTGTCATCAAACGTTTGAAACAGGACATCCATCTGAAGCCTCTCAAGCTTCGCTTCGAGAGGTTCTCGTGCACACGGTGACGGGGCGTTCGCAAACGAACGGGGTTCAGGCAAGAAGTCAAACAATGCGCGAAGCTTGACCTCGAGCTTGAATATATTAAACCACCAATCAGGCTCCCGCCAGCGCTTCGTTCGCGCGCACGGCACGCGGCAGAGCAGGCGCCAGGAAGAGCCGCGTCCAACACAGCGGCACGCCCTGTCCGGGAAATTTGCTAGCCTTCTCGCGGCATGCAAGCGAGTTCCTCAATCTTAGCGAACCGCCGTGGACCCGGTTCGAAACTTTTCGTGGGATGCAGGCGGTTTCATGTTTATCGAAGGCCATGCGGGCCATGCGTCCGGAAATATCGCGCGGGCTCGGTTGACGTGGCGCGACCCCACGGAAGCGGCTATCTTATTGCAGGACATATAACAGGAGTTCGACATGCGCCAGCAACGGGCGGGAACGGCAGAGAGCTGCAATGGGACTCCGTAGGGTGGAGATGGAGAGAAGGTGCAGAGGCCGATGGGACGATAATTCGAGGAGGCGCCAAGCCACCATCGTTCCCGTCGGTGCAGCGTCGTCAAGGGAGGGAGCCCCTTCATCGTCTGACCATAAGCCATTGCAATCCATCCATGCAGTAGCCAGTCACACTTATGCATCGGCAACTCGTGTTGGCGATCGTTTCGCCTGCGGTTCGTGGTTATCCAGGACATTCCCTGTCGTCGAATGAACGCACAACCTCAGTAGGAAACGGAATGGCAAGAACCAATCGTTGCATGGACGATTTTGAAACTAAAGGTAGACTCAGAAGCCGAGGCTCACAAATACCATCTTGACTACGTACTGTCCCCAGCGTAAGAAGATTGAGCTGACCTCACAGTAAAAACTTGATCGATAGCCCATCGGCCACCGTGCACATCCTCAATTTCGATAGACCTCCATCTCCAGAGAGTAACACCAAATTTGAATGCACTAACATTGACAACGAGAATTCAAAACAGGAAAACACCTCCTTCCTAACGCTCCCACCTAATCAGCCACCCTCCACACCAATCGCTCCCCACTGGCTTCCTTCCTCCGCAACGCATCCATCGCCCTTTGCGCCCTCTCTAACAACGTCGCCCCCTCAATCACCCTCTGCGAATTCGGCTCTACAATGCCATCTTTTAACATGGTATACATGATGTCTGGCTGCAAATGCTTCTTGAAGAAGTCATTTTGCAGATAAAAATGCGTCCGTACGCCGACCGCCTGCACGCCCTCCTTCCATACCGCCGCCTTCAGTACATCCATTTCGTACACTGGGTCTTCGGTCTCGCTCGAGTCGCGCACGATGACGGGGAGGAGGATGGCGACTTTCGCGCCTGCCTGTGCAAGCTGCGAGATGGGTGCGATGCTGCCGTTTTGGCTGCCAATACAGTCGAGGACCTTGGAAATGCCTCCTGTGGCCTCAACGGTGGCAAGGATTTGGGACACCACGTCCGGGTCGTTGTAGTCGAAGGCATGCTTCGCGCCCAGGCTCTTGAGCTTGGGGTGGTGCTTCGAGGACGCTACCGCGATGATATTTGTGTCTGAATGTGGAATCAGTCACCCAGCCGTAGAGGACACTAGTGGTAAGATAACACTCACACCCATAATACCGCAACACCTGCACCGCATACAGTCCTACACTACTCGCCCCACCCCACACCAACACCGCCCTCCCCGCACCCTCCGGTACATACCCCTCTGGCTTCGGCCATGGTGTCTCAATCCCCAGATCCGTTGTCAGCGCATGAAACACCGTGACAAAGTTGTTCGGCAGCGTGACGGCTTCTTGCAGCGTAAACCCGTCAGGGAGCTTGGCCATCAGCCACTCGTTCGTCGTGCAAAACTCCTGATGCGCCTTCTCTTGCGCAGTCCGCCATGTGAAGCCGAAGACTTTGTCGCCGACGTTCAATCTTGTGACATCGGGCCCGACTTCGACGACTGTGCCGGCGGTGCCGTCGCCGAGGCGCTGAGGGTGGGTTACCTGGGGATCGTCATGTTAGGAAAAACTGCATTTTGCGTGGAATGGGCAGACGTACAAGCAAACCCCCATCATTTTGATGCAGATCAAGCGGCGTCGAAGCCGTCCACTCGACGCGTACGCGGACTTCATCGCCTTGCGGCTTGACGGTGGGTACTTGGTGGACTTCTAGACGTTTCTTGATGCCGACTGTGACGACTGCGGGATGGGTCGCCATGGTGCTGTTACGTGGTTCTTCGCTGGTGTGTATTGCAAGATGGCTTGGAATCTACTTCCACGAAATTGACGGATTGCAAAATTTCTCTGCAAGAACAAATCCTTCTTGCTAATCTGCTTGTCCTTTATACATGCCCGTTCCCAAGAATACATTACAAATGAACCCACTACTGTCTGCCCTCTGACTATAATGTTGACGCGGCTAGTGATGATTTCCCATTTGGGAAATCTTCGCTAGCGCAGGTAGGGCCTCGAGAGCCAATCAGATCAACCGCGCTGGCCCTGGTTGTGGCGATCAACATTATGCCTGATATGCACCGTCGTGTGAGCTGTAGAAGGAGTGCTATACGTGATTTCAAAGCATGGAAGAGGATGGATGCATCACTTACATGATGAAAAACAGGGCATGGCTCTGTAACCAGCAGTTTGCACGGATTGGCATAGCCTCACACTACTTAACAATATCATTCATGCTAAGCCCACTAAAAGGATAACATTTGCTCCCAGGCAAGTCCTAGAATGGACAAGCGATAACGCTTCAATGAGTGTCCTCATCCAGCCATAAATCATTATAGGTGGCTCCTCAATCGATGCTACCGCCTCATGCGGGTGGCCACAAGTTCGGCAAATACATTTCGTAAGTGATCCCGTGTGGATAATCCAATTCATACCACGATAATCCGCTGTCCCACTGCCTCAATGGGTCCGCTGGCTGCAGCAAGAACGATGCGACCTGCCCTTTCTGGCAGACGAGTTCTTTCACCATTGTAAGATTGGTATCGCCGGAACTTTTTACAGCAAGTGTGGCGACGGTAACACCGGACTTCGGTAGGCTGATGAATGTAGTGTTTGGTTCTGTGGGAAGCAGATTTAGCTGGTAAGCAATAAGAAAAATAAACGAGGCATGCAGGTAATGTTGCGAGAAAGAGAAGGACAGCGCACTGATAGAGTCGTTTTCCAGCGCAACAATATTGATGAGATATGCCTCATCATCGTTGACGCCCCAAAGAGACCAGGGCGCGCCGCGGTTCTCGTCCGTGTTGATGGTGAAGCCAAGTTGGCACCGGGTGGCATTATTGTTTGGCACGTCCCAATTTGCTGCGGTCCAGTTCTGCTCTCTGTTAGTGCCGACACATGGCCAGACGAAATTGGAGACCACAAACGTCGTTCGAGATGTGGAATGTCGGAACAGTCCCATACGCCTTGTCAGGCGCTTTGGCATCGAGCGGAATGATAAGGTGAGGATAGTCGCGATAGAGCGCGTCGGCAAGGACACCGAGCCCAAAGACGACTGAGAGGATAACTGCGCGCATGGTGGGTTGGATGCACTGTAATGCCAAGACAGGCTCGTAGGCTTGACAGAAAGTGTTTATGTTTCTAGTGTGAGAAGGAGGCGCCTTCTTATACCCGACGCGAGACTACGTATCTTCCCAGAGCCACTCATCTCACATCTCCTTCTGGACATGGTGACGGAAGCGACGCCTCAGCAATAGCAGAGTGTGGCACCTGCGACGCGTACAATACAACGTGTACGATATCGATAACAAGAAATGGGCTCAGAGGAACCTGATCATCAACAAGTACGAGTCTAGTAGATTTAGTGGGGCTGACAGTGGTTACTGCCTCATTTCAAAAGCCGTCGGAGTGGATGGACCACCAATGGCTCGAGGCGCCGCCGACGACTTGTATTACCATCAGAACGCTGAAAAGAGATAGTTCAAGTGGATGATGATGGTTTTGACCAAACGACGTACAGCGCTGTCAACAACGTGGCTTGGCCCCGCAGGTAGCGGTCACGTTGGGCATTGTGTAATTTGACATCTTGATGGGTACCTACACCTGCCTTGTATTGGAAAACATATTGAAGCCATCAATAGTCTCCACGAGCGACGCCTCGGTGCTATATGGAGTAGTCCGATATGGCGATTTGGGACAATGTGATCGACCGTTGGTTGGAAAGACTGATAAGCGGCGCGAAGGCGTTTGCATACAAGTTTCCAGGAACCGTATTTTGGATGCAATTAGACGTTAGCTACTGAGTACAACCTCGTCCTCATTGGTATGTGGAGTCGGTCAAAGCAAGGCAGCATGAGGGTTTCACCGTGGTATTGAGCGCAAGGGAAGGAGAAGATGCGGGTCGCTGTGGTAGATGTAGGACTTCCCCAGTCTCTGGATGGGCCCAAGACGAAGAGAGCAACTCACCCCAGTGAGTGTTGCTCAGTTGGCACTGTTGTCCAATTAGTGATGGAGCGGGCAAGCGCAACTGGAGCTACAGCGGAAACGTATCCGAGCCTCGGCACTGCGTCATAGCTAACGTTCGTGTAGCTACCACCATACTATGTGTTCCAGTACACCACAGCCAGCAAGGCCCCGATGCGGACAACGACTTGCTCAGCATGGCGCTGTTGTCCAAATTTCGACCCTTCCTGAGGCCTGTGTCCAGGTTGCCACTGCGCGCCCACCCTTGTCGCGCCCTGCACCTGGCACCCCCTTGGTTGCTCGATGATTACATCCCCCGCTACCACCTCATCTCCTCGCTCGACGCTGCCAAGAAGCGCTCACTTGCCTACGCACATCTTCGCGAATGCAACCTTTGCCCTCGACTCTGTGGCGTTAATCGTTATGAGAAGACCGGCGTCTGCCTTATCGGGGCAGAAAAGGTAAAGGTCAACACCATCGCGCCGCACTTCGGAGAGGAGCCCTGTCTTCAGGGTCATAATGGATCGGGGAGTGTCTTCTTCTCGGGCTGCAACCTGAGATGCGTCTTCTGCCAAAACCATGATATCGCACACCAGCGGAATGGCTTTGATCTAACACCGGAGGAATTGGCGGAGTGGTATATGAAGCTGCAGGAAGTAGGAAGGTGCCATAGTAAGTGATGCCGTGTCAATCGAGTTGTGCTTGAGGAGTTCCGTATATTAACTATGTATGCCTCAGATATCAATCTCGTTACGCCAGAGCACGTCGTGCCACAAGTCGTCCTCTCAATCCTCCACGCGCGCGAACTCGGCCTTCGTCTACCGATCGTATACAACACTTCAGCTTTCGACAGTCTTGAGAGCCTCGAGCTGCTTGACGGTCTGGTTGACATATATCTGCCCGACTTCAAGGTGTGGAGCGACGCGACAAGCAAGCGTCTACTGAAGGCGGACAACTACACGGCCACGGCCATGGAGAGCATCAAGGCTATGCATGCGCAGGTCGGAGATCTGTGCTTCACGGGCGATGGGATCGCGAAGAAGGGCGTACTGGTGCGACACCTTGTCATGCCTGGAAAAGAAGACGAGGGCAAAGAGATAGTGCGCTGGCTAGCTGAAAACGTCTCCAAAGACATGATGGTGCACGTCATGGAGCAGTATTTCCCCCGCGCGCACGTCGGGAAGCCGCGAAGGGGAGGCAAAGACGCTAGCGTGGTCGAGCCTGGAGGTGTGCCTGCGACGGAAGGCGCGAAGGAGCAGGTGCGGTATGCAGACATCAATCGGCCGGTAGATCTAAGAGAGGTGGCATCCGTGACGCAGGCGGCACGGGAGGCCGGCCTGTGGAGGTTCGTTGAGGCTGCGAAACACGGCGGCTTCAATGTGTGATGGCGCGAGAGCGCAGCTGCCGTGAGGTGCTGTTGTGCTCCTGCCTACCCCCCTGGCTCATTTGTTCACTTCGGGAATCCACGGCGGCCTCTCACCAAACCAACGTGCCCCATCATTCACATTCCCAAGCACACATCGCTCCGCATTCCTACAATGCTAGTACCAACAAACGAGCCCATGGCCACTGTTGCCAATACTGCCGACGATGTAGCAGCGGCAGTCCTGAGCTTAAAGCAGGAACGGGATACCTGGCGAGCAGTAGCCGAATCGTACCAGAAAGCCTTCGAAGACCAGACTGCGCGTCTGCAAGAGGTGCAGGCGATCTGCTGCGCAACCCAAATGGAGCTGGAAAACGAACGAGCCGCAAACCGCCGCAGCCAGAAGTCGTCCGAAGTATTACAAGCATCGCTACGCGGTGGCGGCCACCGCACGGTAGACGGCACCGACGACAAGCTTAACGACACCTCTTTAGGCACTGCGGCCATCCATGAGCCCAGCCACGCTGAGCTGACCTGGCGTCCGAACTTTTGCTTCCGTCGCGTTGAGCACTTCACTACACTACGCGACTACGGCACCGCGCTCAAAGAATTAGACTCTTTGCTTCGTGGTCCGCTCACAATGGAAGCGCGAGTACAAGGTCTGCTCCTCAAGAGCACCATCATGCGCAAGTCAGAGTGGCTCTTCGACGCGCTCGCCGCCTGCAGCGAGGCCCTGGAGCTCTGCAACCGCCTGAATGAGCTGCACGCCTATCTACCCCGAGTCCAGTATCAGCGGGGTATCTGTTATTACCAGCTACAAATGCTCAAGCAGGCACGCGACGCGTTCCACGAGGTCTGCATGAATGACGATTTGCTCTATGCTGTGGCTTCGGAGATGCGGGACTGTTGCGATGACCAGCTGCAGGGTCGGAGATCAGGTTTCGAAGCCCATCGTACAGTCACTGAAGGCCTGCTTTCGCAGATGTACGACAGTCGTAGTGAGGTGAGGTTGATGCATTTCACAAAACTGCGCTGTACTGATTGCCGCAGTCGAAGCGACGCCGTGTAAGTCAGCATTTTCGATACCATGCTGCAAAAGCGAAGCGGCTGTCCTTACCGCAGCGATGGATGCATACCACACCGAGGTCGATGTCATGTGGGACGAACTGATCAATGGACACGTTGTTGGCGAAGCCGTGCCGCATGCGCCGACGAAGGATCAACAGAGGATACGCAGGGCTTCAGGCGTTGCACATCCCTAGCAATGGAGAATTTTAGCGGACATGGTCTCTTTGTCTTGTATACAAGAAACACCTATATCATAACAGTTCCGTCCGTCTTTGCTGTCTCAGTCGTGCTGAGTGGCCCTATGAACAAAGAATACTGACATCCCTCTAATCCGCGAAACCCATCGCTCCAACTCCACATCTCTCCACAATCTACCCATCCTCTCACTTGTACACACCGCAGAGATGTTACCCTCATTCAACACCTCTGCCGACGACTCTCCACCCAAAACCCCAGTCTCTCCCTCACCCCCCGGCTTCGTCAAGAAAATCGCGGAAAAATACGAGCGCCCGAAGCTCCAGATCCCAGACGCGGACCCCGCGAGGCCACTGCGCGGTTTGAAAAAAGAATGCAAGGATCCGTGGAAGGAAGAGAAGCGGCGGGAAGAGCTGCGCGAGCGGATCAGGAAGGGGGATGGGGGGTTGGATCCGCATCTGAGGGAGCCGTGGGTGAGGGCGAGGGAGGAGGAGGCGCGCGCGTCGCCTGTGGACGGCGAAGGGCGCGGAGAGGATGTAGAATCTGGAGCTGAAAGCGATGAAGGCGAGCGAGACGCCCTCGTCCAGCTCCAGCTCCCAGCATGCCTCCACCTCCTACGCGCCCAGCCCAGCCTCCTGCCCCTGCACACCACGCCATTCGCCTACGCAGTTGACCCCTACCTCCAGAACAACCCCGAATATAGACACTACCTCTCCCCTACAACGCCCTCCTCCTCGTCCACGCTCTCCAACCTCCCCTCCGGCGGAAGCGGTGTTCACGCGGACGAGGTCAGCGCGCGCACCGACGAAGCCTTTCCCGAGATCCCCTTTGAGAGCATCGAGGTGTACCTGCACGAGAGAGACAAGTTGCAGGTGCGCCTGCAGCTCCAGCAGGTGCGCACGCTGCTGGTGCGGTGCACGGTGCTGGTGCGGTCCGCGTGGGCACTCGAGCAGACTGGGTGGAGATCGACTGCTTGTGCGCGTGGGAGAAGCGTAGACGCAGTTGCAGACGACGAGAGTCGCGTGGAACATGCGTGGTACAAGGCGTACTCGAAAGCTGGGCGGGCCGCGGAGAAGGCGGGGCAGATGGCGAAGGCGCTGGGTATCGATGGGCTGCAGGCAAGGACGTGGTACTGGAAGGGGCAGGCTGACGCGGGGAGGAGGTATTGGGACGAGGCGGGTGCGGCATTCCGGAGGGCGGAGCAGTTTGATCGGGAGAAGAGTATGGCATTGAAGGTGGAGGAGTATGGACAGATCGGGCTGACGCCGGTCGAGAGGTGGGACGTCGGTGAATTGCGGAGAAAGTGCGAGGAAAAGGACAAGCGCGTGCAGCGGCGGAGGCAGCAGCGTGCGTGGGCGATGGAGATGGCGGGTGGGGAAGAGCGAGACGAGTCGGATGATGACTTGGAGGAAGAGCTCGTAGATTTGGAGGTGCTACGCGGTGTGATACGCGGAGAAGTCAGGGCGGAAGATTCGGTCGACGCTGCAAAGAAAAGGCTTTGGAAGCTCAAGGAAGAGGAGGCGCTCGAGGCTATCAGCGTTGCGAGGGCCAAAAACAAGTCGAGGTGGTACTCGGGGATTTTGTCGAAAGAAGAACTGGCGTCTATCATTGACAGCGTTCCTATTTCCGAGAAACAAGCGGAGAAGAGCATGAAGAGCGAGGAATTCCGGGATGATCTTATGGATTGAAAAGAAGGTGGTCGGATCAGGGTTCCTTCTTCTTCTTCAAAAAAAAAACGACGCCGTATGAATTAATCCTAGAGCTAAGCATGACCCCTTGAGCAAGTCATGGTTTTATCAATTGTATGATGCGTTGGCGTAGCCATTGAATTCCGCTGGGTAACATGTCGTCAACTGTGTTTTGCCTCTGGAGGATGTCCTCCTTGATCCTCTGGTCAAGACTCTCTAAACTGCTATTGCAGTGAAGAAATAAGCGCATTCGAGGCAGCCAGTCTACAGCCATTTGGAGCTTCTCATTTATTTCTAAGAGTTCTTGTTCGTCCCATTTGATTGCGTGCGCACGCCATCCTCGGAGCATCATCTTAACGCGAGGTGCTGCAAATTCATTGTACCGCATTGCTGAGCTGACGTGGGAACCAGTCACACTGGCAGGCAGAGAAGCGTCGAAGATGGCCGCTGGTCCACTGCCTGGTAACATATCTGCGATGATCTCATACAGAGGAAATGAAGGGAAGGCACTCATGACAAATGTCTTCTCATCGATAGCGATAAGTCCGTTTGGATCTTCGAGCACAGTGATGCCGTTCTCAGCCAGGACTTGCTTGTCGGAGTCTGAATATCCGGGATCCTGCGCAAGTACGCGAACTCTCGTATCATTATCTCCATAACGTTCGTATTGATGCTCGTAGAGATCGTCAAGAGCCTTGGCGATGCTTAATGCAACAATGTGCTGCGAGTAAGGGCGAAACCAGGCGTCCAACCCACTCAAGGTACCGGTCTGACGTGACAGACTTCCTAGACCCATGCACACAACTTTGTCTATGCGCGGTGCGCCAGACTGCAGGTAATGCTGTATGATCTGCAGCTGTGCAAGTGTACGCGTCCTGCTGACGCCCAACACGTCGTTGCAAACAGCCCAATTTTGTAGCTTCTGCGTCAACTGGTCGTCTTGATGTGGCGCATGCGAAGTCAACTGCACAGGGGAGCATGCCTTGTGTGGGTCAAACCCATGGTCTGGAGGAGCAATCAAACCGTCTGTGTGACGGGCCTTGATGAGAAGATCCGGGCCCTTGCCATAGCCGTAAGCTGCAATTCGGAGGTAGCTGTTGTACCAATGGCCAGAGTATGTGCGTAGCCCAGGATTGGGGGGATTGACTTCGCCGGTAAGACTGTTGCGTAGCCAGGCTGGAGCCGTGTCTTCGTGCTTGAGTGCAGCTAAGGATAACTCTCCTAAACGCAATTTCGCCGTGTCATTGGAGAGCTGTACCATAAAGTCTCGCGTGTAGATGCCTTCCAAACCGCGAGCTTTCAGGGCATCTTCGAGCGGCTGCAGATCATATCGAGTAGCGCCAGCTTGTATGTCAGCAGATGCCATGTAGATATTGCTCCATGCGCTGAGACACGGAAAAGCGCAGGTGTGTGTAGCGAGAAGAAGGATCGAACTTGGACATCTCAACGCGCGTTGTACGGCGCGTGTGTTCGCAGTTTGCTTCCACTGCAAACAGCTCACGTAGCGTGAGACAGTGTATGGCGGCGGAGGGAGAGGTGGCTTGTTACAATCAGCACGAGTCAGTAAATGGCAGCTGATGGTAGACAGACAATGCCCCAACGCAGGGTCGAAGTCTAGGAAGGAGCGTTTGGCGGTTGAAATTCCGGGAGGCGCGACTGACCAATCAGACTCAACCGCCGTCCCCGCTCGCCCTCATCTCCGAGCAGCCTAACCAAAGCGAGACCGTACACTCGCTCTCCATTCTATTGTTCTGCACAATTCGAACCAAGTGCACGCTCTCAACCCCGGAAAGAGCACGCCGTAGTCATGGCATGGACTAATGACCAGACAATGACGAAGAAGGTACCGGCCAGCGAGTACGCGAAAGCGCTAGTTAAAGGCAACATCCTCCGATGTTTGCCGCTCGAGCTCCGACAGTAAGCAAGTCCGACATCATCACACAATGAACTGACCGCTCTCCCTGGTACAAGTGTCACCATGGCACGCTCGCTTGCAGCATGTTGGCATATGTTTCGCGTTGGAATCGAGCCCAGCCAGCTGACTGCGGAACAGAGAAGTATTCGCGTTCGCAGCTTTCGACTATGTCCGCTCCACCAGCAGTTTGATCGAGGCTTCTGGCATTAGCGAGCGGACTCACGAATGGCTGCCGCCTATGTGCCATGTCAATGACGAATTCTTCCTCGAGAGCTTGCCCATGTTTCTCAAGCACAGTAAGTGGGTCCTTTCATGTTGCTGCTTGCTCGCTGATCGTGCTAGTCGATGTTGTGATACGCGAAGCATATACCGCGTACGGTCTCTACTTCTTCCTACAGGCGACCGGGACATTCAGTTATGTATACTCGTTGAGCTACCACGCCGCCTCGACTCTTACACCCTTCTTCGCCGGCCCGCAGCTGCTCAAAGAGTGCAACAACATCCGCCATGTGTGGCTCAAGTTCAGCAACGATGACTTTCCCTCGATTCACCGGCACAAGAAGTCCAATAAGCCGTTCGAACTTGACAGAAAAGCCTTCCTAGAAAACCATTCTTTTCGCCAGCTTCTATCGCTAAAGCAGGTCGGGAAGGTTAGTGAGCTCTTAGCTCTGCCGTGTCATGCGCTTGGTTCGTCCCCCGAGTCTTGCGCATGTACGCGAACTCCTCGCTTCCTGCCTACTGTTACTGATGCGGTACTTGTGCTCTAGATTACTATCAGTGTCGTTAAAAAGTCAAGGCTCCTTGCGACGACCTCGGATGAGGAGAGGAGAGAAGACGAGAAGGTTTGGGGCATTGTAAGATGGTTGGAGAACAAGTACCTCAGGCGAAACCTTGCTGTGCAGATCGTAAGTCACATATCCATGGTATCACGACCGCCAGCCAGCTGACTTCTGCGGGTCGTAAATGTAACTTACGTTGAGCTGGATGCTTAGGGCATTGTCGGGGTCGGTCAAGAGGATAAAGTTGTTTACCAGGCTTCCTCTTTTCAGATTAGTATTGCTTGACTAACTCTCGGATACCTTTCCGGTTTTGACGTTGCGAAGGTCAAATTACATCGACAGACCTTGGGCAGTGCGTTACCACTCCTACGTGCGCATTAGCTGTCTGATCCATCCTCTTGTTGAAGATGATCACAGTTCCCCCTCGAACATTCCGTTTCCGCACATGCAGACCTTCCTTATGCAAGTCATGCCATACGATGTTACTAACAATAGGACCGCAGACAAGACAAAGAGCCCGCGGTAAGGTAGATTACCGTTACCCGCCCTTAGACCCACATGGCGCCCGTAGGCCTCCCGCTACACGCTTTGGGCGGCTGGACTTCGTGAAGACGCCATTCAATAGTAATCCCGTCGCCATAAGACTGTTCGCTTCAGCCGTCGTCTGCAGCATGCTGATTCCCATTCTCTGGCGGAACGCGGCTAACGCTACATAGCAATATCCTATGTCGAAGTAGAAAGCCGCGCCGACTCGCATTCGTATTGTCAGCTGTGAGTCGTCGACTACGCCCCTCCTTACGCTTACGTCGGCCCTTTGGCGGCTTAAATACTCGATCCAAATGTCTTGCTCGGCGTGCGCGATCTCGTGTACATATCGTGAGCGACCCGCGATCGGTGCTCACGTGCTCACATGAGGAAATTATACCCGATGGCTTTTATTTGCGGACGCGGCGGAAAGAGCAGTTGAGAAACTAAGCATGTAAGCTAATTATGGGGCAGAGATCGGGATCGAATTGCATCGGATAGAACGCGCACCGACAATATCCCACGGGAACTTCGTTGCGGAAAACCCTGCGAAGTTGTTACTCCATTTTCATACGCCCTCTCTGCAGCTGAAAGATTGACGAACGTTACGAAATCTGGGCAAGGCGTTCGGAGGGTCTAGAACACCGGGGTCCAATTCCGCCACGGCTGGCGCAAGCACTCTTAACCCAAATCGGCCCCCTTTGAAAGTTGAGCCACTTCAATACTCACAAAAGAATCCGACGATAGTTCTGTCATCGTCGATGCTCACTTGCCTGGGCGGAAGTCATGTCCTCGGACGCTGGTAGTCGCGCATCGTTCTTCCCCAAAGCCGACGCTGCCGTTCTTCGCACAAGTTACGAACCCCCATCACCGAGTACGCGGCCCGTTGAGGTGGGGCCGATTCTCGATCCCCAAAATGCGAACAAAGCACTTGACGCATGGTCGGCAGCAATAACAAGAGATATATACCCTTCCACTACCGACATCTGGGGCCCGGCACCTATTCCTGACGAGAGCCTAGCGACAACATGTATTGCGGACCGCTACCTCTTCCCTCTTCTGACGCGCAACGAGCGGTTGCGCTTGACCATGCTGTTTTACTACACGCGTGGTATCGTCGAAGATAAGGAACTGATTTCTCGTCTGCAGGAGAAGGTCCATCTCGCCCGGGAAACGGTGGGGTGGGAGTTCGCCATCACGGGCTTGTTGGATCACAATACGTATACGCGCATTGTGACCGTTGGCTTGCCTTTGGCTGTGCTACCGAGACGCGAGAGTACCTGCGCGCACACCGTCAATCAGCCGCCAGGCAAAATATTCAACCTGGCCAATATGGCCGAGGATTGGAGATTTATGGCATCACCGCATGTTGAGCAAGGCGGACTACGTCAGTATAATGTGGACTATATGTACCTGAGACCAGTACTGAATCAGACTTTTTGCAGGGGCATATGCTGGAGTTCCTTTGCGATTTGAGACCGAATTCGGGCAAGAGCAACACGTAGCCTTCGGCTCCCTCTGTGTTGCATCGAACACGGAACAGCCACCGCTCACCAAAGCGGAGCAGATGTCCCTGGCCCGCCTTGCAGATTGGATCGTAGCAGATATCGTACAAAGGTAGAAATAATACCTACGAAGTAATCACAGTATTGACTACTAATCATCCTCCAGTGCGAGAGCACGTCGACAGCGAGAGCGCCGCACAATGATGGAGTTGCTCGCCGTCGCGCAAAAGCAGATTGATGTCGACGGGAATTTTGAAGTCGTTATTCTTGACATGCTTGAGAAGGTTTACCCCAAGGCCGTTGTCAGCATAAATACGTCCATCGATGATCAACTTATCCTGGATGGAGGCACCGAAGTTCCTCTAAAGCAAATCGAACAAGGTCTATGGGAAGACGGCGAATACTTCGATCATCTAATTGAACAGTCCAACCATCTCGATCCAGTCGCTCCTCGAATTGTAAGAGTTGTGGCAGTCCACTGTGCAAGTCAACGCATCCCGACATACCTGGTCGTGGGTTCGAAGGACTTCCGTGTTGTGTTCGATGACGTCGATTCTTCTTTTCTCCATATGGCTGCGGAGATGCTGAGCCGAGGATGGCAGAACCTTGCTCTCAGAGAGGCATTGAGTGCGAAAGACAACTTCCTTCGCGGAATCACGCATCAACTTCGAACACCCATCCATGGGATTCTAGGCTCGGTTGAGCTGCTAGCCGAGGAACTTGGTACACGGGAAACGATATCTCAAATCTCGGGCTCGAGACGAGGTTCCACAACTTCCAGTCTCAGTGGCGACCACACAGATCCGGACACATATATCAGGACAATTCGAAGCTCAGCACACGATTTGATATCCACTGTCAACAGCCTCATTAACTTGAATCGATGGACAGATATCGCACAGGCTGAACGCATTGTTGCACCTCATCATATATACGAGATAGAAACAGCATTGCTGAACGAGGTTCTCCAGCCCCACCTAGACGAAATCTCAAAGAGGCCTTCCATCATGTTCAAACATCACTTCCCTGAGGACTTCGACACTTTAGCTTTGGACATGCGGTTATTCGTCGACTGCATTCAGCCGCTTATTACCAATGCCATTCAAGCAGCCGAAGGTGGTGTCGTTTGCGTTACTACGACCGTCACGGATGAAAACGCAGTTCTGGTTGTGGACATAGAAGACACTGGCAAAGGTATTCCATCGAGTGACCACGAGAGTATTTTCAGGGCCTACGAAAAGGTCAATACGCACACGACGGGAGCGGGACTTGGGCTCACTGTAGCGAGCCGGCTAGCCAGCATCATGAACGGCGTGGTAACACTCGTCAGGTCTGAAATTGGCAAAGGATCGCATTTTAGAGCTACCTTTGATCGCCCAGCCTGGTTAGCAGCGCAACGAAGGACAAGTATCACAGAAACCGTCTTGCTTAGATTTGACGGTCCGATGCACCCGACACCGTTAAGCAGCTTTTACGTTCGTTATCTCCTCCACCGTGGTCATAGCCTGTCAGAAAATCACGACGGCTCGATATACGTCTTCGATCATTCCACCGATTTCCAGCATGAACAGGATCTACAATCTGGAAGGGCGGGTATCTGCCTGATACCAGACTCGGCAAATCATCCTCTGATGCATGACGGCGACCAAATCCGAAGAGACAAGAACTCCATATATGTGAAAGGCCCGTTTCTATCAAGCATACTCGAACAAGCGTGGAGCCAGGCTTACGGTATACACGTCGAGTTGGAAGCCCTGAGGAATGCCTCCACAACGGACGTTCCCCCAGAGGATGCCATCGACGATAACGAGCCCGTGGCCACGTCAGATGACGCTTCGGGCGTTCCGACGACGCTGAGCTCGACATCGCTCGCATCCGGACCGACCTTGCTAGAGACTGCTGACACGCTCGCTATGTCTCTGAAATCATTTCACTTGAAGACGCCCTCGCCAGTCCTTCGTAGGCAGCCGACAAAGCCCACGACCTTGATAGTAGACGATAACGCTATAAACCTCCGCTTTCTAGAAATGTACTGTCGACGCCGCGGCATCCCCCACTCCACCGCAACAGACGGCCTCAAAGCTGTGCGAGCCTTCCTCGACCATCAAACTGCAGCCTTAGCACCTGACTCCGTCGCTACCGCTGTCGCACCGATCGCACTTATCCTTATGGATTTGCAAATGCCAAACTGCGACGGCGTCGAAGCGACCCGACAGATAAGAAAGTTGGAGGAGGCCAATGGATGGCTCAAGACGACCATCGTCATTGTCACCGGCCAGGACTCATTCCAGGACCGGACGCTGAGCAAAGAGGCGGGGGCGGACGACTTTTTTGTTAAACCTGTGGGACCGAAGGTTTTGGATCAGGGTATCAAGGATTGGTTTCCTGAGGCCAAGGTGTGATGTACGACCCTCATAGCCATTTCGTATCATATACCCATGGGCTGCGAGTCAGTCGGTCGAATCAGTTGAAGTATGTTCCACCAGTTGGAGCGATGGAAACCTTCCTATGTTACAGCACTAAGGACATTGCAGCCGTCAATCACCGCTTCGTTCCGTGTTTTGGAACCCCCGAGAGGCCCTAATCAGGCTCTAGACGGGCATCAAGGGCGAAACAAGCGCGGCGTGGGCGTCGAGGAGGCGCAGCTATCATTTTAATGCGACAAAGTCGATACGAGACGGTGGAGAAGCAGATGATTTGAAGAAACGGCGATGGGCCATGCGAGGGGAGGGATGTAGTCCAGATAGATCAGGATGATCAAGGACACACGCGCAAGTCTTGCTCGTCCGACCGAATATAATCTGGGCGCAGCAGGACTGCGTCTCTACCCGTTCGGCCATTGCATAGGAAGAACCATGACATACAACATCATGGATCAAGACAATGGTTATACTCGACGAGTGTCTATAGAAACGAAAGAAAGGTATATTTACAACATTACGCATGAACAGCACGTCTACTCCACCTTTCCGACGAGCATGAAATCCTCCGTCACCGCCTTCCCACTCGCCAACACCGCCGTCTCATCCTTCGTACACGTCTCCATGATGTCCCACACATAGCACTTCGCCGCCTCCTCCGCCGGCGGCATCTCGCTCTCGCTCCACGCAGACACCTCCCCCGCAGACACATACCCTTCCGCCTCCACTGTGCCTGTGGCGACGTCCGCGCCAAACATCACGCGGTTGAAGATGGCGAGCGCGGTCTCGGGCTGGTAGTACGGCACCTCGTGGCCGGCCTGGAAGACACGGGAGAAGGACAGCTTGCCGGCTTGTCGCACTAGGCCGCCGGAGTAGGAGGCGTTGGTCGCGATGGGGGCGTAGCCTGCGGAGGAAAAGCCCGTGGCGCCGTCGGCGAGGGCTTCGCTGATAGCCTCACCGCCCAGCCAGTTGCACTGGTAGTCTCTGTCGCCATAGACGAGGGCGACGTTGGCGCCTTTGTGGAGCAAGTTGCGCAGCGCAGCGAGCCCGTGGCCGCGGACGAAGTCGCCCGTCATATAGAAGCCCTCCGAGATGGGTACCGAGTTTCCGGTGAAGTTGAGCGGGACGCCGAGCGCGGCCTGCACCTCTGCGCTGTTGAGGTACCCGGCGGGGGTCTTGGAGGGGAACGCGATGGGGTACTTGGGCGCGGCGATGTCGAAGTAGTTGACGCTTGCGTTGTAACCGTCGTGCAGGGCGGCGAAGCAGTACGAGTAAGCTGTGAGGCAGGCTTTGTTGACTTCGGCCACGTTTCCGTAGCCCTGTGGGTCGTGCGCGTCTGCGAGAGTCACGCAGGTCGCGCTGAGGTTGCGGCAGGTCGGCAAAGCTGCGATGGCGGATTGGTAGTAGGATTCGTTGATGGCTTGGATCCCGTAGGTATTGTTGAAAGCAAACTCTGGATAGAAGGGGGTTTGGATGCTGTGGTCGATGCAGGCATTCACCAGGCCGACGGTGTCGATAGGGATCTGGATCTCGGCTTCCGAAGTGCAATTCTTAGCGGCGAGGCGCTCGTTTTGCTCGGCGAAGTAGTTTGCGTACGCGGGAACGTAGTGTCCGCCGTACGACTCTCCCCAGAAGCTGATGCTGTTGGTGGGGGACTTGTATTCCGGGAATCTAGGGCTGCGTTAGGGTTTTACGTGGTGTAGAGGAAGGCCCTAACTCACTCTTGGATCCAGGCCTGCATAAACTCCCACATGACGGGAGCACCGGCTATGGTTGTGTTCCACGCTTTGCTCTTGTCTTTCGAGCCGAATGTGCCGGTGAGGAACGTCAGGTTCGTCTCCGGGACACCATCCGAGAAGTCTGCGGGCTCGAAGTTAAAGGGCGTCTTCACCAGATCGATTGTGCCATTCGTAAGTGTATCATACGAGAAGCCGACTTGGATCGGCTGGTCGAGGTACAGCATGTTGACCTTGTCGTTCCAAGACCATGGGTTGTTCTCCGTCGACCTGGAGTCGTCGAGGACCTTGCAGGGTCCGTTCTCGCCGAGGGCTGCCGTAATAGAGGGCACGCCAGGGCCACCCTGAAGCCAGACGGAGAGGGGAGCTTCATTGGAACTGTTACGAGCTTCGAAAAACCAAAACCACATATTACTTGTGTAGTTGCGGTTATATTCTGGTGCTGGTGGGAGGTGCACATAACCGCTGTAGCCTTTGACACCTTCGCTGGTCTCGCATATTGTAGTCTTCAGCTGTCAGCGTCTATCTTGGATGAGGAGGTTCGGTTGACTTACCTCTTTATAAGAGATTGAAACACCTGCAAACTTCTCTGACTTGACGATCGTCAAGCCTTCAGGTGTCGGAGGAAATGAAGCTGCCGATGCACTGAGAGCAAGCTGAGCAACAGCCCAGAGGCTTCGTGAAAGAATGGCCATTTTATATTACTAACAATCAGGATATACAGAGCAGGAAACTGGGTATCTAAAAGAAATCGAATGATAGAAGTCGAAACTCTGCGATGAGATGAAAGATGAAACCACCACGATACTCTGCTGAACTCTTATAACCATCCTTTCGTAATCCAACTTAGGGGCCATCTGTAGTATCGCACGAGTCTTGGTGATGCGCGGTGGGCGCAGTGACCGGATACGGAGGCCAGTAACCGCGTTGCACTACTCCGACCGTATCGCTTAAGTACGACATCGGCCCTATCCTAGTCCGTGCAGGTCAACTTTCCACGCCCACCATGCCAAACCTTCTTTAGCATCGCAGGTAATCCTGCCTTGTCGTTGCCGTCAAGGCTGTTCCCTGCCTGAAGGACCAGCTTTTCATTTCTCAGAACCGCAGTGACGCTACGCTTGCGGTTACGAATGATGTGCACTACGGAACTGTCTTCCGCAGCGGAGACGAGATCTTGAAACTTCTTGTCTGGCATAGGTCCGTCGCGTATGTAAGACCAGAGACCGAATATGACGATCACCAGACTGGAGATGTTGGCTAGGACATAGGGGATAAACAGGCCGTGCGCCTTGTACGCGTAGCGGTTTACCTGCGTGGTAATGTTGACAGGGACTACCTTGCGGTGCCTAAAGCGATAACCAGTTAGCTGCGTAAGTAAGGCGTTCGTGCGGATTGATTTACGTTAAGAGTGGATCCCACATCAGTCCGACACTGATGTTGAAGCTTAACTCTTCAATTAGCACATCTAGTGTCCTGTTCTTCGCCATCGCTTTGTCCATCAAGCGCTGGTCACTGAGAGACCCGTTACCCTCCGGTTTACTGTAGAGTTTATTCGCCTCATCCAGGTCAAAGAAAGCATCGAGGTCCAAGCTCCCTAAGAGGCTGGTGCGCGAGATCGGCGACTGAAGCACGCCAAATTGTGCCGCACCTGACGGTGATGATAATGAAGAGTTTTGGCTCCAAGCAGTATTGTTATACCACGAGAACTTTCCGACCAGCTGATCACATAGTGCCCACATGAAGGCCGTGTAGGCGTGCTGCGCCATATTTGAGATCGACGTGGAATTGTCTCGAGGATAATGGACCTGCTCGTTGATCGTATAAGATTTACTGATATTTTGAAGGCCAAGATCTCGTGCAATGCGTAAGTTATATGTAGCGTTGTGCAATTTGCAGACCTGATAACGGCGTTCAGTAACCCGTTCACCCGATTTGATAACGGGCCGGAGAAAGGTCATCCAAAGCTCATTCGAAGCGTTCGATCGCGTTTGGAGCCGCGGCGTTAGAACTGGATACAGGTCGCCTGTCTCGTTATAGCTGGGTATAAATGCATAGTATACACTGTCTGTCTCAACGACTACGCCATCGCCAATTGCCATATCTTGCTTGCGAAAGGATTCTATCAGCTCGACGGCAGTAGTGTTGGCGTCCAGACACTGCACTATGGGCGCGTGGAACTCGATCTCATGGCTGGAGGTTTGGTACGGCAGTTTGATGGGAAGGATCTCGCCGAGGGATGCAGTGGCGCTGGCAATTAAAGAGACTATCGTTCTTGGGCCAACAAAAACTCGACTCACGTCGTCCACAAACTGAATCCTACCGCGACGAGCCGGCGGTGAGTAAGAGTAGGTGGAGCCAACACTAGGGGTAGCGTTTGCGATATGTGGAAATGGCATGAGGCCATCGATGCTCTCCACATTCAAGCTTTGGTACACGAAAAGTGTCGCTGGAGTGAAGAAGGGCGGAAGAAGAAGGCCCCTGTTGATGATTAGTTCCTTCCGCGCGGCAATTGCCAACAGCAAATGGAGAATGTGTACCATGCAAAAGCTGCCATCACAGATCCAATCCGCAGCTTACGCAGCATCTCCAGATTCAGCAGCGAGAGCACCGAAGTATCGGCTCCAAAAGCTGCATTCAACCCTCCCACGGTCATTTCCTTCCTTTTCACCGTACGCCATAGCCACTGAGTGTAGCTTGCCCAAATCGCTGCACCGAGGCTGATCTGGGCTATGAACGAGAAGGCAGTACCGAATCTGGTCAGAGAAATTAGCGACTGTGACAACCCTTGATGGTGATAAAACTTGCCTGATCTTCTCTTCCTGCGCATCTGAGTTCCCCACGACCTTTCCTTTCAAGCTAGGATAGAAAATACAATGCGCAAGACTCATCGCCAACCCAACAAGAAAGAATACAACCATCATGATTGGCGACTTCCAGCGATGGATGCGGCGTTCTGGCCAGCCCTGCTGCAAAGGCGCCGGAAGCTGAAAAACCGCTCCCTTGGCAGGTACGTCGGTAGCATCGGGTGCGATGGCTGGTGTTGAAGAACTGCTACCGGGGGCGACGTCTGTTATAGAGAATTGTAGCTGTTTCCCATCGTTGGTAGGATTAGTATGCACGGCGACCACACTATCTGAACGTCGCTGAATGGCTTCCATTGTAGCAGACGTGTAAGGATTCAATTATACAGTATCAGACATGACAGTCAAAAGACTCAGTGTGGGTCTTCTGTCAAGTTATACACGTCTGCAGTGTGCGTGGTGTTGCTTCAGGCTTGTGTATCATACGGGAACCAAGAACCCAGATTGGTTTGGTGCCAACGGTTGATGCATGAATGATTGTGGCGCGGCGATACGACTTTCCCCAAAACCAAGGCAACATACTTCCAGCCTTGTTACTGCCGACGATCGTAAAGTATGCTGAAAAGCGCCCTGCAAGAAAATTAATGACATTATCCTTCAATTATAAGATTGATTTCCCTGCGAATTTGACGGCCCTCGCGGCGTTTCGAGCTCATCGAGATTCAGTAGTGGTCCGCAAAGTCTTGGGGTTCGCCATTTGCGCGGACGAGGTCGTACCAGTAGGTCAACAAGGAGAGGCCGCTAACACGCACTCCGCCACCGCCCTCGCATACCATCATCAAGCCCGCACTGTAACACTAGTATTAGCCGCAGAATCGTATCAGTAGAGCGAGGATGAACGTTACCATACGTAGCCAATAAGCAACGCTACACAGAAAACGTGCTATGGATATGTCTGTTGCCTGCGCTTGATCTAGGCTGCATGACAGTCCTCTCGTGATGGCGAAACGGAAATATACAGGCAGCGTCTGGCACTTGGCGGTCAGGCGATGGAGCCATTGATTGCATGTGAACGGGCGAGAAAGTGATCGAATCTCGAAGCCTTGCCTTTCTGGAGCACCGGTCAAGATATTGATTAAAGACCATCGCGATATTAGGAAACGAGTTTGGCTTTCCACAAATGTAGATGGTTTTCATGGAAGTCATGGTGACGCCATCGGAAAACCCTATGGCAGTATACTACTCACAGCAAAAATTCCCAGTGAAATGAAGTGAAGTAAAATATGCGCATGGTATATTCTGCTCTCGTCACCCGCCAACACTCCCTGGGATCTCTAATACCACGACCAATCCTTCCCGCACAAATGACAGCGGCATCAGCACCACCGCGATACACACATCCACCACAACGCCGACAATGCTCATACACCCGGTCAAGAACGCCATAGCTATGCAGGTCACCTACGCTTGAACGCCAAGACAGTCCCTAGCCGCCATTAAGAGGCGAGAAACCCAAGAAAACCTCCCAGTGCAGAAACAGCAGAAGGTGCTGAACCCACTCACTCCTTGATCTGCGCCTTCAGCCCCGCAACCTCCCTTTTCAACCTCGCATTTTCCTTCCTCAGCCTCGCAGTTTCCTCTTCGCTGGCTTTGAGTCGGCGATCAACCTCCTCGCCACCCTTACCCCTGCGCACGCTCTTCTCCACCTTCTCCAGCTCCTCGTTGAACCTCGCATACAGCGCCTCGTTTTCAGCATTGCTGTCGCGGTACAGCTTGTCAAGATGTTTCGCTCGCCTCTCGGAGACCTCCAGCGATGTGGAAACATCCTGGGCGATGGTCGACGTCCGCGTTGACAAGGTGTCGAGGGTGGTTTTGACCGACACTTCGAGGGCTGCGATGCGACGCTCGAGAGCCTTAGTGGAAGGAGCATCGTGGAGACCAGGTGGAAATTGCGCAGTAAGGCGGGGTGTGCGTGCGGTCAATTCATGGCCAATCGCACTAAGCTCAGATTGCAGATCTCGGGATGCGCTTTCTATATCTCGTTGTTGAATTTGGAGACGCTCGCGCAGCTTCTGGGGGCTCTGCATCTTCAGCTTCTTGGTAGGGCTCGTCTTGGAAGGGCTCATCGGGATGCCCGTTTTGGTGGGAGAGCGTGGGGTGGAAGGGACTTTGACAGTGTTCCCGGATGTAGGACGCTCAGAAAGACCAGCAGCAGGCTTGAGCGTGGGAATTGCAGATACAGACTCGCCGCGCTTCTTGGTAGGTCGGAAAGTCTTAATGGTGACAACCTCGTCTTGCGAAACAGGACGAAGAGAACCCGCGCGTTCACGCCCATTTACAGGCGTATTTTCTCTCCGCATGGGTGATCCTAGACGCGGCGGCATGGGTGGAATGGGTGATCCCAAGCGTGCTACAGGCGAGCCTAGACGTGCCGGCGCAGGGATCGACGACGGCTTTGCTGGTGATCGGGAAGGTGTGCGCGGCGATAGGGGCTCCTCGCTAGCTTGTCTGGGTTCACGCTGTGGAGAGTCGGGTCCACGAGGAGTCTGCGAAGACCACGTAGGTGCATCATTAGCATCCTGCAATGTCTTCAAGTCACTGAGTGAAGAGCGGCGCTTCTTGCGGGGAGGCCCAGCATTGGAAGGTACCTCTCGTTCTCCTATAGTGCCAAGTGCACCCAGAAATCCCCGTCCGGCAGGGCTCACATTGCCGCCCTCAAAGGGAAACGCGCCGAGTACTGTGGGACGATCGCGAGAAGACGGTCGTTTGGGGGACAAGCGCATCGCTGCATCAGTAGAGTTAGAACGACCAAGAGAGGCTGGCCCAATCTTAGACGCACTGCTCGATTGACCGTCAAGCCCGTGGCTGTTCTTGCTCAATGACCGCCACAAGGATCCCACTGTGGATTCCTTCTCGTTCTTGCTATCCTGGCGTGTCAAGGTGGCAAAGCCAAACCGTTTCCTGAGAGATGTGTTGGAAGTGAGGGACCCGGTGGCCGCGGACCGAGTCCTGGAGTCCATGGATCCAAAGTTTGGTGTGTTGTAACCACTTTGTTGCTCTGGAAAAAGTACGCCTATGTCTTGGATGAACCGATCGACCAAGGAGATAAAATCGTTCGCACTTCCTTCGGCGACCAAGATCTCAGCAAAAGCAGCGGTCAGGATGCCACGGTCACCGTCGTTGCCCATACCGTCGAGGAGTTCGGCAAGCAGTTTGATAATGGCTCGGAGTGCGCGCTGGTTCTGAGGCGACAGCTCACTGTATGTCGTGCGGAAGAAATCTTCGAACTCTCCAGGATACATGCTGTCCGACTTCATCTGCAATGAAACTAAGGTAGCATGAGCTAAAACTGGTCCCATCTTCTCTTTCCAGGCGATGTTGAGGAATTTCTCAAATGCTGCAAACAGAACGTCAACAGAAGACTGAGACGGTACATCGAGATTAGAAGGGTTCTCTAGCAAGGAGTTGTACAGCTCGTTGACTAGGAGCTCGTCCGCCACAACCCTGGCCCGGACCGATCGTCCGACAATGTTGCCCTTACGAGCGTGCAACGCAAGTATCAAGGTCGCCAGGGTCTCCTCTAATTTTGCGAGCGAATCGGTAGGTGAGGCATTGGAATTGAACCCAATCGTCTTGTTGGAAGATGTGGGTCGAGATAGTTCGCCATCGCGGCTATGGGTACGCGTGGGGTGTAGTGGTGGAGGGGCAATCTTTGGGATATCACCCATAGAGACTGGGTTCCTTTGCAGCTTTTTAGGACCTCCTTCTCTGACGCTGCTGCCGAACAAACTCGAAAGCATTTTCACTGGCGAGTGGGGGCGGCCCTTTTCGTCGTGTGCCTCAGTGATTTCTCCAAGCTGAAGTTTGAGAGATTTGAGTATCTGCCGGTTCCGGAAAAGGTAGGCTTCGGCCAATGCAGGATATTTGATGTTGTTACGCGATTGGAAGAAGTTCCCAAGACGTTTAGTCAAGACTGGAAGGAATTCCACGCTGGTCAGCTTGTCGCGCGCACTATAGCCATTGTTGCCGTTGAACTCCAGTTGGTAGAATTCATTTCCTTGGATAGAAATAGAGACTGTCAGTTCAACAGCACTGTGTTTGACTGGCTGGACAGGTTGCGCAGCGTCAGCCATGTTGACAATAACCTGTACCTTTGCAGGCTCTCTCCGGCCCTCGACATCTTGTCCCGCACGGTCCTCAGTCACAGCAGAGAACATGTTCAGATCGCCGGTTAAGCTGCGGACTTCCCACATGTGGCTCTCACGCTCGGTTTCGGGAAACCTGCCCTCGACCCTGGCTTTCGTAATCTCCTCTACGCATTTTTGTGCTTTCCCTTCGTATATGCCTAGCAGATAGAACATCCGGATGCCAAGGACCTGTCGATCACGGCTTCTTGGGCGACCTGGCTGACTTACGGTTGGAGTCGGCGAGATCATTTGCATTATGTTGCCTTCGGAGTGTTCACTGAGGAAGACATCTGAAAGTTTCAATTGCTGGTGGAAGATGAGCTCTGATGATCCGACGTCAGCGACAGTGAACTTAGGGTCGTCCAAGTCTGCCATCAAGCTGCGTGCCGTTGTTGGGCAACCATTGGGTTTATGGAGCATTATCAAACTGTCGGCAAAGAGTAAAAAGATGCCAGCAGTGGTCGAAGGTCCGTGTAGCTCTCCATGATAGGGCGGCGACAACTCCACGAAATCGATGGCTGTGATCAATCGAGTTTGCGGGACGCACGTCGCTGGCCATGAGAAGACCATCTTACGCAGGCGATCGAGGATCTTGATCTGCTGCACGGATGGCCCCTCACGAGAGCATATCTCTGATATGATGTCTCGCGCCTTGAGGAAGACTTTGATGGCTGGATGTCGCATGGGTAGTTGTTTGATGATGTTGTCGATGTATAGGTTGTAGCGCGGCAGGCGCTGCACAGGTTCGATTAGCATGGACATCAGCCGTTGTTCTCCAGTCTCATACACTCGCTTCGAGAAGCTGGAGTTGATGTCTTTGGTAAAGCCTTTCAGCAGTTGCGAAAAGTCGGCGTGAGCTGCCATGTAGTCTGAATAGCAGTTGCCAAACCGCGGGAACCATTCCACCAACGCCTTCGCCACTGCTAGAGCACCCGTAACGTCGGCAGGGTCCTTTTGACCTCTTAGTGGCGCAACAAAGATGTCATCTGTAGCTTGTTCGATGTCTTGTATAGCATCGTTCTCGGTGTCCTCCAGCACGGTGCGTATGACGTCCAGAAATTGCGCATTCACATCGAGAATAGCATCCAGGCTCGGAGGAAACAGAGCTTTCAGAGCTTGCTCGTTTGGACTCGTGCTGGAACTGCTTTTTTGCTTCGCTTTTTGCCGAAACTCTACTGCGACGGTGTTGACCAACTCATACACTTTGCTGACATAGTTTTCTTCAGTGTCAAGAAGCTCGCACATCTCTCGACGCAGGTTCTCCTTTTGGTTCCTCGAGAAGGCTTGCGATTTGTTAAGTGCTGTCGGCTTTGACGGCGCGCGTCGCAGTCTCGATGTCGGAATGAAGGCAGCCTCGCCAAGCAGCTTCACAACAGGTGCGTAAGAGCCATAACGGTGCTGAAGAACATCATCCTCGGACTCGTCGAACTGGGCCGACTCCCTCGCATTGTCCAGCTGCTTGATGCTTCCGTGCGGTAGCACCACGTCCAGGTCCAGCCACGGGAGGGTCTGCTCTCCTAGAGCATGGCGTACATCGACAATGACATCTGCGGCATTTTCGACTCTGACCATGCGCGCAGCCACAATGGCGGCGTGCGACTCGGAGAAGAGTGTTGGCGCCGAAGGCAAGCGCGTAGCCGACGCGTACTGCCTCTCCCAGGCATTCTTGACGTCTTGCGGGAGCTCGACAAAATACTTGTAGAGGCTGAAGGCGAGGCCGCGGCATATCTCGTCGCCCTGTTCCTCGCGCGGCAGGCAGGCCACGGCTTGGTAGTAGGGAGCGGTCGGCGAAATAATGAGTCGGGCAAAATTCTGGAGCCCGGCGGGAGTGAAGACGTGGGCTTGGATGCGCGAGTGGGTCGCCTGTGTGGAGGTGGAGGTCGGCCCGTAGAAGACCAACACGGGCGAGTTGGACAGCAGCTCGTCGGTCGTGTAGAAGAGCGACAGATCGCTCGCCGAGAGCGCCGCCGGCTCCGGCGTAATGGTGACCATGGCGGCAGACGGGTGCAAACGAGCGACGAGGGCGGGAATGCGAGCGCAGGTTGCGGCGGAGCAGGCTCAAGACGGCCGCGATGGCATGTTAGGGGAATTGTCGAGGGGGTGCAGCGAGCGCGGAAACGGACAGGACGCAGCGGGCCATGCAGTGGTGGTGGGCGTCGGGTGCTCGAGTCGCGTTGTCGGAGCTGCTGCAGCTGGCCGCTGATGGTAAACAAGCAAACAGCCGCAAACACGCAGACGAGGCGGTTGCAACAGACGCGCCAGACCGGACGTGACTGCCCACAGCGGCCGAAACAAGCCCGCACCAGAGCGGGCCAAGCGGCAGAGCTGCTGCTGCGCGTCGGATTGAAACGTGCGACGTGCGACAGCGGCAAGCTGGGGTCTTCCTTGCCTGTTCGCGCGCGATAAGGCGTGGTGGGCGTGTGTTTCTGGCCGCCGGCTTGCGTCGTCGCGCCCTTGCAGCAGCGCGCCCCAAGCGCGCGCGGGCGGCCGATCAGCGGCACCTCCGTCCGCCCCGTCCCCGCAAACAAAGACCTTCACGCGTGCATCCGCCGCGCCTGGACGAGCCACCCGCCCATCCGTCCGCCATGGCCACGCAGCAAAACGAGGGGGGCGTGCCCTTCGCCGTGGCCCACGACTTCAAGAGCTTCCGTCTGCTCGAGCTGCCCCCCGAGCTTGTCCAGCTGCTGGAAGCTCCAAACCCGCCCCAGTACGTGCCTCGTCTTCCTGCCTCACGCCGTCTCAACAAAGGACGGCACCGTGCTAATGCAGCCCTAGACTGTCCATCAAGTCTCTCCCTCCGGCTGCGTCTGACAGGCCCAATGCGCAGCCCGCATATGCAGTGCTCTGTACGCCCACCAAAAGCTTCCAGATACGCCAGGTGCAGACGTCCAACTCCGTCTTCGTTACCCAGCCCACGCTCGACGCCCATGGCAACGACATACCCGTGCCAACCACATGCGCAGTCGCTGCGTGCACAGCAACCCTAGAACTGCACCCCGCCGACGCGTCTGCTGTGGCCTACCTGGAAGATGCGCTGCCAGTGTACGACATCGTTGGCGGGGAAGTCGATACTACTCACAACGGCAAAAGCAAAGCTGCTGTCTTCTCCGACATGCCCTTATCGAACGGACAGTGCGAACAGGGATGGTCTGAGGTCGTGGCATTCGAGTTGTCTGGGTCCTCGTACCGGCCTTCTGTGAACACCTTGCGACAGGTCTGGTCCTCGATCAACGCGGCCGCCCTAGCAGAGGGCATGAAGCTGGACAGCCAATTCCTGGGCTCTGACCTGGCCGAATTGGTTCGCGAAGAGGGCTACCCTGCCTCACTGGCACAAGCCATCTTCGCGCATCTAGCTGCCGCCGGGCAGGACACAAGCGGACAGTGGTCATGCCTGCACCGGGCGAAGGTGGTGTCGTTTGTTGGGAGAATGCTGTTGCAGGCGAAACAAGGTTCTTCCGGACATTCGATCGCCGACTTTGTGGAGGAGTGGAAGGACTCTCTGCCAGAGGCATGGCGGGGCGACGCCGATTTGAAGGCGATTGACGGCGCCTATGACAACCCTACGGCAACCACGATAGTTGCAAAGGCCAATTCTGCATCTGCCACACCGGAGTCTGTACTCCCGAAGGCTACCGCTGCTAAAGGGAAGTGGCATGAGAGATTTGCAAAGACCCGGAAGAAGTAGACGCCCGACCTCCGAGATGGGTGAAAACAACTTACACGGCCAATGTATGGGTATGAGCCTCAAGTGCTCTCATGATGCCCCCGTGAGTATGTATAAGCAACGTCCAAGATGCCGATGCACGTGATTCGCCATCGGGTCCTCGGAGATGCGCTATTCCGGCTTTGAAACCCGCCCTCGCCTTCGGTCAGCTAGATTTCTGACGGCGCGATTGGGCCGACGAGTCGACTAAAATCCCAAAACCTCGCAGTCCGAACAACAATCCTGTACATATTGCGATCTAGGCTGCAGACGCTTTCCTAGATCGCCCGCACCTTGGGTGTTTATGAGCTTTTCCCGCGCATTCAGCCCAGTCAACCGCGCACTGCACCGAGTTATTGCCAGAGGTTCTGTGCCACCGCGTATCTTCGCCCCAGCAGCAACATCTATTCGCACATTCAATATCAGCCCACCTATCCATAACGCAACCATGGCGTCCGACACCTCAGCCTCCACAAAACCCGCAGAGGAACCCCTGCCCAAACTCACTCCCGCACAGTTCAGAATCTACAACTCCATGGCCGAGCACATGGAATACTTCCACAACCACTTCCGCCACACCTGGAACACAGTCTACAAGGCCTGCGAAACAAACAAGCGACCCGCCGGCATGTCCATCCGGCAGTTCCTAGCCACGCTCGAGCAGTTCTGCGGCCAGCTCACCATGCACCACACCATCGAGGAGCAGCACATCTTCCCCGTCCTCGCAAAAAAGATGCCTGCATTCCGCGAAGAGCTGGAGCTACTCACGCAGCACAAGGGGATCCACGATGGGCTAGAGAAGCTGGAGGAGTATGTGGCGGAGTGCAGGACGGGGGAGAAGGAGCTGCAGATGAAGGAGGTCAAGCGGATAATGGATGGGTTTGGGAAGGTACTGTGGAGTCATTTAGATGATGAGGTGAAGCAGCTAGGGGCGGAGAATATGAGGAAGTTTTGGACGGAGGCGGAGATGAAGAGGATGCCTATGTAAGGTGCTGGAAGGGATGATGAGTGGATAGAGTGATACCCTGGGCTCGAGCACATATATGAGTCTTGACGCCATGATCTAAAGAATCAAACATTTCTATGTACAAGCACAACCAAGCATACCCTGGTGACTTCATTGTGTACAGAAATGACTAGGCCTGCCTTACTTGTCGCATCACGTGAGAGGGCACTGACGCACGCCAAGCTCATGTGAAACCAATGCGGTAAGCGCAGCCGGTCCTCGTGGACGATCGTTCTGCGTATTCACACACTCGATTGGGTGTTTTGACGGCTACACTCCGTACGAGACCTTTACAAGCTGACTCTTCCGACCTGGTGTCTTTGGGCTGGAGTGGAGCTCCTTCACCAAGCTACTCCAAGACAATCACAACCAATTTCCGCCTCAACGCCCCAGACAGCTATTATGCGAATGTGCTCATGACCCATGCTTCTTGTTACTTTCAACAACTGGCCCCCACTAGATAGTTACTCTGGGAATCATGGAGAGGGAGAGACATGGAGGTGACATATACGACCCGCTCGGCGCGCACCCAGGATCAGCAAGGGTACGAGGCTCCAACGAGAGCTTGACTGATATTCCCGAGGATGTGGAACAAACCTCAACCACCATCGGAAGTCCCGAGATAGCGGCCAAAGATGGTGCCCCCACGCTCGACTTCATTCCAGCGGAGGATGTCGAGCAGGTGCCAGGAATGCCACGAGGCGACACAGAGTCGATGAATTTTGATGGAGAAGATGAGAATCCTGCTGTTCCGGAGCTATTCCAGCGATCTTCAAGTCCTTCGAACATGCACAAGCAGAGAGGCGCCGCATACGAAAAGGTTGGGGAGGAAGGCATCAACCGGATGCATAAATTCTACCTTTACGAAACGAGCACCCGGTTCTACCTTATCGGGGCGGACCTCTTAGACAAGCATTACAGAGTGCTGAAGATCGATCGAACAGCGCCACCGGGACATCTGAGTATCTTTGAAGATGACATCGTGTACGACAGAAAAGAAATGAACCATCTACTGAACGCGATCAACGACGGGAACAAGGCCACAGGAGGCGTAAAGCTCAAGTGTAGCGCATGGGGGCTCATGGGCTTCGTTCGCTTCACAGAGGCTTATTACATGATTCTAATTACCAAGCGCGCGCAGGTTGCCATGCTGGGAGGCCATTACATCTACCAGGTTGATGGGACAGAGCTGATACCTCTCACGACTGGCTCTTCATCCCGTTTTCAAAAAGATAGGAATCCGGAGGAGGCTAGATACTTGAGCATTTTGAACAACCTCGACCTAACGCGCTTCTTCTACTTCAGCTACTCATATAACATCACAAGAAGCCTTCAGCAAAACATCATCCGTGAAAGACATGCCTTCAACCAGGGGCTGAAACACCCAAATCGAGATTACCAAGATATATTCGTCTGGAACCACTACCTTCTCGAGCCGGCCCGCGAAGTGTTGAAGAATGTCTATGACTGGTGCCACGCGGTAATACATGGCTCCATCGATCAATCGTCGCTCGATGTTTTCGGACGTAGGATCTACATCACGCTCATGGCGAGGCGGTCGAGATTTTTTGCAGGCGCACGTTTCCTGAAGCGTGGCACGAACGATTTGGGCTATGTCGCGAATGACGTGGAAACCGAGCAGATCGTTTCAGAAGCACTCACCACGTCCTTCCATGCACCAGGCCCACGGCTGTGGTCGAATCCTACTTATACTTCATATGTGCAGCACCGCGGTAGCATACCGTTGTATTGGACGCAAGACAATACTGGGGTCACGCCCAAGCCAGACATAAAACTCAACCTCCCAGATCCTTTCTATAGTGCTGCAGCGTTGCACTTCGACGACCTGTTCGAGCGATACGGTGCCCCAGTATACGTACTGAATCTGATAAAGCAGCGCGAAAGGACGCCGAGAGAATCTAAGCTCTTGCACGAGTATAAGCGGGCTATAGAGTATCTCAACCAGTCTCTTCCCAAAGACAAGAAAATCATATACGAAGCTTTCGATATGGCAAGGGCATCAAAAACGCGAGGTCAAGACGTTATTCTCTCCCTAGAGCACCTGGGTGAGAAGGTCTTGCGCCAGACCGGCTTCTTTCACAACGGCGACGGTGACTTCGACGCTCCGCAAGTGCAGAATGGAGTCGCTCGAACGAATTGTATCGATTGTCTGGATCGGACAAACGCCGCACAATTTGTCATCGGGAAACGAGCACTCGGACGACAGCTGCAGGCTCTCGGTGTGATTTCAGGCAACACGGTCGAATATGACAGTGACTGTATCGACAACTTTACTCACATGTTCCACAACCATGGAGACGCGATCGCCATGCAATACGGCGGTTCGCATCTCGTCAACACGATGGCCACCTACCGGAAGATCAATCAATGGCAAAGCAGCTCACGAGATATGGTAGAGAGCTTCAAACGCTACTACCACAACTCTTTTCTCGACTCGCAACGTCAGGAAGCCTGCAATCTGTTCCTTGGCAACTACATACATGCAGAAGGGCAACCTATGCTATGGGATCTACAGACCGACTACTACCTTCATCACGCCGACCCCCGGTTCTGGCTTGAGAATCCACGCAGGGACTACATAAGCTGGTTTACTCCCCATTTTCTTGAGCCTCGCTCCTTGCCACCTTTCTTGGTGTCTCACAAAGATCACAAGCAGCTGGTGCGGAGCGGCACGGCTAGACGTGACGACTACTGGCTGGAATACTATCGCCCGTTAGCCGTAACATCGTTCCTAAAGGTATATGCTTTCCGCCTGAATTGTCCACCAACAAAAGAGAAGGATACTTCTTATCCGTCACGACTGCAGGATGCCTCACCTTTTGTCGTTCGTAGGAAACAACAGGAGCAGACCACCGTGGCCAAAGACAACAAAAAGCCCGCTCGTAAAGGCGTGACAATCCTGGAGCCTTCGAGCGACACCGAGTCGCGTCATAGAAACAGTTTTGCGCGGCGCCGCTATAACATGCATTTGCATATTCCAGAATCCGGTTTCCCAGCCAAACAGTCCATCTTGCGCGATCCGCACTTCGAAACCCAGATGCCGGCGTCTGCACCTCCGGAGACAATGACTTTCCCGTCCATGGACAACTCCAGCTCTACTGGCTTCACGTCAAACCTCAACACGAAAGGCTTCAAGCCGGCAGACAAGGCGCTCATACATCAATGGACGCTCGCGCAGTTCCACGAGAACAGCCTCAACCCCAGCGTCACATCTACAGAAGAAGAAGAATACGAACGCTACATCGGACACCCTCTCAACCTCCCTCTCGTTGTAAGCAACGAAGCCCCAGTAGCCGACGACGCCACCGCGCTAGAATACCTAGAGTACCTCGACATGTCCGAGGGTGGCACCCAGCCCGCGCAACCAGACCAAGATTCGGACAGCGAAAGCTTTTACTACGTCCCGCTATCGAAGAGCCAGACTGCCCCCGCGCACCACCTCCGCCTCGATACCGACGTCGCATCTATCCGCTCCCTCCCCCTGCGTCCCACATCGTCCGCCTCCTTCACCTATCCGCTCACACCCTTCTCGCACCCCCACGCACACAAGGGCTTCGTGCACAACCTCCACAACTACAACCAAGCCCACCAGAACACCTTCTACCCCGAATTCGCCGAACCCACGAATCTTCCCGCCGATGACCCCTCATCCCAGAACACCGCAACAGCCGGCTCAGGGAAATTCCAAACAAAGGAAGAGGATATAGAGGAGTTTGAGGAGTTCTTGCATGTGCGGGACAACCCGCTAGATGTGGAGGAGGAGGACGGCGGCAAGAAGCGGTACAAAGCGTATCGGCAATGGTTAAGGGGGAAGAGTTTTTTCAAGCAGAGTAAGGTGGATCCAGAGTGGATGAGCCAATTGCCTGTTAGGTAGAGGGTTGAGAACGAGGCGTGTAGCTTTTTGGGGGGGGGGAAAGGGAGGAAGTATGCGATGGGCAGTTGTATGGATGAATTACTAGCGCCTTGATTCTTTGGTGGGTGGGTAACGCCTGTTGCGGTGACAGGTATAGTGTAATGTAACTACCTACCTTGCTAGCCCGGACACAAGAAGACAACCACATGTGCATAGCACCAATGCAGCGACTGGACTGCTATTCCGCAAGCTGTTCTCAGCTCTGTACTAACACGGCCAGAGTCCATGCGCAGCATTTCGTAATATTCTCCGATCCTAACATACTTTCTTAAAAAAAAATCTTAACCAGAAGCGCTCACCTCATTACTATTCCTCCATACTTCTAAGCAGCGAGCAAGAAGTCCGTGCATTTGTAACGTCCGTTTGAATGTCTAATCGACTTTCGTTCGCCGCAGAGCCACGCCGTCGTCAAACGGATCGATCGAGCGCCATTCTCGACCGCGACATCCATGCGGGCTGATGAATGTGGCGTTGGGGGTGGATACGGCGTATGCGACTGCGCACAGGAGGGAGGAGGGCATGAAGATGGTGGATACGTGATGAAGAGGGCGAGGCGGATGAGGGCCCAAGAGGGGAGCGATGAAGCAAGGGACGAGAAGGAAACGCAACAAGGAGAACCCCAGTGAGAAGAAAGAAGTGGCGGAGGACGACGTCACATGAGGTCAAACAGTCAAACCTCTGCAATGCTCATGCAATTATTGCCGTGATATGTACTACTCATGTCGTCGTAGCTGTCGTCTAGTGATCAGTCCAGCATTCCAAGTACCCCGAGCTAGATAAGACGTCTCTTAGTTTGTGTCCATCTCGTCGTCATCCTCGTTTTCGACCGTCTTCTTCACGCCCTCGACAAACGCCTTCACAGCCTCGCCACCACCAAGCGGCATACCCCCGCCTCTTATATAGCCGCCGTTCTGAACGTCAATCTTCAGCGCCTGGCTAACGTTGGGCAAACCGCCATCTCTCAGCGCAACTGTTAAACTGCCAAGACTCTGCCTCATTTGCGGGCTGGTAACCACCCTCTTCAGCACGTCGCGTTTTTCTTCTTGGCCGAGGGACAGGAGAACAGCTTGTGCGGTTTCGGAATCAGGGTCGATGTCGGCGACGTCGTCAACTTCTGCTTCGATAAGGAAAAGGGTTGTGGGAAGCTGCGCGCAGAGGGCGTCGATGTACTCATCCGGGGCCTTGTCGATGACGGGCAAGGTATTGGGCGGAGAGAGGAGATCAAGAAGAGTCGTGAATGGGTCGTTGGAACCGCTTGATGCTCCACCAGAACCGCCGGGTTTCAACGACTGAAGGAAGTTCTGGACAAGGGCAGAGGCGTCGGTCGATCCTGCGCCGGCTCTGATAACGAATTAGCATGGTTTCATATGTTTGAGAAGCAAAAGACAAGCGAATGAGACAGCGAGCAGTCGACCGAGCGTCGTGGCGGGCGAGCGCAGTGAAAGACATGATATGGTAATTTTCTAGTGGTACAGTTGAGCAGAACCCAAGTAGTGTCTGTCCGTGGACAGTGGTTTTGTGTGCGCCCATAACGCCTTACAATGATGAAGATGTGCTTTTGACTGCAATCATCTTTTCTATCACCGCCGGAGTGAGTATCATGCCCTTATCGACCGCGCCACGACGACCACGACGTCGCCAATCCCGGACGAAGGAGTCTCGGTGTATGAATGTTCGGTACCTACGCTCGGCCGCCATCAGCACCCCCTTCTCGCGCTTCTTCACCCTCTTCTCGGATGTCGCCTCCTGTGGCACCCGCACCCGCACCGCCGGTGCTACCGTGTTGGATCTGGTTGGCAGCATGATCATCGGCATCCTCCATCGCCTCGTCCTCGTCGGGGTTCTGGCTTGCGGCCACAGCCAGCTCGGTCGGCACGTCAACTTCCTCCCCGTTCAAAAGCCTGTCGACGATCTGTCCGATGGCGAGATCCCGCGGGCTGAACCAGCTGGCGTCGCCGCGGGGGTGCTGCGACTTGGACTGCAGCCAGAAGAGGTATCGTTGTGAGCTGGAAGAGAACTTGAGGACAAAGATACGACCGTCGGTGGGTGAGCGAACGTTTTCCGATTCGGCGGCTGTCTCGCTGCCTGTGTACGGTATGAAGGATCCATCGCCGGGGATCATGATGAGGTCGACATCGCTCTGGTCCACGGGGCTGTCGCGTGTCCGCCAGCAGAAGTGCACGAACTCTGCTCCGGTCAGCAGGGGCCACTAAATTAGAGCGCTCCACAAACCATCGTCGCCCTGGTAGAGATAGACGTAACCCGGTGTCTGCTGCGGCTTCACCTTGAGAGTCGGTGCGCTGCCCTGGTCCGTATCAGCATGCTGCACCTAGAGTAAATGGTGCAAAACTTACAGAGACATCGCACTGGCCCGCCTTGAAGGTAATCAGCGGCTGGATCGACATGTCGTATGGCGAAGCGGGGTGTGAGGGGTGTTGGATGGCACAGAGCGGCGAGCTGTGATGCGGCGGTCGGTCGGAGCTGCCTGGGTCGCTAGCGCAGAACAGCGGCCAAGCCGCCAAACCAGTCCGGGCACAAGCGGAAATCGCGGCTTAGTCAATCCGCGCACACCAATATTCGCACACCACAGTTCGCGATTAACGACACTCCCAGGGCTTCAACGACACGACACACAATTCGACATGGCGGACCAACCCACGACGAAGAAGTTTGCCAAGGGCGAGCGGTCGATACCGCACCACTCCCAGAAGGCCAGCAAATACTACCCGGCTGACGACGCCGCCGTGCCCAAGAAGGTACGTTCCCATGCACGCAAGATTCCAGCACACAAGAGGAGGGAACATGCAGGAGCGAGTGCACGCAGCTTTTTCGCTGCACTGCATTGCTTGCGAATCCTCGCCCGAACTGCAGGCGGCTCAGATGGCCTGCCGCACACGAATTGGAACAGCAACACTGACTGCATCTCCAGGCTCGCAAGGCTGTCCGCCCGGCCAAGGTTCGCCAGTCTCTCTCTCCCGGCACCGTCGTCATCCTCCTCGCTGGCCGCTTCCGCGGCAAGCGTGTCATCGTCCTCAAGCACCTCGAGCAGGGTGTCCTCCTCGTCACCGGTCCCTTCAAAGTCAACGGCGTCCCCCTCCGAAGGGTGAACGCCCGGTACGTCATTGCGACCTCGACCAAGGTGGATGTTGCTGGTGTCGACGACTCCGTCCTGAAGAAGGCCAGCGAGTCCGGCTACTTCACCAAGGACAAGGCCTCCAAGAAGACCGGCGAGGAGGCTTTCTTCAAGCAGGGCGAGGCCCCCGAGGTGAGTCACGTACGGCCCGGAGCCAAGACAGACAGCTGACAATGCGCAGAAGAAGGAGACTTCCAAGGACCGTGTCGCAGACCAGAAGGCCGTCGATAAGGCCCTGCTCGCGACCATCAAGAAGGAGGCTCACCTTGTCGACTACCTCAGCTCCACTTTCAGCCTCCGTAGCTCAGACAGGCCACACGCGATGGCCTTCTAGATGTGTCAGAGGAAAAGACGGGGATTTGGCGTTCAGTGCATGGGATGAAGGATGACCTCTAGCGGCATGCTGCGGCCGTAACAGCAAGCACATCTTTTTTCATGGAGGGTCCGGTTTGCATCTTCCCTATACGACCTTGTAACAGGCAAGCGAATTCGAAAACGGTCCGAAAGTGAGCGAATGAATCATGACATTTGTGATGCCACTGCGGAATTCAAGTCGCGTTGAAGTACAGACATGCACAAGCTGATCCAGCAAATAGACTCCATATACATCCAAGCACTGACACATCCTGTATAATGCGCCGATAACGCCAGCGATCAGGGTATCAAGAATGACCAAGAAGCACAACCCAGTCCCCGATTGAACATAACCCAATGACGTCACTCACCCTATAGGTTCCTTCGCAACATCCACCCTCACCGCGTCAACTCAGCCCCTACCCTTGCCTTTCCTCGCTTTACTCTTCAATTTACTCGCCATGCCATTCGCCCTCTCCTCCACATGGTGCTTCTCGACCTCATCACCCAAATCATCGGTCACATTCCTGCCCCCCAGTGTCGTCCCATTGATCCAGTCCAGCACGCCCAACGGCCCGAAATTCCCCTCACCACCGCTCCTCATATGCGCATCCACCCTCCGCGCCATCCCCTTCAGCATGATTGTCGAAGGCAACACGCTGTACCCGGAGTAGGTGAAGAGCTCCTCGAGCGAGGTCAGCGCGATCATGATGAGGTAGGTTGTGAGATGGAATCTGAAGGTGATGGCGGGGAGGTAGAGCGGGAGGAAGCGGTGGAGGAGGTAGGGTAGGGGGTGGTCGTAGGCTGCGACGAAGGAGTAAGGTGCGGTGACGCTATGGTGCCATTCTTGGTGGAGTCTGGCGATGAAGCCGCCGGTGGTGCTGTGCAGGAGGTCGCGGTGGATGTAGTATTGCAGGATCTGGTCACGTGTCAGCACCACCCCTTCCACTTCCACGTTCATTTTCTGCTCGCAAGGGGACCAGACATACGTTTCGCGACACAATCCCCATGCCCAGATGCTTCACCACGCCCCACGGATTCGGCAGATGATTCAAACTCCACCTACTCCCCTTCACAACCAGCAGACTCCTCATCCTCAGCCCATCGGTGACAAGGAACTCAATTCCCCCCTGCAGCGCGACCCCCAGCAGCACATTCGCCACGCTCCAAAACACGACATTCCTGATTTTCCCGGCCCCGCCGCGCTGCCGCGCGGGCAGGCCGCGCTCACCCTGCGCTTTGAACTCGACGGCGAGAGAAGGGATGAGCGTGTCGAAGGAAAGGAACAGGAGGGACGGCAACAGGTACAGAGTGCTGCGGAGGAGGAGCGGGCCGAAGAATTCGAGCTGGAGAGGGGAGTAGGAGAGGGCGAGGGTGGTCCAGGTGAGAGATATGAAGAGGACTAGAAGCAGGGTACAAAATCAGTGAGATGGTTTGAAGGTAGGGTGATGGAGCATGAGCAGGTGTATTGACGGCAGAGACTCTAGTTTGTAGCTTGGGGCTTCTTACGGTTGAGCGAGGTGGACCAGGATGAGAGGAGGGGGAGGGCGAGGAGGGAGGCCAGGGGGAGGGTGAGCGGGGTGAGGAGGGAGGATAGGGACATGTTGGCGGTGTGGTGTATGGTATGATCGAAGGTAGTGGCTTCAATATGTTACAAGGTTCGTGCGGCACCACGTGCTTTTGCAAGCCGTGGATGGAAGGTAGTAATGGGTGATGGCTCGAAGTGATGACAAAAATAGTCTCGCCTGGTAGACGGATTAAGAATCATTGGCCGACGGAGTGAGTGGAGAGCAGAAGGTGCTTGCGGTGGGGACGGTCATCGCGTGTGGTGTGAGATGGTGTTGAAGTCAAGGTATGACGTAGGCGCGGGTTCCTTGTTGGCGCGCTTCCAACGAAGTGTAGGATTTGGTTGTTGCCTCAGGCACACTATCAAGACAATGTTCTATATCAGCGACGGCCGAAGAAATGCGCTGCACGGCTGCGTACGCTGGTCGATCAATGTTTTCGCAGCTATGATAAACATCTATGATATTTTCGCATGGTCGGTTCGGGTGAAGTCTACATGGATGTTAAAGAATATCACATGTACTGGTGACAGGGCGATGCTTCGTCCGTGCATTACAGCGCCCTCAGAGGTCATCATTTCGGACGTGACCAGCGGTGAAGTTGAAGACAGCGTCCGAACTTCCGAAGCGTGCATGGCCGTGCTTAGAGTGTTGACTCGTGGACACCGTCATTGAATTTGCACTACAGGTCTCAACGCCGCGTGGTCCAAGACGACGCATTTGCAATGCCCTACATTCGTACGATGTAAGATTCGCTCTTCGATGGTAGCGTTTCAGAACCACGACGAACGATGAAATGTACTGGGATGGTTGCGGGTCGAGTCGCAATCTTGCGCAAGCTCTTCGGCCACAACCATTGACAACGGCGAGTCACATCTCAGGGGCAGTGGCCGCATTGACGCGTCGCTCTCGCCATGTCGCGGCGAATAGACAGCTCTCCGCAGGTTGCCATTGAACTTGTCTCAGCAACGAACAGGGGGACGCTTCGCGCCAATGCAGTGACGTGCGCTGAAGCTGCGTTGAAGCGTATATTGGTGTACTGTGGTAGTCTACAGCCACTCGCGCAACCTGCGTGAACAGCCTCGGGAGGGCGCCGGGCCTAGGGTAGCCCCAGCGTCGCGGTAGCTCCGGAACGCGCAAAAGCACCAGGCCAGGGCATCCTTCTACCCTTTGGCGGGACGCGGGGCAGCAGACTCCCAAGCGTCACGAGGAGAACGACGCGGCGGCGGTCCAGTCGCGCCATACCATAGTAGAAAAAAGACCGGAACTTGGATGCTCGGCGTGGAGGCGCAGAGGAACACTCTGCTGCATGATCCAAAAGAAACATCAGTCTGCCCGTTTCGGCGTCTTTTCGCTTAGAGAAAGGTTGCCCTGATCAACGCCTCGCGCGGCCGACCAATCACGCCGCCCTGCCTCCAGCGCGGGTGCCCCTTTCGGTCGTGATTGTGGTGGAGCCGGGGGTTTGCAACGGCATGATTTGCACGAGCCAGGAGATTCAATCCCTTTGCCACTGCGTGCTTTCTGTCCCACCTCTCGCCGGCCGCTCCTCGTCAGGCCTCGTCTCGCAGCGTGCCGTGTGTGTCGAAGGCGTTGCGCGCACCCCGTCGCGGCCTGCAGCCCAGCAAACGCCTTGCATGCAGAACTAGCTATGCACTGATCTCCACTGCACCGGCACTTTTACTCCCCATCGCGGACAAGACGTCCCTCGCCTCGGCGACCGCGCTGTTGCGCCCCAACTGCTGTTCTGACGGCTCCCTGGCGCAGCCAGCAAGCAGGCAGAATGGACGTCCAACCACAGCTACACCCGCCGGTCCCAAGCCTCCCCGCCGACGCCAGCGCCAAACCCGCGGCGACCCGCCCGCGACGACGAAGCTCAGTGCCCGCCGTGCCCGCCGACATCCACGTGAAGAAGCGCTCCGCCAACATCATCCGCACCCAGACGGCGTCGCCCGAGGTCATCTCGTCCCTGATCGACTCGCTGTCCGCCATCTCCGCCTCCAAGGACAACTACTTTGAGAACCTGCCGCTCGGCTACGGCGAGAGCCTTTCCGTCCCAACCAGCCCGCACGACCGCCACGATGCCGTGTCTGCGGCTGGCGCCTTCCAGAGCCTGAGCAGGCAGCCGTCCAGCCTGGACATCGACGACGCATGCGAGCCGCCCGTCATCAAGACGTCGAAGCCGCCCTCGGGCTACTCGCCCTTGACTGCGCCCAAGAAGAAGGACAAGGAGAACTCGTTGCGGAGCTACATGAGCAGAGGGGGAGACAGCTCGGCGTCGGTGCACTCGGCGCAGTCTCTACGCTCCGTGAGCAGCATCGGCAACATCAGCGTCGAGGCGGGGATCCCCAGGAAGCCATCCGACAGCAGCACCAGGACCTCTGCCGAGAGCAAGCGGAGCGCAAAAGCACACCGCAGCCTGATGTTCATGCCTTCGCGGGAGAGGCTGCGGTTGAAGGATGCCGAGCGGAAACGCCACACCATACAGACGCAGGCGCAGCCAACAGATGCTGCAGTGCTGCCCGACATCGCGAGGAAGCCTGTGCCGAAGCGGTCGTTTGCAGAGGACACCATCAACGAGGAACCAGTGGTTGCAGAATCGTCTCGAGCTGCCGGATCCCGTCCCGCTCGCAGTATCCTGAATTTTGTAGACGGAAACGACGGAGGAAGTCCCACAGAAAAGAATCTGATCCCAGAACGCGGCTCATCGCTCCGACACTCTGGCTCACCGTCGCGAAAGAGCAAAAAAGGCGATCGTGGCAAGTCGACTCGCCATGACTCGTATAGAGCAAGCACCGTGCTTGAGGAGGATGAAAACGTTGATCAGGACACTGCGCCAGACGACAAAATCTTACAGGAGCTCGAAGACAAGGACGACGAGGTTGCGCGCAGAATTCGTGAACTGCGAAAGCAGAAGATGTTGCGCGACAAAACAGCCGGCAAGCAGCCTGTCGGCGTCCATGCAGGGGCTTCCGTAGGCAGCGCCCGCGTTTCACCCGGTGCAACCATACAGCCATCCCCAACCTCATCTGTATCAAGCATGTCGGAGAGACGAATGCAGGACCCCACCAAAGCACACAGAGTGCTGGGGATCACAATGCAACAAGGTGCGCCCGACTCCCAAGAACGCCAGCTACCGGAACTTCCCAATGGGAATAATAGGATCGACAAAACCAGGATGCAGGTGCGTGGGCACACACGGACCAGGAGCTCGACTACAAACGACATTGACGAGCTTACCCCGCTTCCGATCAATTATACACTCGCACTTCAGTCTCTGGAACGGCTCGACAGTAATCCTCCGCCACCCAGCAGTGGTAACACTTCGACTACCGTCAGCGAGAAGGCCAGCAGCACGCCGCCGCGCCGGGCAAAATCCATGGCCGTAGGAGGGCGATCTGCGGCCGGCCGCAAGTCAATGATCATAGGCGCACCCCCGGAGCACAGATCAAGCACAGGTGTAAACACCCGCGAGAGCAGCGACAGCGTCTCAAGGCCGATTCGTTCCGCTAGTGAAGAGCTTGCAACTCGACGTGAGACCCTAGGCCTACCGCCATCTACTTCGAACAGCCTCAAGCACCGACCTACTGTCAAGAAGAAACGATGGTCCCACCCCGACCTACCTGTGAAAGCAGAAAAGGCGCACAATGCGAAGGTTGATGCTCTTAATGCTGCGACCGCAAGGGGAGTGCAGATCCGCGCACTGCCTGTTCAAAGCCCACCTCATTCCGTCATCGAGGAACGACCAGCAAGCATCGATTCGATCGATATGGAGGTCGAAGGCTATCTCAATTCACCGCGCTTGTCGCAAAGGATACGCCATCCCCAGACTGGACGCGTCATCTCGTTCTCCGAAGTGGGCGATCCGCAAGGCTTTGCTGTTTTCGTCTGTGTGGGTATGGGCCTAACAAGATATGTGATGGCGTTCTATGATCAGCTGGCCCTGACGCTGAAGTTGCGACTGATCACTCCGGACCGTCCTGGTATTGGAGGGAGCCAAGTGGATCCCAATGGAACTCCTCTAAGTTGGCCAGGCGAGTAATTCATTTCGTTTCACATTCGGCTGATTGCTAACTCTCGTAGACGATGTTTTGGTAATCTGTCAAACTCTCAAGATTACGAAGTTTTCCCTCCTTGCACACTCGGCCGGTGCCGTCTATGCTCTTGCCACATCACTACGTATGCCACAGCATATCCGCGGTCAAGTGCATCTTCTTGCGCCCTGGATCCCTCCTTCGCAAATGGCGCCCATTGGCATCAACCAGGACCAGCCTCCCACGCAACAGCTCCCTAGGTCTCAACGCTTCCTCCGCGCTTTACCGCCATCTCTGTTGAAGGTTGCCAACTCGACCTTCCTCAGCGCCACCAGTGCGAGCCTCCAGCGTACTGGCCCAAAGAACTCACCCAAGACCAAGAGAAAGAGCGTTAGCCCGGCATTTGATACGACTCCTCAGGAGCGACCAGTCACACGACCGGAACTTGGAAATGCCAGGCGGGAATCCATGATGAAGATGGATCAAGTCATTCCAAAGACCAGTTCACTATCCCTCGCCCTTGCAAACCCGGCGGACCCGAACTACGAGAAGGCCAGGCAGATGAAGGAAGCCTTTACATTTGCCGAACGCCAACGACAGCACGACTTTGACGAACGTCTCACATTTGCCATCTGGGACCGCGCGACTGCGCACGCAAACCCCGCAACTGATCTTATCGTATGCCTCGAGACGAAACAGACCATTGGCTTCAGATACGAGGACATCAACCGCTCCGTCGTCATCCACCACGGCAGCAAGGACACCCGCGTGCCGGTCGACAACGTCCGCTGGCTGGGTCGTCTGATGCGCAAATGCGAGGTGCGGATTCTGGAGGGCGAGCAGCACGGTCTCATGGCCAGCGCGCAGGTCATGGGCAACGTGCTCACGGAGATGGCGAGCGACTGGGAAGACTGGACTACGGTTGTGCAGGGCAAGGCGCACGGGGAGCGCAGCATCTCACGGAAGCGCACGGCCGAGCGCCTGCGCAACATCGCGAGCAGGCACGGTAAAGACACGGCGAACTGATCCGAACCTTTCCAACGGCAGACGGCCTCACGATACCATTCGATGCGACTCCATGCGGTAATGATGACGAGACGGCAGAGCGTTGTGTGCGACTTTTCTGGCACGTGTTTTGACGACGACTTTACTTCTCCCCTTGCAAGGCTTTTGCTTCTTTTCTGGATTGATGGATGCTTTGTTCACTATTATCCACTTCCTCACAGCCAATTCTGTTGTACTTTTTTCTCTTTGGCAGTGCTTTTTGACTTCTTTGACTACCCTACCCTGTTTTCGGCGAATATACCCTCGGTTTGGCGCGCGGGACCGGTTGGCTGCATGATGAATGTTTGGTGCCTGGATTTTTGGAAAGAGCCTCGAGCTATTGAACAGCGCTCGGAATGACTAAAGGAGGTGGGTGGAGGGGGGCGGGGTGGAAGCATGTGCACAAAGCCTCATGCTATGCTATACGGTACTGTGATTAAATAGATAAACCTTAATACCACACCTTCTGGTGTCGCACCGACACAGAGGAAGGATGCTATAATGAAAAGACTCGATTGTGCGCCCGTCATCACCCTTGCCATTATCTAAACATCCACGAGAGTGCAGTGTCTCCCGAGCCATCAGCCCGACAGTGAGGGAATGCAGGGCCTTTGAGTAGACTTGCGAGCTTTGCACGCCACCAGAACCAACTCCAAAGCTCAGAGCGCTACTCGTGAATAGCATATTTCTAGGCACAAAGCTCAAAGCATACCTGTAAGTCTTTGGCGAATAGCAGATGGTAAGTAACATGCATCATCCAACCAATACATGACGTGTGTTGCGGCAGTGTATGGTCGTGGGAGGCTGGCCGCTTCACGGTGCTTGCTTTGTATGATTGAAGGAATCCCGTGGGCGGGGTGGTGTCCGTACGGGCTGATCTAGTCTGGTGCGCACGACACTACGTGTACGCTTCAGCGTGCGATTCAGCGTGCGCTCGGGTGCGGCGGCGCACTGGCATGTTTTGAGGCCCAGATCAGATCAGATCAGGCCATGCTGTGCTGTGCTGTGCTGTGCTGTGCTACTCCCGCTACAGGCCGCATGCCTACATCTCTCACAACAAGCATCGCTAGGGTCCAAGAGGCACGGTGGCGAAGACGGATGGACGGCACATGAGTTGGTGCCAGGCTACCTACAACATGTATTCGAACCTCGACCGCTGTTTCCCGCCAATGCTGGCGTACCCGCCCCGTGTCGTCGTCCCGGCATTGAGGCGGGCGAGATGCCAGCGCAGCGCGCCCGCCAGCAGCGCTACCAACAACATGGAGCAAGCGCAGATGCTCATCCCAGACACGTAGAAGGGTGCGTCGCGCGTGGGGAAGACGGAAGTGCCCAGGAGGGGCCCGGTTTGGCCGATGACATTCATGACCGCCACGCCTGTGCCTTTTGCGCTGGCCGAGGCTTGGTTGTTCAGCGTCCAGGTTATGATGATGGTGATGGCGGCGAAGAAGCCGGATGTTGCGGGGAAGAGGGCGAGGTAGCGGAGGGTGGGGGCGGAGATGTTGAAAAGGCCAAGGAGGGCGAGTGCTATATCCATCCATCATGTTAGTGATTCACATGACTCTAGGGAGGTGTTTAGGACGGGGCGGGGAAGCTATGTTGCGGTACGTACTTGCATACCCCGTCGTAGCGAGCAGCGCGTGCAGGATTATGTAGAAGGCGCGGGATTGATGGCGGTCGGAAAGGTACGCGGTGAGCAGGACGACGACAAAGGCGAAGAGGTAGGGGGGTGCGGTGAGGGCTTGTGCGGTCAGAGCGGTGTGGCCCATGTCGCGAAGGATGGTGGGGAGAAAGACGGGGAGAGAGGCGAAGGCGACGTTTGCGGCGAAGAACATAAACTGCGTGCGTGTCAGTGGGAGGTCAGGTCTGGGGTAGTGAGGTGGGGGCGTACGGCGGTGAGATAGCATTTTGGGTCTTTCAGCGTGAGGAAAACGGCGTGGGAATCGAGGCCATGCGGCTGCGGTGTGGTTAATGCGTGTTTTCCTTCTATTTCAGCGTCGCCATCGTGGTCGTCCTCATCGGCATCCCTCACCCTCGCCACCGCAACCTCCCTCTCCCTCCCACTCAGCCACCCTGCCGTCCCGGGCCCGTCGGGCACAAAATCCCACGCCCACACGGCAACCAGCACGCTCGGGAACCCCTCAATCAGAAAAAGCAGCCGCCACGGACTGACTGGCCCGCTCTCCCCTGCTTTGGTAATCCCCCACGCCAACAGTCCCGCAAAACTTGCGCTCAATGGACTTGCCGAGATGAAGAGCCCCGTCCGCAGCGCAAGCTCCTCTCGCCGAAAGAAGAAAGAAAGGTAGAACGGGACACCCGGCCCAAACGCCGCTTCCGAGACGCCCAAAAGTCCCCGCAGCACAACCAGCACGGGGAACGACGTCGCCGCCGCTTGTAAGGATGCGAGCACGCCCCATGCCGCTATGCACAGCGAAATGTAGATATGTGCTGGGACAACGCGGTACAGCAGTGTCATCCACTCGAACGCGATATACGTGATGTAAAACGCCCAGAGCAGCCACTCGTACTGGGAGTCTGTAAGACGGAGGTCGTCCACGAGGCCGGCGATGCGAGCATTGCCGATGTTGGAGCGGTCGAGGAAGGAGAGGGAGTACAGAAGCGCAAGGAAGGCGACGAGGTGGGTGTCGAGTTTGCGGCGGACGCGGGCGGATTCGGTGGGGGTGTAGAACTTGGAGGAGGCGGGAGAGGTCGATCGAGATTCTGCATCTTTGTCCTCCTCTTCATCCTCGTAATTGCTGTCCATGTCTCGTTCTGGCATCGGCGAGACGGGGTGCAGTTCGTAGGCATCTTGCGAGGAGGTCGAGGGAGCGTGGGCTCTGGGGGAGGAGGATGGCATTGTGCCAGGAAACGGGAGAACGAACAACTGTCTGTCACATTGGCGATAGAACTAATTGCGCGTGCAACAGTGTTTGCGCAGTTGTGTGCAATTGCCGCTGGCTTTACACGTCGTCCCGGGTTGAGAAGGATGACGCGCAAGGGACCGCTACCCCGGATTGTGGGGCTGGCTGGGAACCCAACACTGCGGAATCGTGCCGAGCCGTGGAAATTTCACCACGTGAGACGGGCCGGGAGTATATGGAAAGACTTCGCATCAAAGTTCAGAAAGCAATTGGGCGTCTAGGCTTCGCTGCAATCATGATCCAAGTACGAGTGTTTGTCATGTCTTCTCAGTTTCCTGTTGTGCCTATCAGGGCTGGCCAACCGTCATCTTTCATCCTGCACATGGACGCCGTGAAACAATTCCTACAAACTCCACCCACACCGTACAATGCACATTCTGCTCACGCAATGCTTCTCTAGTAGCTGCGACCGAATAGCACCCACTTCTTAGCGAAATTCTTGCAGTCCGGGTTAATGCACTTCGTCTCGCCCTCCTTGATGCCCTCAGGCTGATCGAACGGAATGCACAAGCTCTTCGCGCCCATGGCGGGAGCCTGCTTGTCCTCGGTCACGCCGTCACCCAGCGCGGTCCTCGCGCTCTTCGCCTTGACCTCGTCCTCGCACTTGTCACCTTCGCAGTGGGGCACCAGAATAACGTTCTTCCCGTTGAGCGTAGGCACAAAGTCGTCCCAGTTGGTGAGCTGGACGCGGTGCTCGTCGTACGCCTTTGTCGCTTTGGCGAGCATGTCCTTCTGGATCTGCTCGAGGAGCTCGGGGATCGCGGTTTTGAGGTCGTCGATCTTGGTTTCACCACGCGCGGCCGTCTTGTCGTCGATGTCGCGGCGCGAGGTCGTGACCTGCCCCTTTTCGGCGTCTTTGGGACCAAACTCGATGCGCAGTGGGATGCCCTTCATCTCCCAATCGTTGAACTTGAACCCGGGGGAGTAGCCTTCCCGAAGATCGGTTTCCACGCGCACGCCGACGGACTCCAGGTCGCTCTTGATCTTGTCGACCTTGTTGTACAGGTCCTCCTTTGCCTCGGGGGTAGTCTTAGCGGTCACACCGGCGGGAATGATGACGACCTGGATCTCAGCGACACGAGGAGGGATCACCAATCCGCGGTTGTCACCGTGTGTGAGGATCATGACACCGATGGACCGGGTGGTCAGACCCCAGGAGTTCTGCCACACGTGGACGTGCTCCGATTTGCCGGCCTCCTTGGCTGTAGGATCCTCCACGGTAATGTTGAACATTTTGGAGAAGTGCTGGCCAAGAGCGTGGGATGTGGCTGCCTGAATACCTCTACCGGTAGCGGGTATAAAACCCTCAATAGTGGTGGTGAAGTCGGCGCCAGGGAACTTCTCGTTCACTGTCTTGGTACCCTTGACTACGGGAACAGCGAGAAGCTCTTGGTACACATCGGCGTACCAATCCAGAATCTGAAGAACCTCCTCGGTGGCTTGTTCTTGGGTCAAATGCGCGGTATGGCCCTCCTGCCAGAGGAACTCTCTTGATCGAATGAAGGGCATGGGGTGCTTGAATTCCCATCGAACAACGTTGTTCCACTGGTTCAGCTTGAGAGGAAGATCTCGGTGGGACTGGATCTTGCGGGCAAAGTGGGGGTACATGGCCGTTTCACTGGTAGGGCGGACGGCAACGGGCTTCTCGAGGTCAGACTTGCCGCCCTTGGTCACCCATGCTACCTCAGCAGCGAAACCTTCGAGATGCTCCTTTTCACGCTCGAGGTTGTCGGAGCTGATGAAGATGGGGAAGTAGGCATTTCGGACTTTGAGGGTCTGACGGAGGTGAGTGCATTTCTTTGACCGCGGAGCATAATTTGCTGACCTTGATCTTGGCATCAAACCAGGCCTTGATGTTCTCCCAGATAGCATAACTTCCAGGCTCCAAGATGTAGCAACCAGCGACCTAAGCGCTTATCAGCGGCTGTTGAGAGCCCGTTCGATATACAACTCACGTCGTAGTACGAAATCATCTGACCCTTGGTGATGACTTGGGTATACCAGTCTGCAAGGTTGTCCTCCTTTGCGACGTCGATGCCAATCAGTGCAGCACCCTCAATCTGTCCAAGCGTGAATAACACCGTCCCATTGCTGACACATGATCGGTCTAACGGACCTTCTTCTTCTGCTGCTGGGGCTTCTTCGCAGCCTTGGGGGCACCATCCTTCTTGTTCTTCTTGACCTCGGAGATGGAAAGGTCCTTCATCTTCCCGGCGGCGGCAGATGCTTCAGCCATGGTGAGTAGATTGCGGTTCGCGTCGCAGGATCTGTGGTTGTCCAAAGTCAATTATGGATCCTGTCCAGGGAACGCTCCTTCCACCAGTGGCTGTATGTGCGTAGCTGTAGCCTCCCGTTTGGAAGGTGCGTTTTGGGAATATAGTCGCGTTTGGGCTCGTGGTGGGGTAGCGGGGAACGCGAAATTGGAAGGAAGATATAGTCCGCACCTGCGATTGAGTCAGGGCTGAGTCACGAACATGAGAGCGAAGAGAAAGGGCGCGCATACCTTGTTCCTGGAAGAGTCACAGCGCGTTTCCTTCGGCTGCAGTGTGTTGCGCTCGTATCGCGCCCAGAATCAAATTGTAGAGGGGCGGCTGCTCCTGCTGCATGAGTCAGTCGTCGCGCTACGGCCAATAGTTCTGCCGCCGACCGCGCCCGCGTCGAGAGTTTTGTGTTCGAGAGGCAGCAGACGGCCAACAACAAACAGCTCAAACACACAGCCATGGCCGGGATCTTCGAGCAGCAGCGCAACGCCGGAACTCTGTGTAAGCCATGGAAGCTCGGAAATGCAAAAGTGGCTAACTCGTGACAGTCCTTGGTGGAACCAAGATCAGCGGACAGGACATCCGCGACCAAAATGCACTTGCGACACAGGCGATTGCCAATGTCGTCAAGTCCTCGTTCGGACCCTCAGGTCTCGACAAGATGATGGTTGACGACATCGGAGACGTAACGGTGACCAACGACGGCGCTACCATCCTCAGCTTGCTGGATATCGAGCACCCCGCCGGCAAGATTCTCGTCGAGTTGGCGCAACAGCAGGACAAGGAGGTTGGCGACGGTACGACATCAGTCGTCATAATAGCGGCCGAGCTCCTGCGCCGCGCAAACGATCTCATGAGGAACAAGATACACCCTACCACCATCATAACCGGATACCGATTAGCCCTCAGGGAAGCTGTCAAGTACATGAACGAGAACATCAGCACAAGCGTCTCCCAGCTCGGTCGCGAGCCGCTGGTCAGCATTGCGAAGACGTCCATGTCGAGCAAGATCATCGGCTCTGACTCGGAATTCTTCTCCAACATGGTCGTAGACGCCATGCAGTCGGTCAAGACCACAAACAACAAGAACGAGGTCAAATACCCGGTCAAGGCCGTCAACATCCTGAAGGCACATGGAAAGGGAGTTACTGAGTCGCAGTTGGTCAAGGGCTACGCTCTCAACTGTACCGTAGCGTCACAAGCCATGAAGACCCGCGTCACGGACGCCAAAATTGCGGTCTTGGACATCAACTTGCAGAAGGAGCGAATGAAGCTGGGTGTGCACATCACCATCGACGATCCAGAGCAGCTCGAGAAGATCCGGGAACGCGAAGCAGGAATCGTCAACGACCGGATAGAGATGATCTTGAAGTCAGGCGCGAACGTGGTGCTCACGACCAAGGGTATCGATGACATGTGCTTGAAACATTTCGTGGAGAAGGGCTGCATGGCCGTGCGAAGATGCAAGAAGGAGGATTTGCGCCGGATAGCGAAGGCGACCGGTGCCACCCTGGTTAGCACCCTTTCAGATCTGAACGGTGACGAGAAGTTTGAGGCATCAAACTTGGGCTACGCAGAGGAGGTCGTGCAGGAGCGTATCTCAGACGACGAGTGCATCTTGGTCAAGGGCACCAAGGCCTTCTCGTCGGCATCCATAATCTTGCGAGGCGCGAACGACTATGCTCTCGACGAGATGGAGCGATCCGTGCACGATGCGCTCTCGGCGGTGAAGCGAACACTGGAGAGCGGCCGCGTGGTCCCTGGTGGAGGTGCAGTGGAGACTGCTCTGCACATCTACTTGGAGGAGTGGGCTACGTCCGTGGTAAGTACATTCGGTGTAGAGGCCTGTTTGCGCGGAATCAGCTAACATATTGAAGGGATCCCGTGAGCAGCTCGCTATTGCCGCCTTCGCTACTGCCCTCCTTGCAATTCCCAAGACCCTCGCCATTAATGCGGCAAAAGACTCCACAGAGCTAGTCGCTAATCTCCGCTCCCGTCATGCCCTCTCGCAACGCACGTCGTCCGACCCGACCACGCCCGAGAACGCGAAGCAATTGGCCAAGTCCAAGAACTACAAGAACTACGGTCTAGATTTGGTGAATGGTAAAGTCCACGACTCTCTAAAGGCAGGTGTGCTGGAGCCCAGTATGTCCAAGGTCAAGCAATTGAAGAGTGCCGTCGAGGCATGTGTTGCTATCATGCGTATAGATACCATGATCAAGTTGGACCCGGAGGAGAGAGGCGGGGATGATGATGGGCACGGCCATTAGATGGGTTGGCGGATGCCGTTGTAGATCGCAAAGTAAATGCGATTGTGGCTGTATATACCACGCGTGTTGCTCAGCGATGCATTCACGCTTAATGTCTGGATGATAAACAAGTCAAAAGATCAGCATCAGTCCCATTATTGATACCTTTGAGTGGGGCGTGCCCTCCGATGACGAACTCGGGGACGCGCTTACTGCATTTGGCCTCTATCGTTGAATCTCAAGCTCATCGTCTCCACGGGAACCCTTCATCCTCTCCTCGCACACTAATGCATCCTAACATAACAGAGGACTTCACGAAACGAGATGACGCGTTCGGCGATATACGACCCGACCGCACCTACCTTTTGGCGCCCAATCATCCTCTACACGCGTCCTCATGGGGTCCAAACATCACGACATTACAGAGAACAGATTGTTTGACGTCTGGGATGTCACAATAAGGACGACCGGCTAGCTTCCTCGCCTGACAGACGGCGCGCAACCGCGGCGCTGCCACCAAGGATGATGTTCCATATTCTCTGCATTCGTGTTTCGATAGCATATCAACGACCTCCACACAACTCTAGGCAATGTTCTCAGGTGTGACAGGTTTGCCTAATACATATCCGCAGCGGTCAATGCCGGCACAACACGACCTTACACAAAGACCTTGGAGGACATCGCCAAGCACGCCCAGCCTCGAGCCCAGCTACACACCAAGCCCGCAATCTGACTGCGCGGGGCCCGCACTCCAGCGATCTACGAGTGGTCTTTCGATCCGCTGGCTGAGGTCCGCCCAGCCTTTGCGCCCAGGCAGGTTTAGGCTCCGCTGTGCGCTCTTCCGGAGCGCCGCGTAGTGGTTTTTGTGTCGCGGCGCAGCATGGATGTGCGTTGGGGTGCAGGTCGATGTGAAGTGTACTACGGCTTATGCGTAAGAGTTGGACCCGCCCACGTGTGAGCGAGGTCTGGGTGGGCATATGGGCTGGGACAGGGCTTTGTTGGACAAGAGACCGCGCTGAGTGTGCGCTTTAGGGACGCGACTTGGCCCTTGGGGGGTGCGAATGGCGGGATCCGGCAAGCGCCAAGCATCTTGTCTTCTTAGCTTTGGAGGCACGTAAGTAAAACTGCCTTGCCCGCTCCTCTTGGGCAGTGTTTGGCCTCCTTCTTTCTTCTCTGTGCTGCTGGATGATGGATTCATCGCGTTGAGGGACGAGCTGGCCTTGAAGTGCCACTAGCGACGACGACGCCACCATCAGTATGACCGCGATGCTGGAGCTGCTTGTGACGCGCTATGTCGAGTTACCGAAAAGAGGACATCCCGAGCAATATGGTCAGTCTAGCCCTGTTTATGCCTTAATCTAGACGCATGTACTAAGTACCTGACAGCCTTCAACCCCTTCATCTACGACCCTAACGTACCTTGCGCGATAGTTGGCGCTGTCGTCATCCTATCGCTCTCAGCAGTTCTTGTCTACCAATATGTCCGCTACCGATCGTGGTTCTTCTGGACCGCCCTCATCGGTATACTTATGGAGGTAATCGGCTACATCTGCCGCCTGGTATCAGCAACCGACACCGAACGCAATGGCCCTTTCCTCATCGCCTTCCTCATGATCCTCCTCGCCCCAAGCTTCCTGGCAGCAGCCTGCTATATGGCATTCAGCCGCATCGTATGGTTCTCCTGCCCCACGCACGCCCTGCGCTTCAAGACTCTCTGGTGTTTCCCCCGCTACATCACGCCCACATTCGTCATCTTCGACCTCTTCAGCTTCGTCATCCAGCTCGCGGGCGCGAGCACCATCAGCCGCGCCTACGACCACGACGCATCTCCATCGCGCAGCATCGAATCCGCCGAGAAACGTGTGGTGGCTGGCCGCGTCATCCTCGTGCTCGGCCTCATCCTGCAGCTCAGCTGCTACATGGCCTTCGCCATCATCGCCATGCGCTACTTCGTCATCAGCTTGCACTGGCGCCACGAGGACCTCGGCGACTTCCACATGTTCCGCCGGCTCTCCTACTTCATCAACATGGCCGCGGGGCTAATCACGCTGCGCGCCATCTACCGCACGCTCGAGATCCCGCAGGACAAGACGACGGGATTGCAGTACCTACAGCAGCACGAGTGGTGCTTTTGGTGCTTCGATGCGGTGCCTGTGGCGCTGGTGCTGCTCGTTATGGCAGTGTGGCATCCCGGGCGATATCTGCCCCGGAGCTACACCGGGTGGGTGCTGGATAAGACGAGGGCGGTGCGGGAGAAGGAGGCACTACGCCCGGGGAGTCCGACGGAGGAGGCGGAGATGAAGAACTTTACGCCCAAGGACTTTCAGCCGAGGGAGAGCGTGACGATCCAGGTCTGAGAGATGCGTTGGGTTGAGTGACGGGAAAGGATGGATTAGCCTATGATACCAATGCATTGACGGCGTTAGGGATGTAATGAAAATACAACCATATGTTTACCAAGTGCAATGTTGCTCATTCGGACGTGGTGCTGTGCTTCCTTTACGTTGATCGGGTGGTTGATGCAGGCCGACTCAAAAGTACGCGACCTCCCCTGGACACAGATGTGAGACAAGATGGAGGCGCGCAACAGCAGAGAGCCGGGGGAACATTGTAACGTGGTGTAATACAGAACGTGCATCGATTGATCTTCTATGTACAGTGTTGGCTGGCATTCTAATCTGCATGCATCTCCCTCCTGTCGATAACTATACACAAGCGAAAGAAGCGAAGGGAATCTCGCATCCACACTCCCCGCAACTATCTCCCCCACACTACCGCGCTCTATGCGGGTTGCGCGAAGGTCGAGCCAATGGGACCGACCTTGATGTTGGAGTAGATGACCGTCGCATCCGGCGAGTTGGTCTCCACATCCTCAGGCTTGCCCGAGTCCGTTCCGCAAGTACCACGGCCCACACCGGGGGTGCTGGGGTCTTTGTCGGTGGGGTAGGTGGAGTCGAGCCAGAGCATGTTGACCGCGTGGTCATCCCACAACGACATGACGAGGACGTGGCCCTTGGCAAGGGAGGCGCCCATCTGCTTGAGGCCGCCGCGGTCCTGGAACGACGTCTTGTCGCCAAAGGCCTTCTTCTGGGCGTTGCACCAGCTGTCGGTGATGGAGTTGCCGGTGACACCCTCGATGGTGGAGTCGGAGTTCTTGAAGACCTTGCCGCCCTGCACGTAGAAGCGCTTGATTTCGGTGAGGGAGGAGCCGCTGCCGATGAACTGCGTGACGACGGTCATCTTCTTGTTGGTGTCGAGGGTCATGCCCGGGCCGTAGAAGTCTTTGACGCCCATGCGGTAGGACTAGGAGAAGTCAGTTTGAAATATTTCGTCAAGAATGGTGGCGTTCTCACGTTGAAGTCACATCCGTCCTTGTCGCAGACACCGCCGTAGCGGTTGTCGCCGTCACCACAGTCAGTACCAGTGCAGGCGACGAAGCCAAGCTGCTTGCAAGGGTGGGGGGTGTAGGCGGTGGAGATGGAGTTGGCCTCCCAAAGATCCATCTCGGCGCAGCAAGCGCCTAGCTTTCCGCTACCAGCGTTCTTGTCGTTCGGGCTGGGCTCCCAGCCCTCGGAGTTGGCGGCTCCGTTGATCCACTTGATGTCGTGGGGGCACTGGGAATCACAGTATCCTGTGGGATGTTAGATGGAAATAGGAGTTTGCATGCGTTGGACATACCAGTTCCGTACTTGGCGCCAGCCTTGTTGTTGCCCTTGCCCATGCCACCATCAGCAGCCATCTCGACTGTGTACAGAGCACCGTTCAGGCCGCAAGGAAGCTTGGAAACATCAACGTCGAAGGTAAACTCCTTGCCGATCAGGTTGAACATCTGGTACTTGCTGTCGGACTCCATGAGGTAGGTACGGGAGCCGATGTTGGTGGAGTACTGGCCCTTGGTGACGAACTTCAAGGTCAGGGCGTTGCCGCTGGTGCTGATACCGTAGGTTCCAGAGTAGTCGGCACCATCGATGGCACAGTTCTTCGCGCAGTCAGCGCCAGTCGCGCAGGTCGTCGCGTTCCAGGCGTTGTCGGTGTAGCAGTTGGTGTATCCGCTGGTGACGTGGGCCCATCGCCAGTTGGAGTCGAGAGTAACGGAACCCTGCTTCGTCGTGCAGCTGTTGCCTCCAGTGCCAGTACAAGTCTGCCAGCTCATTGTGGGGTGCTTCTCGGACTTTTCGCTAGTTAGCACGAGGAAAATGCCGTATCTGAATTTCAAGGAAGTCTTGCCTGAGAAGTGCCGACCTGCTGGGCGGTGGCGGCCCCGAAAACGGAGAGAGACGCGAGGGCGAAAGTCTTGTACTGCATCTTGACTGTTGTAGAGAGTGACTGTCGATGGTGAAATCCATGAGTCCTGGACCTACTACCTTATATACACGTTTTTTCGTCGCCACTGAGGTCGACCACACGAGCATCAGCACAGGGTCCACAATCAAATGAACGTCTCCCGACGCTACCGACGAATTGCCGCCAATCTCAGAAGACATACGGCTCTTCGGTCCTGCTAGGTGCGCATGTAGTAATATGCAAATGAAAAGAAGATGAGATCTACCCCCCGGGGAGACTCTGGGGTACTTGCGGTAACTAACGCACATCCCTGTTTCTAGAAAGGTGTCGGAGCCTGGTGACCACTGGCCAAAGAATTGGCGCCTAGTCACTTTGGTTAAATGCATACGCGAGCGAGACGATCTTGTCTCAATTTGTGATAAACACCTGACACATGCAGTCTTCAACGACGAGATAGTGGCATATTGTGGTGAAGCAGTGAAACATTTGCGACTTACTCTAAACATTTCCTGCGATGCCTCCCGTTCTCGAGTGAGTATTAGGGAAAGCCACAAGTGGTATTGTTCATCCTGAGTATAGATGCTGGCGTATGGAGATTCCCTGTGAGTGGGCTTTGGTAGGGTAAGAACTTCAGGTCAGCGTGGACCCTGGCCGACTCGACGTTTCAAAACCCGGATCGATTAGATTGATACTGCTACACCCCTAGGCTTTCATATGAAAGAAGGTTCCAGAAGATCAATTTTAAGCAGGGTAGGAAGATGGGAAACTGCTTCATAGTACATCGAGATCCGCGACCCAGGAGATCGGAGAGGATGAAGCGCGTAATACGAACCATGACTGATTGGAATGCGCCACCTCTGAGCCATGTCGAGCTTCGAGAGTTGCTCTCCACATAGTCATTGTGCTAGAAATGTAGCTTTCGGTTCGTGACCTCGCTGTATCATTACTCCGGCCTTCTGTTCACCGGCTCTCCTCAATCGCCAATGGGGCTGGTCAGGTCTCTTCGCCGAGTGATCGCCGCCACATCCAAATTGAAAGCGACAGTGATGTTGCGGCTTGTGGGCGAGTCTCTGACCTTGGCGTTGTAAGAAGCTTCCCATAGCGGAGCACGCGGGACGTTCTTCCTGAATATAGTGGTCCACTCTTGAGGTTAGCTCTTAGCAGAGCTCCTAAGAGGCTCTCATCCGCACAACAGGAACCTGAATCTGCATGCACGGATGTTTTTGGTGGGGGTGAGCAAGGTGTGGTACTTTCGCATACCTGACAGGGGTATACATACCCCAGATTTTCGCCTCCTATTTTGCACGAAGGCGCCTCGCTAACGACTCACGGTGGCGTGCAACCTTCGCCGTGTGCTCCAGCTCCTCAAAACGAGGCGGAAAAGGGTTGTTCAACTACACACCGCGGACTGTAAGGCAATCCAGTGGGCACCTCGAAGTATCACCGGGTAGCTGCCACTCGATGATTGGAGGAGCGGCCATTTCAGGCTAATCAGTCGTCACGCAGGTAATATAAGTTCCGACCTAGCATGGTGAAAGATCATCATCGCACCAGAGTTGAGGCCGCGGACGGGCGCTAAAAGAGCAAACCCGGGGTTTTGTGGGCTTTCCATCTACGTGAGCGAATAATGTGTGTGCGACAGCGACGTGACCTGGGTCAATCGGAGAGCCGCAATTTTTGTGGGACCGCCACAAACCACAAGGAACCGGCGCATGGTATATATTTGAGCCAAGATGAAACGTCAAGGTAGTTTAATGTACCCCAAAGTACCTCTTCAGTCCGGTTGTGGCTATGTTCATTCTGTGATGTCAAGCCGTTGTCGAGGCATTTTGGAAAGCCGTCGGAGGAGTTAGAATTAGGTGATCCACTTCTGGAGCCTGTGCTTCGCCTGAAACATTGGAGTCTTTGCACCTGGGGCCTTGATTTGATGTGGCTGCCTTGTCTTTGGACACGAGATCAGCTGGAGCTGTAAGGGTGTATGGAATAGTGCCGCGGTTATCTAAGACGACATACAGCACTTTAAAGGTACGGTATAGTATCTGCGGCTTGGATCGGTCAATCGTTGCGGGTTTGGCACTGGCGCCAAGTGCGTTGGAGGCGTGGCACGGGTGAGGTGGTGCGACCATCAACACTCACGATCAGCGCCTTTAAGAGGGTTAGATTGGGTAATCGGCTAACAACTTATCGCAAAAACAGTTTGGCGTGGTGCCTTCGTCGCCACGTGCCAGGTGAGAGCAGGGCACGAAGAAGTGAGGTTGCAAACACTTGGGAAGGCACAATTTGGTGCCAAGTAACTCGTCCACACTTGGACTACGGTAACGCCACAATGGTCTCCTTAGCTCCTTCCAACAGCTCCTTCCAACATCATTAGCGGTCTTCCATCTTGTCTCCGTCTACTCGCAATTTGAGACTATTTGCTCTATGCAGATGAGAGACCACATAAACGTATCTGGTGGTTCTTCATCAAGATGGACGCCATTATTCTAATAGTACCTCTTGGATATGATTCCCCACTGTCTACGTCCGATGCTTCCTTGCCTCGCGAAACGTTTGCAGTAAAGAATCTTAGAATATTTCTTATACATTGACACAAGTACGAAAATCACGAGATAGATAGCACATCTCCTCCTGAGCATTACCGCAGTTTGCATCCCGCAACATCGAAAACGTAGATGAGTGGAAAAGAAGGAGTATCTCCGTTGACATACTTTGGCTTCACAAGTATTCAGAGCCATTGCGACCACTTCTCCCACTTCTCCCACTTTTGCGAGGCAGCCTACGCAAGACTATCACTTATCGTCTCTCTTTCTCTTTGTTTTCTCTCTTCACTTAGCTCTGCTGCCTAAGTGACATCTGGAGACAAAGCTCTTGGATTCGACTGCTTCCGCCATCTTCTGTCCATTTCTTTTCACCTGTTCAGAGGACATCCCGAAAACCTTAATCACCAGGTTCTGCAATGACATCAAGCCTAACTGAACACACAAACATGCCACAGATTGCTATGTGGGACTGGGTTCACTCCGTTCCTGAAGAGACTTGTCGCTCCCACAATCGCAGCTTCTCCTCACTAGCCGAACAGCTGCATTATACGACGTTCGCCGAGCTCCACGAGTTTGCACTGAAATATTCAAGACCTGCTTACGAGTCCCTCCCGCATCATCTACTCCTTCGATTCGAACACGTAGACCCTAACACGCTTGCACTCTTCTCACAGAAAGCCGACGTCAACGAGTCCCGCCTGTTGCTTGGTTTCAGTAGACACAGCTGTAGGGGCGAATTCACCCCCGCGTATGCATATATCTCCAGGAAGAATCAGGTTCACCAAGTGCTTCTAAAGCTTGGACATAATCATCTGAAGGTGAAAGATCTTGACAGCGTAGAATGGGAGAGGCCATTTGATTCGATTTATGACGCTTATGGCCAGACTGATCGTGCAGGTGACAGAATGTGCATGATGGTAGCATACTACTTCCTTGCAGCCGATCGTATCCCCGAAATCGCCACCCGCACGAGCAGCTTCATACATCATTTCGCTAAATTATGCGGCAACATCTACGTGCATACCGCCGATGAGATAGACTCGCGAGAAGCCAGCGCGCCTGCGCCTATCGACGGTCCGCGCGTAGGTCAGGCTATTCCTTCCACCCGATTAAGTCGTTCATTGGATCAGCAAGACCGCGCTTCAGTTCTGCCTCTTCTCGAGACTCAGCAACAGGATAGCCATCGCAAGCAAGGTGCGGACGATGATGTGTTCCAGACTAGGAAAGACACATCAGACGCCCAGATCATCGCATCCACGTATCATGTTGGTGACAAGGGAGATCGATCATCGGTCCCACCCGTCAACGGCGACTCACCTCGTATCAGCTCACCCATGGTCTGGGACGGTTCGAATGTTTCACCGACGACTCAACTTCCTCGTAATAGCACCGATCGTCTCATGGACTTGGCAAGTCCCAAAGGAACGCCTGAGATTGAGCTGCAGAACCGAGAGAAGGTCATTCAGCCGGTCCTTGCGGAGAAGAAGGCTCTGGTGAGTCCAAGGACAACCGGAATATTTGTGTACACGAAAAGTCGCTAACACAACTCGTTAGAACATTGATGACCTCGCCGCTTTCGTCGCCAGGTTCAAGGAGCTCGAAGCCGAAACCACCCAGCTTCAGGAACACAGAGTCGCCAACGCAGACCTCAAAGGCCTTGTCAGCCAAGCGAAGGACGATGCTAAGCGAGCATGTACCCAGGTCCAAGAACTCCAAGAGCGATCTTTAAATCAGAAGAGTGAGATAGAGGAGTTGCGAAAAGAGCTTGCTAGAACGGAGAAGGATTCCACAGACATGACCCTAAAGCTCACGACCGACCTTGACCAGGAGAGGCAGAAACTGCAATTGGTTCAGCGTGCGCATGTGCAGACGCGGTCAAAGCTTTCTACCGTCCAGGCTGAGAAAGAACAGTTGATGCAACGCGTTGCATGGGTTGAACGGAGCAGGCCATCCGCACAGAAGCTGGCGGTCATGGAAGCAAGCTTGCAGGCCATGGAGGCTGACAAGAAGGGGATGCAGGACAGAATCCGAATTCTGGAGGGCCAAGTTCAGGCGGAGAAGAACAAGTTCAGCGAGTACAAGCGGAAGATCCGCAACCTGTCCTTGGACCCTTGAGCGAGAGGCACCTCTGTGGAGGGTAGACTGCATGGGCCGTGGGAAAGTCATTGTGACCTATTCATGATAACTTGCGGATGTATATCCTGTGTTTTGGGTTTAACACAAGCGGAGGGAAAAGTTTGGATGGCTGCGGAGAGTCCAGCTCTGGGGCCTGCTTCTCTAGGCTTTTCTTATCTGTGCGATCCAAGGCATTTTCAAGAGTTCACATGCAACTCTTTCCTCAGTTGTACACTAGCGCATCATCACATCCAAATTCAGATTGCGCTCACTCTTCATCGCTTTGTCCTGATTTCCAGGTGTCCGGGTGACATCGATCGCACCTGCAGGTGAGCCTAGTTCCCGACAGGCAGGTCCACGCGCAAGTCTACAAGTGCGCACCTTCTCATGTTCACTAAACGCCTCCACCGTGTTTGCAATCTCACGTAACAGCAGTGGGTCCTCCAGAAGCATGAGGTGCTAATCTAGAAAATCCATCAAGGGAAATTATCTACAAAAGGGTCACTTTGTTTAGTAACCTGTCACAGAGCTTCTTTGCTACGGAGCAAATACCGCAACCACGTTACAAACCCGCTCATATCCAGTGACTGCCGATGCCTTACCCTACTACATCGTGGCGCGTCTGCAGCGTTTGCAACGCGCTGTCACGAGGGGACGCTGTTAGCGTCGGTTAACTTACGTGGTCCTGCACTCGGTTACTTCGCGCGACGCTGACTGGTCAGTTTGACAGCACTCCGAGTCGCCGTCTCGGTTCGGCACGCATTTACGTCTTCGCAACCATCAAACTTGATGATGAGTTATGTAACGATCAGGGTATGGGGATGAGTCAATACTCGATCCGCGTCGGGAGGAACGTCGTATAAAAGCGCGCTGGAGATGAGTTTACGAGAGCAGACCAAGCACCGCGCACTCCACTCAAGGCACACCATACAGCAACTCCCTGACACCCACCCGCTTGCCAAACCCAAATATCATCTTCATACGACAAGATGACACCCCAACCGCACCAAGCCACAGCCCTCAAAGCCCTTCACACCTCCGGACAACCCCTCATCCTTACAAACATCTGGGACGCCATCTCCGCCCGCGCCATCGCCTCTCTCCCCCAGACCGCCGCCCTGGCAACCGCGTCCTACGCCATCGCTTGTGCCGCCGGCCTGGATGACGATGCTCTCACTCTCGACGCCAACTTACGCGCCGCCGCGGCCGTCGCTGTCGTTGCAAGGGAATTCGACAAACCGCTTACCGTCGACTTTCAAGATGGGTATGGCGATGCGCTGGAAGAGGGCGTGAGAAAGCTAGTAGCATTGGGCGCGGTGGGCATTAATCTTGAGGATTTCGCGAGGGAGAAGGGCGGCTTGTATGACGTCGACGAAGCCGTCTCGCGGATCAAGACGGTGCTGAGGGTTGCGGGCGAAGCAGGCGTGCCAGACTTCGTCGTCAACGCGCGAACAGATGCGCTGCTGCACGGGCGGCCCCTCGACGAGGCCATCGCGCGTGGGAGGGCTTATTTGGATGCGGGTGCCACGACGGCGTTTATTTGGGGCGGGAGGGAGAGGGGTGGGACGACGCGGGAGGAGGTGGAGAGAATGGCGAGGGAGTTGGGTGGCAGGTTGAATGTGATTCTTGTGCGGGTGAAGCCTGGTGGACTAACGATCGATGAATTGAGGGGAATTGGGGGGTGTGGTGTTGCGAGGATCAGCGTGGGGCCGCAACTTATGTTGAGGACTACACATGCCATCGCAGAAGAGGCGGAGAAGATAATGAAGGGTGAGGGGGTGTAGGCTGTTCAAGGACGAGGACGATGGACTAGGAGTCGCTAAATTGATGCCGAGGAAGGTTTCTTGGATTCGCGGCGCATGCCCTGATAGCCTTCATTGTCCATGCGACAATGGGACCATGTGTATATCCTGCCAAAAACCAACCATAATCTATCGTCCCCTAGCACTGCGCCAGCCCATTGTAATCCGGATTATCCGGATTCCAATGGCATCCGCTCGAGCAAATCGTGCTGCCCCCGCATCCCATCTGCCCGTAGCATAGGCGGTATGCTCCACCAACATCGCAGTATTTGCCATCGAACGCGCATTTTCCGCACTATAAACATCAGCCAGACTCACGCACCTCTGGGGGAAAGGAAAAAGAAGGGCTTGGGGATGGGACGGGACGAGTTGGAACGGAGAACGGGAGGAAATGACGAACCAGCGTTGCTGCGTTGGCGAGGCCGAAGATGGAGGCGCCGAGTATGGTGAGCGTGGGGAGGAGTTTCATTGTTGCGGTTACGACTGTATCGTTGTAGGTGGAGGGAATGGGGACGGGGACGTGTCCGATGGTGTGCTTTGGTTGATGCTTCACCAATGGTTTATATACCTTCCTACCATACACTATAGCCATCCCACAGCGTACTGACAGTACTTCACCAAAGTCTCACGTCACCGGTATTTTTGAACGAAGGATTATCGGCCCACGGCTAAGGCTTTGGTGGGGTGAAGGATGGCGGGTTGGGGCCCGACCGCCATATTGAGGTTCTGGTTTTGGACCTGCGTTCGGCGGGACTATGAGATGCTGGGACGTTACGTCCGAATAGTAGTGCTGGGTATATGCCGGCGTGGGATCCGGCTGTGGGGAGGGGATTTGAGGTCTGGTGGGCGTTTCATGTACGCTGCGAACTTGTATCTCAAGAGAAGACCCACAAGCTGCTTCTTGAGTAAGTCATTGTTAAAGGTGCCTCGCGTGCGTTTCTGCTCAAGTGCTGGGATCTTGAGCTGCATTACTGAGCTGATGAAAGGAAAACCGGATGACCATGTCGATCGGATGAGTCGCTGACGAGCTAGACTGGGATGAGAATGAGAGCTGCTTCCTGGGGGCGGATACCTTACACCGTAGTTGTTAGCGCGATCCTTGTGGGACTTTTGCCAAGGAGCTGTCCATTCGAAGGAGCTGTAATAGTAGAGGTTTCCACTATAGTTACGTACGTAAGTTTAGAGCCTTGGAAGAGCATCACAGCATGTATTCACCGCACTGAGGAACATTGCTTTGAGATTGCTTGTTCAATTTGTACAGAAAACGGGTATTAATATCAAGGCATTGCCTCCCGCGTCCGGACCAATAGAGTAGTTTTTCGAACGCGCACTCTCGGCAGCCAGGCGTCTACGGAACGAAGCAATCTGAACGCGAGAGAGAAGCCATAGGAATGTCCGGTAGGAATCTCGTACCAACGCCAAGCAAAGATAAGAACAGATGGGTATAGATCCAGGGGTATGGTGGGGTATAGTCGTGAAAACGCCGAGGCCGGGAAACATGAATCGTAGAGTTTGTACTATGCTGGACCATTAAAGCACCAGCTGCAAGGATTGATAACGTTGAAGTCGTCCAGCGTAACGCTCGTAGGGCAGGTGGGGAACGCATCTTGCCAAAGTAGCATAGGAGCAGCAGGAAGTCCAGTGTGAGGCATCTGCTAGCACCGTCTTATAGGCTTTGCGTCGCTGATGTGGGAGTCGGCCAAGATCACAAGTCAGGGTCGCGGCTATGGACAACGACAGGCTCCGGCAGGAACTCCTTGAGCTCCTGCATCCTGTTCCGGCAATGGATCACGAAAATAGCGATGGCCAACGAGTTCCAAACGTCGTGGCCATCTTCGCCAAAGTCGAAGATGGCGATAGTGCGCAAGGAGCCATTTGGGTTCGGCTCGGTGGGCAGAACATAGCTAACAAATGCCATGACTGTGTGCGAAGCGATTACGCCGTAGAGGGTAGGAATTTCTTCCGGAGCGGCGACCAGTCCAGACTTATCGTGGCCCAACATCTCGTCGTCCCACTTCTGATACATCTTGTTGAGCTTGCGGATCATTTGCTGCTCGCAGACGTAGGAGGGGATGTTCCTGGGACAGGCGACTGTGTCAAAGAGCTTGATGCCTTTGTAGGTGTGTCGCATGCCGCCGTCCCGCATAGCCCACTGCGAATATTTCTTGACTGACTGCACGATGTGACGCTCTGCCGTGCGCTTGCGAGCCTTGGTGAGAACAGCATCTCGAGCGAAACCGCCAACGGTGAACAGTTGATTCAATGCATATTGGGCTATTGCAAGTTAGCTGCCAAAATTTGTGTGCGGTTGGTACCACATACCTCGGAAATCCGATTGACCGTCTGCCTTGATGAAGGTCTTGCTGTCGTTCGGGGTGAAGAGGTTCAGCGGCAGTGTGACGAAATCTTTTTGCCACGGGTCTGGGAGCAGAGGCTCGAAGCCGCGCATGTTCAGCTTTTGGAACATGAAGATGGAATCCTCGGACCACCCAGCCTGGCGCAGCTCGCGGCACTGGATCTCCTGGCGCAACTGCTCATTGGTGCGGTCGACGGCCTTGCGCATCTCCATGTATTGTCCGTCGTCGACCACCATGGTCGCGTCATTGGCGTCGTACGCATCCGACTCTGCGTCTTTGTAGTACCCGTCCTCAACGGAGTCGTGCACCAAGGTGTCGCCGTCGAAGTCGTCTTCATATCGGTGGAGGGAGGCCGGCGGGGAGGGCGGCAGCAAGGTGTCGTCGAGGTCAGTGGGTGAGGCCGGAGTGTTGGGCGCCCAGTGTTCGACCTTGCTATTGGGCGTGGTCTCCGGGGAGGCCCTCTCGGCCATCTTGGATCGGACAGGTAATTGCGGGACCCTGAACGGCTTGTCCCGCCGCTGCTGCGTCTTGCGCGGGCTAATGTAGTCCCAGACGCGCTCCGACACACGGTGCAGGAACGGCATTGTCGCTAGAAGGGTTGGGGTAGAGATGGGGTAGCAGATGGGTGTCGTGCAGACAGTCGCAGGGCGCGTTGCTTTGTTACGAGGGGAAAGGAGTCAGGCAGAGAGGCAGACGTCAAAGTGAGAGCTGTGGACGGTGGAGGTACAGTAGCAGGAGTCAGGGTCACGGCGCGTGAGTCGTCGATCAAATAGTGCATAACCAGCCTATTGTGCCTACAGTCACTATTGTGTGCTGCAGCACTCCTCTGGTTAAGACGAAGATGAGAGTGAAGACTCGACGAGTTCATTGTTGTTGCAAGTTGGGGTCGGGGGCTGGGGGGTGGCTGGACGCACTAGCATCAGCTAGGCAGGCGCGCGTTCCCTCGTCTCGTGACTGCGCGGGGCTTCAGCGGTACGTGGTGATCTTATCAGATCATCAAAGATTTTCGGCCTACCCCGCTAGCCTGGCCTAAATTCGCAGCGAGAGCGGGTGTCTTCTTTGCATCGAATTCGAAATCCCGACACAGGACCGAACACCATGGCTGCCCCAGAGACACCCGCGAAGGACGCCCAAGTCCAGGCTCTCCGCACCATTCTCACATCTGAGCAGGAGGCGCTTGCTCGCCGCTTCCGTGCCCTGTTCTCCCTCAAGTACCTTGCCTCTCTCCAGCCGCCGACCGAACAGACCGTCCCCGCTATCGAGGCAATCGCGGCCGCATTTTCGTCGCCCTCGGCGCTGCTGAAACACGAGCTGGCGTACTGCCTTGGACAGTCGCGCAACGATGCTGCAATAAGCCCCTTGCGCCACGTGCTGCAGGACAAGGACGAGGACCCTATGTGCCGCCACGAGGCCGCCGAAGCTTTGGGTGCGCTGGGGGACAAGGGCAGCTTGGACTTGTTGAAGGGCCTCAGAGACGACGCAAAGGAACTCGACGTGGTGAGGGAGACATGCGACATTGCCGTCGATCGCATAGAGTGGGAGCACGGGATTCAGAGCAAGGACGAACATTTGAAGAAGAGGTATGACAAGAACGTCTGATCTCGTTGTGGTACCTAACGAAGGTAGTGACTTCGCCTCCATCGATCCTGCCCCGCCGCTGCCCCAAGACCAGCAGGCACCTTCAATCCCGGAGCTAGAGAAGAAGCTCCTGGACACATCGCTCCCATTGTTCAAACGCTACAGGGCCATGTTTGCGCTGCGTGACCTAGCTTCACCACCAGATCTTCCCTCGGCCGTCCCGGCAGTGCAGTCGCTCGCGCGGGGCTTCGCCGACCCATCTGCGCTCTTCCGCCACGAAATTGCATTCGTATTTGGACAGCTGTCCCACCCAGCATCCATTCCAAGCTTACAGGACACGCTCAGCAACCAGAAAGAAGAGAGCATGGTACGACACGAGGCGGCGGAAGCACTCGGGAGTTTGGGAGACGAGGACGGCGTGGAGGAGTTTTTGAAGAAGTTCTTGAACGATCCGGAGCAGGTTGTGCGGGACAGTGTGATTGTTGCGCTCGACATGGCCGAGTTTGAGAAGAACGGGGAGGCTGAATACGCGATCGTACCGGAGGGAAAGGCTGTAGCCACGTGATCCAAGTATAAGGTGCATCTTCAGGGCGTTAAGGTTACACATGGCAAGGTAGACAAAAACCAAGTGAGCGGATTCTCAGTTGTTGGTGTTCCATCTGTAAGATAGTTAGCAAACCATCCAAGCATACTTGCGTTTGCAAGGGTAAGCGTACTTGTGTCCACACTCGCACTCGTAGAAGACAGTGGAGCCTTCATCGGCACTGCGCAGCTGCTGGGTGTAATAGCGCACTTCCTCCCTGCCGCACTTCTCACACGTCTGCGCGATCGTCGCATGGCCGCCAATGTCGGCGTCGTCGACGCTCTGTACTTCGGAGCGCTTCGTCCGCAGCGCCGAAGGGAAGGCATCCGGCTTAGAGCGAGTGACAATTGTCTTCAACGAGGTATCTGCGCTGCGTGAGCTACTATTTGTGATTGACTAAGATGGTGAAAGTACCTTTGCACGACGCGCCGCAGACCTGGCACGTCAGTATGGCGTTTTGTTTGCCTGCACCGCCATCCAGCAGGTTACCGCAGTCGGTGCAGAAGACGAGTGAGCCGATAGCTGCCATTGCAATGTCGCGGGGGTTGTTTTTGCAGCTCGCTGTAGACGACGGAGGAGCAAGCAGCCGCTCCGTGGGAAAAAGTTCAGAGCGGGGCCTTTCCGCGCCGTTAGCGCTTGCCCCAAAGCAGCGCGCATGCGCAGCGATCACGGGCTTTCGCGACGACGCATCACTCAGTGCTGCAACGCGCCATTCGACGGCATCAACACTGAACCTGACCGTGGAAGCCATGCGGGTCTTAGTGTAGTATCTGCGCCTTGCCTCAAGCGGCCGCAGCGGTCTTCACAGCACGCTTCATTGCGCACTGCTTGCGTCGTCTTTAGCAGCCCTCCACCAGCACAAGGCAATCAACCGCCGCCATGTCTGCATACCCCAATGGAGACTGGCACACTGCCAACGGCAACGGCAACGGCCTTCCCTTTCGACCGCCCACTGTCGACGAGGCTCTCCCGTATTCGCCCTTCACGTCGATTGTGCCCTTCTCTCCAGGTCAGTTGCCGCCTTTACTCTGAAGCTTTCGCCTTGTTCTCTTACTCTAGGACAACCGCCAGGCTAACACGTACAGATGTTATACCGTTCCCTGCGAACGAACCGCCAACACCCCCAACTACGTTAACTACCGATCAACAAGCGGCAGCGAGGAAAGCAGTGGGCATCCTGAATGAGGAGATCAGAGGGCCGTCCTCAACCGCACATCACCTAGAACACACGTTGCGAGAGTTACGCAGTCTGCTGGGGGATCCTCGCGAGATGACTGAATTTCACTTCAAGCCTACGGCCCAGCTTGCCACGCCTCCGCCCGATAGTCCTACAACGCCGGCCGATGAGAATACCCCGACAAGTCGTCCGAAGCTCAGCCCGTTCGCCAGCATGCTCCTGAGGCAGACTGAGGTACATTACCAACGTAGGTGTGCTCGACCTGCATATGTGCTTTCACTGACAAACACAGCGACGAAAACGCCCACGCCAGCACCGCAACGTTCAAAGTCTAAACAAGAGCCATCGCGGCCCCATATTCCTACCGCTCCACCGCACCCTTCTTCACAGCATATGACTCCCAATCAACGGCAACATGTTTCTACCGCTCCGCCTCATCGGCCGTTACAGCAAATGACCCCCAGTCAACAGTCGACTCACCGGCCATCACAGCAGATAACTCCCAGCGTGCAGGCGACTCATTTCGAGAAGAATAATGCACTGGCTTATCCTTCCGACACAACTGTTCCTTCGAGCACCAGCTCGCAGCCTCGCTCCGGTCCTGCTGTAGTCATAAACCCTTCTAGTGCACCCAAGCATGAGTTTCGCTTGATCGAGAATGTACCGTCGTCTCCTGACGAGACTCAACACGCAAACCTCGATTACCTGTCCACTTTACAACCGGCCGAAAGGGAACTCGCAGAACAGAAAATACAAAGGCTGCGCCGGCTTGTTGTGAAGTATCGTGAAGCCAAAGATGAACTAGAGTCAGACTACTTCGAAACGGTCTCAACTGTGGACTCAGACATGATGGTAATGACGAACGATGCCCTTAAAACATTATACGATAGGATCATGTCGGTATACGCGACAAAGTGCTTTTCGTCCGTACCCGTGGAGATCATCATCCAGATCCACTCCCTTTGCGACCCCCTGATTGTCATGGCAGATCAGTCTTCATTGTTCAGCGAGGGTGAGCTGGACTCTTGGACTCGCGACCTAGCGACCGTAGAGTCCGCGCTTAAGGCCGCCAAGCTTGCTCTTACGGTCATGCTGGAAGGACCCTCAGATCGTCGGACGACCTCCGAAGATCTTCTCACGGCGATCGTACGGGCCATGAAACGAGTGCTGGAATCCTGCATTTTTAATGTGCTTGCAGCATCGCGCAAGGACGCTGATACAAGCCTCTTTGCGTATGCGACCGATCACCGACCGGAAATATCGACAGTGCTTCGACTATGCACGAGCTTGGAAGATCTCTTGGCCCAGACCATTCGCAAAGTCACTTTGCCTGACAGTGCCCTGTATGATGTAGAGTTCCTTGCACTAGCTTTGCTCGTTCACCCGAACAGCGATTCCGAGAAAGACTCCGTACTGGGGATCCAGCAGTTCGAGAGGCTGCGTCGAGCGGCCATGGATGTGGTAACCACCATTTTTGCCTTTCGCCCTGACCATCAAAAACAGATTCTCGATGAAATATTGAACAGCTTGGAGAAGTTGCCAGACAAAGGCTCCAATACCAGACAGTTCAAATCGGTGCAGGTGGAGCCCATCATGACGGTCTCCGCAATCTTCATGCAGTTTGTCCAAGTCGCTGCAACACACACGCAAGACCAACGCACAAAGGTGACTTCGGATCCAGGGGAGGATGATTCTTCAGCCGAAGACGAATCTGATAGCGACTCTGATGAAAACCGCCGGCACGCACGGAAAAAGAAGAGCAGCAAGATCAATGCATCAGCTGAAGCCACTACTGATCGCTTGATGAATAACGCAAAGCTTGTTGCTCAGACAATTGCCACGACGATAACAGAAAGGGCAAAGAACGTGACCAAATCTGGCGATAAACCATTTCGCAATCTACTCGACATGTTCGTCGATGACTTCTGCAAAGTCTTGGGCTCACCAGAGTGGCCGGCAGCAGATCTGCTCCTGGTCCCACTCTTCCATCTGATGTGCAAATACCGTAATGATAGTTCGAATCGGAACATGGCCCTGTCCATACTGGGAACCATGGGTGGTGGCATTTTGGATTTTAAGAAACGTACTCGACAGTTGAGACGAGACATTGATGTCTCGCAGTCTGATCTCTCCGCAAAGCTGTATCGGCTCACCGAAGAGATTCTGGAAGACGACGCCCCTACTATTAAACGAAGTGACGTCATTGCACTAAAGGACCCGTATCGGATGGTTCTTGAATCTCTCCCTGATTATCTCAAGGTGACGGATGATCTAGAGGATCTACACCTGCTGTCGGTGCGTGGGTGCTACGTCTCCTGCTGGCTGGATTTCATATCACAAGTTATTTCTCAGGACAAGGAGGCGGCCGAGGACCCAGACATTATCGAACTACAGAAGAAGGTGCGATCAATGGCGCTCGAGCCCAAATGGACCTCTCAGGAATAGTAAGTGTTCGAGTCTGTTGAAGAGAACTTACACTAACACTCCACTTAGCAAATATCAAACCGTTTCTGAGTCACAAAGTCGTCTGGCGGCAGGTGCTACTACTGTGAAGAATCGTTTCTGTCGATACTTCCCCACGATCGTTTCCGTCATGTTTGAACAGGTTAGAGTTGGTGGAGCCCAGCAAAAAACAAGTGCGATAAGGAACATTGACTCTTTCCTGACCAAAGATCCGCATGCGATCTCTGACGGACACGTCAACGCGTTGGTGCGCAATTTGGGCGATAATTCCCCATCCGTCCGAGCCACGGTTCTGTCACTCATATCGAAATGTTGGAAGTCGAATCCTGCAATTGGTCGACTTTGCCTGCCAAGCGTCCTGCAAATGACTAGAGACACCCATAACGAACCAAAGAAGAGGGCAATCAACCTCTTAAAGTCGTTCTACACAAAATCCGAGTCTCTGGAGGCAAAAGTACAGATCGTAACTGCCTTACTGCCTGCCTCGCAGGATCACGAGAGCACAGTCGCCGACATGGCACGGCAAGCGCTCGAGGAAGTTTGGTTAAAAGTACTCGATATAAAAGTCCACGGTGACGAGAACCTTCGAAAACTACAACGGATGGAGCGCGTTTCCTTGATCGTCCAGACCGTGCAGAGGGCGCAAAGGCTGGGATCAACTGACTCCATGCAAGCATTCGAAAAATTCTTCTACAAAGCTCTTGCGAAGGGTGCACCCAACGCCACTGTCAACTTCCAGATCTGCAAGAACTTAGTTGCAGATCTTGTAGAGGGCGTGATCAGTCCGGATTCTATGGCTGAAGACTACGCCCAGAACAGCGTGCTGCAGACACTGAGTATATTCGCCAGAGTTAACCCCGGCATGTTCACACTTGATCAGATTCAAAGGCTCAAGCTGTACATTATCGATCCGAAAACTGCGGAGGACATTGAGATACTAAGCTCGACTGTTACTGTCTTTCGCTTCGTCATTCCCCACTTGTCCAATATACCGACCCAGTTCGCCGATGATGTATGGCGTTTACTCGGTGTGGCGATATCGAAGCTAGCACAAGCGGCAGCCAGTGGCACTATTTTGGGCAAGAACACTCTGCTCGGAGTTGGCCATTGCATGTGGATCATTAGAGGCGTGGCTACTAACGGACTCGCGAAATTGCTAGCCATCGTTGGCTCCAGTCTTGTCCAACTCTTGCAGGCTGTCGCAATGGCCAGCGACCCTCCTACGCAAGAAGCACAAAAGAAACGGATAATGTCATGGCTGACAATCATCGGCACCTTTGGTAAAGTCTGTGACTGGACTGAGTATGTCACCCAGTTTCACAATTCTGTCGCAAACTCGGCGAGGAAGATTGTCGCCAGCAAGCCTGCAGCCGAGAAACAGCTGAAGACTTTGCTTAATCCGTCAGGCATGGCGCCGTCTCTCATACTCTTAGAGACCGTGCGCGCTTTCACCAAACAGTCGTGGGTGCTTGACATACGCGAGAGTGCTATGTGCGCTGTCTGTGAAGTGTGTCAAGGGTGTCCTGACCTGTTCCGGCGCGCAGATGTCGATACGACCTTCAAGGTTGTGTTCAAGAACGATATTAATTCTTTGAAGCAGATCGTGCTCACTCAATTTCACGAGTATTTCGTAAAAAAGGAGCAACAGTCGCAGAAAGAAGGGCCCATCGAGCAAGACAGTGCGGCTCCTGACGACGCGAAAAACGGGATCAGTCGAATGGGCACCACTTTCGAAGCCTCCCCGGACCAAGTCAACGTCAGTTATTTAGCCCGTAGTTTCTTGCAGGCTATCGTCGACATTGCGCTCCAGAACGATAACGAGCTTGCTCTCGTGGCCACGAAGACCATTGTTAGCGTCAGCAGGCAAGGTCTGGTGCACCCTAAAGAGGTTGGGCCGGTCTTGATTGCTATAGGATCCTCGCCAAACCCACAACTATCCGAAGTGGTCGCCTCCGAACACAACGCGATTCATGCGAAACACGAATCTAATTTCCACAATGAGTATATGGATGCTATCAAGATGGCCTTCGAGTACCAGCGAGATGTATTCCATGATCCACATGGGATGACCAAGCCACCGGACTGCAAGCCGAAAATAGCTCACGTGTTCAACATCATGAAGGATGGTAGTCGAAAGACGGTCAAGACTTTCATCAGTAATCTTCTGGGGAAGGTGGATTTCAAGCTCTCGGAGCTCGTTGAACCAACGGCGAGTCTCAACGAGTTGCTATATACTCGATTTTGCCTGGAGAATCTCGCCTTGTTCGATGTGGCAAAGATGGAGGACGTATCTCTTATTATCACTGCCCTTGAAAGCATCGTGCTGAAGAACACTGGTCCCTCGGTAGGCGTTGCGATCGAAACCGAGATGCCGAAACAAGCGCCAGCACCACAACAACTGCCTCTGGACGCAGCAGGTAGCTTTCTTGCGCCTGACACCGCCATGCAGGATGCCATGCGAGACGACCATGTCTCTGTCTCCGATGATCGTCTTATGCAAATTACACGCGCCTGCATGATGCTCCAAATGATGTGGGAAACCCGCTGCTTTATTCGCAAAGCGTACAACATCAAGGTGCCTCGCATATCGAAGACGGCTCTCCAGAACACTGCTTCGCGGAACAATCTTATCAAAGGCGCAGACTTGTGGGAGAAGTTTGCACACATTTTCAATGCCGTGGAAACCCGCCGGAGCATGATTGATCATTGCTACGAGTTTGCAGAACTTCTGGAAGTGGACAAGGACTTCGCAATTGATGAGGATGAGGGTGAAGATGAGGAAGGAGAGGGATACACGACCCCACAGGAAGATGAGGATCAGGGTGTGTTGGTGCCAACGAGTGGCCGCGGACGGAAGAGGAAGTCTTCAGCGAGCCTCACGAACACGCCGAAGAAGGCGAGGGGCAAACTAGCAGGCAGCAAGAACAAGAAAAGAAGCTCGAAGACGCCTGAGTGGGATGATGGGGATTAGGAGCCCTGATCCTGGAGTATCAAGGTGGAGGAGAATGTTCATCTGTGGACCTTCGTAACGTACATATAAGCGGGCAATGCGTCACTTCGGGAGTCACTATTGGGGGGGATATGGTCGCATTTTTATGGAGGCGTCAAAGGACTTCTGGGACTATGGAAGATACCCTAGCATATCGGCGTTACCACCTTCCCAGCTTCATGCTGCTGTGCGCTTCCGCAGCGAACACTGGCATGAATCGTATCACACAACGGACTGTATGTCTATAACATATTCTATCAAATTTTCAATGCTCGTAAATGACATGTTACCTGAAGCCGCACGCACGCAAGAGCAGGGCCACGATAGATTCAGCTCCAGCGTTTACCGTTCTCCCTCGTTTCGACGCATCGAAACATGGTAGAAGCTTCATTCGCTGGCCTGTATGTAGGGCTGGAACGCCCGAAATCGATACCTAACCCGTCTAAATTCGGATGCAGTCAGATCGCGTTTGGCCACTCAGGCACGCATTTCGCCTCGCCAACCTTGCATGAGGCTGATCGGTCGTCGCTAGCTCAACGCCACTTCTACTTCCCGAGCTGAATATGCAACGAGCGTACACCAGCGGTATGCTGTGGCTGGGCAGGTAGTCTATCACTGCGTGCGACTACTGCAAGGCTGGGAATGCCGGTGTATGCGGATGTGGTGGCGCTGCTGAAAGGAGCGGTTACACCGAGTCTTCACGAAGCTTTTTTAGTATACTCGAATAGTGCGAGTGATGGATCGGGATCTGGGATACGGTGGATGGTGTGGGTATGTATCGCAGATGCTGGGATGGGTGCGCAGCTGGTGGGTTGGGCTGGCTGGAGGAAGCGACGGTCTTGCTGCGTCTGCAAATACCGCTTCTCGCGGCTCTTTGCCCTGGGAAACGATATATAATCATCGACTGCTTCGCCATGCCGATCTCTCCCAATTCGATCATCTCACGTTCTATTCAATTTCATTGTTCGCCACGAGATCTACCCAGCATGGCGTGTCCCTACATGATCACCATCCCCGATCCTCTCCTGGCAACAGTGCGTCTCCTCCTCCCCCTTCCCCAACTCCCACGCATATCTACTAACTCACCTCAGGCCAAGCATCTCCGCACCGTGCCTCACCATATCTACACTCTCTACCTCTTCACCGCCGCCGACTTCCCCACCTTCGCCGTCCCAACCACCCTCTTCGCCCTCTTTGCTTCCCTCTCAGGCCCGCACCTGACCACGAACCCCCAGCCAGCCCTCCTACCCACGCTTACCCGCGTACCTCTAGCGCTCGCAGTAACATGGGCCAACCTCCTCCTCTTCAACATCTCGAACCAGCGCTCTCCCACTGCCGTCGAAGAGGATAGAGTGAACAAGCCCGCCCGGCCCCTGCCTGCAGGGCGCCTGAGCTGCAATTCGGCGCGTAGATTGCTGCTCTATCTCGCCCCGGCGGTCATGCTTCTCTCATGGGCGATGGGCGTCTGGGAAGAGTGTCTTCTTCAGCTCGCCTTCACGTGGGTGTACAACGACCTGGGCGGATGCGACGAGCACTGGCTCCTCCGCAACGCGCTGATCGCGCTGGGGTACGGATTTTACTCCTCTGCCGCGCTGCGGGTTATGGCGGGTCCCGAGCACACAGTCACACCCCAGGGACTGCGCTGGATCGGCGTGGTGACGGCGATCATGTTCGCAACCCAGCACATTTGCGACATCAAAGACGCGGCGGGGGATGCACTGCGCGGGAGACAGAGCGCGCCGATCGTGCTGGGGGATACGGTCGTGAGGTGGAGCGTGGCGGTTCCTATACTCCTGTCCTCGAACTTCTGCGCATGGTACTTCGCGTCGGGGTTGCCGGCGTACGTCGCGACGCTGGGTTTGGGCTTGCTGGTGGCTTTCCGCATACTGGCCTACCGTGACCTCAAGAGTGATAAGAAAACTTGGAAGCTCTGGGCGCTCTGGACGGTGGGGCTCTTTGCGCTGCCGCTAGTTACAAATCCTGCTGTTTTTGAACGGACGTGGGTGGACCTGCGGGTGGCGCTGTGGGAGGTGAAGTGTTTGCTGTGCGAGGGTGAGAGGTGCGAGATGCTGGATTTGGCGGCTGTGTCGGGAATTGCCATGGTGTTTGAGGGACGGAGGATGTATGCGCAGGGGTTGGGGGCTGCGGGGAATGGGAGTGTGCCGGAAATTGTTGTTGAGAGCGTGGTCAGGTCGACGTAATTATGAGTATTTTCTGAGAAGACAGTTACATCTATGTACTGCAAATAAGATTAGTCTGCAACCCAATATTCGGTGACATGTTTCTTGCTCTTCCAGCGCTGGAACCAACAGCAAACGGGGAAGAATGCGGTGTTGGCTGCGCCCCATGCAATCAAAATACCGAAGTCCAGCCCAATGCGCGGATGCAGGTTGAACAATATCTGTCGACTGCCTTCCACAACAGAGTGCAGAGGCCAAGCATAACCCCATCGATAGAACGAAGGCGCTATCTCGATGTCATAAAACGCCGTCGACACGTTCGTGATGACCCAGAAGATGAGCCAACAACCCATCCAGGGCGCACCAACGATCATCGCGACATTCTCGCACGCAAGTCCCAACGCGATCATACCGAAGAAGTTGAGCATCCAGTACACAGGGAACGTCCCGTTTCCATAAGCCGGTGGATTTCCGTACGCTATGTCAGTGACCTGGGTCTCGGACTGTACCGGGTTGGCGCGCGTGAAATTGATCTGGAACGCTATGGAGACGAACGAGTAGGCGAGCGATAGGAAGACGTACGCGCTTATCGTAGCGCACCATCGCCAGATGATTAGCTGGTAGAACTTCAGCGGTGGGTGTCCCTTGGGGTTGAGGTACTGCATGTGAATGGGCAGGTAGAAGGAGAAGCTAAAGAAGGATATGATGATTAGGTAGATGAGTCCGATCGACACCGCCGGGATACCGGTGTATGGGTAGAAAGGCCTGAGATTGAACTCGGAGAATCCAATCGCGGGATTTATGGCTTGTGGGACGGCTTGTATGTTCCGCAGAGTTTCAGTATCGGATGCATTTTGTAGAGCAGTTTGCGCCCATTGCGTGCCGACCATGCTTTGGGCCTGCGTCATGTAGGCGCTGATGATTGGCAGTATGAAATCGTACCAATTGGTATCGTCCCGTGAGTCCTGATATACCAGTTGGCATGCGCCCAGCGGATCGTAGGAAGTGTTGCCCGTTGAGATAGCGGAGTAGAGCAGGGAGGTCGCGTTCGGATTGATGATGATTGCAGCCCACGCATCGAAGTTGTAGATTGCTTGTCTCACTTGGATCGGGTCGTTGTTGAACTCTGAAGGAGATCGGACACTGAAACCCAGGGTAGGTTCGCCTGAAGTGAGCATCTGCTGGGTCATCTGTGTTATGGTGGGTCCAACGAGCGGCGGATTGGTGTTGTAAGGAGATAGGCCATCGAAATCGACAACATAGACGATTAGATGGTTCAGTCGGTGTTGCACTTGGAAGAAGACGCCCCAGTAGATGGATAGTACGGCCAAGATAAATGCCATCAGGAAGACCGTAGTAATTATCCATTTTCCGAATGCACGGTTTCGGACATGCTTCAGGGAAGAATCCCAAAATCCGACTGGTGTAGGCGGCTCGGAATGAGGTTTGCCTTGTTCAGCGTCGCGTGCTGGCTCTTCGCGATTCGTTTGTCCATGGCTAGCAGTGTTTGAAGCGTTTTTGCTCCCGACGACCCTTTGCTTCAATCGGCGTAACATCGCATCTGGTATAGCCAAGACAAGCACAACAAGAAAAATGGGTACATTGAATGCTTGCACGTCTTGGCCAAATATATGGGGTTTGAGAGAACGCTTCGCGACGGTAGTGACCGATGACGTAAGATACTCGTAGAAAAAGTCGTGACGTCCACTCTCGAATCACGGACCATCCGGCAATACCGCTTTGAACCTTTTTTAGTGATGTTTGGGTTTCCGTTCGCTGAAATTACCAGCTACTGATCACTTCTTTCACGATGGCGACCCTGGTAGCCCAGTCATCGCGCAATGAGGCGTATGCGCTGGCCGAGTAACTCACACTTTTACGCGTATCTGCGTCCTTTGTGTCTTCCATTCGCGTATGATGCACCCTCCAAGCTCTCTCTATACTTTCTAACATCTTTTGGAGTTCCCGTTTCATCGTGCGCCTCCTTACGTTCCTTAGCCAGGCGTTTTGGACGTTCGGTTGGGCGATGGTCCACAAATATGAGCTGAACCATTTATGAAAAGACCTCAGAACAGAGAACGTGTCTGCTTCCGAGCCAAATTCAGTGTTTATTCCGAATCTGTAATTCCAATGTAGCTTTTTCGGGATAGAGTGGTTGCCACACCATTGAGTCCAGTGCGCGAGCAGGCAGAAATTGATGAATTGATTGTACGAATTTCCTTTGGGGATCAAGTACCTGCCACCAAGACAAGTTAATAACAAATTATCAGTTTTAAAGAGAGAAACAGAGGTTATGGGGGTTATGTTCCCCCGACATTTGCTTCAAATCGCATCAGGTCAAAGCCTTAGTATTGCATGGCTATCTTGCTCAGAACATCCCCCCCCCAAAGTACCAAGAGTCAGAAGAAATACCTTACCTGTTGCCAAAGGTATCGCACAACTCAAACCTTTTCTTTGTAATCGGCGGGAAAATGTGTCCGCTTAGATCCATAATCAAGTTCTTGTTTCTTGACATATAGTTAACGTGTTCTTTCGGTATGGTAGTGACCCACTGCTCGAAAGGCCGGAAGTCAAAATTTGTTAGCTTGTATGTGATACGCGTCGACCCATATAGCAAGGTTGCGACTTCGAGGCGCACCAAGCCGCAAACGTGAAGTAAGGCGGGTTTGAACCTTTCTTTCATTCCACACATGTATTTGCCGGAGGCTGGCGCTAAGAACAAGTCTCGGGGCAGGACACATTCGTAAATCTGAAGACGCAATTCCCGAGGGAGGCGCGAGAAAAGGCAAGGCTGAGTCGGATCGCGAGGAGACATGAGAAGAAGCCTCGGTGGTCTTTTCAAATGAGGTCGAGCGGGATACCGGACGCTAGAGCGCTCTGGAGTAACCCGGGTTTGCCAGGCCGCTGTCGGCCTCGTATAACGAGGTGTAGTTGGCGCTGCACTCATAGTCGATCGAGTTCAATAATTATTGCGAACCAGATGTGAGAATACGACAGAAGTTGTCAGCGAATGTCGGTAGTTTGGCGGTGTTCAATGTGTTACTCCCCTTTCGGGTGATGCTGGGTAACCAAGCGGCACGTGACTACGCGGGGGTCGCGTCATGGCTCCTGCCGCTTCGTCGCGTTTGCAGCATCCTCCAGATCTCGCACTGCACAACACCCAACATAGCCTGGATGTCCCAGTGGCGCTCACAAGATGGCCGAGGAGATGGATATCGTTCCTTCGTCGCCCCGTGGTATCAAACGAAAAGGTGATGAAAACCTGCCATTACCAGCACCGCGACGTATCAAGGCGCTTGCTCAAGACGTCGTGAACAAAATCGCCGCCGGTGAGATCATTGTCGCGCCCGAACATGCGCTTAAGGAATTGATCGAGAACGCCGTGGATGCAGGATCAACTTCGCTGGAGGTAGTCATCAAAGAGGGCGGACTGAAGCTGTTGCAGATTACAGACAATGGTCACGGCATCGATGTAAGTTTTTTCACCTCGCTGACGCGTCTTTTTCTGACGATGCGCAGAAGGAAGATCTGGCGATTCTTTGTGAGCGCTTCACTACCTCGAAACTGAAGGCGTTCGAAGATCTGAGCTCGATTGGAACGTATGGCTTTCGCGGCGAGGCATTGGCAAGTATCAGCCACATTGCGCATCTGAGTGTTACGACGAGGACTAAGGAGTCAAGTTGTGCATGGAGAGCGCAATACTCGGACGGAAAGCTGGTCAGCCCCAAACCTGGACAAAGCGCTGAACCGAAACCAATCGCTGGAAGGGGTGGTACCCAGATCACGGTAGGTTGTTGAGACTCATGTTCTTCATGAAAAGTGTTGACGACGATGAACAGGTGGAAGATCTCTTCTACAACGTTCCATCACGAAGGCGGGCATTCCGCTCAGCAAGCGAAGAGTATGCTAAGATTCTCGACATGGTTGCACGCTATGCTGTCCACTGCGCTGGGGTCTCATTCACATGCAAGAAGCATGGTTCTTCTACTGCCGACATATCTGTGCCGACAGCTGCCGGGACTCTGGATCGCATCCGACAGATCCATAAAGCTACCGTAGCCAATGAACTGGTAACACTGAATACCGAGAATGAGCGATGGGGCTTCAAATGCGAGGGCTGGATCAGTAACGCGAATCACAGCGCGAAACGGACGACTCTATTACTCTTCATAAATCATCGCTCTGTTGAGTCTTCCGTCATCAAGAAGGCTATTGAGCAAACCTACGCCACGTTTCTACCGAAAGGCGGTCGCCCGTTCGTTTACCTGAATCTCGAAATAGAGCCTGCACGAGTGGACGTGAACGTCCACCCAACCAAACGGGAAGTTCACTTCCTAAACGAAGATGAGATTATCGCCATCATTTGTGACGAGATCCGGAACAGCTTGAGCAAAGTAGACACGAGTCGCTCGTTCATGACACAGTCTTTGTTATCCAACCAGCCAAAAATACCCTTGGCTACCCCCGTGAAGCAGACGGCTGCAGGGGTATCGACTCCAACTCTCACGTCGGAGCGAAGTGATCCAAGACCACCACCGACCACGGCCATGAAGAAGCGCAACGAAAACAACCTCGTCCGCACCGATGCGTCAGCGCGCAAAATTACTTCCATGTTACAATCACATCCATCGGCAGATGGTGCAGCCAATGAAGACGAAGAGATGGACTACGAGTATACAGAAAAGGAACCCACAAGCTGTCGCCTGACCTCTGTCAAAGAACTACGCGCCCAGGTGCGCGACGCCATGCACAACGAGCTCACGGATATCATCTCCACGCACACTTTCGTCGGAATCGTAGACGAACAGAAACGCATTGCAGCCATACAAGGGGGTGTCAAGCTCTTCTTGGTCGACTACGGGATGCTCTGCAATGAGTACTTCTACCAGCTTGGACTCACCGATTTTGCAAACTACGGGGCTCTCCGCTTCAAACCGCCGCTCCTTCTACATGACTTGCTCAGGATTGCAGCGGAACAGGAGCAGCGCAACGCAGGCGATTCAGCAGACGAAGTTGATTGGGACGATGTAGTCGACAGCGTAAAGCAGCAACTCATTGATCGACGCGCACTGCTCGCAGAGTACTTCTCGCTCGAGATCACTGAGAAGGGTGAGCTTTGCTCCATTCCTTTGCTGGTGAAGGGCTACGCACCTTCCATGGCGAAGCTTCCGCAGTTTCTGCTTCGGCTGGGCCCATATGTGGACTGGGACTCAGAAAAGGAGTGCTTCCAGTCTTTTCTGCGTGAACTCGCCTCTTTCTATGTGCCCGAGAGTTTACCATTGCCACTTTCCATGCCCCAGGACGAGAGTGGCAAGGGCAAAGTCACAGAAGAGGATCCAGAAATTGTAGCAAGGAGAGAGAAGGTGCGAAAGGCGCTGGAGGACGTGATCTTTCCGGCTTGTAAGGCGAGGCTGGTGGCTACGCGGGGCTTGTTGAAGGGCGTGATGGAGGTGGCGAACTTGAAGGGACTGTATCGTGTATTTGAGCGATGCTGAAGCATATTAGTTACGTCGCAATTGGCTCAGCCATAGACTTCACTTCTATGACTTCGGTGTGGAACTAGCGCCCGAGCTCGGAGCGTGTTGACACTGGCGTGGGGTGACGCTAGCTCAGCCCTACCAGTGGCGGCGTTTGTGATTATCAAGCCATCCGTCGCCGCAACTTTCTCCAAACTACAGTTTCTTCTGCCACAACACATCGCGACCCTACCATGGCGCCCTCATTAGAAGAACCCGTCCAGATCGACCTCAATGCGCCCCTCAAAGCAGCCCCCAAACTCGTCGCACCAGAGCCAGGTACAATCTCACCCCACCATACCCCTCTAAAGCCGTGCTCCTAACAACAAACCACGCAGAACACTGCCCCGGCCCCGAATCCGAACAAGCAGGCGTTGCAGACAACTGCGCCGGCTGTCCCAACCAGAAAATCTGCGCTTCCGCCCCGAAGGGCCCCGACCCCGACATTCCGGTTATCACAGAGCGCCTTGCCTCAGTCCGCCACAAGATCCTCGTGCTATCCGGCAAAGGCGGCGTCGGAAAGTCGACCTTCAGCACCATGCTCTCGCACGCTTTCGCGTCGAACCCTAACCTCACCGTCGGCCTCATGGACACGGATATCTGCGGCCCAAGCATACCCAAGATGATGGGCGTGGAAGAGGAGACCATACATGTGAGCGCGGAGGGGTGGGAGCCGGTGTGGGTGAGCGAGAATTTGGGCGTCATGAGCGTGCAATTTATGCTGCCAGGGCGGGACGACGCGGTGATTTGGCGCGGCGCGAAGAAGAATGGGTTGATCAAGAAGTTCCTGATGGAAGTGCGGTGGGGCGAGATGGATATGCTCATCGTGGACACGCCTCCGGGCACGTCCGATGAGCATCTCTCTGTGAACTCGTTCCTCAAGAGCTCGGGAGTGGACGGTGCGGTGCTGGTGTCTACGCCGCAGGAAGTCAGTTTGCTGGATGTGCGTAAGGAGATTGACTTTTGTCGCAAGGCGAAAATTCCAATACTGGGTATTGTGGAGAATATGTCCGGGTTTGTGTGTCCGGGGTGCAAGCATGAGAGTCAGATTTTCCGCGCGAGCACCGGCGGTGCGAAGAGGTTGGCTGCTGATGAGAAGATACCGTTTTTAGGCGCGGTGCCGTTGGATCCAAGGATAGGCATGGCGTGCGATTTTGGAGAGAGCTTCTTGGATGCGTATCCTGAGTCACCGGCGTGCAAGGCTATACGGCACGTTGTCCGGAGAGTGGCCGAGGAGATAGGCATGCAGGGTGACGTCTTAGAAGGAGACGAGTAAGAACACCTACTTCAAAGGGCATTTGGGCGGCGTTTGCATTGTTTTCGAGCGATTGATAGCGTTATATTTGGTTCATAAGAATTTAGAGGTCATATGGACAGTCAAACACTCGTGGGACTCCTTGAATGTTTTCAGTTGGACTAAGAACACAACGAGATCGATCCGACGTGTGAACAAGGGGATGGAACACGATGAGTGGCAATTCAGTAAGCAACAACCTGCCAAAATTCAAGAGCTGTTTAGACTGACTAGAAGGAAATGTCTTTTCAGAGCAAGTAGGGAGTTGCAAAGACAGACCGCAAGCAACTCATCCAAATACCCTATTCGTTGTCGGGCACCCTCCAAGACCACACAGAGCCACGACTTCAATCACCTCAGCAGTACCCAGCCCCGTTGATCTCACGCCCATAAGTTGCATCCCATTCCTCAATCGCGTACCACCCCGCCTGCGGCAACCCACACGCATCATCGATTCCCGCAAAGGACCTCTTTATAAGTCCTGCATGGCACGTCTGCCCGACCCCATAGTTACACTCATATGCGACAGCAGACCCGACCACCTGCGCGGTCCATTGCTGAGCAATATCGAAGTAAACGCTCTCAGGATTGAATGAGCTGCAGTTGTAGTTCGAACGACTCGGGATGGTCCATTACGCGCATATCATCTCTATTCAAGCTGGATCGCGCGCTATCACATACTGCTGCGCCATTTTTTCAGATGGTTCAATCCAGATGTCGTGCTAAGCTGTGGATGACCGGGGGTGCAAACGGCAGCATCGCCATAACAATTATTTACGGTGTATATGACTCGGCATGTCAATACAGGCAAACACAACTCATATGGATCAGGTTCCCTAGAGGGTCATGTTGCGTACTTCATGAGCTCAATGGCCGAAGCTGCGCGCGCTAGGCCCTTTCGGAAGAGGTTTGCATCATGCATTGAAGCCTTCGTGGCACATACACGGCACATACACACACCGGTGCGGTCTAACCAATTGCAGGAATCCTCGCTAACACCTGGGCAGCATCTTCGTGTCGCAATGTCCTCAACCTGTTGCTACGATGGTATGATGAACGCACTGATCAAGCTTTTTATGTGGCCGCTGGAGTCACCCATCATTCCACGAGCAATGACCAACTCAAGCCATCGATTCAGTCTCGTCTATGAGACAGAATCATCTAAGAGAGTTTTCAAATAGCCGTGATTTCATTCCCAATCGCTGCATCGTGGACACGTCAGTATCGTGGCCTCAGCCTTGCGCCCTCGCTGACCCCGCCACAATGATGCACCTCTTGGTCGAAAGATGCGGTGAGACAGACCTATCGCGGATGATACAAACCACAGAGACTCCGTGTAACCCAGCCTAAGGTGCTCATCTCTTCACACGCATGGATCCCCTCTCTATCACCGCCAGCATAATCGCCGTACTTGGCATCTGTAGCAAGACATTGGAAGGCTTGGAGCGATGCTGGAACTTAAAACATCGGAACAAACACTTTCGAGATCTTCTAAACTCTGTAAATAGCATCATAGCGACGACTGGTTACCTTGCTGATGTTTCGGCAGATGATCGCGCTGCGCACCTTATTTACCGGTGTCGAGATTGCACTGAATGATATCCAACGAAGCAAGGTTAACATTGAGAAGATTCGGGACTGCCTAGGAAACGTCGACATACTATGCGAAAAGACTCTCGATACGCTAGGACAGCTAGACAGACTTGTCTCGAGCGTCAAACGTACAAGCAACAATTCTCCCAGAGACGGCCTTGTGATAACCAAATGGTTGATCAACAGATCCGAAATAAATCGCCTGCAGACACAGCTTATGAACTTGACGAGCTCCCTTGCAATAGCTCTACAGATTCTTCAAGGTGTACATTGCAATATCAAGATTGATCTGGTGCTTTCGCAGATAAAGGTGCCAGTCGAGGAGTCTGAACTAACTGCCACGTATCGAGACGATGCCTCGGGCTTGAATTCGCAGCTTCAGCAATCAGCAGGAGATCTAATGACGAGCACAGAAGCGCCTGTATCGAGGAATGTACCTGATGCTCAGATGCGATCCGAATCTACTTCATCAACCAAGTGGTCATGTGGCGATACTATCTCCGAGACTGCACTTCCCCAAAAGGACCCTTTATCTCAAGGACTCCCAGACCCAAATGGTACCTCTACCAGCTTTGGAACACTAAGCGGAACATTCGGCGACTGTGAACTGTTCTGCCAATGTCACTGCCACACCAGCATTCGCGCCAGAACGCCACGTTGGACCGACCATCTCATGGGTTCTTTCATTTTCCATGGTTCGATCAACCTGAGGCGCCCGCCGTGCGACCGAAAACAGTGCAGAGGGCCTAGACCACTGCGCGTCCAGGTTTCCTATGTCGTGCCATGTTGGATGTTCTTAAACAGCCTTGTCATTCATATGCAGGGCGAAATGCTGAAAGGCAAAATTTCGTGTAATCTGACCACTCCGAAGATCATTCCCAGTACCGCTGAAGTCTGGAGCATTGTGGAATTGGGGAAAATCTGTGAGCTGAGGCATTTGTTCTCAGATCGGTCGCTGTCTCCTTACGCCGTTGATCCACACGGCATTACGCTGCTGAGAGTATGTAACCTCATCTCTGATACGAATCCGAATTGAACTGTCCACAGTACGCAGCCATGAAAGGACAAAACGAGATATATTCGCTCTTACTCGCTGAGAATGCGGATCAACGCCTACGAGATAGCCTGGGGTTGTAAGTTTCGGATTGGAGTGAAACCACCGAGTATATGGCTGACCTTGTAGCATGGACGCACAACCAGGCATTGACCGAGTGCTTAGCGATCTAAGTTCAAAGGGGCATTTATTCACCAGAACAAATACCTCTGACCAGATATATATCACTAGTGAAAATTTGGACCAGCAAAACTTCACTAGTCTGCACCTCATCATCTTGGGGCTGGTACAGATAGAGCTTGAGCCTAGCCTGAAGTACCACCGTCTCGATGTTAACGCACAAGACTCAAATGGACGCACTCCACTCCTATGGGCTGCATGGCGGGGAGACGGAGACTCAGCTAATCTACTACTGAATTACGGCGCGGACTGCGACAAAGCAGATAACGCAGGCTATACCCCACTAGCAAAGGCCTGTGAAAGTGGCCACTTGGTGGTAGCTCAACTTCTACTGAAGGCCGGTGCATCCGTGCAGTGCAGGACTTTACGCGGCGACGATCAACCGATCCATCTTGCGAGCAGGAACCTCAACAATGGACATCAGATCGTCGAAGAGCTGATGAGATACAACGCAGATCCCATGACCATGAGTTCCGGCAGCGGCACGCCCTTACACAATGCTTGCAACTGTGGATCGCTCCAAACAATGAAGGTGCTCCTCTCTGTTGGCGCAGACATAAACGCTCTAGGAGAAAATCGCGATACTCCGGTTATGGAAAGCCTTTACTGCTGGAACGAGGCTGCCTTTCTATACTTGGCACAAGACGGCGCCAAGCTTGACATCGTGAATGGCAGCGGACACAATGTCTTGCTTGTAGCTACATGGAGCGCCAGCATCGTAGCCTGGGAAACGATCATTGAGTATGCCGATCGAGGAAAGCTTGGTTTCATTGATGTGAATGTACCGCACAACGGCCACGATATCCATCATTGTTTCGATAGGTGTCGCGATCTTTGGTTCGTAGGCCAGAGGGCAGAGAAAGATGTAGAGAAAGCGGTTTTCCTTCGGATGGTTCGAGCTTGCAGTCTGGCATCGCAGGCTATTTCCGTCAACCAGAGTCAACATCTGTGATGCGCACCTTTAGCCTTTTCCTTCTGTCTTTGAGGTTATTGATTCTCGCATAATGATAAAAAATTGACAACGGAGAAGCACCTTTCGCATGTTCTGTTCTCCTGCCGCAATCTCGAGAGGAAACCACACTTCTTCTGCCACACTCAGCTTCATACAAATATAACTTGCGAGCGACTGTTGGCGTAAAAGATCCCCCAATACAGCCAGAGAGACACGCCGACCCTTTTTTTGGCTCGGCCTGTCTATGCATCGTTGCTGTTTTGTCGAGCCTCCCTTCCCTAGTTTGGCTTCCCCACATAGTTGTCCGTGCTTCAGGCTCCACCAAATTGTATATCACCACATCCCAACATATAAGTGGGTCGTACTGCAGAGGAATGTCCAAAGCGGTTTTAGGGACCAGGGCGTCACAGTGTTGTTGAGGGAGCTTTCTCTAGCTTGACCAGATATCGCCAACGCTGCGGACCCGTGAAAACCTCCAAAGGCATCTCCGTTTGGCGGCTTTCACAATTCTCTACGCGCATTGTGCTTCTAGATGCGATCATTGGACAGCTTTACAAATGCTCTGGGCCGCATTGTGCTGCGACGCCTCGAGGCGAACTTGTTGCAGTTCGGCATGTTCATGGCTCCTTCCGAGTGAGACGGGTGACGTGGCAAACATAGCTTGCGGCTCTGTTACTCCGAATTAACATTTCCATAAAGCCGGGGTGACCATACGGGGATTAGGAAGCAATAATGCCCTCTCAAATGCAGGCTCTCTTCCTTCGCACTCTGTTCATGTATGGGCGCATAGAGATGCGTACTCACACTGCCCACTGCCCACAACCGGCCCCAGCGAATCATATCCGGCATCTTCGTGATATCCGAGCGCTACTGGCCGAGTAGCGAAAGGCTCAATCCTTGGCGAGATATGATTTCTCGTGTCGATCCCCGTGCCGCCTTCTTCCAACCGAAATCGAGCTATTTCGTCTCGTGCTGATGCAGAAAAGTGACCGCTTCTCGATTCGCTGCTTGTACATGGTCTTGTTCTTTGTATTATTGTTCTGCTTCACTCTAGTAATGCGCTGACGTCGAGCCTCGCACTATTGCAAGGTTTTGCCCACGCACGATAGTCGGCTCATGAAAGAAAAAAAAAACCCCCTCGTGAACGTGAGTCTTATCCACTAGAATGAGAGTTCGAAGCGCTGAGTTGCGGATTGATACTGTCGGAGCAGGGCAAGGGCAGTGACCAATCTGTTTGCCGCACGTGAACCGAAACAGGGGTGTCTGGCCATTTTTGGTCAGCCGTCGTTTCGCTCCGCTCAAAGGCTCTTGCTTACATGCTCATCTTGGCCTCGTTGATTGGTAGGTTTGGGGTGTCAACGTGCCGTTACGTTCTCATATCGCTGGCCTCACGACGATGCTGTACTTCAACCAAACTCTGTCGAACACAGAAAGGCACCGTGTTGCTTGAGAACATCCTCGGCGATGGCCCGAAGTAACCCCCGGGTCCAGCAGCTTACATCGTGGTCCATCGAGGGCAGAGTAACGAAAGGAACCCCCTCCCGCGGTGTTGCACAACGCTACTACAAGTCGTCTGGTACGACGATGGCGCGAATATTTTTTGCTGCTGCCGCGCTCCATCTGATTTGCATCCTCTGAAGCGTTTCATCGAGCTAGACATCAGCTGCTTTTTCATCAGACTGAAGTCAAATTCATCGAAAGCGAGACGAGTCACCGTCGGCCACACTCACCTTCTTCTCGCACAAGTAAGTCCCTCATCCATCGGAAAGTGCCGGTATTCAGAACGTGTGGGCGCAGGCAGGACTGACCAGCTTCGCAGCAAATCTCCGTTATTTTCGTAATGGAACCCCATTCTCGCGTACTGAGCGGCTTCTACATTCAAACCTCGAACGGCCTGAAGTACGTTCCGGGCAACAACAACAACGATGACGGATATGCCGGCGACGGTATCTCCACAAAAACCACGCAACCGAAAGTAGGCGACATCACGGGCTATTCCGCCGGTGGCAACGGGAAGGGCATTGCTGGATCCAACGGGCCACTAAAAGACCTTCGGGAACCGCCCAAATAGGGGACGACAGCCCACATAAGAGATCGCCCGCGGTTGGGCAATCAGGCGATTGCAGCTGTATGCTTAAGCGGCTGTTTCTTTGTCTGGATGTCTGGCTGTATGGCTCTGAAGCCGACACAGATGGAATGTCAGATGCTTGGACGGCTGGATGGCGGGTTGGTGTCAGGGCATCATGGTGAAATGGCATTTCTTGGTGGTCGACGTCTTTGGTTGCTCATCTCTATTGTGTTCGACGTCTCCGTAGCCGGTGCCTCAGGGTACTGCGCCTCTGAGTAGTCCTAGAAGATGGATTTTTGAAATTATTCCAGTATGCAGTATCAAAATTGAATTGAGGAGGATGCCCATGTGTTTTGCGGCATCTTTTGACGATCGTTTACTGTTCCAAACACGGATACCGTTGATACCGCGGAGGTATAGATTATGTTTGTGTACGATTGCTGGTGGCAGGGAAGGTAGGAGGTCGCAAAGGTCCTTCGCGAATTCCTTTTCACAATGAGACGAAGAGGACCCAAGAACAAGACTGTGAGATAAGAAACATAAGAGATAAAACTCTGGCATTGCTTTATTTTACACTACAAGCGGGTTGTAAGGCCAACTATGAACCACCCCCGCAGTCGAGATTCGTGAGGTCGTCGCTGGGTACATGCTCTAACGGCACTCGCTAAAAAAGAACCAACCACATTGAAATTCACGAATAAAGCTTATGCCGCTTCCCTGGAGTCGGGATGGACTCCTGTTCGACCATTAAGGCTCCACATGTATACAGTAGCCCAAAACGCATACTTTCGTATTCGCATTGCGTCAAATCTCGTACACCCTTGTCAACATATTCCGAGTCTAAACGAGGAAGCAGGAGAATTCAGCCGTCGAAGCCTGAACGATTGCGAAATATCCAACAGAAATTGACCAGTGTATAGTAGAAGCTACGCTATTACTCGAATTGCTGATGCAGACGATAAGGAACGATCATCCTCCAGGACGGTGGCCAACATTCTACAGGACTCGTTGTGTGTATTTGGTCACCGCTCCTGTGGTGACACAACCTATTCTTGTGGCGTTTTCCACATTCTCGAAGGAATGTCCTCTTTTTTTTTTTATCAGAGACTTCGCACAATGATTGAGACTAGCGCCAGCTCCGTGTAAATCCGAAGCAATCAAATCATAGGCCTTATCACCGCGGAGCACACCAATGGCCCTGTCTGCCCACCCTCTCATATGCAGCTAGGGAGATGAGAGAACTTCAAGAAATAATGAAGTGGGTAAAATAAATGAGATCAGTAGTTTTTCCTACAAGACCCAGTTCTCATTTACGAGGCTATGCACATATGCTACCTAATCTTAGAAGATCTCGAGCCTCGCGCCTGAATACTCGTCAGCAATCGTCCGCGATGAGTAGACTCTGAAGAAACGTACATGACAATGGTTTGGTTTGTTCCGCAAGGCTTTCTTACCAGATTGCCTAATTGGTCCCTTCTCTACTGATAACCAAGCGTTGGGTAGTACGAGCGGCAAAGTCATGCATGCCAACGGTGTGTAAGCGCACGGTATACCAACGCGTCAGATGAGTTTGCAGGCATTAGAAATTTCACTCTCGGCTTCAGAGTTCTGATAAACCCTACGTCTACAATGATTGAATTCTACCAATCATGGTTGCAAGGCCTGTTGCAGGTATGATCGTAACATTGGGGCCAAAGGACGTCTTCGTTGCTGATACACATAAATTTCCTACGAATAAACTTAAGGAACTCGGCGGAAAATTGCCAGAAGTGCTAGAAGGTTACTGTGCGATGTTTCTCACTAAACATATGCTTCGTTCCACCAGGTGTTCTTTCTTTGGATCTCTGCAAGGTCGTCTATGCCGCCAACAATTCAGTTTCACTAATGTTGTACTGCATTGGCAGTGCAGGTTGACACGCGCACGGTTGTTTGTACAATACATGACGCATATTCCTCACGAGACGAAATGATATGTGGCTAAGATGTATTACATCGACAAGCATTACAAGGAGAGAGACGTCTGCAAGGAGCATGGGTCCTGGAAACAAAGGTGCACGTCAACACTGTGTCCAGTGTACATGTGGGTCGGATTTTTAGGCGGATACGCCGAGCAAATACGAGGTAGAAATCGATTTTCGTGCTCACTTATTCATCGACGTACAATGCAATCCATGCTTAGGATAAATTGTGGGCTCAGCAATAAAACTGCATCTATCAGCAAATTCGGTTGAAGTTTCGCCGATCTCCCTAACTCGACTGGCGAGATTTTGATCGTTATGGCTGATTGGTTCAATTTTGGGGCTTTTTCGCAAAGCTTTTGGAGAACTTACGTTCTATCAGTCTACTCCGGCTTCATCGTGTTGTCGCGAGGCGGGCAGGTACAATTGCTGTGGTCGATATCTCGCCAGTCTCCTTCCTGTGAGCTTCCACGTTGACCTATCACATGATAATTTAAGAAACGCAAGGTAGTGTGACTTAATACGGAGCGAGTTCCCTGATTTCAGTGACGATATTATGAGAGATAAGAATGATCATAACAGACTGCATCTCAGGAGATGTACTGAACCAACCGCGAGCACGTACAATAGACTAAACTTTGCCGGGTATAATTCGACGCAGATGCATACCAAGCGACTTAGTCATATCTGTCGTTTGTTCGACTGAACAGAATTTCAATCTGACCCGGATAAGGACACCTCAAAACACAAAAACGATTGACACTGCCGCTAGCTACCTCTAGCAGTCCCGACAAAGTTACTCTTGTATGAAGATCTTCACTGGTACATCTTACTTCTTCAAGACCGCATTGATCTTACCAATGAGAAACCTTCCAGCCTCCCCTGCATCTGATCCGTAGCTAAGATGGGGAGCAAGTACAGCGCCAGCGAGATTACCGTCACAAACCGAGTCCCTGATGAGACCACCACAAAAGATCTTGATCTTATTGGTGGGGAAGTTCGGGATGCGGCCGCCATCTGCCCGATTCTGTGTATCGCCAAACGTGACTACGCCGGCTATCTGGCCCGAGACAGCGCTATCCAGGTCCTCAATGGCGCGGTGGTTCACTGCAGCACCCTGACTTAAGCAAACAAGTTAGCAGGAAAGACCCCATGTTCGGTGTGGTCAAGGCGCCACTTACGAATAACCACCAGTGACAATCACGGCCTGGGGGCAACGACGATTGATATCGTTCATTATGCCCCTCATCTCCAATTCAGCAGCAAGATCGGTGCCGCCAGGCAGGTAGTTCGTGGACAACAGAGCGGCATAATCGACGCCCTCGATCTGCAGATCTGATCCATACTCTTTCCGCAGCTCGTCACCAAGTGGTGGGCCGATGACAGTCCCCTGAATATCGTGAACAAAGCGGGCTACAACCACCTATTTGTCATATGACTTACCATGTTGCCCAATTCTGTCGAACCTCGAGCCCACACAAACACGACCTTGGCACAGCGAAGACTGAGGGAGAACTCATGCTCGGTGGTGCCGGTGCGGTCGAGTTGACGCGTAACAAGATCGACCGGAATGGCTGCGGCGATGCTTGCCAGCGTAAGGATTGAGAAGAAATGCATGTTGACGTGTGGTGAAGTATCTGAGAGTGATGTAACACTTTGACGAAGCGATTGCAAGGACAGGTAGATGGTGATCAACCAAGGAGTTGTCGGGTGCCTGGTGTCGTAGAGAGTCGGAAGCCTTCTTTTATACCTCACATCGAGAATCAAACCTCTCGTCTTGATCGTTAGGTAGCGGAGGTAACTGCGTATCCAAAATCTCCATACCTCGGTTCATTCACTCGCTCGTATGTGACTACATCTTAATTGGTAAGTGCACCGAGGCCATACTGCTGAAGAAGAATTGGCATAATCTCAGGAGAGGTAGAAGAATGTAAATAATTGGTGCATAGTTGCCGACCGATGTTTGGAAGCGCATGCTGCTCGATCCTGGTCCAGCTTCCTAATCTACGACCCGTCGCAAGGTTCAGGGAAGTGCTGCCTTCGCCATGATTTAGTCGGCGAGGTTCCGGATAGCTCAACTTGAAGTTAGCAGTCGTGCCTCAACAAATTGTTTTCAGGTCCAGGTTGAGACAAATGTATACTTGGTCTGCTATTCAAGAGTATTCTCCTAGATGTGTAGTAGAGCGAATACGGATTTTCAGTATAACCAGTGCATTGGCATCGAATAGCAACATCGAGGCTGACCTGTAAGCCGTGGGCACACTCGCGTGACATTGTGGTAGAATGAGTGCTTCTTCTCTCTAGGGCTGATTGCCAAGGATATCAGACCTACTAAGTGACCTGTGAGCATTGACGATTCGAGGTCTTGCTGTAGCCTAAGCGACCGATCTGACACACCGTTCCTTCGGAACGGCACTTATTCCCCACACTCATGTCAGTTAGATTTGCGGGGTAGATGGGAGACTCAAGTTGTCGTCTGTGACCAATGAGGCGGCAATGTTGCATCTGGATACCGAGGCAGCTTGGCATACATCCTCACACTTACAGATGTCGTGGTGTTCCATGTTGCTTTGCTTTTCTTAGTTTGATGCTTGTCACTCTTGGCTGCGTTTAATATAAATTCAGGCAAGATACCTCGGCTCAAGACGCGGCATTGTACAGTTGCTGGCGTTAGCCGTCATGTCCTGCAACGAACCTACATCTAAGTCAACTTTGCGTTACGATCAACCTTCAGATCGAGCAACGTCGTGTAAGTAGTAGGCGTTAGTACAACATGTGAATGTCATCTAGAGGAACATGGATAAAACTCATCAGACAATCGTTAAATTCATTGGTGGCTTTACAGACCGTACACTCCGCCAGTTCGTCAACCTGGTCCTATCCCCAGCCCGCAGCCTTTACTAAACATACACGAAATCAAAAACCCGCCTCGGTTTTGACGCTTCTCAGAAACGTATGGATATCACTTAAGTGGAAGTAGTGGGAGCATTGGCCTTGGCGCAACCCGAGCATGCGCACTTGCCAGGAGCACAACCGCACTTGCCGCTGTCTGAGGCGCAGTTGCATTGGGTCTTCGTTGATCCCTCAATCGGGTGGGGGGTAGCTTCCTCGGATGATGACTTCTCACCTGCCCGACCAGTCAGTACAGATTTCACTAGAGGGCGAGCGATGCTAGGTGGATACATACCTCCGGTCTTCTTAAGATCGGCCAAGTGGCGGGCCTCGTTGTGGACGTCGAGCACGGTCTTGTTGCCCTGCACGTAGAACTCCCTCAGCTTCTGGCCGGTAGGAGTGCTAGCAGCCTTGTCGAAGTACGAGTTGAGTCCACGCCAGCCGGCGACGACCTTGTCCGACACACCGAGCTTCGTGTCGACGGCCTGAGCCTTTTGAGTGGCCTGAAAGCGCTGGTCGAAGGTCTGGAGGACGTTGGTGAAGCGGGTGCTGATGCCGTGCTGCTTGTCCAAGGCGAGCGCCTGCTCGATGGCCTTGTCTGAGATAGTGTAGCCGTGCGCGAGGTACTCGGCGACGATGCGAGCGCGGGGCTTCTCTTCCTGCTCGATGTGGTGGTCACCGTCCTTCGCCTCCTCCGCCGAGGCGGCCTTGTCGCCGGCGAGCTCATCGATGGATTTGGAGGCTGTGACGTGTACGGAGTTAGGCCCGAGCTGGGTGTTATCCAGCAGCAGGGCCGTCTTCGCGGCGGCGGGCTTCTCGAAGGTGACGCTGGCGGACTGCGAGTTCTCGTTGGTGGGCGTCACCGAGATGTCTGAGATCTTTCCGCAGAAGCTGAAGAACGACTTGATCTCATCTTGCGTCGTCTTCGTGGAGATGTTCTCAACGTGTACCGTAGACATGTTTGCGGAAAGTGGTGGATTGTGTTTGTGGGAAGGTAGTCACAGTAATTCGAAAAGTATTGTGTGTAGCGTTCTGTTGACCAGAGGGCGTTGTGGAATTTAAGGGAGAAGCGCGAGTTGAGGGGCAGTATATGTGTCGTAACCAGTAGTGCCCAGCAGGCAAGAGGGGCGTGGCGGCACGCGTTCCATGACGTATGTGTGGCGCCTGCTGTGGCTGAGCGGGTGACGCCAATCACATGCAAATTGTAAGCCCACAACCCACAGAAGGTTGTAGGGTGAACTTGGGCACGTACCTTTACTGCAGCCCGCTTCCGAGTTTCCCTGCGCCCACTACAATCCATGGCGAAGAGAGAGTGGTGGCAAACTTGGCGGAGCCAAGGAGAAACATTCCGCTCTCTGATCCATGAAAGTCATTGTACGAAGTACGTCTATTCTCTAATGTCTACAGACTTGCTCCAGGAACTTCATTTCTTCCAGCCTGAAACCGCTTCGTCCACCTCTTTGCGGTACCGCTGTTGACTTTCGCACTGTTCAAGGAAAACCTTGTATTTCGCCTGCAATAGGCCCTTGACGGCCTTGTCTTTCGTCGGCTTGACCATCTTGCCCGCCTTACTTAATCGATCCATAATATCCCACAACGGCTCGCTTTTTCCCTCACTGTCGGTGCTTGCAGCCTTCGCCCCGAGCATGGCTGCACCGTGAACTACCGCTGCGTGTACGTAACGCGGGATCAAGACTGGCATGTCACACGCCGCGGCAATGAGCTCCATAAGTATATCGTTCTGGCATTGTGAACCCGACATGAATATTGAGGAGATGACGTGACCAGCCTCATTCATGGCAGAGACAATCTGATGCGTCTGGAGCGCGATGAACTCCATCGTTGCGTAGTAGTACAGGGCGAGGCCATCCAAACTCTTGTCAGAACTCAAGCCAATGACCGAGCCGGTCATGTTCGGGTCTGCGACAGGGGAACGGTTGCCGAACAGATCGCCGTAGAAGAAGAAGTGGCGCCCTAGCCAGGACGTGTGTGGCGCATCCTGTTTCTCGGCCAGCTCTTGAAGATGTTGGTTTAGATAGTCGTAAATATTCAGGTTCAAAGTCTCAGCAACTGTCGTGGCCTCGTGATACGCAGGATGCGTCTCAATAACGTGCTTTAACAACTCTCCAGTGGCGCTCTGTCCACCCTCTGCCATCCAGAAATCTGGGAGCAGGACATCGCGGTAAGGACCCCAGACTCCATTCACGAATACGGGCTCGCGTGACATGGCGAGGTGACAGGTAGAGGTCCCAGCAACGGCCGCAAGGCGTGTGAACGCCTGTGATACATCGTTCTTTGGTGCATCCATATCCAAGGTGTCCTCGTCAAGTTTGACTTTTGCACCGACAGTGCCAATCCAGCCAGCATAAGCATCGATGACACCGCTGCCAACAGCGATACCTGGTTGTAGTCCCATGTCAGCTGCTGCTTTTTCGCTTAATGTGCCGACGAGTTCGCCTGCTGTAAGATATCGACCATTCTAGTGTATGTCAGCCAGGGCATTATTCGTGGTAGGAAGAAAGTACCACATTGTCAACACCGCCCATTCGCTTGAAGTTGTCTTCGCACAGATCTTCCAGGCCAATATCCTTGAGGAAGTCTTCCTGCCACCCCTTCACGCTCCCGTCTACGCCTACAGGCACGAATCCTTGCTTGCAGACCACGCTACAGTAGCTTCTTGTCTCGTTGCCGGTGGCGATGTGTGTAAGCGCATCTGTCAAGTCATAGAACTTGCAGCGGTCGAAAAGCTCTTTCGGCATGTTGTTCTTCAGCCAGAGTACCTTTGGTATTTCCATTTCGATAGACATCTTGCCTCCGACATATCGAAGCAGATTATGGTTGGTAGCATTGATCTTCTTCGTCTCTTCCACTGGCCTGTGGTCTAACCACAATATGACGTTGCGATCCTGGCCATCCTTGTTATCGAAATCCGGACCAGTGACGGACACAGGCTCATCGGTATCGTTGGAGAAAACAGAAAGCGAACACGTAGCGTCGAAGCCGATGCCGCGGATAGAGGTCTTGTCGATACCGTGTTGATCTATTGCACGCCTGACCGAGGAGCAGATACAGCGCCAAATGTCTGTCGTTGATTGTTCCTGAGAGTGTCAGAGCAGCTCTGCCGATATACTGTGATTAACTACATAGTATCCTGTTTGCGGTTGCCAAAGAGCAATGTTCTCTGAGGCCAATCCTACTATGTCGCCTTGATCGTTCATAATGCAAGCTCGGGCGCTGCCCGTGCCTACATCTATGCCAATGTAATGCTCCACGTGCGGGCGGATCTCATCGCGTGCGAAGTTGGCAGTCATGATTTAAACAATTGAAGGTAGAAAACAAATTGGCTACAGAATCGAGAATTACAAAATGAGCAGGTGGGCCAGGAAAGTGGGCGTGTGGAAAAGCTGGGGATAAATGTTGAGGGAACCACAGAGCTCCACTGCGGGATGAGCTCATGCACCCCTCGAGAGCTCTAGCACGGTGGGGGCGGGGCAAGCCCTACTATCTTGTGGAGGGCCAATTGCTGACAGGTGCCAACGCCATCTCCATGGCTGGTCTGTGAGTCGTTCCAATGGAGCGTCCTATGTGTGGAGATCGTGAGTTCTGGCCCCACTGTTACGAGGATCCTGCTTGGTCTTTGGCTTGTTGGCAGTGACAAGTCGACAAATCGCCACCAAAAGAAGGGAACAGATCCGCGGGTGTTCGGAGCACTTCCCGGAGTGCGGCGGGCACAGGTGCCTAACATGTGTGACAACAAGGCCGGTCTCGGTGAAAATATTTGCCAACCGCATCAGGCAAGCACCGGTAGCTACCGTTGAAATCATGTGCTCTCAAGGCAGAGCACCACACGATCGTAAAAGGAAAGACTCACAGCCGGATACTGGACTGGCTAATCGCATAGAGGATAGTCAATGAAGTAGGGCGAATAGTCACGTGTATGGTCTGTGCTCACGAGCGGGATGTCAGTAGCTCCATAGGTTCACGTCCGTCCACCGCGCGTACCCACAGCCAGCAACCCGACAGACCATTGTGCCCGCGATGCTGCTCGCAAAGCTCTTCCTGCTTCCCGCGGCGGTTGCGTCATCCGTCACAGTCTACATGCACTCGGTGCCTTCCACATCATCCCCGCAAACCGCCGTTATCCCCTCGCCCATCCCACTTGTTCAAATATCCTACGATGCCGACCAAACCACTGGCACCGTAGTCTCCTACACGCCGCCGCAAGGCTCGTACGCCTCAGATCATCTCTTGCGCATAGGTCTTCACGACACAAAGGCAGGCACATGGAAAGGCATTCTCACATCAGCGGCGAGCTTCGCGGAGGAGTACAAGAAGAAGTTTGTGGTGCATGTTGACGAGAAGGGAGAACCATATCATGTCGGTTTCAGCACGAGTGTCAAGGGAGCCGGAGAGGGAGACGAGCTGGAGGTCGAGGTCGTCAGACGAGAGGTCGGACCGAAGCCGGTACTGAACAAGCCAGTCGTGCTTAATGCGGACGGCAGGATCGATTCCAAGGAACCCGAGAAGACATTCATCCAAAAGTAAGCTTCGCGGTGCTTGCGATTCAACATGTTGTATACTGACGGTGTGCACAGATATTGGTGGATGATTGCAATTTTCCTGGTCGTACAACTGGTCGCAGGCGGCGGAAAGGAGTGAATTCTATACAAGCTGCGGAGGCATGCGGCATTGCACTGGGATTGCGCTATTCTAGATCGCGTCCGATACACGGTCTGTTTATGACGCGGAGCTGAAAACACTTCCACTCATTCCTAGCCTCCTCTGCTCCGGAGTTCCAACCACATAGAATCGCACATGCAAATCGCATATGCGGGTGGAAAAGCACCTGCGCAGCTTAAAAGCACGGTGATCAAGAACCAAGGGAACCAAATGAATATATCTACATCCGCATTGAAACCCAAACCTCCGAATCTTCGTTTCACTTCCGACCGCTATCATTGTTGCGCCGGGCGATGCATTGGAATCGTTAACCTAGGGCGCCTCGATCACCAGTCACCTCACACCTCTCTTGGGTATGGTGGCATGTGATCCTTGGAAGGGTATCAATCATAAGGAACACCACCGTGGGATTCGTCCCTTTCTACAGGGCCGTGTCTGTGGTCTGTGTACTTCAAACCTTCAAGCACGAACGTACCACCTCATCTTTCTTGGGTAGTGCTGGCGGCTTAGTACCGCCTGCGGGGTCCTCGTGGTGGGTTGCCTCGGTCGTTGAATCCGTATCGCCCATCCTGGAAGCTGCCGGCGTGAGCTCCACCGTTGGTGTCGACATCGATGTCGTCGTAAGAAGATTGTGCTAGGCGACCGGATGGCCGTGAGTGAAGCGCAGCTGAACTGGGACCGCCTTCTTTCATGTAGACGTAGAGTGTCTTGCCGTCCGCCTGGTGTCGCAGATTGTCAGCTACATGCTCGTCATAAACCATGCTAGGGTCATTCCCACCTTTTTACCATTGAAGGTCGCGATGACATTCTCGGCCCCGTCCTTGGTCGCGAAGGTGAGCTCTGCCATGACTGTCGGCTTGGCAACAACAACCCGGCACTCCAGCAGTTCTCCGCCAACCTGGCCCATGACCTGCTCGATATCTGCCGCGGTGGTGCCGATGGCGAAGTTGGAGGCCATGACAGTGTGCGGGCCGCTGCTGGTTGCAGCACCTCGTATGTTCAGACCAAGGTCACCGTCCCGTGCATTCCTGGCGAACGCGTCTCTGTTCAGCGCGGGAGCGAATTTGTCGAATGTCCGCGTATTGCGCTCAATCTGCGAGGTCGACGCGGTGCGATTGAGGCCCTTCCTCGGTGGGCCGTTCGGGTTGTTGAGTTTGTGGAGATCGTGCTGCCACTTTCCATCAATGTTGGTCGCGGGTTTTGCCGAGGACGAGCGCTGTTTCTGGACGCCGCTCATGCGACTCAGCAGGGTCGGTTTCTGCGAGATGGCACGTCCGTTGGGTGAGGCTACACCGGACCCAGACCCGTTGGCTTTGCGCCCACGGCTGCCGAGGAAGTGCTGCGCGAGTGCTTCATTTCTCTTCTTCTCGCGCGCATCCTTGACAAAGTCGGCGAACGAAGCGTTCTGAGCCATGGTCGCGGGAGTCGATTTGCGAGTGGCGGGTTTGGGGGTCGTGTTGGAGCTTTCGCGTGCAGGGAGACGCATCGAAGTAGAAGCGCGTTCAGGTCCACATCGTTGCGCGCACGGTCCGCCTCTTAGCCTCGTCGGCGGCCGGCGAAACCCACGCCGCGGAAAACTTCCCATAAGTTTGCGCCGGGACCTGTTCTGCTCTTCTTCCACACAGCTCAGCTTTCGGTAAGTCCACTCTTTGCGTTTTCTTCTTTCTGTCCAAATGATGAACATTCGTGTCGCCCCTATCATACATACGATGGTGATTGACCCCCAAGCCAAACGGGATTTCTGATGCCGCAACCCTCCAAGTCACTTTCCAGTACATGCGCATGGTACAATGCTGACTTTTTCAAGAGCAGAGCGTATTTAGCAGCCTTTGGCAGCCGCAGTAGCACACGAATCGCACGATGAACCTGCATGCAGCGCAGGATGCGACCATTATATAGTCCATTCGCGTGGCACCTTTCATATCACTGGTTCTCCGCTACATGTCTGACTGCAGAAGTCTGAGGTAGCTGTAGGAAGCAAGCTATTCTAGGCGGTATTTGGACACGACAGCTCTCCACGATTGTGGTACAGGAAGTCCTCAATAGGCTGGTTGTTGCTACATGTAAGCCCATCCCCAATTCCACACACTTCTTTTCATGATGAGCAACATATGTACTATCAAATACCGACCTATCATGGGGATCAAAATATGGTTCGATTACCTGAGAGCTTTTTCAAGACACTTTCGTCAATGTCCGACCTTGGTTACCAAAGCTAACTCTACGAAGCTTCAGATGACTTAGATATGACTTCTTCCAATAGTTCGCTGCACACCTCTGCTGACCATGGTACGTTCCATCCCCTCCCCTACCCCACGCAATGATGAACGAATTTCCATGCTAGCACTGAAGGGGCAACCCTAATGCTGGATCAAACAATTACTTTTCATCTTTCGACTGACTGCCTCCCCATCCTCTTCATTGAGTCCCGCATTGGTTTCAAGTGCTCGGCTGACTCTGTATGCAGATACTTCATCATCTGACCACTTGCTTTAGCAACATAATGATAATGGCCATACCCATCGTGAACTGCATAACTGTCGTTGAAGTAAACCTCTGACATGTTCTTTGACCCTCATCTTTCCGACTAGCCTCACATCTGAATTCCGATACGAATTATGATAGTATTCAATAGTGAGCAATTCATCGTGATGTCAAGTTCTCCTCCGCCATGTGCCATAGCTGCAAGCGTATCATTAAGTGCTGTCTCGAAAGTAGCTATCCAGAGCAAGTCGGTTGCTTACATTTGTAACAGCATCACAGTGTTGTATCTAATGTTTCATAACGAATAATACAGTATTGAATATGGCATGGCCAATGCTGCACCTGCTTTAGCCAGCAACAGTTTTATTGACCAATGCGCTCTCGGCGAAAATCGGAGCCGAGTGTACCTCGAGATCTGATAAGTTTGTCTCCACCCAACCTCGAAACTCACCGCAACTTGCACCCACTCTTTCCACTGAAAGTCATAGCAACGAGCGGAAATCCGTGAAAATGGCGAGCAAACCTGAAGAGCCCTCAACTTCTCACTCAGACGCTGCGGTTGCGCCTGTTGAGAAACAATCCGAAGCACCAAACAGCGCCTCAACGCCCCAAGCTCCCGTGACCGAGAAGCCAACGGCCCTTCCCGCAGATCCTAGCGAGCAACCCAATGGCGACAAACTTCCAGAACCCAAGACGGACGAGGCCACTGCAGCTGCTGCGCCCATTCCCGCCCCAGCCCCCGCAGCTTCTGCAGGAGACGCCAAATCCTCTCCTGCTAGCCCATCGTGGCCGGAGACTCCTGCGGAGCACCCTCTCACCAAGTTCTTTGGCCAGATCGAAGCTCTGACCAAAGAAGCCGCTCATAACGAAGTATATGGAGTCACACTCTCGCCCACCGACGAGTTTCACACGAAGCTTATCCTGCAGAAGTTCCTGCGCGCCAATCAGAATGACCTTGACAAGGCTAAGCAACAGCTCTTGGATACACTTAAATGGCGTAAAGAATTCGACCCGACCAAAGCTGCTGGTGAGACGTTCGAGAAGCACAGCTTCGAGGGACTAGGCTGGGTCATCCAGGTCGAAGGTGTGCCAGAGAGCACGAACAAGAGCGATGTGGTTACCTTCAACATCTACGGGGCAGTGAAGGACAACAAGAAGACTTTTGGCGACCTCGACGCCTTCCTGCGCTGGCGTGTCGGCCTCATGGAGCGGTCAGTCCAGCATCTCAACCTCTCATCAGCCACCCAGCCTATCCCCGATTTTGGCGCAGGTCCCGACCCCTACCAAGGCATCCAAGTGCACGACTATCTCCAAGTTTCCTTCCTCAGGCAAGACCCGCTTGTCAAGACTGCAACGAAGAAGACTATCGAGGTGCTCGGCCGCTACTATCCCGAGACACTGTCGCGCAAGTTTTTCGTCAATGTGCCGCTCGTTATGGGCTGGGTGTACCAGGCTGCCAAAATGATTGTAAGCAAGGAGACAGCGAAGAAATTCACTGTGCTGAGCTACGGGAATGCGCTGGCTGGCGAGCTAGGGAAGGGGCTGCCGAAGGAGTATGGCGGTGAGAAGGGCGCATTGAGCGAGATTGGAGAGGGGATGAAGCTCGAGGGCTGAGGCAGTCATGCATCCAAAGGAGAGAGATGATTTGCCCAGATTGACAGCATTATAGTGGGAGGTGGAAGTTGTGAATCGTAATGGCAGGGGATCTTGGGTGCTTTAGCAGCGTTGATATTTGCACGCCACCGTACATATACCCCAGTCATTCGTACTATGGATTGGAACGCATTTCCCAGAACACACCTCAATGCTGTGATAGTGCATTCACTCGCAAGGCACATCGGCAGTTGATGTGTACGTCACTGACTCTTGCAACCCGAACAGCTTTTGAGTCGAAGGGATGGCCGGCATACAGTGTATTCTCTGCCAAAGTTTTGAACAAAAATGTGATAACGAATCGCTACAAAATGTGTACGTACAGTTCCTCTACATGATCCAGCATTGCACCTAGTATTATTTATAACTTGGCCTTTTCGGAGTAATTCGCTGCAGCCTTCTCCTTAGGACCGACTAGCGGGTCGTAGACCCTGCGTCCCAACGTGTCTTCTGGGACGGTGGTCGTGTGCAAATGCAGACTTCGGGCATCAACGAGTGTAGGGTTGAGCTCCGAGACCTTTGCCGCCCCAATAAGTCGCATATTCATCTCCATTTCGTCTTTGAGCAATTGCATCGCGCGGTCTACACCGGGGAGACCATACGCAGACATGGCGTAAAGGAACGGCCGGCCGATGCCAACACCGGTTGCGCCCAGGCAGAGCGCCTTTACGATATCAGATGCTCGTCGAATACCGCCGTCGATGAACACTTCGATCTTGTCTTGCATGCCGCGCTCGCGAAGCGCAGGCATTACTTGGGCGAGGATCTCTACGCCAGAAGGCGCGGTGTCGAGCTGGCGGCCTCCGTGGTTGGACAGCACTACGCCCTGCACACCAGCCTCGACAGCCTTGATAACGTCCTCGACACGTTGAACGCCCTTCAGGATGATGGGCATCTTTGTGATCGACTGGAACCAAGGGATGTCTTTCCAGCTGAGGCTCGGGTCAATAAAGGACGAGATGGCCCGAGCGGCACCCTGGCTACGGTCCACATCGCTGCCGCCGGTGGACTGCACGTTCGAGCCCACATCCTGGAACTTTGTGCGCATGTCCTTTTCTCGGCGGCCGAGCTGCGGCGCGTCGACGGTAATGAAGAGACCTTTGCAGCCGCGCTTCTCGGCATGCTGGACAATGCGCTTGGTCACCTCGCGGTCCTTGTTTACGTAGAGCTGGAGCCACTGCACTTGGCCGTCTTCGGCAGCGTCCATTATCTCGTCGAACGAGCACGATGCTAATGTGGGAATCATCTGGATGACGTTGTGTTTCTTTGCGCCTCGCGTGAGGAGGACCTCGCCCTCGGGATTTCCCAGCTTGCCGAGGGCGGTCGCGGTCACGTAGAAGGGCATGTCGGTCTTGGTGCCGAGCATGGTGGTAGAGGTGTCTATATTTTCGACGTCTACGAGGATGCGTGGCCGGAACCATATCTTGTGGAAGGCGGTGTGGTTCTCGCGCATAGTCTATTTGTACGATTAGTGACTTGCTTGTTGATGGTGCTGGCAACCACCCACGATTTCGTCGTCGGCGCCACTGGAGTAGTACGCCCAAGCCGTTTTCTTCATGACGCGGCGCGCAACATGCTCAAAGTCCATCAGGTTATAGCACTGCTCGAGGACTGGCATGGTCTCAATGCGCTTCTGCCTCTCCTCCTCATCCGGGTCGAACTCCTTCTCCTCCTGCTCGACCGTGTTCATGTCGACCTCACCGAGATGATGCTTTTTGTCGAGATACTTGTCGAGGGTGTCTGGAGGGTGAATGGGGTCGAACTCCTCGGTTGCATCTTTGCCGGCATACTTTAATATGATTTTGGGCCCGCCCGGGTGCTCTGGCAGGAACTCGGTGACATCGTATGCGCGCCCGTGAACAATGACCCAGCACGAGTCCTTGGAGTTGTGCTCAGCCACCTGCTCGCCCGTGAGCTTGACTTTCTGCGTGTCGTTGCTGTCGTGGTTCATGGTCACCAATTGATGCGCGAATGAAGGAAAGAAGAGGCGAGAAGAGGACAGCACGGCCAACCGCAGCGGTGTGTAGATTTATTCGCGAGCAGACACACTAGAGGATGGACCAGGATTGTGACGGCAGGACGTGCCTGGGATTCCTCGGCACATGTCTCCCCGCAGCATCGGAAGATGCTCCCCCAGAGCTAGACCAGAGCCAGCAACCCGGCTTGCTTGCATAACGTGCCGCGCCATTGGCTGCCGGACCGCCGTGGTGGAGCGGAGTCATGTGACCTGGATAGCGGATGGATCCAACGCTCGATGCGAGGCTCTCGCGTGGATGCACGCTGGGCACAACATTGGAAGCTCAGAAGCCCAGAGTATCAAAGAGCCTGGATCGTGAGAAGACGCACTCTCAAGCAATTGATCTGCCGGCGCTTCAAAATAGCAACCGCATAGGCAACCTTCCACAGCATCTGCCTCGAGAGGATGGCATGCTGCAGGCCCAGTCCCGTCGCCTCGTACCATCCATTGCGGGGAGATGGAAGCAGGCCGTGCAGGGCCAATGGCGACAGTGCGGTGCAGCGGGTGCAGCCGCGCTGCTGCTGCTGCTTTCTCGTGCCCTGAGCGATGATGCAGCACCTTCCGCCGTCGCTGCAAGTTTTCCTTCGTCTCCTCTGCCACTGTTTTCGAGGCGCCCCGATCACGATCACGATCAGCCATTGCCGGCGCACATCACATGGCCGCCCAGCCAAGCACTGGCCCGCCGCTCGCGCCCAAACACTCGCAGCAGCAGCGATGTCACCTGTCGACGCGCTGAGTCGCCCAAGTCCATACCTACGTCAAACCCCGTGAGACCTGCCACCGCCGCCCTCAGACACAAGCAAACACGCGCCATGCCATCGGAAGTCGCGCCGCACTCACAGTCGTTCTCTGCCGTCCTCCGCTCGCACAGCGTTACCTAGCTGTCTGCCGCCTGCTGCCTTCACCTCCAAGGCTCGGTCCCCGCACTGCTTGTTCGCCGACACCGCGAACCGCCCTCTGCGTCCCAGCGACAGCGTCAGCCACAGGTCATGGCAAATAGTCTCGAGGCCAAGATCGTGGTGCTTGGGAGTCAGGGCGTTGGCAAAACGAGCCTTGTTCATCGTTACGTCAAAAACGCTTTCACACCGCCCACGACACAGTCCACGATAGGCGCCTCGTTTGTGACCAAAAAGGTCGTCGACATCGACACATCCACCACTGTGCGCCTTCAGATCTGGGACACAGCGGGACAGGAACGGTTTCGCTCCATCTCAAAACTATACTACAGAGGTACGTAGGTCGCACACATTGCGCTCGAGACGCACACCAAAGCGCACCCAGCACTGCTTGTTTCCCCTATTTTGCCTCGCTTGTACTGTTGGGCACATGCTCTACGCGTTCTCGTCCGGACCAGAGTTGACCGGCGGGTTGGGCTCTCCAGTGCTGCCTTACCATGGCCTGAGCTTCGTCATCCCTGAACCCCCCGAGCTCGCACCAGGCTAATATAACGCGAATGTATCTAGGTGCCAATGCGGGAGTCTTGTGCTATGATATCACCGATCCCTCGTCGTTTGACGAAATGGGTCGCTGGCTCAAAGAGCTCAAGCAGAATCTGGGCGACGACATAATCCTGCACATCGTAGGCACAAAGTCTGATATCGTCGCTGAAGATCCTTCACTGCGTCAGGTTCCGTTTGAACGCTGCATCGCTTACGTGGCCGAGCATTTGTATCCGAACCAGGCCACCCCAGGCGCTGTGTCCACAACATGGCAAAGCGGAGGAATGGCATCACCTCAGAGCAACCGTTCGAGCGGAATCTGGGGCCAGGAAATCGGGTGGGATTGCTGTCATGAGATCAGTGCCAAAGATGGAGAAGGTGTGGATGAAGTGTTCCGAGTCATCACAAGAAAGCTGGTCGAACAACAGCAGAAGAAGTTCCAACAGGAGCAGGAAATGCTTGCACTCGCCGGCGCTACACCTGGTATCAATGGCAACGGCAACGGGAACGACTACTTCAACTATCCTGGCAGCGGGAACGGCAGTTTCCGTTTAGGCGCAGGCGATAAGAGACGCAGCTGGATGGGTTTCCCAGCGACACCGAACGTCGGAGGCGACCCGCAGCAGCATTGGTTAGAGGACGACATCGAGAGAACCGGCACGAGCAAGGGAGGGAGATGTTGTTGATGCATCCCTATGTCTTGCGGTAAAGCACACTGTTGTGTGGTATAACTTGCAGCGCCTTTGCAACTCTCTGATTTGATTCACGATACCACCAACCCCTTTTCGATACCCTTTTGGCTCAGAACATTCATATTTCCTTGTACATCCTAGTCTTTTGAGGCGTTGGAGTATACTGTTTTCATGTTCCAAATTACATTAGTGGCTGCTCAAAGGGCATGTCTCGTCCAGGTGAAACTGGACGATGCCGTGCTCTAGCGCTAGTCTTGTGCAGGAGCGGCCTTGTCCGTGACCAGCTAGTGCAACAGCAGCTATTGCCTGGGAGGAATATTTTCTCCTACTTCGTGTTTGCATCTATGGGAGCGTTGATTTTTGCACGACTTGTTGCATAGCGGTGTATATGCATTATCCCTTTGTAACGGCAAGACTTAGGCTCTATTCCAGCATTATCACAAAACGATCAAGATCAGTTTGGTGATAGACACGGTCTGACTGTAATGAAAGCACCTGACTTGGGAATGTAGTACATATATGATGTGAGGAATGCAATGAGCATTTATAACTTGATTTTACAATGATGACTACAGGGGTATCTCCTTGTTCTATAATTCAGTGCAAGAATCTTGCGGATCTCTCGGGTTCAGTCTAATGGTAACACATGCAAAGCCGATGATCCTTCTACATGCCGTAACACCAATATGAGAATATTTCACCACATATCCATCATCAGGCCTTCAACTGGCCATCCTCGCGCTCATGAACCTTGACTCCGAACTTCCATACTTGATCCACCACCACCCGCTTATCCTCCCCTACCGCACCTTCCTGAACATCTAAGACCACTAAATCAGCATCCGCTCCCTCCTGCAGCGATCCTTTCACACCCGCCAAGCCCAGCATACTCGCCGGCGTCTCCGTCACCGCTTTGATCGCCTCAGGCACGCTCGCCCCTGTCCAGTTCATGAAGTTCGTCACACAGTCAATCAGCTCGATGCTGCTCCCAGCAATCTTGCCATTTTCTTCGAGCGTGAGAAGCGCGCCTTGCTTCACGATGCGCGACCCGTTCGTCCAGTCGTACACGCCGTCGGGCATGCCCGACAGACGCATAGCATCCGTGACGAGTATCAGCCCCTCTGGGTGCGCGTTGTACGCGATCTTGATCGAGGTCGGATGGATGTGGATGCCGTCCGCGATGATGCCGAAGTACGGCTTGGAGATGGAAGACGACGCTGTGCCCAGGAGACCGAAGATGCCTGGGTTGCGGTGGTGCAAGGGCTTCATTGCGTTGAACAGATGCGTGATCGAGGATGCGCCGGCTTTGATGCCAAGCTTGGCTTCTTCGTAGGTCGCTTCTGAGTGCCCGATTGAGGCGATGATGCCTAGGGAGGCGAGAGACTGGATGGCGGAGAGGGCGCCGGGGAGCTCAGGTGCGAGGGTGACGAGCTTGATTGGGGATGGCTGCGTGAGATTGGAGGGGCCGTAACAGCCTGCCACGGAGGCGATGCCGTCGCGGGGAACTTGCAGGACGGATACGTTGTGGATGCCATTCTTGGTGGGCGACATGAAGGGACCTTCGCAGTGGGCACCAAGTGATTCAGAGCCAAGGGCTGGGTCTCTAGTTGAGCCCGATGGGCCAAGATATGGCAGGGCCTGAGCATGTTAGTGGCGAGTCGATATTCATGAGGTGAGTCGAGTGTGAGATAAGGGCCTGTCACACAGAGACTGGCGTAAAATCCTAATCAGAAGAATATTGTCTACATTACCCATAGGTCTGTCTAGGCGGTGAAAACCGAATGAGTGGAGGAGTGCGTTGACAAATACCCGGAGCATTTGTAGGGTATTGAGGAAGCAGTTGACGTACCTTGTGATATACCTCGGGTCGTTGAGAGGTCAGCGTTGGAAGGTAGGATGTTACACCTCCTTTGACGAGGTTTCGGTTGACCTGCTGCACTCCCTTACCGTACGCTATCGATCCGTCCTCTGGAATCACCGAGAAGTCGAATCCGTACGCTCCATTGAGTTGCACATCAATGAGACCTGGCGACAGAATGCGGCCACCGAGGTCGATGATATCGTCCGGAGCAGTACGATGCCCATACAGCAACTCTTGACCGTTCAATATCTTCCCAGTCACCGAGCTGACCCATAGGTCTTCGTGGACAAGGTCGGTGCCCTTGACTAGCCGGCAGTTGGTGAACTTGACGACGCCCGAGCGCCGAGTAACGGCAGCGGTACCCACAGGGCGCACGACAGACGGCATCGCGCAGCTGATGGTAATGCAAGAGCACACCAGATGGACAGGGAAGCTGAGATGATAGTAGAGATGGTGAAGGAAAGATCAAGATAAAGGCGATGGACGCACAGAAAGGGAAGACACAAAGTCGGATGCGGTTGAGACAAGCTCAACATCGCTCACGTCGAGCAGCGGCCTCTCCCGCTCTTAACAGAATGCGCCATGGGTAACGATGACGCTGCCGGCGATAACAGGGACCCATCGCGGGCGAGTCACGTGGACGACATAGCGCAACGTTCCCGCGTGTGGGCCTCTGATTGCACACCGGAGCCAGCGTTGCACAACGAACGGCGATAGACCAGCCTCCGATCGCCAGTAAACGCTCTAGGGCACTCGGTGGTAGCACTGGAGGTGGCCATGGTGGGCGTGGGGAGGTGTGGTGCTCACGCGGGACAGTGCTAGCGGCGTGGCCCTAGCTCTAAGCGCCGCCCGCGGCTCGTGAATGTAACCGTTGCGCTCACGCCTCTTCCCCATCTTCCATTGTTAACCTTCCGCTGCAAGTCACGTTCGCGCCTCGCTCCGACCACTACAGATCCGGTCTGCGTTCTGACGCCTACGCGACGGCCTTTGTTCGTCATCATGGCGGCCAAGCCCGAGAAGCTGGATCCCGTATGGGATGATCTCGATAGGTGCGCTCACGCTGCTTTGCTACCCCGGATTTTCTCCAATGGCAGACTAGTCGCTAACCGGCCCGCGATGCAGGACCATGGTGTGCATGTCAACTCAGCGGCAGTGGTGCGAGCTAACATCGCGTCGCAAAGGGCCAACTGTTTATGATGGGCTTCGATGGCACCTCCATCACGCCGCACATTAAGACGCTTATCGAGAAGCATCACTTGGGTTCTATCCTGCTGACGGCCAAGAACCTCAAATGTACGAGACAGTGTTTCATCTGGCAACTGGGGCTCCCGGTTCGCTAATCATGTATAGCCGCCGAAGAGACCACCAAGCTGTGCTACGAGCTTCAGAAAATTGCCCACGATGCAGGCCACCCAGTACCGCTCGCAATCGGTATTGACCAAGAGAACGGTGGTGTCAACAGTCTATATGACGAAATATATGTCCGTCAGTACCCCAGCAGCATGGGTATGGCAGCAGCGGGCTCAATCGAGCTCGCTTATGAAGTCGCAAAGGCGACCGCGCAAGAGATATCCGCCTGTGGCATCAATTGGATATTCGGCCCGTGTTTGGATGTACTCACCAATGCTCGAAACCAGCCTCTGGGGGTCAGAACAGCTGGTGACGACCCCCAGGAAGTATCCGCGTATGGCGTGGCTTTCATGAAAGGCTACAAGGATGCTGGCATCGTCACTTTAGGCAAGCATTTTCCGTCCTACGGTAACCTCGAATTCCTTGGTTCAACCTTGGACGTCCCAATCATCACCGAGTCGTTGGAGCAACTGAGTCTGAGTGCGTTGATCCCATTTCGGGAAGCTATCCAGCAGGGTCTCGACTCTATGATGGTCGGCGGCTGCGCCATGTCTTCCGCAGGTCTCAATGCCATGCATGCTTGCTTGTCTGAACAGGTTGTCGACGACCTACTTCGCAAACAGATGAACTTCGACGGTGTGGTGGTGTCCGAGTGTCTCGAGATGGATGCACTCAGCCATAACATTGGCGTAGGTGGTGGCACTGTCATGGCTGTTAACGCTGGTTGCGACATTGTCCTGCTCTGTCGTTCATTCTCGTTTCAGCAAGAAGCACTCAAAGGTCTTAAAACAGGCATTGAAAACGCAATGATCTCTAAAGCGAGGATATACCACTCTCTGCGCCGAGTCCTGAACATGAAATCGAAATGCACATCCTGGGAGAAAGCACTGAACCCACCCGGTATCAGCTTCCTTGAAAGTCTTCAACCATCACATACTTCATTGTCTACGAGGGCGTACAACGGGTCCATCTCCGTAGTGCGAGACAAGAACCGCCTTCTGCCACTGTCCAACATCCTTGAGAACGAGGAAGAGCTGTTGCTCCTGACCCCTCTAGTCAAGCCTCTGGCTGCCTCTGCTGCCTCGCGCCAGCTTTCAGAGTCTGCGAACACGAATTCACCAGAACCTGCTGCTTGGGCACAGAGCTCCTCTGTGATGAGCGGAGAAAGAGTTTTCCGAGAACTAGGAAGATCTCTAGCAAGACAGCGGAATGGACGTGTTCTGCATACGTCGTATACATCCAATGGAGTGCGACCGGTCCATGAGAACCTGATCAATCGTGCAAGCGCCATCGTGATCATCACTGCAGACGCGAATCGAAACCTTTACCAAAACGGGTTCACAAAGCATGTTTCTATGATCTGCAACATGCAGTATACTACGGGCGGCGAAAAGCGTGAGAAGCCATTGATTGTCGTCGCTGTCAGTTCGCCCTATGACTTTGCCATGGACTCCTCAATCGGGACATATATATGTACCTACGACTTCACCGAAACTGCGTTGAACTCCCTCGTCAAAGTACTTTACGGAGAGATTTCACCCACCGGAAACCTGCCTGGCACCATCAGCAAAAGCCAGAAACTGCATTCCTCAAGACAACACTGGCTCGTCGAGATTTACAATGAGGAAAGAGACGCGAATGCTCTCGACAACCTGATTACCGCAGTCATGGATGGTACACCGCCGAATCAGCGGTCAGAACTTTCGAGTGCGACGTCGAACTCATTCATTCTACACGACAAAGAGGTAGAGGAGACGCACTTTGTCGTTCGTAATAGCAGTACGAACGCGCTCTACGGCTTTTGCTCAACGTACTTCTTCAAGTCGACAGGTACTGGTGTCATAGGTGCTCTGTTTGTTGACCCCGGACGCAGAAAGCTGTCAATTGGGCATTCACTTCACAACAGAGCGATCCGCACGTTGCTACAAAGAGACGGAATCAGACGATTCCAGCTTGGGTCGCGATTGCCGAGCATCTTTCTTGGAATCCCCACAGGCCACACTACGGAGCGCAAACGCCTTCGCTCCTGGTTTGCCAACCTTGGATGGAATGCTGCGCTGTCTCGATCGGTTTGCAATATGGTTGCACGCAATCTGCAGGCATGGTCTCCTCCAGAGGGCATGGCAAAGAGTCTGGCCAGTGCAGGTGCACAGTTTGACATTGTTTACGGGTGGGATTATGCAAGCCCCATCCTGGATCACATCAAGACTAGTAATCGTCAAGGACTAGCCGAAGTGTACAAAATCGCTCTCTCGGATCCTTCGGCGTGTGGGATCCTTCGCGCGAAGCGGCCGGAGGACGGCGCTCTTGTTGGTACCGTGGTGCTCTACGACCACCGCTCGGCCTTGTATGATTTCATACCACCCCTGAAAGACCTCAAAGAAGCTGCAGGAGGCATATCGTCACCCGTCATCTCGCCTGGTGTGGGCGAGTACTCGACGTTGCTGCAAGGGCTGGTTCTACTTGGGATGCGGCAGATCAAGAAGTTGGGCGGAAACGCATGTTTGCTTGACTACGTGGGTAACCTTCTGGGCTACACAAGTGCGTGTATAAGCTGACTCATGACAGATGGACGGCGATGGGAATTTTGACGGCTTCTCGGCGATGGGATTTGAAGTACTGCACAACTTTGAGGAGGTGAGCTGCGACGCTGCGACGTGGACGATGATACCTCCTTCTTAACGATGGCGTACGACGTACTTAAGATGGTCGATTTGTGCAGCACGAACTCTCAAGGAAGATGATGTGCTATGTAGGGATGAACAGATGTTTTGGATACCCTGGCAGGCGTTCGGAATCAATGTACGATAGCGCGTCTCACAACGGTAATAGGTCGCGGAGACTTGGCAGGGTTGCCGAGCATTTTGCTAGAGCATGTCCGTTTTCTGTGCAAGCTCGTGGGTTTCTGAAGGATCCGGCGAGGCTGCAATGGGATAGAGGTGGCTGTCCTGGGGTAATGTCACTGGCTGTCAGCAGCGTGCTGACGGCTGTCGATACGAGAGAAATGCCCCGACAAGACCCGTTCGAGCTAGCTGCGCAAGGAGCATGTGCAGTGCAAGCGTCTATAGTGTGCCGAAGGATAATCATGCCGCCTCTACCACAAGGCGCGTGCCGTGCGCTGCGGGCAGCAGACGTGGGAACAGAGACGGGGTCGCGGGAGCGGGCGGGGCTTGTTTAGACAGACAAGAGGGAGGGTGGAAAGCGCGCCGATGGCGGAACCTTATAGCGCGGGTGGCTGCGCGGGTGGGGGATCATCTCCAACGGTGGCTTTCTTCTCGAAGCATGGCGGAAGGCGCAAGCTCCAGCTCCAGCTCCAGCTCCGGCTCCGTCTCAGGGACTGGCGCAACGCATGCCACAACAGGGGCGCCTGACGGGGCACCGCTGGGCAAGCAGGCAGTCTTGCGGGAGCGAGGAGCGTGAGCAGAGACGCGCAGGCTGGGGTCGCCCGCCCTTCTCCACCTGTCGCCCGTTTGGCGATTTAGCCAGGCCCCGCCGTGCTAGAGGGCGAAACGCATGTGATCTATTCGGGCCCTACGCCGCCCGTCGCACAGCTTCACGGCGATGGGACCAGCAGCAGACGTGGGCATTGCTGCGTGCTCGTCGCTGTGAGCCGCTGCCTATCGCATCGTCGCCCGGGCTGTCGAGGTATCACGGGCTTACTCAGGACTGAGCTGCCCAGGTGCATAGGTCCGCCCTCGCCAACCCCAGCCTTCAGCATCCTCCTCGCATCCAGCACGCTCGCCGCTCGCCGCTCGCCGCACGCCGCACGCCGCAGCAGCAGCACTGCCAGCAGCAACATCGCCCGCACCCGCCCCGGCTGTGACTGTTTGTGCCCGCCCGCACTGGCAGCCCCGGAGTCCCATGCGCAAGCGCGCCGCCCACGCACTGCCATCGCCCGGGCTCCGCCAGACGAGCAGCCATGGAGGGCTTCGACACTATAACCATGAGCTATCTAGCTGCCCCAATGCCACTCCAGAATGTAACGGGGCCCGACCAGCTGCAGGCGCCCATGCTGCCCATGGACGCCTTTGACCAGCGCTCTAATTACGACGCCGAGACCTTCGCCGGGTGAGCTCCACGCCGCCATGAACCTCTCTCTGCTGACCTTCCTCCGCAGCAGCGAGGACCAGTTCGCACAGCACCACATCCACGCGCCCCCACGCCTGCAGCGCTTCCCCAGCGCCTACGACGACCCCTTCACCGATGTCCTCAGCACCTACGAGCAGCCGCTGCAGCCCGACGCCAATGGCCTGCCCGAGAGCCCCAGCATCGACCGCGACAACAAGCTGCTCAGCTTCTCCCTGCCCAGCGTGCCGTACACCCTGCTCAACTATGTCGCCCAGCGCGTCTCCATCTCCATGTCCGCCCAGCTGCACGGCATGTTCTTCCTCGCCGAGTCGCCCTGGGCCTCGGCCGGCGACGTCGCGGCCGCCCCGACGGAGCTGACCTGCTACCGCCGCAACCTCTTCCAGATCACAGGCACCGTCACGCTACCCAGAAGTCTCCAGTTCCTCCTGACCGACCAAGGCGACCAATTGCCCATCATCGGCCAGGAACTCACCATATCTGCGACCGAGTCACTCGAGGGAAACCCCGTCAAGATCATATCGGTGCCCTGGAAAACGCCCGCCACCACTGCGACCGTGGCCGAGGACAAGACGGAGAAGGAGCCGCCGTCCTTTCCTCTCGATCTCAACAGCGGCCAAGACATGGACTCGGACTACGTAAATTTCCCCATCAGCTGGAAGAGGCTGCAGTTTAGAATTGCCACTGCCAACAACGGCCGCCGGAAGGAGCTGCAGCAGCATTTCGTCGTGCGGCTCAAGGTCGTGGCCATCCTCTCCAACGGCGCCAAGGTGCCCGTCTGCGAAGTGCATTCAGGAGCTATTATTGTGCGCGGACGCAGCCCGAGGAACTTCCAGTCCCGCAAAGATATGCCAATCAGTGGAACAGGCGGCTCCATGCGCAAGGCTCACGCTTCACAACAACCAAACAGAACACCAACAGGTGATACCCAGCAATCCAATCACAGCAATAACAACAACGTCCAGACCACGCCTGGCACGACCAAGGCGATGGACTCGCTCCAGCTCCCGTTCGACTTTAACCCGAATGACCCCATTCTGTCGCCCGAGTTCAGCATGGACTGGAAAGTGCCTGCCGCCCCGATGACGGCTATCCCGCCGGATCCAACGCCCCCTCCGATTACGCCTTATGCGCGGTCAACTCCAGATCTTTCTCGGGGCGGTACACAGGCCCAACACGCTGTCATGGCACCAGTGTCCCTATCCTTGACCGATGACGAGCCGAAGAAATCAGCCTCCCCGGCCGAGCACCCAAGGAAGCGAGGCACTCCCGCGCGACCGCCCTCCTTCTCTGTTGGGCTCATCAACAGCCCTGACGAAAGTGCAGATTTGCTGTACGAGTACTTTCCCCTCGGCCTGGACGACTGGATGCCGCCTGTGGATGCTGTCTACCGGCCGCATGTAGTGCATCACACCAATCTCCCGCCCGATCCAAAGGCGCTTGCGGTGAAGAGCAAGTCCAAACGCTACTTTTCCGATGCCTGGTGACGCGATTTCATAGCTCGATACCCTGTGCTTCGGCGTTTTCTCTTGTGGACGATTTCTAAATGATTTATGACCGTGTTGTACTCCTGTACGAACTTGTTACGGACGCTCGAAATACCAGTGGCAGCGTTGGGTGTGCAGACTCAACCGACAGGTTTGAGTTTAGGACAATATCGCCCGGGTAATGCCAGAAAGATTGCGGGTCCTGGTCCAGCGCTCTCTTGAATTCAAGGGCGTTTGGCGTAAGAAGTCTTCGATGGGTCACCTGTGAGGGATTCGAATGATAGACACGACCTGATCGCAAGCTTTGGCTCGTTGGACAATCGGGTTGTGCTCTTCCCGTGGCTGCACTATTGCTCCGCTCCGGGCCTGGAGATTGCAGCATGTACAACAAGAAAAGCTGGCAGACTGTCTGCCATGGCAGCCATGCGGGTTCGCGATCCTTTATGATCCACGAGATTCTGCTGCCGTATGCCTCAAAAGAGCCGCGTCGGCAGCATGAAGACAAGGTGGAGACTGAATGTAGAAGGCTGAAAGAGTGCACGCCAAAGGGTAAAAGAAGGATACATGTACGCTTGGGGCTCGAGGGGATTGCGTCTGCAAACAGCATTATATCCCAGTCTTAATTATGACTACGTATTGTTTTACATGTACGTGACAGCGTCTCGTCTCGCTTTCGGTATTGCATGCGGTGCATTGTCTGTTCGCTGGCAATAATGCCACCTCCGTCTCCGCCCATAAGCAGCCCACACGGAACTACGGCGAATCACTGCGGCGAGCCTGCGTGCGTGCACCCCGTTGCGACGTCCGAGCCTTACCACCTTCTGTCGTTATGGCATGACATGACAGCTCACCGCGCCGCAAGCTCGCCAGTCAACGGATGCGATGATGGCACAGTCCAGTCCAGTGCACAGTGGACCACGTGAAAAACGACATCAAACTCGCATGGCAGATTCCGCGCAGAGTACATAGAAGCAATAGCATGCATGGAATGCACCTCGGACTCGACGTCTCATGTATAAACAGCGCACCTGCCTCTCCCAGCACATCCAGATAATCTTCTACACATCACAATCATCGCTTGCAATACCGCACGATGCCGGCGTCCCGCCGCCTGGGTCTGAGCACACCGAGTAGGAGGAGGGTGGATTGCGAGTGGAGCAGGTGGCCACCTTGGGTTGCATCGCGGGGGTCCATCATAGGACGGTCACGCAGTGTAGTGTTTACAGAGGCGAGGCGAGGGCGCGCGGTGGTTACCGCGATGGGGCTAGGCTGGAAGGGGAGCGTGCCGAGGCTGGCCGGAGGCAGGCGTGGAAACTGGATGGTGGTCGATATCAACGTTTGCCGTCCAAGTCGCAGTGAGAGCGGAGTGGGACACTCGTCCACGATGCGATGGCGGGTCCTCTCGGCGCCATTGCAGAAGGGAAACGCTAGGTAGCGCCTACGTGAGCGCCAGCAAGCGTGGTAGCATAACGCCCATCCGTCTCCGCTCTGCAACCACAGACGGACATGCGTCTCGCCTGGTGCGCAGGCGTCGGCGCAGGCGTAGGTCTTCACCAGCCGACGAGCGCGAGCGAGTGGATAGGGGGCCATCTGGTGGAGTGGGTCCCGCGAAAACTTGAGGAAACTGTATCATCGTGGTCGTACTGCATGCACTACCGTCTCAAGACGTTTCCGGGGCCCAGCGATGTTTCTGCTCGGCATGGTAGTCTCCTTTGGGACAGGGCGGGTGTGGGTGGAGTGATTACATACGTGTCGATGATGTCGTTGTAGTATCGTCATCCAGCTACGTGATGACATTGGGTTGCTTCGGGCAGCGCTTGACAAGCAGCGCGCATGCAATTCATGGGGACGCACCTGGAGAGGACGACCTCTGCCCCCGATTCGACTTCGTGGCAACAGCAATAACAGCGCCATGCAACAATGCCATTGTCTCGTCTCGTGTGCCTCCCTCCACTCGGTAGAACCCCGATGTCTCACCCACTGCGACGCCGCTGGTCCAGCGTGGCACCTGTCACCGGCGTACGTGCTACCTCTCGCTCGGTCGCCGTGTGCTCCAGTCCAGCGTTCGACGCGGTGAAAAGGAAGGTGACAGGCGAGTAGGCGAGTGAGTACTCATCAGATGCCAACCGAGTACGAGACGAGGCGAGACTCAGCTATGCTATGGTATCATATTGGATCTAGCGCTGGACTGGACGCTGCGATACTACCGTGCGGTATCTGGTTTGCGGGAGAATGTGTGGGTGGATGAGATGCGCGGGATGCTAAGATTAGAAGCAAGGAACGGACGGATGTTGCGTGTGTGATTGAGAGATCTCGAGATGCGGACCAGATCGATCTAGGGATGTGCAGTGGGTAGGAACGTTCCGGAGTCACCTCTGGTCACGTCTTGAAGACTGAACTGATGGTTACTCGTGTGCACGTCGTCACTGTTCGGGTTTTCAACAAAGCGCAGAAGAGAGCAAGTGGGAGTGTAATAATATCAATGCCTTTTGCTATAGTCCCAGGCAGAAGCCTGGTTGGCATCCAAACGCCGTAGGGAACTCGCCCGTATGCATTCCTCGCGCTCATATGCCCCCAAGATGCGCCGCATCCATGTGTCCCGATCGTCGTCTCGTTCGTCAAGATGCAGAAACAGTAGTAAAAAGATAAAAGTGATGCAACAAAACGGAAACCGTGCTCTATACAATCAGTCCTCTGTTGCATCGCGCCCAAAAAAAAATTCCATGCCATGTATATACAGCTTAACATTGCTTCGCGGGGTATCAAGCGGCACTTGCAACAACAAACACATCTACTCTTCGAGACAGCACACTGCAACTGCAGCACCGAAGATGGCAGACTCAACGGCGATCTCGAGGGAAATCGACTTGGGCTCCGCGCCAGAGGCGGTAGTCAGCTCATCCAGGTGTGACTGGCAAAGCTCGCGGAACGAGGGGTACTTCTCGATGATGGATCCATTGCATCCAATCGCCATCTTCCCTGCAGTCGCTGGCGTGAGGCCCTCGGACGTTGTGCGCAGGTTCCATAGCGAGTGGATTCCAGCCGCTAAGAAGGCAGCTGCGCGATGAGCAACAAGCTGGGAGACTTGTCGGACGAAGTGGATGTCATTGTAAGTGGGTGGCCTGCTGAGCGGGTGTTTTGTCTGGAACAGGGAAATGCCGTTGCTAAGGTTCTTCGAGGTGTCCATTTCGAGAGCTGCAATGGTGCCCGCATCGAGCGAGTACGCTTCGTTGAGTTTGTCTGGCATTTCTCCTCCAAACAGTCCTGCTGTGCGTACTGCCTCTGAGACGATCAGTCGAACCAGTTCTCCAAGGTAGCGGCCACTGATCATGTGCTCGAAAGGCTGGAAGTCCGGGCGGACGTGGGCGTCGTTGAGCTGCTCGTCCCACCGTGTCATTGGGAATACGGTTTTGCCGCCGAACATGCTGAGTTCGGTATTGACAAGAACGTGAGTAGCTTCGTCCCGCCATTTCTGGGGGTATCCTTTATATTTGGTAGAAGCTAGGGTCGAAGTAGGGAGATGTACGGCAATGTTGAAGCCTGTGCCAAGAATAACAGCAAAGCGTGTCGCCGGATCTTCGTAGGCACGTGATAACAAAGTTGCTGCCGAGTCGTTCACAATGGAGTCTAGTCGCACTGGCAAATTCTGGAGCGGCGTCAGTGTCAAGTTGAAAGGGACCAAGTCAACGGTCCGCTCACCCTCTTTCTACAAGGGGCCATGATCAGCTCGCTCAGGTCTTGGCCGAGGGTGCCCTCTGTCGCACGGAAGCCCTTGCCCATGGCAAGCAGGTTACCAGAGCGAGTGGACGTTTGCCTGGCGACAGGTCAGTTGAGGAATATCCGCGAGCAATAGCAGAGGCACATACTCAACTGGGAAGGACCAAGCTAGACCCATGGGGAAGGTGCTGGTGCCATTGATCTTTTTCAGCTGGGGATCCGAGATGGCCGTCTCGATCTTCTCGGCCATCCATTCGAAGAATTGGGTACCGCGGAGGTATCGAGCCGAGTTATCGATTTTGTAGCTCTTCATGTTGACGATGCGCATGCTCTTAGCGGCGGGCTGGCGGCCGTTTAGCTCCACAACAGCAACACGGAACGTCGACCCTCCGACATCGAGAGCCAGGTAGGTGCCCTGCTCGAGGCCGGTGGGCAGCTTGTGGTTGTAGGAAGGCAGCATGCAAATGTCGCTGGCCTGGAGCTTTGGCGCAAACTGGTCATGCAGCCTCCCGGACATGTGCAGCAGCTGTGCAGTGTCCAGGGGAGCCTCGAGTAGGCGCTGGATCTCGCGCAACAGATCGTCGAGCGTGCGCTCGTAGGTTCGCACGGCATCGCGGGTGCGCTTCCGCGAAGGCAGCGAGGGCAGCACCGAGTGGATGAGCGAGGGCAGCATGGCGAGGCGTTCCAGAGCCGCGAGTAGGCTCTGCCAGAAGTCAAACATGGGCTTCTTATACCAGCAGACGGTGGGCTGGCGGGCGAGAGGATTGCTGGCGTCGAGGGCGCAGTCGTCTTCGAGGAGGGTCATACGGCGGCTTTTGAAGCGTTTCAGCAGGTGGTGGGAGGGCATGGGCTGGGGTGGCAGATGGATATTGCTGTGTGGTGACAGCGGGGCCAGGTGGTGCTGAGGGTTGATTGCAGGCGTATATCAGACTCGCAGGTGGTCCTGAGAGGCCGGGCGGTCAGGACAACGCTACGTCGCAAACTCCAGGCGGGCCGGTGGCATCCAGCGAGCGATGTCGCAAACGGCTCTTAAGCATGGTTGTACGGCTTATGGCATAATAGGGAGAGGGTTGTATCCGCTAGAGGCACACTTGGGAAAATCCTCCGGCGAGCAGACTCGCGGCAGAGCAGGAGTCCTTACAGCGGGGCTTCAGGGCGGGCAGGCAGGGCACGCCGGGCAGCAGCGCCGTGGGCGCGAGTGGGTGGGACGGCCAGGCACGCAGCACAGCACCGCACGCAGCGTAGCGAGAACGAGTTGGAGCAAGCCAGTGCCTGTGCAGGGCGCTGCGTGATGGCGAATTGCTGTCGTGGGCATGTTTCGCGGCGGGAATGCTACGGTTACTCCAGCCTAGCCGCGTTGAGCCACCACCCAGCGTCCCACGGCCAATGCTAGCGCCCGCCCATCAGCCAGATTGGCGATCGCTGCCGGGGCTGTTGCAGGCCGCCTCGCCCGGCATAGAGCCCGCCCTCTGCACCCAGTATTGACCGACGCGGGCGGCAATAACGACCAGCGCCACCCGTCCACCACGCCAAGCCACAGCACATCCGTCCCACGGCGCCCTGCGTGCGGAGAAGCATCGACTGAAACACGGCCCTCCGGTGTAACCAGCCAAGCTGCCCCCACCTGCGCGGAGAATGCTTGTCTCTTCGCCAATCTAGGCGCTGAGACGCTGTACGGAGATTGGAGAACGAGCGTGCGGTCGACTGCCTGCGCGTCTTCCTGGAATGCCATGGTGTCCATGGCGGCGTGCAGTCAGCTGGACCGCCAACAGTGCGTGCTCGCGGCCTCTGGTGGACAATGGAACATCAATTTGCAGGCCATGCGCACGGAAGCGTGCTTAATGCGAGCAGTCGAGCATCCGCATTTCGCTAGAGGCCCTGGAAAGACCATTACCAAAATAGCACCACACCTTCACCTTCAACAGAACCACGAGCAAGGCAATCAGGAAGCATCGATGCGGCCAAACGATCGAGAACAGTGCCAACGCCGGCGAATGCCTTGATTGAAAGCAAGGGATATCGTGCAGAGACCTCATGCAAGCGCCGCTCGCGACCGTGCAGGCAAATATAGCTCTGCCCAATCATGTACAAGAATGCCCAAGGAAAGTGGTATCAACAGCCTGCCTACTCATCATTATAAACAAGTTCGCAAATCAGCCCCTCTTTAGGCCTTCTCCGTAACCACCTCGCCTGCCGGCACCACGTGCGCCTTGGCAGCGACCTCGTCGATCGTCTCGTCGGTGAACTTGATGTCCTTCTCCAAGGAAACAGTGTCCTCGACCTTCCACAGAATGACCGGGAGGGCAACCAGCAGACTACCTGCGAGGAGGCCCCAGTTGGAGGCGAACATGTTCATGTAGGAAATCTTCCTGTCATCCAACGCCCACGTGATGGCTCCACCGGCGGATTGGATGCCCTTGTAAAAACCAGCAAAGTTGGCGAGCTTGCGTCCGTTGTTGGTCAGCGCACCCATGAACCTGTTGAGCGTTAGTCCGAATCTCTTGAAATCGCAGTGTCTGCACGTACCAGTAAACGCACGTCTGCCATGCAGCGTCGGAAAATCCGTAGAACATGTACAAGACGAAGGGGCCTCCGAAGCCAGGGTCGGTCCAGTCCTTCTTGTCGTTGAGCAGCACTGGGTCGACACCGTTTACGCCAGTACCGGGTACGAGAGCCTCGGCCCATTCGCGGGTGTAGGTGGTCTGGAACTTGTAGCCGCAGCCCCAAACGATCATGATTAGGACGAACAAAGAAGCCCACGCAATCTTGGCACGCATTGTGCGGCGCACGCCCTTGAAGTCAAGCGCAAACCCGAAGACGTAGGCACCAACGATTTGCATAGAGTAGTAGACCACGCCGTTGAGAGCTCGAGTACGCGTGTTGAAGTAGGCGCCGTTGATCTCGGTGAAATGGTAGGCGTAGAACCAGTTGGAGGACAAGAACATGGGGAACAGAGCCAAAATGTAGGGATCAGTGAAGAACGTTTCCCAGAGACCCATGATTTCCGAGGACCAGGAAGGGTGCTTCATGACGATGACCTTGGAGCCATCGCTGCGAATGACGTCCTTGGCGTCAACGAGGGTCCACGAAAGGGCAGCACCGATGAGCGTGAGAATCAAGAAACCGACGTAAGTACCATCGCTGACAGTCTTTGCTGCTGTGGTGTTGATGCTCTGGCCGAGCGGGATCTGCAGGACGCGTGTTAGCTACAATACAACTACCGACACTCGTCGGGAAACTTACCAAGCTACCAATAACTGCACCCAGATTGAAGATCATCCAGAACCACGAGATGTACCGTCCCTTGGAGTCCTCTGGGGGGTACGACATCATAATGGCACCCTGGGCGCACCAGAGAAGACCTGCGCACACGCCGAGGAGGGCGCCAGCGAAAGTGGTGAAGCCGAGATTGTGGGTGTGATTGTAGCACAAAAATGAGGCTACGTAGACGGAGTAGCCAATGCCACCAAAGGACAAAGCAGTGCGGATGCCGAGCTTGTTGGTGAAGGTGCCGGCGAAGAAGCCCACGACGGAGAAGGTCGAGTACAGGGCCGTGTTGGCGTGGTTGTTGGCGGTTGCGTCCATTTGGCCACCGCCGCCCATTCCGTTGATGGCGTTGAACATGCCCGGGCACATGAAGCACACAAAGGACACGATGAGCAGCTGCACGGGCGGCGAGGCATACCAAGGAAACCTGCCGAGAATCTTCTTGTACTTCCACGAGTTGGGCAGCTCGAGCACGCCGTGAGGCTCTGTGACCGAGGCCTCCGGAGAGGAGACCTCGTGTGAGGCCTTCTTGGGATCCACGTCGGCCATTGTGTCGCAAGTTGAGCACAGGTGGAGGAAGGCGCAGAAGGGCGCGAAGCGAGAGCGTGGAGGAGAAGACGGGGACACTCTCTGCAGTTATGTGTGGGGTGGACGATCAGCTCGCGATTGCGCGCAGAAGTGAACCGTGAAAGGAGGATGTGGGTCGGCGGACGGGTATTTTAAGTAGGCCATGTCAGCCAGGGCAAGGGTCCAGGAGCGTCTTCCTTCACCACTCCTCCTCTCTCCACCCGCGCTAGCTCGCATGTGGAGACGGACGCGCAGTAGTGTGCACTGTGCGCATATGTACACCGCACACGCGACACCTAGAAGCCGTATCTGATAACGCTGCCATGGGCGCGGCGGATGCTGCCCATTCGCATCGTTTCACGCCGCCCGCCGTGCTGCTGCTCCCGACAGCCACTCAGAGGCCCAGCTCCCGCTGCCTGCACCGCGCCATCGAACCACGTCCGGGTGCGCCTGCACGGCGGCGCGTTCGTCGTCGTCCATCGCAGGCATCCCGGGCGGGGCGGGAGGCGTCGAATGGCCTTAGCCCGCGCCCATGCTTGCATGCTCACCCCAGGCCGGCGATCCATGGGCCTTTCTGGAAACGAGCGTAGTCTAGCGCCACTTGCAACGGTAAACCGACCCTCCTGATAGGAACAATGTAACCTTCAACCACAGCTCCCCGCATTGATGCTTAATCTGAACGCCTGACCACCGACCCCAGGCCCACGATATCGCTATGCCTGCTGGGGCTGCTGTCGCCGGCCCCGTCTGCCCATGGAGCTCTGCTCGTGCTGATAAGCGTGGAGCCTGTGAGAGCAACCTCATGGCGGCGTAGCATGGCAGCACAGCGCTGGCGTCGTCGCGCGACGGGCTCGCTGGCGCCTTGTGCTACCACCCTCACCTACCACCGCATTGTGTCCATCGCCGTCGTGCCGCGACGAGCCGGTAATTGATGCGTTTCGTGCGCTGCTGCGACGGCGTTGTCCCACTGCGCTCTTTCATTCGCCCCGGCCCACCTAACAAAGAAGACCACAGTGGACCCTGACTCCGAGAACGAGCATGCTACCCGCCCCGCCCATGACGTTGACGTGAACGTGGGAGCCGAACAGAGTGATGATAAGTTCTGCCTGCCCGTTCTCTGCCCGTCCTTTGACGCCTTGACCCTCTGAGTGACTTGCTCTGGACACAGCATATACACAGTACATACTCTCTAACCATGTATGCATGCTCGCTTGCCCTTCGGCTCTTGCACTTAGGCTGACCACTGCAGGCGCCTGATAATCAGAGACGATCCAGGCACCGCCTCCAAGTACATTGCCGACTACATTATTGGTGCATGCTTCCGATCCTTGCACTCCACAAAGCTTCTGCTAACGCCGCCCTCCAGAGCGCATCAAGACGTTCAACCCCAGTCAGGAGCGACCCTTTGTGCTGGGTCTGCCCACGGGAAGCAGCCCTGTCTTGATATATCAATACCTCGTGCAGCGCCACAAAGCCGGCGAGATATCGTTCCGCAATGTGGTCACTTTCAATATGGTGAGTCTTGGTCGCGCGCAGCCCCATCACCCTTGCATGCGGCTGTATGTGCGGCGGTGCCACGCCGCTCCCATGTTTCAATGGCTGATCAGCTGCAGGACGAGTACGTCGGGATTCCACGAGAACACCCGGAAAGCTACCACAGCTTCATGTACAAGCACTTCTTCTCGCACGTAGACGTCCGGCCCGAGAACATTAACATTCTCAACGGCAATGCTCCGGATCTGGAAGCCGAATGTCACGCATACGAGGAAAAGATCGCCAACGCAGGAGGTATCGAGCTGTTCCTGGGCGGTATTGGACCCGATGGGCACGTTGCCTTCAACGAACCTGGCTCCAGTCTCAAGTCTCGGACGCGTGTGAAGACTCTTGCCTATGACACTATCCTTGCGAATTCGAGGTTCTTCGGGAACGATCTGGATCAAGTCCCCAGGATGGCACTGACGGTTGGGGTCCGAACAGTTTTGGATGTAAGCGCTTTTGTCCAATGACATGCGAGCGACTCTGACGCGTGCAGGCTCGTGAAGTAGTGATTATCATCACTGGGGCGCACAAGGCTTTGGCTTTGCAGAAATGCATCGAGGAAGGCATCAACCACATGTGGACGCTCTCGAGCCTCCAGCTACACCCCCATCCAATGATCGTCACTGATGAGGATGCCACCCTGGAACTCAAAGTCAAGACTGTCAGGGTAAGATCAAACATTCGATGCCTTCAGCCACACTCGCTGACCGTTGATCAGTACTTCAAGAGTATCGAAAAGGTCGCAACTGAGCAAGGTTTCCGGCAGATGCTTCCCAGAATCAAGAAGCGCGACTCTGTTCATGAAACAGATGGCCTTCTACCTGCGCCCCAGCCCCAGCGCAACGGGCTGACGCTTGCCGTGCCGCCTCAAGATATTTCCCGCTCAGCTAGTCCTGCACTGGAACCCATGAGCGCACGAATCTCCGACAGCGAGGCAAGCGCGTTGCGGGCCGTCGATCTCAATAGCGAGCTGCAGTTTGCCCCGATGAGCGCTCGTGTCGCGGGTTGAGATAAGCATCGAAGGATTGCCTAGGATTGCCGGAGTCCGGACACTCGTTTTGTTTCGTTTCGAATTGATCATTTGTTTTGCCTATAGTCCTGGACACAATCGTTTGCGACGAGCAAATTGAGGTTCTGCTTTCAGGGCACGATTAGTAGTCTGCTTGACACGGTAGAGTAGAGTAGGATGCATCAACTGCGCGACTTTGATTTAGAATCTTGCGCTGGTCGCAGTTGTATAGACGATTGGTTCGTTAGATACCCTGTACTACTGGAACATGTATTGTATAATGTTTATTCGTTCTTCCGTTCATATCGTGTGTTTTTTGTGTGTTCGTACCGTATGTTTGAGTCGTTGAATGCTAATGGAAGTGTGAATGTTGACGACGGATCCAGCATGCCGTTGGCTAGAGTCGAAGGGCAAATTTGAAGCTTGATGATGATTTCGACAGCTTGCTATAGACAGAGGGAATGCACGATCCCCAGCCTCGCGAGGCGCTGAAGGAGAAGGGCTGGCGCACGTGCATGTCATATTCCCGACTCCACATGTCGAAGGTCGAGCCGAGGCACGTCATTTCCCCAGCTTCATGGGAGCCCTGCCCAAGCCCGTCTTGTCGGAAACAACAACAACAACACGTCGCGACAGCATGCGAAGCCCCTCATCGAGAGCGCGCATACAGTACATCCAGCATGTCGTCTTCCAGCACATCTTCCTCCTCCGGTAGGCCCGAATCGAAGGAGGAGGTCAATCCGATCGTGCGCAACGCGCTGCGGTACTCGCTCAGTCCGCGGGAATATCAGCTTCTTCACCAATACCTTCTTTCTCGCGCCCCCGCCGTCCGGAAGCGCACGCTGGCCCCCAAAAAATACGACGTCATTGCGAAGGGAGGCGACGACTACAATGCTGCTGCGATCCGTGCGAGTCTGCGGCTCGCCGTGGTGGCTTTCTCGGGCCTCAAGGCGTGGGATCTTGTGAGGACCAAGCTTTTGGCCCGGGGTGCACCAAAAAGGTGAATTGAAGCATGCCACGCAGTGCGCCGGGATACTGACACTGCCTAGTCCACAGCGCCCGCTGCCCGTGTACAAGTCGCCCAACGTCCGCTTGACGTGCTCGCTTTCCCTCATGTTGCTATTTCACCGCCTTCTGCGTCGCTTCTTCATCCGTCTACGCGAGAGTCTCCTCAAACAGGAAGCGAAGCCATTCAGACGGCGAAATCCGCGCATAGCACGCTCATTGACCTCCCGACTCGCGCCCGCTATCGGTTCCAGTCTGGCAGGCTTCTTTCTCGCAGTGTACCCCGGCGATCAATTGCGGATAACCATCGCCATCTACATCTTCACCAGGGCACTCGAGTTCAGCTACAACCGGCTGGAAGAGCTGGGCTATTTCCGCAACAGGCCTGCGTGGTTTGGCTCATGGATGCTTATGCCCGTAGCCTGTGGACAACTGCTGCACGCCTTCGTCTTTGACCGCGACTGCTTCCCCGCCACCTACGGGAAATTCATTCTGGACAACTCCCCAGAGTATATCCAGGCAAGACCCTCGGGATACCCCAAGCACCTCAAATGGCCGAGCACCTTTGACATTGTCGACAACCTGGCCCAGATATCCAAAAATTCATGGCCTTCCTTCGTGTCGCCCATCATGTTTCCCAACTCCGACACCCTACCTCGGAGCCTCACAGCCATATCACCAATCACATCCCCCGCGCACCCAGCCATCAAGCACCTCTCCTGCGCGCTCCTCCACCCCAACGACCCCTCCTGCCTGCGCACCTATCTCTCCTACTGGATCCAGGCCTTCCCCAAAGTCGCCCGCTTCTTCACCATCATCTTCACCGCGCTCAGTGTTACACGCTACAAATCCTTCCTCAATTCTCCCATCTCTGCCGTCAACGCCCTCGCAAAGTCCATCCTCCGCATGTCGCTCTTCATCTGCGGCGCCATCGGCACGTCCTGGGGCTCCATCTGCCTCTTCCAGAACCTTTTCCCGCGCAACCTGCTTCCCACGCAGCGCTGGTTCTTCGGCGGCTTTCTCGGCGGCATGTGGGCGTTTCTGGAGCGCAAGAACGGTCGCGGGAACTTCTTATACTCGGCGCGCATGTCGATTGATTCGCTGTGGAAGGTGGGTGTCAAGAGGGGGTGGTGGCGCGGCATCAAGAACGGGGATGTACTGCTGTTTGTGCTCAGTCTGGCGACGGTCAATGTGCTGTACGAACTTTCGCCCAAGTCGGTGAGCAGCGGGGTGGCGAGGAAAGGGTTGGGTGTCATGAGGGGCGAGGGGTGGGTGGATAGGGCGGTGTTGCCGAGGGAGGGTAAGGCAGGGGTGGAAGATGAGGAGTAGGGCTGGTTTGTATATGTGAGATAAGTGCAGTGGTGTTGTACGTTTGAGGAACCGTGTAATGAGAGACGAAGGACATGACGTATGAAAGATGGTCGCTGTTGTAATTTAATAATACTTTGTATATGCTCCTTTGCTTGGACTGATCATCGCCTCTGAGTGATAAAGTTGGGATGCAACGTCAACGCTTTCAATCCAGAATGCGGCCAGACTGGCGCTGTGCATATGCTCCATAATCCTTGTCTACAAACTTGCGACGCTTTTCATGGGTTTGCTATTCAGTGGCTGCCCCGGTTTGCTTGTTACTCTAAAGGCCCCCACCCCGTGGATCCTGTTAACAGTTTGAAACCATTTGAATGCTCTCTTTGGCCACACTAGTTTTAATGACGTCTATCAGAGAAGCGACTGTTAGCTCGCAACTGTGGGAATATATAATCATAACTCGGTCACTAGGTCAAAAACCATGACAGTATTGTGATACTTCCACGTTTGGGTTTGGCAATGGGACAAAGTATGTGACTTGCACGTACAATCGACATTATATGTGCTGGATACTATATGAACCAGGAATGCCACCGTCGTTTGAAAAGGTACGGAATCGACTGCCCTCTTCGCTTCCATGCCATGTTCGTAGATCATACGCTAGTCCAGAATTCATGTCTCGAGCCATGTCGCTAGAACACAAAAAAACCTTGAACGATCATTCGCAATGTCCATTGTGAGAGACGATAAGGACTCTTTCAATCAACCGCAATTGCCTCTCTAGGAAGACGAAAACACAGGTTTGCGCTTGGAGGAGCGAATTACGGGTATGATTTAAATCCTCGTTGCGGTCGTTGGTTGAAGCTTCCTAACCAAGCAAAGTCTCAGAACCGCATTTTGGTATTAAAACTCGAATGTGGTGCAGAGCCCTTGTGTATCGTCCAATGCCAATATCCGTCTCTCGTGTACGTTTTCAGTGTATTATGAGATATATAACATTATCGACAAATGTATACTTACTAGTATCTCGGTTGTTTTGACTGCTTCAAGGTACAGGAAGCATTGCTCAGTTTTCCGGAATAACTTATCGAGGTACAAACGACATACAATTTACCATAAAGGACAACTGAAGGGTAGCATGTTGCTTGCTGTTTTGAGATTTGATGCATCTCAAGTTGCACTGGGTATTGCCTAACACATTCTTGTCTTTTGACGCTGAGACAACTACCGGACGCAAAATAAAGTAATTCCACTTTGCGTATCCATAATTGCGTACAGTACAAACCATTTCGCAGCTATTACGCTCTGTTTGGGCATATTAGTGAGCAACGATTAATACTCCTGATGCTGTCAATTCTCTTATCCGAACTACCTAAGACGTCTTGCTCTTGTAAAAGCTTTACAAGCATAGTTTGCCATTCGTGAACGCTCTCGCCGTGAAAGTAGGTCATCTCCGTGAAACCCTTTGTCATTCACAACGAACATCATTATCGCCATTGTGTCGCTGTTGCAAGATGTCCATATTGCAATTTCTTCTTCCTGGTAATCATTGCGACTGCTTCAAAGAGGTGTACGGCTAAGACCATGCTTCCATGGAAACCTAGGCAATATCTAGAAGTGTATGCATCTCTTGGTTCATTGTAACTATCAGAGCGCTGAGCATTGCTATCTGAACGGTACATGGGGTTGAATACAACAATATTGAGCTGGAATGTTTTATGGGCTTCGTAAATAGAAGTCCATTTGTATATACGCCCGGTGAATTGCTGTTATTGCATACAGTGTACCCGCGCGAGTCCGCAATACCCTTTCTAGTATAACGAAATGGTGATATCTGTCAGAACAGGCACCTTCCTTTCTAGTGTCAATGCGGAGCTTCATTTGCCGCTATGACCCGTCGCACCAAGGCGCCAAGTGGCGCTGATGCTCTCGGCGCCAGTAGCAACGAGGAAGTGACTATCCACGGGCATGAATAATCACTAACTGAAGTGGCTATCTCCTAGTACAACATGCGAAGGGATTCGGAGCCCCAGATATATATGCAAATAAATCCAGATTCAATATCGACGATACACCCAAACGTGATTGGCGTCAAGTAACGTGACCTAGGCTTACGCGGGGTTGCATAACCAGGCAGTAGGCGATAAGTGCCCAATGTAAATATGAGACACTACGAACTTATTCCTCTGGTTTTGGATCTCCTTAATGTCCACGTAAAGGAACGACGATATTGATAGAGCACACTATGATCGTACCTTTGCTTGAGTTGCTGGGACCTATCCCTCTTCTTGCAGTCTCATCAACCTTGGTCAGTAAGCGATGGCAAGTGCGACCCCATCATGCTGAAAAGATCTAGGTGTGGGCTTCAACAGTCATTTACAGCCTGTACATCCATCCCCTGAGCAAGATTCCTGGACCGAAACTATGGGCTATCAGCCGCATTCCTTTTGCGCGATCATTTATTGCGGGAACAGCCGTGCAGGACATAGAAAAACTTCATCGCAGATACGGTCCTGTTGTCCGCACCCAGCCAAACGCGGTGAGCTTTGCTCATCCAGATGCTTGGCAAGACATACAGGGAGCACGCTCCAGTAGCGGGGGAAAACCGTATCTGAAAGACCCTACGTGGTGGAAATCGATGTCTTCTGCTTCTCGGTCTATTGCGACGGCGATTGAACATGACACACATGCTCGCATTCGCAAGACCCTGACACCGGCTTTCACACTTCGTGCATTGAAGCAGCAGGAGCCATTGCTCCAGACAGGCGTAGCTCTCTTGATACAGAGGCTTCAAGAGAGGGTTCTGAAAGCGGATGGCACGGGCGACTCATTCGATATCATCCCGTGGTTCAACTTCACTGCTTTTGATATCTTTGGCGACATTGCGTTCGGCGAGACATTCGACTGCCTCCAAACATCCAATTATCATCCTTTCGTCGCTTTGATCTGTGAAAGTATCAAGTCACACTCAATGGTCCTGGGTATACGACTTTTCCCTAAGCTGGAATATGTATTCAAGAAGTGGGTCTTCCCTCATATGATGAATGAGAACCAAAAGAAGTATGGCACAGCGGTCATCGATAGGGTCAATCGCCGCATGCAATGGGAGGTTGCTCGCCCAGACATCATGAGCTATGTTATTGCTGGGAACGAAAAGGGTGCAATGACGCCCGGTGAAGTGCAGGCCACATTCCAAACCTTGACGTTGGCAGGAAGTGAGACGACAGCTACCACTTTGTCAGGAGTCATGACACAATTGCTGACTCACCCTGAGGCATACGGAAAACTAGTTGGTGAGGTAAGAGGGGAACTGAAGAAAGAAGGAGATATCACCTTGGACGCTCTCAAGAACCTACCGTACTTAAACGCTTGTTTGAACGAAGCTATGCGACTATGCACCGCGACACCATTCACTCTCCCGCGAGTAGTTCCAAAGGACGGAGATATGGCTTGTGGAACATGGATTGCCGGTAAAGTAAGTGTCCCTAGCTCACTTTGCATTCGTGATACCTGACAAGCCTCAGACGAGTGTGTTCATCCTTCCATGGGCAGTAAATCGCGACCCAAACTTGTGGCACGATGCCATATCGTTCCACCCCGAACGATGGCTTCCAGGTGCCATGGACGGGAACTCTCCGTTTGTCAACGATCGCCGCGATGCGCTTCATCCGTTCGGTGAAGGGCCAAGGAAATGTATCGGAATGCATCTAGCATGGGCAGAAATTCGACTGATCTTAGCACGAATGCTGTGGTCTTTTGACTTTGAGCTAGTCAAGAAGACAGTCGAATGGGAGCAGCAGAGGGTTTACGTGTTGATCGAGAGAGGTCCTTTGATTGTCAAGTTGAAGGAACGAAGCGATACAAAATAAGCGAGTTTGGGTTTCGAAGATTGTTTGTCCCAATCCTGGGACCATATAGCGGCTCGATCATGTGGTGAATTTCCATAAGAGAGCGAAGAACTGCTTGCAAGTTTCAAGAGGCAGAATCATAACCCGATTATTTGGGGACCAAATTTATTTAGCTAGAGAGAAGAGGCCGAGGTCGCGATTCGTCGCTACGATGCACGTCCGCAGCCCTCGAGTGCTCATAGCGCTATGGTGGGATCATTCACCACTTTCACCATAGCTGGACGAAACTATAAAACCTCTTCGCCTTTGACTGCGAATAGTAAGCATCAAGTGCAAAGATCTCCTCTTCAGTCAGCGTCCGCCGACCCGTATGCAGGTCCACTTTCGCCGGATTCCTCAATTTCGTGCGGAAGACAATCTTATATCCAATACCAGAGAAGACGATAAGAAGTAAGCCGATCATGTACTGGAAGAACGAGTATGCTGACGGGGACGTCGCGCTCTATGATTCGTTAGCATTCCGTACTGAAGTAGCACGAGATCTTTGACTTACGATCGGGTACAAGCCGAGATAGAATGAGCACGCTGTATACAAAGAACAGCAAGTAAGAAGCAAGATCGGTGGCATCGGCCAGAGAGTACACTTCCATGCGTACGGTTCCTTGAACAGCGGGTCGTTCTGCGCGTTGAGTGCGGCGCGGAAGCGGAAGCTGATGATAGCCACAACCACCCAGACCATAAAGTAACCAGTACTCGCAATTTGCGCCAGCCAAGTGAAGACTTCGATACCGCCAGCACTCAGATTGCAGTACGTTAAGGCAATGGCTGCAACCAGAGTGATAGCTATGGCCCATCGTGGTCGCCCTTTCGAATCCACTTGCGCTACCCACTGCGGAATCAGATTTTGGTGCGACATGAAGCGCAGCATGCGGGACGCAATAAATATGGACTCCGCCCCAATGGATGCCACGGCAACCAAAATGACGCAGTTGAGAAAATCGGGAAGACCGGTGATGCCAGCTTCGTTGAGAGCGATGACGAATGGAGACGCGGCAACGCCAGAGGACCCGTAGAGAGACGGGGAGTCGGCCGAAACGAGGATACTGATGAATATTATACAGACGAGATATATCGTAGTCACGCGAATAGGGATTAGAAATGCGGCGTGTCCGACCGAATATCGCGGAGACTTGGCCTCGCCGGCAAGGAAGCCAGTAAAAGAATTATCTAGCAGATCATCAGTACTGATTCAATGGAATAAGCCGGCAACCGGCATCGAAGATGAGATCTTACCACCAATGGCGAGTACGGCGAGCAGAACGGAACTGGCGAAGCCTTTGAAGCCGTTTTTGAAAGGATCTTCTTTCCATCCATCACCATGATGAAGGTAGCCTTTCGGGCCAGCACCAAGGACCATGGCGAAACCAGCGAAGACGAATATGAGGAGCGCAATGATTTTGAGAATTGCAGCACAATACTCAAACCAACCAAACCAAACACTCGGCAACATGAACATGATCATCATGACGAGGAGGAAGACAGTATCTGCGAGTATCAGCCTATCAATCGCAGATCATTTGGAAGGAAGATAAGCGGTACTTACACCACACAGCATCGTGGACTCTGTTCTGAGCCCAGTAGTTGACAATGACAGAGAAGAAGGTCGCTTCAGCAGCTACAATCGCTGTCCATCCTAGCCACATGGATAGACCAGCAGCAAACGACAGAGCTGGATCCACAAAGCGGTCTGCATACTCGATGAAATTACCGGAGACAGGGAAGGCTATTGAAATCTCTGATACGGTCTGCAGCATACCCCAGACACACGTGCAGACGACAATGAATCCTAGCACTAGTGACCCTGGGCCTCCGTTGAGCAGATTCGTGCCTGTGGAGATGAAGAGCCCTGCGCCAATCTGTCCACCTAGGGATAACACGTGAATCTGTCGGGGAGTGAACGAGCGGCGAAACTCTCCATGGTTGGGAACATCCTCAACGGTGCCATTCTTCGGGTTCGGGAAGGGTAGTGACGTTGCTTCACACTCTGGTGCTTTCTCGGACTCTTTCATTTTTGTCACAGAATCGCAGAGTCTGAGTCGAAGAATTGGACAGCAATCACGCCAGACCTCTATGCACTGGGATGTCAGATAACCGGTGACACTCAGCGACAAGATGTCTAACTCTTAAGTATCCCGGTTTCGGTAGACACGGCAGTTTTCCCGAGAGGACCCGAGGTTGGGCCTGCAAATGAGGCTGTACTATGGTAAACTCGTGAATACAGCTGCGATTTCCAAGCATAATTGCAGGCATATCTTTGACCATCTCGGCCGACTTATCGTGTCCAACTTCCTTCGGCGCATTCCCGAGTGATAGTGCTATCTCGGTGATGGTTTTCCATATCATGCGGAGAAAACCAACGCAGACTGGCGCTATCTGCTCGAAATCGTTAAGACGTTGCAGGAGTTGATCTGATCGGCATATGGCCGCTTTGCTCCGATGCTCGGTAGCCCCAATCCTGCGGAGATCTCCGTTCCTCAATCCACAATATGTAACCTTGGGCAAACACACCTTGGGCTTGTATACCGTTCTCCTCTATTCTATCGAATTAGTAAACGCCACGTTCTTGCCCACCGATACCTTTTGGCCACCAAACCGCCATGCCGCCCTCCAATTCGCCAAAATCAGTACTCATCGTGGGTGGGGGCACCTTCGGAACCTCAACAGCCTATCATCTCTCCTTGAAACCGGAGACATACCATAGTATCACTGTTCTCGACCGTTTTCCTGTTCCTAGCCAAGAAGCAGCTGGGAATGACATCAACAAAGTTATCCGCAACGACTACGCCGACCCGCTGTATGCTAGGCTTACGACTGAAGCTATGAAGCTATGGGGGAACCCGCATGGCCTTTACAAGGGTTTGTATCATCGCACGGGTTGGCTTCTTGGCGCAGCAGAAGAGTCCAAGGACTTTGTGCGCCAGTCGGCAGAAACAGCTCGCAAGCTTGGTCTTGTCGTCGCACAACCTGTGAGCCGTGATGAAATTCGGAGCCGATGGCCACTGATTACGGGAGAAATGCACGGCTGGAGTACCGTATGGAATCCGTCCGCGGGTTGGGCGAATGCGCGAGGTGGATTGACAAAGTTGGCGCAGGCCGCGCAGGAAAATAGCGTCCGATATGTTGACGGAGCTCAAGGCCATGTCGTTCAGCTCCTGTACGATCAGAACGGAAGATGTATCGGTGCAAAGGCCGCTGATGGAAGCACTTATTTCGCTGAGATGGTCATACTGGCCGCTGGAGCTGCAGCTGCCACGTTATTGGACCTGAAAGGGCAGCTTGTGGCCAAAGGCCACACCGTTGGACACATCAAATGTACTCCTGCGGAGGTGAAAAAGTATCGGCAGATGCCTATTGTTGCTCACTTGGAAGGCGGATTGATATTCCCACCGCAGGAGGACGGTATACTCAAACTCGGCGCAATGGACTTTGTGACCAACTTCGCGGGCAGGAACGTATCACTCCCGCGCTACAGATCAGACAATAAAGGCGATGGAGTGCCGAAGCCTATCGAAGACAAGATGAGACGATGGTTGTCAGAATGCTTTCCAGAACTCGCACACCGTGAATGGGTCGAGTCGAGGATATGTTGGTGAGTGATGATGTATCCTGGATTCAATAGCATATCGCTCACTTTCTTGTCAGGGATGCTGACACGCCCGACTTGCACTTCTTGATCGACAAGCATCCGAACCACCCTGGCCTTCACTTAGCTATAGGAGGGTCAGCACATGGCTTCAAGATGATGCCTGTTGTCGGGAAATATGTTGTCGACTCTCTTGAAGGCTGTCTGGAGAATGAGGCACGGAACAAGTGGCGTTGGCGACCAGGTGCTAAGATGCAGCACGCCAACCCGCACCCTGGGCGGCTGCTCGAGTTGAGTGACATTGCGGGCTTTCAGGAAAAATCCGCGAAGCTCTAATACTGAACACAAGGAGGAATGGGGGGCTCATGGGGTTGTGATGCTGGAGTTTGAGCGTTGATAGTGATGCGGGGTAATGCACACTCGGAGCTGAAGGCGCTCTCGGTTAGGCCTAACTCAGTATACAGAAGCGGTGTGTATCACAGTCCTGTGCAAGTTCGCAACATTTCTGAGGCTCGGATATTATAGGCCAATGAATAGTACCTATGGTAGGGATGATAACATGATGGATTTGATGATACGCCTTCATCTACTTTCGTACTCTGTTAGCAGTTCTTTAGCCTCGTGTACATATTGAGGCGCAGCCATAACATGCTCAGCCACTACGGATATATGAACAAATATGTTGTCGCCTCGATAAGGTTTCTCTTTCACCACATACCTCGCAAAATGCGACACCAAAGTAACTTTGAATCCTCACTACTCTAAAGATCAGTGTGCAAACCCTCTGCGCGACTGCGGGCATATCATGCTACCTCACGATACATCTCCCTGGAGTTCAACTTTATGAAGCAATAGCTTACTGCTTTCCATCAACGTTTCACGCATCAGATCAAGATCAAGGCGTTCTCTCAGACTCTATGAATCAATAGCTGTGGCAGTAATGGAGCAGGTACCTCGATATCAAGAGTTTCGGCACGAGCCTCTTCCTGATTCGACATCACACATACGACTCCTTGAGATTCTGGAGGGCGAACCCGGAAGGAGTGTTGTTTGCCAGCTGTTAGCCTGGCCCATAGAGACTGCACCGTCATACTACGCCATCTCATACACATGGGGCGAGCCACGACCAACGTCATTGATCATTGTCAATGGCCGCTACACAGAAGTAGGGATCAATTGCGAATACGTTATGAGACAGGCCTATAACTCTGGAGCGAGCAAATACTTCTGGATCGACGCCCTTTGCATCGACCAAGCGAGCAGAAAAGAAAAGACTCATCAAGTGGCCATGATGGGACGGCTTTACGAGAGGGCAACGCATGTATTTGCTTGCGTGGGAGACCATACAGCTGACAGCGAATTCCTAATAAGTACTATCGACGAGCACTCACGACTACTATCACGCATACACCAGCAGGTCGTAGACTCTGGGCACAGAAGCTCAAAGCTATGGACGATTGAGAATCCCATTCCGATCGGACGGCGACTTTCCGTCCAATGTTTCTTTGCAATGGATGCCGAGATACGGCATAGGTTGGCTGAAGCTGTGATAGCTTTCATGCGACGGCCGTACTTCTCAAGAGTCTGGGTCCTTCAGGAGCTGCAACTGGCCTCGACGACTTCGTTTTGCTGTGGGATGGATACCCGCTCCTTCGATCACCTCATCGGAGTCACTATGCTGGTGGACTTCTGGATCAATGTACGCGAATACGTTGCATATTGGTATCCTATGACACGTCTAGCAGTGTCTCTGCTCTTTAGACAGCCATGGATCCTTCGACGACTGAAAGTTTGCCGGGACCTGAATGTGGCGCTACAGGAAGTAGCACCACAACGTGGCTGTCTTGCTCTTGCTTCAGGTGTCAGGGGGACCCGCAGATTGTCCGAAGTACTAGAACATATGCAGTACTTCTCCTGCGCTGACGCTCGGGATAAGCTGTACGGTATCCTAGCACTCGTCGATTGGCCGGGCCAGTCAAAACCAGATCCGGACTATAGCAGAGACTGCTTCCAGGTCGCAATTGCCATTTATAATATCTACTGGAAACATCCCACCTGCGCTCCAGTAACAGGGTCAGTCGTAGAATGGGTCGGTCGCTTGCGCGAGACTTTTGGTATATCCCTAGATCAAAATACGCTGCGGGAGGCTGCGGCTCTACGATATCCCGATTCTCAACTACCAGACGTCATGCAGACCAGACGTGGAAGCTATCAGTCTCTTTCGAGCATCAAGCGCCAATCTATTGGAGGTGCATCCATAGCAACATTGCGCTCTCTCCAGCTCGGAAGACGGCTGTCAAAAAACCGAAGCAAAAACGTTTGGTACGGCATCAAACTCCAACACGCTCGAAACATGAAACAATACTCCGCTTCTAGATATTCGAGTGTGAAGTTTCTCTGTCTGGAGGATGATGCTAGCGAACCCATCAGCAGAATATATGACCAGGACGGAAAGCTCTTCGCTTTTGCGCCCAAGGGAACCAGGGCGTCAAACTGGCTCCTTATAAGTGACAAAAGACAGCAAAACGCAAGGAATGCTTTAGCTCTGGTGGTCAAGTTTCCCGAATCGAATTATGGTCAGTACCGCATCATAGGCCAAGCTTCTGTTTGCTACCAGGACCCGGAAAGTATCTATCAATTCCTCGAATGGGAGACATTCTCTGCGAAGTGGTATCCCGAAGATCTCTTTGTTCTCGAATGGAGCCACCACAATCGAACAAGCGGTGACCTATCGAGCAACGAGATTATTCAGTGGCTCAGACTGAAGATTTGCGCAACCGAAGAGTCTTCGTCTTTCGACGGGCCTCCATTCGAATCGCTTGAGAGTTTTGATTCTTCATATCCTCACCATCACATCAGTCGTAGGAATTCAGATATAAGGTTCGACCGGGCCGACGTCGAGGAAGTATTCGCAAGAATGAATCCGGGGTTAGTAGACGAATTGCTATCAGACGAAGACTGACGACTTGAGACTCATTTCGGTATAAAGAGTACGGATACAATCGAGCCTAACACCGATTCGTGATCATCTCATAAGTCACCGTAACTGTGTTTCGATCACTGGTGTCATGTCCACGGCCTATGGTCAGTTTGCTCTACGTCGGCGCAAACCCATTCAGACGGTTGTCAGATGGAAGATCTGCATTTGCTATCGCCCTCAGCAGGAAAGTTAGGCCTCTTATAGACTTTCTCCTCGCCGAGGCATGGGGAAGAGGGTTGCTGTCCGCAAATGAATCACACTATGGTGGGCAGTCGCTGAGAGCAAAACGAGAAAGAGTGACGCCCGCGACTCATGGCTTCGTTCATGTTGTAGCAACATTTTGTTTGGCAGATCGAAGCTGTTGGAGGACCGTATTGCGGCGCGATTGAGTGCCATCAAGACTCGATTCTTCAGACTGGAACCTGAGTGGCGTTGTTCAAGAAACAGTTACGCCGTCGCTAAGGAGCATCTGGACGGTTTCCGCGAGCATGTGGACAGTTTCGACGAATTAGTGAGTGGTCGATTCAGCAACAAAAGGACGGGAACGCGCGTGGACCGCGTCCCTGCCTGGTTCGTCAGTTACGAGCCAGTAATAATGTAGGGCAACTTTCTCTGCTCAGTTACAACTCCTTGTGCCATGGTCGGGCTCCAGGTATAATTCACGGCTCCGTATTATTCCGCCCATTTCGGACGTCCTGTTTACAATTTCAGTCACCCTACTCTCTGGCAGAACCCTGATGAATCTATCTCCACATTTCGCCATCGTCAACGAAGAGCTGCCCAATGCACATGCAAACCAAGTTTAATCAAGGTCCACAATCTGCATACCCATCTTTTTGAAATTACCCATGGTATTGGTACTCCACGAGAACCTTGGAACATAATCGTACCATTCCTGCTAATCTGTACATCCTTGCGGTCGGGTACATTCTTTTGAGCAGCCACTTATCTGTCGATCACGCTATCAGCCCCCAATCGCGGCGTTGCACCACATCCCTCACGTCGACATCCCACTTGCACCCACTATGGGTACCCAGCCCAATTTCCTGGGTACCACCGATCTCCTAGTCAGATAAGCGACAACGTCCCCATCCGTAGCCTCCGCCGACGCTATCTCTTCGCGCCCTAGTCCAGGCACACTCCGTCCCTGGGGAATTCCCACATTCACGTGATAACCCATCTTCACATGTCAGACGCATGCGTCCACCCACCTGCCCTTCACGACTTTTTTTTCTTTCCGCCTCGGCAGTCCCACACATGATTTTGAATCAGCCAGTTTGCATTCCTTTAAATACCCCCCGGGCTCCCGTCGCGCGCAGCCTGATGTCACTCGAGATCTCTACTATCGCAACCACGAAACCTACCGTAACCCGTATACGAACCGTACATCCGTGAACGAACCGGCCGAGAATCCGCGCGAACCACCACCCGACTCAACCCGACCGACCGCACATGCACCCCTGCTCTCAACCACAGTGTTGAGCTGCAAGTCCAGCCCATATCCACTTCACGATGTCGATAGCGCGAGAGAAGCCGCATACAACGCATCGCATCGCAAGCGATCGCATACGCATACGCCCCACTACCGAGAACCGCACCTTAATGATTCTTTACATGATGCATTAAAATATACACGCAGCTCGCCGCGCTTACCAATAATTATCTACTACACATACATACAGCCCGAGAGACGTGCCGAGGCAACGTTGCGACGACGGACGCTCCAAAAAGCCAACCACGCCAAAAAAAAAAAAGTACGATTACGCCTCTACTCACAGGCAGGCTAACATACCAGGAAATTAAGGTAAACAATGATCTAATCCTGTCTAAACTTGCTTCGCCAGATATCTCGCCAATCCTTGGTTCTCCTAGAAGGAAGCAACAGCGACAGCGACGGCTTGGTCGTCCGAGTGGCTAATGCTGATTGTGACCTTCTTCATGCCAACGCGCTTGGCTTCTTGCTGTGCGCTACCGGAGAGCTGGGATTGAGTCAGCATGTGTACAATGTCGCAACGAGGATGAGGAGGAACGACTTACCTTAACAGCTGGTGCGCCGTTCTCGTCGTTGACGATTTCAATGTCCTTTAGTGCGGCACCAGCACCCTGACCCTTCACACCGAGCGACTTGAACACAGCCTCCTTGGCGGACCACTTGCCCGCAAAACTGGACTGCGGGCTCGCAGCCTTTTGGCAGTACGCGATCTCTTGCGCAGTGAAATTTCGCTCCAGGAAGGTGTCGTTTTCGATGTTGATAGCATCGATGCGCTCAACATCGACACCGACCTTGGTGTTTGCGGAGGCAGATGCTTGAGTGATTGACTCGAGCATTTTCTGTGTCTCCTGTGCCTTTGCGTCCTTCTTGAGTGCACCCGTGTCGAGGTTCTTGGGGAAGGTGTACTTCTTCGTCTTCTGGTCGACGGTGACACGCGCCCTGGGGTTGAGGAAGACCTCCTGCATCCTCTCCTCCTCGTAGGGCGACTTGTCCTTGGCACGGAACATGGTGTTGTTGATGAGGGCATCGTGGAAGTAACGGTAAGCAGTCTTCTGACGAGCTTCCACCTTGGCCTTGTAGGTCGCAAACTCATTGTGGTCAAGCGCAGCATACAGGTACTTCGGGTGGATACCAATCGCCTGGGCACCCTTCTGACCGAAACCGAAAGACGTGACTGAAAAGGCCTTGATACCGTCTGTCTGAATAGTCCGGGATGGATAGACAATGTAGTCGAATTTTTCCATGATCTTGTCGACATTGTCTGCGTTGCGATTGCCCGGTACAAGACCTGAGTTGAGGACTTGCAAGCAGCCGTTGAACATCCATGCACCTGCAGCACCCTTGGGATGACCGGTGAGATACTTCTGGAAGATACCCAAAAGCGCATTGCCCTTTGACCGACCGAGGTGGCGCATTTGCTGGCAAATGACATCCGACTCGTTCTTGTCATTGGCGACGGTGGAAGTACCGTGGAAAGAGGCAACGTCGAGGTCATCAATAGTGAGACCCCAAGTAGCAAGGGCACCACGGAGAGGAGCAATGCGGGAGTCCTGTTTCCAGAAGTTGTTTCCGAGGCTGTTGAGGGCATCCTTTTCTTGTCGCTTGGCTTCACGCTCAATGTGAGCAGCACGCTCCTGCAAATACTCTGACTCATCGAAGCTCTCAGCAGCATCCTTCATCGCGGCCACTTCCTCCTGGAGGTACATCAACTCGGATTCCTGCCATTGCTTGATCTGCTTCCGGCGGAGATCCATCTGTCTCTTTCGGTACTTGATGTCCAGCAGGGGCGACGGGAACTTGGAGGGCACCTCACGAGCAGTGGTCAACACACCCTTACCGGGAGCAGGAACCGAACGTCCGATCTTGTCAGTGGCCGTGGCAGTGAAACCAAGGACACCGTAGATAGGAACTCCCATGTCGATGGCAAGGCGAGCGTCCATGATCACTTGCATACCGCAGCCCTGAGACTCCATGAAGCCGTTTCGGGTGGTCGTAGTCGGACGAGACATTTCCTGAGGTGTGCGACCGTGAGCAAATTCGTCTTCAGCGTTGCTCGTGGCCTTCATGTTGGCGAATTCGTAAGACCCTTCCTCTTGGAAGTCATCGAAACCACCAACAAAGCAGACACGAGCCTTGCCTTCAACAATAGTGTCGTATCCAATATCGATGGACTCTACGGCAGTGGCGCAAGCACCGACTGGAGTCTTGATAGGTCCAGTGGACGACATGAGTAACATGTTGATCCATGCACTCATCGTGTTGATGAACGACTCCTGCAGAATGTCCTTCTGAACAGGCTTGTCGAGGAAGCGGTCCTTGTACATGCCACGAAGGGCGGTCGTACCACCGATACCGGAACCAATACAGTTGCCAACTTCAGACAAGTGGACGTACTTGTAGAACTCGTACGGGTCGGTAATACCGCTGGAGAGCAGACACTCAGCCGTGGAGACGAGAACATAAAGCGTCACAGGGTCGACTTGGGAAATGATGTCGTCTGGGATACCATATATCTTCGCGTTCCAGCCAGTGGGGACCTGGCCAGCAACAAGGCGGTCGAAGCGGAGCGCCTTGGGGATCAACAACGTCGCACCCTTTTTTAAGCGGACAGTGTACTCTCCAGAATCCGGGATCTCGAAGATCTCTACCTTGTCACCGTGCTGTCGCTTGAACTCGTCAGCATTCTCCTTGGAAGCCTCAAAAGGATCAAGATCCTCTTCGACTTGGATCTCCTGGAGAAGCTGCTTCTTGGTGGGGTCATATCCATGGAAGAGCTCAGGTTCAATGAGACGGATACCCGAGTGCTCAAGGATGTGCTTCTCGTACTTGGACTTGATGTCCTTGTCATCGACTGGCTCTCCAGTCTTGGCATCCACCCAACCAGAGTAGCTCTTGCCCTTGAGCGGGCCGTTGTGGTTCTTGATGAGACCAGTCATCCAGGCCATCTCGACACAGCCCTCGAGGGAGAACTCGCCGTACGCTTCCATCTCCCATCGCGTCCTGGAATTACCCCAGGGACCAATCTCAGCGAAACCGGTTACGACAACCACCTTCTCGAGATCGACCATTCCCTTGAGGTCTTCGTTGAGAGGCTTTACTTCGCTCTCCCAATCAGGAAGCTTAGGGAAGTCGTACTTGATGTTGGCTCTCGGTTCGACGGTGGCCTTCTTGTACAGCGCTTCGCTGGCCTCGCCGTTGACGATCTTGTTCTCAATGGCATTCTCCTTGATGACGGCCTTGCGAACCTCACTGGTCTCTGTGTACTCTTTGCGGAGATCAGTCATGAGGTCCTTGAGGTTAGGAATGTATTGGAAACCTCCGTTCAGATCAGCCCAAACAGGCTCAATCTGGCAAAGGTTTACAATGGGAGGCGCCATCAGGCCGAGCAAGTTGAAGGCCATCTCCTGCTGGCTGAAGGTGCGGACACCGTACTTCTCCACACCCTCAGCGACGATGTTGTTACCGGCCATCAGTCCGGTACCACGGGTCCAGCCAATGATGGCTCCGCAGATGGTGAGGAAGCTGCCCCAGCTTTCAGAGTGCCACCTGCTGAAGAGGGTTTCCAAGGCAATCTTGGACTCGGCGTACAAACCGTCGTTGCCGAAGGTTCCGTGGTTGGGCGAAAGAGGGAGGATAACTTGTGCCGGTCTTGTCTCGTAACCGTATGCGGCCTTCTGAGTCTTGACAGCACCGAGCAGACGAAGCAGGTTGGTCAACATGATGCGGTGAGCAAGTTCAGATTTGGAATCCAAGCCGTCAATCTCGCGTCCATTCTCCGAGATGGCAGCGAAAGGAACAATGTAGTCGAGATCCCATCCGAGACCATTCTTGGCATCGAAGATGTAGTCGACCAGGGCCTCAACATCCTGCTTGCTGCCCTGGTTGAAGGGAACTACGATAAGCTGAGAGCCACGAGCACCATAGCGAGTGTACATGGACTGGTAGTACTCGTTGACTTCACGAGAGAAGCGCGAAGTGGTCACGACGACGTGGGCGCCACCGCTGATCAAGCCCTGGAGGACCTCTGCACCGATGGACCCAGCACCAGCACCAGTCATCAAAGCGTATTTGCCCTGGAAGGTGACACCGTCCTTGGCAGCACTTTCAAGGCAGTCGAGGTAGACGCCTGTGAGCTTCTTGCTGTACTCCCAGCCATGGTCGTCCTTCCTCTTCAAGTGAAGGAATGGGACTGTCTCGACCTTGCCCTGCTTCGAAGGAGCATGCACACGACCATTGCGACCCTTCTTGCCGTTGATAGCCTTGCCGTTCTCATTGGGAATGATCTGGCCTTCGTTCATCGACAAGGAACGGATGACGTTGCTGTATAAGCTCTTGATCTGCAGCTGCGACGACTTGGAAAGCTTGTGCTGTTGCTTGATGAGCTTGTAGATACGCTGCAGGTCATTCTGGACCTTGGTGCGGTTGCCATATTCGGACAACTTGCCGCCTTCAGCCATCTCCTTGACGTAATGCTCCAGCTTGCGTACGCTTGGCCTTTGTACCTCGGCGTAGTTCATGCCACCCTTGGCATCAATCTCCAAGTGGGGGCCAGTAGGTACAGCAACATCCTTGAACACGGGGGCTTCGTTGAGAACATCCTTGCAGTTTTCGATGAGCTGCTGACCGAGCTCCTTGGCAAGCTCGTATGTCTCGCCACGTTCCGTTGGGCAGTGGTCGATGTGGTATTGCATGAAGTCGAGCAGCAAAGGATTTGAGCGGTTCATGATCTGGATACAGCGGCTGACAATCTCGCGATCGACGGCCTTGAGCCGGCCAAAGATGATATCATAGTACATGCTGAGGGCATCCTGGCGGGCCCAGTTCCACGACGAGTCGTAAACACGAGCCTTGAGCGGTGTGAATTGGGGCTCAATGCCAGAAGCATAGAAGTCTCCGTGCTCGGCAGTCCAGAGGTCCAGCTGCGCTTGGAGTGCAGAAGAGGCCTTCTGGGAGTCGAGGAATGCCTTGTCGCCGGCGCGCAGGTCCATCTTCAGATAACGCGCGAAGAGCTCGAGCTGTTGCTTGAACAATTGGCGCTGGTCCTTGGTGAGAGCATCGATGGCAGCGGGGTCCATCATCATGCCTCCTGCCGCACCACCGGCATCGCCACCTGCTGCCGGAGCAGAGAGGCTAATGCCAGCCTGTGCCGCGTATTTGTTCGAAATGTCGTCCAACCACGCTTTCGCGTCGTTCTCCGATCCAAGACGGGCAGCGGGCTCATTTGTGAGCGCAAGCAGCAGAACACCGTCCTGGCGTCCTTGTGCCAAACCCCACCGGGTCTCGAGGTGCTTGCGGACTGATGTGATGTTGAAGCCACCAGGCATCTTAGATGACACCAGGCGGGCAATGAGCGAGGAGGACTGCTTGCCAAGCTGACCATTGAAGGTCGCCTGCATCGCGGCACCTAACTCGTCCAAGGGTGTGTCTTCCGGCTTCTCAGGTGTTGAGCCAAACTCCTTGCCCAAGTCTCCGAGGATCTCATTCTGTAGGGTGGACTTGCCTTAACATCTGTTAGCATCGAGTTGCGGCCAATGGCGTCGTTTTTTCTTACCTCCAACAAGATCTTTGATCGCCTTGCTGAGGGGAACGTCGGCCAGAGGCTTCTTCAGCTTCTGAGCAACGAGCGCCCGCAGGATGTCGGTTGCCGTGACTGGGGCATCCGGGACCTGTGCTGCGGGACCTGCGCTAGGTGGTGGGGGTGCTGCAGCAGGCGCGGCGGCGGTGGGCGCTGACGAAGACGCAGCTGGAGCATCTCCGCTGGGCGCGGCGGGCTCTGGCTCGTCTTCTACAGGGTCCACATCGTAGTAGATGTCCTTCGCGTCCTTGTTGTAGCACAGGATCTGGCGTTGCACCGAGAGGGCGGCGTCGTGTGCTTCGTACTTGGAGGCGAGGGTTCGCTTCGCCATGACACCCAGCGTGTCGGCAGGGCCGACCTCGACGATGCGCTCCGTCGTCTTCTCGCCGAGGACGACATCCTGCGTCTCGATCCACCTCACGGGCGAGGCGAATTGGTATGCGAGCAGCTCGATGAGCAGCGTGTGCGAGAGCTCTTGCTCGACCTCGGGACGCATGGCGGCGGCGGGAGGGGTCTAGGCGGAGGGAGGGGAGAAGAGGAGGTGTGAGAGCGCTCGACACGCAATGGGGTATCTAGAGGAAAGAAAAGAGCGATGGGTATCTCAAGGGTCCACGAAGGGAAGGGGCAGGCGGCGGGGGTGCGACCGTGCCGGTATTATTGCGGTGAGCCTGGACAGAGCTTGAGGAAGCTTGAGCTGGCACAGCTCAGAGGGCGACCCACGGTTGGGCCTGGATGCGGAAAGTGGTTCGACAGGTGCGGGAGGTTCAGGAAGGGAAGCGACCCGGCATTGGCTGTTTATCTCTCGGGGAACAGCAGAGAGATAGCACGCTGCGTGTTGAGGAATTCAAGCCTCTCTCAAAAATCGCGACCCCTGCCCGCCCTTCCGGGACCGTGCGCGGGCAGGCCACTCAACTGGCCGCAAATTTCGCCAGAGCGCCCCCGCCGCCCATCGCACAGCACTAGCGTATCCAGCACACAACCATCCGGCCCCGGTGGAATGCGTGGAAAGGCGCCCGGCTTGCGAGGCGACGTCAACACCTGCAGCGGCAGCCGCTCAACAGGCGCCTGCCAGTCGAGCGTAGCACGCCGCCGTTGAGTAATCTGCAGCACGCAGCTCGTTGGCGACGCCAGCCGTCCCTGTGCATCGCTACATTCTCTAGACGCATCCTGCACGCCCAACCGTCCGTCCAGACCCCCCGGCTGCTTAGCGGGCCCAAGCCGACCCTGAGCGAGCGACACCTCGAAAAAAGTCGACGAGCAACCACGCCGTCGTATTTACCCACCCCATCCTCCTCCCGCCCGAGCTTGACCCTCTCCCCTCCCTCAATTGCCCTCACCGCTCCCTCTTTGTGATTACCTATACCCTGGTGCGAGTGCCGCGCCCGCAGTTTCTGTCTGCGCTCCGCCTCCGCACCTCTGTCGTCGCAAGGGAGCTGTAGTCGTCCGATTGCAGCGCCGACTAATTCCCCACCGTTGCTGGAGATTAACTTCTGCCGGCTTCCAATTGCTTCTCTTCATACCTAGTACGTCTCCCGAGCCCGTCGCGGCTGCCTTGGACCGCGGTGCGTGCGAGTTGCACCTTCCAGCGCCCTCGCAAGCTCTTCCCAATCGGGCATACACACTGGTCCCAGTCCATGAGCTCACCACGCCAGATCCAAACCTTCCCGCACCACCGTGCCCGTCGCTCCTTCTGCCTAGAACACCGGTAAGAGCGCCCGAGCTGCGAGACGTGTCCCCCCGAGCTCCCCGTGAGCATTGAAGCTCGAGACGTGAAGCTCTGCCCCACATAAAGCCACTTCGCACAATTGGCCGCAAAACATACTGACCACCATGGCAGGCCTCACTCGCCCAGCTTCACCGGTAAAAGGAACCACCAAGATGTTCGGATCTGGCCCACAGACCGGCATTTCGACGCCTCGCACGCAGGCGTCGCTGCGCCCGCTCGTCCTCTCACACGGCTCCCTCGAATACACGCTGCTCATCCCCGTTGCGCTGCACTACAATGCTCAGCAATTGCGGGATGTGTTCAAGGCGACCCTTCCTGAGCCCACAGACGAACTAGCACAAGACGATGAGCCCTCATCAGTACCCGAGTTGGTGGCTCGGTATCTGGGCTTCATCGCCAAGGAGGTCGAGGAGGGCGAGGACCCTGACACCTTCGAAGAGGTCCTGAAGCTGGTCCTCCAGGAGTTTGAGCGTGCTTTCCTCCGCGGCAATGAGGTGCACGCACTTGCTGCGACGCTGCCGGGCATCACCGACAAGAAGCTCATCACGGTTCAATCGTACTATGCTGCCCGTGCAGCGGCCGACAGGCCGATCAAGTACCACGAGTCCGCGCTGCTCCGCGAAGCTTCCGACGAGAATGCTTTCATATACGCTGTTCTCGGCGGCCAGGGCAACATCGAGGAGTACTTTGATGAGCTGCGCGAGATTTACACCGCATACCCCTCCTTCGTTGAGGACTTCATTGCCGCCGAAGCGCAACATTTGCTTACGCTGTCGCGTGACCCGCGTGCAGAGAAGCTGTACTCCAAGGGTCTCGATGTAATGCGATGGCTCAACAACCGGGACTCCCAGCCCGACACCGATTACCTCGTTTCTGCGCCCGTCAGTCTTCCCTTGATTGGGTTGACGCAGCTCGCCCACTACGTTGTCACTTGCAGAGTTCTTGGAAGCCACCCTGGGCACTTCCGCAGCCGCATGAGCGGTGTCACTGGCCATTCTCAGGGTGTTGTGACCGCTGCAGCCATCGCTGAGTCCAAGAACTGGGAGACGTTCGAGCAGGCCGCCAAGCGGGCCATCGAGATCCTCTTCTGGATTGGATCTCGAAGCCAACAAGCCTACCCTCGCACATCGCTTGCGCCTACTGTGCTGCAAGACTCCGTGGACAATGGAGAAGGCACCCCCACCCCTATGTTGTCCATCCGCGATCTCTCCCGGAAAGCGGTCCAGGACCACATCGATGCCACGAACCAGCACTTGCCACCAGAGAGACACATTGCGATCTCTTTGGTCAACAGCGCTCGCAACTTTGTCGTCACGGGCCCTCCTATTTCGTTGTACGGTCTTAATTTGCGCCTACGAAAAGTCAAGGCTCCTACTGGCCTGGACCAGACACGAATCCCTTTCACAGAGCGCAAGGTCCGGTTTGTCAATCGCTTCCTTCCGATCACTGCCCCCTTCCACAGTCCCTACCTTGCAGAGGCGGCGAAGCAGCTTGAGGAAGATCTCAAGGATATCCACATTTCTCCTCGTGACCTCGGTATCGCTATGTACGATACACACACTGGTGAAGATCTTCGCGAGTCATCAGAAGACGATGTCGTTCCGAGGCTCGTGCGCATGATCACGAATGACTCTGTCGAATGGGAGAAGGCTACCGTATTCCCCAGGGCCACGCACATTCTCGACTTCGGCCCTGGTGGCATTTCTGGTCTGGGTGTTTTGACCAACCGGAACAAGGACGGAACGGGTGTCCGAGTCATCTTAGCGGGCGCACTTGATGGTCAAAACCCCGAGGTCGGATACAAGCCTGAGATCTTTGACCGCGACTTTGACCATGCTGTCAAATACGCGATTGACTGGGTCAAGGAGCATGGCCCGCGTCTAGTGAAGACATCCACTGGACAGACCTACGTCGACACCAAGATGAGCCGCATGCTTGGACTTCCTCCCGTCATGGTCGCCGGCATGACGCCCTGCACAGTTCCTTGGGACTTTGTGGCCGCTACAATGAACGCTGGCTACGAGATTGAGCTTGCGGGCGGTGGCTACTACAACGAGAAGACAATGACTGCTGCGATCACCAAGGTTGAGAAGGCGATCACGCCTGGTCGCGGTATCACAGTCAACTTGATTTATGTCAACCCACGTGCTATGGCTTGGCAGATTCCCCTTCTGGGTAAGCTGCGCGCTGAGGGTGTTCCCATTGAGGGTTTGACCATCGGTGCTGGTGTCCCATCGATCGAAGTTGCCAACGAGTACATTGAGACCCTAGGCATCAAGCACATCGCTTTCAAACCTGGCTCCGTCGAGGCTATCCAGCAGACCATCAACATTGCCAAGGCGAACCCTGGATTCCCCGTCTTGCTGCAATGGACCGGTGGCCGCGGCGGAGGTCACCACTCTTTCGAGGATTTCCATCAACCCATCCTCCAAATGTACAGCCGCATCCGAAAGTGCGACAACCTCATCCTTGTCGCAGGATCCGGATTTGGTGGCGCGGAGGACACTTACCCTTACCTCACTGGTACCTGGTCTACTGCGTTCGGCTACCCTCCCATGCCGTTTGATGGATGCCTTTTTGGTAGTCGCATGATGACTGCTAAGGAAGCATACACTTCTAAGGCAGCCAAGCAGGCTATCGTCGACGCGCCCGGTCTCGACGATGGTGACTGGGAGAAGACATACAAGGGACCTGCTGGCGGAGTCATCACTGTCCGATCTGAGATGGGTGAACCGATCCACAAGTTGGCCACTCGCGGTGTGCTGTTCTGGCACGAAATGGACCAGAAGATCTTCAGCTTGGACAAGGCCAAGCGTATTCCCGAGCTGAAGAAGATGCGCGAGCACATCATCACCAAGTTGAACAACGACTTCCAGAAGGTCTGGTTCGGTCGCAACAAGCATGGCGAGTCTGTCGACCTTGAGGACATGACCTATGCCGAGGTTGTGCAGCGTATGGTCGACCTCATGTACGTCAAGCACCAGGACCGCTGGATTGACCAGAGCTTGAAGCGATTGACAGGCGACTTTATTCGTCGTCTCGAGGAGCGCTTCAGCACCTCCAGTAGCGAGTCGCTCATCCAAACGTACGAGGAGCTGAACACGCCATACCAGACTATCGGGAAGGTTTTCAAGGCGTACCCCGAAGCCTCAGAGCAGCTCATCAACGCCCAGGACGTCCAGCACTTCCTGCTGCTTTGCCAGCGTCGCGGACAGAAGCCTGTGCCCTTTGTTCCTGTCCTTGACGACACTTTCGAGTTCTTCTTCAAGAAGGATTCCCTGTGGCAGTCCGAGGACTTGGATGCCGTCGTTGACCAAGACGTCGGCAGGACTTGTATCTTGCAAGGCCCAATGGCTGTGAAGTACTCCACTAAGGTTGATGAACCCGTAAAGGAGATCTTGGACGGAGTCCACAATGGCCACATCCAATACCTGCTCCGCGACGTGTACGGCGGAGATGAGTCAAAGGTTCCAGTCATCGAGTACTTCGGCAGTAAGCCTGTCGAAAGCATCGAAGGTGTCGAGGTGGATGGACTCACGGTATCTCAGCTCGAGAACAAGATTGTGTACCGACTTTCGGCTGCTCCCAACTCCGTTCTCCCTGCGGTAAAGCCCTGGCTGCATCTCCTTGCTGGCGCTACCTATTCCTGGAGGCACGCGTTCTTTGCCGCCGATATTTTCGTTCAGGGACAGCGATTCCAAACCAACCCCGTCGCCAGGATTTTTGCTCCCACGCCCGGCATGATTGTCGAGATTGCCAACCCCAAGGAGCCAGCCAAGACAGTCATCACTGTCAAGGAGCCTCACAACGGTGGAAAGCATATCAAGACAATCGAAGTCAGCTTGGTCAAGGACGAGATCGTTCTTAACATGTTCGAAGAGCGCACAGCTCTCAAGCAGCCTGTTGCCTTGCCGCTCAAGTTCCACTACCGCCCAGAGTACGGATACGCTCCTATTCACGAAGTCATGGAGGCCCGCAACGACCGAATCAAGGAGTTTTACTATAAGATCTGGTTCGGCGAAGAAGCGTGCCCCTTCGAGACATCTGTCACCTCAAAGTTTGACGGTGGCCGTGCAACCGTCACCAGCGAGGCCATCAACGATTTTGTGCACGCTGTTGGTAACACCGGTGAGGCTTTCGTTGAACGCCCCAACAAGGAGATCTTCGCTCCCATGGATTTCGCAATTGTGGTCGGCTGGAAGGCTATCACAAAGCCCATTTTTCCACGGGCTATTGACGGGGACCTTCTCAAACTTGTCCATCTCTCCAACGGCTTCCGTATGCTCCCAGGCGCAGAGCCGCTGAAGAAGGGCGATGTCCTCGATACTACTGCACAGATCAATGCCGTGCTTAACCAAGACGCTGGCAAAATGGTCGAAGTTTGCGGCACCATCACCCGTGATGGCGTTCCTGTCATGGAGGTCACCAGTCAATTCCTTTACCGCGGCGTGTATGATGACTTCGAGAACACCTTCCAGAGGAAGACGGAGATCCCCATGCAACTCCACTTGGCTACTAGCAAGGATGTTGCTATCTTGCGCTCTAAGGAATGGTTCAACATGGATGAACCAGACGTGGAGCTACTGAACAAGACCTTGACCTTCAAGCTCGAAAGTTTTGTTAGGTACAAGAACAAGACTGCGTTTTCCGACGTTCAGACCATCGGCGAGGTGTTGCTTGAGCTCCCCACCAAGGAGATCATCCAGATTGCCTCTGTTGAGTACTCCTCTGGCACGTCTTATGGCAACCCAGTGCTCGACTACTTGGAGCGTAACGGATCTGCAACGGATCAGCCTGTCAACTTCGAGAACCCAATTCCGCTGAATGGCAAGACCCCTCTCACGTTGAAGGCTCCTGCTTCCAACGAGACATATGCGCGAGTGTCTGGCGACTACAACCCCATCCACGTATCTCGTGTCTTCTCGAGCTACGCCAATCTGCCCGGCACCATTACCCACGGCATGTACTCCAGTGCGGCCGTTCGTAGCCTGGTCGAGACGTGGGCCGCTGAGAACCACATCGGTCGTGTCAGAAGCTACCACGTGAACCTCGTGGGCATGGTGTTGCCTGATGACCTCTTGGACGTCAAGCTTCAGCACACTGGCATGGTGTCTGGACGCAAGATTATCAAGATCGAAGTCAGCAACAAAGAGACCGAAGACAAGGTCCTCTTGGGCGAGGCCGAGGTCGAGCAACCTACTACCTCGTACGTGTTCACTGGTCAAGGTTCGCAAGAGCAAGGCATGGGTATGGATCTCTATGCCAGTAGCCCCGTGGCCAAGGAGGTCTGGGATCGCGCCGACAAGCATTTCATGGACAACTATGGTAAGTTCTGCCCTGTGGAATGGTCATGGCAGTTCTAATGTTCTCCAGGTTTCGCTATCACCAATATTGTCAAGAACAACCCGAAGGAGCTGACCATCCACTTCGGTGGACCCGTTGGTAAAGCCATTCGCCAGAACTATATGTCGATGACCTTCGAGACTGTCGGTTCTGATGGTAGCGTCAAGTCGGAGAAGATCTTCAAGGAGATCGATGAAACCACCACTTCGTACACTTACCGATCCCCAACCGGCCTGCTGTCCGCGACCCAGTTCACCCAGCCCGCTCTTACTCTCATGGAGAAGGCATCGTTCGAAGACATGCGCTCCAAGGGGCTGGTGCAGCGTGACAGTACCTTCGCCGGACACTCGCTCGGAGAGTACTCCGCACTCGCCGCTCTCGCTGAGGTCATGCCTATTGAGAGCTTAGTATCCGTTGTGTTCTACCGTGGTCTGACGATGCAGGTCGCTGTTGAGCGCGACGAGACCGGACGATCCAACTACTCCATGTGCGCTGTCAACCCAAGCAGGATCTCGAAGACGTTCAACGAGCAAGCATTGCAGTACGTTGTGGAGAACATCTCCGAGCAGACTGGATGGCTGTTGGAAATTGTCAACTACAACATTGCCAATATGCAATACGTCTGCGCTGGTGACCTTCGGGCTCTGGACTGCCTCACCAACGTCACCAACTACCTCAAGGCCCAGAAGATCGACATCCAGGCGCTCATGCAGAGCATGTCCATCGAGGATGTCAAGGCGCACCTCGTGGAAATCATTCAGGAGTGTGCCAAGCAAACAGAAGCCAAGCCCAAGCCGCTCGACCTCCAGCGTGGCTTCGCCACGATCCCGCTCAAGGGTATCGATGTGCCCTTCCATAGCACCTTCTTGCGATCTGGTGTCAAGCCGTTCCGTAACTTCTTGCTCAAGAAAATCCACAAGACATCGATCGACCCCTCGAAGCTTGTCGGCAAGTATATTCCTAACGTCACTGCGAAGCCCTTCGCTCTGACGAAGGAGTACTTTGAGGATGTGTACAAGTTGACGAATTCGCCCAAGATTGGCAACATCCTTGCCAACTGGGACAAGTACGAGGAGAAGGAAGAGCCCACGACTGCGGCCGCTTAGACAGCTTGTACGAGTTGTTTGATGTTTGTGTTGCGGTTGGCGTTCTGGTTAGGTAGAATTGCGATATCCACCTTCGTAGATGCTCGGTAGACGGCGTCATGTATGAAAACTTTACGTAGTACAGCTTTAGTAATGATCCAGCTTCAGAACCACTATGTTATTCTTTCTGCCACGCTTCGATGGTCTGTAATGGCCATTGAACGCTGCGAAATGTATTCCGCAAGGCATGTGGGATCTCCATCCAATTGGACGCAAGCGAAGTACGAGGAGCGCGCAGGCTGGTGCATATTTCGAAACAAGAAAGTGGGACCCTGGCACAGCTCATGCTGCGGTAACTCACTGAATGAAATTTTTGTAAACCTTCTGTGTAGAAGTTTAGTGTGAGTACTCGGGGTAGGACCTGCTGCGAAGAGTCCCCCAGGGTCGGCCCGTGTGGGCTCAACATTCTTTCCGGCTTGATGGCTGCGCCTACTCCGCCACTGCCCTCTGCAGGGACAGCCTGACAAGGCACTTGGCTGCACTACATAAAGGCCCTGCATGATCTACGTCCTCGAAGACTCTTTCATTTACCTCTGCTTGTTACGATCGCTTCTTCGGCAAAAGACATGCGTACTACACAATAAGGTAGCACACAAGTATTTCGCAAGTATCGACGGACAAGTTTTGACGTTTTTGTTTTCTGTCGCGCCAATATTATTCGTGTTCACGGGCATCGATGGCTTTTGCGCAGCCAAAAGCCACTCCTGAGTACAATAAGAAGCGCAAGGTCGACACAGGCGACTTGAACCCTTGGCCTTGGAATGGCTGGTCATACCTGGAATTCAAAAAACACTTTCCGGAGGCAGAAAGGACGGCGATGATAAGAGCCAGAGAAAAACAAGGGGAGAAAGCAGTGTCTACATTCAGATACGCGCCTTTGCCTCAGTTGCGTCGTATAATTCGTCTCATTGAGATTTATCCAGACAGATCTCCCAATGGGTTGATCCGGTGTCGGATGCGGCGTATGCTTATCTGCGAGGGAAGCCAACCGTATACTTGCCTTTCATATACTTGGGGTTCTCCCACGGAGGAGCCACGCAACAGCATTGTTATCGAAGAACCGGAGTTTCAACGCATTGGCGTTTTTACGATACGCCAGAACCTATATGAGTTCCTCGAGGCAAGTGTAATGCAAATTTCTCTGGTCTATAGTGGCAGCTTCACCATGTAAGCGACCGCAGCGGCCAAACAAGACTGCCTCTACCCCCTTAGAATAACAGATGCAACGCGTTTGCTGATTTTCTTTTATCCTTGCGTAGGTAGCCAAGGTCAAATATGCTTCTACTCCTTTCTGGATAGACGCAGTATGCATCGATCAGAACAGTGACCAAGAACGAAATCACTAAGTCCGACAAATGGGCGACATCTACCGTAATGCAGAGCGTGTCATTTCCTGGCTCGGAACCGGTTTCCTGGTCTCCAACTTCATCAAGGGTCCCAGCTACTCGATGGACGATGTCTATAGCAGGACCGAACGAGGTTTTCGCGCTTTCAGCAAGCACAAATATTGGAGCCGAGCCTGGATCACACAAGAAGTGACACTGGCACGCAAACTCATACTTGCCGCTGGCGATGAAGAAGTTGCGTTTGACGTGTTACCTGGGATCATTCGCGAATCCGTGTTACCGCATAGCGCAGATTCACTCGATGGTCAACGCTTTATGTATTTACTCCATCTCTTTCGTGAGAAATCTTGCAGTATTGCAAAAGACCGAATCTTCTCACTCCTCGATCTCTGCGACGGACAGGATCGATCCCGCATCACCGTCGACTACAGTACTTCCGACGCCGAGCTTTTCGTCGAAATCATCCGGGCCTGGGAAGACTCACTGTGTTTCTGCACTGTATCCCTCGTACGTGCAGCGCTAAATTTAGACTACCTCGATATTCCGCCCCACCCATACATCAACATAAGGCTGAAAAGACATGATGACCAGGACTGCATGTGCGCCTCCACGTTAAGAATATCCCTTGGGAGTCGATCAAAGGCCTTCTCTTCTGTTCCGAATATGCTATAGCACAGCTGGGCTGTCTTGCCTCGGCACGAGATTTACTTTGCACTGAGACGAAAGAGCCTGAAATGTACAATTTGCATCTCTTGCCGTGGAGGTCTGATCTATCGTTGCAGCAATATGTTCCAGATGATAGTGTCAGTGTGAAGGTGCGGATCAAAAAAGACCTTTTGGAGGATGTATATGAGTTGCGGGTACCATTACGGACATTGACAGCGCTGGTGACACATTGGCATGCACGAGCATTGATGCCGTTGGGTACACATTATTGGCCGGTGGGTCCGCACATGCAGGAGGCTTTTGGGTCCTGCGAAGGTGTGCACAGCGATGAGGTACTACCAGGTCACAACCTTGACAATGGACCTTCGAGATGACGGGTCATAATGGCCAACAGTCCAAATTGGTGATTTTCGAGGCTGTGCAATCTTAGGATATGCTATTAGACTATAACTTTACAACTTTATTATAGAATAAGTTTCAACTGTACGATGACTGCTCTAGACGACAGCTTTCTGTGTCAGCCCTCGTGGGAACGGTTTGCTGAGTAGGCTGTAGCCAATGCGGCCGCGGCGAATGCCTACACAGGCAGCACCACAACATGACGATATCACTTGCATCTGGCTTGAGTCGTCCCTCTACAGCAGGAAACATACCAGCAAATAGAGCAGTGGATGACCACCACAGTGGCCGAAAACCTTCCCCAAGACACCGGGCACCATTCCGATTATCCATTGAGTTAGTCCGTACGCGGTTAGTCAACAGAAGCACTTTGGTCCACTAACCAACTCGTCCGTCGTCATGCTGCCAAGGATGCTGCTCGGCGCAAAGGTTTTGTGATACTTGGAAGTAGGGTTGCTCCTGGCAATTTTCAGTGTCAGCTAAGACTCTGCCGACACAGATCAAGCTAACCACCACCACTACGTCTCCAGTTCCGCCAATTGCTTTCACACAGCCGTCACGTCCGTATCGCGAATACGAAGCAATGAAATCCCCTATCCCGGACTATCTCACGAAGGTGCTTGAGAATGCGCGCGCTAACGACGATGGCGCACCCGCTGCGTACATCGAAACGCTGGCCAATGCAGACACGTCTAAGATGGCGGTAGCGCTAGCCACGGTTGATGGAAAAGTGTACTCGGCCGGGGACGACCAAGTTGAATTTTCTATCCAAGTAAGTGCTCATGCGTTCCTCCACAAATCGTGGCTACGAAGTCTACTTTTCTGCTGTTCAAACGAACTGATCACACGCGATACCCGCTCAGTCCATTTCCAAAGCCTTCGTATATGCCCTTGCAATTGAAGATGCTGGTCTATCCCGTGTGCTCGAGAAGATTGGCGTTGAGCCCTCCGGGGACAAGTTCAACCACCTTTCGCTGGAGAAAAAGACAAACCGGCCCATGAACCCCATGATCAATGCTGGAGCCATCACCGCGCACTCGCTCGTCGTGGGTCCCGATGCTACACTCGAGGAGCGGACAGACCGCATCCTCAACGCATTGTCCAAGCTAGCTGGACGACAACTCCACGTGGACGAGGAAGTCTACGAAGCCGAACTACGGGATGCGGACCGCAACATGGCAATCGGCTACATGCTAAAGGCTGCGGGAATCATATCTTGCGATCCGCGAGTCGTTGTCAAGGGCTACATCCGCCAGTGCGCAATCAATGTAACTGTGAACGACCTGGCTATCATGGCTGCTACGCTCTGCAACGCAGGCGTGCATCCCGTCACGTGCGAGCGAATCATGCCCCAATTGAGCGTCCGCCAGGTTCTGTCCGTCATGACGACGTGCGGCATGTACGACGCCGCCGGCGACTGGGTCTCGCGGGTTGGGTTTCCAGCGAAATCCGGGGTCGCTGGGGGCATAATCGGTGCGCTGCCGGGGCAAGTCGGGATTGCAGCCTTTTCTCCCAAGCTCGACGAGCGCGGCAATTCTGTGCGCGGCGTCATCATGTGCGAACAGCTTTCCAACGACATGGGCCTGCACATGATGGACGTGAGCCAACTGGCGCGCGCGACAGTGCAGACGCACGTGGCCAGAATCGTCGCGGGCAAGCATGAACCGCACCACCCGCACTGCAACAAGGACGTCGTGGTCTTCAAGATGCGTGGTGCCGTCCGATTTGCAGGCTCAGAACGTCTGACGCGCGCCATCGCGCGAGAATTGGGAGACCCAGACCCCAGGGATCCTGGCTCCGGAGCACATTCAGACGCCTGTGCTGTGGTGTTCTCGTTTCGCGATGCCTACTCGCTCAGCTCCATTGCGCGTCGCATTGTCCATGAGGACGTCAATCGGCTGCTCTCGGATGGGAAGTCGGTGGTTGTGATTGATCCCTCGCGTGTGCTGGAATGGGATCTGAAGACGAACCCAAAGTATCCTGTTGTCGTGGAAAATGAGACACAAGCCTTGGATCACATCGGAGGCGCGGGATGCAAGGCGGTGTCTCAGGACGATTCCTGGTGAGGACTTGGTTGTATTATGGATTTCTGTATACCCGGCCTCTCTAAGCATCTATATCGCGACTCGAACGCGCCCCGCCGCCGTTCATCCCATCCCACCACCCTCACTTCGCCAAAAATGGCAAAAGCTAAAAGCCACTTCGAAGCCCGGCTCAAAGAAACCAATTTCTCGATTTTTTGTTTGATTTGGTGACTATTTCCTGAACATTTGGGTACATGTAGGTGAGGTTGGTCAGCTGGGGATGGTCATGGTGAGGTGAGGTGAGGTTGGGACAGTAGTGAAGGCAGGCGCCATATCTGAGGCAAGAGCGCCTTCCGAGTCAACCCATTGGCTGACAGGAGCCAGCTTGTTCATATGGTAAATGATATTGTTCTGGTGACAAGAACCACATACGAGGGCGCAGAAGTTTGCCAGTAGTGTCAGCGCGCTGCTGGGTAGATAGTTGTGCGCAGCGGCACAGCTCTCAAACAAGACAATTCATCCAACACAGACCGAGACGACAAGGTTGGGTTGACAATATGTACAATTCACATCTACATCTACAGTCTAAAAAGCGTCTACACAATCAATCTTACACATATCATACACGCACCCCTACCACAAATACTCCGCATTGCACAACCGCACCTCCTCTACATCCCGCCACGTCCTATTCCTCACACTCCCCTGCATCGGTAGCACCTTTCTATGCCACAGCCTCGCGAACCGCCGCGCGCCCGCCTCCTCGCTGAACTCCACAACCCACCGATTGTACACCCTGTTCATGATGACCTGATTCATAGCCTGTGCGTCCTGGCCTTCGGCGTCATCGCCCTCACCGCTATCGTTTGGCGAGAGGAAGGTCGTGTACGGGTCGTGCGACTTCACCTCCGCAAGCTTGCGCTTCGTCGATGATGACGCGCGCGGGCTGGCGGTTGACAGCGCCGTGAACCGCGCTTTCAGGTCGACGATGTCACGCAGCCGGTGGATGGACTGATGGTCGTGCAGGAACGGCCACGTGAGGCCGCGGGACAGCGCGTCCTGCATGAAGATCTGGTAGAGGTCGTAGGGGCTCGGCTCGTAGCCCTCAATGTAGAAGAGGACCTTGTGGATGGGTTTGCCTGCGGAGGTCGTTGATGGGACGATGGGCGCATAGCCGCCGTCTGCGATGAGGCGGGCGAGTGCGGGGTTATAAGGTTGGACGACCATGTTAAGGCGGAGGGGCTGGTCCTGGGGGGTCAGGAGGTAGGAGGAGAGGGCGGCGCTGAGGTCCTCGCCATTTTCAAGGAGGCCTGGTGGTGGGGGAATTACAGAGAGGGAACTTGTGGGTCCGTGGAGCTTGCTGAGCCTGTCCAGGCGAGAAGCGTTGCTTTGATATCTGAGGGCAGCCTCAGGGTTCTTGAAGATCAAGTAGTAGAAGGGTAGTCGTTCCAAGCTGAGGGGGTCTCGACCTGGGATGATCTGGTGGATGTCGCCGTCGGGGGCCCACCCCTCTATATGCTGTCCTTGGGGCACGAGGCGTCGGAAGTCGACTTCTGTAAGCTCGGTGCTGCAGTGTAGCAGCTGCAACGCTGTCAATTTCTCAGTTGATCTCTGAAATGCCTTGAGGTACTTTTCGCGACTGCTTTTCGGCTTGACCGTGGGCGCGTACTTCCACACGATGGGTTTTGAGCTGGGTAGGTCGAGCTTTGGGTATGGATTACGTTTGTCGTAGTGGGGCTGAATGTAGTTGCTTGCTTCCGGGAAAAGTTCGGCGAGAAGGGACTGTTCGCTCATCTCCCCTGTTGCCAATGGTGTCTGTGTTGGAGGGGGTGCTGGAGAGGTCTGCGCAGTTTGAGAGTCCACGGAAGGAGTGGGACGAGCATTCATTTTGGAAGGGTTAGGAGAGTCCAAAGATCGCAACATTCGTGCTTGCGTTTGCATCTGGGCTTGGGTAGGGGTCTCGCGAACCAATCTCCGTCTGTCAGTGCTCGCTTTTGTTGCAATGTCGACATCTGGCAATGGATGTGATGCGGTCGCAGACACAGTCAGTTGGGTAGAGTCGTTATCGCTGAGTACCTTTCTTATTTTTTCGTTTGAAAGCTGAGCTTGGGACTTGAGTCCATATCGTCTCACTGGTGCATGATTTGTACTCTGTTCCATTGTCGGCAGTGACAGTTCGGTAAAGTCCGTAGAACTTCGTGATGTGCCATCAAGATCCTGAGTCGTACGTGGGTCGATAGCTGAAGCTACAGTCGGCTTGACAGATGGCACCTTTGCGTCCGAGGTTGCTTGACCGGCGATCTTTTCGTTGAGAAATCTGACCTGTTCAGCCAAATAATCAATCTGGAGTCTCAATTCCGCGTTGTTGGCATCAGGATTCGCGAATGATATAGCAGGCTTGTCTTTGCCTGACAGAGGTGGACCATACTCAGGCGCAGCGTTCACTACCTTCGTCGATGAGCTATCAGACTTGGAGGTAACTGGGGTCGAGCCACCACCCTGAGGCTCGGAATTAGCGCGAAGGTTGCGAAGGGATATCTTATATCCTCTCGCGGCTTTGCTTCTCGGGATTGCGTCTTTGCGAGCGGCAATATCTTGTCCTTGGGGTTTATCATGCAATTTAGTATCCTTATCGCTTTTCGGGTCTCCTGCCTTTTGTCTTGCGTCTGAGTTAGACTGTGGCTCTGGTATTGATGCTTGCGAACTCGATGAAGACTTAGCGACTAGAGGGCGTTGGTGAGCACGAGGTTCAAGGGTTGGGAGTACCCGTGGTTCCGTTGAGTAGGGCTTGCGCTGTGTCGCCTGTCTTGGCCCTGTGAGAGATCTTGTAGAAGTGTTAGACTTCGTTTGCTGTTGCGCTTCTGGCGACGCTAATTTTCTTATAGCGTTGACGGCTTGAGGATGCTTGTGGAACAAGGCGAGCAAGTCGTTGTCTCGTGCCTCGTGTGCCTGGCTAAATAGTGGGCGCAGACTGTGATGAACGCCATGTGCTAATGATGAGGCGCGGGGGCTAGAGAAGGTCTCGAGTGCGCTGGAAGCGGCAAGTAACTCAGCAACGGATCTACGATAGATGTATTCGGCCTTCGGTAGTAACTTGGGAGCATATCGTGCTTTGATATATCCCAGGCAATCTGGGGAAGATTGGACGTGCTCGCCGGCCTGGGCGTATGATTTGAAGGTCTTGAAGCATCTCCAGCATGCGAACAGGGAAGGGGAAACGCGTTGGTCCTTCCGGCAAGCCTCATTGAATAGCCAGTGCTGTACATGGGCTTCTAATGTAGGTAGGGGCGTCTGGCAAGCTATACATGTCTTTCCTTCCTTTCGTATCTGGGTCATACCGCGCGCTACCTCCCAGCCGTTTGGACCCAGCTCTTTCTGGAACCGCAGCCAGTGGGTCGCCCTTGCTGCTCCGTCTACGGCTTCCTCGCGGGTCTGAAAAGCAAGCGGCCAAGATTCGACGTGATTCTCGTTCCATATGTGGTAGCGTAGCTTCTTTGGGTTTTCGAAGGTCTTGTGGCAGACCAGACAAGACGTCCCAGACTGAAGTTCCAACGAGGCAGACGCCGGCGGGGCATCATGCTCGGATGAGGCAGGGGCGCGGGGTTGGTCCTCGAAAGGAGCAGGAGGTGACCGGTTCGGGGGCGCAGGAGGAAGTGACGATGGGGACGGCTTCGCGACTAGTGTAGAGACACGGGCGGCAAGCCCTCGCAGCCAGCCAGCAGCCGGCGCGTCGTGTGAGGAAGAAGCAGCCTCTGCATCGGCCTCCGGTTTTGCTGCTTCGGTTCAGCGGGAGCTTGTTTTGCTACGGCGTGGACAAACCTTCGGTGGCGGGCTGCCCAGGCTCACCTCCGCCCAGCGCGCCGTCACCGCGTCGAGGCGTGCTCTGGTCGCGGGGGCGGTGGGACAGCCAACGGGCGCGGGCAGAGGTGCTCGGGGGTTGCCATGGCCGCAGAGGTCGAGTGAGGCGCGGCGGCGGCATCAATTGGGGTGCCTGGTCACATTGCTCGCTGCGACGCGGCCGCCTATGTCCATATGAAGTTTTTGGAAGCTTCACTTGCGCTTAGTCAGCGACCATCGCCAAAAATCTCCAGGTCCCACCGAGCGCCACAGTGCAGTGTACATAATCGCAGCCGCCATTGGTCTGTCCCGACGAGTCACACAGAATGGGTCCCACGGTATAGTCGCACAGGCATAAACTATTCGAGCTGCGGCCAATTCTTTGCACATCCTGCAGGCGTCCAAGGCTTCCCAACCGAAGCTGGGTACAATTCAAGTCACTAAACATCACCGGTCCAACTTTTCATAGACTGGGCACACACCGTATCCAGAGAGCACATAGCGCTGAACATATAAGACCCTCTCCGCTGTTCTATCTCGATTAATCCTGCATCCTGCGCCATGACAAGCGCGGGTCCATTCACGTTACGCCCACTGGAACGCAGTTCCGGGGGCAGTCTCGACCAGACCGCATTTCGCGTCCACCTCTCAGCTAAGGAACTCAAGAACCTAGGCCTGACCGCTGGTGATCGCATTCGCCTCAGCACTGCCAAAGGAGTTCACGGTTTTGCCCTCGCGTGGCTCGCCCAACAGACCAACCCTGGGAACAAGCCTATTGCCAAGGTCTCTGATCTGTTGCGAGAGAAGTATGAGCTAGCCTTGACTGACGCCGTCTTCATTGAGAAGGTGCAAGAAGCCCCAAGGTTTGCAACCTCTGTCGAGGTAGCCTTTCCGCCAGCCTCGGAAGCACTGAAGAGATACGCTACGAATGAAGAGCTGGAACATTTCGCAAAGATTTCACTAGGTAAGCAGGTTCAAGGCGACATCCGAAGTGAAGCACTTACTGACACTGTCAAGAGGACTTGGAGATCTTGACGCCTGGGTGCATGTTTGATATCGAGAAGAAACCTAAATCACTGTCATCAGGATCCAAATTGCGCATGACTGTAACGAATGTGTCGTCTGACGACCCAGACGAGCAGCGGCCATTTCTGTTCCACAGGAAATGTGAGCTCCTCTTCTCGAACCAGCCAACGACTAAAGCGACTACTGCAATTACCCCTGATCCAACCTTGCGCCTCGACGGCACCGGTATCGGAGGGCTATCGGATCACATCAAAACCATCAACAGGAAGCTCAGAGCGATCTCTGAGTCTTCTTTTCCGAGACTAGATTCCACTAATCGACGTCCCACATCCTTCCTTTTGCATGGACCTGAAGGCTGTGGGAAAACAATGTTGCTGAAGCGTTTGTCTGAGGCTTCCTGGCGCAAGGTTTACAGACTCGATGAGATTTGGCTTACTGAAAATCGCAAAGGCCAAGCCGAAGCTCTGTCCGAGGATGTTTTCGAGGCTGCTCGCAGAAATCAGCCCTCCTTGATTTTGATCGACAACTTGGACAAATTTGTCCAAAAAGCCGAGAGTCTGGTCGACCGAATGCAAGAAGAGTTAGAGAAACTCCAAAACACCAAAGTTGTCGTCGCTGCTGCAGCTCGCACGATATACGATATCGACGCTCGTCTACGATCTCAAGCAGGACTCACGATCGAGCTGGAAGTATTCCCACCGAATGTCAAGCAGAGAGAAGATATCTTGCGGCAGCTGATTGGCCCCAAAATTGAGCATTGCAACATTGAATGGACAAATCTGGCCGAGAAATGCCATGGTTTCGTGGGTCGTGATATTAGAGACCTACATAGACTTGCAAGAGATCATTGTGATGATCGGATATTGGATTCCCTAGGTGAAGATGCAAGAGCTACGATCAATGAAGCCTTGGAAGGGGCAGACTTTGTCACACAGGAAGACTTCGACGCTGTCATTGGCCAGATTCAGCCGTCGGTTCTCAAGGACAGCATCATCGAAGTGCCCAAGGTCAGCTGGGAGGACATCGCGGGAGTGGATCACGTTCGATCCCTCCTCGAATCCATTGTTGTCCGTCCGTATAAGGTAAGATATAACACTTCGCATGTCAAGGTGATCTGACTGAACTCCCATCAGTTTCCAGAGCTCGATAGCAAGTTCGGCGCTCCGCAGTCGCGCAAGGGCGTGTTGCTGTACGGCCCGCCCGGCTGCGCAAAGACTCTCATCGCTCAAGCTGTCGCCACGGAATCCAACCAAAACTTCCTAGCCGTCAAAGGTTCTGAGCTCATCAAAATGTACGTCGGAGAGTCTGAACGGGCCATCCGCGACGTCTTCCGCCGAGCTCGCGCTGCGAAACCCTGCATCATCTTCTTCGACGAGATTGACTCTATTGGCAAATCGCGCGACAAGGGCCAAGACAGCGGCCTGAATGTTGTCACCACGCTCCTGAACGAGATGGATGGCATCGAAGCACTCAAAGACGTGTTCATCATCGGCGCAACCAATAGGCCTGACATCCTAGACTCGGCTCTTATCCGCGTGGGGCGTTTCGACGTGCATATCCATATAGGGCTACCTACAAAAGAAGCAAGAAGACAAATACTCGAGATCCACACAAGGAAGTGGCCGATTGCTGAAGACGTTGATCTTGACGTTCTGGCTTCAAGGACCGAAGGTAGCACTGGTGCGGATATCAAGGGCTTATGCGCAGAAGTTGTCGAGTTTGCAAAGACGGATTATTTGAAGCAGGATTCTGATAGCGAACCCAGGGTGCACATGAGTCACTTTGAGAGGGGGCTAGCAGAGCACACTCCACGTACGCTGGCGGAAGAAGCCGCACGGTATGAGGGATGGAGACCGGGGAAGTCGTTGGCTGTGGAGTAGCTGTAGAGTGGCCTGTGTGACTCCAGGATACCCCAGTGCAAGGATGGTGTGTTCTTGAAAAGCGTGATCCTACAGCTACATGTGCAGAGAAGCATGCAGAGGAAATTTCAATTCAGCCGCATAAACCCTCAGCTTCGAGAAGTTGTCGAGTTATCCCAGAATGCGTCATACGTGTTGTCAACAATCCCGGCCAACAACTCGCTGACGCGCGATCTGTGGAGATTTTAGCCGCATGTGCACGGCGCGACATCGCACTTGCGCCCGCACTCGTCCGATCATCAAATCTTCCGATGCGCTGGGATGACACAACAGCTAACGCGGGCTCCCGTGCGCAATTTTGGCTAATGGTATAATTTGTGACGGCGAATCCTCCGCGCTCGCGTTCTCTTGTGTGGGTTATTTCCGCCGTGCGTGCGACCGGAAAGCTAAGTGATCGCCTGCTGTTTGAACGGCTTCCCGCCTTCTATGCTCCACAGATCCTCGGCAGGGCTGATTGCTCATCTCGGGAGACCTGCCCCCTTGCGTCGCTCTGCAGGCTGATCGACCTGGTAGGCGCAAGCTGAGTACTCACTATACCTCTGGAGCAGCTCAGGCTATAACGTTTCTCTGAACGCTTACACTACCTTAAAGTGCACACATTCATGCGAGCGGCCAGTCTGTTTGCGGTCGAAATACATGCTCACGCTTGGCAACTCAAGAGCGAAATTGCGCACGGGAGCGTGAAACTCAGTCTCGCGCGCCACAGTCGCTGCAGAACAACCGTCTTGTCTGTTACGTCTCCACTCGTCGGAAGTTCGAGACACACTCGCCCCCAGTCACTTGCAGGGTCGCCCGCCGTCGCAACCCCCCGCTAATGGGCGAGACAGCCAATCCCAAGCCCTGCTGCGCACTCATCTCGTTCCCATCCACGCAGACCCTCACCTGCGCAATCTGTTCCTGACGCCGAGTAGGCGCGACGTACGCGGCTTAGCACAACCTCTAGGCATGAAGGGCCTCCCGATAGGCGTGACGCTCGTTTCGCGCCACCACTGTTGTGGTTGACAATTTCCCTCGTGCTTCTGCCCTTCCTCCGTCACCATACTCTGTTCTATTCTCTGCTTGCCCGTCGTTTTGGTTCTCTGGGAGAGCCGTCCGTTCCTTACAACTCATCCGTCGATCACTCCACTTCTGTCGCTCCTTTCTCCATCTACCGAACCAGGTACTGACACCAACTAACACCCATTTTGAAACCGCCATGGCCAGGATGCTGGGAAGGTCGAGGTCATTCCGAATGCTCAAAGGCGGATACAAGGAAACGCACCAACGAGACGCAGACAACACAACGCCACAGCCCACTCTTTCAGATGTCGAATCCGATAGATTAAAGGCACCAACGCCTGTCACACGAGCAGAGAGCAGAGTTGAAACTCTCGATCCCGATATGCTGCCACGGCCCAGGACTTCTAGCGGGCCAGGCGACCGCTCAACGCTATTCCACAAAAAAGTGATGCCCATTCAATCTGTCGACGATTCTCGCTTTGATGTCTCATATACATCGCCCTCAAAATCCACTTCCACCCTCTACACTGCGCAACTTTCGGAACAGGAAGGTATCATTGGCATTGCGCTTGGGAGTCCCACCATGCCGCCTCAACACTGGCACGCACCTCCCACAGACTTCGTGACGCAGACCCAGGGCACCATTACCCAGATATCTTCCAACAACCAATCTCCGGAATCTATCCCTCGAGCGTACGAGAGCCAGAATGAGGCACCAAAGCCCAAGCTCAGCCGATGGAAATCTATCTTCAAGAAGACAGCTCCACCACCCCGACAGAACAAGGACACTTTTTACCAACTAGCAAAAGCAGTCAACTCTGCCCGGTTAGACAACCAGCCAGACAACGACTCTCTGTATTCACGATCACTTGCGCAAGAGGATGATGTCGCCGCAAATCCTTCACCAACGTACACTTTCAAATCGGATATCAGACCATCTCGCAACAAGCAGACAGGGCACTTGGCACCAGACACCAGGCCGAGGGCTCTGACGGCGGGTTCGGCATCAGGCAAGGTGAAGTCGCCACTATCGCGTTTTGCGCTCAGTCCAAGGCCTCAGATACCCACCAACAGTTATGCTGCGCTTCCTTCAGTGACCGTCTCTGGAGCGTCAAAAAATACGTCACCTCAGCTGCCTGGGGGTAAGCCGTTGCTTGATGTAGATATTCCTAGCGTACAGATGGAACGATATAGTGTCATGTTCAGTGGACTGCTCCAACCACAGACTACGAATGCCTCCTCATCGCTCTTGCAAAGGCGGCAAGGTGCTGCGGACAAAGTCAAGCCGCTGAATGGATTATCTGTAAAGGTATGTAGCTTGCTCTTACAGGTCGTGAACGTGTATTTACATATATGTCAGAGCAACAATGACCAATCTCGCGACGGCTTGCAGCGACGAGCAACATCCCCCAGCCTACCATCAAAGTCACCCTCCGGCCACCTCTCCCTCTTCCCATCCGCAAACACCAGCCGCGCACCCTCACCACACATCATCACCAACCGGCCACGGCCTCTCCAACGCTCCAAAACCGCGCCCGCCGTGTCCCCCTCCCAACTCAACTTCCCCTTTCAATCCACCAAGAAAGCGGCGGCGCCCCAAGAAATCGACTACCCGGACACCCCCTCCCTGTCCCGCACCTCAAGCCCCACCTCGGACCGCAGCTTCGACTCTGACAGCGAAGAAATCACCATTGTCGCCACGCCCCAAAATGCCCCGCCGAAGCCCTGGCGTCCGCACGCTCAAATCCGAAGCGACGAACGGGAGCCCGTCTGGGAAATCCTGCCCCGCCAGCCCTCCACCGTCACCAAGGCCTCCGCCCTCCGCTCCCACCCCACCAGCGCCGCGTCACCCGCGCCCCAAGAACCCATGTCAGCCTCTGTGGCAACGGTACGCAGCCCCGTCCTCAACCGCACGCGCTCCCACACCGTCCTCACGAGCACGAGTCCGCGCCCCGGCCCAGAGCACTCGACCACAGTTACAGGCACAGCGACGTTCGGCATCGCGCGCTCCGTGTCAGTCTCGCGGGCGACGCGGTCGCCGGGCGCGGCGTTGAGTCCCGCGGGCAGCGAGGGCGTCGTGCCGCCGTTTGTGAGGAGTCCGGATGGTCTACAACCGCCGGGGAAGTTTCTTGGGGCGAGCAAGCCGTTGACGCCGACGCTGGTGGAGCTGAAGAATCGGCGGAGTCATCGGGTGCAGCTTGTTGATGCGTGAGTGGGCGAGAACCACGTTTCGCTACCATGTCATGTTTGTGTCTGGCGCTTTTTAGGATTGGAGTGGATTGGGTGGTTTCTTCATAGCATGGTGTCTGGCGTTTGCACCGACCACACTGCACCAGCGGTGCTACTTCATTCTTTCCTGCCTTTCTTTTCCAACCATCTTCCCTTCCGCCACGCTCAGCGAGCCTCGCCTTTCGGGCCTTTTGCGGTTTTTTGTTTCTATATCTGGGAGAGCCGCGGCTGCGCTTGCGGTGCACCTCCGACACGCCTCAGGTCCCAGGTCTTGGAGCATGTTTATGCGCGAGGCGCGCGTGCCCACATGCGTTTTCTTTTTCGCCGATCCGCAGGGCGGGGGCTTAGGGCGCGGGTTTGTTGGAGACGGATCTAGATACCAAGGCCGCCGTTGCGGTGTGTTTCGCAATTTGATGGGGTTGTTTGACTTGGTGGCGGTGTGGTGATTAGTGAGGTGGACGGCCCAGACTACAGAGAGGGAATGTCACGTGTTTAGATGTCTTCACAGGAGGTGATAATGCCTGTGTGCGTGAAAAGATTCATGAAGATGTTGTGCAGTCGTTTGGAAGGTGGTGTGCCTTGCATGACGGTGCAGGAACCAATTATCGAGTAGATCCACTGACTGTGCCGCATCGCGCCCACAAACCTTCCCAATATCACTGCTCCCGACATCTACTTACCTCACGTGTCCAAACATGGAGCAGATGGCAGAGAAACACACAAGGCCCTCATCGGCGGCACGTCGAAGACATACGACACACTATGCGCTATCTGTCCGCTGGCGACGTAATCCGGCCTCGAATCGACAAACAATCTCTACCCTTCTCTCAGCTACAATCATTAGGGTACAAATCCGATTTCCTGGATCTGGTGATGGTGTTACTCACGCTCCGCAGCGAAGTCGTCTGGGGTTTGCAAGAGTGGGGCGCTGAGTTGCTCAGACGCCCCAAAGCTGTGGTACTACGACTCGGAAGATGGACATGCAGAAGCGCCTCTCTTCCAGCGCAAACTCGTCGAGAGCCCTATAGTCTTTCAAAACATCTGGCCGGGTAGCGACCGCATCCCGGACGGCATCGCCGTTGCGATCGAGTACATACAGATTGAACGTAGAGGATCCGATGGGCCTCGACGAAATATCAATCGTTGGAGAGTATTGCAGATTGCACTATGTGAATAGTGGATGGGGCACAGATGCCTGGGACCGGACGCTTTTTGGGAGAAAACAATTGCGTGGATTAGGGAAGAGCACGGTTTGATGCATGAGCGGCCCCATTGGGTATGATCGACAGTACCGAGAGCAACCCATGCTACTGGACTGGGAGACGGGGTACGCCAATCTTTTGAAGCAAGGCGCGGAAGATAGAGCGGACTATGTCACTCCTCCTAACATGTAAGAACCTCAGATATCTAACGATGGAGCTCCAATCAATCTCAATCTCTGTCCTCCCCCATCCACACTCCCTTGGCTACAAGTCTGAGGTCCTAAAGCTGTGCAGCAGCTCCCTGCACCCAGCAGGGAAGCATTCTGGCACTTCACTAATACCTCGAACAAGGCTCTTCGCTGCGGCTAACAGATGACCGGGCTTTTTGAGAGCACCCATACTGGGTTCATATCTCTCTCTCGCCTAAATATCTTCTTCATACTGAATGACGGGGTCGCACCGTGCGGGCGCGCCATCCTCGAGCGGTTGAACTGCGATGTGTTGGAGTGAACGAAGCGAAGTGAATGTTGAAGGAAGTGGGATGCACCACCAGTCGCGACTTCTACTCTTGACCGTGCCACTGGGTAGCGCGACACCCACTAGAGGTGTGCTCAGTCGCTGTGGCTCCGAATTTTTTCTTTTCTGCCTGACGAAGATGCAAAGTAGAGACTGTAGTTCGCCGAGTGTTGAGGGCCCATCATTGTCCCCGGGAAGGTGCGATTCCGGCATCCGTGCTACCTGCAACTTCCCAGATGGCACCCGACACTATCAGCTGCGCTTCTACTGAATTGCAGGAGGCTAGCAGCGATCAACGAGATTCTCTTGTTAGGTGAATAGGCCATACATACTATCAACGGCAACAGCATTCTCGTCTGGATTCGGATAACAGTGATACATCTCACAAGATTTGCGCATGAGCCCGGGCTGCTGTCGTGATGAAAGTGACCGCGCAAATGTTCCGCGCCAGAGGAGTGATCACCAGGTAAAGTGTGTTAATATCATCGGTCTTCCTTCACTCCCGAATTGAACCTAAAACTCTGCCTATTGTCGGAAATGGAGCATGTTTAGCAAGTTCGTATATGGGTCAGCGTAGCGTAATACTTATAGACGTAGGATCTGCGCCAAAATCTTGACTCTCGTGTGTCCAACAATTGGTGAACGCGTACGATTTTGCACCTTATACGATATGATGGCTTATTGGGCCTGAGGTGGTTGAATTCAATGTCAATAATGCGTGGAGGACCTGTTCATCACATGTCAGACTCATGATTGATTTTTTGAAGGAGAAATAGCCTACGGTGAATATCGCGATCACATGGTGTACAGCTAGCTCTGGGTCGTGTGTCTGCACTTGCAAAGAGAAGATGAATAGTCATAAATAAAGACTAATATGTCAGGTTGTCTTGTCCAGACGATTGATCATAATTTCATGCATTTGTATGACCAGCTTGACAATGTTCCCTGACGTATCTCGGAGTACCGCGGGCCCAAGATTCCTGCCAAGTGCCAGGTGCAAAGGGGTAGATAGGCATTCTTGCAATATTGTCCGTGACTCTATGATTGAAATGTACTTATTCAAGGCTTCCAATACCCAAATCTTGTAAATCAAAGCGCGGGACACAGAGACGTCTAAAATGCACGTATCACATCCTTATTCAAATCCCCAAATGGAGGCTCAGACCGGGTGTCCTATGCGACACCAATTTCCATTGGCATCGTGTGTAAGACCTTCAAGGCCACCAAGTAACAAGGAGTATTCGGCCGAATTGAGGGTACACTCGATTATCAAGGCATATCGCTGCACAGCCACTGATACTGTTGCCCGGAACTGACCACACTCGGTTATTCTTCATTCTTGGTTTTCGCGACTCTCAAGACGGCCATAGCGGCCTTGCGTGGCGCGGCCGCGCTAGTTGCAGACCTAGTATTTGCAGCAAGAAACAATCGGAGCACCACAACCCGGTTAGCGACACAAGAGAACGCGATGGCAGGTCTCTCTTCAAAATGCGGAACTGGCTCCAACTTTTCTATTCTCCGCAGAAAAAGCGCGATTCGGGGGATTGTCCGTGTAGCAGATGATCCGTCCCCTCCATGTTCTCCGAAGTCCGAGTCAAGCGAGATGCTACTGACAGCCTCACATCAGTCGCGCGCGACAATTCACTCCACACTGCTGTAGTAATACCAACCGACATGTCACGGAGCTACAGGGCGCTGCTGATTACGACAATGCGAAAGTTTCAAGACTGATATGAAGAAGTTTCGAGCTGCTGCGGTAAACCGGAAAGCTGCAATCGACGTCTAAACATGTTGAAACAGAGGATTCTCTGCAGAGGTCTTCGCCTCATGCACATTCTGTCACTATTAACCATTCTGGTGAAGGGTACGGCTCTCCTACCCCAAGGCCAGCCTCGCGGAGTACATGTTCTAGTCCTATTTCAGGCGCCTCGCTGCCCGGTTCGGTTAGTAGCCATGCGAATGGAAATTCGTCCACCGGACTATCTTCCCTTCTTGTCCGGTACTTTTACGAAGGAACTTGGGACAGGAATGGACTGATACTCAAAACTACGACCTTCCCCCAAACTTGCTGCAGAAATATACATTCCTCTACCAATACTCCCAACTCACCACTAGGAACACAAGAGCGGGCTCTTGTCATGAAGGACGTGGACGAAATCATATCGGCTTACCAGACTTTGAGAGTGGAAGGAGATAGGGCAGACGCACTGGAAAAATTGACCGGCATCGAAGAGCACTCAAAAAGGGATACATTGGCTGTGTTACAAGGTGGTTACCAGCATCAGCGTGACACTATGGCGCTTCACAAGGACGCACTTCGACTGCTCAAGGAGCTTCCACCGCTGCCCAAGGGCGAAAACACCGAGTATCCTGCTTACAACCACAATATCCTCGATGACGAAGACAACCGTCGGTTGAATGAATGGGTCGAACAACAGCGGCAGCAACCTCGACCTATCCCCACCCTATCCAGATGGTCATCAACGTCAGAAGCCAGCTCCAAGTATTCGGAACATACAGTATACTCCTCTGACCCTCCTTCGTTATACTACGGTGACTCGAGGTCATCGTCGCGAATGTCTGATGCTTTGCCTGCCGATCCAGCATCTCCTCCAACACAATACGCTTCCAGTAAGCCGAGCTCTACGCAAGGTACAAAACTCTTTTCCGCGGACGACAGAATGAAGCCAAAACGCTACTACGCTTCTCTCGTATCCTCCCGTACACAATCGCCAGTGCGCCAAGTCAAATCCCGCACCGAGTCTCCCATACGCCAACTGGATTCCCGCGCCAACTCTCCCATGGGCCAGATCCACTGCCTAACAGAGATTGAGTCCCGGACGGAAACTCGCACAGAATCCCCTATTCGGCAGCCTCTCTCAGGCAGCCTCGCGCCAGCTTTCGCATCGTCGCGTCCTCACACGCCCACAAGCACGGCCAGAAGCCCATATGGCAGCCGCAACGCATCTCCCGAGCCGCGCGGCCGCTCCCGGCTCGACACAGCGCCCATGCTGCACCTTCTCCGCCCTGTCGCCTCAAACTCACAGCTCTCCGTCACACCCTCTGTCAAAACGACAATCACCACCGGCGCTCAGGAGAAAATGATGTACGGCCGCCCCTGCAAAGACAACGACTACTTTGGCTTCTGCCGCGGCTCCTGGGACACCCGGGAAGACGCGAGCAAAGGCCTTGTCCTCACATCGCGCCCAGAAGGCATGTTCAGCAGCAGCCAGGTGTGGCAATGTCGACACTGCCTCTTCGAGGGCCCATCACGTAGCGTTCCGCACCCGACGAAGAAGAACAAGAAGAAGGCAGTGCTAGACACCCAGATTCACATGTCTGCAACGGACATCCGGTATCGCTGGTCTTTTCTCGCGAAGTCGCACGTAAAGAAGAGCAGCTACTCGACGGCCGGGCGGGGCAGCGCGGGGGAGGAGGCTGAGTGTAATTTTGGCTGTTTGATATGCAGTGTGGAAGGTACTGTGACGGGGATTTACGGCGGCGTGGAGACGCTCATGGAGCATATTGCGAACGAGCACGTGTATGCGGGAAATATGAATCACATGACTATGGTCAGGAGTAAGGTTGTTGTTGGGCGGACTGCGTGCGAAGAGGAGGAGTGGGATGTTAATATTCCGAGTCAGGAGGGACTACTTTTCTGAGCGCGGGGCTGGTCCCTGGTATCGTTTGCATTGTTTGGCGTTTCGTTGGTCTGGCTTATGGGAGGGTTGAGTGGCTAGATTTCCTTGGGATACCCCTGCATGTAGCTTTTGTGTTGTTGTAACTCATGAGGATGAGGACCGATAATAGACTGTACCATAGACATCGGAGTATATCATAGTTCACCTCCCTCCTCCCACCCCCTCGAACGTCGATAGTTTTGCGTCAACCCCTCAATCCTCCACACCTTCCCGTCCCAATTCCCCTCACCCTCCCCGCCATCTACTTTCCCAAAAGTAAACGCAAAAGTCCCATAATGATGCAATACCCCATCGAAAGTAACCCTGAACGGATTCCACGCCGCGCCAAACAAATGTTCAACCTTAACATCCGTAGCCTCCAGATCCGGCGTCTCGTGTACCTTTGGCCCAGGCTTGCCCTTTCGCTTCTTTTCTCCGTCTTCAATCATCTTGACGAATTTTTCGATGGAGGTGCGCAAGATGACTACAATTTTCTCTTCTTTATCATCCTCTTCTGCGTTTTGAGGGGTGGTAGGGTGCAGAGGGCCCTCGCTCCAGGGCGAGTCGGATGCAGGGTCCCGCGCCGGGTCTTGCCGGAGAATGGAGAGGTTCGCGCCGGGGAGGAAGAGCGTGGCGAGGCCTTTTCCGTCGCTGGCATTGATGCGGTCGAAGAAAGATTTGATGAGGGCTTTGATGGCGGCGACATCTGGGGTTTCTTTGATGGCTGTCATGGTGGTGGGTTGATGGGGAGTTCGGGTGACGCAACCGAGGCCGGTGGTGATCTTGACAACGACGATTCGAATCTCACGTGTAAAGTTGCGACAACGCATCAAACAACAGCTCGGTTGCATTCTTAAGCTACTCAGAGCCTTTTCAGTCATGTTGAACTGGAGGATGGGCCTGTAGCATGGTTCAACACTCAAGTTGTTCTCATATCCGCACGCACGCATCGAGCTTCAAATGACATGCTTGCTCACGACATTCCAAAGGTCGCTCACGAACTCTCCTCCTTCTTCAAGCAACTCCTTGAAAGCGTTGCTTTTCCCAATCTCTGCGCTTTCGCAAGCAACATAATCCACGACCAAATTCCTTAGCTCATCGACCGTCCCATCCGCTCTTCTATTCGGCGTATTCTCATACGTGTATCGAGCAAGTTCAACGACGTCCCCAATGCGCTCTGGGTACAGCGTAAAACTTGACAATGCGAAGTGAAGCTTATGTAAAGTACTGGCCTTGAGTCCATGGATGAGGCGCATTTCCGCAAAGCAGTATAGCCGCGCATAAGCCAGGAAGACCGGCGTGAAATTCTCTTCCGGTGCGGAGTTGGAAGCTGGAGCGAAGCCCATTTGTGGCCCGGCATCCAGAAGGTAGTAACGCTTGTTGAATTCCTCGGTGCGGAACAAATCGACCTTGCTCTTTACCTTCTTCTCCTTCTTTTTCTTCTTCGTCGAAACACCCCAGTCACCCCAGCCGCCATCAGCAGCGACTGGGGCATCATCTGCGGCCTCGACTACAGCTTGCCCCCAGATAGGGGGAGTGGGTGCTGGTGGGATGACTTCGGCTGGAGGGGACTGGGCTACATCCGCCACAAGAACCTCAGCCTGTGCGCTCCGTTCCTCAAGAATATAAGAAGGGGCCGTGAAGTCACCTCGATACGCATACTCAACGAAGCGTAAAAATTCTTCAAGTTCCACGTCCTGTTTTGCGGTCCGGTCGTGAGCTTCTTTCATATCTCCTTCTATGAGATTTTTCATGTAGTCGCAGGTTGCTGCAATGGCTCTTGAGTGCACTCGGACTACCTCTTTCTTCTCGCCAGTCCCGACATAGAATGTGAAGAGATCTGAGAGGATAAGGCTGTGTTATTTTAGTTCTGACCTTCGCAAGTGATGTGACTTACTCGCTGAAGGACCCGGCCATGTTACACTACTCTGAAGTTCTGCAACTATTTCTGCTGTGGTTTGCACAAGCTCGCGAAGACTCATCGGTTGGATTTGCGAAAATGGGATCTTTTCTTCGGAGGTGTAGGCAGAAGGCTGAAAGACCGGTGAAAGCTAAGGCGGGGCTTGGTAGCGACTGCAGCCCGGTAGCCTTGCGGCCTTGCAGCCAATGATGTGCGAAAACGTATGACAGGCTTGTTTGTTTTTGAACAACCGTAGTACGAGCAGGCGTCTAGTAGTGTTTCCGCCCTGTAGAATTATCTCAGATGTTGAACGCGATTGTAGTATAGCCCGATCTGGTCTGGGTCAGTTGATGACCTCCAGATCCAGTTGCGTTTAAGAAAGTTCTTCCCAGAAGAACTTGGAGGGCCTTGTATTTTTGATATCAAGCTCTCAACTATTACTGTACAGTCTTCCGTACCGTATATATGCATCGATCAGAAGCCTTGCCACCGAACCATGTATCTTTGCGAGTTGTTGGAGTCTACCCTCGGTGCGGCGAGGTTTGAGAGCCGTTTGAAATTCACCCACTCCTCTGCCTCAGACGCTGAGTCCTCGCAATAGTAATCGCTTGCATCACCTAGATTTTCTAGTTCGGATCCTGCTTGTTTGCTCGTCATCAACGTGTAGGCTAGGTCGAACAGGAACTGCCTCGGGAGCTTGACCGAAAGTCAACCTGGCGAGTAGAGGGTATAAGCGTGAACGAGAAGCTGTCTGAGAGGGCACAACTCGAGAGTGCTTCTGTAGACCAGGGAAATCGTATTCTTGCTCACTGCGAGGCGCTCATCCTCCTTTTGGGCCTCTGCAATCATCAGATGGATGATCGTTTTCTTGTTCTTCGTGTCCCGCAACTTGTCGTCGAGTACGTAAAGCTGGCACATTTCGTAGACATCCTGAAAGCTTAGCACGTTGAACTCTTGGGATCTCAGCTGCACGTAGGCGTTTCCTGAGGAGACGAGAGCAAGGTAATCTCTAAAGGCCTTTGGATCGTCTTCTAGAAGGCGCAAGCTTTGGTGGCGGGGTCTCCCCAAACCCCGTTGAGCGCTCGCCGGAAAAATGCCGAGCGCAGGCAGAAGAGGTCTTCGTAAATCCAGAATTTTGCCAGTCCCGTTGTCTTCGAGGGTTCTGACGCATTATTCACTGGATACCCATTGTCAATACTCATTCAATCATACAAAACTTGAGGACCCACCAGCTGATAAGGCACTCGAGCGAGGTGTTGACTCTATCGAGGAAGCGACTTGCGCTTGCACCCGAGGGTTGTCTGCAACAGGTCCTGTCAAGTCGATCACCCGGTTTCCGTTCAAAACTGATACGCCCTCTAGCAGCGTCTTCACGTGTGCAATTTTCGCCATTTGAGGTGAATTGACTAATCAATATGAGGGCTTCATCGGTTACAGCAGTCAACGTAGGAGATGGCTGACCGTGCGTTGGAGTAAGGTAAATGGCTTCGTCCGGTGTGTCCTTTTATTATCCTCTTACTGCATTGCCGATTCGATTGAATCCATTTGCGGCTTTGTCGTTACGCCGTGCGAGCGGTTTGTCTCGGCCCAGGATGACCTGCACAATAGAACCAAAGTAGCTGTTCTGTAAGCTAGTGGTAAGCTACCGAGCGAAACGTACTCAGGAAGGGTGTCGGTGGTGCGGGCGCGTGAGCGCTTCAACTGCTTGGGCGCTGGTGGTGGACTCCATGCTCCAGCTACGGCCGCCATTGTTGCGCTCGATGTTGGTGTAAGAGACATCGAGGGGTGCCATGATTGCGGTTGTGGCGGACGGGGCAATGTAGAAGGGGGAGGAGCGGTGCCTCAAGAGTAAGAGCGTTTGTTGGTGCCTCCCACTCTTGATGACTATCGCGAAGCCTACGACGCGCTCTCATGTGGAGGGGAAGGCTCCAGAGGTCACCCTGTTCATGTCCATGGCCGCGCTAAGAAACTTACTGTGCAATTCATTTCAACCTTCTCACGGAAATACCTTGCAAATATGGAGATACAAATCCACTTTGTCGTGGCCTATCCCGTTCGTGTCTGGTGTCAGGCACACATCCTTCTCAGTGACCAACCCCAAACATTGCACTACGGAAACACACTGGCCAACGCATCACCATATCCCTTGTAACTTAATCCCATCTTCTCAATATCGTAATCATTCCAATACCCACCCCCCACGACACCACCCTTCGCTTTCCACCCTTGAAACTTCGTCTTCGCCGCCGCAGCCGTCGTCCCATAGCTCGGCTTTGAGTCATTCGTCACCCACACCAGCGGCACAACCTTGAGCCCCAAGTTATTCGCCCATGCGCTGGGATCGTTGCCCGCGCCACCGTCATAGCACTGCAGATACGCGCGGTCGAAAAGGAGGTCCGGTTCCGCAAGCCCTGCGTTTGATTGCGCGATGAGAGACTTCCAGAAGCCCGTGTTCGTGTACGGCGCGCCCGTGTACCGGTAACCGATCTTGCCCAGCATCTTCGCGAAGGTGACAGTGCTGGTGACGTCGTAGAGGCTCTCGTCATCGTTGTTGACGGCGTCGAGGCCCCAGGCTGTCTTGAGCGCGGCGAAGTTCTTGTAGAGCGGCGTGTCGGCGCTGGGTCCAGGCTTGGCCATTAGGTCTTTGACATGCTGACTGTTCATGGAGATCTCGAGGCGGGTGACAGAAGAGCCAGCGGCTTTGAGTGACTGCATCTTTGTGGCGAGGGCAGTCCCGCCGATGTAGGCGCCACCGGAGGCGACTTTAACGTCGACGCTTCCTGGCGTGTTCGAATAATACATGATGGAGCCATCTTCAAGGATTCCGACGCCAAAGATAATGAGCGAATTGAAGCCGGAAGTTGTGAGGGCTGTGGTGTTGGATTTGAGGACGTCTTTGAACAAGTAGATGGCGCGAATGTTCGTGCCCACGACGAGACCGAGGACAAGCTCCACCAGCAGTATTCGAATGAGGCTGTAGAGATGCATCCTTTGCTGGAATGACTCGTTGAAGTCTGGTCTGCCAAATAATTGACAACGAGGTAACTCATGTATCTATACTTGGTAGTCAATTGCGCCGAAGAAAGCCCTCAGATTCCCTGGTAGTGACTACCCCACATTGTAACCTTCTATGTTTGGACCATGTCGCCTGATTAATATGGACGCTGGATCTTCAGTATTATTCTGTATACGGAGTCTTGGAAGTATCGATTGCCGGCTAAAACCGGCATGTGTGCATTAGCATCACTATAACAGTTCAGCGAGGCGGGGATTATCCGCAGAAAGACTGTCATATGCTTAGAGACACGCTCGGCCTGCGGTGTATTCCTGCATCTGGAAAGAATATATGCGACGACAGGGGCATGATGAACATGGTCGCAAGCAAGCGTGAACAGGATATGTGGTATCATTAGAGATGGATACTATCAACAACAGCAGAGCGATCTCTAGCTCAATCCTTGCGCGGCCCTGCGTGGGAATTAGCCTCTGGACGTCTACTGAGCAAAAGTTCCCTGAATCAAAGGTCCAGCAAATACGCTAAGGACCCTACTCTTGCTGCTTGAGTCGCGTACCTGCAAGATCCTCTTGTGCATCTTTGATAAGGAAACTGTGTACAGTCAGATCAAGTTGATCTTAGAATATATCATAACTTACTTGTACCACCATATGGTCGGAACCACAGTACCCAGATGCCACAAGCTATGCGCATCCAGCATGCCTTTCCAGGGGGGAAAGTCCAGCAGCTCCATGCTCATGGCCACGAGGATCCAGGCAACGATGAAACCCGGCCACATGGCCCACGTCCTCCCGACCTTCCTGTATTGCGTGAAACTGAAGCCGCTCCATAAGAGGTTCTGGACAACGCCCACTGCGACGTTGGCGGCCATGTTGTACGTGTAGTCCCACTTCCAGAGCGTGAGGTATGTGACGTGCAACGTGTAGAGAATAATGCAGGTCGTAGTCCACACTCTTAATACACTCTGCCTCATAGGCTCTTTCCGCTCGAGCCTGAAAATGCGAATCGCCGCCATGTACATGCCGTAAAGCACCTGCGCGCCTGCTGCAAAGTAGTCCAGCTTCTCCGTCAGATTATAGTCTCTTGTGTGGAAGATCATGCTGAACATCCAACTGGCCATCCCAAAGTACCCGAACGCGATGTAGTATTTCCGTATGGCGTACGACGGCGGGATCTTCTCGCGGATCTGTGCTTGACCCCAGCTGTGAGCCAGGTAATTGAAGAGGGAAAAGATGACGCTGAAGGGCTCTTGCATGCCGAGGAAACGGTAGAAGGGCCATTTGCCATGAAATTGGTAGACCGGCCGCATGTAGGGCGGGTCGCGTGCGAGGCGCTTGTCGGTCACGATATGCTGGCATGAGTAGTCGCATTCGGCGGGGCAGTCCCAGAGTAATAGCCTACGATGGATGGCTGCGACTATAAGTTAAATGGACAATTGGAGCCCAAGGAAAGACTCCACTTACGTATGGGGGTGGCATCCACGCCGCAGTTCGCTTCATGGCAGACCTGTGTCGTTGTTAGCATTGCGGGGAGCTCGAGCACATAGCCTTAGCAATTGCATACCTTCAGACAGTCCTTGAACTCTGGCAGCCTGTCCCCGAGAGAGGCATATGCTGTACCAGACAGCAAAACGAGCAGGGCAGCCGTCCGCCATGCTGAGACGTTGCGCATCCTCATTGTCGCGTTGTTTGCGTGTTTGTGATACGAAGCGCTTCAAGGCTAGCTCGCCCGCCAAGACGTTTCAGCCAGTTGGCTGCATCCATCGGTCAGTTGCAACAACCTGATCCTACATACCCCACGAGATGCCTGCCAGCGAAAGTTCATCGTCCCCGTTAGATACAGCGCCGACAACTTTCAGTTGGCTCGTCGACGTGTAGATAACAAGGGGAGCCAGCCCTAAACATAGACACTGATATACCATCGGTACTTGGGCATCAGCGTCAAAACTGAATCATTCGCTCACAATGGTCACATTGACCTCTGAACCACCAGATCAATCGAGATCTTCGTTCATAGTGAGCACTGAACTGAAAAGAGATGTCAATTACGCCCCGACGAAGTCATACGGCACATACGGCACAGCTTATGCAAACTCTGGCTATTCTCATACGTCTTATACCTCTACAACCCTTTAAAGCCTGGCCACAAGCCCTCATAAATTTCCTGACACTCTCGCCTCATCGTCTGTCGTGAACCCCAGCACTCTGCTATTCAACGTTGAGGGAGCCACCGAAGCAGACATTGGAGAAATACTTTCCATCATCTTCAAATGTTATGACGGCAAGAATGAATACATCAATGTTGTTTTTCCCCAAGCTTTGACGGAGGAAGGCTACAAACTGAACGTTGCACGGATGCTCTTCATCAACAGCATTGCACCCAATGATTTCTGGGAGAAGGTGGTGGAATCGGAGACTGGCGAGACTGTGAGAGGTGTCATGTAGAACCCGTGCACTCAACAGAAGCCGCGACCATACGATATCGACGGCCCACCTGGGACCTGGGAGACTCGGGACGACAAGGCTCATGCCCAGGCGCTTCAGCAATCCTTTCCCCAGGACGAGAACAAGCTCTGGGAAGCTTTTGGGTAGTAATCGATGTTATTCCCCGGAGCTCAGTACTTATTTTTCCATCGGGACAGGGTTGGCGATGATGGCCATCTCTCTGGACTTCTAGCGAAACGGGGCAGGCTCAGCATCACTTGAATCTGGGCTCGAGATTGCCGACGACAAACAGGCTACCATAAGCCTGGCCAACTCTGACCACATGTTGATTCTAACTTGTAATAGACCATTGCTGTGTCGAACGACAACGGTCTTCGGCTGTACGAGAAGTTTGGGCTCATGGCGAAAAGTGAGCGCAATGTCACTCTGCTAGAAGAGTTTGGCCGGGAGCGTGGTGTCAAGATCTGGACCATGATACGGGACAGACAGTCGAGATAGCGAACATAGATCAGACGAATGGCTAGTAGTAAATTTTTAAGACGAGACTCTAATCTACTAAGATGGTGAAAGTTTCCGGACAGAGAACATACACTGGCCCCGAATTCGGCCTTTCTTCTCAGTAATGGATGGACAATTCTACGAAGACTTGAGGAGGACGCGATCAAGAACGGGCGAAAAAAGTTATGCAGCGCAAACTCAAAAACATAGAAAAAGTATGGCTGCTAAAGCGACGCGTCACTGTGAGTGAGGCCAAGGGTCATTTCATAGGCCATACGCGTGGAGGATCGTTCATGCGTGTATCTTTGCTTTCATACGTACCTGGATATCGTGCCATGGAGCGTATGTCCTCTTGATCGTCATGTCTATTCTTGCCGTCGTTTCGAAAGTGAAAGCGTAATACCTTGCTAAGTCCTGGATGGACTAAAAAGAAAAACACTGTTTTTGGACCCTCGAACGTCGGAGCTGTAGAAAATGCAAAAATGGACGGGTAGGGGATCGAACCCTAGACCTCCCGCATGCAAAGCGGGCGCTCTACCACTGAGCTACACGCCCGTGATGATCACTCGTAGATGTTTGATGATAACTTGAATACTAACAACATATCTATAACCAAAAATGAACGTTATTATGGATACGTTCGTACAGTCCAGTTTGCGGAGAAAATCAAGTAGTAAGCTAGTAAACTCATGGGTTGAGATGCACATGGGTTTTGCTAGCGTCGCGACTGCACCGGTGCGTGGCAGCTCGCCAAGAGCGGGGCGTCAATCTGGGCTAGCGCGCCTTACCTAATTTTCGCTTGAGCGCCCACACCTGTGCCCGAAATCTAATACCAACCCACGACCAAGGCCACGAGCACGACGACCCGACAACAACCTCCACCATGGCTGACTCCGAATATGTACGTGACGCCCTGCGTCGGCGCGCTGCTTCAATCTAACAATGCACGCAGAACGCCGCCGAGGCCGCCGAGATCAAGAAGAAGAGAACCTTCCGCACCTACTCCTACCGAGGAATTGGTCTCGACCAGTACGTTCTGGCTCCCACGCACGCAACCATACTCGATGCTCATAGTTTTGCAGGCTCCTCGACCTGTCCTCTGAGGAGTTGCGCGATGTCATGCACGCGCGCGTCCGCCGCCGCATGAACCGCGGTCTCAAGCGCAAGCCTATGGGCCTCATCAAGAAGCTCCGCCTCGCAAAGGCCGCCGCTCCCCCGAACGAGAAGCCCCCGCTGGTCAAGACCCATCTCCGCGACATGGTCATCGTCCCCGAGATGATTGGTAGCGTCGTCGGCGTATACAGCGGCAAGGAGTTCAACCAGGTCGAAATCAAGGCCGAGATGGTTGGCCACTACCTTGCTGAGTTCTCTATCTCATAGTGAGTTCCTCCATCCATAATAGTGCTGCGATACATGAACTAATTTGTGCAGCCGCCCTGTCAAGCACGGAAGGCCCGGTATTGGTGCCACCCACTCTTCCCGTTTCATTCCTCTGAAGTAAGCGCCGGAACGGACAACGTTGGCGGCAAAATGGGTGGCGTTGGAATTCACGGATTACATGCATCTTTCTGTGTGGTATGGCTCAAGGCCGCTGGCGGGACAGGTACGCTGGGCAAATAGGCCTGGTAGATGAATCATGAACTACCATATACTTGTCATCATGTGAACTTGATGGTCATCTTCACGAAGCATTTCCGTTGTCGGGCGTGAACCGAGTTGCATCCCAAGCCTATCTCACACTGGCCAATTATAATATCAAAGTGCAGGAATCTGGCCGTGGGGAAACGCCCCGTACGCAGCATCCCAAATACGAGACATCGACGCACAAAACTACGAACTCCCTCCGGCCTCGAGAAGACCACGGCAACAGTGTCCACTAAATTGAAACCCTTCGGCTACCCCGTCTCCTGGAAGTTCCCCCGCGCGCCTGCGACCTGCTCGAACACTACGCCAAAATTCCGCTTCCTTCCCAAATCGCCCACATCAACGCCGTCGTACGCCCATGTCTCTCCTCAGCCAAAACTCCCTACCCACCTATTCCTTCTTGAAGCATACTAAGCCCCTCAGCGCTCCCAAGCCCTCAGAACCTACCCCTGCCTTGGCCACCGCTTCCAACTCTGCACCTCCCCTGCATCCCGCCTACCCCTCATCCAACGCGTCTTCACCCACGGTGCCACCCTCCTCGACCTCGGCTGCTGCGTCGGCCAAGAACTGCGCTATCTCTCTTTCACCATACCGAACCTCCTCCCCGACCAACTTTATGGTGTGGATATTGAACCTGCGTTTGTCCAGGTGAGATACGACCCGTTCCGCGATAGGGAAACATTCCGGGGTACGTTTCTTAAGCCGGATACCTTAGATGAGGATGCGAAGGGCGGGCTGAAGGGGTTGAAGGGGAAGCTGCATATCATCTGGACGGCGAGCGTGCTTCACCTTTGGGTGTGGGCGAGGCAAGTCCGTGCGCTGCGTGTCAGCTCACCTTGCTAAACGGGGCACAGGAGCTGGTGCTTGCGGGGCGGATGATGGGGTTTTCGGTCGCGGGAGAGTATGTGTGCAAGTCGAAAGGGATACAGGAGAGTTTCTACCGGCACAACGGGGATTCATTTGGGAAGTTGTTCCGTGAGGCGAGTGCAGGGTTTGACGGGTGGGTGGTCGAAGTTGAGGCGCCGGCGTGGAAGGAGACGCTCAAGATACGGACGGCGGAGGAGCTAGGGACAATATGGAACCTGCAGATCAAGTTTGTGGCGCGACGGGCAAGCAGCAAGATGGGTGACTGAACACATTGGAGATGGTTGCATGATGCTCGTAATCAACACAGTGCTATGACCAATGCTCAGACCAGCTCTCACCACTCTGTATGCATCCTAGAAGAACGCACACCACCCAATGTACATGGACGCCAAGTTCATCGGATCCCTCCCCTGCCTGATGAGGCTATCCACGTAACCCTCCACGCTCAATGGTACACTTTCACCCCTCACAAACCCGCCCAGCTTGCCTTTTACAATCTCCAGAACCTCCTGCGGGCTCTCCGGCACGCCCGGTATCTTCCTCTTTTTCTTCGTGCCGAGGAAATCCGCTGTAGGATCATGCACGAACGTCTCCAAGATAGTAATGAGCGCGTCCTCATGCTGGCGAAGTAAAGAGTACGTGAGCTCGGCCGTCTTCCGGAAGGGGCCCTCGATGCCCGCGGGACCCATGGCGTCGACCATATTGTGGGTCAGACGGAATGGCACAAGCTCGGGTTTTTCAAAAGTGAGGCCTTTGTCGAAGAGGCAGTTGAAGTCGACGTGGAAAGTACCGCCGTTCCCTTCTTCCAGCAGGACGTTCTCACCGTGACGATCACCGAGACCGAGAACATGACCCACGATACTCATCACAGCGCATGATCTTGTATATCGCAGCCTGGCAGCAAACCAAGCCTCGGGTTCAGGGAAGGTCTCAACGAACCACTCGTGGAGCACGGGCTGGAACTTCGTGAGGATCTTGTGCGTGAAGAGGTGTATGTTCTTGGGATCGGCGCATGCTTCGTTGAGTAGCATGCGGATCTCCTGGTAGTCGATGCTCACACTCTTTTGACGATATAACCTTATGATAATGTCACGCATGGGCTTCAACCCTTCAACCCACTCGATAGTGCCGCACTCTTCGTTGAGTGGTGTGACTCCATACGTCTTAATATAGAGTCGACGCTTGCTGGCCTCAATATTCCTGGTTAGAGCGCGATTGATCATCGAGTTGAACTCCATCAGGCGCTGATCCTTGCGAAGATCGTCCTTAGGTTTGCACATGAGGCCATATGACCGCCCATCCGAGCCTTGTACAGTGATCTTACGCGGCCGCTGCAGTGACGACAGCACTAAGACATCATCCTTGAACTCAGATATTGTGACAACATCTGACGCGAAGGGATTGTGTGCTCTTATCAGCCTGCTATCGTTGGTATTCGGAAGACTGGGCGTCATGTTCGATTCGATAGGCACGACCAGAGCACAAGGTGCGAGCTTGGTGTTAAATCGCAGGTCTTTGGACAGGCTCACATGCGATACTCTCTGCTCGACTGGAGTATCGCAAGCAGCTAGCAGAGCATCGGCAAGACGCTGACCGTGAGTGATGAGACTTTTGAGTTCTATTGCGCCGTTCCTGCGTTTAGAATGGTCCTTCCTATTGTTAGCAGAGCTCAGCATTTCGCCGAAGAAAGTAATACTCACTCGAAGCTTTTGCAATACTGCGCCGCCGCGAGCCCGTCGATCGTCCTGTTGGGAGTTCTGCACGGCCAGAAGCCCCCACAGCGCTTGCTGTGGATACTGAGCGGTCACTTTGATGATGATGAGCTGGAGAACATCCCATACGCTCTTGTTGGGATGATTGATACGGCTGATGATTTGAGGAAAAGCAGTGTACCATGGATAAGCCGGCATGCGTTCACTCGCATACCGCTTGATGTAGCCATTGATATGAACAAGGTGATTCATCTTGTGCTGGTGAAGGTCCTTATCCTTGGGTTGCCTGGGCTGCGAGTTCATCTCCATTCCCATGTCCAGCCAGAGGGTAAGGATCTTGGGAATAGTCTGGTAGTAATACTTCGATCCATACACGGTAGAACGGATATAGTTCTCAATGACTAACTTCGTTAGTTCTCCAGCTAGGAAATTGCTCGCCTGTTTGTTCACTGGCAGAGCCTTTTCCGTCTCGTATAGCTTGAGATAGTATCGGCCGAGGTAATAATGACCCTTGTCCCACTTGGGAAATGTCATGATGCCTCGCGCGTATTCCTCTTTGAGCACGAGACTTTGTGTTTGACCAGCTCTATCAAGCCACTTGGCCAGCAGCAGCTGAGCATGACATTTAACTCGATTCGTAGCATGTGCGAGGTCGCCATTAGCAGTCGTAGACACAGAAACACTGACGTCCATCTGTGGCATCTCTCTCGTAGCAAATGAGTTGGTCGCCAGAGCGCCTCGCAGATTCTGGATAGCCTTTCGATAATGACCCTCTTTCCACAGCATCTTGGAATATTCGATCTTCGAGGCGTCGTCACCCAGCTGAGTAGCATGCATGATAGAGTTGAAAGCGGCTGATGAGAAGTCCCCTTTCCGGGCGAGTCGGGCTGTTGTCAGCCAGGCTGATGCAATGTCTAGGTTCGTGAATTCCAGGCTATATATCGTTAGTAATTGTACCCTCGATGTCATATGGAATATATTTACGCAGAGAGTTGCATAGCTGCCCGACGCACTCCGAGCAAGTACTGCTTGTCTGAAGTGTAGGCGCCAAGTAGATCGAGCCGCCTATCCAGATCTTCGAATAGAACATCCCGATCTGGTGGTCGACGACTGGAAAGGCCGCTGATAGTCTCAAGCTCGTATAGCGTATGCAATTTGACAAGATGGTCGTGGGAATTGTGCAGGGATGCAGTCGTAGATACTGATAGTCCGTTTGACAAAACAGTGCGCAGGTCGTTCACCGTGTGCCTGAAGTCGTCCGTTTTCCCGTGCCGCAACGCAAGTAGAGCCTTGCCGATTCCAACATTGAAATCCGAGGAGGCATTGAGTACTCCGGATGGCTCAGTGAGTATGCGGTCCAGTTGGACCCACTTGCCTGTTGACCATGCTGCTTCTGCGGCGAAGGGCAAGGTGCTCGAAGAAGCGAAACGAGACGCGTGGAATCCGTCTACATAATTGAGGATCGCGTCTGCGAGTGGATGTCAGATGAGTGATATTGCTCGTCGCAAAATATGGACTTACCATATTGGCCTGATTCTTTCAAGCAGGTTAACAAGTTAATCTGAGTTTCCGGGTCGTCCGGTTTCTCCGCGAGTGCAAGCTCATACCACGTCTGAGCAGCCGTCCAGCGTCCAGCCTTCCTGTGCTCCATGATTTGCTGCTCGGGATTCAACACTAGTAGGTGAGCAGATATGCCCTCAATGCTGTCTGGCTCATCAATCTGAGCATAGATGTGTTGAAGATGCTGCAGCAGATCGTCTTTAATGAAGTCTTCACCCGAGGTCTCAGACTTGTGTTGCTCTTCACGGTAATATTGCTCCCAGTGGAAAAGCGCACGAGCATACGACCTACACTCCACGGCTCGCTTGGAGATAACCTTCGCTGGAATTAGCCGCAATAGTGACTCCACCGCACTGAATTGCTTGATTGATTCAATCTCATCAACCTCAGAGATACCTCGGCCTGTCTTGCCTGCCATAATTCTTGCGTCTGACATGACCTTGCGTTTCTCCTGGAGCCACAAGGCAAGATAGTCCAGCACTTGGAAGACGTTCTGAGTAGAGTGGATTAGTATAACTCAGGATTCCTGAAGTGCACTGACTTACCTCGCTACACTGCTTGATGTTGGTGGCTTCTGTATGATCGGCCCCTTGCAGGTCGGTCTCGAGTACAGACAGAAGTTCCAGACCAACTTTGTGAGCATCTGACCCGTCACCTCCAACGACGACGCTCAGAACGGCATATGGCAGGATAAAGGAGGCAATGGAGAGATCTTCTCGACGGGCCACCCTTCCGATAGTGGGAAAAAACATCTTCGCATTCTGTACCTTGGCCTTCTGCAAAATGTCATAAGTGAATGTACGAAGCCAAGTGGCGTGGCTGATCTCTAAACTGAAAATAGGGTACTGCGCTGTCGGGACGTCTTCATTGGTTGTGAAGCGATACTTGGAGTCCAAGAAAGGTGTCAGGACCTTCTGAACAGGTTCTGGGAACTCGTCCCATCGTTGTGTTGCTGGTGTGGACTGTGAAGCACCTCGTCCTGACTCGTTCACGCTATTAAATCCACAGAGCGCGCATAGCTCTTGCATCAACCATGCTAGCCAACCTTGGGATCTAGCGTTTGTCGTCGAGAGGAAGACCTTTACAAGTACCTCTTCCAACATGAAGGCAACGAACTGGATCACCTCCGCAGCTTGTTCGAAATTATGCAGAACTAGCACCTGCTTCTTCTCACGAACTGTCTCGACGCGGTATGGGTCAAGTCCGCCGATGATCCCAAGACATTGCGCACAAAGTGTTCGTAGTTCGACATGATGTCCCGGGAATCGTACGCAAATGTCGAGCAGCGAGCGGCTAAGCGAAATGAGCGCAGGAAGCGGCTTCTGGTCGATGGCGGACTGTTGAAGAAGCTTTTGGTGTTCTTCCAAAAAGGGCACAAGCTCCTTCAATGCATGTTGTACCACAACCGAGTTCTCATCGTTGCACCGCTCACTGAAGTAGCTCAAGAGCGTGATAGGATCCTTCTTCGCTTTCAAACGAGCTATCTCTGCCTCCAGTTTCGCCAGCATCGGAATGGAGGAAAGTGATGCCAGTTGCCCAACTAGATCTTGCAACAATTGGTTATGCTGTACTCGCAGGACATCTAGAGTAGCACTGGCCTTCAAGCGAGTCTCGTCCGCAAAAGAGGACCAATGGTGAACTATTAATGCAAACGTTTGGCCAAGGACGAGTTTCAGATGAGCTTCTTCTAGTACTGTGAGGAGAAGTGACCAAACGTCAAAAGCTTGATCACAAAGGTGAGGGTCGGCCATCGCGGACTGTAGGCAGGCTCGAATCTACATTTGTTAGCCTTCTCTAAAAAGCTTCCCAGCACCTGTGAGCGACCAACCTGAGTTAGAGCATGGCACGAATCTTCTCGTGCAAACATTATCAGCTCCTTTATCGCTCCGACGCATCTTCTTCGTTCTGTCAGGTGATGGTTGCCAAGCTGATTTTCTATTGGATTCGTGAAGTCTGCCATTACACCAAGGACATGTTTCAGAATGAAGGTTTCAACTAGGTCCTTTGTCTTCCTTCGCGGGGGAGCCTTGCGCTTTCCATCCTTTTGTCTTTTGGAATCAATGTCGCTCTTGACATCGTCAAGCGCAGCAAGCTTTCTGATTCCTTCGTAATACTATAGCGGTCAGCTATCGTCGAGGACAGTGTCTTCGCACTTACAAGTTCTTTTTCGTTGGCATCACGATCTGCCGCCAATTTGAAGACTTCACTAGCCATAGCAGCCGCGTCAAGCTGAACAAGATCATGCAGTTTCTGTCCTGTCTGCCGTACGGCTGGCGCGACGGCCACTAAAGTATCCATCGCTCTTCGCTCAGCATCCGGACCAGGCTGACACAAGAGTAAAGCAATGATTCGGGCAAGGTGTGCTCGTGGCTGCAAGCAAATTTCCTCAATTGTAGTCTTCTTAGCATTCGCGATGCGCTGCAGGATGTCCGTCCTCTTATTCAAAACGAGCACGGGGAGGACGTCCTCATGGATGAGAATAAGCAGCTGGCTGACGTAGGATATTTCACCAATCAGTTCGACAACAAATTTTGCCTTTTGCGGTTTAGTATTGAGATCGTGGACGATCGAGAAACCGATCGTCCTCCAGTAAGGACGCAAGAGCTCCTGCGGTGATGTGTGAAGATCGTCGGCCAGAGAGCAGAGCTCGTTGTATGCTGCACCATAGATGACCGTGTTTGTGTGGCCCAAATACTCTACCAGCTGTGCAAGGATGAGATGAAGTTCTTCTCCGCTGCACGTTCGGGCCGCCTGGCCATATGCCATAATTAAAGTCTCTTGCTGCGCTGGGACATTGCGTCTAGTCAGCTCAGCCAAAAACTGCATCGTCGCTCTGCGGTTCTTGTCGCGGACGTGTCTGCAGATGTCATCCCGGAGGAACGTCATCAGAGATCGAGACGCTGCTATCCTCAATTCGCGCAAAGACCTCTGCATTGATTTCAGCAACCATTCGCCCAATGAGCTGATCTCCAGACTAAGGTATTCCGCATCGCGGATGTGATTGAAGAGGCGCCCAATAGCAACAGCCATCAAGACCCGTGGTCGAGAAGAACTTTGAAATCTTGCTTCCTGGGTCATCGCAATCATTCCTGCGATAGCATCCTTCCACATCTCGCTGGAGTCCCGCTGATCCCAGTACACTTTCACCTCGCGCTGCACTTTGTCGGTCGAATCGCATAGTGTACACGGTGAATCCTTCCAGCGATCTTGGCTTATGTCCGATGCTTTGAGACATTGAGTCGCGGCACAGGCAATCTTGGTCAATGCTACGAGCATCTCAATTTGCTCTTCGTCAGAAGCTTGCGTGTCGTCCGGTAGGTTGGCATATTTAGTTCTGCACCGATCAGCACATAGAGTTTCCTTCCAGAACAAACTTACTGAACGGAAATGTGGAAACCTTTCAAGTCCAGGACTGGTGATTCGGCAGAACTGCCATTCAGCAACAAGACCAAATGGTTCAAAACGTCGGCAGGTGCATCGCTGTCAGGCTCGGGTGCAGTTCTGCGACGCTTCGCGGGCGGCTGCTCGTCGCCTTTGTTTGCTACACGAAACGCGCTTATTACGTGGACGGACTGATCATTCAACTCTTCGTTGTCGAAGGGTCGCCCTATCTCTGAACACAGAAGAGCCCGAATTTTCTGGACCTCAGCAGGCCAGTCGCCGGGTTTTGTCCAGAGACATATCGACAGCTGTCCACAGTCAGAGATGCACACAAGAAAAGCCTCTGTATACAAACCTGCAAGTCCCTCTCCAGCGTGACCAACTCAGATACGTTCTGACAGATCCCGGCAATGTCCGGGATCATTGTGTTATTGATGGTCTTCTTCACGGATTGGACGATGACCCTCTTTCGCTCATCCTTGAGTGTCTGTTGCGTTATAGACTTTAAGCGTATCAACACATACCCGAATCGGGCCTGGTTTGCTTGTGAAAAGGGCTTGAAGAGGCAACTTCGAAGACCTTCCAGGATGCCCGACATGAAAGAAACCAGCGCTTTAGATGAGCAAGAAAAATCGTCCTCTTTGTCGAAATCGGGTAGAGCAAGGATGGCCAGCGACTGCATGTACAGTGCTTCAACGTCGTCATGTAGAGGTCCCCGTTCTCTACCAGCTGTCCATCTCGTCAAACTAGTCCAGAGGTCTAGGCAGCTGTTCAATGCCCAAAGTCGCATGCTTCCGAATGTACTATCGTTGGTAGTCCATTGCTGGGACGTGAAGCAGCAATCGATGAGAATTTCAAGTAACCGAAAGCCCAGATATGCTGCACTAACTTTTGATGTAACTATCCTCTGTAGGCCTTGAGGGAGAGCCACAAGATGCTGACTCTCGGGCCAAACATCGCCAATGCTACTTGAAGAAGGTAGAATCAGGTCAAAAGAGGGATAAAGGGAATCGATAATCTCTTCGTTGGGCTCCGAGGCCGCTATAATACCTACTCCATCGATTAGCAGTTGAAGGAAACGCTTAGGTGCAAAGCCTACTATCAACGCACGACCGGTAGAGTCGAAACACCGACCAGGCTTGACGTAAGCGGCTAGCAGATCGAGTGAAAGATTTGAGACAGGTGCTCAGCAGCTCTAGCACAGTCGGATGAATACTCAAACGACCTTGTTGTAAAATTAATCCCAACAATTTCGAGAACAGCCAAACGAGTACCGGCGGACGCCGCGTTCCATCTTCTTCCTCAGCGTGCGTCGGCGCGAACAAGAGATACGGCTTCTGTTGGAAAATGATGATAAGAGCAGCAATGCATTGGGTGCCTTGCTCCTCGAGGTGCTTCGAAGCGAATGGATCTTCCCTGAATAAAGGGTCTATCCCGCCCTCGGTAATGGCGAGGATGAAGGCGATGCATACTGGGTCTGGATCCTCCAAGACGGGGTTGGATAGGAACTCTTGGACGAGTTCGATGAAGGGTTGTTTGTTGACGGTGTCCTGCTGTGCTCTGACATTTGCTGCACCCCGCACGATTTGCGCGGGGATGGTGGATGGTGGCGGACGACCATTGGCGTAACCATGTAAATTATGGCTGTTGGGTCCTGGCTGAGGCGCTTGCCGCTGCGTCGAACCCCCGCCTCTGCGGGCCATCACGCAAAACTACTGGACGTGCATAACGAACAGGTTCAGGAAGCTGGAAGCTGGTTGTTCTTGGAGGTGCTGCGAATTAGTGGGGTCCGTATGGCAAGCTCAATATAAGCGTTAGACTCAAGACAACAAATGGATGGCGGGATCCAGCGAGTGTGGTGACCGACCCTGGAGAGATGATAGTGGAGAGCGAGGGTTTGCGTCCTGAACCGAATGAGGTGTGATGGCTATGAGACGCGCCTGCCAAAAACGTTTCCAAAACGCGTCGCCTGGTCCCGTGATCCAACGCCAAGCCGTCTTACTCCACTAATGTCTGCTTCAAAGCTCCGCGTGCCGATCAGGTCATTGACTGCTCAATTGTAGCACATCGTCGCTTGTGCGGGCATAATCTATCCGCCAGTATCCCACAATCGCGTCTCTCGAAGAACGATCCGCCCGCCATGGCGCCCTTCACCAACCGCTCCTTCGCAAACACCCTCCCCAACTCCATCGCCGCGCGCTACCGCAAAGCCCTCACGAAGCACCCCTTCCTGCTCTTCGGCCTTCCCTTCCTCACCACCATTGTCGCAGGCAGCTTCATGCTGACGCCCGCCACCGCCCTCCGGTACGAGCGCTACGATCGCAAGAACCAGCAGATCACGCAGGAGGAGAAGATGGGCTTGACGCAGGATAGAAGGAAGGTGAATATGAAGGATGAATATTATGTGAGTTGGGTCTCCGTTCGCATTGGGACATGTGGAATTGGGGCGACGAAGTGGAGTTCTGTGAATGTGAATACTAACTGTTGTACAGCGCTTGCAGGCGAAAGACCTCGAGAACTGGGAGCAGCGGCGCGTTAAGAGGTTACCGGGCGAGGTTGATGGCATATTGGAGTGATAGAAGGGTGGGACTAGTACAAGCATTTGGAACGGCGTTTGGGCATCGGGAGCATAACATTTACCTTGTTGTACAATATGTTGTGCATGGACAAGATGTTGAATTTACGCCGCTTCACCACTCTTGGATGGGTAGAGATTATGTGAAATGTACACAAGAGAGTCATGACGCAATTTCCACATAAGAGCTTGAAAAAGTCGGATGTCGTCTTAAATTCTTCATTGCAAACCGTAGACATATACTGTATAGCAGCTCGATAGTAATAGCTATCCAGTTCTCATATACCAAAACCTGACATTACATCCTCCGATACCAGCCCGTCCCAAACGTAAAATCGTCTTACCATCATCATCCCCATGCTTTCTCTCGAGCAGAGTTCTAAAAGCCTCGAAGGGGTATAAGGATCTTGCAGCTGACGAGACTTAAATTGAATCGTGAAATGGACTCCTGCAAATGCTCATATGCAGCGAACCAAGGAATCGAAAATGCGTATCTACTGCTTAATCTCGTACGTTCGTCGGAACATGCTGTCGATGCCGGTGAGGTAGTAGGTGCCCGGGAAGAGGGTGTCGACCTGGCCCTCAGGCTTGTAGTCCTTCTTCAAGTGGGCACGTGCGCGGAGCTGGCACATCTGCAGAATAATTAATCAAAACATTGATGCACATAATTCCAGAGCGACGTACCTCATCGTAGACCTCAGGGGCGACAACACGGCGGTTCTCGAGGCGGTTTTTGACATCAAGCTGCTTCTGGAGCTCGGTAATGCTACCGTTGATCTTGAAAGAAAACAGGGATGAAGCGAGACCACTGCCGTAGCTGAACATACCAACGCGCTTGCCAGTGGAGTTCTCGCCATTGAGGTTGGCAAGGAGCGAGCACAGACTGCCGTAGACGCTACCACAGTACATGTTACCGCACATGGTAGGGACCTCAATGCTGGGCTGAACGCGAGCGTTGAAACGCTTCTTGGCAAGACCCATGAAGGTCTTCTCCACTGCCTTATCCGTGACGGACGTGGCGTAATCAAGATCCCGGAGCTCGGCAGGCACCTCAGCGAAGATGGGATTCGACGGGTTGACCAAGTAATCGTTGTAGAGCAAGCGCGCGTACGACTTGGCTACGAGCTTGCAGGTAGGCGCGTGGAAGCACATGTAGTCGAAACGGTCTACCGGCGTCTCCAACTCCTGGGAGTGACCATTGACGCCGTTGGCACCGTTAGCCTGGCTCTTGAGCGTCTGCTCACGGGCGTTGTAGGCCTTGTAGCACGCATCAACAGCCTCGGTGTAGCAGCGGAGCGAGAAGTGTCCGTCGACAACAGGGTACTCGCTGGTAAAGTCGGGCTTGTAGAAATCGTACGCATGGGTGATGTAGCTGCCGCGCAGACCCGGCTCCATCACGATAGGGGCGTCGGGGCCGATAAGCATAGCCACACAGCCCGCTCCGCCCGTAGGACGCGCGTTGCCCTTCGCGTACAACGCAATATCGCCAGCCACAACAACGGCGTCACGGCCGTCCCATCCTGAGGATTCGATCCAGTTGACGCTGTTGAATAGGGCGTTGGTGCCTCCGTAGCACGCGTTCACGGTATCAACACCCTCGACGTTGAAGTTGCCGGATTCCTCAAACAGCTGCATGAGGACCGACTTCACCGACTTGGACTTGTCGAGCAGAGTCTCGGTACCGACCTCAAGGCGGCCAATGTTCTTGGGGTCAATGTTGTACTTCTTGAACAGCGAGGAGACGGTGGTCAGGGCGAGCGAGTACATGTCTGTAGATGAATCAGCTCGCGTGCTGGTGTGCAGACTCGAGAGAAAACGCACCCTCGCGGTCGTCGCAGAAGGACATCTTGGTCTGACCGAGGCCAATTGTGTATTTTCCCTGGGAGACGCCATCGAACTTCTCGAGCTCGGCCTGGTCGACGCACTGCCGTGGGTTAGACGGGCTTTGTCGAGCTCGGGAAGTCGCAGCAAAAAAGTGGCTGCAGCATTCCGGGCGGGTGGAGACTTGCCTGGCTAGGGAAGTAGAGCTCGATGGCCTTGATGCCGATGTTCTGGGGACGGGAAGCCATGGCTGCGTGTGGTGGATTGTGTAAAGGGGCGAAGTGTGAAAAATGTCGAGGCGTGTGCTGGCGGGGTACACCGCTGGTTAAGTAGGACTATGTCGCGAGGAAGCAAATTGCGGTCTGGTAGCGGCGATCTTGCAGGCACTGTAAGTGGCAATTGCCGAGTACCTGCTCCTCTAGGCTTTGACAGGACGCGGGTTAAACTGCTTTGGTGCGCGGATTCTACGCTGCTCAACAAACGCTCGCATGCGACGCGCTTCTAGGTTCTTTTGCGGCGCGCATTGAAGCCAGTGCACCCAGGCGGGGTGTGCTTGCCACGATAGCGGGGCTCTTTAACAACATCCTCTTCATATTGTGCTTCTCTCGCTCCCTTTCGCTGTGGGCCTCCTTTTGTTGTTATCTGGCTCGGCGGCGTCACTGGACTGAACTCTACCGAACTTGGGCCGCGCCGCCGCACTCGCTGTTGAAAAGTCTATCGTTCCCTAGCACTGCGCCGCCTATCACAACGTCAATCGCTCCAACGCAGGGCGAGTGGGACGCTTCCGACAACGGTTAGCATCTCAGGAACAGCCTGTCAACCAGACAACGGACTCTGCCAACGACGATCGTGGGTGACTGCGAAGAACTCATGCGGAACATGCTGTTCAGCTGCGCGCAGACAATGCTGTGCCCATATTCGCCATGATGTCCGAGGGTCTTTTTGGTCATGACAGCCAACTGCAGCGGCCCCTGGCTCCGCAGGCACACCAGACTACCCAAGCGGCTGCCCAGGCCTCCTGTAAATCTTCGCGACTCGCGAGCGATGTTATTACTAGTAATCTTATCAGATGGAAATTTCCACAGAGTACGCCCAGAGCAGGACCCACTTAGATCAGTTTTGTCTCCAACAAAGACTGTACGAAGCCGCGCCAGAAGTCAACTATTTTCCAGGATACAAACGCCGCAATCGGCATGAAGGTCATGTGGACCGGAGTTGGGTGTCTATCTGCTCCGCCAGTGTACGTATTGCATATCGCAGGAACACTGCATGCGCAACGTGCGTCCAGTGAGGTCCGGCCAAACATTCAAGACGGCCGTAAGCATTCGACCTCCATATCTTTCATCTATTTCCAGTTTCTGTTTTGAGGGTTGTCCGGACTCGACTAAGTTACGGAAACATCTGTGAGAAGTTCGCACGTTGTTATTCATCGCATTCTGCTCTGATAATCCAGTCGCGGTTCGCCTCATAGCGTCATCTCAGCATGTACGACACGGAAACGGAGAATCTGTGAAATCTGCCGTGGCGACCACAATACATTGCGAACTGTCAAGCGCATCGCACACATCACATATTTGAGAAATTCATCTGCTCAGAAGAAACCATGCGTTGCACTTTCCTACAATTTTTCTGCACTATCTCCAGGCATTTCAGATGACAAAAGCTCCAGTGGCGTGCCCAGACTGAGCCATATTGTCAAGGACTGCACACTCAACAACATCACCTTCCAGATCTTGACTCTGAGGAATGCCATGGTTGGAAGCTGCACCGATCCTTACCCTGGGAAATACTCAATGTCTCGTGACGGCGCAGTTCGATTACAAGCATCCAAATGTCCAACATGCAACACGATGCTCTCGTTCGCGCGAAAGTATCATTTGTAGCCTTTCAGCAGCGCATATATACCCTCGCTTCGCAGTGCTTTACTCTACACAATGTGGAGCGAGTCGAGCCTGGAGTGGTCCCGTAAGCGAACTGCTCAGGAACAATATATATCCATGCTTCCAGAAAGGAATTTTCCGGCCGTGGGCAAATTGAATGGCGCCACTACTCGCACAATGACGGGCCCCATGGGAAATGGCAGACTTGCTCAAGTTCACTGGGTGCACTGCAAGTTTAGACGGCCAAAGGCGCAGCAGTGAATCGTTCGTGCATTCTGATGCTCCATTTCTAACGATCTGCCGACTAGCACTCTGCACCAGCGGAAGCGGGAAAAGCCGGTAGGGGCGCAGGTTGGCCGCACTCGGGCCAGGGTGGAAGGTGGCTCGATACAGCGGTAGGATATTGGGCGAGGGGATGGCGATCTGCCGCCCAATGGCTAAATGCATCCCTTTGGCCAGCGGTCGCGGGGACATCGCAGAACAAGCAGGCGGTGGCCAGCAGCAGCAAGAGTGCAGAGTTCATGTGCAGGGGGTGTCTTCATTGGTCTCTGGGGCGGAAGAAGGGCCTTTTTTGAAGCGGCGCGAGGCTGTTGAGGGAAGGCCGTGCTGAAACGGAGGGAGGTGCAACCCCTGACTAGCGCCTGCCCGACTTGCTTCGAGACGGCGGGCGGCCAGCGCCAGTGCCTCCCGTCACGCCTGCCGTCGCGCAGAGCCAGCCAGCCTCTCTTGCACCAACACCGACGACGAGCTCGCTGCCCACGACCGCCCCCATCGCCCGCGCCCTCAGCGAGAGCGTCGACCGCCCTCCGCACCCATTGACCGCTCGACTCCAGGGTGACCCGGCCCGTTGGGGCTGTCAAGGGACGACGCGATGGACCGACGAGACGGCGACGAGGGCAAGCCACCGCATCCGCCGCCCAACCCCGATGTCTTCGACGACGAGAACGCGCTGGACCCAGATGAGGACGACTTCATGCCGTCCGTGTCGGATGGCTTCCGCCCCGCCAACGCGAACAACAACAGGAACGAGAGGCGCCACGACCACCCGTTTCAGGATGAAATCGAGCCGCTGCGGCCGCATATGGCACAGCACAAGTCGACCGACGGCACCGACCTCAGGAGGATGGCGACGCGCAACAGCATAGCGAAGGTGCCGTATGGGCTGGACACGACTTCGCCAAACGATCCGCCGCGTGGTGCGCATCAACGAGGGCCCAATTCGCAGGCGACGCCCTTGCAACACCGCGCATCCGTCAGCTCGACCGCCTCCTTCGCTACCATGGCCACTTCAGACGGCCCGTTCAGCTCTGGCCCGAGCCATCCGTACGGCATGTACCCACAGAACACAATGGTGCGAAACACGAGCATATCTACAACGTCCACACAGCAGCAGCCGCCCGCAATACCACAGCTTCCAACAGGGCCCAGCCACCCTTACGGAATGTATCCGCAGAACGTTGTCGAGGACGAGCCGCCCGTTCCCGTAGTGCAGACGGCCATACCCGTTGGCTTCCCCGGCATCAACAACGGCTTCCACAGACAGATAGGACCAGATGGCGAAGAGCAGGACATTGTGGGGCCATTCGGGCATACGGAGCAGCTGCCTCCGTACTCACGATACCCGGAGGAGGGGCCCACAAAGGCCTCGATGGCGGCGGAAGCGAGCGCCACTCCGCTTGAGGCGAGAGCAAACCCCATGGCAGGGTCCAACGACACGCTATTGATAGATGCTGCACCGCCCGCACCTCCTTCGCCCGTGTCTCCTGTCTCCCCCTTGGCTCCCATTGCACCCGCTCTCCTGCCACAACAGCGGCCTGAGACCCAGACTGGCAATGTGGCTCCTCGACCCGCGACTACATCTGAATCAGCCTCACTCCTGACAATGACAACGGATGACGGTGTTGTTGCGGAGAAGGCCGAACCCGAACCGAGTATCAGGAAGCAAAGCTGGCGTAAGAAGCGGCTATGGGGCAAAGTACCTGTCACTGTGGCCCTTTGCTTGCTCATATTGTTGCTCATATTTGCTGTCGTGCTTGGCGCCGCGATTGGCACCTTCTTAACCAAGAACAAGGAGAAGTCTAAGCAGGATAAAAATCGAAACGGCCATGATAAACCGTAAGTCGTTCAGCAGACCAGGTAGAGCTCAACTAACTCGAACAGGGAACTAGCAGTTACCGGCAATACTCTCTTTGGAGCGACTCCCATTGCAACACCAAGTTCGCTCCCTGCGTTGCCTACGGGTGCATTCTCGCTTCCCCTAGGTTACGCTCAAGAAAGTAGCCCTGGTTGTCTTCTTTTGGGCAACCAATATGCGGCTTGGTCATGCAAAATGTCTTTTGCTCCCCTTCAGGTCGTCATTAATTCCACAACGGATGGCTATCAGGCATCCCTGCAAACATGGGTTGCCCCAGATGGTAGCATACAGTACGGACTCCAGACTCCTCTCGTACCTCCATCTACCTTGCAGCTCGTTAGCGATCTTGATTATAGAGGCTACGGGCCTGCATGGCATTTCTCAGGGCGGTACGACAAAGTTGTTGTCCTTCAGAATGAGGAGTTTGCTGCCGGCACCAATCTGCGAAAGCGAGATGACGATGATAACAAACCGTCCTTCCGTCATCGATTCCAGGTCATGCCTGGCGACAACCCTTGGTACTGCATTTGGAACTCCACCTACATCGAGGGCTACATATATGTCACAGATAACTCGACAGCTGCCTCCATGACCAACTACCCCACTCCTAATCCCTCCGACCCCTTCAATGGAGTGATGACCCCAACAGCCACGATATCGGCATCCTTCCCTGAAACCTCGACCGCATCCGCCACACCGCCGCCTACGAAGAGAACTCCACAGGAACGCGGCGATGACAGATCTAATTTCCGCTTCCCATTCCCATATCCCCGCATCGTTAAGATCGAAGAGCGACGACTCCCTGGCGCACCGCAGCCCTATTGTCAAAAGATGCAATTGCTCGACAACGGACAAATTGCTCCAGCATCTGGCAGTAACGGCGGCAACGTCATCGTTTGGCTCCAAGAGTCCGATCCGGCGATGAAAGAATTCTATGGGGCTCCTCCAGGTCCGCCGCCTTCATCAACAGAAGCTGCGAAGGCACGGAGACAACAGGAGAGGAGGTCAGATCCATCGGACGCTTGCCACTGCCAGTGGATGTTCCAGTAAAAAATGTTTCGAGTCATCAATTTCAACGAGCGAGCGAGCGGCGCATTTGCATTCCAGCATTTAAAGGCAAGGTCATTCACGATACCATGGGACGGCGGGGCCTCATCTTTACGAAAGCTACACGGTGTTTACGGAGTTCTTTGTTCATGGCATCTATGTCAGTCATCTCTTTTGCATACAAGCGGTGCCTCTTTGCAGGCCGCCCATCCACCCGAGGTTCTCTGCAGCGATTTCTGCGCGCACCATCTGCGCATTATATTTCAGCGCCGCGGCGTCTTTTTGTTCTTCTTTGAGTGTAATGTTTTTGGCGCGTAAGACGTGGGTTTTGGGTATTGATTGGGAGGTGCTTCTGGTGTTGAACATGATGGATTGGAATAAGAAGACTCGGTCAGGTAAAGGAGAGAAGCAGGATCGTGATAACCGGGAAACACGATAGTCTATTTTGGACTGTACGCATATATGGCTCCGCTGAGCTGATCTCCCGTAGCGCAACGTAACGTAACAATACATGTAGGTTATAGTCATGCCGGGGCCTATGGCTGCGTGAGCGTATGTTGGTGTGGTGAATGATGTGGTGATGATGATGATGATGATGGAGAGCATGCTTGCAACATTCGTTGCGGTGTCTCGTATTGTCATGATGGTCTGGCTTGCTCGCCAGCATGAGAAGCCCTACGCTAAACACGACGTTCTCACTAGAGCAATCATTCCTAGGCAGGAAGCTGTCCTTGCAGTCTCCATATCTTAGCATTTGTGGATCATGGCTTAGGGACTTGCTACCTTGTAGCGTGAAAGCGGTCATGGAACCCATGGGATCGGTGGTCTGGCGTGCACACTTCCAGTGACATTGCGGGCTCGGTCAGGGTTGGATGGGAGGCAGTGGGTTGTCAGGTTGGTTGCTCGCTGTCGAAGAGAAGGAGAAAGCGCAACTGGAGGGAAAGAGTGATAGTACGCCAATCTGTCTGGCGCAGGAGGGGCGGTCTTGGTCTGGCGAGGGTCGGTTGTGTTGGGTCTGTTGTTTCTCGTGCAGTGCATGTGGATGGATTGTTAAGGGGACGTTGGCAGCTGCCCAAGCTTTTGGGGTTGCGAGTTCGGGTTGCCGAGCTGCTGTCTGGACCTTTCCAAGCACGTTGGCGAGAAAGGCTGGATCGTTTCGCCGCGTCGACGGTGTGCGAAGAACTTGAGTCTTTGATCAAGTGGTCCTCGGGTAAGTCCTTGCTTTCCTTCACTACGAATAAGGTGTTCGCATTACATTTGGGAGCGCATACAACTCCTCCGAAGGTCCAGACCTCGGCCAACCCCTCGTATTTGGCAGGTTTTGACACCTCTTCAAAGCTGTGGGTGTATTCGCCGTGACTTCGCCGATCGTATATTCTGTTTTATATGCGAATGGACGAGTAGAGGTCATGTTTCCAAGCGTCCTGAAATTAACGGGTTTTTCTTCCTGCGCCATCTGATGGCATTGGAAGGTCGCTAATTCTGGGCGTCTACTCTGGATGAATCCTAGTACGTTTACGAAGGTTGCTTCTCCTGTTATGTGCAACGAATTGAGCTTGAGGGACTGCAGCTTGAAGTAATTCGCAAGAAATTTCTGAAGGTCAAAGCGAGAAGTTGTAGGCGTGGTAGCTTCACATGCGGGGTGATATTCGAAAATACCTCAGCGGCCTCTGCCCAGTTGTCTCGAGATTGTAGGTCAAGCTTCCACAGCTGCGGACTATTGGAGCTAAATCATGCCAGTTCCTGGGATCTACATGATGGTTAGGTCCCTTGGTAAAGTTCTTTTCATCACAATTCGGTCCTTTCGGAGAATGATTAATATGCAGCTAGCTGACTTACTTCTACACCACTGTTCTTGGGTTTCCAGGTAGAGCGTGAGTTCGGACAGTTGGGCAGAACAGGCTAGTGTGGCCATGGGCATGTTGAGTGCCTGTACAGAAATGGCTCCATCGGAGGTGAAAATCCCGATCTTGTGCGTTCCCGGACGAGGCAATCTCGTTCCTGCGTGACAAAAGGCAGTGGTGAGTATCGAGAACATCTGTATTGTCGTTCTTGCTTGAGAGCATCAAGATTCGCGTCCTGAGGCTGACTTGTAATCAGGTTCCGTTGGCAATATGAACACTTCTCTAAGACTTGGCAGCTGTGTGAGTGCCAGAGCCAGGACAATGGTATCGGCACCTGATCGCCCGACGAATTCATCCTCGTCCAACTCGAGGAGATCACGTTTGACAAGAGCTTGTCTCTCGCGGTGCTCCTCATTGGAGCGTTTCCCGGACTCGGCTTCGCTTGCGTCTTCCTCGTCAAGCTCATGCTGTGAATCAGGGGTTTCCTAGTGTTCCAGAGTAATGTGCCTTATCCTGCTGGCTAAGTCTAAGTCTGGCTTATGCCTGCCAATCTTCGTAAGCCATCCGGTCCCAGATCAATGCTGCAGCGTCTAAAGGCAGTCTTGTCGTGGGTCTTCTGGTTGCTGGTCCTGTAGATAAGACTGACAGCTAACGTGTGAATGCTATATTTGGGCTCGAGGCATTGGGGGAGCGGGGTGACAAGGATGTTACAGATCATATTCATCAGCTCCACTGGAAGGTCCGGTAACTTGGGTCCACGACTTCTTCTCTTGGAAGGACATTAGTTGCGTTATGGCCTCGAGTCGTGCATCGGAAGCATGTGCCGCGGAACGCTATGTTGCTTTGTGGGAGATCAAGACTGAAGAAAGAGAGGGCAGAGGGTTGTCTGCTAAAGAAAGACACCGATAGGGCCAGTGCGAATCGTTTGCACTAGCAATCGTATGGTCCGCAGTGCTGGGCGCGGGCGAAGGCGGGTATCTGTTTGTGACTGGAGACACGGTAACATGGTAGAAGTGTCCCTTTCGGCAAGGCGCTGTAGGTATCCGTGACATCTCCCGAGATCAGTTGAGCCTTGGTATGCAGAAAATTCCTAGATGGGGAAGCACTACTTTTTGAGTCTTAAATCTCGGTTCTCAACACTAGTGTACCTCCTTGACAGACAATTAGTCGTACATCAAGCGACTATATGCCCATACTACCCCACTCTCAAGACCGCCAGTTAGCGGCGAGATCGGGTGATGACAATACAGACACCCATCACAGAGAAATCAGAAACCTGCAAACAGAACAAGATCCATACAATGCACAGAGTACCCAATCAAATCAGCTAGCTAGATATACCACCTGCAATCATATCCTACCTACCACAACCAGACCAAACGAATCCTCCATCCACCCACCATGCACGCTAACGTCAAAGGACCTCCTTCCTACCCTTTCCCTCCCAGCGCAACTTTTCGTTTCTATAAACCCCTCACACCTCGGCAGCCTTCTCCTCGCCCCCACCAACCGCCAGCTTCTCCCTCGTCTCCTCCTTGATCTCCTTCTTGATCTCCCGCACCTCCTCACCAGACACACCACCAGGCACCTTGCCTTCAACCAGCGGATCCGCATCAGCAGGCTCCACAGTAACGGCGTCGGTACGTCCCACCGTCTGCCCCTCGACAGGCTCATCGGACGCAGGTTCCGCGACAGCAGCACTCGCAGCGGCAGGTTCCGTGTCCTTGACAGCAGCAGGCTCAAGCGACGCCTCGCCCAGCTCAACGTGCTCCTCCTGCTCGAGAACTTCCATATCCTCAGTCTCCTTGAACTCCTCAGCGCCAGTTACAGGCAGCGCCAGCGAGTCCGATGCAGACGAAGTGGCGGAGGTAGTCGGCTTCAACGCGTTCTGCATTTTGGCAGCCAGCTCGGCAGCAGGGGCCTCGACCTCGCCACTGTCACCAATTTGCCACAGCGTGCTCACCACACCCACACTCAATGATTGCGCTCCTCCATCCCCGGCACCCGTCGCCGCAGCCGCAGGTGTGGGCGACTTAGTGGGCTTCCTCCTCTGCGGACCTTTAGCACGGCCTTTGCGCGCGTCCTCGAGGGGCTTGGGCGGCTCCTTCTCCTCTTCTTTCTCTGGCTCAGGTTCTTTGACTTTTGGCGGGCCGAGGCCGAGCTTGGAGTTTAGATCTTTGAGGAAGCCGGCTTGGAGGGCGGCGATTTTGGAGCCGCCGGGACGCGCGGGGACGGGGGGTTTGGCCTTTGGTTGCTGGGCTTGTTGCTGGGCTTCGGAACCAACGTTGCCCTTGTCGTCGGGAAAGGCGCCGACGGTCGGGACCTTGTCGGAAGACTTGGTCAGGGGTTTGCTGGGGCGGGCGGGGACTTGCGGCTTGGGTCGCTCAGGAAGGACGGGCGCCTTTTTATCCACGGGTGACGTTTCCTTTGCGGCCTGTGGACGAGCGGGGATGTTGGGCCTCGCTGGGATGCTTGGCTTCTCGACCACAGAAGAATCATCTGCATACTCGTTCGTCTCGGGCGTTTGAGGGGTGCTGACGGTGGTTTCGAGGTGGAAGTGCTCGGGAGAGTCTTCCCAGATGTCCTGGCTAGGGAAGCGCTGCACCCCAGGGCGACCCTCAGATGCGTTCTTCAGATGTTTGTTGGCGAACTTCTTGGTGTTCTCGGGCAAGAACGACTGCTGGTCCTCTTTAGTGATGTGCTCTTTACGCGCTTGCTCAGTCTGCGGTTTCTCGAAGACTTGGCTAGCATCCGGCTCGGCTGCCGCGGATTTCGGTTCCTCAGGATCTTGAGCCGTATCTACAGTGGTCTCCAGCTGAAGACTGCTTGGGGTATCTTCCCATACGTCTTGGCTGGGGAATTGGTGGCGAGCGAGGTCGGGACGCTTCTTGATCTTGTCGATAGGGGTCTTGGCTTTCTTCGGATCTTCGTCATCTTCAGGGAAGAGAGGCTCGTACTCCTTCATTGAGTCAAGAGGGGTTCCGCTCCGGTCGAACTGCGGTGAGGAGATGATTCGCGCTGGGTTGGCATGGTTGCTATTCCTGCTAGAACTCCTGCTATGAGGGCGACTGTGAGTGCGTTGTTTGGTGATGTAGGACGGCGTAGCATCGTCATTGACAGTGTAGTCGCCACTGCCACGACGCTCCAGCTCAGGAGGAATTGCGGGTTGCCTCCACTCAGATTCAGGATCCTTCTTGATCTCGTCAGACGCTAGGATGGGAGTACCGTAGCCGCGTTCTGAGACCCATCCACCCTTCTCGTCTGTGTTTCCGCCCTGTCGGCCAAGATCGTGCGTAGACGGGTCAAATCCACCACCATGGATCTTATTCTCACGGCGATTCGGAGGATCAATGTGGATGACATCTTCTTCAGCTTCACTTTCATTCGTCTTCTGCTTGCTCAGGACGTCGGTGGGGAAATTCGCCTGGCGCAGAGGGGACTCGGCAACAGGTGCTCCTGACTTCTCACTGATTGAAGCAGGACGACCAGATGACTTAGGCCTCGGAGAGGCCATGCGCGAGGCATATTCCTCGCTAGCCAAGAAACCAATCTGCTCGTCGGGAGTGCTGACAGCTTCTCTTGAAGTACCTGTGGTCTGTATTAGTATTTATTTCAAAAGCGGTTGTTTGGAGACGAGTTGCATACCCAGACCGTAGCCCTCGACAATAGCATTGCGCACCAACTTGTCAAGTTTCTCCCCTCCCCAGTGGTAATCCTTCCTGTTCTCTTGAATGTGCGGGCCATACTCGCCGGCCTTCTCGCGCTTCAAGTCCTCGGGGTGCTTCTTGTACCAATTCTGCTCGAACTCGTCGTTACCAATCTTGCCGTGGCCGTGCAGACCGTAGCTACCAGGAGGACCGTGGAATATTTCACGACCGCTCTTGGTCCTGCTGTGATGGCGGGGCTTGTCTCCCTTGTTGAAGAAGCCCACGCCCGTGGGAATCGCCGTCTCGTATGGCGAAGGAGTGGGCGCCTGCACGTCTCCCGCGTTCCGGAACATGGGCACCTGGACACCAATCTCAGGAATGCCATGTTCCTCCTCCTCTCTGTATATGGAGCTTGGGCGTGAGGAGACGGAGCGACTGGAGTCGCCCGAAGGCTTTCCTTCCGGGGCCAGCGTCTTGCCAAAGCCAGCAGCCGCAGCTTGATCGGAATCGGTGCGCGTCACCGTTTGGATCCTGGTCTTGGCGGATGAGGCCGGGAGAGACGCCTTGGGCGCATGGAGCGGCAGGTCGCCGGCCACCTGCTTCGTCTGTTCGGGCGCTTCGCCGTTCTGGCTCTGGTTCGAGAGCGTCTTGGAGAGGTCCTCGAAGCTCGCGTACTCGGAGCCTTCCTGGCCGAGCGAAGGCAAACTGACGCTGGGTGGGCGGGCCGGCAGCTCGGCACTGAGATGCGAGTCCTTGGGAGGCGGTTTAGTGTGGAGGAACGACGGGTCGTTGAGTGGAGATCGAGCGAAGGCGTCTCGGCCGGGGGAAATGGAGCGGTCGACGCTGCGCTTCGGACGCGGGGGGATCTTGGGGACGTCCATGTGGGCCGAGTTGGGCGTCGAGTTCTGGGCCCGCGCTGGACGGGGTGGTATTTGCGGCGGGGCGCTCATTGTTGTGTGTAGATGAGATGTGCGGTGTGGTGTGGTGCGGTAGTCAGAATGTGGTCGAGCAGCTGTCAACCAGTGTCAGTGAGCGTGGCAGGTCCAATGTATGAAACGCAGCTTGTGAGATAAGCACGTAGCCGTCGAATCGGCGCCAGGAACCTCAAGGAACCAGAAGCTCAACGCCTGCGCCAGCTCCTCGGCACCGAAGATGCGACCAGCACATGGGCAGCCAATGAGGGCACCGCAGTTGAAGCAGCTTGACGTCGCGTATCAGACAAAGCCGGCGGATGAGGGACTCACCTCAGATTGCGCAATTGGGCGCTGCGGTGGTCTGGCAGAGGGAGGTAGAGCTTCAAAATGGGATCGATTCAGAAAAAGACGCAAACTGGTGGCCACGATGAAGCGATCGTGAGCTTAAGTACGGGTATGCGGGCGACCCGCCAATGATGCAAGCTCCACGCCCTGGCGTTTGAACGTGCACGCAGAAACCGATCACTTTGCAAAACAAGAATTGACCCCGCTACCCCAGCCTTTCACTTCACCAGCACGCAATGCGGCGCGACCGTCTGCAGGGGCGATTGCTACACGCGCCAATGCCGCGTCTGGTGTTACGCAGGCAAGCTGCTCAACCCTCCAGCTTGTCTCCACCGCAGATACCGATGCCAAGCATCATGTCGCGATAAGATGCAGGGACTGAACGTGTACCGCGGGTCTTGGGATTCGCTTTATCATGACATCCTTGAGTGCCTTCGTATCAGCCGCAAGATTCAAGCTGAGGCATTTCCCAGTAGACTATCGCCGCAACCGATGAGCAAATTCTGCGCTCCCACACCGAACGATGGTACTGACCACTGACGCCACTTTGCTAGCGTTTCCCCGCGCAAGATCACCTGGGCAGGCAAGCCACCACCTGGGCAACCCGTTCCTGAGCCAATTCTAGCCCTTCACCACCTTTACCGCTCGCTTTTGCTTTTCCCTGCTGCAGATGACATGTCAGAACGAGAATCACTCACATTGCACAGATTTCTGTGCCAGCCGCCTGACACCATGCCTTTTCCGCGAATGGACGTGAATTGAGACATGACCGTCGCTGGTCCATGTAGTACCTATGGATCCTCTGCATATCGTATCAAACCTCTTCGTTTGCCTCAAGATGCAGTGCATGTTGCCGAAGGATGAGTAAACCAACATCGTAAGTCTAGAGCGGAAGATCGTCCATTGTTTGCCTTCCGTCATGCCATGATGTGGAGCCGTGTGCATGCAATTACGTAGGTCTCTCCACACGAACATGACATCGTTGAGCATCACCAGTTGGCAAGCGAATGGCCCATGCGGGTGTTGGTCAACAAACTATAGCATACTGACTTGGCCTTTATTGAGCGCGCGTGGCCATTGAATACATCAATTGCTGTGCTAGAACCTGGCAAAGCGACCAATACCGTCTTTTCGAGCATTCCCATCATAACAGCGCCTATTCGTGGTACAAGAAATTTGAACATCGTGACTCCTGGAGGTATCCTCCAACCTTCCAATATAAAACATTGAGTCGCCTGAAAAATGCTGCCAACCACTTGTATTGCCGCTCAGCAGCTCGCTTGCGAGGCCACTATTGTGCTTCACTTCCCTTTCTGGTTCTCTCTCCATCTCTCCAATCGCGCCTCACCGACGCTCACTTGTAGTCCGCTCGTTGGTGTCCCTTAGATGATCATCTGCGCGACGCCCTGTCCACCCAGAGTCTTGCTGCCCTGGAATGCTTGGCCCTTGAGGCCGGCAAGCGCGTAGAAAACGGCTGCAAAGAGCAGTACCACGGCAGCAGCGATCAAGCTGGTCACCCGTGCGGCAATGCTGGCCCATTGTATTGCGCTCATGGCGGCGTAGAGTCCGGCGCGCAGGAAGTTGGTCTCGAATTTACGAATAAAGGTGTCGAACTTGGGCGACGTCGGGCAGATGCGGAGGAGCAGCGGTACTTCGAGGAATAGAATAACGGGCGCGTAAACTCTGTAGGCGCATTAGAACTAGTCTGCGATGGGGTGCGCTTGTACCCACAGACAAACGATGCTAAACGCAATGACCCAATTGGCATTGAACAGATTCGATATTCCGAGCGCGAAGCACAGGAATATGCAGATTACGCCGGTCCTGGCGGTGGTGTCAGCATCTTCGAGTCTTCTCATTCTCAGCCGTCGTCCTGTTCGTCTTTTTATAAGAAATCGTTCCCATTCTTGGGCACAGTCAGGCCGCAGCATCTTCCCTCGGCGCGCACTTCCGGATGCTCGCATCGGATCGAAGGCCCTTGGACGGGCGACCATCGAGGGTGTGCTCCCAAAGAGCGCATGGCATTCGGGCTTTCTCGCGACAACGTACAAGGCTTACGAGGGGATGATGAAGGAGGCGAGACTAACCATTGAGCGTAGATACCTGTGCAGCGAGCCGTGTCAGCAACTCCTCCATCGCTCCATCGCGGGTGTCCTTACTGAAATTTCTGGACTTGAACTCTTCGGAAAGCGTCATGTTGATGGACGTAGTTTCTTAAAGCTTTGCTCTTGGGTGCAGGGCGGTGGTTTGTCGTGGTGTAAGTGTAGAGTTGTGGGCGAGCTGTATTGAGGTGCTGGAGCTCAGCCGCGCACCAAGCAAACGATGACAATCCAGGCTAGCTGGAATGCGCGTTGATATAAACCGTCAAGAAGTGACGCGCAAGACGAGAGTGGCGGTGCAGGTGGAAGCGATGTGAATGTTGGTGCCTGGCAATCCAGCAGCGCGGTGATGTGATGTGGTCGTCGGAGGCGTCGGTTTCCAGAAGCTCCACGTAACGGGCGGCGGCAACTGAGTGAGCGTACTCCCACTGGTACTAGCGCGCTTTTCGGAAAGGAACAAGGGTCTCGCTTGCCCACACCGGACACACTGTGCACTGCGCCAGGCGCCGCTTACGTTTTGCCATGGTTATTTTTGGTTTCACATGGCCTCGCAACTTCCTCGCGAGCGATTGCCTGAGCAGGACGGAAACATGGGCACAATGGTCGGCTCGCCTGCGGGCGCAGCGCCCGACTTGGTCACTCAACCTCACCACCGTTTCGAGCACAGCGAGCCTCAGCCCTGCCAAGCCCCTGGTGCAGATCACGACGCAGACGACATGGACCCGGAGGAGAGGGCGTATCACGAGCGCTTCATGCGCGAGGCCATAAACATGGTAGGTACCCTCGCCGTCTGCCTGCTTGCCCTAGGCCCCTTCAGATGTCGGCTCGGCTAACCTTGAGTCAATGGCAGGCCGAACTTGCGCTCAAAAGCGACGAGACACCAGTCGGTTGTGTCTTTGTTCGTAATGGCGAGGTCTTCGGTCGCGGCATGAACGAGACGAACCGCACCCTGAATGGCACGCGGCATGCCGAGTTTGTTGCTTTGGCCGGCATCTTGTCCAAGCATCCAATCAGCGACCTGAAGGAGACGGACCTCTACGTTACGGTTGAGCCTTGTGTCATGTGCGCCTCGATGCTTCGTCAGTACGGTATCCGCGCCGTCTACTTTGGTTGCTGGAACGAGCGATTTGGAGGTACCGGAGGCGTGCTCAACATCCACTCTGAGTAGGTTTCCTCATTTGTTGCTGAAGTGCAGCCACTGACATGCTACAGTCCAAGCGTCGACAGACCCTACCCTGTCACAGGCGGCATCTTCAGGGAGGAAGCCATTATGTTGCTGCGCAAGTTCTACGTGCAGGAGAATGAGAAAGCGCCGGAGCCCAAGCAGAAGAAGACGCGCGAGCTGAAGACGGAGATCCTTCCCATGGACATCCATGCACCCAAGTCTACTCCAACGCCACCGGTCGGTGCCTCTACAGCCACTGCCTGAATGACTTTACGACTTTCTTATATCGATACCCATTGCATACGATCCCTTCACCGAAATGGCGCCCCTAGAGCAGGCTTCAGACACAGCTTCTCTTTTCATGTATCTCAAATAGTCAATGTTTCTTACTTCATTACCTTCCCTGTGGAGTCAAGCTGTGTCTGTTTCCATCAATTTTCCTGAGTGATCGAGCTGGGGCCATCTGTTGTTTCGTCGCTCCTGCCATTTTTGTTAGGCTCGAACTTGGCTCGAACCCCCTCCCGCTTACATAACAACCTCTGCCTGTCGAACCATTTAATACCTGCTACGCCTGTCAATACAACACACTCACTATGTTCCCCTCGAGCCTATCAACAAACATAGCCTCTCCGGACGCGCATGATGGTGAGAATTGGGATTATGGGGGAGACGGTGGGAGGTAAGGCGGCACCCTGGGTATCATTTCGACAGCTAATCAAAGATAGCGGCGGCGACCTACACTCGCACGAGCGAGTCGCAGAAATAGCAGGAGACGCCACGCACAGCTTACAGGTGAACACCGCGTGTGTGGTCGAAAAGTGCCGCAGAGATGTTTTCCCCTTCCTCAGCCCGCCGGGCTCTGCCTACGAATTTATGAGCTGCTGCTTGCTCCGGCTCCACACGGTGTCCCCGACTACACGGACAGACCAATTCAGCGTAATGTCATCCATGAGGCGACGCAGGCATATCCGAAGTATCGAAAAATCGCTATTCTTCACGTCCGCAAAGAGACTCATGCTGAGGCGATGGATGTGCTATAATCTAATGCCACTTTCTCGACCAGAAAGAACATCTCCTGCGCTGATCTTTAGTGATATGGCCCGGAACGACATACCAATTCATGGGGAAGGAATCGACCGATCCAGAATCCAGAAACTCCGGCTCAAGATCGAACTTCCTTCAAAACATCCACGCCACGGGTCGCATATTGTTGACAAGATCCGCTCAATTTTCAACAAAACGTGAACCTTGAAGCAACTCCGGATCATGGCCATATATTGGCCCCCATCGGACACTCTCAGTGCACATTACAGAGATCTCTTGATGAGGGCTGCACAAGCCATTCCCGAGGACGCAAATGTTTCCTGGGGTCTACCGTTGGAGGAAAGGAGAGGTCGTCAGAACCGCGGCCGGCACTCTATAAGCGGAGAGGAGCTGCTATGTATAGGCTGTGAATTAGTGTGGCTGTTTGGGTCTGTGCTGGTTCGTTCTGGCCGGTGGGTTGCCTTGTTGGGTGGGCGTCTTGACCGCTGGACCACGCGGCGTTTGTGTTTGATGAGGGGAGGGGAGGCGAGGGCGTATATATACCGAAGTTTACTGTCGAATGTGAAGCCTACTGCGAAACACACACTGTCTTATTCCCTCCCTCATTTCCCGCTGTCTCTCACTGCGACACAAAACTGTGAGGGGCCCCTCAGTACGGCCGGGAGATGGGGCTGTGTTTGGCGGTGGGAGGAGCCTCGCGTTCGACTCGCGACGTGCCTGATTTTTGCTTCTATCTTAGCTGGTGCAGAGAGGGAGGGGAGGGGAAGAAGGGCTGTTGCTAAAACAAGCAGCTCACAGGGTCGCACTAATCACCCTCATTCATCGCAAAGCCCAGGAAAGCACATGACAGGATGGAACACCCTCTGCATTGCATCGCACGCACTCACGCGGCTAGACTACAAGGTCTCTAATCACAACCTGAAAGCCTCACAATGCAGCTCCACCACGCGCCCCAGGTATCATATATGCATCTACCCATTCCATTCCAAGCGGGGAGAAACTACAAGACGGGAAAGCAACTACACCAACCATAGGCCGCTACAAACGAACGGATCAAAATAGGAATCAGAGCCAGGATTAGCTTTTGACTATCCAACTCGCCCGGAACCCTGTCAAGCGCCAAACTCAAACATCGAAGCTTCGACTCGGACGGACGGGAAGGCAGGGTCTAGAAGGACAAACGCCAGTCGCGGAGTGTATAGCCGATAATCGCGCGCTCGATTTGGACAGTGAATCGAATCGTATAACTCTTTCTTTGTGGCGGGGATGTCACCGTGGGTATCTTTAGCTGTAGCTCGAATGGAGTGGCGACACCGGAGATCAGCCCAAAGCGCTCTGCTGCCGCCATAGTCACAACTCGTCGTCTTCGTCCATCTTGGTTTCTACGATGCTGGGCGTGGGAAGGTTACCCTCGGAGTTGCCGCGCTCCTTCTGGGCTTCTGCGAGCGTGGCGCCGAGGCTCTTGCGGACGCCCTCGTCGAAGCCGGGTAATGATGCGCGTTGCTTCTTGAAGGGCGAGCCGACGCTGGCTTCGGAGACGAGGTCAGGGACTGAGGATTTGACGGCCGATGTGGAGTCGAGTTCGCCGGCGGATACGGGGGTGCCTGAGATTGGCGACCCTGAAGCACCGCGATTCGCAGACTCTCCCGTCCGATTGAGCGGCTCGGCGGAATGCTGGCGTTTGAGCTAGATAGTGTCAGTAACGCTGGGCAAAAGTATTTGGTTTTGCTGACCTTGATTTTCCGCACACCCTCCTCGAGTTCGCCCTCGCGCCGAGCATCCTCAGGAGATAGCAGTCCTTTCCCGCTCGGATCCTTGTCTTCATCGTCTTCCACCTTGATCTTGACAGGGTCATCGTCCTCTTCAGCATCGCTGTCCATGGCATCTTCGCTTCGCTTCCCCTTTCCATCTTTTTGTGCGGACTCGCGGTAGCCAGCAAAGTTCTTTGTGCCTGTCGTAGCGTTGAGTGGCTTCAAAGCGCTCAGATCTAGACCGCCAGACTTCCTCCGTGGGGTTGGCTCTGCGGCCGCCTTCTTCTCCGTCGCGAGAATGCCCATTTTACGAAGTTGGCCTGTTCATTGTCAGTAGTCAATCGTCACCATGTGGTGTCTCTACTCACGCTCTCCGCGGTACAAGAAGGTAAAGACGGCATATGGCTTATCGGGAGGATCAATGCCCGTCACTGTCTGGGTGCTGATGGACTTTGGGTCTAGCGTCTTGGGCTTCGCAAAGCTCGTGGTGTGGTCTACATCCTCACCTTCGCCGTTCTGGGTGTTCTCGTCGTCGTCGTGCGCGTCAAACTGGGGCGAGTACTCGCCGCGCTTGATCTCGCCACTAGCGAGGACGCGGAAGAGGGCGACCTTGATCTGACCGGCGGCTTCGGGCTGCGGCGGTTCGTCGTCCGAGTCGGAATCTGAGGTGAAGAAGTCGTCGTTGCCCGAGAGCGATTCGACGGGCGCGTCTTGGTTCTCGCCATACCGCAGCACGCCATTGCTCTCGCGGCGGGACTCCTCCTCGTTGGCCTTCTCCTCCCGTCGCTTCCTTCGCTTCTTCTCGAGGCGCTGCTTCCGTCGCTCGATGGTAGCGGCCACGTCTTTGCCTTCCAGGTCCAGTCCGTTCAGCCAGCGCTCAAGGCCGACTTCGCGGAACAAAAACTCGCGCTCCGCCAGACCACCGCCTTCTGACTCGGGGACACTGACCCACCGCGAGTTCACCCACGTCTCCTCCCCACGGCGCAGCAGCGTCGCGACCTCCTCCTTTGCCCTGCCGTCAAAGTATATGTATGCTGCGATGGTCTCGTTCGGCGACGACGTGAGGGGCTTGTATGGCGCGATCAGCTTGTTGCCACCGAGGCCGGGCGCTCCTCCGACGAGCTGGGGCCGCGGGTGCGGGTCGTCGGGCGTCGCTTTTGGGGTGGAGTACGGGACATGGAGGCCGGGCGTCAGGAGCGTTATCGAGATAGCGAAGGTGGATTGCTCCGGTTTGGTGGCGCCGGTGGGAACTTTGGCGGGCGGGACGGGGATGTACGAGGTGATGCGTTGGGCCCTGGTCTGCTTTTGTATCGAGTACTCGGGAAGTGGGCCATTCGGCGTGTCTAGGTTCAGGTCAGGGCATGAGGCGCAATGTGGGCTGGGACACTCTACGTATGGAAACAGCCTGTCGCGGTCACAGTCAGTCAAGGAGTCAGCGGCATGCTTGGACGACACGTACCAAGCCCAAGAAGCAAGGCATCTTGGCTGTGCGAGCGGCCTGGGACCAGGCTAGAGCGCGGTCGAGGGGTAGGCGGCGGGCTGTCTCGCTTCTACGTGAATGCGGCAGCTGCGGTGGGCAGGACCGCGCCGAGGAGGGCAGTTGCGACGGCGGGGGGCGCCGTGAGTAATTGTGCAGCTATCTATCAGATGGGCGCCTGGGTTGTATATGTATCGGCGAGGGGATACGGTGAGGCAGCGCAGACCACAACGGGCGCTCCCGCGGGGCTAAACCACGAGATCCGAGCCTTGGCACGTGGGGATTGTCGACGGTCGGCGAGCCGCAGGCTCAGGGCATGTCTAGCTCGGTCAAACACTTGGTGGCCGTCTGGTGAGGACTGCGAGTTGTTGTCGAAGGCACAGAAGCTCTGCAGGTGTGAGACGCCCAAGCCAATCAGGGTCCGCGTCGCTAAACGCACCCCGCATTGCCGCCCGTGTCTTTGCTCTCCATCTCGACGCGTGTGCTGCTTCTGGCGTCTGCGCCAAGTGCTGCTCTTGAGCCCAACGCCTGCCTGGACGACTTCCCACGCGAGGTTTCCTCTTGTATCAGTCCTCTGCAGTCGACGAAGACGCAGGTCGGACATGTTCCCTCCGAGGCTAGGGTTCGCGTGCGTCTGGTTACATCACGTCGTCATCAGACAGCCAGACGACACAAACGTGCTCTCGCGGTTGATGCAAGCAGTTACAGGTTGCCTTTGGAACAATTCCATCCCCAGATGGTCCTTCACATAGGAACTAAGAAGGTTACAGCGGGGTCACAACGTTGATCTGCTCGTCCCGAATCCCTCAAATGATGTCCGCTCGCAAACTAATATACATCGTATGCCTACAAGTCAACCCTCCTCACCAGATTGTGTTTTCACCTCTTGTGCTTTCGACTCTTGTGCTTTCGACTCTTGTGCTTTCGACTCTTGTGCTTTCGACTCTTGTGCTTTCGACTCTTGTGCTTTCGACTCTTGTGCTTTCGACTCTCGTGCTTTCGACTTGAGTTCCCAGTGCGCCTCGATGTACTTGTCGTAGTTCACCAGCTCATCGAGGCCACGCACGACATGGATCCAGTTATTGACTAGCTCAATTGGCTTTGTCCCACCAATCTTATAGTCCCGGTCGATGAGCAGAGGGTGCCACTTTGCGTTCTTTGCACCATGATAGTCTTGGCCGATCGAGTCGCCAACGTAGAGCCTATAGCAATCGTCCATTGACCCCAAGGCTTTCCCCAAATCTCTTGCAGCGTTGAAAATGCGTCTGTCAGGCTTCTCGACGCCAACATCGTAGGAATGAACGACGAAGCTGATGTCCTCTGACTCGGCAATCGGTCCGATTTCTGAACCCACACGTCTGGGTTGTACGTTCAGGCCTAGTGATGATAGAATCGAGGGAACACGGTCATCCGAGTTCGATATAACTCCTACAACGACCTTTTCCCACCTCCACGGAGATGCGGAGGGCTGAGCACGAGCTTGTCGGAGCTTGTCGAAGAAGGCCTTGGCGTCCGGGAACAGATCATAGCCTTCTGAGCTGGAGTAACGCTTCAGTAGCTCTGCTATAAGGGCATCCGGGACTTCTTCTTGGAGTTTGAGAAATGGCTTGAAAGTGCCCCGGATGACCTTTCGATTGTATCAGCCATGAACTTGACAGAGAAAGCTTGATTCTACGTACGTTTGCCCACCATTTCTCTGCTCCCAGACCCGTCTCTTTTCCATAGTTCGGGTTCTCAGAGGATTGACGCTTGTATGCCTGTTTGAACGATACGCTGACTGGTTCATACTCTGCCGGAGTCCACTGCTCGATTGGTATCGAGCTCACACCATCCGCAACACAATTGATTCCGTGACGTTGTGCTGCAAGTGCATACGCTGCTGGAACCGCTACATTAGGCTTGTACAGAGTACCAAAGGCATCGAAACACAACAACAGATTCTTGCTGAACCGATTGTGGCTCGACACCTGCAATGGTCGTGTAGCATGCATGCTTGACTATGCGTGGAGGTTGGTAGGACTATTTGCGGCGCCAAAAGGGGTAAGAGCAATGGTCCGAGCTCCAATAATTGGTGGTAGGGACACCTCAACCTCTACCTGAGCAGCTGCGCGGAGAAGAAGCCCACACCGCAACAGTGACAATGCCGCCGAAACAGAGCAAGAACAAGTACTCGGTGCTTCTACCGACGTACAATGAGCGACGCAACCTCCCTATAATCACCTGGTTGCTCAACAAGACATTCACAGAGAAGTACGTGGCCCTGTCCCCTCCTTGCACATGCCGTTGGCAAGTCAATTCAATGCTAACAAACGAGCGCAGTGATCTTGATTGGGAACTCATCATCGTCGACGACGGCTCCCCTGACGGCACCCAGGAAGTCGCTGCGCAGCTCGCGAAGGTCTACTCCCCGCACATCCAGATCCGCGCGCGCGCAGGCAAGCTCGGCCTCGGCACCGCCTACGTCCATGGCCTGCAGTTTGCGACCGGCAACTTCGTCATTATCATGGACGCCGACTTCAGCCACCACCCCAAGTTCATCGCCGACATGATCCGCGTACAGAAGGAGAAGAACTACGATATCGTCACCGGCACGCGGTATGCAGGCAACGGTGGTGTTTTCGGGTGGGATCTCAAGCGCAAGTTCGTGTCGAGGGGCGCAAACCTGTTCGCGGATACGGTGTTGAGGCCTGGCGTGAGCGACTTGACGGGCAGCTTTCGGCTGTACAAGAAGGAGATTCTGGAGAAGGTCATCAGGAAGACGGAGAGCAAGGGGTACACTTTCCAGATGGAGATGATGGTGCGCGCGAAGGCTATGGGCTGCACTGTTGCCGAGGTCCCCATCAGCTTCGTGGACCGGTTGTACGGCGAGTCGAAGCTCGGTGGTGACGAGATTGTGGAGTACGCAAAGGGCGTGCTGAATCTGTGGCTGAAGGTTTAAGAGAGGACTTTGCATGGGCGTCGGCGTTGTTCGGACACGGGCATCTTGGAGCTGGATGGCTGTTAAGAGATATCCACGAGGTAGGCAGAGGTCAAACTAGGTTCATGTGCTTTCCCATGCCTCTTCCCAGAAGCACTTTCAATTCGGTGGTCCTTTGATTCCTAAAACTTGTAATCGAACCCTTGCCTTTCCTTTCTTTGGATTATGGCTCTGCCTCGTTCGTGGTGTCGGGTAACACAGCTCTCAAGCTATCAGAACGCTGGAGCACATCACGCGCTTTCCTCTCACTTTCAACTAGGTAACGCGTCGCTGCCCTCTCGCACGCCAAGACGCTCCATTTGTCGGTCATAAGCTCGTACTTGCATTATGTACTCCTCAACTTCTACCTCATTCTACCTCCACTGGACGACCCTCTCGCGCGTCAAGGTGGCAGCCTCGCCTTTAAGCTCTGTATCACACACCGCAATAGATCCGAACCGTACCTCCCAACGTCTACTTCGCACCTGACCTTGTCTGTTTCGCGCTTCACAACCTCTGCCTCTCACTTCACGTTGTCTGTCTTTCGCCATACGATCTTGATCTTGCCCTGCACGACTCGTGCGCCCTTCCCCTCACTCGAGTCAATATTGACCCGCCATAATCGCAATAGCTCCCCTAGCGAACCCCCAGAGGGAGCAAACGCTCAAGCTGTAAGTCCATCCCGCACGTGCCGTAACAGGAGTTGGGCACAGTTGGCTTCTATATTGCCCAGTCTGGGTCAATACGGAGTGCTCAGACTTTGATATTGCGCACTGAGTTGAAGGAGTGTGGTAGTTTGTACTATGTGTACATTCCGTGTGAACCTGGTAGTCTTCCGAAGACGACATAGGACCCGAAATGGTGAGATACTGCTGTTTGAAGACTGCGTCGAGCTCTTGCCTCTATCGGCTCGTCGAGGCTTCCTTAGTGCAGACTTGGCGCCGCAACAACATCGTTCTTTATAATGAAGGCAATCGACAATCGTGGGACGTGATATGGGCCGAGCATTCCGAATTAGTGTCGAGCATGCTCTTCTTCGCCCAAGAGGAGACGACCACGAGATTCCGTCACGATCGTGATATCGAATCCTACTTGGAGAGCTCGGCTGCCGCCGATGAGTTTGCAGCTTCCGGCAATGGAAGGAGATGGTGAGCGTAGGTCGAACTAGGATTCACCGTTATCTTAGACCGCTGAAGCACACTCGCGACCGGAGGACTACAGAATGACCATGTCACTCAGAAAACGTTGCCATGCTTCAAAGACACACCATTGAGTGAGTGCACTCTCGATCAACCGGGAGGGATGTTCTGGATAACACGACCTGTACACTAGCAATTAAATCTTCCAGCGACTTGGTATCCGCGTCTGGCCTTTTGCTTGAACCGAAAAGCCCACAATCCACTTCACACTCCACCTCCGAACAGCCGCCTTAGTCTTATGCGTGCCTCTTCTTCTTCCTGCACCACGCTGTGACATGCATTCTGGCTGACTAAGTCGATATCAGAAACCATGTTCATGATATCTACTCCTTAGCAGCATTAAAATCTGCAGAAGTCCGATTTGCCTGAATGTGTGTAGAACTTGGTATATGGAACGTCTGCGGCGCGAGAGAACTGGGAGCGGTGGCGATCGCTAAAACATGTTTGTATGGATGGGCTATATGTATAGGGGTGGGAGGGGATGAAGACGATGGTGGAAGGAGGTTACTAGTGGGAAGAAGAGTCATTGTGGGATTAACGACGAGGATGCGATCGAGGTTACTAGGCTGGGGGACTGTTTGGGGAGAGTTGGCTTGGGGAATGGGTGTAGGGCGGAGGGTGGAGGACAGAGGTTCAGGATGAAATTGTCGGGTTTTCAGGTCTGTGGAGGACAATCGGGACAATCGGGGCAACCGTAGTTAGTTGGGCTGAGGATGGGACCAAGAAGCGGAGAGATGGATATTTATTCGTAAGTTGCTGGAAAGTTATCTAGTGGAGGTAGGTATATTCATTCCAATGTACAACGAAGCGTGGTTAAATGATACAGACAGTGTGTTTCTCCCATCCTTTGTCCGCATTCCCAATGCTTAACCTGGGTACAAAGACGTCATCAACGGTCATTAAATTCCAATCAGCCACAGCCTGAAAGAGCCAGATACCGACGCGGCGAAAGGTGCCAGGTTTGACCTGATCCAACAAAAGAAGATGTATAATTACCATGTCCGTCTGATAGTACGGGCAGGAGGCGTCGACACAGATAGCGAGGAGTCTTCTGCCGACATTCAAAGACTTTTCATTGTCAAAGTAAAACATGTTGTTCTTGCCAGGAAATCTACCGCCCAAAGCGCGCATAGGTACATCGAACTTGGTCCAGATGCCCCAACCGGTAATGAGCAATTGAGGTAGATATTGTTTATAATCCCGAGAACTATGCGCAAATTCGTTGATCTCCATCCATTGGCCAGACTTGTGTGTAACGTAAATGCGCGAACCAAACCACTGCAAAACAGGATCATGTTGCAAGGCGAAAAAGTCCAAATATAGACCTTCATGAATTGCTCTTGGCTTGTTTCGTCCGGCCCAGGACCATGTCGGAAACATAGAGCTGTCAGTGTACTGCTCAGCCTCGAGGTAGGTGTATCGGAAAAGCAGTCCTCTTGTAAAGGAGGTTCGCTCCGTGAGATCAGATCTGTTGTTACTCGAAAAGATCGGGATTCCCCAAAAGTGAGTTTTGAAAAATCCAGATTGCCGTTTCCAGGTCGCTTCCACCCCTTCAAGTGCGGTGAATATGCCTTGTATTGCGTTAAGCCTGTCGCTGTCGAAGGATAACTGCCGATGCCAGAAATGCTCAATGCAGGAGTATACTTCGAAGGAATTCTTACTGATGTTGGAGAAAACTTTTCCGATAAACAGATCTCGTGAAGCAAGTGTGACGCTCTCCAAGGAGGCTACAAGTTGACACTGAAAGTAAGTCTGGGACTGCGTGAAGACAAGTCGACGACAAGACAGCATTGCTTCTTGGTATGTCCATCCTCGAGCGTTCCAGAGAGACTTTTCAATGTGGGCGCGCGTTTCATATGGGTTGACGAGCGTACACTGGCCAAGGATCGTGCGGTCGACTGGCGAACGTGGGGTGAGACTGACGCCAGGCAGCCCATGGTGCGGTCCATCGCCAGCAGATGCAACGATAGTCAGGAAGGCATCGGTGTAGATTCGGTCCATGTGCCGGATGAGTCGCTCCTTACCTTCATAGTCATGTTGGTCAATACAGTATTTGTCAATCCAGAGGTAAAAGATTTTAAGATTAAGCGCGACTTGGATGGCATCAGCAATGGTTCTGGGAAGGCGGTCAGGTAAGTCCCTTTGGTAGTGCAACGCTTCATGTGTATTGCTACCCCAGATATAGCTTAATGCAATGCTAAAGGGTGGTCAGCGATCATCGCACTTCGCTCTGACAGGCTAGGTTTAAACGTACTAGCGTTGATCCGACCGGATATCGATCAAACTCTTCGAGTTGCAGTCAATGACTGTAATCGTGCTCACTTTCCACTCCGGGTATGAGTGCCAGCAGGTGTGACGGTGATAAGTCTCACAATCTTTTACCCAACGCTTGATGCGCTTATATCGTATAGTCTCTATTCCGACCACCTCAGTACTTCTTGAAGATCGATGCGGCAAGGGATGTATCGGAGAAGAATGAACTTCCCCCGTCCACCATTCATGGACAGAATGGCCAGGAATGCGGATAGACAAGGAACGGTTCTTCAAACCTCGTCTCCCAATGAAGTATGCATTGGGTCTTTTGGGTGAACCGTTCTCGGTGTATCCTACTGTTGACTTATTCACAAGCGAAGCAATCTGGACGCAGCAGATACAGTCGCTCCTGAGAGATCCGGTCTCATAGTAAAGCTCGGACTCGGGGGTTTCCGGACATTCATATTTTCCGAGAAGAAATCCTTCAAGATCGTCGCTCTGGCATCGTTCACAGAGTCCCGTTAGTCGGACTTCAGACCTACATTTGATGTTAGTACTTTCTTCTGCGACGTAGAAAGCTTGGTATATAAGGCAGCTCTCCGTAGAGTCTTTGCCGATCGACACCATCACCGTTCTTGCTGTAGGAGTCCGAAATGTTTGATCTTCCCGAGCCTCCGCATACCTTTTTTTTGTGGAGCTTTGGGACTCGACTCGGTACCTCAGCAGCCGATCTTTCAAATGGTGAAGCGTTATGCGCCGTGGCATTATCACTGATCTCTTGTGTCAGCCTAAAATCCTGAAACCTCAGGAAAGTGCAACCATCACGTGGCCACTCACGAGATGCTTCTTTCGGCGACTTTCCTGTGCTGATCCACTATACACTTCTTCAGTAATTCCAGAGTATTAGCAGTCGGGATGAGGAGCAAACTGTGCGTCAAATCATCGAGCGGGGTCGAAATGTACGCGCAAGGCTGAGCCACATTGTGGTTCCGTAGCATAACCACTAAACCTCGACAAGATGGTAGGGGCAGCCAAGCAGCAAGTGGAAATTCAACATGAAGGAAGAAACAAGCGCGTATCAGACCAAAATCCACAAAAAATAACGAATAACGATAAAATAAATCTCCATCTACACCACCCTCTCAACGACGATCTATGTACAAGAATAAAAGCCCTTTTATCTCATCGCCTATGTATGCTGCGTGGAAGACAAACCCACACCAAAACGCCATGCTAAACGAGATGCACCCACCGAAACACATCAATTAACACACATTTCAGAACCAAAGACAAGACAGGAAGAAACCCATCTCACTGCGTCCCCTCCCTCGCACTCTCCTTGGTATGCACCTCCTTCAAACTCCCCATCCCAATACTCGCCTCCTCATCCCTCTCCGCATGAGTCGAACACTCGCACAGGTCCCCCTCCACATCCTCCTCCTCAATCTCAAACATGCGCTTCAACTCCCGGCACGCAACCTTGTACTGATCTCTTGCGCCGGGGCTCTCGCGCAGCGGATTTGGTGCCTTGTCCCACCCGTGCGGCACCCCGGGCACCTTGTGGTAATGCACGCGCTTGCCGAGGCCGTTCTTCAGACGGTCCCGGAACTGCTCGCCCTCGGCCAGCAGCATGTCCCACTCGCAGCAGAAGAGGACGATGTCGTCGGGCAGCGCGGTGAGCATGGCGTCGGGGGCGACGCCGGGACTAAGCCAGGGGTGCGAGAGGTCAAGCGCCGGGGGCTGGAGGTAAGAATCGTCGAAAAGCTCGGTGAAGACGGCGGGGAGAAGTTGGTCTGCGCGGGAGCAGGTGGCGCGGCGCTGGGCGCGGGTTTGCGTGTAGTCGGTGGGCGGATAAAATGAGACGATGCCACGGATTTTGGCTTCGGCCGTGGAGCCTTGCGTTGCGACGGCTACGGCGGAGCCTTCTTTGTAGGAGGACACAAGCGACAGGGCGGAATGGCCTGTTGAACGGAGCATGGCGATTCTGTCGAGGCGACTGTTGCCGGTTGGCGTTCTTGAGAGTGCGACGCGCGATCCGGATGAGTTGGCTGGAGGGGGTACTCTTAAGTGCACTTTTGTGGGGGGTGCGAGGATGTTAATGGCAGGGACGCTGCCTTTGCGCGCGGGATTTTCAATCTTCTCGCCAGACTGCGAGCGGTCTAGCAGTTCGCCCTGTAGACACAGCGGGACAGTGAAGCTCATGTTTCCTCCAGACGAGAACCCGGATATCGCGAAGCGGCTCGGATCTATCAAGAATTCATCCGCATGCTGGGCCAGGTACAGTACGGCATCAGCACCATCTTCGACCGCCGTAGGGAACGGAAACTCGGGCGCGCAGCGGTAGTCAACACTGACAACAATAGCGCCGACTTGCTGGACGACTACTCCGGCCCAGCGAGCGTCGTCCAGCGCGCTTCCTAGCACGAACCCTCCGCCGTGGAAGTTGATAACGCATGGATATCTCTTAGCTCCCTTCAGCTTCTTCACCCTGTTGTAGTCCTTGGGGACGTAGAAATGGAGTTTGAAGTTGCCCTTGAGGGGCGACACGGTCGACTCGATGTTGCGGTTGAAGGATGGCTTGGGCGGCAGCGGTCTAGCGAGCTTGTGCAACATCATTCCGATGCCCATGAGAAAGCGCCATATCTCGGCCTGCACATGGAGCAGCCATCGCGGGCGGCCGAACCGCTCGGCAGGCGCGTTGTCCGCGGTCATGATAGCGGTTGTGTTGTTCGCAGCGTCGGTGGGTTATGAGGCCATAAAAATGATGCGTAGATACGGAGCTGGGCAAGGGGGCTCAGCTGTGGATACAGATAACGGAGTACCAGACAGCCGAGTGGCGAGTGACTTGCGCGTACTGCGACGTCTGCTTAGGTGATCCTGCGAAGCGCAAATGTCAACCAGAGCTTGACAGCCGCCCGTGGAAGTGAAGTTCTGCAGTTCAGATGTCTATGCACACACAACGGACGGTGCTCCATGACGTAGCGCTAGCAAGCGCGATCGGCAGCGACCAGCATCTTGGAGCTCCACCCGCCCTGCCTCAGCATCAGCGGCGCCATCGAGTTTCAAGCTAGCATTTGCCATGGTCGCCGGCTGCCGCTCTCCAACGACGGGGATAACGCGCCGTCGCATTTGTCACTCAGGCACCATAGCGATAGCACAGGTGAGCGGGCTGTGCTGTTGAGGGGAGGATGAATTCATCGTCCCGCTACTAATCGTCGTAGAATTAAAGCTAGACTATCCGATCCGTCCGAGGCACCGTTGTACCGCTCCTCGGAATCCCAGCTTACCCAAAGCAAACGCAATATCACAAAGCAGACCAGAAAGCTGGTATGGGCCGCTCAAGTCCTCAGAAAGCGCCGAACGCTCGCCTGTTGATGCCAATAACCGTTACAATGCAAGTAGAACACTACCGATGGTATAGGGCGTGCCGATGTGGACATCGTCCGAAGTCAAACGCCGATAAACACGCATGCTGAGTTGCTCAGGAGGAGAATATACAAGTCGTGAAAAGGAGATGTGTCGAAGAGGTCAGAGTTCATGCCTCGATGAATTCGTAGTCTTCGTCCTCGGGCGCAACGCCCTTTCGAGCAGCCTTTGGGCCTGGAGACAGGGCGTCGTCGTCCAGGCGGAGCACCTCATATTCCTCCTTGATAAGCTTATCGGTCTGGCGGACCTCGTAGCTCTCGATGGCCTTCGCAAGGGCGAGGCCCAGGATCTGGCTGCCGTGGCTGGGTCCGCGCTCAGCGTCGAAGGAGTAGGCGACACCAGCGTCAGGGACGGGGGCAACGGAAGGGTGCTCGACGTCCTCGTCGGCTGAGGAATCGCCACTAGCGTACGCGATGTCGTTTCTGATGGCGGTGCGGTTCTTGTCGATGCCGGCGGAGCTCTTCAGTGCTCTGCACATGTTAGGTTGTGTTTCGTAGAGGCATTAGAGATGGACTCACTTTGGCACTGCAGCGACCCGGGCGGGTCGAGGACGGTTCTCCTCAGCCCGACGACCAGGTCCATAGGACGCACCATGCGCCCACTTCACTCGAGAGGTCTTGTCGCGGATGGACTCCTTGGCCTCGCTGCGTAGGTCGCAGGCGAAGCTCTGCTCCGATGCCATGGTGCTGTTGAGAGCTTGCTGATGGGTAGAAGTGATTGCGGCTATGGGTATCGCGGGTTGTACGCGGAAGTGGATAGGCAGGTTGTATATAGGGAGCTAGGTATATTAGGGAGCGTAGGACGGAGCGAGGCAGGCAGCGAGTGTAAGGTAGCTGTATGACGGGAAGGTACTAATAGGAGCCGGCTAGTAAGAGAAAGTGTGACTCGTTCTCGGGTCTGTCTTGGATATGACTCTGAGGAGTGACTCAGTATGAGTGCTATGAGAACTATGTGCCCAGGTGGCGAAGCAGTTATGATACGGACACAGAAGCGCTTGTGATGCACAGGAGCGAGCAAGGTGGCTGCTGTCGGCTTTATGGAGCGGCGCAGCCCATCCCCACTTCCTTTGTTGTGCCTGGGCTGGCTCGCGATAAGAGCACCTTGGTGAGGGAGCATCCACGTGAGACGCGTTCCGATTCGCCGAGGCCCGGGCGGCGAGCTGCGAACCTGCTGAGCTGCGACCTGGCGGATGATGACATGGGCGCCGACGGCATGATGGCATTCATCATGCGCCTTGGACGTCCGAACGTGGGCATGTGGTTGGAGGCTGAGCTGGTTTCGCGTGCGGCGTGCATCAGCCTTGTAGCTGTGCTCCGGCGTTCCCCGCAATTGTGAGGTCGTCCATGTCGCAATCCGGATGCAATCATCTCGACACGCCCCTCGCTCTAGATTGCTCCTGTTGATATTGTGACATGGGCGTCTGCAAGCACGCGTTGCCATACCACTCCCTATTCGGTGGACCCTCTAACACGCCGTCTCGGGTCCGGCAACTGGCTATCTGCCTACGTATCGGCCCCCCAACATCGCTCATCGCTCCCCGCGGCATGTTGACATGCGCGGCCTCTTGTTGACTGCCTACGGGAACCGGTCCTATGGCACATGTTCTTATCACAGCCGCTTGTGTTCCATCAATCACTCGCCCTGTTGCAATAGGAACCTGCCGCGCCAGCATACCATGACAATGTGAAGCAAATGCCCGTGCTGTCTAGCTTGATGCCTTAGGTGTGGTACGCTGCGGCGTCTGCTGCTTCTTCATCCTCGTCCTCACCCTCATCCTCATCCTCATCCTCGTCTCCTCCATCGCTGCTCTCCGCTTCCCTAGCCTCGCTGGGCAAGACCGATGGGAACCATCCGTATCTCCCGAAGTCGACCAGAAACTCGCCCATGGCGTTCTGCGTCACCTCGACGCCCTCTTTCCGAAGGGCGGCGGCCTGTCGAGCAGCACCGCTAGGTCCCCTTTGCCGTATCAGCGAACAAATAACGGGTTGTAACTTGTTGGAGACAATGAAAGCCTAGACTGACCTTGGACTTATCCCCCCTTTGGCGTTGATCACGCGCTGCCAAGGAACGTTCCCATCGTGCCATTTGGGGGACTTTTTGCCAGGATCGGTAGATGCAGCTGGCAGGTGTTTAAGACAAACCCCAACTTGTCTGCACGACGTCATGCTCAGTACATTTCTCGTGCCGCGTGCGGAGTAGCATGTGTTACCTTGGACATTGAGCTGATGTCGCAGCCTTGTTAGCGAGGTAGTCATGCTCGAGAACCGAGGGCTGCGTACGCTTTCCGACCAGCCTCGCGATGTGCGCGTATGAGGTCACCTTTCCAGAAGGGATCTCTTGGATAGCTTCGCATACGGTGGAGAACCATAGATAGGCCTCTTCAGACCGCTCGCCGGGCGCCATAACGTTGACTCGCTTTGATGGTGAAATGCAGAGACAGCACCTTTGCATGCTGACATAGCGCCTTGGCAACGGGCAGTGATTCACTCATCTGGAGGCTCACGTCCGCTAACATTCCTTATTCGATGCGACTAATATCCGTCAACGTGATGATGCCGGTGTAGGACAGGTGAGGTAATCTGCAAGGAGATCGTGTCTTGTTTAAGGACGCGTGTTTCTGTCTCTTCTATTCTGCTGCATCCTTCCCCATGCGGACGGCTTCCGATTGAATACAACATAGCGAGGATGGGCTCGCTATGATAGCATCTTATTCTTGAAGCTCCAACACGATATTTGAGGTTACCCTAACTGTAATTATACATTTGAGCTGCTGTGAGTAAGATGATCCTAAGTGGGGCATGCAAATCGCGCTAGCCATGCGTTCTCACGTGATAGTTGATAGGGCCTGAGGACTCGGCTTGGAACTTGTGAACATCGATCTGCCTGCCAACGACTGCTCCACGAACAACAACACACAGCATGTCGCTCGCCGACTACCTCGCCAAGAACTACCTCACAGCAGACTCGGATAAGAAGTCGAAAAAGCGCAAAAGAAAACACAAAGATGGCGGCCTCAAGATCGACGACGACGATATCTCTGGCTGGAACAAGGGCGCAGACGACGACGATGATGATGCGCCGACAATTGGTATGTCTCTCTTACCGCGCGCCGGCCAATCTCAACTTACTGACTGTTATATAGCTGGAATGACGCTCTCGTCAAAGAAGTCCAAGAAGAAGTCAAAAACGGCAGAAGATGTTGCAGTCAAGAGATTCGGTGTTGCAGCGCCCTCGCACGCCGCCCAGCTCGCCGCAGACGAAGCCGTAGCCAACGAAATCATCGCTTCGGCTGCCTCCGATCGCAGACAGGCCGACGAGAACGAAGACGAGGCACCGGCGGTGGAAGACACGGAAGGCGTCTTCATGGAGTCGGGAGTCCGCGCTGGTCTGCAGACGGCAGCGCAACTCGCCGCGATGATGAAGAAAAAGCAAGACGAAGAGAAGAGAAAGACGGCAGAGGCGGCCAAGGAGGGCGGACCTGGAGAGACCATCTATCGAGACGCCAGCGGTCGGGTAATAAACGTGGCTATGAAGCGCGCGGAAGCGAGGAAAAAGGCGGAAGAGGAAGAAAGGAAGAATCTGGAAAAGGAGCGTGCGGCGAGGGGAGACGTACAGAATGCGGAGGCCGCGAAGCGGAGACAGCAATTACAGGATGCGAAAGGCCTCACGGTAGCACGGCACGCGGATGATGAGGAGCTCAACGACGAGTTGAAGGAGCAGGGAAGGTGGAACGACCCTGCGGCTGGTTTTTTGCGTAAAAAGAAAGCAGGTCGGAGTATCACGGGCAAGCCGCTCTACCAAGGAGCCTTTAAGCCGAACCGCTACGGCATACGCCCGGGACATCGGTGGGATGGCGTCGATAGAGGCAATGGATTTGAGAGCGAGTGGTTCAGCTCTAGGAACAAAAAGGCAAACATCGAGAAGCTCCAATACCAGTGGCAGATGGACGAGTAAACACACCAACTGGAGGCTCACTATTTATTGCATAGCGCGGCGTTACTGGGATTCCTTGAGGCTCGCTCAGGAGAATGGAGATGGGTCTGAACGAGCATCAAATGAGCATCTTATGGTCCACTGTCATGATTTTGCTTGTGCAAGCCATGCCAGCTGCAAATGAGTTCTTATCTAGCAATGAAGGTGTCTTTGTCCAAAGTCGAGGATTCGGTTCAATCACACGCCCAGCCAGCTCACGGCAATACGCAGAGTCCCCGCAACTCCACCATCATACCCGAAGTACAAGGACGATTCGCGTTCGAGTCCCGATTCCGTCCAGCAGCGCTCAAAATGGCCTGATCTCCTCAACAAACATATCCGCCGCCTTCTCCGGAACCGCCTCCACGCCTGCCCGCTGTCTACAATAGCTCACTCCCATGCGCCCCCATTCTATTGATCCCCATTGAATGCCACGCTGTCACGACGTTTTCCCGCGCCTATTGCTTGATCGCTTCACCGTCTTCAGGTGTGCATTCAATGTCCGAGATATTACTCGCTGGAGCGTGTGCAATTGGAATAGTGCGGCGTTGGAAGTTGGGAGAAGTATGGATGCAGGATCTCCACTTCGACTTGGTAGGTGTCCATGCCGCGGAAGACCTCGTACTGTTCCATGCACGTCCTGACGTGCGTGAGGGTGTCTCTGTCCCTGTGGCCATTGTTCTGTGTGCGGGTTGTAAGATTGAACTGGGCTGAGCTTACCCAGTCTTGATAGGCGTGAGAATCGAATATTCTGCAGTATAACGTGACACGCCATGTTATGTCATCCCAATCTGATGTACAAGTAGCGCCTAGGTATTGCAGTGATGCTCGCCAATGTGATCTCAGATCGTACTTTACAATTGTATAGCTGTGGCACAATTCACACACGTAGACTCAGCCCAGCGACTACCTTGCCCTCATGCGCTGCAAATATCTCGAGTTCCTTAGGAACCACCCTCCCACAATAGCCGCAGTGCTGATGGCTCCAATCAGCAATGTCCGATCACTCACGCTCGATTCCTCCTTTACTCTTCCCACATGCATGACCTTTCTTCGCTCGGCCTCATCTCTTCCACTGCCCTCCGCAATAAACTCCTCAAATTTAACGTCCTCGACCATCTTCTGGTACTCTACTACGGTCCGAGACCAGTTGTTTGTGATGATGCCCTTCTCGTTCTTGTACCACGACTGGCAGTTTGGATCGTTGAAAGTGCTATTTTGAAGTTCTTTCTGGAGTTGGTCATTGTACTCTTCTAGTCGCTCTTTCTTTGGCGTCAAGCTCAACGCTTGCCCCTTCTTCCTTGCTTCAAGCACAGGCGTGATCAAACCATTGATGTAGCGTGATTGAGCCTCTATCATGAGGATAATGGAGTTGTGGCCAAGATTCGTGTTCGGACCGTAGAGCATGCCAAAGTTGGGCATATCCTCCACTGTGATGCCGTAGAACGCCTTCGCTCCATCCTTCCAGATATCTCCGATATGCCGGCCATTTTTACCGTAGAGCTGTATGGGATGCATGAAGTCCACAGTCTTGAATCCAGTCGCGCAAACTAGCAGGTCGTAGTCATCCTGTGCCGAGACTATCTCACCGTCGGCATTGGCAACTTTGACCGAGTTCCCTTCTATGTGGTCGATAGATCGTGTTTCGAGCGTGACATTATCCTGGCCTAGAGCAGGGAAGTAGTCGTCGCTGATGATGATGCGCTTGCACCCAAGCTGATACTTGGGTATCAACTTCTTGTGTAGATCTGGGCGGTTTGGTAGCTGGTTTTGCAGCATCTCCTTGGTCATTCTCATGAACATCTTTGACACGTCTGAATCTGCGCTCGCGACGAACCCGTGTGTTAGCTCTCGGAAGTCCATTAGTGCAGCTCGCTTTCTCGCCATTACTCCGGGTACATAGCGGTAGATGTTGCGCCATGTTTTGCTCACAGGCGCGTCGAGTCGTGGGACAACCCAGTTTGGTGTTCTTTGGAAGACAGTGACATGTTTGGCCACTTTTGCGATCTCTGGAAGAATTTGCACGGCCGTACAACCTTGCTCTGAGTTAGCAGATCGCAATGTCAACACAAAAAAAAACACGTACCATTGCCCACAAGTGCAATCTTCTTATTAGCTAGATCATATGACCAGTCCCACCTTGCTGAATGCATCTTTTTACCATTGAAGGTCTCGATACCCTGAATATCAGGCCATTGTGGCACGTTGAGCTGTCCAACAGCACTGACTAGGAAATCTGCTTTGATTTCATATTCCGGATTGTATTCGGCCTCTTTGCTTCCTGGAGCAGTCTTCACGTGGACTTTCCATTTTTTAGCTTCGTCATCCCATTTTGCGTCAACAACGGAAGTGTTGAACCGGAAGTGCTGCAGCAGCTGGAAGTCTTGAGCCACGTGCTGGAGGTAAGCTAAAATTTCTTCTTGCCCAGGGTACTCGCGGGTCCAGTCGGGATTCTGGGCAAACGAGTAACTGTATAGCTGTGACCAAACGTCGCAACAGCAGCCTGGGTACTTGTTGTCGTTCCTGTAGAGGTCAGTCACCATGTGATATGTAGGGGCTTTCTGAGCTCACCAAGTGCCTCCCAGACCTGCCGATTTTTCAAGAATGATGAAATTGCGGCATTTGTTGCGTTTTAGAAGGTCGATGGCCATACACATCCCACTGATGCCCCCGCCGATGATGACCACTGCAGCGTTCGCATGGTTCTTGTTGCCAACCGGCACTTCGGGCCAAGGCAATTCTCCAGCCATGATTACAGACAAGTTTCGTGAGACCTGTGCGAATGTAGATGCCAAAATCCGAAGTACCTGTCTTCCTCAATCGCAGTAGTAGTTGCAGCTGAAAGAGTGGCAGGGTGGCAGGCATTATGAACTGATGGATCATAGCGCTATACTACTTACTCGCCAACAACCTGTCAGGGATATGTGGGCCACAACACCTTCCTCGGCAGTGACGCTCGCATTGACCAGTACACCATTGCGCGTGATCCTGGACGAGTTCGCGGGCCAACGGCTGTGATGTCCGGAAGAGGGAAGAGGGATAGCTTCTACTAAGTCGTTGGCCTAGCGCGGTGCTCGCGTGCGGAGAAGTGACAGGGCGGGGAAGGACGAGTGTCATGTCTTGGCCTACAGGGAAGGGGTTATGCCGCCACGAAAGAAATGCTGTGTCGCAGTGTAGATACCAGCTTAACGGTCGGTATGCAGCCCGTCTGGTCCTACGCGACTACTGTTTCTGCTTTTGGCTCGCGGAAGCCATTTCTCTCCCAATCGCAATGTTTGAGCGCGCAAGTGCGACTTGTGTTGTCAGACATGACTCATGGGAACAAAAAGCTCCAGGCTTCTAACAACAGCCCAAGAAGGGAGTTTGACCATGCGAGAAAAGTTGATGCGAAGACGTGGTGTTTCCTTGGCTGCAGCTTACACAGGAGGCGTCAGCTCGCTTCTACCCGCACCAATAACCATGTTCGGCAAGAACAATCCTCTCTACACTTTTGTACCTTCAATAATCAAGCCAACTCATTGAATCAGCACGACCAAGCCCTACGGAGCTGCTGGCTCCGCGACCGGCCGTGCCAGCGCTGTGGAGATGTCGAATGAAAACTGGGACAGCGACATTTTTCTGTTGGCTTAAAGCACAAGGATCAGTTGAGGTACTGCAAGATATCTTGATTCTCAAGACCTCTCGATTTGAATAGATTTACTCGTTACCCGGTCCCCAGGCATATAACGAATGGCGCCGATTTACACGCTCACATCTCCCTCCAGCAGACCCTCCGGAATCGACCAAACAGTAAGAACCCAATGGCATCCCCGATTATGGCGGGTCTCAACCTTAACACTGAAGGTATCGCCACCAAGCCGGCCTCCAACGTGCATCCACTTTCCGCCCTGCCGTGGGTCGAGATACTTGTTCAAGAGTTTCGCACCGATTATGCGCCTGCCCGGCGTTTCAAGCCGGATTGGGTCGGGCTTGAGAGTAATCAAGCGGCCGGTGTCTTCGAGCTGACACGTCTTGCTGTGAGTCTCGATATTTGCTGCTGGAATCCCGAGTTCTACTGCTCTTGAGGGCGAAATTCCAAATTCCCAGAGATCGTCCCCGCAACTATCCCATACAAATTCGCTATGAGACCATTTGTTCCTGCTTCTTGTATTAGCGCATTCATTATCCGGACGAAAGGCTATCACCTACTCAGGAGTCGCTGATGATTGGCCGATCTCAGCTTTAATAGCGGGCCAAGCCGGTTGACGTAGTTGAACTTGGATGTTTTCCAGCGTCTTAAGAATGTCGTTTACTTCCGTATGGTCTTCATCGTCGTCTGAACAGGTCAAGATGCTTAGGCGCTCTTGTATTCTATCCAAATTCAGGATGAGGGTTCCTTGAAAGGTGGCCTTCGATCGAGCCGCCATTTGCAGGAGGGCACATTGCCATAATGCTTCTGCTATGTCTCGTGGGACATCGTACCCAGTGACTGGACGGTCTATCTTTCCGGGTATGACGGAAGAGTAGTGCTTCACAAGCGCAACTTGAGGAATGGGCTTGTATTCAGTCCGGAAGCCTTCCCATGCTTCAGGGATCTTAGCATTTTCCAGCCACGACAACCCTCCTTCGCCTTCCACTCCTGCAATATGGAACCTGTGGGTCTCTTGTACGGATGGCGAGTGCAACGCCATGCTCGTCATCAATTGTGCCGCGGCGCTGAAGCTCGTTTGATTGACGGTACCTGTGCCTCCTAGTGCTGCAGCCAAAGCATCAAGCTGGCCTATCTCTGTGCTGCTATATGTACATACCGCGTAGAAAGAGGACTGCCGAATTTGGCCAGTGATGCAGTATTCGCCGTACTGCTTGAGGAAACCATCAGGATCGGTTTCTAGAGTCCGGCGCGCTTGTTCAGTCAAATCCAACTCGCGGTCGAAATGTTCGGGGGGCATCGAGAGCGTGCAACGGAGGATGAGGCACATGTTCTGACTGTTGCATTTCGACTCTCGGATATAGCCCGATACCGTGTTCACAGACGCAACCGAGAGGTGTGAGACTGACGCGGTGGTCATGGATCGGAGAGAATCCGTGAGTTCCCGCTCATCTCGAAACAGCTGGGTATGCATATCGACTTGTGGAAACACATCAGTGCTGTCGTAACTGTCGTCGATATACACCTCCTCGAAGGGTGAGGGCAGAGACTCGCGCCTGGCCATGTCGTAGCCACCGCCGATGTTCATATGTGAAGCGTCCCACGGGAGGCTGCCGTGCTGTCTTATTCGAGTAGAAAATTGGTGCGACATCGTGACGAACCGGCACGCGTGAGTAGGTATGAGTAATTTCGTGAACCTCCAGAGACCTAGAGTCACTCCTACACTGTTCGTCTGCGATTGCAGCAGGTAATGGGGATTAACTCTATCTCAGCTGTGGCGCATATACTGCGTTCATATGCCAGGCAAGATAGCTTTTGGTGTCGCGCAAAGACAGTAGGTAGTAAGGCTGAGTTGCTGCCATACAGCCAATGACGTGTGGGATCCGGGGAAAGTCGCACGCTTGTTAGGCGCGTTTCGCAACTCGCAAGCTTGCAAACTTCAACGTACATTCGTTCATGCGGATGAACTGCATTACACACGCGCAGGCCGAAGCAACTGCATAATTATATCGGCTATCGTTCCTCTGATGATTCCAGATAAGTTCGGAGCTAAGACGATGAATTCAGAGGCTAGCCCGAATTTGGAAGTAGGACCTTTGAATTACGGGAAGTGTATGTACGGCGCAGCAACACCGTGAACTTGTCTTTGACATCTTATATGTATAAGCGGGGAGCAAAACAATTTTCCATCAATCTCATCTTATTTAGCACCTCCTTGCATCAAGAACTGCGCAAAAGACCGGACCAATAGAATGGGCGAAGCACGGGAAAACGAGGCGAAACCAGAGGGCGGTACATCAGCGATAATCACCAGAATTGCGGCCTCACTGAATCCCTCGGAGGCAACAGCGTTCAAAAAGTTGGTCGAAAGATGCGAGACTACACAGCTCCTAGACCGGCCCTCCAATCTCGACAAGAACGACCTCCCATCTGGAATAAACGACCCCTCAACCCTCCTGCGCTTCCTCCGCGCCCGCACCCTCGACGCCGAAGCCGCACATACACAATTCAAGGAAGCCCTCGATCTCCGCGCCACAACCTCCATCACAACATTCTACGATGAAATTGATACCCAGGACTTCGACGAAGCACGCAAGCTGTATCCCCACTGGACAGGTCGCTTCTCCAAAGCCGGCTTGCCACTCTGCTTCTTCGACATCGCGCATCTGGATGGCGACACGTTGGCGCGGTACAACAAGCCCCACCAAGGACGGGAGGAAGGCGTGGGTACGAAGCACACGCTCGCTGTGCACGACTTTCTCACGCGGTTCGTGCTGCCGCTCGCGGATGTTGTCAAAGGCGAGACCGCGGAAGGTCCGGTGATTAACTGTCTGTATCTCGTGGACGCGTCATCGCTGGGTCTCAAACAGGCATGGGGCGTGAAGAAGTACGCGCAGGAGACGAGTGCGTTGCTGGCGGGGTCGTATCCTGAGGTGTTGAGCCGTGTGTTTGTAAGACCTACGTTTTTCCGACCGTGCACTCTAACCACCTGTGACACTAGCTGATGCGGACACAGGTCATGAATGCGCCGGCCTTCTTCCCCGCCGCGTGGAAGTGGATCAAGCCCTGGATCGAAGCTGGCACGGCAGAGAAGCTGGTCTTCCTAGCTGGCGAAGAAGTTCTTCCGACACTGCAGGAGTATATTGATGCTGACAGCATACCTGAGAGATGGGGCGGCCGGTTTGAGTGGAGACATGGGATGTTGCCGTGTTTGGGTAAAACGGTTAAGGAGATGTTGCAGTGGGATGAGGCGCAGGAGTTCCCAGTGGGGCCTTTGAAATGGAGAGATGATGGTGACGGGGCAATTGCGTGTTTCACTGGTAGTGAGAACGGGGTCTTGAGACAGGGGAAGGTGGTAAAAGATACGGAAACGAGTGTGATTAATAGTGCAGAACCTTTGGTAATGAGTGGCGAGCAGACAGTTGGGACGGCATAGGCCTGTGGTCTCGGCATCCTGCCCAGCGATAGAGGGTTTTTCTTTCTTTCATTATTATGAGATGCTCAGCCTGTCGATATGGGCACCGCTAATGTAGTCATAGATACTAGAAACAATACAGGACATCTCTGGACCTCTGTTACATGGCAGACTTCATCCTTTCCGGAAGCTGTCCTTCAAAGACTCAATCATCAATGCGTGCGCCTTCTCACGCCTATCCCACAGCTTCGTTCCTGGTTTCGCACCTACATCGTAGCCGTGGTTCATGCCTTCCAAAACGCACTTCACGACCTTCCTACTCCCATCATCCAACTTCTCAGCTAGCCTCTTCGCCTCCACCGACAAAGTGTCCCCCTCGCACGTGACAATAACCACTGTCTGAGGATAGTCCTCTACTCTAGCATACATCGGCGAAACCCTGGGATCCTTGCGCATCGCGACATCCGTCCCGACATAATTGCTATAAAACAATTCCAGAATCGGCGGCGGCAGCGGTGCGACCGGTTTTGGAATCACCCTATCCTCAGCCTTCAGACCGAGATCCGTGACAGGATAGTGCGCAAGCACAGCTTTAATATCGACCTTGAGCGATGCCCGCAAAGTAGATGATGCAACAAGTGCGAGACTGCCGCCTGCACTCGCTCCCGACACTGCTACGCGGCTTGCGTCGAAGCGCTCCGGTTGCGAGGCTACCCAGTCCAGCACATCCTTAACGTCGTCCAGCGCGGCGGGAAACGGGTTTTCAGGCGCCTTCCTGTAGTCCGCGTCGACGACATATACATCTAATTCTTTTGCGATGCGCGCACAGAACGCGACGTCACTGCCGTGGAAGGGAATCGTCCAGCCTGAGCCGTGCCAATTCACCAGCACGGGTTTTGGTAAGCTGGGAGAGGCTGATCCAGTTGGAGGCGTGTAGAGGTAAGCTTTTATTTTCCTTGTACTGTCCCTGGAGGGTATGTATAGGGTTTCTGCGGACGCGGCATAGGCGGTAGTTGCCAGGGTTCGATCTCGCTGGACGGCGAGGAGGTGGACGAGGTTGAAGACGTTGCGCACCAGGAAGACGATCAGTTTGCGCCGAAAATTCTCGAAAGAATCCCACAGGGAAGACATCGTGGGCTTTCCCCGTGGTGGTGTCTGGCGACCAAGTGAGGTTTTGCAGCTCGGGCTTCGGTGTGATTAGATGATCCCCAGCCAGCTTAAGAAGCCGCAACAGACGGTGGACGAAGAGCGGCCGACGAAAGCAGCAGCGATAATGACCAACGACTCATGTTCGTATCACAGCACGGTGCCGGTCTTGTAACACCGGCTGCTGGCCGTGTATTGGTCCGCTAATCGATCTGGTGCAGCAGTTGGTCCCCGTAGCGGCTCTCCAAATAATACGCCTAAACGAGGTCCGACGTCCTATATCCCGCTCTCACGATCTCAGCCCGAAAAATCGGCCATCACTGCTCGCCGGTTGCGCAATTGTTCTTGAAAGTGTACTAGGGCAACTTAGCCCGGAAGTGCTAGGAGCAATCCTAGGTGACTCCAGACAACACTAAATTCATACGAGAGGCCACAGAACATGAGCCTCTCTTTGACCTCACGAAAAGGTATCAAAACCTTGATTTTGGCCGATGCGTCTCGGAGTAGAAAAACTCGGGATTCTGCTCAGCAACAATTTTACCAAAGAATACCTTGATCCATATAGTACACAACCAACACACACACACACACACACACACACACACACACACACACCAGAGTGGAGATGACAAGACTACCCAAGGCACCTAAATCTCCTGCTTCTCCAGACCATCAATCAAATCCACAACGCCCACAGGCCCCCTTTTCTTCGCATCCTCAAGCGGCACATTGAGCCCCAGCCGCTCGCGCGTCGAGTACGTCGCAATACTGCCCTTGGGATCCACCTCCGTGACGAGCTCCTTGCGCCGCGTATCCACAAGCAGGCGAATCAGATCAGGCCGCATGTAATGGCCACTGAAATCCGCGAGCGCCTTTGTGAGATGAGACTCGTTGAGATCGATCTACATGTAACTGTCAATTCCACGTATCTTCACGGCGTACTGGGGAGGGAGAGAGAAGCACGCACATCCACAAACAGCAACCCATCGAAGTCTTTGTCCGGCTTTGCCACGCATGTCCCATCAGGCTTGTAGATCCTCGCGTGGCCGTTGTACGTGCTGGGGTCTGTCTCGGGCTCAACGCCCTCGGGGGTGTTCTTCTTCAGGCCTTCCACGCTCAGCCGCTGGAACGGCGCGAGCGTCCACGTGCCCGTTTCGATGGCGTACGCGGGCGTGACGAGGTCGCTTGCCGGGTCGGCGACGTTGGTTGCTGGGTCTGGATACTTGAGGGTCTCTGCCCCGGGATAGACGGGCCATGCGGCGATGTGGATTTGCTCGCCGGCGGAGACGTTGAGGGCTTTGAGGAAGGGGTTCATGTTTTCCCAGCAGTTGAGCTGGCCTTGGGACGTGTCAGCAATGGACATGTCTGTACGAGAAGTAGGAGCATGAGAGAAGATTGGCCATACGTACCGAGGCGGCCCAGCTCAGTCGGCACAACAGAGAGAAACGTGTCGCCAGCGCCATCGCCGTAGACCAGCTTCTCAACGTGCGTAGGCTTGATTTTGCGACGATGATTAATCACCTCGCCATTAGGATCAATAAGAGCCTGGGCAAGATACAGCGTCGCATGATCGATCTCCGAAAACCCGAGAGAAACATAGATCTGGTTATCTCTCGCCGCTCTTCGAATCCTCTTAAACTCCTCGCTATCCACCGCCATGCTGTTCTCTCGATACATCTTCAGCATCGGCAGCGACTCCTGGTAGTTCACCTTCCACATCCAGTAGGGATACCCGGGGATCCAGACTTCGGGGAAGGCGACGAGTTTGGCGCCCGCGGCGCCGGCTTCGTTGATGAAGTCAATGGTCTTGCGCACGCCGCCTTCGAGGTCGAACCACGAGGGCTCGGAGGTGACCTGTGTGGATTGTTAGGAATAGATGGTAGGGTGATGGGGTATAGAGGAATAACGGAGCGTACGGCAGCGGCTTTGTACTTTGTGAGAACCATTGTGGTGTGTGGTGTTTGGGGTTGCGGTGGTGGGAAGTGGAAGGAGGGGTATGGGTTGGAAGTGATGAGTGATTGTATCTTGTGGCAGAGATGAGTTTATCTTCGAGAAGGATCGAAGGTTATATACACATCCACCGTCCCACAGCTCGGTGTATTGCCGTCACCTTCCAGTGAAGTACGACACCATCTTGGCGCCGATGGTCCCTATTGCTTCCGGATGCCGCTGAAGTGGCATGATACATGCTTCGATAGATTGTCTGTGGACCCCAAAAGCGGAGAAGAATTGAAAGCATTTCGCATCTGACAGCTGTTGTGTATCGATGCATGGATGCGGTTGCAGGTCTGGTGTGTACATTGCGTCGGCATCGTCGGCATCGTCGGCATCTCATCGGCATGCATGCAATGTCGGGCCTACTCCTAGTACGACGCAGTTGAACCTTCCCTGTTAGAGTGGTGATCCTGCCGAGATATCTTATGGGTGACTAAAGCTGTGCTTCCAGACGATGCTGTTGGAACCTTTGGTTTGGGTACCAGGATAAGCATTACGAAGCTAGATCAGACCATGAGGAATGACGATGATTTCCATGTACGGAAGCCTCCAATGAGAACACCTGAGTGATGGTAGTACAAGAAGCGGGGTCCATCAAACAGTGATAATATTATCCGCGTCGTTGCGCATACGAAGCTCCTATTCCGGGCGCGGGAGATTGCGGGTTGTTCAACTAATCTCCCTTTTCTAAGTCCTGCGCGCATCCGGCTAAGGTCGGGACGTCTACGGGAAATAGCTTCAGTGACTACATCCCAGGTGGCCCTTGTAGTTCCTAAATATCCTATCGTTCAACTTCCACCGAGACGGAGGCCGCAAGAATTCTGCTGGGGGCACTGCCACCCCTCTTCGGATGTAAAAAGAAATTATTGGTATCATCGCGGTTGAAAGTGATGACATGCCTGCGAAAATGTAACACCAATGTGCTGTAGAATACACCTCAGGTAGAAAGCGAGTCCTGTCGCGAGCCTGTTCATTTTGGATTGTTGAAGTCCAGTGCAACCCCTCCTTCAAGCCTCACTTCGACTGAAAGGCCGTCAACGCCGTCATAACCTTGGTCTCCATCTCGAGGAACTCGCCCTCATCAGTGCTTTGAATCGTGACCGCGCCACCAGCCCCAATGCGCCACGTCTCCGTGCTTTCGCGGGAGGCAAAGTCTCCTTCTCGAACAGATACCGAAGGGCTCGAACATCTCGGGCTCGTATTCGAAGGAGTGTATCCAACGTTCGAACGGGGAGTAGAGTCGCCGCTGGTGTTCATGCCTCGGCCCATTCTCGTGGAGCCCTCGGGTGCACTCGCATCGCGCAGCGCCGTGCGAATCACAACCGAGAAATCTCCTGCGCCGCCGACATCTAGGTAGCCCAGGACGCCGGAGTATATCCCGCGTGGACGTTGCTCGATATCTCTCAGGATCTCGCAGGACCTCTTCTTCGGGGCGCCGGTCATGGAACCTGGTGGTAGCGAGGCTTTCAAGACATCCAGGCCCGTTGGTCCTTCATCCCGATCCGATTTCGGCAGCTGACCTTCGATAACTGACACAAGCTGGTATACATGCTCGTACTCTTCGACTGTCATTAGCTTGGGCACGCTGCAGCGCTCGGCGCCTATCACACCGCTCAGGTCGTGGCGTATCAAGTCGACGATCATCAAATTCTCAGCTTGCTCTTTAGACGAGTTCAGTATCTCGTGCGCTGTCTCGCGTGTCATCATGGCCGACTTCTTCACGGTGCCTTTGATTGGTCGAAATTGACAATTTCCTTCGCGGTCCCACTTGAGGAATCGTTCCGGGCTTGTGCCAACTACTGTAGCATTAGATAGCTGGAGGTAGGCGCCATATGGTGCAGGGTTTTTGCGTCGTAGCTTCTTGTACAGCGCCCATGCATTCAGTCCTCTTCCGTCGATCCTCGGTACTTCGATCAGTGTCTCATCTGTTAAACAGAGTTCGTAGGAGTCTCCAGCAGCCAGTGAGTCCTGACACCTGAGAACCTTGTTGCGGTAGTTTTGTTCCTGCGGGGTGCGGATTTGCGAAAGGCTGAGTCTCTTTTCCATTTCGAGCCCTTCGCGGAGCTCTCTCGAGACTGCGATGTCGGCTGTCGCCGTCCGAGATTCAGACCCGAGCTTTTGCTCCTGAGTCAGATTCTTGAGTGTCTGCCCAACATGTGCGATCCATGCCGAGTCATTTGGTAGCAGAGACTGAATATATGTCTTACCCGTGGTGTGGTCTATAACAACGCTCCTATGTATGAAAGCGAAGCTGATGTCTGGAATCGAGTTCTCAGCTACCGACTCGTGGGGCTCAACACCTATTGTTTCCAATCCAGCCTCGTACGAGATGTAGCCCATGAGACCACCCCAGAAAGGGCTCTCATAGGGGAAATCTTCGTTCGTCGAGTTGAAGGCGCGGTGTTGTCGTTGTACTTTTGGATCGTGTAGATCGAGAGCCTCTTGGAAGATTGGCCACGTCTGATCGATAGAACGAAGCTGAACTACTTGTTCATTCTCAGAGCCGGTGCCGTAGCGTAAGGTGCGATCCCAGGATCTGTATGTGATCTTCACCGTCTCTCCGGGCACTACGACTCCCAGCATACTGAATCGACCCATGCTATGATTTTGTGAGTCGAGCAGTATGACTTCTTCTCGGTCAAGACCAAGTGACTCTGCGAGTATGACCGGACTGAAGCGATTCGTTAAGTGCGCTGCCCATTGTAAAGTCGGGGTCTGACTCCCTGTGCTTAATTGTATCGCCTTGGCCAGACTCAAAGCTGCAGAGTGGTGTTGATCCTGCATCTTGTGTTTGATCTTGTCCCTTGCCGTCACGGTGATAGCTGCAGGGGATATATAGTTCAGTGCAGTAGTACGATCGTGGGCTACAATCCGGGATCGAGAGGCAATCCACTCTTCAGCTTGCACCCACCAGCGTCGCAACAATTCAATGCCCTCTTCCGAGGTGCAAATAGACTCAGGGTGAAATTGAACACCCCAGAATGGCTTTGAAACATGTCTTGCAGCCATCAAAATGGTCCCATTTGTCTCATCTTCGATATCCCAGGCTAGAGGCTGGATGTCGGGACACTGGTCGTTAGTTTGCCATTGCAATTGTTCTGAATCGCTGCTGTGTTCTCCTAAAACAGCATGTAGAGAGTGATACTGGGTGGCGCTTAGGTTTGTGATGTTCCGGAAGATGTCGGTCCGATTGTGAGAGATACTCGATATGATGCCATGTCTTGCTTGCCTCAATCTTTGTATGCTGGCCCCGTGTGCCAAACATAGTGACTGGAATCCAAGGCATATTCCAAAGACCGGGAGAAGGTCGTCTGATCCGAGGTTCCACAGCTGGTTGATGAGGCCAACATCGCTTGCCTTCGCGGGATGTCCGGGCCCAGGTCCTACGACGACGGCATCGAAGGCTTTGAGGATTGTTGTGAAGTTGTCGTAAGCGGTAGTATCGTCAATCCGAACCGTTGTTACGGTCGCACCTAGGCTTTGTTCGAGCAGGCCGACGATGCTGTTTGAGAACGAGTCATACGCATCCACGTAGAGGATGTGGCAACGTGTTTTAGTAGCTGGATCCGCAGTTCCTAATGGTCTGGCAGCTCCTGGCATTATCACTCCACGTAGAGGACCGAAAGGGGGATATCCAAGTAATTGTGGGTCTACAGAGACATAGAAGAGGTATTGTAGGAAGGGACAAGGTAAGCGCGAGAAAATTTTCTTAGTGGAATCATCACGAAATTATTCCAACAGAAATGTCTTTAGATGCATCCCGCCGCTTTTGCACAATCCTCACCATCTCAAAGAATGGCTGCTAGTACTGCGAGCGGTTCTCAGGTTTACGTTGGCGATCGCGCTTCGGAAACCGAAGCTCAATGTGGCCATAGAGCACAAGCGGGTAAGATTGCTAGGCGCTCTCTAGTAGTCATGAAGGCCGTAAGACCCAGCCGGAACAAGCAGCAAAAGTCGCACTGCTCGGTATGAGCTTTCGCATCTACCGGTCCTATGCGGCTTGCCACGGTATCTGGGGTAGCTGCGTGAAGGGTGGGGTGACGCTGCTGGCGGTACTGATGTCAACGGTAGCCGAGGCAAACGCTAGTCCACAGGTGGCAAGCACGATTCGGGATGCAGGGTGTCGTTTGAGGAGTATTGATTCTCTGCGATTGAATCACACCTCCTTCGAGGCTTCCTCATGATACGAGGAGAGCAGGTTTTTAACGCGCTGGGAGATCCTTGACACGGTGCCCGTCAGCCATCGCGCAATGCCCGGAATAGATGCACAGTTACCTATGGTACCGAGAACGCATGAAAATGTTCGCCCTCAGCGTGGAGCTCAGAAACCGTTCGCGATTCACATACACAGAGTGGAAAGGCTGTTGCACAAGGGTGCGATGACCCTACCAGCCCTGAAACTGGTCAGGTAGATGACCTATGCATGTCTTCAGTCAATCACGGTGCATGTCTATACATACTGCAGACGGCTGTGGTGGATGCACATGAGGGCGAGATTCTCGACAAGAAAGATGCGTACACTAAGACGCGTTCGTATGCACAGAACGACGTACAAACGTGCGAGCCGTCGGGATTATGTTCTCAAGGCAAACCGACGTTCCCGTCCCCGAACGGCATGTCTCGCGCTTACTCCCAACGCCCTCCGCAAAGTGGAGTTGCTGAGCTCCGTCGGCGATTCGGCGAACGAAGTCACGGGTCCAGAAGAGTAATCGAAGGCCAGCGGTGACAGCTGGGTGTCCCCAGCGGCGTGCTTGACACCGCCACCTCCGTTGCGGTCGCCTGTCTGGAGCCTGTCTGAAGCTTAATCGGTAGCTCGTGCGGCCCCTGGAGCATGTATGGGCGATTATGTAACGCCCCAGAATGAGAGAAGTCCGTTGATGGCGCTCGCCTGTGCGCTAGGCAGGTCCGTCGCCGGCCTGGCACAGCGCCTGGTGCCCTTCCCAGCTGGGACGACACGGTGATTGCTGCTTGTTTTGGATTTCATTGAATGCACGGCAGCCATCGGTCCACGGGTGCAAACACGGGCAAGAGTCAGTGTGTTTATCGACTCTGGCCGCTGGCGTCGGAAGACAGCCCACGGCGAAAAAGACGTCGAAAGATCCACCTGTCGCATAACGATGCGTGCTATAAGCGGACGATCACGGTTTCGATAGCGCTCAAGCTTCCTTATTTTTGTGTAAGATGCTTAACGACGGCGGTACGATTCGCTTCTGAAACACGGCCGTGCAGCGTCCAGCGACTCAGCGCCACATGCCTCAAGCGACGGCTATCGGGCTAGCGGCTTGCGGATGCCAAAAAGACGACTCCCTCCTGGGGAAGCCGATGTCTTCTTTGGGACCGTTCGCATGCAGGGGCGGCGGCGAACGTCTCACGGCTCGCGCAACACGGCCTATTCCTACGTGCGGGCGGCATGCGGGCGGCGCGCTGGCCTGCCGTCTCGGGCGACGACGTCCAGATGCTCCTGCAAACCGCCACCGACTGTGAGAAGAGACGATGGACAGGACAGCGAGCAAGACAAGACAACGGGCAGACAGCCGCCAACGAGCAGCGGCTCCTGTTCGCGCGTGCGGCTCGGCAGACCTAAAATCGGGCGCGCCTGGGCCAGCTGGCCCACCCATTGGGCCTGTACCTGCATAACCAATGGCGCTATGTATTTCCAGGCGTTTCAGAGCGCTTCGAAGCACTCGACCTCACCCGGCCAGGTACCTGTGACGGACCTGCCATGGGCCCGCCTCTGACGCCTGGGGGCATGGGCGCGCGCGACAAGGACATGCCGCTGCCAGTCCGTGGCTGAGCACTATACTCGATTCTCCAATCACCGACTATGCATCTGACTCCGTTTCAAGCACCCGTTTCAAGTCCGTGCCTGGACAAGAACAATCGGTAGGTATATCTATGCCTGCTCTGTCCCCATAACGTGCTTTCTTCTCCTCATCACAGCATTCACTTTCTTGTTCGGTATTCCATCAAGGCTGTGGGAAAGACAAAGTCATTCGTTTTCTTTGTCTCTTCTTCCGTGTTTAATTTCAACAATCACTTTCATTAAGCTGGTCTACACCACTGCATACAGTCTAGCTACTGTAGTCTTTCGCTTCTCCAATACACCTTACATCAATTCATAATGAAGGCTTCTATTGCTCTTCTTATTTCCGGCCTTGCTGCCCAGCAGGTCGCCGCCCACTGGGACCGCCAGGCCACCAACTACAACACCCCCGGCTACAACAACAACGAGTGCACCGACAAGCAGAAGGGCGGATACGACTGGTCCGACCTGAACGACGGCGACAAGCCCGGCAAGTACGACGACTTCGACTTCGGCGGAGGTTGGTCGTGCTCCACCAAGAAGTTCGGCAAGCGTGACCACATCACCAAGCGCACTTTCGGAGCCAAGGCCCTCACCAACAGCTGCGGTAAGGAGAAGCCTGCTTCCTTCAGCTGCGACAAGAAGGATGGTTTCTCCGTGACTCACATGGATATCTCCGTGGACCACGATGCCGAGCTCGACTTCCACTACAAGATGAAGGACGGCAGCATCTGCAAGCAGCGCACGAGCTGTAAGAAGGAAGGTACCACCGTGCAGAACACTCAGTGCGGTGGTGCTCAGTCAGTCGACGTCTACCTCGGCAACAGTAGCGAAGGTAAAGACAGCTGTGATATTGGCGTCCACAACGTGGGCTTCGATTGCAACCCCGGACAATCATACACGCCTCCGCCTCCTTACACTCCCCCAACTACCCCCGAGGCCCCTCCCTCAACTTCTTCGGAAGTGCCCTCCAGCTCTTCTGAGGTGCCCCCACCGCCGCCGGAGACCACTGCTCCTCCTCAGACTTCCGACTCACCGCCGCCTCCTCCCGAGTCCAGCAGCGTGAGCATCAGGACGCCTTTCTGTGGTTACGGTTCGTGCGGCAGCAGCAGCAGCTTCACCAACTCCTCCACTGCCCCCCCTACGCCGCCAGAGACCCCTAGCAGCACTCCAGTGGAAGTCCCGTCCAGCAGCACCGAGGTCCCCACTTCATCGGCGCCCAGTGGCGAGTGTGGCGGATACGGACAGCCAGCTTGCGAGACCAGCTCCGCCGTCGAGAGCACCCCTGCTGAGAGCAGCTCCGTCGTCGAGAGCACCCCCGTGTCTTCGGCTCCTGCTTCATCGACCCCAAGCGGCGAATGCGGTGGATACGGCCAGCCTGCGTGCGAGACCAGCTCCGTTGTTGAAAGCACCCCCGTTTCTTCGGCTCCCGCAACGGAGACTGCACCAACTGAGACCGCCCCGGCTACCTCCTACAACGGCACCGTCCCATCTTCGCCCGTCTCGTCGCAGCCTCCCACTGTCACTCCTCCTCCCGGTGGTTACACTCCTCCCGAGTGCCTTCCTAAGTGCCTGAACACATGGCTCAAGCTCAAGTCCGAGTGCAAGGACAACACCGACTCTGCCTGCTACTGCAAGGTTCCCGACCTCACTGACAATGTCATCGACTGTGTCAAGGCCTACGGCACGGAGGAGGAGGTCAAGCAGGCTCTCTCCTACTTCGTCGGCATCTGCGCGCCCCAGATCCCTGAGAACCCGCACATCATCGACAAGTGCACCGACGTGCCGCTTGCGCCGCCTACCGCTCCTGTCACCTCTGCGCCTGAGACACCCGCCACCACCGCCGCGCCCGAGCAGCCCCAGACCCCTGGCACCACGCCTGCGCCCGCTCCTGAGCAGCCTGGCAGCATCCCCTGCACCACCATCACCTACGGCAGCTCCACCTACACTGTCCCCCAGGTTGGCTTCACCACCGAGACCCCTGGTGCTCCCGGCGCGAACCCCACTGAGCCCATCGCGCTCTACCCTGCTGCTCCTACTACGCCTGCCCCGGCGCCTGCCAACCCCACCGCTCCCTACCCGATCGCGTCTGGCGCTTCTGGCTTCACCTCCGTCACGTTCCCCACCGGCACTGGCGCTATCAACTCGCCTCCTCCGTCTGAGTTCAGCGGTGCGGCGAACGCGCTCAACGTCAAGGCCGGCATGGTCTTTGGTGCCGCCTTTGCTTTCTTCGCTATGTAAATGACCTGCTAATCACTGCGGGTCGATAATGTGTGTGAATACGGATTGATTGAGAGATAATTGGCTGTGCATACCCCGACTCTTTCCTTACGCATGTCCAGGCGCCTCCTTTTGGGAACCATGTTGGATGGATGTTGAAGCATCCAGAGGTACTGGTAATGGTTGTTTTTCCAGTGTTTCCTTGTGTCTATAGACTGACCCGAATCGTACATCACCCCTACACATCCTGAGCTTCCTGACGCTGTGAATACTCTACCTCGAAGTGACTTGCCGTCGTGCCTCTCGCGACGAACATTGTAATACACAATCATAGTGGAGAACTACTCTACTCCCAATGTAACATAGTCCACTCAGTCTTCAATGGTAGCATAGCACGGCGCCACACTACACTTTACGATACCTAATCTGATCCTCCGCATTTCGAGGTCCGTCATGCTGTGAATAAAGTCCACGTCTTGAAATGAAGCTGTCAAGTGTGTACAGGTACCATATCAAGCTTGTTGTACATCGAGGATGAGGACACTGGCACATGCGTGGAAACATCGATGGTGGTGTCGGCTATGGATCTGCTGCCCGGCTAGAGCAGTTGCACGCGCATGTAGGAGTGATGTGTCTTATACCTCTCCCTTTGCACCCGCACCTCGTTATCGTTTTCTGGAGACGACCCTGCTGTGTTCGCACGGAGGTTTTGCGCAGTCTGGGCTCTCTCGTAATGATTAGCCCTCCGCTCAATATCGTACGGCGGCAACAGGAATTTGTGATCTAGGGCTTGGTTTCTGAACATGACACCACGGTGAGTTGCGTAGAGTTGAAATTTGCGCCCATTGGTCCCGGTACAAGGGGGATAGGATACACGAGTCCTAGTCAAAGGTGATACAGAGGCAGGAAAGCAGAGATGTAGAGAGAACAGCAACTAAGTAGAAGGAGCGGATAGTGCAGGTGAATAGTGAAAGTGAATAGAATTCATGCACCCCTGCCAGGCGAGTGCTGAGAACCCGTGGACAGGGATCGCTTGTCGCACAAGATGATTGGCCGAGGCTGTCGGCGGCAGATCGACGTCACCGACCGCGACACCTCGCATCCTGGTCCTTCCTTGTTGATCCTCTTCCCAGGCTCGGGACACCACGGCGGCAAGCAACCATGAGTCTTGTGGTCGAGTACGTTGCGCGTAACGCTGTGCATTTGCGGACAGCTAACAATAGACAGTCAGATTCGGCGCATCGACAGCCAGCTGGACCGGTTGCAGCTGTCAAGCACCAGCGACGGCGGCGCATTTGCAATAGCCGCCGAGGACATCCACGACCCGCACCGCGTAGCGCGAATAGAACAGTTGCAGCGCCTGATCAAGAGCTTATCGACAACGAATTCGGCAAAGCATTCACTCGTGCCTGCGGCCAAGATCCGATCAATACTGCAGGAAGCAGATATTTCCTCGCAGTGTGCAACGTGCGCGTATCTGTTCGAGCAGGACGATTCAGGCAGCTACCACAGGCAATCGGCCCACGCGCACGAGTCTTCCTACGAGCACGAGCTGGAATGGCTCCTGCTCAGCAAAGCTACCACCCAGGCCTACGGCTACGTCCTCTCCACCATCCTTGAACAGACCATTCCGCTTGAAGACGACATATGGTACTGGGACGACATAATTTCGACCTATCGCTTCGCCGGGCTGTACTCGATTCAGACCTCTCCGATTCGAATATACAAGTGGTCTCGAGATGTGTATCGCGACGTAAAGGACAAAGGAGGGAGGCTGGCAGTCGACGGCTGGCGCGACTTCTACACATTGGTACGGGACACGATACGAGACAGAAATGTCAGGGAGATTCAGCGGAGGGTGGTGAGTCCACTAGGCGTGGCGCGGAATGAAGGTCGGAAGAAGAGTGCAGCTCTGAAGCGAATGAGGATGAAGAATGCCAACGCTCTGGGTCTTCTGCTGGGAGAGGGTCTGGGCAGCGAAAGGTAAGCGTCACGCTCCAATTGAGCGCCGATGATGCTGAGCACATGCAGCATACACGACGAAGGCTTGCACTCGCCGAGCCAGTACGGAACCGCGGACAAGCGACATCGATGGAAGAGCACCGTAGCAAAAAGCATCGCACTCATGGACGCCGTCATACACAACGTCAACGACGCTGAATTGCACGTCGATAAGTTCGACGACTCTGTCGCGGCCACTACCCAGGACGATCATTACTACGAGTTACATGAACCCTCAGGAGAACGCACCGCAACCTCACTGAAGCCCTCTGATGTAGTCTCAAGGCTGGATGGTCTACTTAGCCATGCTCTTCCCGCATACACCTCGAACTTCCAGGCCACTGTCCGTGAGCATGGCCGGCCATCACGTCTCGTTCGCTACTGGCTGCCAGTCTCGATAGCTCTTGTCTCATCTACTACCATCCTACGCATCGTCATCAACCGCCAAGAAGAGATCATTACCTGGGTCCGCGAATTGGGCCAAACTGTCATTGACTTTTGGTCAAACTGGGTTGTTGAGCCTGCTAAGAAAGTCATCGGCACTATCCGACACAACGAAGACAGCGAGGTTTCCATCCTCAGTAAACGTAGCCTGGAATCCGATAGAGCCAGCCTCGAGCGGATGGTTGTAGACTTTGCTGTGCAGAACCCAGAAGGACCCGCCCTCAACGACACGCAGATTGCTGACATCCGTGCCAAAGTACGCGAGGGAGACCTTACGCCCGTTCTGAGAGCTTATGAGCGGGACATCCAGAGTCCTGTGAAAGGGGCGATTATGGGCAACCTGGCCAGTGCATTGCTGATACAGGTGCAAAAGACAAAGGTCGACGTAGAAGTGGCTATGAGCGGAATCGATTCGATCTTGAAGAGCCAGGAGCTACTATTTGGGTAAGTTTCTCGCATTACCACAAGAAGCAGTGACTGAGTTTGAACAGATTTATCGGACTGACCCCAGGTGTGCTCGTGACGGTTGGGGTGTACCGGTGGTTGAGAGGCTTGGTCACTGGCCGCAAGGGCGTCAAGCAGTTTGCGCGACAAGGCCAGCTCCTGCTCATCCTGAGGTACGTCACTTGAATACTGGCCGAAAAACAGATGCGTTTGCTTTCTGTCTACATGTTGCCACAAACTGACGGTTCCTCAGAAACATTGACCGGATTCTCGTCGGCGCCACACCGAACGAGTTTGGAGAGATCTACTACCGAGACCACGGCCTGCTGCTCTGCGAAGTACATCTGCTGAGACAAGAAGCCAGCAGAGTGCTTCCACGACGCATCTTCCACGACTTCCTGCAGGAGATCGACGAATTAGTTAACATCCAGTCTGGGCTGGAGCGGCAGCAGAAGGTGGTTGAGCGGATACGGTGGGCGTACTCGCGGTGGTTCAGATCCTAGATGGGTGCGTGATTGCATAAAGGCCTGTACAACAAATGCGCCTTCATTGGCAGATGCAAAAGCATAGCGTCATCTCAAATCAAGCATAACAGTTTATCCAGCATGGGTGTCGGGTTATCAGGCCGTTGCATCCATCTCGGCTGGCGAGCTATGACGAGCTGTGACAGCGGCCCAGTCCGTGTACGTGAGCGACTCGTCTCAATCGGTGTGCCCGTGCTCTCTTGTGGGCATGTCGGTAGTGCGGAACGTCGACGAGTGTAGCAGCAGGACGCAGGATACAGGACGCCGAGGTGACACAGGCAACGGTGCATGACCAAGCCTTTTGCCCACCCGGCGACAGGGGCTTCACGTGCCGTGGTACTGGCCCCGGGGACGGGCAGGGTCTCGCAGTGAGGTGTGGCGTCTGTGGCGCCAGCCTGGCTTGGCACGGGCGCTCAAGCAGCAGCGGTCGACGTAGGTACCCACGCATCACAACGCAGCACCGCAGACAAATCGCCCCCGACTCCTCGCGACGCACACTCCACGACTGCTCCGAGGCGGCTGACCACACGCTTCTCACACCCCGGCCCTCGCCCACGCGCCCTGCTGCCGGCCATTCGTACCCTCCTACACAGCCCGACTCAACCCCGAAGCAACGCGGGCGGGTGCAACACCGCAGCCTACTTTACAGACACGCCGCGCGACCCAGCGCTCACGCACCAAGATGGCGGGCACACGCAACTATGACTTCCTCGTAAGGACCACCGCTGCGCTTCTGGCGGTGCCCACGGCCTGGGACCACGCACCGTGACCGCTCGGCCGCCCGCCCCTCCTTACGCTGCTCCACCGTGCTGACCTGCGATCGCACAGATCAAACTGCTCCTAATCGGCGACTCGGGCGTCGGCAAGTCGTGCTGTCTGCTGCGATTCAGCGAAGACTCCTTCACGCCATCCTTCATCACGACCATCGGAATCGACTTCAAGATCCGGACCATCGAGCTCGACGGCAAGCGCGTGAAGCTGCAAATATGGGACACGGCGGGCCAGGAGCGCTTCCGCACCATCACCACCGCATATTACAGAGGTGCTATGGGCATCTTGCTGGTCTATGACGTGACGGACGAGAGAAGTTTCAACAGTACGTCGCCAAGCTCTACTCGGGCACACTGCAGCATCTCCGTGTACTAACACCCGCCACAGACATCCGCACATGGTTCTCCAACGTCGAGCAGCACGCCACCGAGGGCGTCAACAAGATCCTCATTGGCAACAAGTGCGACTGGGAAGAGAAGCGCGCCGTCTCCACGGAGCGCGGCCAGGCGCTCGCAGACGAGCTCGGCATACCCTTCCTCGAGGTCAGCGCAAAGAGCAACATCAACGTCGACCAGGCCTTCTACAGCCTCGCCGCAGACATCAAGAAGCGCCTCATCGACTCCGCGCGGACAGAACCCAGCGCGAACAAGGTGGATGTTGGAACTGATGCCGGCGGCTCGGGTGGCAGCATGGGCGGCAAGTGCTGCTAAGGCGGAGTGACGAAGCACGCACGTCTAGGCTGCGTTCGATGGTGCTGTGCGACGTGAAGGTGACGGTGATAGTGGCGCCCGCCTGAAACATTGTGCGTAGGTGCCCGCAGAGGGGAAGTGCGCCACGCCACAGACACGTCACGGCGTCGGCCATACACGCCCTGTAGGAGACGCACGGGTGGCATCGTGCACACGCTGGGACCGAGACGAGTTGAGTTGACATCACGGACCAGGCATACTTTCCTATTCCCCTACCTTACCTTTCTTGAATGGACTTTTCTGCTTGTCTCTACAACACTGGAGTTTTGGGGCTGGGCTCGGTGGGGGCTATGCACGCGGGTCGGTATGTTATGTTGGTTTATACTATACTACCGTAGTACTTTGTTAATGGCATACCATACTGCACTGCACTACCCGTTTGCTTCGAGAGCGATGTGTGATGTGTCGGAGGATGACGCCGACGTCTGAATATCGAGCGACACTGACACAGACCCGGATGCTAGCGCCCACGGTGTCGTTCACGATAGTTCCCCTGCGCCGTGTTCATCGGTCGGCACCACGTCGACATCAGTCTCTCTGTTTCTCTACGTGTGTTCGGGCTAACTGGCGCCGGAGCACGCTCCGCTGTGTGTTCTGTCTCACACACACACGACTCTCTACCATGCACTTTCCCATACGCCACACCGCAAACGGGCATGCTCGATGATGGTATTGATAGTTTGCCATCGTGTGTCTCGGGTGTTGCTGCGCGGAGGGGGCGCTGATGGCAGGTGTCTCGGAAGCTTGGAGTGATGTGATGGCGAGCCGTTGGACTTGAACATGTCCTTGGGTTGGGCAAGTACGGATGCGGGGTGAGCATGGCACAATGCGGCAACGATGGTGGAAGAGGTAGGGTGGGTAGTCGTGCGATATGTGGACCAGAGCGGAGGCGGGTGGATCTAACACAATGATCGTGTTGGTACTGGCATTGGTATTCTAGATCGCTGCTACACTCTCACATCCCCCAATCTCACCCTCGGGCAAGGTACCTCGCATCCGCACCGCCGCACCGCCGCACGGCCATCCCGCTCCTTCTCACTCCGCCCACGTCTCACAAGCTCGCCTTCCCCCTGCTCTCAAACGGCAAGACCAGCACAAGCAACCCACTCGCCACAAACAGCGCCCCGCTCACGTACACGGGCGCGCTCGTCTCCAGATTCGCATACATGGCCACAATCGGCGCCATGATGCCAAACACGCGGTTCGCACTCGCCGTAATCGCATTCCCCGTCCCGCGATCCTTGGTCGGGAAGATCTCGGGCGTGTACGAGTACAGCACCGCGTACATGATGTTGGACATGAAGTTGTACGCGCAGTTCCACCCCAACAAAGACGCCGAGGTCAGCGCCGTGGTCGAACAGAAGAGGAACACGCCCGTCAGCACCGTCGCGCCCGCCAGCGTGCCTTTTCGCCCAATCCTGGGTCGCTCCACCAGGTATCCGCCGAGCAGGCAGCCGGGGATGCCCAGCACGGCGATGATGAGCGAGTTGCGGTACGTCAGGTATGTGGAGCCGTCGCCAAAGTCTGCGCCGCGGGTGGCCTGGATGAAGGGGAGGAAGGCGTTGTACAGCGGGAAGCCGAGGCCGATGAACGCCCACACGAGGGTGATGAGGGTGGTGCTGTAGGCGAGCTTGGGGGTGGCGAAGAGTGCTTTGACGTGGGAGGTGTTTATCTTCTCGAGATTGCGCTGGACGGCGGCGGCGGCGTGGGAGCGCTGTGGCGTCGTGCCGGGGAGTGCGAGGGTGTTGCAGGCGGAAAGGTCGTCGAGGGTGAGGGACGAGGTTTTGCCGTTGCGGCGCGCGACTTCGTGGACAACTTTGACTGCTTCGGCGTCTTGCCCTTTGCCCATGAGGAACTTGGGCGACTCGTAGATGGTGAAGAAGACGAAGCGTCCGAAGAACATGGCCATTGCCACGCCGCCCAGCACAATCATGAAGTAGCGCCATCCCATGTTCTGCGCTTTCGTGCAGACTGGGTCCGTTTCCTCGCAGGTGAGGTCGCCGAGCAGCGGCCACGCAACGAGCGTTGCAAAGACTTGCGCCAGCGCCCAGTCGATCGAGAGAACGGTCAGCAACCACTGGTGACTCCCCGGCAGGAACTCTAGGAAGATCGCCGAATCAACAGGCAAGTTCCCGCCCACGCCGATACTCCAGAGACACGCAAATACCCCAATGGCAGCAAAGCTAGGCGACCCGGCAGCCGCGAGCCCAAACACCGCCGTGATACCGATGGTAGCGTTGAACGCCCATCGGCGGCCGAAGATGTCGCAGCCGAAGCCCCAGAACACGGCGCCGACGAGGAGTCCGATATTTTGCGCGAGTGTGAGGTAGGGGGCGCGGTCGGGTTTGAACTCGAGACGGATGGGGGGCAGGATGAGTGAGGTCGCAATGGGCCAGAGGTTGTCTTGGGCCCAGCCGAAGCCGACGACGATGAATAGCTGGGTGCGGTTAGCGGGGGTGTCGCGTGTGAGTGTGCGGCGCGCGGAAGCGATTGAGGAGGGCCATCTGGGCTTGGATTGTGTGGAGGAGATTGCGGAGGTAGTTCCTGAGTAGGCAGCGGAGATGGCGGAGGTGGTCCAAGATTGCGTAACGGAAATAAAAACTGTACGTAAAGGCATGGAAGGCATTGAACGTGTTGATGGAGATTCTATGGGAGGTGCGGCCTTTCGATGTGTGGAGTGAACGTAGGACGGGACGACTGAATTCGTAACGAAGACGGATGAGATAGCTCCAGAGTGAGTGCAAAAGGCGAAAGAGGTCGCTCCTGAATGCGCGATGAAGGCGGGCCAGGTGGTTTCTAAGTTCTTGTGCGTAACGAAGATAGACGAAATAGCTCGAGGCCTTGGAGGTGTTGACGGTGTCATTGTACATGGTTGAATATGTGGCTCGTTGGGCGTTGAAGAATCCGGGTGTGACTGGAAGCCATGATAGAGTTGAGACGTATTTATAGATAAAGCATCAATCCCGAGAGTGTGGTTACCGTTTGCTGTCTCCGAGTCCTGTCACCATTTCCTGTTACCGTTTCCTCACTGTTTCCTGGATACCGAGTCCTGCTTCCGTGGTCTGCGACCGTACTCTGTATCTTGGGCGGCGCAGTCAACCTCCAGTCTGTATCTTGGGATTCGGGTGGTCTCAACTGTTTTCCGTTTCCTGGAGAGGGATGATATGTACCCTGGTCCTTTGCTGTGCCGCAGCGCCTCGATTTTCTGCATTCTGTATTCCGTATTCTGAGTATCTCCTGGATCCCGATTACCCTACTCTGTGGTTCCTTTTCCGGTTTCTGGATTCCGTTTCTGCTTTCCATTTCAGGGTACAGTTGGTGGCTCATATCGTGTCGGTTCCTGGATCCCGTCCGCCGTATCTCGTCTTCTCCGTCATGTGCATCCAATCATTTTCCAGGTTTCTGCCATTCCCTCTCCCAGAAAACTGAAAGACACTATCTTACCTGCCACTGATATCTCCCCATACCAATGTCCTGAATCGCCTTGTTCAGCACCCTCGCCTTCGCCTCATACACCGGGTCGACAGCCCCGTCCAGCACCGCCCCCGGCGCCTCCCTCAACACATCATCGACCACCATCTCGCCCCCTCCTACTTCATCTTCTCTTCCCATCTCTTCACCGTCACCGCAAGGTGAATCGCTAAAAGCACCAGCACGATTGGCGTGCGAGCTCAGCAGGCCCTCCCGCTCTTCAAGTTCGTGCGCCACAATGACGCGATGCTCCTCTGTCTTCTTGGAAATGCAGACTCAATAGACAATCTACTGAGCTGCGCGCGGGAATATGCGGCAGCTAGGTGGCGGGGATAGTACTATTTTGTATGGACTGGTAGAGGATGGATGCGCATGCGAGATGCGTGAGTGGAGCTCCCTAGTTGGGCTTAGTGTGGGGAAGCCCTGGTGCACGGTTTGCGGGTGCATATGCAGTTCTGTGAACCCTTGCGTCGAATACGCGATGTCGCCATCGGCGGCGGAGATTCGTTATCAACTTAACCACTCAGTATGCCTCCTTCTGTGATAATTTACGGAGACTGAGCATTGTTACATGCCTTATTGAGGCCGCAAGCAGCGCTCGTCGTATTGATCCTTTGTTTGCCTCTTCCGGGCTGGCGGGGTTGCGTATACGGAGGCACGACAGGGAGAGGTGTTGGAGGTGCATGATCGGACGGGTGACGGGCTGCGGAACTCGGGATCGGCGCCGCTAGGGACAGGCCGAGGCGAACGAGTGTTCAAGTGCGTTTACCCACGCGGTCTACCGCTGGAGACGCAACGATCAACATCAACCAAAGTGGAGAGCGTCAAGATATCTTGAGCATAGGCAACCCCAATGATGATTTCGTCCGGAAGTCTTGTTCTGAGTTTCCTTTCGGAGACTTGCTATGCAGAGTAGTAGAAGTGAAGACTAACGCCCTCGTAAGCAAGCCCAACCTCAGTCATCTACATCACCAAGCCACAGCAGATCGTGATTGTTCCATACTTGTTCTCTAGCATGTCTACAGTGCTGTGCATGATGTTACATGGCCATGCGCCGCGCTTCAATAAGCATCGGGGCACAGCAGCAAAATATCTCTCCAGCCCACTGGTCTACTTCCAGAGCTTGCTAAGACTGGTCGCCTTGTCGTCGTGCTTGTTGAGTACCTTCGCAGTCGCGAGGTCGAAGTCCTCTTGCGTGACGTGCACTCTCCTCTCTCTTAACGCGTACATACCGGCCTCCGTGCATACACCCTTGAGCTCAGCTCCCGAGCAGCCGTTCATCTTCTCCGCAATCTTGGTGAGGTTGATACCGCGGGTCAAGTTCATGCTTCGAGAGTGGATCCGTAGAATATCCGCGCGAGCTTCAACCGATGGCGGCGGGAACTCGATCTTTCTATCAATTCGTCCAGGTCGCAGAAGCGCGGGGTCCAAAATGTCGAGACGGTTGGTCGCCATGATAATCTTGATGTTCTTCGTGGGTTCAAAACCGTCCAGCTGGTTGAGCAACTCCAACATAGTTCGCTGCACTTCCGAATCGCCGCCAGAGCTGCCCTCCACTCTGCTTGAGCCGATACTGTCAATTTCGTCCATGAAGATGATGCTGGGTGCGTGCTCTCGCGCCATGACGAACAACTCGCGAACCATTCTGCTGCCCTCTCCGATGTATTTCTGCACCAGCTCGCTACCGGACACTCGGATGAACTTGCAGTCGGCGTGATGCGCTACGGCACGGGCTAACAGCGTTTTTCCTGTTCCGGGAGGGCCATATAGCAGCACACCCTTCGGTTGTGCGATACCGAGCGATTCGAATAGCTCAGGGTGCTGCAGACCAAGCTCAATGACCTCCTTGATTTCCTTGATCTGCTGGTCAAGGCCACCGATCATATCGTAGGTGCTGTCCGGGACCTTCTCTACCATCATGAGGGATACGAGCGGATCAACAGACGATGGCAGCATCTTTTCCAGCTTGTATGAGTCGCTCAATAATGTGACGCGCTTCCCGACGGTGAGCTTGGCAATGTCCACGTTGTCGGAAATGTCAACGACTATCACATATCAGTGCTGCCCAAATGACCTGCCAGCCGCCGGATCTTACCGTATTTGCCCTCGGGATGCACCTTGACGAGGACTTTCTTGGTGCCCATTACCTTTACGACCTCGCCGACATAGGAGCCCGGCTGCTGCAGAAGGCCGAGCTCTTCTCGCAGTAACCGTACCCTCGAGTTGTAGTCATTCCGCTGGGCTTCGAGGCGACGGAGCACGGCCTGGCCCTGTATTATCTCCAGCTTCATCGACTCGATCTTGTTGTGGTAGAAGGTATCGAGCGCCATGGTGGTGGCGGTCGCGGGGAGCTTGCGGGCGCGGTGTTTTTACGATTCGATGGTACGTGGGGGTAGGCCTGGATGTGCTGGAGAGGCGCACACGGAAGGCGCGGCCGAGCGAGCGAAAGACAGCGGGGTGATGGATAGGGCTGGTGGTGTTTGGGTGTTTGCTGGCGGCGGCAGCTCTCTCATGACCGCCGTCACGGCGAATCTAACTAAGCTTCCGGGCCGACAGAGCTCCGGTATTGCGCTAGAGCAAAAGGGGAAAGGGGCACCCGCAGGGTTCCTTCATCCTGTTTCCCCACTGCCCAGCTCGCAATGCGGTAGCTTGCAGGTCACAAGTGTATGCCCGTTGAGTCGACTTTCTAGGCGCAGGAGAAGCTGCAGGTGTAAGTTCTCCAACCCCTCGAGCAGCGTTGCCATTGTTTCCATCATGGGAGGCTATCGCGGCTCTTCGCCTACTCGGAAAGGCGCCGGAGCCAGCTGCAGCTCGATTTCTGGTCTTGGTATGGATGGACGGCTGATCGGAATCCACACAGTGTCATCTGCTCTGTCACGCCGCTAGTCTCCAATCCTCACGTTGCCTCGCTGTGTGATATGCAGTCGCTGGCTTTGTGTTCTCCTCCGCGCCGTAAACGCCTTGTCGCAGGTGTCGCAGCGTTGTGAGCGGCCTGTGTACGACAACGCCCAGTGACGTGCTACCTCACACCACCAACTCGGAATATCACCATCGCACCTCGCGCAGAACGTCATGGCCGAAGGCGACCGCCCCGCGCCGGGAGGCAAGAGCAATACTTCCTCGGCCAGCATCTCGCGACGCCCCTCTGACTTTGACACCGGCTCTGCTTCTGCGAGCCAGCATGCGACCGGCACGAGCAGCTCTGAAGCAGCACGTAGACGGCCGCAGATTTCTTCAGCACAGCCAGCAGGATATGGTAATAAGGCTCCGCCGTTTCAAAGCAAAGCTTAACGGCTACTAAAGCTACGCAGGGTCCATCACATCTCCCATCGATCGCCGACAACAACAAGCGACCACCGACGCGTCGTCCAGCACGTCCAAACCAAAGAAGCCCTCGATGAGTCGCCGCGCAACATCAGCTAGGTTCCCCACCAAAGGACAGGAATTCTCCGTGGACGACGCGCAAGATGAAATCGACCGAGAGCTGGCCGAGCAACAAAGGCAACAACAACAACAACAACAACAACAACAACAACAAAAATCAGCGCGTCAAGTGCCAGGTCAGCCGCTGCGCCGCAAGCCTTCCACGGTGCGGCGTCGAACAACGGCAGCGCAGACGCCTAGCCTAGCAAGGGTCAACTCGTTGGAAGATGAAAGTGTGGAGCAAACAAATGCTGCAGCACCTACCGACACTGAGGTGCAACCTGCTTCTTCTGGCGAAGGGACACTGCAGCCGGACGACGACGACGACGACAGCGGCAACGGCGTCGACGAAGAAGTCGATGACGACGACGGCGGCGATATAAGCGACGCGGAGAGCTTTACGCTCAAGGACAGACAAGAGGCCATCAACGTAACGCATCCCTTCGGTATCAGGATCTGGAAACCAGCTTTGTACAAGAAAGGGCGTTCCGTCCAGAGGAACGCCGAGGAAGATATCCATTCTACGCCGGGCCATCACGTCAGCCGATGGTTGGTTTTGTTCAACATTGCTTGGACCCTCGTGTTTGGGTGGTGGCTCGCTATCTTCGCGGCTGCGGGTGGTCTGCTTTGTGCCCTGTTCTGGTTTGCCGGTAGCTGTCAGGAGTACTCCCATCTACTGTTCCATCTCGCAGCATACCTCTTCTATCCGTTCGGAAAGTACGTCAAGTTGCTCCAAGACGAGGCGTACGCCGAAGAAGACGAAGGCGAAGGTCGAAGCATCAGCGAATACGAGCAATGGCAGAGCGGTGACATAGAAGAAGGACGTCTGTTCTTCGGTCCTAGTGAAGGTGCAGGCTCCCTGATCGGAAGGCGAAGAAACAGTAACGATTCTGCGAATGAGACTACCAGCTTACTTGGGCGGGATGGTCGCGCGAACCTCACTCATACCGACACCGCCAGGACCAAGAGGAGGCTCTTTGGTCGTGGCAAGTGGAATGTTGGACGGGTTATCTTCTTCGTCTTCTTCTACGGTGTCTTCTCACCTGTGCTCTTTCTCGTCTCCGGCCTCTGTTGGTTCTTTGTGTTCACAATTCCTATGGGCAAAGTCACGCTTTTGCTGTTTGACCATCTCCGCCGACACCCTCTCGCGCTTTCGTTCCACTCTGATAGTGGCAGTGTACGCCGCCAGGGCGAGTCTTCTTCCATTCTTCTGTGCACGTACCGCGCGGTAGGCACCAAGTATTGGAAGTATACCATCGACGGCACCAACATCTTCCTTATCAACCTCCTGGGCCTCGTAGCATTTGTCATCTTCGATTACTTTGTTCTTCATGAAATGCTGGAACTGAAGAACGCTTTCACGGACACATTCTTCCTCTTCGCTATGGCTCTTCTGTCAATCATCCCGTTGGCCTATTTCATCGGGCAGGCTGTTGCGTCCATTTCTGCCCAGTCTTCCATGGGAGTCGGTGCGACTATCAACGCTTTCTTCTCTACGGTTGTAGAGGTCTTCCTGTACTGCGTAGCCTTGAATCAGAACAAAGCACAGCTCGTCGAAGGCAGCATCATCGGCAGCATCTTTGCTGGTATACTGTTCCTTCCCGGATTGTCCATGTGCTTTGGTGCTCTGAAGAGGAAAACGCAGCGTTTCAATGTCAAGTCCGCCGGTGTGACATCGACGATGTTGTTGTTCGCCGTCATTGCTGCTTTCGGACCGACGCTTTTCTATCAGATCTACGGCAGCCATGAGCTGGTATGCGCCTCGTGTGTTCACCGCAGCCATGGTTTAGATAGGGAGCAGGACTGCAGAAGGTGCTACTACTCGCAGACGCCAGCGGTGGACAATGAGTTCTATACCGAGGCCGTTCAGCCGTATACTTGGATCGCGGCTGCACTCCTCTTCCTATCCTACGTCATCGGCTTGCTATTCACGCTCCGAACTCACGCTGCCACGATCTGGAGTACGGAGGCTGACGAGAAGAAAGCAGCAGATATGTCTGTCAGCCAGCTCAGCAACAGCGGACATCTCGAATTCCCAAGCTCTCTCAGCAGACAAGCGACGAGCAACTCGGTGGCACGCGCTGATATTAGAAATAGCCAGCTGTACAAGCGCATCGTGGGCCAGACACTTCAGCAGGTGGGGTATGGAACCGAAGAAGAGCAGAATGCAAAAAGACCTGGCTCGCGGGCCGACGGTCAGACAACACCTCACGTTGTGCCGCCCAAGGATGGCGAACAAAGAACTGCTTCCGCGAATTTCCATCTTGAGGGGCTGTCGGAACATGACAACGAGTCTCTAGTACGGCAAATTACCGAGATTGCCGCACATACCACGGCGCTGGCAACGAGGGATGTCGTTAAGGCTCCGCGCAAAGCTGCTCATATGGCTACGACGCCAGCAAAGGACAGGCCGCACCATCACCGGACTGGCACATTTGAAGCAGCTGTCGGAGCCGTCGAAGAACCTGCTGCAGTCCATGCAGCGGGTGGGCATGATGCTCCCAACTGGAGTCGGACGAAGAGTTCCGCAATCCTTCTGACTGCTACGATTGCGTATGCTATCATTGCTGAGATTCTCGTCAACACTGTTGACGTGGTTCTCGAGGGTTCCAACATCGACGAAAAGTTCCTGGGCATCACGTTGTTTGCATTGGTACCTAACACAACTGAGTTCTTGGTGAGTCCACCTGTGATGTCCACGAATATTTGCTAACGGCATGTACGTAGAACGCCATTTCATTCGCTATGAACGGCAACATTGCGCTTTCCATGGAGATTGGCTCCGCCTACGCTCTACAGGTTCTTCTTTTGCAGATTCCGGCGCTTGTCTTCTACAGTGCATGGCACAACCGCGGCTTCGATCCCGCCAAAGTTGTTGACCAAACTTTCAGTAGGTTGCCTCATTTCTTTCCATGTAACCGAATACTAACGTTACTTCCCAGCCCTAATCTTCCCGCAATGGGACATGGTCACAGTCATCCTCTGCGTGTTCCTCCTCTCCTACATGTACGGTGAGGGCAAAAGCAACTACTTCAAAGGCTCCATCCTCATTCTTTCCTACCTGGTGGTCATCGTCGGCTTCTTCCTGTCTGGATTCAACGATTTCGACAGGATGGGCGTCGATCCCAAGGACACACTGGCTCTGGGTGCCCAGTTACAGTCAATGAAGTTTACGACTTATGGTGGCGGTCTTGGAGGGGGACGCGGCGGGCGTGCTTTTTAGTGAGCGCGACTACCGCTTTTTCACTTTTTCGATGTCAACTTTGTTTTCCGAAAGCGTTGCATTAACCAGAATAGATAGTGCGGATCGAGCTGTGGTTCGACGCGGTAGATAATTACTTTACTTCGATTTGGGCATGTCAAGGATGGGCTGAATTGCATTTGGCAATGCATAGCAATGGCGTCTAGAGTTTGATCTAGGGTCGAAGCATAATACCAAAGTTTTTCATGACATTCCGGAGCGTTTTGGTATAATCATGGCTTACTGTCGAATGACGTGCAGCTGGCACTCAGCATTGAAAGCACCAATACCCGTCGTGTTCACCCCACATCACAGAGAAATTTATCTTTGCCTACGCCCAGCTATCTGCAAGCCTCACTCAGATTGCTTTGTCCTCTCACAACGGCAGCCGCGTAGTGTATGACGGCGCCAACAAGGAAGCTGCCTCCCCAGAACCATCAATGCCACACGTGTCAGCGCGTCAACGCCTCGGCGCTTGGTGGTTCCGAGACACAGGCCTGTTTGAGATTCGCGCCTTGTACATCCCACGCCAACCGCTCCCGCAAGGGTAGCCGAGGCCTCAGCCACAACGCTACTTGCCCTTCCAAGTTGTGGAATCAAATCAAGGAAGTGTAAATAAGCTAGACGGGCAGTGATTTTGGGCGCGCGGTAGGAGGTACCGGATGTGTAGGCAGAGGGAGTGAGCGAATGGGATGGGGACGGCAACGGCGACGGCGACGGCGGAGAGGCGGTGCAGGCGATGATGACAGAGACAGACAACAAACATGAGTTTCAGGAGATTCCGCCCGTGCCGCTGAGCAGTTTCCGGAACGAAGGGAAATGCAAATGGGGCCCAGCGTAGACATGCGAGGTTGGATTTGGAAGCGCAGCACGCATCATGGACGCATCAGCGGCGATCCTGGCCTGCGCGTGCATAGGACTCGGCGATAGGCCTGGGCGCCGATTCTCTGCCGGGGTCGTCCGCGCCCGTGGTGGAGGACCAGACCGGGGACTGCATCGACTGGGACGCATACATACCCGCCTGCGTCCTGTCTTGCACTTCGCGCCGTGATCGTGACCTGCCCTTATTTCAACCTCGCCGTTGGTGACTCCCATGCTGTCGAGCGTGAAGCTGTCTGGGACTTGAACGCGCCGGGAATACTGGATTGCGCTGCGCTGAATTGAGGAGCCTCGGACCGTACCCCGCGTGGTGAGCGGACGACGTTCCGGCGTGGTGCTATATCGGCGGCGACTCGACTCGACTCGACACCACGTATGACAACCGACGACTGGACGACTGTCAACCAGTGAGCGCACTCCTGCGCGAGGGGAAGCCATCATGGTGCAGCGATCGACATCGCGGTTCGCGTGCGCGCTCTTCGCGACCGTGGCCGCCGCAACGACGATTGCGCCTGCCAACTCGTCGACAGCCTATAACAACTACACGGGCACCATCAATCTGCAGGACAACCAGGGGAGAAACATCACAACCCTAGTGCCGTTGACGTCGGGAGCGGACGACGTAGACGTCAGTTTTAGGCCTCATGATCGTTCGAATGATTGCTAACACATGCCACAGCTCAACGCTGTCCTGTTCTACACAACCACAGAAACCGCGAACAATATCTCGCGTAACCAGATCGCCTACGTCAGCTGCGACCTGTCCGATTATCCCGGCAACATCCACGTCGACAGCATCCTCTCAGAATTGAGTCACATTGCCAGCGGCGCCATCCTCTACAGCACCACCGAAGACTACTGCAACTACACTTCCGACAATGCCAACATGGATTTATTTGCCCTCTACAGTACCACCAACAAGGGCGATGCAATCAGCCAGAAGGACACTCTCGAGGCGCTGCAACCGGGTCAGATGTTTAACGCAAAGATCACCCGCGCCAACACGCAGAACAACAGCACCGATCCAACCCAAAATCCAGGCCAGACGAACCCGCTGGGCCCGAGCCCGTCGACTGCAGTAGCCATGATTATCCTGTACAGCATCACGGGCGTCATCACTGCGCTCTTCCTCGTCATCATCGTCACCGGTGCCGTGCGCGCGCACAGGCATCCCGACCGCTATGGACCACGGGATGTCATGGGACGCCCGCGGCAGAGCAGAGCGCGTGGTCTTGGAATGGCGATATTGGATACGATTCCGATTGTCAAGTTTGGCGAGCGCGAGCAGCCCAAACCTACGGACGTGGAGTTGGGGAGCACGTCCGAGGCGCGCGGTGTTGATGGCACGGCGGATGCCACTGCCACCACCACCCCGCCCGCTGACACGGCCCCCGCAACAGAAACAGGAACAGGGAGTCATACACCTCCCACGGCCGCAGACCACGCAGAGCACCTAGACTCGGGCATCGCGCCGGCTGCGGGGGCTGCTTCAGCAGCTGGTGCGAACGGCGCTGCGAGCGCAGAGGAGGGACTCGGGTGCTCCATCTGCACCGATGACTTCGAAAAGGGGCAGGACATCCGTGTGCTGCCGTGCGACCACAAGTTCCACCCCGAGTGCGTGGATCCGTGGCTGCTCAACGTGAGCGGCACGTGTCCGTTATGGTGAGTCGAACATCCCACCCTCTGTCCTTATCGCATACCCCCCATACGCAAAGACGAGAATTGAGAAAATAAAAAATGCTAACCAAACGTATAGCCGTGTCGACCTCCGCCCCACTACCTCGCACACCTCCAACGACGCCGAAGCTGACCCCAACTCCACCACCCTCGCCCCTCCCTTGCAGTCTGAAGAGCCCGCCAACCGCCGCCACTCCACCCTCCGCGACATCCTGTCCTTCCGCAGCCGCCCTAACGCCTCGGCTGACGAGCGCATTTCTGCTCTCCGCCGGTTGAGAGAACAGCGTAGGAATGGCAGTGGGGAAGTAGCGGGTGTTGGTGCGAATGTGAGTAGCGAGGATGTAGGCGCGCAAGACAGGAGGAGGAGTAAGAGGATGAGTTTGTTTGGGCGGAGACGTGGAGACAGCGTTCGTGAGGAACCTCCTTTCGCGGGCGAACCGTCTTCGGGCGCGGCATCAGCTTCTGCTGCACCCCAGCCTGCCAGAAACGATGAATCCACTGCTCTGGTGAGAGAGGGCGATGACACGACGGCTGGAGCTGTGGCACCCAACTCGAGCGTCAATACCAGGAATTAGGATTCTTTCCTCACTTCTCCTTTCACAATTTACCGCGGCGTTATATGGACTGGCCTGCTCTTTCCGTTTCTTGGAACTCGATACCGACGCTTGCTGCATTTCTCGGCGTTTCTCTCTGGCTTGGGTTTCTTATGACTGGTATCACGAGGATGAGATGATGTGTATAGGTTTCGGCGAGGGTGCGAATATGGATGATATGGAGTATATACAAGTTTAGGTTAGTGTACGATTTTGCGTATACACGTATGATATTCCGAGCATAGATGTTCTTATCTAGATCTGTGGATGTTCCATTCAATCGTGATAAAAGAGGGAGTGACGTGGAGGCTGCATGTATATAAATGTAGCACACTTCATTTTTGAGAAGCACAAAGTTGTGTCCCCGAGAATGGGGACAAATAGAGCGCCGTCCGATCACCCAACCGATGCGTTACCGTAATGCTAAAGCAGTTGTCTCAAGCACGATGCATGGCCGAAAGACATTGCACGGACTTCTCCATGTTCGTGAACGCGTCTGCAACTATACAGTAAGCTGACTGTTGTATAGCCATGATTTTCCAATCAGGACGAAGGTGTGACTTAGATGCCAAAGTTACAGATTGAATGTACTTAGCTCGGAGATGGTAGGTGGGGGCATGGAGGTGGAGACGGAGAGGCGTGACGGGAGACCAAGCGATATGCGTGTGCGTGTGGACGCGTAAGACAAACATGGTTTGGGCATACTGGCAGTGTGTAAGTCGACACGAAGCAGAGGCTCCGTGTGGGTCAAACACCAGCGTACAGGGATCTTATCAGATTAGATGCCGCCAGCCGCTCTGAGCATCATCGATCCATCGCACTGCAGGGACCACTCGTTTCGCCCAACCCCACCGCATGCGGCAGCTTCCCTACGTCGACAAATCACGGGCAGTCGGCTACTTTATTTCTTCTAGAACCTTACTCTTTTCCTCTAGAGGACATGGCGCCATCGCTAGTGCATTAGGTATTAACATCGGGGCCTGAGGGCTAGGCGGCTGGCCCACCAAAACTTCGACACCGAGACCCTGAAAACGCAATGCATCCGGCGGAGTAATTAACACGCCCCGCCGCTCACTGCGGGCTTGATTCTATACACACACTCACAAGAACTACTCGTGTCAACGGTCGCAAGAGAAAGGGCAGCGGGCTCCCTTCCGCCCCCATCAATCCCAACGACTTGCCCCGCTATCAACAAACCCCTCCCCACGAGCACTTCCTACGATAGCCAACAATGGCGTCCACACCCACCGAGCAGCCCTCGTCGACCTCGACCTTCCCTTCGCGCCAGAAACCCATCCCATACTCGGCCGCCAACGGCACGCGCACACCTCTCTCCTCCATCCTGCCGCCCCTCATCTTCGGCACCGCAACCTTCAACCACCAGTTCAACAACGACCCCTTCGCCCTCGACACAGTCGGCCTCGTCACCTCGGCCCTCACCCACGGCATCCGCGCCTTCGACACATCGCCCTACTACGGGCCCTCAGAACAGCTCCTCGGCGATGCGCTGGCTACGCCCTTCGTCCGCGAGACGTTCCCGCGCGCCTCGTACATGCTCCTAACCAAAGTGGGCCGCATAAAGAGCGACGAGTTTGACTACTCGGCCGCCTGGGTGCGGCAGAGCGTGCAGCGCAGTCTAGAGCGCCTGCACACCGACTACCTCGATCTCGTCTACTGCCACGACATCGAATTCGTTTCACTCGCCGAAGTGCTGGAAGCCGTGACTGCGCTGCGGGAGCTCCGCGCCGAGGGCAAGATCCGCTATGTCGGCATCTGCGGGTACCCACTCGACGTCCTGGGCGACGCAGCCGAGATGCTGCTCCGCGAGACAGGCGAACCCGTTGACGCAGTGCAGTCCTATGCGCACTTTAACCTGCAGAACCAGACGCTCGGCGGGCCGCGCGGCATCGAGCGCTTCCGCGCCGCAGGCGTCGGCGTCACCACCAACGCGTCCTGTCTCGGCATGGGCCTGCTCCGCCGTGAGGGCGTCCCCGTCGGCGGCATGGGCGACTGGCACCCTGCACCGCGCGCCCTCCGCACTGCGGTGCACGCCGCCTCCGACTTCTGTGACTCGCACAGCGAAAAGCTCGAAGTAATCGCCATCCGCTGGGCCCTCGAAACATGGGTCTCCGCCGGCGCATCGTGCGGGTCCCGCGGCGACCCGGCCTCCGGCCTCCCCTGGAAGCACGAGAGCAATTCCGAAGTCGGCGGCGCCGCGCTGGGCGTCAGTGTCATCGGCGTATCACACCCTGCCGAGCTCGACAAGACGATGCTGGTGTGGCGGTCTATCCTCGATGGGCTTGAAGGAGGTGAAGAGACGGCGGTCCAGGCGGGGCGGTGGTACCGCGCGTGGGAGTGGTCGAGGAGTCGGAGGGCCGCGGTGCGGATACTGGCTGAGGGCGTGGAGGAGATTCTTGGCGAGTGGTTTGGGTATAGTTGGGATAGTCCTGAGAAGGGGTTCGTGAACAAGCACAAACCTGTGCAGGGGAAGAACGCGGTGGACGGGGAGCCGTCACTGTTGACGCCTGCTGCGAGTCCAGAGAGCAAACCAGTTGACGGCGGAGAGGGCGTGGAGAAGGGCATTCCGCTAAGGTAGTAATGCAGGCAGAGCATGTGCGAGGATATGAGGTTTGTACATAGATAGATGGGTAGATAGATTTTGGGCGAGTTTTCACATGGTTGGGGTAGACCCGGTTACGACGACGAGCTCCAGAGAGCAAAGGTGTTCGCAATCGATTGCACGTTTGAACTTTTCAAGATCCGTCGCATGCATGACTATGAAGTCGACCAGCGCCCGTCACTCATTCTAGCTACCATAAGCTGCCCGAGTTGGCCACGACATATGTTTGCACTTGAGCAAGCCACCCCTAACCCTACCAGCATCGCCATGCACTTCAAGGTGGCATTATTCGTTTCACGGCCTCCAGACCTCTCTAGCACGACCAAGACAGGAGTTGGCGCGAAGGGGATCGCATTCTGAGTCGGATCGCATACACTAGAATATACTAGGAGGCACTATCTAGATACAACTAGATGGCTAAACGTATTGTCTGAATGTCTATCTTCAAAATTTCATTTGAGTAGATAAGGGTATAGAAGTCTTGTAACAGCATCATCACCAGGGCGCTTTGTGGCGACCAGCACGTCAGGCGCCTTGCCGTGCTCGACCCAGTCCACCAACGCATCAAGGCTGTCGTATGGATACGGACCGGCACCGGCTTGGCAGTGTCGCGTCCCCGGGGCGAAGAAGAGACGGTAGAAGTCGTGGACCTTTCGATCCTGTCGAAAGACGCGGTCGTAATACCCTGCCGTGCCGTTTGGTGGAATCAACTGATCGGCGAGTCCGTGCCAGCTGAGGATCTTGCCGCCGGAGTTTCGAAATGCAGAGAGCTCGGGACTCGATGTCCCGATTATGTCATCATACTGTGAGAGTGACTTTTCGAAGCTGAGCTCGTAATCCGCTTGGCTCATCCCTTTGATATCGAAATCTGTATCCTTTTCGACAAATAGACGGATCCATTTCTCCGCGACACTGAAGGGCACGCCTTCACATTGAGAGGTTCCGCTCGAACAATTTGTTTCTGCCGTGGTCAGGCCTGGCAGTCCCGCAAGTGCTGCATCCCGGTTCAGACCGGGCCAAAGACGATGTCCTCCCGTCGAGGTGGGTCCGGACCAAGCGGCCATGGCAATTTGAGCCGCTTGTGATGTGACCTGCGTCTGACCCCCGCTACATCCGTTGAGTTGGCCGATGAGCGTCGTGGCGTCGAAGTCGCATCTGTTCGGGGAGGACAATACGCCATCGGCGAGTCCGTCCATTCCATCGCAGGCGGTAATCGCAGAATTGGTGATATACTCGAGCTCACATGGTGCAGGATAGTAGTTGAGCTGGTTCATCACCTGCTGAGGCCAATACGCTGCGACCTGGAAGCTGGGCCAATTGATGGCAGGTGCGAGCGCAAGTATGCCGTCAAATGCGTCAGGATATCGTTGTGCGAGCATCATGCCCTGTCGCCCGCCCGTAGAACAACCGCTCCAGTAGGAATAGACAGGATGTCGATTGAAGTACTTCCATATCACCGCTTTTCCAATGCGCGCCAGGTCATTAAGGGAGAGGTGCGCAAAGTCTTCGAGTAGGTCAAGGTTGACATTACCGTCTTCGTTGAGTGCCCATTCGGACGGGTCTCTATCATCGTTTCCACCGTCCGTGGATGATGCGGCATAGCCTCTGGCCACTGCTGGGGCAAGTGCAAGAGGGCCGAAACCTGCCATATAGCCACCGCCACCGGTTCCTTGGAAGCGTCCGTTCCACCTGCTTCTCTTGGGAAGCCATACCGTGACGCGAACGGGTGAGTGCTGAGAACCGCGAACATAGATCACGGTGACGTTGCAGAATTCCAGATCGACGTATTCCGCGCTCGGTATGTCGCCATTCTGGAAGATACTGATGTTGAAGTTACGCACGTCATTCGCCTGAACTTCCAACACTCGTATTCCTGGGAGCGCGACGTCGGAGAAGACTTTTGCGTTGCATATTGGATCGCGGGTGTCATTCGTGCCGTCATGCGTGTTTCTTGCAAAAGCTGACCACAGAAAGTAGCTAGATAGGAACGCGATTCTTAAGATGCCACAAAACATGGTGACCTAGGAGGAATCAACGTGAGATGACCTGATCACTGGAGGAATACAAGTACTACTTATACTATCCGGAAAGTCTGGGAGAGGGATTCTAGATGGCAGGGATTAGATGGCAGGTGGTAGAGTTTTGAGCATTCTATAAATCGGCAAAATATTCACCAACGTTGAGACGTAAACTTCGATGGGAGTTCTAGTGTTTCCTCAGGTCACCATTGTTCTTCACTGGGACTACGCTCTCTTGGCACCTACCGTTCTAGGAAGTTGCTTTCTACGCGAGGAAAGAGATCTCTAGCGACGCGCTGAGTCGTACCGCCGGTGACGAGGCCCCCATGCTTATGCTTACAGCTTGTAATGCAGCGCAAGATGATGAATTTGGAATTACAAGCTCGAAAGATCACGTAAGCGCAGGACGTGTCGGCAACAGGCGTCGTTGCCAAAGACGCTTCAAAGTTTCGAGTCAAAAGGAGCGTTTGAACATGTCTTGAAGCTCTTTGTAGCGGTTCACAGAAGGTCGAAATGAACAAACACGCCATTCTCCTCCTCTTGTTGCGGTTGTACGTAGCTGATGACACGATAATCAAAATGGCGTCAGCTTCGGAAGCCATCAGGGCTGAGTTCTCCGGTGTCCTAACTACCAAGGCAATACGAAAGTGGAAACGAGGAGTTGATGCGTCTCGGGAACGTCTTCTGAAGGATCACAGGCTGTGCAAGTAACTGATTATACGACGTCTTCCAAACGGTGGCAATGCGATATTACAGATTCTGGCATCAGCTCACGCGTTCTGAACATCTTTGCTAATGATGAGCCCTTTAACAGTACGGTGGACAGTCCAGACGAATGCGAGAAGAATGCGAGATGTTTTTCTTTGGCTACTACGTGACTATATCCAATGCTGACGTCAACACATCACATTTTGAGTGAGGTAGTTTTCTCTACCCTGTTCAAGTCAATATCATGCCTCCAGTCTTCTCAGTAAGCCCCTCTATACCAACTTTGAGAAAGTGCTCATCTTCATCGATCTGCCGGCGCAGGTCGCCGCTGCTAAGCTCGGATACATCCCAGTTTGCCCACACGAATCGGCCGTGCAGAAACTTTGCCTCGGAACTAGCAGCCCAGATAGCAAATTGGCCAGGTAGGTTTTCTTTATTCAGGTCAGATTGTTTCGGTTCGTATTGAGAGCCACTCACCATCGTCGAATACGAGTCCCATGTTTTCGTGCGCGCCAAGCTTCCTTGCAGAGTCCGTCAAAATCCCTCCTGGGTGGAAGCTGACTATCTGCATGTCGGATGGATTGACATCCTTCGCGATCTGCTGGAGAAGAGCAGTCCCAGAGTTTTTAGTTAGGCCATAGGTGGGCCTTTCAGGGCCCATGGTCGTCCACATGTATGCAGCACAAGTCGATACATTGACGAGATACTTGAAGAGAGTTTAGTGTGTTGTAAATTTGGTGTCTTGACACTGAGGCTGACATACCAATCCAGGTCGGTCTCCCGCAACACCTCCACTTTTCTGCTTGTAGAAGTAGTCCGTCATGGCCAACGGGCTGCGGACATTGGCCTCAAAGTCCGACCAGACCTTTTGGATCCCTCCTTGTAAGATGGTCTCGGTAGCGCCATATGCGGCAGCGCTCAGCACTAAAACACGAACGAAAACGACTCTGGCTTCCAGCGAACGCCATAGCCGTTCGATTAATGCGAGGTTATAGACATCACAAACGATACCTTCAACTTGGCCAGATTGCTCGTAGGTTTGCGCTTCGTGTCGCAACTTAGCGACTGCAGCTTCTAGAACTTCCTGTCTACGGCCCAGAAGAATGACGTGCGAAGCGCCCGCCGCAAGGTAACCACGAGCAATGGCGAGGCCGATTCCACTGCTGCCTCCTGTTACAATGACTGTCCTACCATCTTGACTCAGTTCAGGCCGGAATGGTGAAATCGCCCCATACGGCCTTTTGTGATAGTGCTGCAGAGATGGAAGACTCATGTTGGAAAGTGAGGTTTGGTAGTGTAGATGATGCGAGGTAGGTATTGATATGGATCTAATGGCTGTGATAGAACAAAGATCTCTTGAACTAGCCACTGTTTCCCTTTCTGCTGCATTTATACCAGTGATCTCGCCGCGCCGTATTCTACGAGCAAGATACTGTGTCGTTTCTGGGCGACTACAGAAAAGTGCGTCAGCACATTACCGGTTGAGCACGTGTGTTAAGCTTTCTGGGCAACTTCCATAAACAGCAAAGCGCTTTGCTGACAGACCGTTGGACAAGGAGTACAATTCATCATCTGGGCACATAACATTACGGTGATCAAAGGATGCGTTGTGTTGACAAATCGCCTATCGCGTCGGACTAAGTGCGACGGACCGGTCAATGCCGCCACTACGAATATGCAATATCATCGAAGCACTTGCCGACGCGACATCGGACTTAGCGCGAATACCTCGGTTTTCAGTGAATGTCGATTCAGTATCACAAATACGTGTGTGCAACGTAAACATACATCACTCGTTGTCTATTCACGTTGCGTCAGCGCCTCGTTTGCACGTGGCATCAAGTGCGTGGGGAAATAAATGCATTCTAGGTCTGCTCCCATCTTCAAAATCATGCCGTCAGCAATCCGCCCCGTGTCGAGCATGCATATGCCAGGTTTGCGACAGTTTTCCGAAAAGTCAGCATTAACAGCTTCGCGAGGTGCAAAACCCGAGAGTCGCACGCCAGCCCAATTTGTAGACACTATACAAAGTCCCGTGTGGTTCCAAATTGCAGGTTGGACATGGTAGATTCACTTCCTAAAGCTATGAGACCTGAAAGCAGAAGAATGGAAGAATCATGTTCTCCTGGGGATTGGAAGGAAATTTGAGCTTGGAAGCACTTAAGTACAAATCAAAGTCGACCTTGCGAGAACCGACAGCTGGATGGATACGAAGGGGTTGCATTATAATCTAGTTTGCGACTACAATAACATGCAAAGAAGAGTTTTCCCCAGTGGAAGGGCAGGTGCCGGTGCCCAAAGGTGCCGACACACCTGTACTAAGTGGCAGTACATCCCTACCACTATAATCTGACTGGGAAGCAGCAAAGAACACCGAAGCTCTACCGTCGGCTATAGATTCCCAGACGATCGTGCGAGTTCTGCAACTTCAAGAATCGCCCTCGTGAATGCATCCGGATTCTGCTGCGGGATATTCTCGCCAGTGTCCCTCAGGATATGATGGATCCGCGGCGCGGCAAAGAATTTTGCTGCCACGCTCTCGTTGGCTGGAGGTAATACCGGTGAGTCTGTCGGGTCCAGCGTCACTGATGGGACCATGATCTTAGGTTGGGCATCCAGAGCGTCAGCCAGATTGGCGTAGGCAGGATCACCTGGTGTGTAGAGCAGCCGACTCCGGTAGAAATTAACCACTATTTCAGGATAATCGGCATTGTCGAAAGCGACCATCGCTCTATCGAGATCGCTCTCTGTGAAGTTCCATTGTGGGGAGTTCCTCGACCACAGGGTTCGTGCCCACTCTTTTGGCCATTGAACAAGTCCGGCGTAACCCCGAGGGGTCAAGAACACGTAGTAATACCATCTTAGTGCTTCAGAAGCTGGGATTGATGGCTGCAGAGCCGTGCTCCGATTCTGAATCAGATAGCTGTTCGCCGCTACCATTCCCACGCTGCGTTCAGGCCAGAGTGCTACAGCTACGTTTGCTGCTACAGTGCCCCAATCATATCCTGCGATTATAGCACGATCTAAACCAATGGCATCCATGAGATCGACCACGTCTTTCCCGAGGGCGGCCTGCTCTGCGCTGCGTGGCGTGACAGCTGAGTTGAACCGCGTACCTCCGAACCCGCGCAAGTACGGCACAACGGTGCGATAGCCGTGTCTTGTGAGGTTCTGTACAACGTCGTAGTAGACATTGATGTCGTACGGAAAGCCGTGCAATAGCAGGACGGTTGTCGTATTCTTAGGTCCCGAGTCGTAGTAGGCGATGCGTAAGTTCTCAGTGTTGACGTATTGAACAGGTGACAAATTCTGCAGTTCCAGGGGCTAGAGATGGTTCAACGTTTGTACGAGCTCTTTTTGGTGAATGATGTAGATACTTACCGTGTTCTGGGCAGCAACAAAGCCATATATCACTGGCAGGGAAATTTGCCATTTGGGGATACGCATAGTGACAGTTCGAAGCAGTGACAGGATTCTTGCGTTGGAAATCAAAATCAAATGCTAAATTTTTCCGTAGAGGCTATCTGAGTATTTCTATTCGTACCGTCGCACGCCGGAGATCCATGAGACTGTATGCTGACGGTCGTATTACAGCGCCTTGCTTAGCCGACCGCAGCTAGGTCAATGCAGAGAAACCCGGCTACGGTATTTTGCCTATCACAAGCAACTACCACTTTGGGATTAAGGCACAATGGGCGGTTGCACCTAAGAAGAATCTCCGAAAAGCGTTGTCGGCTCCAAACGCATGCCGCCCACCTGTAGGTGATATAGTGAACATTAGAATTGGTGATAACCATCACGCTTGTTACAACAATAACCATCCCCCTTTCGAAATACGCTTTTAGCTACGCTCGTAGGTATTGCACAAACTCTACACAACAATGACAGCCAAAAGAAAGTCTGAGATAATTTCAGTCTCGATCTACGATGTATATTCTACGGCATGGCTGTCTGTGATTCTGGATGGCGGCAGAGCTACATGAGCTCAGGTTTGCTGCAGTGGCTACAGTTAGACACAACTTTGTCCTGTTTTATCAGTCCAAAATCATAATACAATATCTTCCACAGTTCTAGTCAGGTATAGCTTCAGCTGGCAGACATCTGGTCTGAAGATATTCGCGTTGCCCCCACTTGAGCTACCAGGCATAGGAGTATTCCTAGAACCGAACATTTCAACACGTCCTCGGCCAACACAGTGGTTAATTGCCATTTGAAGTATTGTGTAGGCAGTAGATATTAGACTTGCTAGACCGACTTTCGTACCGGGGGAACCCTTCTTCTGAACCTGGGACATTGTCCAAGCTCGCTCGTCAGGCATCATCGACTGAATGCAGGGAGCTAAGGAGACATACGCCGGCGCAAATATGAGTTTTGCATGTGGACAACAACTAAGTCTGCCGAGTGTTAGTAGCGACCCGATCAGTCATGTTAAGGACGGCCATCCCGACCAACTGCCCCTTCTTCGAGCAATGTGTAATTCTGGGCCTTCACTACATGCGCAAAAGCCATGCCCTGCCTTTCCGCTTGGTAGCGCTAAGAATCACTCCCGATACACATAGTAACATGGCCAGCGAGGATACTTGCGGTCAATGTCTATCGGTGGTCATCTTCGTGCTCCAGAGTCCGTTGCAAAAGGTCAACGTATCCAACTCGAAGGTTGAAAAATAATTTACACAGAATCTTGGAAGGTTTGGATGGTAATACGGCATCGTGCGCTTGAGAAGTGTATTCCCGGAGCTATCCCAGATTGGTGTCGCGCGTCATGAACGCTATACCACCCGTGGCATGTTCATCCCAGTATGCTTACGAGTGTATCGTTCTGACACATGCTTACTCAGTGATATAGGTTTGATGCACAATTAGGCTTCTACAAGATTGTGAGCACAACCGTAAACGTCAAACCTCTGCAGGAAAACATGTATCGATCTGCTCCCATATCGTTCGATACTCGAAGTCGAAGTGCAGCTAGATCACACGCGGCACGGGTAGGCTGGCAGCGGTCCTCGAAGGCGGCCAAAATCCAAGAGCGACAGCGTATGCTGAAAGACTTCCTTCCCGAGTCCGCCTGGGAACCACGATGGAACAACCAAGAGGCAGTAAACCGTCAACCAAATCAAACATCTACGCAGCGCAATATCAACGCGGGTTCCATAAACGATGCCATAAGAGTTATTGATGTTTCACTAGCATACGGAAAGATATTCCCGAGCCACGGCGCGATATCTTTACCTATGCTGGATGAAACGACAGACTCCACTGCGTTTCATGTGGCTCAATTTCTTGGAACTTTTATATGGCCTACAGTGGGCGGTCATATTGCAGCTTACCAATGGTTCCAAGATTTCTGCACCTCCAGAGTGCTCTTTCATTCTCAGAGTGCGGCTTCAGCGACTTATAGAGATCTCATGGCCGGGAAGCCTTCCATAAGTATGACCCGTCGGAACTTCCAGCATAAACTCGAAGCGATACGTGAGATCAGATCAAGTTTGACACGTTGGCATATGGTTTCCAAACCAGAACGTGAACAGGTCATCTTTGCCATCCTGATCTTGGCAAGCCATGAAGTGAAGGAAAAGGACTTTTTGGAAACGACGTCGCCATTCTCCGCATAGTTCCCCGTAGCCAGTCACTTGAACCTTTGGGGTCGCACTGATCCAATCGACGCCCACGACGACGCTGCGTTCTCCCTTATTGAGAAAGAAGGTGGAATTGAAGCTTTGGAATCGCCTGGTCTAGCCCCAATGGCCTCCTTCGTTGACCTGCTGCGAGCCTGTACCTACCTCCGACAACCGAGATTCCCATGCCTATGGGATCCCTACGTACCTGATGTGACAGCATTCTACTTGAGCACTGTTGATTCTACGATAACTGGCTTATCCGGCAGCGGGTTCGCGCTTCTGTCAAGAGACTTGCCCAGGGAAGCTACAATGGTCTTCATGGAAGCAGCATATCTTGATCAACTGTTTAACCACTTTCGTAGCAACAACATGGTCGATCTGAACATTCTGTTTGGCATGCGGAATACTACTCTCCATCGCCTGTTGTCGCTTGAGATTTCGACGACAGAACCCGACCAACCGCCAACAGACCGTAATCTGTACAATACATTGCGTATAGCATGTACAATATACTGTAACGCCGTCATGCTGGCGATTCCTCCACACAATGGCTGGCTCAACACACAGTCTGCTGCATTGCAAAAAGCCTTGAAAGGATTCTCTCTGGATATTTGCGAAGACGCGCACAGAAACGCATATCTATGGGTTCTTTTTGTAGGAGGTGTTGCATCACGTGGCACCTTCCAACACCTCTTCTTCAAACGTCTGTTACAAGAATGCGTTCAAAAATGGAACTTCTCATGGCGTGATTTCCGGAACGGCCTCAAGACATTCATCTGGACTTCGATCGTCTGTGATTCTGAGGCGCGATTGTTATGGAATTAGGTTTAAGACAAAGCCTCTTCCTCTAGACAAGAAATTTGCGAATACTACACTCCATTCAGCACTCTTCACATTCACTTCACTTGGCATCCGTCAATCTGGTACATACTGAAATGATCGTACGCTCACTCCTTCCGTCTGGTACACCACATCTAATTTTTTAGAAGCAGCGCCAGACAGATGAAATTAGCTGTTATATCTGAACGATCGAGCGGCGGATGAGCTAGAGGGGTTGGCGGAAAAGAATACAGGGGTTCTTTAGGGGGTGAGGTAGATTGATGCTGGAGGATACTTGGGAAGAGGGTCAAGGGGGCGTGGATGTGAGGGACTAGCTGGGAAGAACATTTCGTGCATACGATAGCATATAGGATTGTTGTATGTAGTAAAAGTCTGTACCAAATGAGACATACCGGTACTTACGTAATCCGCTGCGATCTAGGAGGTTTAGCCATCTGCAAATTTGTATTTCCCAGGTTGTCGATAAATATCATGTTTGGCGCTTCATACTCAAAGTCGAAAAGTCAATCTGGATTCGGAATCTTCGACGCAATTCTTAGCTAAAGTCGAAAAACTGGCATTCCGCGACTTTGAATACGCGTGTGTCCTTCGGAATACAGTGGACTTGAACAAGGATTTGAAGATCTATCCCGTCTGGCGATAGTTCCAGCTTTGCACGGATAACGTTGGCAATAGTAAAGTCCCGCGAGTTGACCTGATTCCAGCAACGGCAGTCATTATTATGTGGCTTGCAGAGGTTGCAATCACAACGCCAGGGAAAGTGTCGTGTCGGTTGGTCAACCTGTACGTTACAACACGTTGCGCTGGACATGTTCCATCATTTGTGTACAAGTTCGCCTGCCCAAAATCCATTAGAGCTACTGACCCGGAAAGTTTGGAAATCCAATGGCTACACCACAACTTACGGGTGGCCTCGTTGGCGTTAAAATATCTACACGAAAAGATTCTCATATCCCGAAGTAGGGCGTCCCTCACAACAATTCGCACTGACGGAACAAGTGGCTTCTGAATCATCGTTTAAGTATGGGCGTTTTTGGTGGGGAAAGGCTTGCACAACCATAGATCGGGCGCTCAGCCGAGACTCTACCTTTCTTAACCCAATGGGTGAACCACCTCCCTGGCTGGCTTGCTCAAATTCCTGCTCAGACGTACGTGATCAGTGTTGGTCACTCGACCTACAGCACCGATCGAATTGATGCCAGGCCCTCTAAAATGGCTCGATGTAGCCCTGCGCTTCCCCAAGTGTGACAACACTGTTCTCGTAGCGATCATCCAAATGAACAACATTGAATATGAAGGATTTTGACCCGTCCGTCTGAAGTGACCTGCAATATCCTAGCACTATATCAAAGATCCAAATACCTCTTAGTATGGACACGCTGTTCCTGTAGCCAACCCATGCCTGTCTAAGAATCGAATATCGCACCGTACGCCGGAACACCCCTGCTCTCCATTGCATAAACAATCTGCTGCGTAAAGCGTTTGTTGCTGATCACACACACCGCTTCCGCTCCACTCTCCTTATACAGCTTCCAAGCCATGAGTGGCATGTCCGGCTTCCCCATTGTGCGCGTGTTGTGAATAACCGCACGGGGATCTGTATCTAATACCTCATTTACAAGGTCTTTTCCGAAAGTTTTCTCGTGATTCGGTGCAGTCCAGAGGATACGACACGGAACCTTCTTCGCGAGGATAACTGCAAGGCAAGGCCCAATTCCAGAACCAGTGGCAACCAACACGACTGACCGGAATAGCGGCGCGATTCGGAGCACACCACATGTAGGTATACCTCGCACCCAGATGTGCGTTGGTGCGCGATTGATGGTGCGCTTAGTGAAGTCGCCGGCGTTGCTAACGACGAGGGAAAAGCCACGGCCGTCAGCGTTCGTAATGGTTGCGAACCCGTGCCAATCGCGCAGCGGTCTCTCGGCTGGAATCATTTAGTGTCAGAGCACAAAAGTCTTTCAGGGAACTCACCTAGACGAACTGCGGTGCCCACTACGGGATCAGTGTAATCGAAATGAAGACGAACAGCGTGATCCGAGAGGACTTCTGATCGGACTGGTACTTTCCGAAGGAAAAGCCAAGGAAAAATGATGGCAGCAGTGGCAACACTGAGCAGCCAGATGCCAGGAGAAGTGAGATACGCGCGGGATGGTGCTACGCCAACTGCCAAGTCTTTGGTAGCCAGGAATGATTGCACCCAGAGCAGGATTAGCGCTGTCCAGCCACCAAAGCGGTGTGTCATTTCCCAGATATCGTGGTGCTTTGCTCGGAAAGTGGGGTGTGAGGTTCCCGCGATAGCCATGAGAATCGGCCAGACGAGATAAGTGAGGATAGTTGGTGCAAGAGACAAGCAGCGAAGGTCTGGCTGCTTTGTGAGTTCCAAACTAGCACCAACCGTGAAGATAGTGAACCATCCGACTGACGCAATTGCGCAACTGCTATGAATCCCGCCTAGAAGCACTTCTCGTCAGCTTTTCCGTCGAAAACATTGTCCAGACAGACTTCTTACCAATGTGGAACACCCTCGCGCAGTGGCGGCGAATTGCAAGAGGCCAGGAGGTCGGAACAGAGCACGCTGCCGTGAAGAGCAGATTGACAACGGGCTCGGACCGCATCAGGACAGCCATACATAAGTTTGCTGCAAACGCGGTGGAGACGTCGGCCAAAATGTATCGGTCTTGCTCAACTCTTCGATATAGAATGAAGCAGGCTGTAGCAATGTTGGCGAGCAAGACAACGGAGAAAAAGCGTCGGTATAGGATGAAAGCGCGGTGGCGCAGCCATCTCTGTCCGTGGAAACCCTTCTTCCCAGGCAGCTTGTCGAGCTCGGACTCGAGCGACTCCGAGATGCTGGAAGTACCTCCTTTGATGATCGAGAGACTGTTACGCACGACGCCACTATCGTATCTTTCTGCCTTCTCCAAGTCCAAGCACGACTCCACTCCCCGTGCTGGCGCCGCAACAACAGGAACTGGTGGCGCAATTATCGGGACAGCTCCAGTTGTGGAAGCTGATACAGCAGCACTGAGAGCTAGTTCGACGAGCATCTTCTTGTCGACCTTCCCATTAGGAGTTAGGGGTATCTCGGGAACATGAATCCACCGTTCTGGGACGGAGTAGAACGGAAGGTGCTGCCGCACGAAGGAATCCAAAGCTTGCTCGTCGATACCAGGCTCAGCGGCGTAGAAGCCGTGCAGTCGCTTATTAACCACTTTGGCGCAAGCTCGCGATACTCCAGGAAACGCCTGCACGAGTCAGCTGAGCCTGCGTAGGAACATATTGCAAGAAACAGACAGAAGCATGGCTACTGGCCCATACTTGCACCGGTCTTCGAACCGGCTGTGTGCATGTCATGCCGAAAAGGCAGACGCGGGAAACAGGCTTTTGCAATGGACGTAGCTTACCTCAACAACTGCAGTGACACCGTCCAGTTCGACTCGAAAGCCCTAACGCCATCAGTCAAGTTCTTGTCCAGGATGGCAGCTGTCTTACCTTGATCTTCACCTGGTCGTCTGATCTGCCGAATGTCTCGAGCGAGCCGTCCTCCCGCCAACGTACTAGATCTCCAGTATTGAACATTCTCGACCTGGTAATTCTTAGCGCTTCCATTAGACTGACCAATCGAGTTCATAGAAAACATACCCGTCGTTTCGGAACTTGTCCATCTTGTATCGTTTCGCGGTGAGCTCGGGTAGGTTGATGTATCCACGCGTGACACCGGCACCACCCACCCACATCGAGCCCATTTCTCCGATGGCGACTGGATTTTCATCTTCATCCAGTATGTACACCGTGGTGTTCGGAAGCGGTTTGCCTATTGTAAGGAACTGGCCAGGAGTATGTAAGTGAGCGGAATTAAGTATGGTGATCTCGGTCGGGCCGCAGATGTTGTAGTAGCTTGTGCCAGCGGCCCACTCATCGGCAAGACTGTGTTGTGATTAATACGTGTCGAAATGCGCTGGACCTTGTCAGGACGCACCTTTGGGGACAAGGTTCACCGCCAGTGACAACCGTCTTGATGTTTGGAAAGCGACTGCGGTTCCATTTCGAAAGAATCGAAGGTGTTGATATCAAAACGTCGATCTGGGTACGTCAGCATGATACTAAGTCTCGAATACAAGGTAAGCCAACCTCTTCCAGTGTGTTCTCCCAGCTTGAAGTTCTGAGACACAGTGTGCCGCCGTTCATAAGGCAGCCCAAGGTCTCCCAAGCGCCTATTTGAATCCATCAGAAAAGAACTACGATAAAATGTTGCAGGACAGGACTTGCCCATATCAAAGGACACGTTCAGAACCTGCCCAACCTTTGTCCCTGGTACGATCCCCAACTTCCCTGGGTTGAGCAGTAGCGCGTTCGTCACATTGCCGTGAGCAACGTCAACACCTTTGGGTTTGCCAGTGCTACCTAGGCTCGGTCAGTCTTGGAGTAACAGTGTATGCATGTATCTTAATTTACCTGAAGTGTAGATGGCGTAGGCTCCATCGCCGGCAGAGACCGGCACGACAGGACGATGAGATGGCGCAGAGACTTCTTGCTTTGTTCCCAGGCATACAATGCGAACCCCTTGGGGCGCACATCGCTCGACCTTGCTCTCGAATTTCGGCAAAGCAAGGACAAAAGATGCTTGGGTATCCCGTAATGTGTGCTGCAATGCTTCCTCCGATACGACACCTCCGTCCATGGGTACGTATTGGCATCCGCTTTTCAGGATCGCAAAGATCCCTACAAGCATCTCGAATGAACGCTGCACCACCAAACACACTCGTTGCTTGGGTTTCAGGCCGCGTTCAATGAGATAGTTAGCCAGACGGTTGGCCTGCACGTCGAGGTCGGCGTATGTGATCGTGCTACCGTCATGTTTGGCCGCAATCGAGGCAGGGTGTGCATCCACCTGACATTCGAAGGCTTCATGAACAATGTCATGAGGAGCAATCACGGTGGTACCAGACGCGAACCGCGTAAAGAGTATCTGATCTTTAGCAGACAAAGAAGAAATGGACTGGAACTCGCCAGAGGAAGCCATCTCGATCGACACGATTGCTCGAACAGACTTGAACAGCTCGGGAGCACTACTCCTGCTCTTTATACCGGATTATTGTACGTCACTGAAACCATATCCCGTTGATCATTTTCGAAGACGGTAAGGGCCACGTACTGGGTGCAGCGCACCCTTACATCCACGCGACCTCTTGGCTATGATTGATAACTTCTTGATCAGCTTTTTCCTGGATCATTAGGCTGCTTCAAGACCGGCCTACACTCCACGCAATGCGGAGGTGGTACGTTTGTGGAAGTTCCGATTGTGCACGATCCACTTAACAAGGGTATTTATGACGATCCGACTGACCCTGGGATCTGACCAGCTTGGGCTTTGAAGATATTGTTGTGTTGTGGCATTTACTCCCGTATATTAATATATCAGTCGAAGTTAGGCAATATTGACAGCCAGCGACCTGGCGAATCCCTGGCCAGCGCCACGATAAGAGCCTTGAACAGGTCTGGCGCATGACGAAGCTGGCTGTGTGTCTCGATGTGTTACGCACCGGCTGTCGTTTCTCATGAAACTGTTCCCTTGGATTGTTTCGTTTCTTCTCCACTTGCTTCCAGACGTTCGGAGGCCAGGATCGAGCCGCTCGATGAAACCGGACGCGAGCAACTTCGTACGTGGCGCAAATTGCCGCCCCGCTAGCTCTGATGTCGTTCCCGCCTGGGAAGGCCATATGCGAGACAGAAAGCGGGAGCTAGCCCGGCCATGTCGTCAAGGGCACTGGGTATCGGAAAAATCCTGCCCGTCGGGGTGTATACACATGGGATCCGGCAGCATTGCATCTACTGTACAGGAATCCCCGCAAAGTGCAAGCATTCAGGAGATGGTTCCGGATCCCAGTTCTCTTCCTGGTCCTATCAGGATCAACGTCGCGTTCTCTCATTCCACGTCGAGAGACAGAGCCGTGCATGCGGAAGGGTGCAGCGTTGCCATCTGCGCCGCGATTTCGTGAACACAATCGAACCTGCAGGGCGCCGGGTATATCGCGCGCACATGTAAACGCCCCTGGAAGGGCTGCCAAAGTTTCAGACGTGTCTAATACCGAGCAAAGCGTTCGGCCCTTCTGCAAAGCCGTTATTCGCCAGCACCACCAGGTGGGGGCTGCTATGCCCCTACTGGGAAAGCGTGGTGAACTCCGGTTAATATGCTTGTCTGTTAAACAAGAACCGCCCCACGTCGTTCGTGCAGGGCCAAGTCGGTTGCTACCGAGCGATGAGGCGATTCTGTGCGGAGAAGCCCTGCTGAACCGGGATCTGTATGCAGAGTCGCTTTGGGAAGGAGATAGTCGTCGCTATTGTCAAAGTCGTTACCTGCCATGTGTGGAATGTCGCCGGTCCCAACACTAGTTAGCAATAGCGATACTCCATCACGCAAGTATATTGGAGGTTCACGCTCCGTGCTATGGTGCTGCAACGTTTCGTCGCAAATGACGGAAGTGGGGCTCCCGTTGTCGTTTCGGAAATGGGCCGCCCGCTGGTATCCAGCGTCTGTCTGGACTAACAGCCGCATTCGAACGTAAGTCCGACGGTTGCGTAGAGGTTGTCCACTGTGCAGCGTGGGGGACGTTGACGGTTTGTGCATCTCTTCAAGACGTGTCCTTTCGATCTTCACATTCTCTTCGCACCCAGGCAGGTCGTTATGCATACAGCCAACAAGGATACCGGAGTTCTGGTGGTTTCTTCCAAGCAAGAGGCAGCTGTCGCTGTGGTGGAGCTGAATCGCGCGATCAAACGCAATGCGTTATCGCAGAGCTTGATCAACGAGTTGCTGCAGACACTGCGCGAGTTAGATCGCGATGTGGAAGTACGAGCGATTGTGCTTACGAGTACCGGCGAGTCCCCGTTCTGTGGTATGTTCGCCTTCCAATTCTATAGCCACAGCCGGATAACAATGCGAGCAGCTGGGGCGGACATTCAAGAGCTAGCAAAGATCTCCACTGCGGACGCGTATCGCATTGGATGGCTAAAGGACCTCGAGGCTGGATTTGCAACGCTGCGAACGCCAGTTATCGCAGCAGTGCGAGGATTCGCTGTGAGTGATTTACGTGGCCTTCATGTTCGCCGAGCCAACTGAATTGAGAATTCGCGCAGTTCGGTGGGGGCTTTGAAGTCGCACTCATGGTAAGAAAGCCTCAGTCGTTCCTCTGAGCATCGAATCTCATATTCATGGGAACAGTGCGACATGCTCTACGCTTCGGAGAATGCTCGATTCGGATTCCCAGAGATAAAGCTCGGCACCATACCTGGGGCAGGAGGAACTCAAAGATTGACGAAAGCCGTCGGAAAGCAGAAGGTAAGCGCTCGATGTATTGCTGCTTTCTTGATAGTAGTCGGCATCTGCTTTTCGCATGTGAATGTGCGTTGTTGATCAATATCAGGCCATGGAGTTTATCCTCACCGGTGAACCTGTGACGGCCCGCGATATGGAGCGATACGGTATCGTGAACAAGATTGTTCCTGCCGAACAAGATGTCGTCACCGAGGCAGTAAAACTCGCAACGCGCATTGCGACCTTTTCAGCTCCTGCTATTGGGTTAGCGAAGCAGGCCATTAGAACTGGTGAGTGATTCGCGCATCCTATCATGATCGTGTCGCTAAGCATCCACAGCCGAAACAACGACATTGGAAGCAGGTCTGGAACTTGAGCGTGCGTTGTATTACAGCAGTTTCTCGCTTGCAGACTGTAAGGAAGGCATTGCGGCCTTTCTAGAGAAGCGGACCCCAGGCTTCATCCACGAATAGCCCCGCTTTCGCGTGCTCTAAGATAGTCAGTGCAAACTGTATGCTCAATTGAACTCGACCTGTATAGAGAGCTAAGGAGCATGATGTTGTTTTAAAGTTGACGAGATCACTCCGTGGGGCCATGCATACTTTAAACACGGTAACGTTGCACGTCATCCTCCGCGGCCCCACAAGTGCCGACACAATGAACCGTATCCGAGCACAACTATAATTTATATGGAAAAGATTACGTTGTCGCATGAATCGCACTCATCCTGCGCATCCTGTTTTGTATATACAGTCGTTGCGCGGGCCTCGTTGAGCTATGTGGAAATTTGTAATGGACCAGGCCTAGATTGTGGGGCGCAGAACACATGATGCATAATTTACCATACGTCACCACTATCCTTACTGCTCTGGGCATCCTGAGATGGTCGATATGGTTTTTCGCGTACGGGCTGTTACATGGGTTCACAAACTCCAGCAAGTTGTCTATGTGCAGCGTTCGGAGACTCTCTCTGAAGTTCGTCATCCTATCTCACGGACAGCTCCTCCGTAGTGGTGTGAGGTGGCCAGCCAATTCAACTCAAAAACCCTTTTAATGGGTAGTATGAAAACAGCACACCAGTTAGCCATCATGATTCGAAGCTAGAAACGAGGTATCCAATCAAATTCGCGATGAGGACAGCGTAATGTGAGGCCTGAATTGGCAGCTATTACCTTGCTCATAGAATTCTAATAACAGTTGTTATTCGAAATAAATCAGTCTCTCACATCATTCACGCCCAATGCCGCAGACTTGTAGCAATTTAAAACAGCTCCGGTCCTCCTAATTTAAATGTAAGAGAAGAGGAACCATGTGGACGTCCTTCGGAGATGAATTACAGTGCAGGACCAGCTACGATGAATAACAGCTTCTGGTCTATTCGGGTCTGCGTCTGGTTTGATTACTTTGAGATACAAAGAAAAGACTCTGTATGCAGCTGCACCTGGCGCTAATCTGGGAAATTCATTTTCTGGTCTGAGTTTATCTAGGTTTCAGTAGTTTGTAACTAGTCCTCATTAATATTATAGCTTCGGCATGCGCTCTCACCTTTCCTAATTAGTTACCGCCCTGGACCAGTCAGATTATCTCGGAGCGACGCCCACCTACTAAACTCCATATCCTGGTCGGAGGGTACTAGTTGCACAAGTAGAGAGTATCGGAAGGTTGTTGATTCGGGCCTTTGTCTCATGGCGAGATGCTCATTTGGCCGGCATCCTCATTTCCAAGATTGCAGTACTTTCATAATTGCATAGCCTACCACAACATAACTTTCGAACAAATTCAAGCCGGCGTCTACGCATATACAACAAACTGGGGCGGAGGTTTGTCTGGATGTTCTCTACGGTGAACGAAGCGCCGCCCCCACGCGTTAAGGCTTGTCTATGTCGAGCCAGTATTGTGCAATTGCATGTAAACAATGCATCGAAACAAGTCTTATACAGCGAGCCACCCAATGGCGAGCTCTATGGCATTAATACTCGTATTCCATTCCCTTGTACAAAAGTTCCATTAATTGCTGAGGCGATCTCAAGTCATCCGAGCTCCATTGTGTCTTGTGGAATCTTTCTACATCGCCATACTCGCCATGGCTACGTCAGAATATCATCGCCATCGCCTGTAGTCCTCAATCAGTAGAGCAACGCAACCCAATTGGTCCACTTCTCTAAACTTGATTACTCGTTGACACACATCTCACGAAGGTTTGTAAATTCTCAAAAGTAGCCCCCTCATCAGAGTGTGCACGCATGACATCTATACCTACTCGGGCTGCAACTGCGACACCCAATCCGGCGGTCTCGCTCGCTGTATAGACTTTATGGGCAACGGCTACCCCTGAATCCGCCCACGAACGCAGCATCTCCCGCTCCAGTCCCCTGTCCGCGCCGCCCCATTTCCGACCGGCAGTCCTCCGGTAGTCGTTCCCAGCGCCGCTCGCGCTACGACGATTGCAGCTACTCGAATTATCAATGCAGCTACGCATATGACCGTCAACGTAGTGCAAGCCACTCCCGTCTACCTGCATCGCTCCCACGTGGCAGCACTCCGAGCCGACCGCGCTCCAACAGCGCCATGACCGGCTTCTTCCGCGGCTTCGCATCCCTACGCGGATCCTAAACTGCGCACGAGCGCTCCGTCTGCGAGGCGAGAGGCGCCCGTGATCCGTACCGCGCGTAAGAGTCTGGCCCTAGCACGCATGGGCTGTTGCGTGGTATCAGTCTTCGAGTAGCCATACCTATGGTGCTGTTGCGTGTGGTGCGGACCCGTTTCGGCAAGTGTCCTACGCTTCGGTGTTGCGCTCGTATAATTACCGTCAGCGACTGGATGAGCATGAGGAGGAGGACGGGTATTGGGGGCGTTGTTGCCAGGGAAGGAAGCAGACAGGAAGGGCCATATTGGGATCAACATGGTAAGAACCCTTGGGTGGTGAGTGAGTCACTCAGGTCTTTGTCGGAGACCGATCCAGTGTGTTTCTTAGGAGCAAGAGGATATACGGTGCTTCTGCAGTTTGGGTCCGGTAACAGCAGCAGTCAATCGCCAGGTCTCTACCATAGATACGTTTACGATCCGATCGATGGCATTGAAATTCGGCGAAAACTGCTGCCACCTATCTCTGCACCAGCAGCAAACTTTGGCATTCAACTAGCCAATCGCTGCAAGCATGGGTTCTGTTTCATGAGTGTCCATTCAATTCACGGCTAACTATGTTCTTCCATCCTCTTTCATTGACGGGGTTTGACGTTCAGGACTTGCAGCATCAGCAGCCCTTCTATCTAAAGCCTGTTCGTGGCCGGCTTCACTTGTGCAGGCCATGCTCTGCACTGCGCCATGTACGCGAGCCACATGACTGTTGAACGCCCACTCATGGGCCTGCTATAAATTTGATCAGCAGTAAACCCATTCAAAATGAAACGTCTATGGAATCCAGCCATACAACAAGTGGTATCTCGAAGCACCTTCTACCAAACGCCACCAGCCATGCCAAACGCAACGCGAGCCCGCCATGTCGTGCTTCAGTTCATCGTTTCTAGTCCAGTGTGTCTCCAAGCTAATTGCCACCCGCTCTCGTGTAGATTTAAGTCCATCTCTCCTCCCATCCCTGTCCCCTTCCACTCAGACAGACCCACTAACCACTTCCCCCTCCCCATCCTCCACGAAGCTTCCAGCTCCTCCGCCTGGACAAGGTGCGTATTTACCTTTGGCAGTGGGGCGCGATCCGCCGACCACCTTGTACAGCTACGAGTGCCGGGAGAGCGCTTTGCCCACCAGCGAGCTGGACCAGCAATGCTTGGGTCTTTGCCGGATGGACTTTGACTTTCTGTGGGCTTGGATCTCGATTCCCGGATCCGGAAAGGTGGAAAGCACATTTTGGCTCGCGTGCCCCGGTTTGACTTGACTTGGTGCTGTTTGAACACGCGTGGATGGACTCAATGTACTTTGCAAGTGCAGCTGAATTGCGACGAGTTGCCTGTGCCGCGGGATATTTCGAGGCTGACGAGGTGTCGTGGATGGACTCGATGCACTTTGCGTGTGTAGCTGACTCGTGCCGTGCAGGTGGGTGAGCAGTTTTGTCTTTTTCTCTCGAGGATGGACTCGGTAGTGTTTGCGATTGCAGAAGAAAAAATCGATGCGCAAGTTATGCTATATTGCATTTTCCTCCCGCCGCAAAGATACCATTTCGCATACAAGGTACGCGCACTGCCACTTCTCCCAACGGGCGCGATTCTTCTCACTATTCTTAGACTGTATGTGGTGCGCGATGTCGATGCGTGGTTTCCTGACGATGTTGGGACGTGGAATTACGGTTCCATTCATCACAACCCACTTGAAACCACTGCAGCGAGTTGGATTGTGGGGGTATCTAGTACCTGTTCCAACAGCACGGCATGAACACATGAGTCAAGTTAGCACCAGAGGTAACTAGGGAACACAGCCTCATATCCGCACTGTGTGACTATCACGTTGATCGGCGCCAGGTGCATTCTCAATTGAAGACTCGATGACTGTTCCCAACAATGTTAATACCACACTCGCGAGAGAGTGGCAGGGCAGCGGAGCGAGAAACCCGGGCAATTGTAACTGATCGAAAAATTTGCGTGTCATATTGATATCTTACTCCTCAGATGCAAAGGTATCCCCAGCAAGCATCCACACCTAACTTTTCCGTCTCATCAGACGGGTGAATAATCAAAGATCATGCAGTGCACGAACGCCCGAGTCGTCAATAATGTACATGCGAAATGAAGGTATTACGCGGAATGCCACGAAGCAGAAGCGCTACGCTTAGCGCCCGCTCCGTTGCCTAGTGTTCGCTCTTCGCTCGGATACGACCTCTGCGGGATAGTTAGCAATCGTGGACCACGCGTGATGATGGGAATACGAACTCTCGTCATACACCAGGAACTCGTGCAGGCCATTGCCTGCAGGAACCATCGGCAGTACGGGCACCTTCTGGTCGACAACGACCTCGAGCAGGGCGGGGCCGTCCGTGTTGATGAGCCATTTGAGCTTATCCTCGAGCTCCTCGAGCTTCGAGACACGGTCCGCCTGGACGTACATGGCCTCGGCCAGCTTCACGAAGTCGGCGTTGCGCTGGTGCGTGTGCGAGAAGCGGTCCTCATAGAAGAGCGTCTGCCATTGCGTGACCATGCCCTGCTCCTCGTTGTTCAGGATGATGACCTTGACGCCGATGTTGAACTCGGCCGCGGTGGAGAGCTCGGTCAGCGTCATAGAGAAGGAGGAGTCACCGTCGATGTCGATGACAAGGGCGTCAGGTCGTGCGACCTTGGCGCCGATGGCGGCGGGCAGGCCGTAACCCATGGTGCCAAGACCTCCGGAGGTGATCATGGTGCGCGGGTGCGTCCAGCGGAAGTGCTGCGCTGCCCACATCTGGTGCTGGCCCACACCCGTCGTGATGACAGTCTCGGACTTCATCGGCTCTGTAAGCTTGCTCAGCTTCTCGATGACAGTCTGCGGCTTGATGAATCCGTTCGGTCCCTCCTTCTCGTACGCCCACGGGAAGCGGGCCTTCCAGTCCTTGATCTGCGCGAACCACTCCGGGCGCTCCTTGACCTGGTTTACGAACGGGACCAGCTGGTGCAGGTTCTGGACGACGTCACCCTCGACGGCCTCGGTGGCCTGGACGACCTTGTTGATGTTCTTTGGCATGATCTCGAAGTGGATGATTCCACCCCGTCCCTCTGCAGCAGCTGCCTTCGCTTCGGGGGCGAACTTGGACAGAGACAGCGTCACACGATCATCGAATCTCGCACCAAGAGCAATGATCAGATCCGCCTCTTGCATTGCCATGTTCGCGTACGCAGAGCCGTGCATACCCAACATGTGCAGCGACTTCTCGTCGTGCTCGTCGAATGCGCCAAGACCCTGGAGGGTGGTCGTCACAGGGATCTGTGCTTTTTCGGAAAGCTCGCGCAGGATCTTGGGGCCGTCGGGAACGGAGACCATGCCCTGACCTGCGTAGATGACGGGCTTCTTCGCAATGTTGATGAGGTCTGCAGCGCGCTTTATCGAGGCCTGCAGCGTCTTCCTGCTCACCTCACGAGCGGCCAGGGTCGCTGCGCTGGGGTGCGGGGGGAGACTAGACGTCATGGGAATGGGCTTGGTGAGGGTGCCGCCGGTAACATCCTTTGGCAGGTCGACAAGCACGGGGCCCGGTCGCCCGCTGGTGGCGATCTCGAAGGCCTCGTTGATTCTACGCGGAAGCTCGGCGATGTTCTTGACGAGGACGTTCCACTTGGTGCACGGGCGGGTGATTCCGACGGTATCAGCCTCCTGGAAGGCATCGGAGCCAATGGCGGAGGTGACGACCTGTCCAGAGAAGACGACCATGGGCGTGCCGTCCATGAGGGCGTCCTGCATGGCGGTGACGACATTGGTGGCGCCGGGGCCTGAGGTGACGAGCACGACGCCAGGCTTGCCAGAGGCGCGGGCATAGCCCTCAGCCATATGGCCGGCGCCCTGCTCGTGTCGGGGAAGGATGAACTCGAAGTGTGGGGAGTTGTAGATGGCATCGAAAACGGGGAGGATGGCGCCGCCGGGGTAGCCAACTGGTCACACGACAGGTCAGCACAGCAATTGCACGCATTGGGGCAGGGTCCAAGGGATTGGCGTACAGATGTGCTTCACGCCGTGCCTCAGCATCATCTCGTGGAAGATCTCGCCGCCCTTGAGTCCGACCAGCGAGTGGTCCATCTCGGGCTGCTGTCTCCGCAGCGGCTGCACATTGTAGTCCTCTCGGTTGAACGCGGGCGCTGGCCTCGCTCTGGGCTCCGCCTTTGCGGCGGCAGCGGTGCTCTGCGTCCTCTTTGCCTCTGTGATCTTGGGGCTGGCGGCCGCCACCTGGGCGGATCGGTAGGGCGACGCGGCGGCGCGGGCAGTGGATGTGGAGAAGCATCGCGAGCTCCGCAGAGCCTGGATGGCCTTTGTGCGCGACTGCTGCATGGCGCGGGAGCCTCTGCGGCGCTGTGCGGGGAGAGGGGAGGAAAAAGTAAAGAACTGGGCGTGTCTCGTGTGTGGGAAGCAGCTTGGAGTCAGTCGCTGGCCAGCCTTTAGCTAGAGAAAATCGATGGCGTCGGGCGACCGAGAGCGGACCGAAAGCGGGACTTCATTGGTCGCGACTCCGCCCGCTACCCCACAAAACGGCATCTGGGCACAGGAAACGCATGTGGGAGTCGTGTCGAGTCGTCTTCGCATGCTGCCAGCATCGATCCGGTCCCGGGCTGCTCGACTGCTGCATATTGTCTCTGGCGGCTGCGCCCCCCGCGCTGCCTGCGCTGCCTGCGCTGCCTGCGCTGCCTGCGCTGCCCTCTGTCTCCCGCCGTCGACACTTCCGACGACTGCTCGCCGCGAGTGCTCCTCGCTCCACGGGCCAATCAGCGCGCCGGCGTTGCTGCTAGGCGTGCGCCTGTTCCCATTCGCACACGGACCGAGCTGGCGCGCGCCTCGCCGATCTCGGCCTCGACGCACCTGCAGCAGCCACGCTACTCCACACGCAGCACCCCCGACGTCAGTCCACCATGGCTTCGCACGGCCGCATCAACAGCACCGACGAGCGGAGACGGGGTGCGTATATTGCCTGCCCCTCCTCGTGCCGCCCCCTCGTATATGCATGCACGTGGACATTCACTGACGAGAGAATGGACGCGCAGTCGCGATCCCCCGCCGCTCCACCAAGGGCCCGCTCGATGTAGACGACGAGTACGTCCTGCTCCTCACCGACCCCAGACTTCGGACCATTGGCACTGACAGCACCCACAGTCCCCTCGCTGCTCTCGCAGCGCAGACCGCACCACCCACCAGCTCACGCCTCCACTCCCCCTCGCGACCCTCTCACTCACCTGCTCCCCGCTCCCGCCTGACAAGCCCCCCACCCTCAGACACAGGACTACCTGTACGCCTGCACGACCATGCGCCCCTCTTGAAAGACTTCTCCTTCCTGCAAGACGCCTCCGCATACCACGTCCTCCCCGCCTCCACCGTACCCCCGCCCTTCCTCAACGCTCCTAATATCCCCTCGGTCGCGTCACCAATCGACACCCTCCTCCTGAGCGGCCACTACCGCCTCGCCGCCATCGCCGCCGCGCGCAACCTCGTTGCCAACACGCCCGCCACCGATTACACGACGCTGTTCCACCTGCTGCATATCCGGCTAAGTTGTTTGTGCTTGATCAATGAACATGCGCTGGCTGCGCAGGAGGCCAAGGTGTTTGGGGATTTGAATTCGAGTTTTTATTATAGGGACGACGGCGATGGTGGTGCGAGAGGGCATCTTGTGCCGTGGGAGCTAAGGGTACTGGTGGTGCGGCTTGCAGCGCTGGGGTATGGGGAGTGGCGCAAGGGGATCATGGGATACTATGAGCTTGCGCGGGAGTGTCGCGAAGCCTTCTCAAAAGCCGAGGACGACGCGGAAAAGGAGGTGTGGCGGACAAGGCTGCGCGATTGCGGGGTCAGGGTCGCGAATGTGCTGGTTGAGATGGGGGATTTGGAGGGCGCGGGAAGACATCTCGCGGGCTTGGATGCGGGCGGCGAGGAAGGGCAGGACACCAGGCTGATGGAGACGCTGGTGTGGCTGCGTCTGGGCGACGTCGCAGCCGCACGACGGTGTCTCGCATCCGCTTCTACCTCCACGTCCACCCCTGACGCCCTCCTCGACGGCACCCTCCACGCCCTCCTTCACCTCGCCGACGGCTCCCCCAGCGCCGCCGTCTCTGCCTTCTCCGCTCTGCGCACCACGTTCCCGTCCGACGCAATGGTCGCGCAGAACCTCGCCGTGTGCCTGCTCTACACGGGCCGCATCGCCGAAGCGCGAAGCCTACTACAAGACCTCGTCGACGAGAGCGCGCCGTTCCACAGCCTGGTGTTCAATCTGAGCACGATATACGAGCTGTGCACGGAGCGGAATCGAGAGGGCAAGATGGAGCTGGCGAGGAAGATGGCGGCGCGGCGGGGTGACGGAGGTGTCGGGTGGGAGATGAGTAACGCGGATTTCAAGCTGTAAGGCCAAGGAATTGGTGTGATACCAGATGAGACATGCAGGATGATACCATATGATGTCTGTCATTTGAATGATTTGTGTACCTAGTGGAGACGTGTGATGCAGCGCTCAGTCTTCGTCCGACGCAAACATGTCCTCAGCTTTTGGTCGAAGGCGCCTAGCCCTCGCCGCAGCCGTCTCCCCCGGGATCTCAGGCGGCTCCGCGCGCTTCTCCTTTTCCTTCTCTACCTCCTTCTCTGCCCGTGCCTCAGCGGCCGGCGCAGCCCGAGCAGGCGTCTCCCCCTCAACCTCCATCGGCGTACCCTCGTCCTTGACCTCCGGCGTTCCCGCATCTGCCGGACCGTCCACCTCCATCCTGCCCTCCTCCTCCGCCCTCTCCCTCTTCGGCACAGCGCCCTTCTTCGCGCGTCTTCTCTCCACCGCCCTTCGCTCAATTTCTTCCTGCTCCCTCTCCCTCTTCCGCCCATTGAACGCCTGCTCGATATGCTCCAGCGACTCCTTCTCAAACAGATGCTCGTCCATCCACACTTTCAGTATCGCATTCACATCGTCGCGGTACTGGTTCTCCGCCAGCCTGCCCATTTCCAGCTGCGTGGGGAGCCGCTCGAGGTACTCGAAGACCTTGCGGTCGACGAGCTGGCTGCCGATGACGCCGCGGTACTTGTACGCCATACCGGGCTCCTTCTGCGTGGTAAGCGCCACATCCGAGATGATGCGCAAGGCGTTGGTAGTAAGCTGGGGAATCTGGCCGCGACGACGGCTCTCTTCTTCTTCTGTGAATTCGGCGCGCGCGAGCTTGGGGTTTGCTTTTGAGAGGAAGAAGGGTTGGAAGATGTTGGTCACGAGGAGGGATACGACTTCGTCCATGCCCTTGGAGACGTGGTCGACGGCGAAGGTGGAGAAGGAGGCGATTTCGTCGGAGAGCGCGCTGGAAGGAGGCAGCGTGGAGAGCAGCCAGACGAGCAGGGCACGGTCGCGTGGGGGCATGATGCCGTAGCCGGTGTGGGCGCGGCCGGGATAGTCGTCCCCGACGGGAAGGGTGGTGCGCGCGTGGGCGGGTAGGTCATCTTCGTCTTCAGAGTCTTCGTCCGCGTAGGGGTGGTTCAGGTCCCAGAGTCCGCTCGCGTACTCGTCCATCAGCGCTTCTTTCGGACCACGCCATTCGGGATGGCGTTGGAAGACGTCTGGGCGGGATGTCGAGCTGAGGATCTCGTGAAGGCGCCATCGGTAGTAGCGGTTCAGGGGGTGCTTTTGATTGAAGAGCCAGGCGAAGCGCTCGGAGGACTGGACTTGGGGGTCCTGCATGAGAGCGGCTTCGAACTCAGTTCCGCCCTCGATCACGCCTTCGATTGTCTGATGTATCAGCCTCAGGGTGGGAAGATCTGGCGGTGCGTTGGCGGTGACCAGCATGCGCTTATTCATCATCTCCTCCCGCATGCGATCGCGATTGTTGCCACCGAGGTCTGGCGGCGGAGCGTAGCCCTTTGAAATCTCCACATCCTGCAACGTCGCGCCGAACGGCTCCTCGTGCTGCTTTGTGCTCACGCTCCGACCGCCCAAATAGCGATCCAGATGCAGATAGTATCCCTTGCCTAAGTATTTTTTGTCGTTCATCTTGTTCATCGCATCATCGAGGTCGCGCGCAGTAGCTTCCTTGTCGAAGATGACCTTCATCGAAGCAGACGGCCGTGTTCGCTGGGACGGGCTCGAGGGTCTTGACGGCGGTATCCTCTCAACCTTGACCACCTTGAGCGACGGAAACTCGGCGAAAAGCTCTTCCACTCGGCTGGGGTTTATCGCAGGCGGCAGGTTCGATGCCTTTGCGACCACCGTGGTGTATACGTTCTCGTTTGCCCTATCTTCATCCTGTCCCGCCGCAACTCCGCCGAATCGTGAATGTGGTGGCCCAGTATATCCTCCCGGTGCGCCCGGTCTCGCGTACGCAGGTACAGGCTCTGCGTCCAACGTGCCTGGTCCACTCTTCATGGACCGCGGCCTTCCCGTAAAATGCCGCTTCGAGCCTGTCGGTACGAACACGTCTTCGGCCTCGTGGTCCTTCTCCGTCTCACCAAGAACGCCTTTCTCCTCGCCGTGCTCCTCCATGAAGTCGGCCATGACCTTGTCGAGCGCATTTTTCTCCTCGCGCGCTTTCGCGTCTTCTTCTGCTTTGGCTTTGGCGCCAAGTTGCGCGGCCTTGCCGGCCTTGTTAAGGGAGATCCTGAACGCCATGTTAATCGAGCATGCGGAATTGGTACGCGCACGTCGACGATGAGGGATTGTGCCCCAAGGTGGGGTCGGAGGAGGTGAGCGTTAAGTTAAGCTCGGGGAAGGTGTATCCGTCTAATGGCGCTAGTGCGCACTGGCGTGTGGTGCCTGGCGTAGCATCCATGACCCAAAGTACCCCACGAACTCCACTCCGCTCACATCTCGCCACATCCCTTGATCAATTACAAGATGGCGAGCCAGCAAGACCTGCAGGCACTGCTCCGCTTCCTTTCGCAAGATGCCAAGATACCGCTCGCTTCCGCAATGGGCAAGATCAAGGACCTGCAAGCCGCAAAATTGATCACGTGAGTGCGCGTGGACGCGCAGCTGTGCATCGCTAATCCGTGCAGACCAGACAGCATTGCGAAGTCTGATATAGGCAGCCTTAAAAAAGTACTCGGTGATGAGAAAGTCGCGCGACAGGTCCTCAATGCGGCTAAACGTGTGTCCAAGAAGCGCACAAACAGCGATCTTTCCACAGCATCAACATCTACCATACCTTCCTCCGTAAAGAGAGCAAAGACGAGCTTCGGAGCACCAATGGACCCCGCTACCTTCGAAGCCTCACTAGAACTTCCGTGCTCCAGCCTTCCCGCGTCAGACCTGGAAGACATAGTCTTATTCACTAACCGCGCACCACTCGTCCTCGCCGTCGCCGTGACAGTCCTAAAATACACAATGCCCACGCAACCACTCTCCAGCAGACTGAGCCTCGCACAAGCAGTGTGCAGCGCAAACAGCCAGTCCAAAGCCAAATACCTCGGCATCCAGAACGGCGCGTCCGCAGAGGACGAAGGCTGGGGCGAGGGCCAGCCGCTCATCACCGTGCTGAACCGGCAAATTCGAGTGATGAAGAGGTGGGGATATACGTGGAAGGAAGAACCTGAGGTGAAGGAAGAGGATCTGGCGGCTTCGCAGGCTACGGTGGGCGAGGACGATGCGCAGGATACGCAGGAGACTGTTGCGCCTGATGAGCCGGCGCTGTGGGGTGTGGATCTGGAGGCGCTAAAGAAGTCGAATGGACCAGTTACGATTGGGGCGAGGCAGGGGTCGACGGGTGAGCTGCCCATCTACAGGCCGGAATCTACGCGGGCGTATCTAATGAAGTCGTTTGGAATGAAATCGAGCGACGATGCGAAGCCTGGGAAATCGCTGACGGGAAAGAAGGCTGCGGAGGAGAAGGAGCGAAATCTTGGTTTACTTCTCGCATCTTTGGACTTGCTGTGTCAGTCTTGGGCACCGATACTGAGCAGTGAGGACTTAGACAAGAGGGCTTGGGGTTGGTATTGTAGCGTGAGACCGGAGGTTAAGAGTGGTGTTGCAGGCTGGGGAGGGAAAGGAGACGTGAAGCTCGCGGATATCTTGCGACTACGACGGACAGAGTAAGGCAGCGCCTAATTGAAAGCATTGTTGGTCAGAACACAGCTTTACTAAGCTTGCTACACAACGATGAAATGCTGGCCCGGCGATTTGATTGCTTCTAGGATTGTAAGAATCTCAGAATGTCTGGACGTGCGAACTTCGGTCTGGATATGCATGTCTGCTGGTAGTGCAGCTGGAACGCTCGGATCGTCGTCCATGACCCCTTTCTTCTGGCTTGATTCATGTGCTCGGCAGCAGCTTAGTCATTGCTGTAGAAGGTGAGTTGACTTGACAGAGTGTAGTGTTGCTGAGGTGCCAAAGCTATAAAATGAGCTTGATTGGCCATCCGCTGTTCAGCCTGGCGAGTGCACGCTCGAGTACTTCGTGCCGAGAAGACTTCACGGGATAAGTTGCACTTTACTGTTGCAGGAGAAGCTTGTACTGATGAATGAACATGGTTGGCGTGCAGGTTCAGCTTTCGCTTCGCCCCAGCAATTCAACTGAACACAGAAGCCTGATTTAAACGCCCTGCGATACGACTGGACTCAGCCTTTCGCCCACTACATAGTCTTTGCGCACCAGTCGTTTCTCGGAGACTGAGCGATCTTTACGCCGGATTCGCATGGCAGATAGAGGAATTTGGTGATCATCTACGAGGCTGGGTCCGTCGCTTTCGTGACTGGTTAACTCCTACGGGAATCTGCTCATACAGCGATCCGGCTATCCAAAATTCAGAGTGCGGCTTTCGTCGTATTCAGGCGCCCACCTTACCAAATGCATTGTGGCTGCATTAGCATCATTACGAATCCTTGGCTTGGCTCTCGCTCAGCTGGGACACATACAGCCTGATCAACCCCGAAGCCTTAATACCCCCACAGTTTGACCCTCAGAACCTTCATACAGGTTTTTCATTGTTTGCAATAACACAAAAGCCATCTGATAGTTGATACGGCATGGCTTGCAAGAACCTGAACTGCACACCACCGGGCTACATAGACGCCAATGCGGACATATCAGGGAAAGGAGTAAGTGGCACCTACAAGGTCACCTCCGGTCGATTGCTAACCGTTATCGAAAATATGCTCTCGCTGCTTTCCTCAGCTCTGCTTTACTCACGTCAATTGCCGTACTCTACGCATATTTCTCGGATTCCTTCCCGGATTGGTACCTTAACGACGTCGACAGAGCGGTGATAGAATACTTCCAAGCTTGGCCAATATGGCTCCATCCTACCTTCTATATCCACGCACCCCGAAAAGTCTGGAGATATGTGCGGAAGAAACCGACAACTATCGAGTCAACTGCCATCGGTAAGAAAGAGCGGGAGGAGGCGGTCACACGATTTATATTAGCCCTGAGCGACCAGCAGCTCGCCACTGGACTTGCTGTAGTCATTGGAGCCCTTGCAAATCAATGTACGCTGACCAATTACGATATCAACATGGCTTTCAGCCTTGCGTGGTTCTCTGCTACTACTCACCTGGCAACATTGGATTGCCTCAACGATTATTTCCAAAAGCATACGACAGTTTGGAAATGGCGCGCGGTGGGCATGATCGGGATACTCGCTTTTATTATCTATGGGACGGCGTTTAACCTCATCTCATACACCCGTCACCTCAGTCTGCCAGCCGGTTGTGGCGACGAGGCATCCATAACTACCAGTGATGGGGGAGTCACGACTCTCTACTATGATCCTATCACAGCTCTCAGTATCTTCGTTTCCGTATTCCTGGTGTGGCAATACTGCAAACGCATCCTGTCCACTTATGACTTGATATCGCGGAAACCTGGTATGGGTACCAGGCTACAGAGGATCGGCTTCATCCTAGGTACAATCGCCTTTCAAAGCCAACACCAGGTCACAATGGATGAACTGGACACACTTCTGCAATACGTATTGGCAGAGGAAACTTCTAAAGCAGCTCGGTCGATGCTTCGCAGATTCGAAAAGGAAAGAATTGGGAGCACACGTTTTCTAAATTTGGTCAGAAAACGTTTGAAATACACCCACGTAAGAGCTCTGCGCATGTACAGGCAGTCATTTATCTCCAAGTCTCCGCCGTTGATATTCATGATGTCGTTTGGCCTTTCACAGATTATCTACAATCGTTGGCTCGTAGAAGAGACAGTAGTCATGGACTCCTCGATGGGGTTCGGGCAGATCACGCCCTTGTTTCTGCTGATCCTGCCCTTACTTGCAGGCGCAGAGATTTATTATGGTCAGTGGGATAAGGCGCCATGAATTGACATTGAAACTGCTAATTCTTTACCAGAAGCGAAGCATAGCATTCTGAAGAGCGCATTGTCAGATAATGGAACGGGGACCGAGCCACCATCTGTACTACGCCCATCCATCGAGACAGATCAACACTCGATCCAACGCGCGAATACCGTTCCGTTATCAATCACAGCCTCGAGCGATCCGGATCTGACAGCCCTATTGAAGGATGGAGAAACTTACGACTCGCTCTATCAGAAGATCCAAAAATATTATTACAAAGAGACCAAAGAAATTCAGGTTAATTGGGACACAGCTGGAAACGTCGACGACCTTACTCATTTACTCAAAGAAAAGCAGAGACTTCTCAAGGATTACCAATCGTTAGAGCTGATTGAGAAGCAATTGCCAGACGAAAGATTTTTGGTCCTTACTATTTACGTTCATTTGTCGATCATCATGGCTTTTATCGGGATTGGTATGAATATGCCCGTTTACGAGGTACAACTTGTCACTACGGCCTTGTCTTCATACATCATTATGGGTGAGCTTGCCGGAACGCTGGTCCCTGCAGTCCAAGGTTTCGTAACAGCGGGGAGGTTTCGAAGCGAACTCGGCGATCTGTTAAAACTGATTCGAACACCGTCCACAAAGTAACAAGATGACGATACCTCCACGTTTTCTCACGATTTAAAAGCTGGAAAATCATCTTTAAATGTCGCACACCATCAGAAGTGTTTCGTATCAGCATACTTCGCACTAGAACATCCAGCGGTAACAAACACCAGCTCTTGACGGAGGGCAGAACCTAAGGTCCTGCCCTCTCAGGCAATTGGCAGGTTACAAGAGGAGGAACACGATCTCTACATATCCAGACTATTTCTTTGAGTCCCAAACTCATCTTCACCTGCATGTCAAGCATTTCTTACATACAAATCAATGCAACTGTCATCGTCACCCGAGATACCCAATGCACCCGCACCCGCACCGAAAACATCAGTAGCGTACACGAAATGAAACATGATCTGAACCACAAGCATGGGCACTGTGTCGAACATATACATGTACACTTCATGACTGGCAAGATAACCATCATGTCCCTGACCAAACTCCACAATTCGAAATACGCAGCGTAAGATGATAATCACCGCAGCAGACAGGAGGAGCTTTAGCAAAGCAGACCAGGTGTACTTGCCGTGCTGGGCAACCTTGTATCCTTTGGGGGAGTTGCGCAATCGCTTCCAAAAAACGAGCGAGATGACAAGGAAAAAGCTGAAGAAAAATAGCTGGATGAAGAGTCCAACAAGCATGGTGGTTTGTCCCATAGTAGCCATGCTTGCTTGTGCCATCATGCCGCCGCCTCCAGCTTGCATGAAGAACGCGAGCACATCGCCACAGACGAATATCTTTGTTATGCGTGTAGGGCGGATGATCGAGGCGTCGGGAGCATCGACGAAGACGACGAGACGGCCGTATATCATATAGATAGTGGCTGCGTAAAGAGAAGGTGGAAGAATGATAAATAGAGATTGACCGATGTAAAGGCCCAGAGATGCCGGTGATTTCGCTGAGAGATATCGAAAGACGTAGCCAGCCGTCATCACTAGAATGGTCAGTGAAGACTGAGCTAGTCAATCTCTGAACACTTACTACATGCGCCAACTGTGAGAGGGCTATAAAACCATGCCTTCTTTCGGACCATCTGGAACACATGGTAGGAAGCGCTGATGCCGAAAACGCCTGCAGCAATGATCGCGCCAGCCAAGCTTGGTTTATAGAGGTAGATTCCGGTGTCTGTGTTCATTGCGTTCAAAGTTGATATATTGAAAACTTAGTCACTTTCGTGCAAAAGGACTCAAGCCAAAGTAAGTAATGAGAGACGAAAGAGCGACGATAAGATGAATGGTATAGAAAATATAGATGAATTGTTCTGCACTTTCTCTTAAGTCATTCCGTTTTATACTTGTTAGGGGATTCTCCAAAGCCAGAAGGAGACTGAGTCGGAGTGGCTGTGCTAGCTGCAAGACGTGTTCGCTATGAACGAGGTGGAGATGAAAATACGTTATACGACGTATGGGAACTTCAATGCTCAAGTTACGATGAAACATCGTTATACTTTACCCAAAGTGGCTAGCCTTGCGGTGAAGAGATAAATTTACGGTTTCGGCGCGCACCAGCCAACGAGCCCCCACTCAAAAAACGTATTGCGTATTTGTCGTATCGCTAGTCTACCTCTGGGGGAAATGACTGTCCCCCTCAATATGGACACTGAGAGAAGTACAAATGTAGAACTCCGCAATGCCAGCATCGAATCTTTTACAGTCCATTTCCACAATTCGATTTGCACGTGCGTAACGCTTTCATCACATCAATGTGCTCTCGCTGCATAGAAAGTGCTCAGGGATGCTCATACGCCTGTAGGGCAATAGGAACACCGGCCGTTTCGTGATCCAGCTCAGCTTTCGCAAAATGTGCTCCTGGAATGTCAACGGCGGTGTCAGATGAGCGGTCCTTCTTGTTGCTAGGTTGGACGGAGTTGGGTGGACCGTAGACATTTGAGCAACTCGAAGGACTCATCGCCCTGCATTATCTGGTGAGATGTCGGGATGATGCCGACGGATGACTGAATACATATGGTATCGTCTGTCTCGGCGATTGATCGCTCTAGGGCATCATAGCTGTTCATAGGAAAAATCGCATTGTCGGAGCACACCAAGATCAATGTGTGTCGCTTTGTAATTGAGCAGACAGTTTGGAACCGTGCCGAAAGGCCGCATACGTTGCGCAATTGCCGGCATGGTCCGCGTATTTATGGAAAAGCCGCTCCTGGTAGATGAAACTTGCGGCATAGCTTACTTCCCTATGCACGCCCCGCACGCCCTTTTCCTCGCCCATATTAAGACTGCTGAGTTGATTAATAGCTTGAGATACAACGAATAGAGCTTAGAAGATGAACAACAAAGTATGTAATCCACGTCCCCTACAACTCGAATAGTGACGTGATACCGTCTTGGCGGACACTCACAACATCATAGGCCGTGTTCATGTTGGAGGCTCGCTAGGGCTAGGCAGAGAGATATCGAAAGTTTTTGCGAGCCAAGGTATGTCCAAATGGTCTGCAATACATTCGATTCAAGTCCATCCTAGCTGTATTGTGCTGATATGGCTTGTCTTTTCAGGCGCTCATGTCACGATATTAGCTCACAAATAAGCAGTTTTAGACCACAGCGTTCGGTACTGTTCTGTGCTGTGCTAGGCACGGTCGAACACTGCACCGGGTTGGATCGCAGGCCTCCGTCTGAGGAAGGTAGGCTGGGTCGGATGCACGTGTCCATACACCGAAAAAAAAGGGCTAGGTAGACGGTTTTCTGAATGAATTATCAACCATATGGTTCAACTTATGGTGATTGCACAAGCTTCACGGTTACTGCTCACCTGCTCAATATGGATGTTACAAACATGACCCAGGACTAATTTACACCCGCCAACCCGAGGCGGAAAAGATAACGCCATCGCTTAAAAGAAACAACATTTATACAATGGAGAAGCGAACTGTTCCAGGAAGTTGACGCCTTCTACTCCGACGCTTCATTTATCTTCGCCCTTTCCACTCATCCCCTTGACTAGCTGCCTCCCCATCAATCTCGAGATCTCGACCGCATAGTCCCGCTTGCGCATGCGACGCACCTCGTCTTTGCTCTTCCCCTGGAAATCCTCTTCGCGGTACGGCTGCGGCGCGTCTGGATCGAATGCTGTTGTGGGCTTGAAGTCGCTCGGCGAAGGGAAGGATGTGAGATTCTCGGTCTCCCGTTTGTGTGTGACTGAAGGGGAGCGTGGCGCCTCGCAGGAATGCCTTGAGGACTCTGTTGATGCTTTGGAGAGGGAGGGCGAGGGCGGTGCGTGGTGTGGGTTTGTGATGGATGACCCCTGCGAGGTATGGGAGAGTTCTCGGACGGCGACTGTGGAGCGTGGAAAGTCGTCCATGGTAATGATAGCGAAAAGTGAAGTAGTGGTTCGCGCGTGTGTGGTTGATCGCTTCGTACGTGGTGTACTTAATGCACTCTGGTCAAGGCTCGAGTAAAGGTGAACAGAAATCTGACCTCCGACCTCGCATCTCACCCTCCTACGTTTTTAATCGCATGCCACCTCCCGACGTCACTTCCGAGCGAGCTCGCTCGACGCCTTTGTCCTGACGACCGCAAACGGCAAAGATGCACAGCCAATCAGCGATCGCTGCCCTTCGTATGCAGGAACAGCGCCGGACTTGCCTGTTGCGAAGATGCGCGTTTCAGGAAAAGCAGGGAAAAGATGTTCGGTGGAACGTGCCAGCGGCTTAGGTGTGGGTACAACGTTACGTTGTGGGGTCCGGGGAGCGCGAGAATGCGGGTGGGCATCACGTGGCGTGCGTAGCGATGATGTCATGGTAATAGGCAGGATGGAAGGAGAGACGAATGTGATATTGTGGGATGCGGTTCATGAGATTGCTGTGATGGCTGCCTGAAATTCGATACGATATTCCATAGATGCTGACGTCCTCAACCTGCGTACGTTCAGTTTCCTCCCATATGTATTTTCCGTGCGCTCAGAATGACAGCCACCCTTTTATTCTACTCGCCAGACTCTTTTGCTCTCTATTCTCCATTCCTGACCTCCGCGACCCCAAGATAGTCTCCCTGGACTTTTGGTCTTTTCTGTGTTTCACTATTTCCACGTGCGTGGGCGCGTTAAACTGGCCGCTCACTCTGCGGATCTCATGCTGCGACATCGATCGCTCGCTCCAGTGCGATGCCGCGGAGCTTGATGACGCCATAGGGTGGAGGTGGTTTGTGGAGCTGCTACTGGACAGAGCGCGGTCTCGTGTAGATGCGGAGCTGCCGTACTTGTCTCGCGTGGATAGTGAATGCGCTGTTGATGGTCAGCCCAATGACAACGGGTGCGATGGGCGTTGCTCACCGCCACCGCAGTGCTCCCGGATGTTCTGCTGATACTGTGCTTCCATTGTGGTAAATATATGCCTCCGCACCGTGAATACTGGATATTATGATCGAAGGGTACTTGGGATCTTAAAACCAGGGCGCCTCCACGCACCGTTTTACGTGTGTAAGCCCACCCATCCTTGATCTACGGTGTCCGCGACCACAACGTCAAGACATCTGCATCGACCAGCCAAGCTGTGATGATCGCGCTGCGCCCAGCGAGCGAGGGCTTGGACGGAATGATGTCCAGATAGGCTTTCCGTGACGGGCAAGTATCGGTTAGGCGGCAGCGTTAGTAGTGGCGCCGCGGAGGGCTGACGGAGAGGATCATCGCAAGAGTTCGTGATTGGTCAGGTCTACCTTGATCATGACCTTGATTGACGTGGGGGCAAATTTTGCATACGTGCTTGCTGCGATTTGCTGAAAGAGTACGTTGTCATTGCCAGTTTTAGACCCCGTCGAGCGGTAAGTGCGCGTGACGGCGGAGTCCACTCATGAACTGTATTCGTACAGGGTATGTGTTGAGATGATGTTGAACAATTCAGATCCCGCCCAAAGTTGCAGATAAGTGTCCATTTGTTACTTCATCGGGTGAAGATGTCAGTACGAGTTACGATACACTTGGTGAACAGAGCCACTGAGCGGATCAACCACTAACTCCACGCAAAGCATACCATAGTGTACGACTAGTACCATTCCATCTACCCCCAGTTTAATCCTGTGGATATGCAGACCCATCTCAGCGCCAAACGCCCGCCGAATCCATCCCATATCCAAGCAGAGAACCCTTTAACCCTCGCCAACTTCGCCTTCTTTACAAAATAATATCTAACTCTCGGCGCTGGGGTTCTGCCCTGCCCCCTGATCCAAGTATATCATCTTCCTACGGCGGCTGCGCAGCCTGCAAACGTGGAAATAATGAGGATCATTGTGCTGGGGCTTCTTCAGTCAGACAATCTTAACCAAAAACCCCTCTCTGTCTACATCGCTTAGCCGATAACATGTGCCCCTCCCAAAACATCCAGGGCAAGACCGCCACGCCCCAAATCCAACGTCGACCCGAAGCCCACCCCAGAGTTCACACCAGACTGCGTGTCCTTGTTCAGCCGATGTGATACATCTCCGCCCATTCCTTCCACAGGTCCCTGTCGATGACAGAATCTTGCGAAAACATGAGGTGAAACCCAGTCAAAAGCCATTACCATCTACGTCTCCTGCACATGCTGTCTCGAAAATCATTGTAGTCGTCTTGGGAGCCGATCCCCTGGTTTCCTCAGCGGCTAGCTTACAGGTGAGACGCAGGCTTTGGCATGCCATCGTGATGACTTCCAATTGCTGGTGTTGCTGCTGGGTGAGTACGTTTTGAGGTGAATGGTTCGCTTTCTCTCAAAGGCTTGATTTGATAGAGAGAATTATGGTAGTTGCGCAGTGAGTCATTTAGGCTGGGGAGTGAAATTCATGTAGTGTACCGATGTTGTGGGTGGTCACTTAGCGGACTGACTCACGAAAATCTTGTAGGCGCGGCAAATCCACGGTACATGATTGTAGTTTGAGCGGCGCTGATGCCTCAGTCCCATGAATCCATGAAAGGCCAGTTCACCATCAGCATGACTCGTTTGGGACCCCGTCCGATGTCGAGAAGCGATCACTTCCACCTCTGCAATTCTTCACGAGAAGAGACCTATAAACCGCTCCAGGGGTAGGACCGCGACTAAAGCTTCGCCTAGCTGTGCTTTCATCAGCCCTGTTTACTGTGACCTGCCTGAAAAGTGCGCGGACAGGAAAAGGCGCTGGATAGGGAGAAGATTGGGGGCAGGATAGATGCTGCGTGTAGGGAGGGCAGGGCGGCGGGCACAGTTTCTATAACGGACGTGGGTAAGCGCGGGAGATATTAGGAGTAGTTTTAGTGGGATTTTGGCCGCAGGGGGGAAAAGGAAGTAAGGAGAGCTTAGCAGCTTTCGAAGGCGAGAGCAGTTAGCGGATAAGTTAGTAGACAGAGGTCAGGGCCAGGGAGGCGGGGACGTGTGATATGATGACTTCGTGTTGTGCGAGGGTATAGTATTCTCTCTCCAGTCCAACCTCGTGGACATCCAGGCCCATCTAAGCGCCAAGCGCGTGTTCCAAGCCATCCTGCCGAAATGTTCTTCCTCCCCTCCGAGAACTAATCAAAAGGTCTCCCTTCCCAAACCGGTGTCGACTACGTACGCTCACTTCGCCTTCTTCGCAAAAAAACTACTCAACTTTTTCATACCACTCGTGTCTACCTTCTTCAACTGCTTCACCCCCCTACTCTCGCTCTTCTTCTTCTTCTCTTCCTCCTCTTTCTTCCTCTTCTTCTCCTCTCTTTCCATTGCCGCGCCCTCGTCTTCGTCATACCCGCGCTTCCGGCTGATGTTGTCGGAAATAGAGCGTAGTGCGAGGGCTTCTGCGCGCAGTTTGGTAAGCGCGGCGAGGTGTGTGTCTAACGAGCTGAAGTCCGGGGTTCGGGACGATGTGATCAGGGGATGGAGGGTGGGAGGGAGGTAGGATGAAGAGAGGTAGGTGAGGGATGTGCGGAGGCGGAGGAGGTGGGGGACTTCCGGTGGAGTATGTATGGCGGGTTTGGCGACGAGGTCGTCGGTAGTGGATGTGAAGGAAGTCGCGGTGGTGTGGGATTCGACCGTTATGGTAGCGGAAGACTCGTTCTCGGACCGCGTGATAGTCGATGTTGTGGTCGCTTGCGAATTTGTGGTTGCTGGAACGTCTGCTAGAGCGGACGTGGTTGTGAAAGTGTCTGAGCGTAGGACGTTCATGACGGGGACTTCAAGCGCTGTCTTGACGAAGCGTTCCTCCATGGAAGGCGGAAGGCCTTGGGTGCACATGCGCTCCGCCTTCCGGGTGAGCACTCTCGTAAGTTTGTCGGTGGATAGGCGGTACATGGTCTCGTCGCCGGCGGTCACTGTGTCGCACACTGCAGCCATTCGTTGCTCGACCCTGTCTTTCAGGCTCGGGTGTTGTGAGAGCAGCACTTTCCACTGCCGTGATAGTGAGGCGAGGTTATCGAGATGGTCTTCGAAGGAGAGAAAGTACTGCTTGTCGCCTTGTTTAGCGCCGGCCTTCGGTGCCAGCGCAGGCAAGATCAGGAACAAGAGGTCGATTGGTGTCGCGAGGAACATGTCGGCTTTGTTGGTGAGATAGCCACCGCCTAGGCCTGCCTCTGTGTCTGCATTATCTGTCGTAGTCTCCGCCTGCGCCTCTTGCTCTTTCGCTACATTGTCTGATGTCTTCTCGGGTGTGATCAGCCAGCTCTTGCAGTCCTTCTTTGGCGCCGCAATGCGCGTGAACTCGTAGAAGCCTTTGCTGGGGCAGAAGTAGTATCGCGAGGGCGCTCCATTCGCAGGATTGTTTAGTGTGACAATGCGTGACTCATGCGACGTGTGTCTGGGAAGGACGAACACTTTTGGCGGGTTGCTCGTAGACGGCGGGAGCGGCTTCGCCGTGGACTGCGGCGGTTCTGGGGTCGTTTCTTTCGTGGCTGCGGCCTTGGGCTTGGAGCGGGTGCGCGCCATTGCGCAATTATGTGGCGATTTGCAAGATGCTGGGACTGATGTTCTTCGATTATACTGCTGCTTTCAAAAAGTACAGCACAACTGAAAGAGAGGTAAATTGGAGGACGCGTCGCGGGCGCGCGAGCCAATGACGACGCGTTGTCCCGCGTCACCCCGGCGCGTTTCAGATGCAACCTTAATCGAACACCCAGCAACCCGCGCCTGCACGTCAATCAACAAACCGTCGAAAAGCTCGCCCGCCGTTCCCCCGCTGCTCCCCCCTCGTTTCCCCCCCTGCCTCCAGATCTCGTGTCGCAGCGCATGCGCGGGGCTCTGGCACAAGATATGGGCGCGACGCCCTCAGCGCACGACACCACCACGCCGCGATTATGATTGTGAGGGACAGCCCTAAGGCGAGGGGTACGTATCCACCCGGCGCGTTGCCATGGCCTCGCAGCTAAGCGCCTGCAGCACCCAAGGAGGCCCCGAATTGGCCGCCCAAGTCTCCACTCCACGCCATACTGTTGTCGCCCTCGGCGCGCCAAAAGTACGAAAATCAGCGCCAGCGCCAGCGCAGCGCAACCTCGCCCTCGCCCACCAAGCTTCGCCCTATGTCGCGCACCCAATCCACCATCTCGGACGACGAGGAAGAGGAGGACGAGGAGACGTTGCAACTGCAACTCCAGGCCATCGAGGCGCGCTTGAAGCTGAAGAAGCTGCAGAAGGCGAAGAGAGCGATCGACGATGGAGACACCAACAGTATCGACATATCCTCGCGACCGGGCACAGCGGCTAGCCGGCGACCGGACCTTCCAAAACCGCGCTCCGAGGTGCAGGTACCTGTGTCGCCGCAGAGAAACAGACGGGAGCCCGAGGAACAGAAAAGCCCGGCTAGGGTATTGCTTGGCATCGATAAGGGGTTGAGGGCGCAAGACGTCAGTCTCAAGCGCGCGTCGAGTTTGTCGGCCCGGCAGGCGGCTGGTCACTCACGGACACGATCAGCGCCGGCAGTCGAGGCACCCAAGATCAAAAGTTTCAGCGAGAGGATTGCGGATAGCAGGAATAAGGAGAAGGAGCGCGAAGAGAAGCAAGCGAGGATCGAGAAGAGCAGGACGGGTGGCTTTGGCCTGCAGAACATTGAGGGCGTGAAGGACAGGCCGGCTTCCAGAGCTGCCTTCTCGCTAAGCTCAAGGACGAAAACCTCGGATGATTCCGCTTCTTTAGGGAAGAGTCTCGCACAGAGTCGGCACATGAACAATCTGCGGGAAACTGCAACCCCCCGGCCGGGATCTACATTGTCCGGAAGACTGGAGCGAACACCATCCGCAGCCTCAATACCGCCGTCAAGAGGATTTGGTCCCACAGCTACAGCAGCAAAGTATGCAGAGATATCGCAACGGGACGACAGCACGGATGCTCCGAGCTTTGAGTCCTTCTCTGGCCTGCACCTCAAGTCTCGAGAGATGCAACACAATACAGTGACCCGGACACTGGATGGCAAGACTGTCGTCACGATCCCTCAGCTCTTGAAGACCGTGAAAGCTCCTGAATATGAACCGCCGGATATGGAGAATGACTACGTGGTCATGGGTGTCATCGCCGCCAAGTCGTCGCCAATGGCCACGAAGAACGCAGTCAAGCAGAGATCGGCGGGCAACCAAGAAGAAGATGCGCATGCGACCAACAAGTTTATGATCATCACTTTGACGGACCTCAAATGGGAGCTACAGCTATTTCTCTTTGATACTGGCTTCTCGAAATACTGGAAACTCACGCCTGGCACACTGATTGCTATTCTGAATCCCGATATCCTCCCACCTCGCGACCGTGGCTCGACCAAGTTCTCTCTAAAGCTGACTAGCTCCGATGACACCGTGCTAGAGATTGGCGCAGCCCGGGATCTCGACTTTTGCCATGCCATGCGGAAAGACGGCAAGGAATGCGCGCAGTGGATCGACGGACGCAAGACTGAGTTCTGCGACTTCCACCTTGAACTGCAGGTCGAGAAGAGCAAACGAGGCCGGATGGAGGTTAACACCATGACTGGCTTCGGCAAGGCCCCTGGGGCTGGCCGAGGCAGCATGTTCGGCGGCCGGGGAAGAGGGAAGGGCGATGAACTGAGACGGGAAGGAAGATATCACGACGCTTTTCTTCACGAGACCATGTACATTACGCCCGGTGCCGGCAGTTCGGCGCGATTGATGGACCGAGATGAACAGCCATACAGTGTGACGGAGCGCGCGGAAAAGCATCGTAGGCAGCTCGCGGAGAAAGAGAAAGAGCGCGAGCTGGCAAAAAGGCTGGGCGATCTGGGCAGTGGTGCTGGAGGGGAATACATGAGGCGCGCTGCGTTGATTTCGGCTTCAGCCATGCAAGCAGAGTCGTCGCGGTCTTCCTCCGCGCTGGATGACCCCTTTATCACCAAGCCGTCAGGTCCGACCGACGTCCTCGGCCTCCTAAACAAAAGAGCAGAAGACGTCTCGCTGGACCGCGGCCCTTCTGCTGCTGCTAAGCGCAAGCGCGCCATCTCCGGCAAGTCGACCGCGTCGAATGAGCCCGTAGGCTGGGGCGGCGCCGGCAAGCGGGGTCTCCTTCTGTCCCCCACCAAGGTGGAGCGCGCCTCATCTATGCGCGGAACAAGAGAGCCTAGTCCGGCGAAGAAGAAAGCAAGACTGCTCCTGCCGGAGAAGGGGATTCGCGAGCCGGGCAGGGACAGCCTAGGCACCATGGACGTGGGACTGCTGGCGGCCATGGACGACGATGACGATCTGGAGGTTGTTTGATTTGGGGAGACTTTGGACATGAGCTTCTGATACCAACACTAGGGTTTATTATGTTTACGCCCGCTGGGCTGTGTATGATGGATGGCATGGATGGTGGGTGTTTTGGCGCGCATGGGGCTGGCACGCACTGATTGGCTGGGCTAAGCTCGGGCCACTAAGCGAGTGAAAGTGCAACAACTTTTTGGGCGGGCAGGCATGAACAGCCTACAGACTACGACCGTTTCCTTTTGTATACCCAAAAACACGGCCGCGCGCCGCTTGTTTCTTGTCACTGCGTGGTATCGTGCTAGTGTCGTCCGTGTGACTAACCTCCCATAATCGCCCGTCGAGGAGTTTTGTAGCTCAGGACCAACCACCCAAAAAGAGATAGCTTCGCACCTGCATACCTCCGTCTACCGAACTATCCAAATGGCGACAGCAACAGCCTCCCCGCCATCCCCAGGCCCCGCCAAAATATACGCCTTAATCGCCTACGAAGACCCCTACGTGCAGCCCCTCATCGTCGCGGCAGTCCAGAAACATTTCCCGCCAGAAACGATCCAATTGATCACCAGCCTCGATGATGTACCAAGCAAGTCCTCCCGCCTCCTCCAATGGGTCCAATATGAGTCCATTAATTTCGAGCATCTGCTCTCCCACCCCTCCGCGCACCTCGCAAACGCGTACGTCATTCGCAAAGCGCTGATCCGGAAGCACTATCTGAGTACGACGGTGGCGAATTGGGTTGTCAAGCATTCCGATTCGGTCTTGTTGAAGGGGTGGAAACAGGGGGTCGAGTTTGAGGTGGATTATGCGGAGTTTCTGGATGATTCGCTCGTGGAAGCCTGGGAGTTGAGGGAGTCGTGGGCAAGGGGGGAGAAAGGAGAGGGGCGGGAGTGGTGGATTCTGAAGCCGGGGATGAGTGAGCGGGGGCAGGGTATACGTCTGTTCTCCTCGGAGGAGGAACTCACCCGCATCTTTGAGGGGTGGGATCCGGAGTCTGACGATGAAGAAGAGGACGAGGAGGACGAAGACGAGGATGCGAGGAGTGACGCCGCCGACGATGAAGAGAAAGGCGTCGATGACGGAAATGGCATCATCACCAGCCAACTTCGGCACTTCGTCGCGCAGCCGTACATCCACCCGCCGCTGTTATTCCAGGGCAGAAAGTTCCACATCCGGACGTACGTCCTCGCCACGTCGGCGCTGCAAGTGTATGTCTACAAGCCGATGCTTGCGCTGTTCGCGGCGCGACCCTATGTTGCTCCATCATCAACGGCTTTTGAGGAAGGCGACGCAGAGGATGCTCTAAGAAGTCATTTGACGAATACGTGTTTGCAAGATACGGGCGAGAGGGAAGGCAGCGTGGGGTTGTTCTGGGACCTACCCGAATCCATTCCTTCACAGCCATCCTTTTCCGAAGACGAAGATGCAAAGAAGGAAATCGAAATCCCACACGCTCCCACCTGGAAATCCGACGTCTTCACCCAAATTTGCGCCATCACCGGCGAGGTATTCGAAGCCGCGGCGCGCGGGATGTCGATCCACTTTCAGCCCCTTCCCAATGCTTTTGAGATTTTCGGGCTAGATTTTATGGTTGGAATTGAACCAGACGGCGAGCTGCGAACATATTTGTTGGAGGTTAATGCGTTTCCTGATTTCCGGCAGACTGGGGATGAGTGTAAGGGTGTTGTGGAGGGGTTGATGGACTGTGTGGTGAGGACTGCGGTTGTGCCGTTTTTTGACGCTGAGAAAACGGCGGAGGTGGAGAGTGGACAGGATGGTGGGTTGGTCAAGGTGCTGGATATTGATCTGGGGAGACGGTAGCGGTGTGTGGCGTCTGTGGTGGGGCGTAGGTTGGGATGGGTAGGTGATGATCAGTGCACGGAGCCAAATAGAGTACATAAAAAGACGCTCAGCGCTCGATATGGATTGTGTTTCACACTCCCACTCCTCTCGCTGATGGAATCGGGCCTTTGCGGTCCAAAAATGCTCAAGCAAGAGCGCAATGTGCGGCGTCATCCGTCGATCGTGGAGACTAGCCTTTGCCGCCGAAACTTCATCAGCGAGCAACTTGATGTGGTGCATCCTCTGTGGGAGACTAAAAAACGGCATCCAGACTGTGCATCGTATGCGGTCTCTGGGGGCCAATACCCGAATATGAGTAATTCTATGCGGTATAGATCTTATCTTTCCAAGCATTGGATCAAGTTCCTAATAGGGTGAAGAGTCTGTCTTTTGAAAGACGTATGGGGACCCTGTTATGGGTATTGCCTTCGGGCGACTACAACAGAAACATAATGGCATTATGGCGTGCGGCGTCTGTACGCTTCCAAAACGATCATCGATGACCACATTATGGTATGGGGACTTCATAATCAGGAATATTACGAAATGTGCTTGTGCTATGCGGCCTCTGCCCTTCTCCGGAAGACACATTTGGTCGGTATTATGGTGCGAGAGTTTTGGAAATGAAAGCGTCACGAGATCCGCCGATAATGTGTGCGCTTTCTGTCCTCGTTCAAGATTGACAACCTTCAAATCCATGTTTGCACCCAGGCAACTTGGCTCCCTTACATCCTGCGGCTGTGGATTGACCCCGTTTCCAAGTTTGAAAAGATTTACTGAACCTCGACAAGCTACCGCACAATGCAATGGCGAAGAGTGAACCCTACTCTAACCAATGAAAAACCCCAAAAGCATTGAGGAGGGACCCAGGCATAAGTCAAGATGAATGAAATCTAGCGGCCGAGGCGCAATATGAATGCTGGTTCACGGACACCTTATGCAACAATGAAGTTCGGATTGAAGCTTAGTCAAGCTGTATCCAAGGATGGCAGAGGAGCAGGGGTTCGTGAGATTCGCTGCCGATGCCTTGTTTCAGACTGGGAAAAGGACGCAGAGGCCCTGCGTACCGATATGTGGGCCAGCCCAGGTGGATTTGTCCGAAGACCTACTATGCATTGTATCATGCGGCAGATTGGGTTTGACACCCATCGCGACGACACTCTCAAGCCGGAGCCGACTCTGAAGGGCACCGCCAAAGCCACTTCGTTCGCTATAGAGATTTCTGACCGCATGGCAATAAAACTCAGTTCGACTTGTGGGGCCAGAAAAGTTGGTAGGGCGGTGGACGCCTAGAGAGCCGCTTGGTTGCTGGTCAGATGAATCTGCCCAGCGCAGACCGTTTTGAGAAGGAGCGCCTGTGTGGGCTATGTGCTTACTAGGGCTGCGCGGAGAGCTGTGACTCGAGAGATCGTGACATGATGCTGGAGTTTGTGGGAGCGAAATGCTACGCTTTGTCAGCCCTGCTTAGCGTGTCGCCGAGGTGCATGATATGCTGAGTCGATCACCCAAGGCAAGCTCTCGCGCGCAGACCGACACTCGCAAGAACCGCTCGAGCTCTGATAGATTCCAACCACCATGACCACAGATCCTCGAGAACGAACTTGCACCCCGCTTCACCCTGGCCAAGGAACATGGGCAGAGGCTTGCGTGGTCGATGCGTACCACGCCGCGTCTGTGACCTCGCAATCGATATCGAATTTGGGGACGGTCCACGGTTCGAAGGGGCATGTCCAGAGACCACGAGGGTGATAAGCTGGGAAGATCTAGAGGAGGGCTCCTGCACATCCTGTCTTGAGAGAGGGACCTGTGGGCCGACTGTCCTAGAACCCTCGCTGTTCACCGTCCTTCGACTCGGCACTTCTTCATCTCGCTACATGGATTCAACGCATCTCACCGTCCTTGGTGAATTTTGATCGCACTTGGGCTGATATGACTTAGGGAAGGGTGCGATGCTAGTCCAAGATGTAAGGCAGGCACAATTGAATGATGAGATGTGATGTGATACAGGGTATGTGATACCTTCATTGATGTTACCTATTCCACTCCGTTCCCCTTTCCAATCAGCTTCTCCATCGCCTTGACAACCCCAGCTCGACCCCACAGCCACCCCCAAGGCATGCCGTAAACAAAATTACCTCATGCCACACAACCGGTGGAAAAATCTATTCATCCACTGCAAAGCCGTCGCTCAATGCGAGTCGGGAAAGGAAAGCCATAGAAGTCGCGAAAGGGGTATCTGGGAGCTTTGTAGAAAGCAAGACGCCCGCTCTGCTTTGCTCCGCTTAGATTACAAAAGGTAGTTTGTCGCAAGTGGACAGACAAGACAAATATTTCTAGTTCATGCTCTCATACGATGGACCCCGAGAAACGCCACCCTGAAAGAGATGCAAGAACGCAGGTAAAAAGGTCGTGGGGACAGCGATAGCTGCATCAATCATCTGCTCGCATTAGACGCTAGCAAACGAACTCGCCGTCGCCGCCGACGCCGAGGTAGGAGAGTGCTCACTCCGTGCGCGCTTCGCCTCAGGCTCGGCACCCTCGTCGAGCGGCGGGGCAGCGCGCTTCGTGCCGCGTGCGGAAGCAGACGCACGGGATGACGGCTTGACGCGGGACCATGACTCGAATGACATTTCTGCGTACCTGTCAGATTCTATCCTTGCTTGGGAATGTAGTGGAGGATACTCACGACGCTTGACAGTCTTCGTCACCGCCACGACCGGCTTGCTCTCTTGCGGAAATGACGCCGCGGGACCGACATGCCGGGTTCTACGGCTGGGCGTCGCGATGGGAAGTTCGATGTCGGTGGGCGCTTCCTCATCGTCGTCTTCGCCGTTCTCGCGCTTCAGGCGGTCGATTTCCTCTTTGAAGAGCAGCTTGGGCTTGATGGCGGAGCGCGTGATGCGGCGAGAGCCGCCGCGGTCGGCCTTGCGGCGCGTCTCGTCCTCTGAGGAGCGGCCGGCTTCCGCGTCAGAAGTGCGAGTCACGTCTTCGAACTGGCGGAAGATGGTTTTGCCGCGACTGCGCAGGGTTAGCCATGTTCAGATCCAAATGCAGATGGCAGGACTATATATACGTACTGTGTGTAGACAATGCCCTCATCGCGCGCAGCAGCCTCGAAGATCTGGCGCGTTTTCTCGTCGACCTTGCGCTCTTTCCTCGGAGCGGCCTTGGCTTTGCCCTTGCCGCGACGCGTCAGGAACGGGTTGATCTCCTCGTCCTCACGGTCCGGTACGCGCTCCTTGGAATCAACGTATACGCCGATCTTGGGGGTGCTGGTGCTCATCTGCTCTCCAAAGCTGTCCAGGTCGAGCACGCTGCGCATGCTCTTGTGGGCGCGGCGTGGAGTCGGCATGGCATCCTCTACGGTGGACGGGCGGTTGGCAAACAGGACGCGGGCAGTAGGGCGCAGGGAGTCCTCGGTGTGGAGTGGGCGCTTGCGGGGCGTCTTCGCGGGCGTGGGGAGCATGCCGTGGGGTGCCATGGCGGAGAGAAGGCGCCGCGCAGGAGTGGGTGCAAAAGGCTCAGAGTCGGAATCGAGCGCGGCGGGCTCGTGCTGGGCGCGGCGCGTTGAGCGAGGAGAAGGTGCTTTCGCAGGAGTTGAAGGCGACGAGGGCGGTGACAGGGCGAAGTGGGCGGCGCGGTTGATGGACCTCGGCCGGGAGCTGGTGGGAGTGACGTCGCGGAGGGTGCGCTTGCGCGCAGGCGAGGTTGATTGCTCGTGGTGAGGGTGAGGGTGAGTGCCGTGCTGGGCGGCCACCCGACTCGACCGGCGTGGTGAGAAGGGCTCGTAGTTGTCGTACTTTGGGCCGTGCAGCGGCGCGGGCGGCGTGCGCACTCTGCGCGGAGGCGAGGGCGTGCGGTCCATCGCGTTCCCTTCACTCTGCGGGTGCGGTGCGCGGTGGTAGGACGGACGTGGAGAGCACAGATCCAAGACCAAAACAAGGGCTGCGTCGCTGGGGCGATGGAGGCTTGTGGATGCGGGCGGGCGGGACCAATTGGGGTATATGATGATAGCGGCGAGGGACCGTGTCTAGCGAAGAGTAGAGGCAGCGTTCTCGACGGTTGGGGCGGGCGCTCAAGTGGAGCTTGGGTGCGGCGGTGAATGGGAGGAGGTTGGGCCCAGCCATCTCGTCACTTGGCACGGGCGCGCCAGGGCCGCAGCGACAACAAACACGCCAAGCGCCGCAGCCCCGCCATCCAAACACAGCAAACACGCCAACCTCAACACGGCGCGCGAGGGCACAGTACCGCCCACCGCAGGCACGCGCGCACAATGGACGACCGCAAGCCAGACCGTCTCAGCCTCTCCGACTCGGACTCGGACGCCCTCTTCGACGCCCCCGCCGCCCAAAAGAACCAGCCGTCCGCCCACGACACCGCCGACGACGGCGCTGCCCCCGGCAAGGCGCGGCCCAAGGAGTCTTGGTCCACGCAGGAGGAGCGCGAGGCCGCACTGCGCAAGGAGCTCGAGAGTGTGCGCAATGTGAACAAGGTCATCGAGGGCGTCGTGGAAAGCCTGCAGAAAGCCAAGAGCAACATGGACGTGCGTGATTCAGGGAGGAACATGGCACGCGCGATTGCATGCTAATTTGAGCAGACTGTGTCACGCACGGTAACCAACGCGTCGACCCTCCTGCAAACATGGACGCGCATCCTCTCCCAGACCGAGCACAACCAGCGCCTCATCCTCAACCCTCAATGGCAGGGCGCCACCCAGGACCTCGTCGACTTACAGGAAGAGGAAGTGCACAAGCAGCAGGCGGCAGAAAGAAGGGCCGCCGAAGAGCAGGCGCGCCGGGAGGCAGCCCAGAGGAAGGCCGAGGAGGCCCAGAGGAAGGCGGAAGCCACCGCAAAGCCCACCACGCGTGGCCGAGGCCGGGGAGGTGTGCGGCCACGCGGTGCGTCTACATCAAGCACAGGCCAATACAGCGTCAGCGGGCAGACAGCAAGGGGCGGGCTTAACCGCAGCAGTTCGACGAGCGGCCGGGCTGGCAGCGGCATTGGGCGGGGACTGCGTGGCAGGGGCAGGGGCCTGGGCTGAGCGCGCGCCGAGTCGAGAAAGTGCTATTCTGTACATACAACATGATACCCAAAGCTGCAGTTGCGGCACCTCGTACTACAACAGTCTTGTAGCCACACCCTCGTGTCCATTAGGTGAACATACGCTGTTATATGAGAATCAACTTTCGCTCGCGTCTGACATCGTCATTGCGCTACACGCACTCCGCAATGCGGGATACTAGCCTCGAGCCAAGCTGATACACCAGCGAGTGCAATCAAACGTCACGAATCCCGCTGCTGCACTTGACCATGCTCTTTTTCTCAATTACATAAAGAGGCCTGAGTAACGCCCTAAAGCCGTCATTGAAATGGGTGCAAGGAACATTTGCCGTGAAAGCACATAGATGTGCTTCCTTATCTGCTACTCAATGACCGCGGCACATGGATTACAGAGCGTGGAGATGTTTGCGCCATTCGATTCATATTTGCTTAGCTACTGGCTAGCACATGTAGCAACAGTCAGGCGACGACCAAAGGCAAACTATGGATGGCCGGTCGGCCGATGAGGCTAAAGAGAGTTTCATGTTGATTCTTACGAACTTCGTACTCCTCACCCGAGAGGTGTGTTGGGTCGATTGATGGCTAGCATATGTAGCACTTGTCGTCCAAGCCAACTCTCTTGTTCTCCGTCTCTGGCGCCGCATCCCTCTTCGCCTCGCGCGCAATGATGTTCTCGATCGCCTCGATGGCCTCCCGCTTGCACCCGTAGCAGACGTCGCTCAGCCCAACGCGCGCGTTGACCGTCTCAGCACCAGGCTGGGCCTCGCGCTGAACGATTGTCTCAATCTCGGCGATGGCCTCCCGTTTGCAGCCGTAGCAGATGTCCGAGAGACCCACACGAGCGTTAACAGTCCCGGCAGCAGGCTGTGCCTCGCGCTTGCAGCCGTAGCAGACGTCGCTGAGACCGACGCGTGAGTTAATCGTCGCTGGCTGGGGACATGTCAGAATACATTCCAGGGGGCCCCCCAAAGTCGTGGACTTACGTCGACTTTGGGCAAAGCAAGAGCGGTGGCCGCAAGGGCGAGGATGACCGCAGTGTACTTCATGGTTCCAGCGGGTGGATGAGCGGATGTCAGAGCGTAGCAGGCTTTGTAATGAATGAACTGCGCGCTTCCTATGGTATGCACTCGGGATTCCCATCACTCTTATACGTGTGGACCGAGAACCCAGTCGGTCTGAGGCTTGTCCCAGATGCAGGCGCGGATTCAGGTGTTCCTTCCACCCACCATCCACCATCTGGTGGACGAAGCCGAGCTGGTCACCCTTCTCGTATTTCTGGGGCTAATCGATTCATCGCTGCCTTCAAGACATGCACTGCCTATCCGCCGGACCCTATCTGCGACTGTCCCTCTAGCCTCATCTGGCGCTGATAGACATCCATGAGCGGTTGTCCTTGGCTGTTGGGTAAACATCAAGAAGCAGCATACTCGGTGTTGGGTCTCGTAGATACCACCTTCCATACGCATCAAAGTCTTACATATCCGCCCAGACTGTTTCTGCCCTTGGCAGTTACAAGTTCCAGCTTCGTTTGATTCGACCCCTGTAAAAGATACAGTTGTTGTAGGGAAATGCTGACAGCCGAGTCTACTTTAAGCAGAATGCGGAATGTAGACAACGAAGGGCCAAGCCTCTTACGTTGGAGCGGCATAGTTTCTTGTTTCGGCTCCAAAACGTTGACCTACTAGCGACGGTAGTGGCAATGTTGATTGATTGGCTGTATCGTTTGCTGGTAGTCGGCAGGTTCTTGGCCGGCAACATTGAGCCATACGATTCCTCCGATGCTGTACGAAATAGTGGCCAAGAAGACTTGAAGCATGCTTGCTTCGCGTTCCAAATGGACTGGAACTATGTCACCGATGTCCGTCACATAGCATCGCGCTGCCCTGATGCGTGTCACTTCAAATGGTTGCCTCCATTTTCAACAACAATCACGTCGCTCAAATGCGAGCCTTTTAATTTTCAAATAGGACAAGGGGCCGTCAAGCTTCGCTGGCAACGGGTGCAGCCTCGGCTTGTTTTGCCCTGCCCGCCTTGAACGCAGCATTGATCCTTCGGCCGCCCCGCCCAGGTCTTGGTTCTGTCGAATATTTACCGCTTCCAGCACAAGCTGATTCCCTCCACCTTGGCAGATTTATCAATTCCCGGGTACCCGGTCATATTCACGAGCTGCGGAGAAAGCGTTCGACGGAAGGGGATGGGTGAATTGATCTCTGGGGATTCTCTAGTTCGACGACGGAGCCAATTGACGCCCACAATCAACCGCCTCTGCCGCAAGCAACATACATACCATTTGTATGACATATTATTCTCCTCATCTCACACAGTTCAAGTCTTGCAAAGAAGTGAGCTTGATCAGTCAGTTAGCAGCGACCGAAACGGCAATGCAGGACTCTCAGGATTACGAAACAGCGTCGATTTCCCACTGCGATGCCTCAGAAGACAAACAACTGCTCTCAGAGCACGCTGATAAGCCAGCGCGACAACTCTCCTGGTACCGCGCAACCTGGACCCTCCGCAACGTCCTTCTATCACACCTCCTTACTTGCCTATTTGTCTACCTTCCTGTTGTTTACTTCGCGTTCCAACGCGAGGCTTCATCTCAAGCATGCGATCGCAAGTTGTCAACATGGTGTTCGTGTCCCTGACCTGTCGTTACATTCAATCAGTACATTACTGAGCCTTTGCCAGCCCCAGCATTAGATGAAGGCGCGGTATCCTACCTCCCACCCGCCCCGTTCGCAGGCGACATCCTGCAGACGAACAAATGGCGGGGCGAGGTAGGCGTCACGCCGTCTGCGGAAATCGACAAGGCATGGACAGATATCGGCGTTGGTGTTCCGGGTTTCCGCGTCTCAGCGGAGGAAGTGCGTGTCTTGGGGAAACCTTTTCGCAAGGGGACGCGGACCCTGCATGCGATGCCAGATGGGAAGGGGGGTTACGTGGCGCAGCTTGAGGTCAACCACTTGCTACATTGCTTGGTAAGTTTCCGCCGTGGTCAGCGGAGAAACAAGGTGTGTGGGGAGAGACGGAGACGAGTGCAAGAAGGCGCCGAAGCAAGCTTGTTGTGTGGTGCAATGTTTTATGCTCAAAAGAGAAGAGAAGAGAACAGAAGAGAAGACGCACCATAGTCCTTCCAAAGCTAACACAGATACCAGAATAATCTCCGCCAGGCAATGGCCTGGAACTACGACCACTACTTTGCGGGCATCCCCGTCCGCGATGTACAAATCCACCACGGTTCGTACCTTACCCTTGTTCTACCAGCTAGCGACCTGACATCCTACGCTCCATCCAGAACACTGTATAGACGCCCTCCGCGCGTCCCTCCAATGCACTTCCGACACGACCCCTGTCCTTTACTACGACGATGCCGCCATCCCGCAGCGCCAATTTTCGTTCCCCGACTTCTCGACTAAGCATACGTGTAGAGACTTTGATAAGTTGATGGGTTGGACGTGGAGTACGGAGCGCATGGTTCTGTGGGAGGATGTTGGGAATTCGACCTTTCATCAGCCGGAGCTGTCAAGGGAGGCGAGAGAGAAAGAGGCGCAGGGGGACGGACCACATGGACACCTTGGTCATGGGCGGTAGTAGCTCTACATCCGATTCGTTGAAGAGATAATCCGCAATGAGGCTTCGGACCCATGGAGGATCGATAACAGCTAGCTTCGTCACCGTCAAGACTCAGTTCGGGCGCAGAGGATGGCGATCGTTTGTATCCCTCCCAGCATGAGCTTGAGGTGTCCAGATGGTCTGCGAATTCGAAACGGCACCTAAGCATTTTCCATCTGTTGTATGTGAGCTAGACCTCGTCTGGTGCTTCTGGCGTTGTTACGAGCGCGTACTTCATACGAGTTGGTGCAAACCTCAAAGATTTACTGTCACCAAGAATGGGAAACTGTTCCAGGCAGCGCTCACACAGTCCTTAGTCGAAGGCCGCTGAAAGAGGTGGCTCATCATCCGTCGAGGGCTCTATCTGCCTTGAACCCCACAAATGGAGACTTGATGGTCACTCCCATCGCACCATCTCCGGTGTCGTCCTGAAGTAAGTAGATTCTATTTAACTTCGAGGAGTTGAAAGACAGTGTCTGGGAAAATGAGGTTTAACAGAAACTAAGCTTGGAACTGTCTGCAGATAAGTGTGTGGCGCAGGGCAACCCTGGGAAGTTGAGCGAAGAAGGGGCGCCACCGATCCATGGTAGTCATAAAGAAATGAGACGTGAGCTTACATCTCCTGCACGAAGTCGTATTCAATAGCCAACGTAAGATGTGGGCGATGAAGCCGTCGGCCTTGAATGTCCCTTCGAACGGTTACTTCCCACTTTTGCCCTTGAAACGAAGTGCTACGCGAACTCATTGAGAGTCTTCGTACCGCATTCGCCGCTTGAAACCGATGGTGGCATCCAGTCTGCTGTGAGAGGTCTTGTGGTCATGTTGCATGTTGACGAGATGCCACAGACACTCAACAATCCGTGAGTTGCTGTTGTCGCCCGTCTGCACCTTCCGCCCGACGCGCCGGATCCGGTTCCTGATCGGGAAAGCTCCCACCCCACCTTAGCTCCCCCGCTATTTTGCACTCCTCCGAGCCGCGCGACGACGCGCTCTGCGTAGATTATCCACCTATATTAATACAGCTTGAGTGCCCTCTTTCCTCGGCCTTTTTGTTCCTTCTGTTTGCTTCTTATACTGAAGATACCAACCATCTCATATCTCGCAAATTCCACCCGCAATCAATATACAGAGCGCGCCTTCCCATCTAGCTCGCTATTGAACGCAGCTACTCAAACACGTATCGTCGATACGTTGTGAACACTGATAGATCCTCCACATCCGCGGAATTCACAATGGAGGTCCCCACGGCGACGTCGTTGCGAGACATCTACCCTGAAGATGCAGTCCCAGTACAGGCGAAGCGCTGGGAAAGGATACTGGCCAAGTTCAAAGAGACATATGGCAAGCCAGCTGAATTTGTGGCACGAAGTCCAGGACGAGTCAACATTATTGGCGAGGTGCGTCGACAGCCCGGGCTTCGGCAATTGCGCGACTGACCAATCCCAGCACATCGACTACTCTCTGTACGAAGTACTGCCCATGGCCATCACTGCAGACTTCGTCATGGCTGTAGCCGTCCGATCATCAGAAGAGAAGCCCCGTGTGCGCATCGCAAACGTTCAATCCGAAAAGTTCCCTTCCCGCGAATTCGAGATACCAACCGAGGGCACCATTGCGATAGATGCTTCTGAGCATGAGTGGACCAACTACTTCAAGTCGGGCCTGAAAGGTGTCACCGAGCTCTTGAGCAAGAAACAAGGGAAGCAATTTGTTTCGGTTGGAATGGACGTCATGTGCGACGGGACCGTCCCGAGCGGCGGCGGACTGTCAAGCTCGGCATCATTCACATGCACAACCGCGCTGGGCGTCTTAACCGCGAACGGCGAGACCAAGGTGAATAAGAAGGAGCTTTGCGAGTTAGCGATTGTCTCGGAGAGAGAAGTAGGCGTCAACTCTGGCGGGTAAGCAGCATACGTTCAAAACTTAGAATATGCTAACAAGGTAGCAGTATGGACCAGGCTGCCTCTGTATTCTCACTCCGTGGTTCTGCGTTATACGTGAGCTTCAAGCCAACGCTCGACTTCAAGACTCTCGAATTTCCACACACCGACCCCGAACTCACTTTCGTCACTGCACAGAGCTTCGTTGCAGCCGACAAACACGTTACTGCACCCGTGTGCTACAACCTACGTGTAGTAGAATGCACCCTCGCGGCGGTTTTTCTATCGAAGATCTTCGGGCTCAAGGATCTGCCTCAAGACTCATCCCCGCTTGGCGTTAGCCTTCGCGGCTTGCACGACACCTACTTCGAGCAAAAGCAAGGCGTCGCAGACAACACCAAGAGTTCGGTCAGCGAATTCGAAGACCAACTCAATAAGCTTGTTCAGCTCGTAGGAGACTATCTCCCACAAGAGGAGGGTTACTCGCGAAGCGACATCTGCGCACTGCTAGGCGTGTCCGAAGACGAGCTCAACCAGCGATACATGTCCAAGTTCCCCGTCCGCGCGGAGAGGTTCATGCTGCGACAACGTGCGCTGCACGTATTCACTGAAGCACTTCGCGTCATCAAGTTCCGACAAATACTGTCCTCACCACCATCAGATGGAATAGAGTTCATCAAGGCGCTCGGCGACCTTATGAACGAGACACAGACATCCTGCCGCGACATCTACGACTGCAGCTGTCCGGAGCTCGACGAGCTTTGCGACCTCGCGCGCGGTGCTGGCGCTGCCGGGAGCAGGCTGACCGGCGCCGGCTGGGGAGGATGCAGCGTGCATCTCGTTCCAAAGGACAAGGTCGAGGCGGTCAAGCAGGCTTGGGAGGAGAAATACTACAAGAAGAGGTTCCCGGACATCACGAAGGAGAAGTTGGAGGAGGCCGTTGTGGTTAGTAAGCCGGGTAGCGGTAGCATGGTGCTGAAGGTAGTTGGTGATAGCATTGTATGAGCGTTGTACGAGGGGAAGAGCTGGAGACAAAGGCCCGGAATAGAAAGTCACGGCTTCCAACTGGTAGATGCTGTGCACAATAGCACAAACTCTACTCGCATTCACACAATGTCGTCTTTTTCCCGAGAATTTCGCCCAACATTGTTCCCATATCCTACGACAGAGATATAAATTGCTGCTCCCTTCACTCAGCGCATCATCACACTCAGCCCAATAGCCCAGCTTCAGGTAAGCTCTCTTAATCCCCTTTCTAACACTTCACAGCAATATTCCACTCACCATGAATTCCACAATCCAATCTCTCACTCCTGATGTCATGCTAGTCACACTCAAAACCACCCTCTTCCTCAACGCCTACATGCTCAACCTGACCGCCCTCACAGGCACCCTGTCCCTCCTGTCTGACCAACGCGCCCGGGTCGTCCTCCGCGCCTGGCGCGCGGTCCAAACGACCCGGCAGCTGGTCCGCTCAAACGCTATGGCCGTGCAGGAGGAAGGTGGTGAGGCAGATCTTGAGCAGCTGGCGCACTGGGTGCGCTGGGCTAAAGGGGTCGTTGAGCAGGCGTGTGAGTTGAACGCGAATGTGGACGGTAGGGATAGCGGTGGGGTTCGTGTACCTATGGCCATGCGTGCTGCGAACGGTACTTTTGCAATTCACCCCACGCTGCTTGCTGAGCAGGAGGAGCAGGACGCGGTGATGGTCTGGCTCGAGGGCGTGGAGGCTGCGAAGGTTGACACGACACAGGCGGAGCAAGTAGGGAGAGAGATTGATATATTTCAGGTGATTGAGGAGGACTCCGAGAGCATTTTCTCCTTCTCAACACAGCCTGGCCTCTTAGCCTCCGTGACGAAGGTGCAAGGTGGCGGGCTGCTGCCCGAGCAACGCGAGGCGCTTGAGGCACTGTGGAATGAGGTGCGGGCCGCGTCTGCAAAGCCTGCAATGCCTGCGGACGAGATGTGTCTAAGGACCCGTCAGGCGAAGGCGACGGGAATGCGTGAGTTTTTTGCAGATGACGTTCATAGACACGTGATGGAGTGTGATCATTGCTTTGATAGTCTGATTGGTGGTTGAGTGGATAGAGATGGTCCTGCTCGGTAGGAAAGTAAGTTAGTATAGTTATAGAGCGTACTTAGAAACTTATTTTTAATTAGTACATTGATGTTAAGCGCCGGCCCAAGAGGTGGACGCCAGTAACGCCACACCCTGTCCGCTCTACCAGCTGCGACTGGCTAGCACCCCACGTCCATCAGCCCTCAGCCCCAGCCCAAGATATGAACATGCAGCTCCTCTAATGCGTGCGTAAGCGCTCATGTTAATCTTAGCCCCGCAAGGACGTCGTGGGTCTTTCTTATAAGCGGCTTGCTCGCCTGCCTGCCTGCCTGCGCGAGAGTACCCTCCTGTCTGCGGAATACGCGCCCATACCTGTCCGACGCACCCAGCTTGTGTACGAACCGATGACTCGAAATGTCTGGTGCCGAAGCTATTACCGCCATCCAGCTGATCGACGCCTGCATCGGCATCGCTAATACGATCATCGACATCGGGCGTGCCGTGCATGATGCTCAAGGATTACCACCAAAGCTTCGAGAGCTGCTCGAGAAGCTACCAGCGATCCAAGAACTGTTAGAGAGTGCGCAGGAGAGCTGCGAGGAAGGGAGGATCACGGATGATGCCAGCAAGAGCGCACAGCCGATCTTGAAACAATGCGCGGAGGCTCTAGCTGAACTAAGAGACATATTCAGGAAAGCCTGTCCAAAGGATGGGGAGAATCGTACCAAGCGCATCTGGAGAGGCGCAAAGACTGTCTTCTTTGGCCGAGACAACCAGGTACAGAAGCTTCTCGTGACTATTCAAGACGACTTGAGACTGTTGGAGCAGAAGGAGGTCTATGTTATTGGCGACAAGCTGGACGCACTGCAGCAAGTTACGCAAGGACTAGCGGATAATGAAGACGGCAAGTATACACACACTGGAGCGGGCAACATTATTGCCAATGAAGGCGGCAGTCCTACGAATTACGTAGTTGGTGGAAGCAACAACCGGCAGATCAACAATCCTGGGGTATATAATGAGGGCCCTTCAAGTACGTAGTCATCGTCCTCACGTAGTCACACCGACTTCTCAATCGAGGCAGTTTCTTTTCATTAGCATGCTTTCACAGCGTGCCTAAGTGCTCTTTGACAGATCCGTACTGACCACGCTGGTGTTAGCACATAATTACACTTATCTACGACCAGGTAAACTCGTCCTTGAATGCTATTACAACGAGTGTGCTTGTTTACCAGCCGCTCCAGGCAAGTCGCCGCGCTCCTGGCCATAGCTAATACTATCTCTAGCTAGACCAGAGGCCCCGCCGGCCCCTTTCTGCGCCATCCCCTTCCGCCGCGACCCGGACTTTGTCGACCGCGGAACGCTGCTCGACCAGGTACGCGAGAAATGCGCTGCCCCGGCATCGTGCATAGCGCTGGTGGGCCTGGGCGGCGTGGGGTGAGCCAGGAGAACCCAAGGCCAGTGCATGTCACTAACGCCGAGACAGAAAGTCGCAGCTCGCCATCGAACACTGCTACCAAACCGCAGATGCATCTCCAGAGACGTGGGTGTTCTGGGTGCACGCGGGCACACGAGCAAGGTTCGAGCAGGGATACCGCCGGATCGCCGAGGCGACCAAGATGGACGGCTGGGACGACCCCAAGGCGGACGTCCTGCGGCTGGTGCGCAGCTGGCTGTGTGACAAATCGAACGGGCGGTGGGTGATGGTGGTGGACAACGCCGACGATGCGAGCGTCTTTTTCCAGAACCCGTTGCAAAGCCACGCGACAGGCAGCTTCGATCAGTCAACAGAGCTGCTTTCAGACTTCCTGCCACAATCACCGAACGGATCGATTCTTGTTACCTCCCGGAGCCGAGACGATGCGTACAGACTTACGGGCACCTATTCTAGCGTTATCGAGGTCAAGCCAATGGACAAGGACGATGCGCTAGCCCTTCTCAAGAAGAAGCTCGGGATTATCGCCAACGAAGACGAAGCCGTGGAACTGATAGATGCCCTCGACTTTATGCCCCTCGCGCTGACGCAGGCGGCGGCTTTCATCAGACAGGGGGCGACGCGCATGAGCGTGCCGAGATATGTAGAAAAAGTCCGCAAAAGCGATCGTGATCGAGCGCGGCTGTTGATGAAGGACGTGGGAGACAGTCGCAGGGACGGAAAGGCGTCCAACTCGATCATTGCGACGTGGCAGATCTCGTTCGAGCACATCCGGACGAGGACGCCGACAGCCGCCCGGCTGCTGTCGCTAATGAGCCTGTTCGACCCACAGGGGATTCCCGAGTCGCTTCTTCACAATCGATATAGTGAAGAAGGGGATGGCGAGGATGGGGAGGCTGACTTCGACGACGACATCTGCATGCTGACTAGCTTTTCTCTAGTCAGAATGAGCGTGGACGGACGCGAGTTTGAGATGCACCGGCTAGTGCAGTTCTCGACGAAGAAGTGGCTGGAGCTATGCAGCGAGCTCGAGGTGTGGCAATCGACGTATGCAGCGCTCATGGACGATAACTACCCGGTGGGGCGGCCCGAGAACTGGGCAGTGTGCCAGGCACTGTTTCCGCACGCCCAAGCCGTGGTGAACAACCGGCCGAAGGATGTAAAGGCGTTAGAAGCATGGGCGTCCGTGCTCTTCAAGGCGGCGTGGTATGCAAGCGAGATAGGCCAGTATAGCAAGGCGTACGAGATGGGTTCTGCCGCGTTGCATTTTAGGGAGACTATCCTAGGAGAGGAGCACCCAGACACGCTCAACAGCCTGAACAGTCTTGGAATCGTCTTAAACTGGCAAGGCCAGTATAGTGAAGCAGAGGCAATGCATCAACAAGGACTAGAAGCAAAAGAGCGGGTGCTTGGGAAGGAGCATCCTTCTACGTTTACCAGCATGGCCAACCTGGCGTCGACGTACAG